CGTTCTCAGCGTGGTTGTTCCCCGCGCAACCTTGCTGTCTACCCAATGAAACGAAACAAAGCCTTTCCCCCGCCCCCACTTTTGCCCCCTAGACCCCCCCCCCCCCCCCCCCCCCCCCCCCGTCACTGGGGCTGACGGGTCCTGTAAGGTCGCCTGCAGAGGACTGTGCATTGCACATCATTATCTTGAAAGCATGCAAGACAACAGGACGATGGATCCCATGCAACCTGCCCCTCCTCTATCATCATTGGCTCGGAGGTGCTGCAGAGGGGTTCGATCTTCTTCAGTGTATCCCCAGTGCACATCACCGGGCTGTCTCATCTACTCGTACGAGTGAGTCGACTTGACGTCGATTGCGTGCTTGTGGGTAGCTGTTACTTTGGGCTACTCCATCGACGGATACACCTAGGTACTGTACTTTAGGGATTCGTACGAGGTACCACGTCGGGAGTACCACGGTGTACTCATGAAAATCATCGGGAGGTTAGGCTCTTCCCCGGATATTATCTTATTTCTCCCCTGAGCAATCTACCTAATGCAATGGTCTGTTACATTGCAGACATTGCGTTCGGCTTTAATCAGACGGCACATCCTCCTAGGACACGGTCTACGGAGTACAGGTGGTACCTGCTTTCCTGCAGTGAAAATCCTGCCCTATGTCGTATGGAGTAATGCCAAATACCCGGCCTGCGTACCCCGTACTCCGTGAGCCGGGATTTGCGCGGGACGCTCAAAGCAGGTCCGACCAATTACTAATACGATAAAGGTCGAACTATCGCGAATTGACTTCCCGGCCGTGTTCCAGCGATGCGAGCAAGTGTACGCAAATGTGGGGGGTGGCAAACAGGCACGGGTGTACCTGAACTAAGGGCGGAACCGAGAAAGGGGAAAAGGAAAAAAAGTGGGAAAAAGGGCGGATGAGTGGCGAAAAACCAAGGGAAAAGGGAACAAAACACATGGCAAGAAAACTCTACCACAGACTAGCAGACCGCAAAGTTCAATAAATGCCTAGTTGGGTTAGGGGGGCCCCGCTGATACCCATCTCTTCCGCACCGTTGGAAGAAACAGAGAGAAGCTGTGGAGTGCCCGGAGATTTTGAAATTCAGATTTCTCATCGTTGGTCCCATATTTGTGCCTTTTTTGGGACTTTCCTGTTGAGATACTCGCTTAACAGTAATGTGGCTCAGCTCAGATATGACATCCAATATGACATCAACCTTACTGATACTGCTCGATCTGATCTAAGACAGTCATCGGTTACAACGAGCCCTGGAGCTTCTCGTACGCCGAAGTATGACATAAACCGCCAGTATGGGTATGTACTAGTAGAGAGGTGATGATCTTCAATTTTCTTCCCACAGTTCCTTTCCCGAACCCAGCTTGTTGGGAGTGGAAACTCGCTCGATTGAGAAAATATCGACTGTCACGGGACGAGGAGAGACCGGTTGTTTCAGGATAGGGCTCCACTTGTCAATCTTCTAGTCTGCCTTCTGGAAGTTGCGGGCCGAGGTTGGGAGACCAAACCACATGGGGTCCGCTCAGCTTGGGTGGAATCGCAATGTCTCCGAGGAAATCAAAATGGGTCAGCCATGCCGCTTTGGACTCTGGTGTGATGTCGCAGACGATCGTGAATGCGACCGAGACATCCAAACTGGAAGTTACGTAGTTGCCGTGCAGAGTATGGCGTGTCTGGATATGCAGAGAAACGAGCTAGAGTATGCGCCCGGGGTCTTGTGGCTGACATTGCCGTCTCAGCGGCTCTGACAACCTGTCACCGTACCTGAAGAAGGCCTTGGGGGAGTGTCTGACAGCTCGCCACTTGCGTAACCGGGCATGCTGACCACCGCAATGCCCAGGTGCAAGTCCTGTAGCGGCCCGTTAGTGGAAGGGTTGCCGTACTCCCAGAGACAGCCCCAGAGACCAGGTCTTCCATGTATCGCGTGACATGCGACCCCGAGCTGGGAGTTTGATGAGATGCAACATGGTTTCTGGTAATTGCATCTGCGACACCGGCGAACGAAACAAGAGTATAGCGTTTGCAAGGGGTTGAAACAGTGCACAACAAGAGATGTGTTACAGGAGTCTGCCATCATACCATGGCCCTCCATTCGAGGTTGAGAAAGCTTGACCACCGACAAGATCCTGGTCAGCCACACGGAACCTCCCCGGGCCCACTGTCACCTGCCACCGGCACAGCGGGCTGGGCAAAAAGACCTTAATCATCTACGGACGCTTGGGCCTGGGTTGAAATCCATTCTTCCATCAGAGGTTGCCGGCTAGGTTCAGATGTTGCAGCTCTCGATTTGGCCTTGTCACCTTTGCGGGTGATCAACAGACACAGCACCCACCCGCAGATATTGAAGCTCTCGTAGTGCGTACTGGACCGGAGCTTTTTTTCATCGTCGCCCGTGAGATCCTCGTGCACTTCGCCGGTCTTCAGTTTAGGCTTTCGCTTCTGCCGCCCATCCGCTGGCACCGCGTCATCTGTAGACTCCGGGATGTCATGTAGTCCCTCAGCCTCACTGTCGCTTTCGATCATAATTCCATCGTTGGCAGCACCGGACGTGCTGGCCGCCGTCTCTGAATCATTCTCTAGCTTGGTCTCCTGATCTGGGTTTTTGCCCTGTGCGCCTTGCTCATGGAATGTCTTATTGCGCGTAAGAAGGGAATGTCGGGTACGCGATTCGCGGAGAAAAATGGCTACTTCGAACTCATCTGGGCGGAGAATCAGCATGACCATATGTTTCAGGTTGCGGTGTTGATTCTACCTTCAGTAACAACATCCTTGACTGGTTTCCCCTTCTTGCGCGAGAATAGTCGCTGGTTTTCTTCACGCAGCTTAGGCAGAACCAAGGGCCGGATGGCAGCAATGACGCGGGGAAGAACAGGATCGCGAGAATTCAGCAGCCATCGTGAGTCGGATGGAGCATCTAAGTAGATACGGCACTCTAGTACAGAGTACTTGCTTATGCGAAGGTATCGTCGAATGGGAGCCATGGAGTTGAAATAGGTGCAAGTTGACAAGCTTCTCCAGGACAAACCGATGACCTCAGTGCCGCGCCAAGACTTGGTTTGCCGCCGATCATTTGATTGGTGATCGAAACGCAGGACCACAGGGGTGAACCTCACCTTGAGTCCTTTACCATTCCCTCAGTCCTTTGATCACTTCTGCCTTGTCTCTGGCCAACACACGCCAGCAGACAACAGCAAAAAAAAGACCAGAACGATGATACAACCCCACGTGACTTCATTGCCGCAATGGGAAAGGAGGACCCGTCCACAAGGTCCTCACCCGGCAGCCGAGGAAGTACCCGGTACTCCCAGCCACACTATAAATTATATGGGTCTGGAGGTACCTAGTACTCGTTGACGTCTTCGAGTGCTCCCAAGGTCCCCTCCCCGCCCAAATCGCCGTCTCAAATTTTCTACTGCGATTTGAAGGACCTTAAACATTCCTTATATCCGGATTGTGATTGACATATCTATCCTGGTGGTTTTCGATCTGACTTCTGCCGGAATATTCACCGTGGACGGCGATTAAACCTATCAGATTGGAGATTTTGTTCTGCATAAAAGACAGTACGACTCACGTCCGTTGTACGCGCGCGACCAAAAGAAGAAGCATTTTTTCTTCTTGGTCTTCGTCTTGGCCAATCGTGTGGGTGAAGCTCATTTCAGAGTTCACCATTGTCAGGATATCCTGGTAATTTTCTGCGCGGTCCTACAGACTAACGCATCTCGCCTACCATCGAGGACCTTGGGGATTGTGGTCAAACTAGTCTGGCACACTAGGCCCCTCCAACAGTTTGCGACCACAACCATTCTTCCCATTTTCCTTACCATCTCCATTGGCTGATTCACGCGATCTGCCTCTTGGTTTCCCTTTTATCTGTATTTCCCACGATTCCCCGCGGGGTTTCTCTTTTTCACGCCTCTCCACCTCTTTCATACCTCTTGTGTCACCTAACACGATGGATTCTTCCGCTATCTTCAAGCGTGCGGATCCATGTGATTCGGGAAATGAGTTTGATGGCCGAATGGGCCTGCGCATCTCGTCCATCTTCGTGATCATGGCTGGTTCCATGTTCGGCGCTCTGTTCCCGGTCTTCGCGCGGCGTTTCAGCAAGGGTGGTGGGTTCCCCAAGTGGGCCTTCTTTGTGGCTAAGTACTTTGGATCTGGTGTGATCATTGCCACCGCCTTTATTCATCTGCTGGCGCCGGCTGAAGAGGCATTGACCAATGAATGTCTGACCGGCCCCATCACCGAGTACAGCTGGGTTGAGGGTATCATCCTGATGACCATTGTGGTGTTGTTCTTCGTGGAATTGATGGTCATGCGCTTCTCAAGCTTTGGTCAAGGCCATGCCCACGATGAAGAGGGTCACACCCACACTCCCTTGAGTGACCATTCGTCTGTTGTCAACGAGTCCACCGAACCAAAGCATCTCATGCCGGGAGAGGACCACCTTGGCCACTCCCGTGAACATCACGACAACGATGACTCCGAGAATGACAAACAAGCCATTGAGGACTATGCTGCCCAGCTGACCTCAATCTTCATTCTTGAGTTTGGTATCATCTTCCACTCCGTGTTCATCGGTCTGACCCTTGCTGTGTCCGGCGCCGAGTTCACCACTCTCTATATTGTCCTCGTCTTCCACCAGACATTCGAAGGTCTGGGTCTTGGCTCTCGTCTCGCCACTGTCCCCTGGCCCAAGTCCAAGCGAAACACTCCCTACTTTTTGGGCCTCGCCTTTGGAATCTCGACTCCGATTGCCATCGCCATCGGTTTGGGAGTTCGCAACAGCTACCCACCTGAAGGACGAACCACTCTGATTGTGAACGGCGTCTTCGACTCGATCTCCGCTGGCATCCTCATCTACACTGCCCTCGTTGAGCTAATGGCCCACGAATTCATGTTCAGCCACTCCATGCGCCAGGCCCCGATCCGTGACGTCCTCATCGCCTTTTTCCTCCTTTGTGCCGGTGCTGCCCTCATGGCGGTGCTGGGCAAATGGGCTTGAGGGACACTACCTCTTGGAAGCCAGTCCTTCCTCTTCACGACCTTTAATGCCTTCGCTTCTTGTTTTATCCTTTTTCAAAAGATCGTTATACATATTGATCACACCTTTTCTGTTTCGCATCTGTGATACCCCTCCGGGAAACCACTTTGGTCACATGTCGGCGTTTATTTAGCGGGTTTCGATACCATAGAATGGATGTCATAACTTCAACCATGGCTCATCTAGAATACAGTAACAACATGGACCTTTCATTCTTCCCACGTGCTCAAGTAAGTGGTAACTACACGGGCAACGTTGGGAGCTTCCAAGCTTGGACGTAGCTTAATCCGTTTCAAGCTTTTGGTCTTGCCCAGGTGTACAGGGAATTCCCCACTTCAGCCCAGGAACTGTACAACACGTTGAAACTGCAATACCTCTCTTTCTTTCTTTCTTTCCTTCTTTCTCTTCTCAACTTTCACCCTTAAAGCAAGACCTAGCCATGGCTGCGGAACTTGATTTGACTGCACTTCCCCAGTGCGAGTCCTCCAAGGCTCTCGATATCTTGGGTGTCACCCAAGACGACACTGCTGCTAGCTTGGATGCCGCCAAGAACAGAAAGAGACAGAGTCTCTCGGACCTTTTCACCATCGTGAGAACAATCCCAATGTGATCCCGTGTATCCCAACTAACCTGCATCTGATAGTTTGCTAGCGGATTCGCTTTGATCAGCGATGGATACCAAAACAATCTAATGTGAGCTGAGACTTCTGTCCATCATCTCAAGAGCTAACCAAGACTTGCTCCTGCAGGACCATGACCAATGTTCTTCTCAAGAAAGAGTACCCCAAGGAGTATACCACCACCGTGAGCACCCGTGTTTCCAACGCCTTGCTGGTAGGCGAGGTGATCGGACAAGTCATTGTTGGGTAAAGTCCACCCCAATCCGTGCAAGGCTCCTTTCTCACGATGCCAGACTCACATGCGACTATTTGGGCCGCAAGACCGCCATCGTCTTTACCACCCTCATGATAGTCATAGGCGGGATCCTTGCCACAGCCTCCCACGGCGTCACAACCAACGGCATGTTCTGGATGATGACCGTTGCGCGTGGCATTGTTGGATTCGGTAAGCCACTCCCAGTGAGGGAAACGAGCCGTACTAATGGGACCAGGCGCCGGCGGCGAATACCCGGCATCCTCGACCTCTGCCTCCGAAGCAGCGAACAGTATCATCCCCGAACATCGTGGCCCGGCATTCATCATGGTGACCAACTTTCCTCTTTCATTTGGCGGCCCCTTCGCCGTATCGATCTTCCTCATCGTGCTAATGGCCTGCCATGAAGCTCACTACAGCACCGTGTGGCGCGTCTGCTTTGGTATAGGATGTATCTGGCCGCTGTCGGTGTTCTACTTCCGTATCCGCATGCTTAACTCGGTCCTTTACCGGCGTGGGGCTATTAAACGACATGTCCCTTACATGCTCGTGCTGCAGTACTATTGGAAATCATTGATAGGGACATGCGGAGCTTGGTTCTTATATGGTAAGCATATGCTCCATCCATGGGCTGTATCCCCGACAAAGCTAACAAGTATAGACTTTGTGACTTTCCCAAATGGCGTTTTCTCAGGAACTATCATATCCTCCGTTGTGCACAATGGCACGATTCGCCAAACGGGCGAGTGGCAACTCCTTCTCGGCGCAATTGCTCTCCCAGGTGTATTCCTCGGTGCAGTTCTTTGCGATCGCCTGGGCCGCAAGCCTATCATGATGATTGGATTCAGCGGATATCTCATCTTCGGTCTGATTATCGGCTGTGCATATAACCAGATCACGAAGATTGTTCCGCTTTTCATTGTTTTCTACGGTCTCATGCAGAGTTCTGGTAACTTTGGACCAGGCAATATGCTCGGGTTACTTTCTTCAGAGTCCTATGCTACCGGTGTACGTGGAACGTGTTATGGACTTTCGGCGGCGATTGGGAAGGCCGGCGCCGCAATTGGCACCCAGGCGTTTTTGCCTATTAAGAATCATCTGGGAGATAGATGGACTTTCATCATTGCTGCTATTTGTGGCGTTGTTGGGGTTCTGGTTACCTGGATCTTTGTGCCAGATTTGTCGGGCGAGGATTTGAGACTTCGGGATGAGAATTTCCGCGCCTACCTGGTGGCTTATGGCTGGGATGGTGCTATGGGTGAGGGTGATTTGCAAGCTTACGCTGGTCAAGGGGATCAGGGGGATTCGCCTGTTGTTAACGGGGCCAAGACCGAGACCTAATTTGGTTCCTGGTTCCTGGGGTCATGGATCAATACATTCTTTGATCCATGATAACCCTGATGGTCGAGAGCGCGTCATACTAATTTGCTTGACCAGCGTCTCTATGAAGCCGCGAGTGCTGGAATTAATTGAAATTAATAGTAATTGCCAACGATCACCTGGAATATCAGACAGAAAGTAAAGTCCGGAGTAGAAGCCTAAAAGCACAGACCAACGCTAAAGTCCCACGGGTCTCTTGGAACCTCCCGTCGCCATCTGTCCACTTCACCCCATTCATCTCACAATGCGTCTCACCTCCATTCTCGTCGCCACCCTTGGCTCCCTCGCCGCCGCTGCTGACCTCGGCATCGAAGTCACCAAGTCCGTCGAGTGCGACCGCAAGACCGTCAAGGGCGATGGTGTCTCCATGCACTACCGCGGCACCCTGCAGTCCGACGGCTCCGAGTTCGACTCCAGCTACAAGCGCCATGCTCCCTTGACTTTCAAGCTCGGAACCGGCCGTGTCATCAAGGGGTAAGTTCGAGCACAATTGCGCAGACTACAAGATACAAGACGCTAACTGGGCTCCACAGATGGGACCAGGGCTTGCTGGATATGTGCATTGGCGAGAAGCGCACTCTGACCATTCCCCCTGAGTTCGGCTACGGTAACCGCGGCATTGGTCCTATTCCCGGTGGCGCGACTTTGGTGTTCGAGACCGAGCTGGTTGCCATTGAGGGAGTGAAGGATGAGCTTTGAATACGTAAATCGAATCGATCCCATGTACGAATCTGTTTGGAAGTTGATTATGCAGCTGTCTGCTCCTTGTTACAGGAGGAGGGTATCTCTTATATATTTACAGTAAGTGTACACAGTATGCAAACAGGGAAGAAACATCACGTTTCAAAGTCAGTCCATTGCATCCAAGGCGTTCTCGGTTTGGATGTCATTTTCCGAAACCAAGATCCCGACAAGGCACTCCCCCAGGATCCCATCCCAGTTGACCCATGGGTGAATCTCCATGAATAGTTGTCCGGAGTCCTTGCCAGCACCGCGGAGAAGCTCGCCCTTTCCACCGGGGTGATAGGGAACGTAGGGAGAAATGTTGTAGACCTTGCCATTGTAGGAAGTCCAGGCATCCCGGCCCTTACGACCGTGCTGTTCCCGCAACATGGACGGTGTAACCCGCAAGAGACTCGGGGGAAGATCTTTCCCGCGAAGTTGATTGTTGGGGTTTGCAGCCAGGGCAGCCCAGTCGAGTGGCGAGAACCCTGGCTCCAGGGCAACCTTCTTGCTAGCTTTCTTGAGAGAGACGGGCGTCGGGGCAAGAGTGCTGTTGACTTGGCGAACTCCGGAAATAGCTGCACCACGCTGCGCGGCGGCAGATGATGGGGGTGGTCCGAGGGATGATCCGCTAGGGCGCGGAGGTTGTAGTCTGGGATCCCGGTTGGGTTGAGGGGTCGGGCGGGGGATTGAGGGAGGAGGCATTAGGCTTGAGCTGGTGGTTGTCGGACGAGGTACGGGTGGCTGCTTTGGCTTTGCGGGGACTGCCAAAGATGGTGGCGGCATTAAAGTGGTCTGCGCTTCACTGCGGCGAGGTTCAGGTAGTTTCTGCACATCTGGTTCGTTTGTAGGCTGTGGTATGGACGGCATCGTGGCGGATTGTGATGTGCTCTCCTCGCTTTCGAGGTTGAGCTCTGGAACGGCAAGGACCGGGAGTGGAGCGCTAGAAGCGGACGCCTTAGGCGTGCTTTGAGTGTCCTCTGTAGACTCTATGGGTGGTGTTGGGGCCCTTGAATCTTGCTTTTCCTGTACAGGTGCGTCCGACGTAGCGGCGAGGGGCGTCTCGGGCTTGGGCTCCGGAGGGGCAGAGGGATCCGGCTCGGCCCAGCTGCGAGGAGGATACCGATAGAAGAAGTAAGCGGTGGTTGCGATCGCTATCCCTGCTCCTACCCACCCCATCACGAAGCGTTCAAAAACGATAGGCAGCGAAAGGAGGTGTGGGTCAAGGAAGATGTTTGCGATCGTAATCACAATCTTGCAGATTCGCCGAAGCGGTGTGGCCCGTGCGTCCATACATTTTGAGCTACAAATGTTCAGGACATACACTGCAAGACCAAGGATTGTGTTGTTTAGAAAGCATAATTATAGAACTACTGCGGTAAAGGTGAAGGAGGGTTGACGGCACAATCTAATCCTCGGGAATGATCCCTGGATGCATCCGAGTGGTCCAGATGTTATCACATCGATGTCTGGTGAAGGAACTCACTCCGGGGAAAATAGATGCAAGCCAATCGAACGTAATGGCTAAATAAAGCATTATTAGGAGACTGTTCATGATGTCAGTTGGCCATCATGGCCCAGAGGTAGTGTGTTTCAGGGCTCTTTCTGCGTGGTCACTTGTAAGTCGCTCTGTGCATCGACGGTGCACTCCATTTCATACTGTCCCAGTATGGTGATAGCCCACAGAGCTCTGAGGGATAAGTTGTTCCGGGATAAACTGGCGTCGAGTACCGATGCCGCCATCCTGTTCGATGCCGGGGGCGGCCAGGTGAGTATCGAATGAGCCATCTGCGGCCGTGATACTGATCAATATCCGGGAGCCAGGCCCAAGGTGGACGGCCGTATCAAGAAGACCGCTGTACAGTGATGTTTCCAGAACAATTTCCCTCCAAGACCACCGACAAGATTGCATTTCTTGCAATCTACGATGGACAGTAAGATACACAGCCTGCGCTTCGTGGCCCGGACTGACACCTCGACCCAGTGGCTCAGGTCTTGTTTCGGATCATGTCCACCAGAGTCTGCACCACACCATCGCGCAACGTCCCGAGCTTGAGCGCGAGGATTGGGCGGGGGCCATCAAGGCAGCCCTTGCCGAGGAGGATCAAAGGCTTTTGGATCGGTTCAAGCATGAGACGGCGGAGCCAGCGATATCCGGATCCACGGTAGCGATATGTTGCATCAATCTCACCCAGGGCGAGTTGATCGTCTCCAATCTGGGCGACTCGCATGTCATCCTGGCCGAGCGCGAGGCGAAGACCGAGCACCCGTATCACATTGTACGAACCTCCCCTCCAATGCGTGATCTTGGCTAATGCCCGCCACCAGCGACGTCTCACCGAGGCTCACAAGCCCGAGCAGCCCAGTGAGAAGGCCCGCATCGAAGAGGCGGGTGGAGAAGTAATCAACCGCAGCGGCACCCATCGTCTCGGTAGGTGATCACCCCCTGAGAGTACTCCGCCTTACTCACCAGGGATAGGGAGCTTGAATATGTCCCGGGCGGTGGGGGACCTGCAGTACAAGAACCCGGTCAATACGATGGCGGCCCCGTCGGAGTCAGAGTCACGGGGGAATTTCGTGTCCAATGATCCGTATACCTCGCGGCGGACCCTGCACACGGACCGCCGATACTTACTTTTGGTGGTCTCCGACGGAGTTACCGATCGAGTGGATGATGCCAACCTGGTCCAGCACGTGATGAGACTGTCGATGCGGGGGAAACGAGCCAGTGAAATTGCTCAGGAGATTGCCACCAACAGTGCCAGTGGTCCTCAGAGTGACAATGCGAGTTGTATTGTGGCGATGATTGATGGACGGGAGAGTGCATAGCAATATACAGAATAGGAGTCTACCTATGGAGATATACGGAGTAAAGTGACTACCTTAGAGATAACCAAAGTACGGAGTACTAAGCGCGTACTAACGTAACGATGAAAATGTTGTGCAGCTGTGCCACTGACGACCAACCAACGGTTCGCCCTTGGCCCAATCCGGAAGGTGGTGTTGGCTTCCCGGATTTGCGTGATCCTCATTTTTGGACATTATATTATATTATAGTAGTATAGCATAGTTGGCTGTTCGGAATTCCCCCTATCCTATGCTCCTGATAGATAACTACCTACCTAGGTATGTATGGACTATCCATGGAGTACGGCTTAGGTGTCAAGTATTCACCATTACTATGTCACCCTTAACTACTAGGTACCTAGGTAGTAATTAGTACTAATAGTACTAGTAATACCAAGAAAGCAGCTAGATGTCTAGATCAAGACAATACTAAGTAAGAATAAGAATAGAATACTACGTAACTATATACTGCAAAACGACATCATTCGGCTTTTCCGTCACGCCCCGCCACATCTCGATAAAAAGACCAATCGAGCAGGCGGATAACGGATAGTCGCTGTCTGATCCAACCATAATTGGCGCTCGATGTTCCAAACAGAGGCTCCAGGCGAATGGTTCTCAGAATCTGTCAATCTCCTTTAGGCAGGCGATTTGGTTTCGGGGTGGAGCACAGAAAAAAAAAAGAAGCATAAGATCCGGCCCTAGCCACCTTCCAGAACGGTCAACCCTGAAGAGGATCGGATTCAATACAAAATCCCCTGTGTCATCCAACCTTCAGAGATTTTTGTTTTTTATTTTTATTGGATTATTCATTTTCCACATCGTTATTTATTCTCCTGTCTGCTGCCTGGATCTATTCAATGAGTCTTACGGAAACCCGAACACCAACCCAAACACCTACCATGTCCAAAGGTTGGAGTAACTTCCATGTGGGAAGAGAATGTAGTCACCAGAAGTGGGCTCGACGAAACATCCCCAAGTTCACCGTCTCCTCCGGCGAGACCGTCTCGTTCGACGCCATTGACAGCAGCAATGGCCAACTCGACACCTCATCCAACGCCGCAGCCATCAAGGCCCTGGATCTCGGCCTGGCCAATCCCGTTTTCGGCCCGATTTATATGAACGACGCTCAACCGGGCGATGTCCTCAAGGTGGAAGTCCTCGACTTGGAGGTCGCCGACTGGGGCTGGTCCGCCATCATTCCGGGCTTTGGTCTGCTGGCAGACGAATTCCCCGAGCCTGAACTCAAGATCTGGGAGCTGAACCGCGAGGCCGGCTTCGCCCAGTTCAAGAACATGCGAATCCCCCTCCGCCCCTTCCTGGGATGTATGGGTCTCGCCCCCGCCAGCGACGAGGAGCTTTCCACCGTCCCGCCCACCAACGCAGGCGGCAACATGGACTGCCGGGAGCTGAGCGTAGGCTCAACCGTCTACCTCCCCGTGCAGACCGCTGGGGCCCTTTTCAGCTGTGGTGATGGCCATGCTGCCCAGGGCCACGGCGAAGTCTGCGGTACCGCCATCGAAACCCCGATCCGAGCTACCCTGCGCTTCGAACTCGTCAAGAACCAACCCTGGATGACGGCCCCTCAGTTCCAGACTCCTCCTCGCGCCCAGATTCCCAACCCCCTCCCCGACCTTGGCACCTACGGCGCTCTCGGCGTGGCCCCCGACTTGTACGAGGCTACTCGGAGTGCCACCCGGAATTTGATTCAATGGCTTGTGCAGACTAAGGGTCTTACACGCAGCGAGGCCTACATCCTTGCCAGTGTTGCAGGAGACCTGCAGATTGCCGAAGTGGTCAACGTGCCCAACTTCGAAGTGGCCATGACTCTGCCTCTGGGCATCTTCTCTTGATTCTTCTAATTTCTCTTTATTTCTTTTTTCGATCTGGATTGGTGATTTGGAAGAAGCTATGGCATGATACCCCTCTGAGAAAATAGTCTTTGGCTTTGAGATTGGTTCGATTGAACATAAACTGGTGTGGGATGGTGTTGCATGTCTGGATAAGCGTTAATTGAAGCGAGCATTATATCTACATAATCCAATTTACAACTTTGTGTAATATCATGACTTCCCATCTGTATTGACCCTATGCAACGCGCGTTGCCACCGACAGTACGACACATACAGAACGGGTAGAATGGGTGTCAGGGTCCATCAGTCCGGGATGATCAGTCTAACAGGGAGTCCCTGGACTCCGCCACACAATTCTGCGTGACAGCCGTGTCCCACTTTCCCCCTTAGATAGGCAGGTCACAGTTGCGACTCTCACTCGCATACTGCCACGTAAACCTCGGGAGACGTGCAGACCCTAGGTCCATTGAGCAGAGAGGACCAAGCGAATTAGTACATACCAAGGCCACTGTCTAGTGCTGCAGGGGTGACTGGCTTGGAAGTACTATAAAGCACTTCGGCTAATGTGCAGACAAGACATACCGAAACAAGATCCAGATGCCCCAAACCTAATCCCAGGCTTTATCTGGAGGCTTAGCTGCATCTGAGTAACGTGAATTCCAGAGTTACACATCAGACCCGATCAGATGTCTCGATATTGCAGAACCGTATCGTCGTACTCGGTAGCATTGCCAAGCAAATCGAAATCGAGCAATAGATCAACCATTCAGATGGTTCGATCAAAAGTACCTTGGCCACATAATTTAAGTTAAAACCAAAATAAACCTCGTCACGAGTCTCGAAGATCACAAAGGTTCGAGAATCAAGGTAGGTTTCTTCCGACCTGCCCAAATGGGCTCTCAACATCTCGTTACTCCGTATTCTGCACACTTCAGATCCCGGGTTCGTCGGCTGAAGGTTCAACCACCTGCCCTTCCGGGTAATTTTTGGGTGGATTTGACTGCCAACTCAGGAGACTTGGACTAGCTCGTGCTCTCTGATCGGCTATTCGATCTCGGAACAATACTGTCGTACAATGCACAGATGCTCGGGATACTGAAGACTTGGCCCGGAATGCACGCACATGCGCTTTAGAATAGTTGCCAATAGGGATATAGGGATGGGCACGATCTGCTTGGATGCTAATATCAGTATCCCCATTGGCCACCGCGGGGGCTTTTGCAGACGAGTTGATATGCATGTGTTTCCGAGAGTTTCAGGTTGGAAACATGATCCATGTAGAACACAGACTGCCCAGGTGGTCATGCTTGACACCCACATCTCCAGGGCGTCGAAAGTTATTTGGCAAACCAAGATCTTCGACATCAAAGGACTTGATATTTAACCCAAGCTTGGTTAGATATTATGTTATCATTATCTCCGTTGAATTGTAATTCTTCAGAAATCCTACAATTCGAAGGGACCCGCCAATGGTCGTGTCTGCTAGAGATCATCCACAACTTGAATTCCTATAGCACGTAGGCACTCATGGATGGAGCAGGAATACCTAGTTACATGATTGCGAAATTTCATTCTGGAGCAGGCATATAAAGGACCAATTTGACCAATTGCCTCGAGCGTTCAATGTAAGCTAAAAGGTGTGTTCAATGTGAGGTTATGTTCCGTGAAAATACGACAATTGATATCGTTAACGCTGGGGAACCGTGAATGTTGGAGTCGCACCAGACAAGCGCATCGGTACATGTAGTATGTAGATGTCAACATCACACAATATAGATGAACAATCATTAATGAGATAGAGAAGACGAGAATACACGAGAAGAAAAGAAAAGAAAATTTCCAAGTGCATGAGATCTAACGGTTCCAAAGTTTACCTAGGTACTACCTGAGGATGCCAAAGGATAAGATACGACCAGTACGCCGTCCGCTCTCTATACAACAAGAACAATCAACACATTTAAAGCAGATTCCATTCCATTGACTCAAAGAGTCCAAAGTTAGAAGTAATGTAAACAGGGATATCCCAGATCTGAACGCCGCTGAAACTCGAAAGTCAAGGTCCCAGACCGTGATCTCATTCATGCAACGAACGCAGACACACACTACCACTTCTCCTAAAGCCAAATAACATAACAGTCAAAATACATTTGATGTTGTAGCAAGAGTGAAGGAGAATGGTACAAAGTGGGGATTATCACAGAAGAAAAGGCACATGATGCATGGGAGGGAGAAAATTCCCTGGGTATTAAGGGGAGTTAGAGAAGCTTGTCACGTTGAATGAATCATCGGATGAATTATCGCGTTGACATGTGATTTGAACCAGATCCTGTCGATATGCCGGATTGATGGGGGCGATAATGTAACGAGTCAGTTGGTTTAGATGAAAGTGATGGCGAAGGCTCCCGTTGGAGAGCCGAGGAAGGTCGGAACAAGCCTTGTCGGGCAGGAGGCGGAGAGAAGAGATGGGCGTGGGAGGGGGCGTCGGTGGCCGGAGAACGGTGTCCGAGGGCATGTGTGAGATGCGGTTGGGATTTCCGTACATCTAGAGGCGATGAGCTGAGGGATCGGAACCCGGATTTGCGATGGTCCACATCATAATCTGGGTTGCGGAAGGATCCCTGAGGGTGGTGCCGAGGGTCTTGCTCCAGGCCATAGGGGGTATTGTTAGCCGATGAGTTGGCGGCAGATGCGTTCTCCGGAATCGTTGATGCAGATCCGTTCGGCGCATTCACATCCACAACCCGCTTCTGGGCAGCCGGGGTGGTATATGATGATGGTTGGGGCTGCTCGAACGGACGCGCTTGCGGCCGGTGCTGTGGGAGATGTTGCTGTTGGTGGTTATGTGGCTGTTGGTGATGGATAGGGTGTTGTGGATTTGCCCAGGGAGTTTGTTCCAAGAACGCTTCCTCCGCGGCGTTGCGGAAGTTATGAGAAGGCATAGTAGACATGATCGGCCGGGGAGCCATGGCCGATGAATGCCGGGGGGCTGAGGCTCGCGACTCTACTGGGATCTGATCAAATGTTAGCACTGGTGTCGTATAATGGGCACTGTTGCAACTTACACCCATCTTTTCGAGATCATCGTCAAGTTCACTGGGGCGGGCGCCAAGTAAAGTCGGAGCAGCAGGGAATCCAACATATTTGGCGACACCAGACATGATCGAAACCTCATGGTTATATGAGGCCTGATGGGCGATCTGCTGCGAGCGACGCGTGGGGAAAGCAATGATGTGGTGCGGGCTAAGTTCATCCGTTTTGAACCGATCATGCTGAATTGCGTAGAACTGCTTGCTGATCGCAGACGAATGTCGCTCACGCACATCGCGTACCCGCTGGAAGTATGTGCTGTGTGCCTGAGCTCGCTCGGCCAGGACCTTGTTCATGAGGGACTTCATGCGGTATCGATACAGGTTTTCCTCGTATTTGATCTTGGCATCGCGGTGACGTTGCACACATTCGATCTGCCGCAGGTACTCGGGGTGTGTCGGATTCGGCCCAGTAAGCATCTCCAACTCTCGGTTTAGTTTTGATATCTTTTCATCATAAATCCTGCGATCGTTAGCATGCAAACGGTAAGGCCAAAGAGGGTTCTCACTTGTCACGTAAAGCTGCGAACTCTTTCTCTAGAGTCGCCAAGGAGTCCATAGCAGACATCTTTTTCACAGCTGCACAGGGGTTAGCTTGGAGTGTTGCCTAAAAAGCTCAACGCGAATGGACTTACACTCTTCCTCAGCTCGAACAGCCGTCTCGGCATCATGGGGCTCATCTCGTTCCGCAGGCTCCTCGTCTTCTCCAGGAATCTCATCAGCAGCGTCTTCTATTGAGGCCTTGACACCGACGTCTGGCTCATCGCCGGCATATTGGTCCATTATTCCCTTCCGCTTACTTTTTTTGCTCTTTTTACCCTTCAAAGGTGGGGCGGATGGGAGATCCAACTCTGGCGCGTCGCCAGCTGGTGTGTCATCGTCGTTGATCGCCATGGTGTCATCAAGTGGCTCCGGGGAGAGTGGGGTATCGTCGTCAATCGGGTCGCTCAGGTCACTCTTGATCGAGTTCCGGCGCTTTTTGATGGGCTCCTCTTCATCGCCCAGCTCGGCGGTGGTTTCATCACCGAGCTCAACGCGCTTACGTTTTTTGCCGATGCTGTCTGGAAGTTCGGAATCGCCGAGGTCTGGTATATCGTCCGTTAATCCATTGTGTTTCGATGACCGACGTTTGCTAGGCGAATCGTCGGCCATGAGCGTGTCGTCATCAACATCGTCAAGTGTTGTAGATTGGTGAAGCTTGCTCGGACTCGGACCGGCACTGCCAGCACTCAAAACGATGTCTCGTTTTCGAACATTGTGCGGAGAATCTTCGATTCGTTCGGTCTCGGCTTCCGAGTCGTTCTCCATAGGTTTGTCTGATTTGATGGGGTCTTCGAAATCTGACGGCTCATTGTCCGAGACGTCGTCAATCTCACTCAAGCTACTTGACCGCCCATCATCATCCATGAGCGGGTCATCCAGAAACGGGTTGCCCCCGTTGGAAATTGTGGACTCTGCCCCCGTTGGATGACCAACGGAGGCCTGTTCTCTGCTCTCAGCCACCTCCATTGACTGAAATACAAGACACCAAGCTGGCGCAGATGCAGTATGAGGGTTGAGAGGAGAACTCAGTGTGTATGGGGACGTGGTTTGCTTGCGGCGAGGGTGAGACCCGCCGATGGCGTGGAGAGGGGGAGGAAGGTCACCGATCGACTAGTTGGAGTTTCAATCGGGAATCTGAACAGACCATGGAACAAATTAGCACAATTGCCATGTCAAATCAGCAAAACCAGCGAGAAAGAAAGGTGGTGGGCAAAAAATGGAAGGTGGGTGCAGAGGATGGTTGAGCGCCCCCAGAAGGCGGTGGTGCGGAGATTGATCATCGGACGCCCCAGAGTCGGCAACAATCGCTCAGCGTAGGAACCAAATGACCGCGCAAAGCAAATGTGCGATCCACTGCACCCTGAACGTATAGAATATTCTTCACTCCGCCCAAAAATGACCGAACAGAGGCGAGAAAGTGGTATAGAGCCTCTAGCGACGTACCGTTCCAACAATGCGCCGGGAGCGACGCCGGTAATGAGCACAGCTGCTCGCGACCGAGCACGATTCTCAAAACCACCGCGTTCCTGTGACGCAGCTTATGACTGAAGTCCAAGCCTACGCGTATCGCCAGTGTTGTGAGTCCTCCAAAAAAGCTTTCGGTCCGACGAATCCTGCGCAGACCGACTCTGGAGGGCGAGGGGAGGTTCAGTAGGAAGTAGTCAAGACGAAGTATCGAGTCGCAGAGGGTCGGACGGCATAAAGAAGTATCCAGGGATCGTAATCAACACTAGAGGAATGATTCGGGATGGAAAGCCGGAGTGAAAGAGGGGGTTTCAGCAGACAAAAGCAGCAGATCGCTATGATGGGGTGCAGCAACAGAAGCGAGTGACGGGGTTCTGCCGCGTTCCCGGCGAGGGCGAGCTCACCGCCCGAAGAAAAAAGCATGTCACGTGAGGTTTCATCTGATTCCCATCTGACGTAGTCGGATGAGTGTAGGTCTGGCATAACACTGCGCCAGCATTGGGGGTTATGTCGAAAATATCCTAGGAGCTAGGACTGTCAAGTGAACTACTAGTACATTGTGGGTGGCTTGAATGTGGAATACGCTGGAGGTGAGGTATACATCTAGTTATCGCCCAATCACAAGTGGAAAACCTCCGAGCCGGAATCACCTCCGTTCACGCCGGTCTATGGCATTCCGAGGAAAGCAGGAACTCCCAGGAACACAAGGCAGCTGCATAGAAGATCTTTATGCACATTTAGGCTTGATACAAGGAGGGCTTTGCAGGTAATGACCGATACTTCGATCTACACCGCATCCGTTACATAAGCACAGCTTCCCGGGCGCGCCAAGACCCGATAAGCAGAAATCAAAGAAAAAAAAAGTCGGAGCTATCAGAGGCGCAATTGCAACAAAGCCACATCTGTCCCATTTACCTTGAGTCTATTGTCAGAGACTATCTTGTTCTTCACAATGGGCAAAAAAACCAAGTCTTCAAAGACAGAGGAGAAGGCAAAGCCCTCCGGTCTTCCCTTTGGTGGTGCTTCTTTGGACTCAACATTGTCTTCCCTATTCGCCTCAAGTGTAAGTTTAAACATGGTATACATGTGATAGGGGTTTAGCTGACAATTAATAGGCTGGACCCGTGCAAGCCCCCACAATCAAATACGTTGAGCCTGTCAGAAAGGCCAAGAAGGAAGAGGAGGATGTCGAGGAAGATGACGAGGAGTTGTCGTCCGGCGACGAAGTGATGGATGACGCCGCGGATGAGAGCGCCTCTGAGGCCGCAGAGGAAGATGAACAGCCGGCCGAGACACAAAACCGCAAGCGGAAGCGTGGCAGCGCTGGCGAGGATATCGAAGAGACATATATGCGTCGCATCGCAAAGGAAGAAAAGAAGGACGAGGAAAAGCGCAAGTCTGAGCACGCCAAACGCCAGAAGCAAGTTGAGGCAAGCAGTGACGACGAGAAGGATGACGACGAGGAAGAGGGCTCTGACAAAGAGTCCGTTGCGGAAGATAGTGACGAGGAAGAGAGCGCTCCTGCTCCCGTGCACGAGAGTGTGGCTGGTACTGCCACCACGGACGAAGTAGAGAAGTCCAACCGTACTGTCTTCTTGGGCAACGTCTCCACGGAGGCGATCAGGTCCAAGACCGCCAAGAAGACCCTTCTGCGTCACCTGGCTTCCTTCTGTTCATCTCTCCCCGAATCTACCGGACCTCACAAGGTTGAATCGATTCGTTTCCGCTCTGTCGCATTCGCCAGTGGCGGTGGCATCCCCAAGCGCGCATCCTTTGCGAAGCGGGAGATTCTCGATGAGACTACACCCAGCACCAACGCTTACGCTGTGTACTCCACTCTGCAGGCTGCACGCAAGGCCCCCGCTGCCCTGAACGGATCTATCGTTCTGGAGCGTCACTTGCGCGTCGACAGCCTTGCCCACCCTGCCGAGATTGACCACAAGCGATGTGTGTTCGTCGGCAACCTCTCTTTCATCGATAGCGAGACCCCCGAAGAAGACGAGAAGACCGGAAAGAAGAAGAAGGCGCGTGCCCCCGCTGACATCGAAGAGGGTCTGTGGCGCATCTTCAACGCCCACACTGGCGGCAAGGACAAGAAGGCCGTGAAGAAGAACGTCGAGTTCGTGCGTGTCATTCGTGACAGCACTACTCGCGTTGGTAAGGGATTCGCCTACGTGCAGTTCTACGATGGCAACGGTGTTGAAGAATCTCTCCCTCTGAATGGCAAGAACTTCCCCCCTATGCTTCCCCGCAAGCTACGTGTTACCCGTGCCCGCAAGGTTGCGAAGAAGTCTACAAGCTCTGGCCCCGATTCCAAGAAATCTCGCGTGGATGAAGCTCAAAAGACCATGCAAGGACGTGCCAACCGTCTGCTGGGTCGCGCCGGTGCGGCCAAGGTCAAGGCCGATGCCAACAGTACCATTGCTGGCAACTCCTTTGTGTTTGAGGGTCACCGTGCCACTGAAGGATCATCGTCCATCAAGATGAAGCAAAAGAGCCGTGGGCAGAAGGCCAAGCGGACTTCTAGGAGTGCTAAGCGTGCTGCGGCTTACAAGGCTGCAGGTGGCCGACGGGATTAGAGCTGACGCAGGCCGCACTGTATCTTAAAAGGCGTTAGGAAGGGCATTTGAATATATTTTACGACCCTAAGTTTTCCCCCAGGCAGCTATATCAACCTGAAGCGTAGGGCATGAAATGACGTCAGTTGATGTTTCACAGGCATCTGAGATGTCTGTTTACACCGTTTACCCTTCCCTCTCGTACTCCACTGCCTTTGATCGGCCATCACTCCTTAAGATTCGACCTCAGAGCTCGATCGTGACATCTAGACATTTCAAACAGAAGTCGAGCTCACTCGGGCGATACAAAAAACATACTTTCAACGGACCATATCATCTGAACTTCCCGAAGCCCCCAAAGTACGGCCTTTGAGTGTGGCGACAGCGTGAACAACAGAATCAACTTCACAATATCTACTGCTCAGACATACGCATAGAAGTGCCACCAAAGCTTGGTTTAACATTCGACCCAGCACCTGAACCTCAGCTACTACCATGCTACCTCACGGTGTCCGCCCTGAGAACCAGCGCCGCCGAGGCACACCATCACCACAAACCAACGGGTCAGAGCCTAATGGATTTGTTGACTCTGCCTCGGATCCAGAGTCTGCGGTCTTTAACCCTAAGTTAATGGACGTACTCAAGGTTCGCTTCTTGCTCCAGTGGAAGCTCACCGTCGGTCTCCCCGAGGAACTCGTCGATATGATCGTCGATGCCGCCGAATATTGGCCTTCGACGGAGCATGTGATAGACGAACAAAGGACGATCCACAAAGATTGTGATCAAGTTTTGTTGAAAACAGTGCCATTGTGCTATGATAGAAACGCATGTCTATCATTGTTCGAACATTGGACCAGAGTGCTGACTTCAGAGATCACATATAGAGCCTAGAAAAGGGATCATCTCCAAAACCATTACCTCATCGAGGCGCGCATCCCTGTCGCAGGATCATCTTCAACCTTTCATCCCGCGATCAAGGTGGGGGACGGCCCCGCCACAACATGTACGAGTTCTCGTGGACGTGGTTCGATACAGAAGTGATCCATGGCGCACACAAGAAGTGCATGTATGCCAATGGAAACGAGCAAGAGATCCTCGACAACGAACGCGGACAAGTGCGCAAACATTACACCGAAGCCGATGACCTGTTGCTACCGCGCGGCAATAAGTTGCAGGTGAATGGAGCTCATGTCAGTGAGATGCAACACAATACGATCATATGGGACTACCGTGATGATGTCAAGGCGGACTCCCCCGAAGCCCATGAGATTGAGAAGACGCGGGGCCGTGGCCGCCTTACCCTTGATGGACGTGGGGTGCGGGAGCTGGAAGTTGGGGACTCCATTGCACTGTGGGCCCGGGCGAGGTTCCCCGGGTGGTCGAACCATGTGCATCGGGCCAGCGTGAGAGTCTACTGGGCTGTATAGGGGGTCTAGATCAAGAGCTATAGGATGCTCAGGACCCTAGGATCTAGAGGTAGATATGCTTGGTTTCAGATGCCAGGTTGAAACATAAGCCACAGACCGGTAGCATACTACAGTGATTTCATCACGCCGGGGCAGCTGGTAGCATACAATAAGCGTTCCAAGATTGCTTTACCTCAAGGCGTTGAGATTGATAAGACTAGTAGATGTAAGTATGCCCCCAGGGCCGAGGACAGCGAGTTGACCGCCGCTGATTGGGCCCCGGAGCCCAAAATCGAGCACGCCATCCCGCCAAGACCGCCCGATCGGCGCCATAACAACAGCATATAAAACCACTTCATCTCCTCCAGCTGCGTCCCTTCTTTTTTTTCGTTCTTGACCGGCTATCATGCACCCAACCGGCCATCTTCCACTCCAGCCATGAGTAGAGATGGGCAACTATTCCACATGAAGCCTGGAGCTCTCCCGACGCAGCCGACCAGCCGGGCAGTGGGGCTCAGTCAATCGGCGATTGAAAATGAATCGGCGTTCAACATAACGGCAGGCTGAACAGACCGCAACAGCAGCACAGCCAATCCCCAGCTTTCTGGAATGACCAGACGGCGAACGATCTCGCCCGAGAGTTGATCAGTCATGATCGGCGACCTGAGCTGGGCCAGACACGACGTTCCCGCGCAATAGCGACACCCCGACTGGACAGTGCTCGCGTTATCTGCACGATGATCGCGACTCACACATTCCATCACGGGCTGTCGTTACCCTGGTCTTGGCTGTCGCCGTTCACTTCCCCCTTTCTTAAGAGGGGTCCCCGTCGTCGGGGTTTCCTTTTATTTAGACTGAATGAAACAACACTTTATACTCTTATTTTACATCTCTCTCACTTTCTTCCCTCCTTTCTGCGCATCAAGTCACTTTAGCTGTGCTTTCTAACTACACACTCCTTGCGCCAATTCGAAACATTATGGCTACCCGCAAGTGCGCCGCTGTTGTTGTCGGTGCTGGCCCGGCTGGCGTGGCGGTGATGGGCAATCTTCTGGAGCGACAGCTAGGATCTATCGCCTGGATTGACCCCAACTTCACGGCTGGCCGAGTCCACGCCAAGTACCGCGAGGTCCCTAGGTTGGTACCCAGCTCCGGATGACATCAGATCAGACCGCTCATCCGCAATATAGCAACACCAAGGTGTCCCTGTTCCATGCATTCGCAACAGCCACACAGCCATTCCAGAAAATCGTCGACAGCTCCCGCTCACCAAACGCCTTCACTGCTCTGTCTCAGCTCGACCAGGAGAAAACATGTGCCCTAAGCTATGCGGCGGACATGATCCACGGGTTGACCGACGGCCTGATGAAAATGGAACAAGTCCATGCATTCCGAGGCTTTGTCGCAGCCGCCAACCTCAATGAACAGGTGGGTAGCGACCAAGCCCAACATGCGTATCAATACTCACAGTGACATCATAGGCTGAATGGACGATCCGAGTCAGACAGCAAGGCTCACCTGACCTGAACATCGAGACCACCCGCCTGATTCTCTGCACAGGCGCCCACCCCACCAATGTCCCAGTCCCTGTTCCCGGACTGAACATCCAGCGCTTGGACCTTGACTTAGTGCTCAAGCCTACTGAGCTAGCACAGACCCTCGAGGACAAGCCTCTCACCGTAGCCATCGTCGGTGCCTCCCACAGTGCCATCCTCGCCATCCTCAACTTCATCCAGCTTGCCAACACCACTCACCCCAATCTCCGCATCAAGTGGTTCACCCGCCACCCTCTCCGCTATGCCGAGTACAAAGACGGCTGGATCTTGCGCGATAACACCGGCTTGAAGGGCTCCGCTGCGGAATTCGCCCGCGAACAGCTAGAAGATGACAAGCTTCCTGTTTCCGATGCCGGCAAGGTCCTGACTAAGGTCGACTGCGCTGGTGGTCGGGATATCGAATCTGCCCAATATCAGAAGTACCTGCCTGAATGCGACTACATTGTCCAGGCAGTCGGATACACCCGTGATCCATTGCCACAGTTGACTCGTAACAACACCCCCCTTGCTATGGAGTTCGATCACGATACTGGTGCCTTCCACGAACCGGGCCCTGGCCCTGTTATCTCGGGATTGTACGGCGCTGGCATTGCGTTCCCTGAGCGGGTTGTTGATCCTCATGGCAATGTCGAGTATGCGGTTGGTTTCTTCAAATTCATGAAGTTCTTGAAGCGTGTTGTTCCCTCTTGGGTTAAGGGAGTTCAGGGTTAGATTTAGAGCCCTTTTTTGCTCTTCTCGTTGCATTTGCACGGGGGTCTTACCTCCTTTGTCCTGCATTTTTTTGGCGGGCTACGACTTAATGATTGATATCATACATACGGAGTCCTGGGAGTTACATCGTCGGCTTTTCTCGGGCTGGGCTTTTTTATTCATAGCTGCTGTGCAGTTGGCAATTGACAAAGATGCATTCTTCTTCATTCCTGAGACTTCACTCACATTTAGTAGCTGCTCATAGTAGTAGGCCTTGGCCTTATACCCTTTTCATCCGCCTTCATAGAAGTGCTGCTGCCAAGTCTTCGGTGTAATTGCAGTTTAGTATGCCAAATTTGTGTAGTAACTCTTCAACAAACGCTTCGACACCTCTGATCCTCACAAGGATCAGATGGTGCCCAGGAGGAGCCTCTGTTGATCATTGGGGAAAACCTTGGAAAGACCAAGACGTCGATGTGTTTGAATCTGATTGAAAAGACGGGAAAAATCAAACTCAATAGCCTAGTTTTCTCAGGAAGGCCAAATATACATGTAGAAATCGAGTTATTGCAAAGGAAGTCTCAATCCAAGCTCTACTTCTACTACTAACTACAGATACCTCGGTACGCTCCCCAGGGCTGGGGAGAGTGGCATAAAGAGGGAGGTTTATAAAACCAGGATAGAATTGAGCAGGCTACCCAGATAGAAGCGCTGCGGAAACCTGAGCTAGAAATCTCGCTAAGTCAAGTCAGACAAGTTCGCGATTAACAATAATTTGAAGGAGGATAGGATGGCCTTTGTTACGCAGTTTGACAGTCATAGGCAGAGAAGTAGATTCCTACATAGGCTAACAAGACAATCATGCCCCGAGACGTAGAGTGGAACTCATCTGCCAGGCAGGCAGTGTTACCGGCCAGTGTAGCGTGAGTGCCCGTGAAGTACTCTTTTCACGGTTGTGGGATCGCGGTAGCCGCGACGATTTTTGACGTCTGTACTGGTTTGCGGACGACCGGGAGCGGAGTGTCAACGCCACTGTTTTCCGTTTGTTCACGGGTCTATTTCGTGGCCGAATGGGTGAAGCCCACCCATTCATGCATACCCTCGAACCTGTGTGCATTCGGTATTGTGGATGACATCTTGGGCCATAGCAACGAATCGCAGAAAAGCAAACTCGCAGAGACTGAGGTATTTGATTCCTGTCCCGACCTCTCTTTGGGCTTTGTATCGTGTTAAAAGCCTTGATAGGTCTGGCCCTGTGATTTGCAGGACCCGGGACCGAATGCTGCTATTTCCAAGGAGCTGCCACAAACCCTTCCCTGGACACCCTCAACAGTCCGAGAACATCACAAGACGCTCCTTGTCTTGAAATATGACGGAAAGCCACCCGAATTCAGTTTCCATCATGGTCTGCTCAGTTTCCATAGGTCAGCAACCGCAGCGCCTCTCGTCGTCTGAAAGCTGTTGCAGGCGCTATCTACGATAGTAGCACCGCTTCTTCGCGTTCAGCTGCAGTCACCCACCTGGGCAAGCATGTAAATTCGAAACGCTCACTAGTCCCATTATTCTTTGCGGATGCTGGCCCAGCTGAAAGAGCGTCCGTTGACTTAGATTGATCGAAGCCCTGGGCTCCCTATTGCTTTCATGGCCCTTCTCATCCAGACCTGCATCAGCAAAGTATGGGATCACATATGCATGGTTCGGCAACCTCTGCCTTCTCAGTGCCCTCTCGAAGAAGCTTTGCGGATGAGCCAACATGGCTTCGACGGTTGGCCAATTGGCCACCATGCCCATTTTCCACTGAAGGTTCATTGCTTCGAACACAATTTGATTTTTCTCCCGAAGGATGTATCTCGAAACCCTGGGTTGCCAACTCAGCAGCTGGAATTCGCTGAAGAAGTCAATGTTTGTTAGATCGAATACAACCCGTTTTGCTTTGTTGGGCTCAATGGCGCCGGTCCGATGTATCTCTCCAAACACATTGATGCCGGCGGTGGCCCATTGCTGGTGTCCAGTATTGGGCGAGAAGTTGTGAGCACAATCCGCCTCAAGTTCATCCGTGCATCGTCCCGAGGGGCACCACCGTCATCAACTTTCAACCTCCCCCGGGAATCCATTGTGCAAAGGTCCGACTTGTGGGTGGGCCCACACGCGGTCGTCCACTTCAAGCACCGACATGTCCATCCTGAAATTGTCTTCTGGGGTGGCGCCGCATTTGGGCCCGTCTTGAACAGCGTCACGGATTTCCTGTTCCATCTTCTTGCGTTGGTCTTTGTAGCTTGTTGTCGAGAAAGTCACCATCGTGCCTGCTTCTCCAGACACCATGAATCCATCAAAACGGTTTTTGGCAAAGACGATGTTCACGGCCGTTCAAGTTTTGACCCTTCAGCGATGGTCGCTGTGGAAGATTAGAACCAAGTCTTGTACTTCAAGCTCCGGGCAGATGGTTTGTCTTCCTTTTCTTAAGCAGTGTCAGTCCACGGGCCATTTATAGGGGACATTCACTGTAGAGACCCACCCGTGATCTTTGCAGGTTCTTGGATACTTCGCTGAGCCACAAGCACTTCCAAGGTTCCCTTGACTTGGAATAACGTTCTGGAACAGCCGGGATGGAGTGTGCATAGTAGGACGGACCCCTTCTCGATTCTCTGTTCTCCAATGGAACACGAGTGGCTGTGTATACCTATTGCCACAGAGACCACCCGGTCACCAAGTGCCCATAAGCCACCCCATGCGGGCATTGTGGCAAGAAGGGACACAAGTCTGATCGACGTCGAGGCAACATATAACTGCAATATTCACCCCGGTCTTAACACACGCCTGCCCTTACTCCAACCTTCCAAGGTTGGAAATCGAGGATTCAACATCTCAGTCACATCCCTAGAACCCCAAGTCTCAGGCGTTCGTCATCCGATTGATAGCCTCGCTGAGCAAATGAATCCGCTCTTACCTAGAATATCCTTGGACTGACATCATTGATATTAGTGATTGAGGCATCCAACCTCCATGTCCCAGCCCTGGAGGAGGCCTGGGGTTTTTCATTTGGAGACACCTCATCCCTCTCAAACGAGATCGTGGTAAGGCGTGAAATTCCAAAGTTTAAAATCCGCCGGGTCTTAGCCTCTCCTGGAGAATTCCAAGGTTTGCACACCCTAAGGCAAAACCTGGTTACCTAGGTAATTATAACCAGGAATATACCCTTTCTCCGGGCCTTTTCATTCTTACCTCTCTCGTTTCCTGTGGGATTCCAAGTCACTCTATAACAAGTAAGAAACCTTGAAGCGAGAAGCCTTTCGAGACTCGGATCTTAGAAAAATAATTAGCGAGCCCAAGGTTTTCATGAATATCAGAACGCTGTTAAAAAAAAAAAGAAAGAAAGAAAGAAAGTGAAGCCTCACTTGTACATTAAGGGCTAGGTAAAAGCTTTTGCCCGCATATACCTGCCCAGATAAACCTTGAAGATGATATAAAGATATACCTAGGTATCACCCGGCCTGACTGAACCCTGCCCAGGTGAATATGGGGGGTGTATCGACAAGGCACAGGAGATAGCAAGGAACATTTCCCACCTCGGCAGCGTCTTGGACAGTGAAGAGTATCATGAAATACCGGTAGCCCAATCCCTGTGTGCCTTGTGTTTTCGCAGTACTTTTTGCATACTGCTAAACTCAAGGTACATCTCTTTCCTCACAGCTAGGACATAATTGGCGACTTCAGTCTGGGATTTGCGTGAGAATGATCCGGGCAAACGTGAACTCGAATCGTTCATCACTTGCTTGATATTTTGATTTGAGAGATGGCCTCAAAATTAGGCGCCATAGCCATCAAGTCGCTCCTGTATATCAATATCTAGACCGGAGGTTTGTCCTTCTCTGATTCGGTAAAGACAGAGTGATCAGCTTCTGTCCGAGTCAACCCCAGCCCAAGGACCATTTTTGGAAGCATGATTTCATGTAGAAGGGCTTATCATTCACGAAGTGCCTTCCGAACATTCCTAGATTTCAGAAGCCCGAGCTTGCCTGGGTGCTTCGAGGTGATAAGTTGATCACGCGAGCCAGATCTCACTCAGGAGATGAAAGCAACGAAGGAGTGCATGAATGTAAATGACTAAAGACGAAGAAGGAAGAAGGAAGAAGACAAAGGTGATAGGATCCTGAAGATATAGCAATTGGACCCACCTCCATCCAAACCAACTAACCACCTAGGCAAACAACTAATAGCCTCACATGAAATATGGATTCATGACAAAGTTCTGGTAATTCACATAACTGATTAAATCATCTCCGTATTGAGAAAGGCTGTCATGAGATCAGTGTAGTCCATATATAGTAGCGAAGAACTTGAAGCTTGGAAGACATGGGCTTTGACATCACAGCCGGAAAGCTCAGAAATAGAGCTGCTCCATGAGATCGCAGCTTTTCTCTTCTCACTTCAACCAAGTGAAACCTCCTCTTCATATCATGAGCCCTGCTAGGGTTTTATTCTTGATTCTTCTTCACTTCTATTTGAAAATCGAAGAACTCTGAAGCCGACGTGGTCTACCCAACAATTCACCTCCACATCGATCCGCACCTGGGCACAGTACCTGATCATACCAATCATCACACAAAGCATCACAGTCATGTCGTACAGTGACCACTACAATCCTGTTCGTCTAGTGGCAGGTGATATAGATTCCATGGATTTCGTCCCCACCCTCGTCGGTTCCAAAAACTGGGCAAGTTGGAACCGCTCGATGAAGATATTTGTGTTGGCAATGTCTGAAAGGTATTGGGATCTCATCACAGGAGAGTGGGCAAGGCCAGCGCCTCTATCAGACGAGGCTGCCACTACCCTGATACCCACATACGAAGAAGAGATTCATCAGGAGGCTCGGTTACTGGACATGCCACCACTCCGAAGGAACACCGGATCAACCACTCGGGAAACAGCAAATCTCGTGAGAGACATAGCAGAAGCGAGGGAGTTCGGCATCACTGCCAAATTCATTCAAAACATCAGACGCCGTGACCAAGAAGATTGGGACCACATTAGCAATCAATGTGTCCTGTGGATCAGTATGAAGCTCGCCCGCAATATGGAACAATACCTCAACCACGAGGAGACTGCAGCACAGCTCTACGCGAAGCTCAAAGAGATCGGTGAGACAACCAGTCTACAGGAGAAGGTTGCTGCCCTCCGCGCTTGGTCGAATTGGACCTACCGAGGATATAAGCCCTTCGAATTCGCCATGGACTGGAGGCGAAAGCGGCAGGAGTATGAGGACATGGTCCCACCCGAACGTCATGCTCCCCCCGGATTCTGCTGCTTGATGTTCTTGGGGGCAGTCAGCTCTGTACCAGGCACCGCTCTGTGGCTTAACTCCTACTGCAAATTGGACCCGGAAAAGACTGATTCGGAAAACCTTGAAGACTTAATCGTCTCATTTATCCATTCCGAGAATGGGCGTCTTATGATCCTGGAGTATCAAGCCAAATACCATTCATGAAAATCGACATATTTGATATGACCCTGTACCCAACGGAGATCTCAAATAGCGAGAAATAATGACGAATGGGATCTTCATCGACAATACAGCCAGACGAATGGATCACGAAGAAAGGCCTTAAGGGTCTTCACGGGAAATGAGCACGGCCTTCATGACAAAAGCTCGAGTCGGGTTGAGAGATGTTATCATTGTCTATGAGCTCATGTTCGATGCACCTACAGTTGAAATGTGCTCTGTCCTTTCCAATGTCGAAGTATGATAATGGCCCTTTCAATTCCACCGAGTCGCCCTAAGCAAGTACACATCATGAATGGAGAACAAGACTCGTTTTAACCGTATCCACATAATCTCTATAGAGTCCGACGTAAATCACATCACATCATAATCATGAAAGAATCAACCCCAACCACTGGGCAACTCCCCAATCAATCAAAGCATCACAACAGCAAAAACCGCGCCAACAACCGCACCCAGACCCCCATTCCGCACACCAACAGCACCAGCCGCACTATCCGAAGTCTGAGCCGCAGCTTCATTATCCCCAGTCGCCGTAGCAGCCGACTCACTCTGACTCGCCACAGCCTTCCGATCATACCCAGTCGCCGTAACAGTATAGGTACTCGAAGCCTGCGACCAGGTAAGAACCGTGCCGCTCGGTGGCGCACTAACTGTCCCAGCAACCTCGGAGAGAGCCGATGTTCCATTCTTAGGATAGTCACCTGGCTTGAAGAATTTGTCCGCGGTGAATCCGAGACCCTTACACTTCCCACTATCGATCTTCGAGTCACAGGATGAGGAAGACCAGGCCCAGTCTGGTACCGATGTGTACAGGTTTGGTAGGCTGGAAGGGAAGAAGACGTCCCACATGTCTGCGCCGGCGAGTCGGGGCTTGGTGTGTGGGCAGATATCCCATGATCTGGTATTGTTAGGTGAGAAGTACCTAGGCAAAGGGATGTCGGAAATGCTTACGCAGAAATGCTGGCACTGGCGCCACAGCAGGCGCAGTCGGATGCGCGACCTGCAATGTCGAGTCCGTTGCTGAGGTTTGAGAGGTCGGAGATGTCGGTGCTGATATTGTCGGTGACGTTTTTCATGCAGTTTACTTGCTCTTTGCGGGAGGTTAGGGTCGTCTCTACCACTTTGGCAATGTCGCAGGAGCACCGGTTCGGGGCGTTGTCGGGTGCTGGCCAGAAGGGGATTGGCTCATGGGCGCTTGGGCAAACGGCAAAGTATTGCTGGATGAAGAGCTGGTATTTGCAGGAATAAACCTTGACGAATGGTGAGTATGTTAGAATTTAATGGCTGGGTTTTGTAACTGCCATACCTGGTTCCAGCATGATTCAGCCATGCAGTTGATATATCTTGTGTGAGAGTCGCAGCCGCAATCCCCGATACAGTTACCATTGCCATTGCAGTTTCTCACGCAAGAGCTCCACTTGTCTGCGACATCCCTGTTGCAGCTTGAGAAATCAGAGGAGGAAGCACAAGCCTTGTCAGTGATGTTTGTTTGAGCGTTTGCAGAACCAGAAAGCACGGCTAGAACCGCACTCGATGCAAGCAACAGCTTAGATAGCATGGTGAATCCAACAGCCTGATTGTATATATTCACTCAACGTGATGACTTCCTTAAAATAAATCCCCGAGAAAAACGCAACAAGCTCACCCCTGGACTGGGGGAAATGACAGCACCTTTATACCACGGCCATTGTGCGAAGCAGCCAGCCGAAAAATGTCCAGGATATGGGACGCCTCGCTCCATCAATTGGCTCTACTGCACGCCAGGGGTCGATCATTGCAAAACGAGCTGTAATGGAATCGCCAGCAAGGGCGAACCAGTAGGTAATCGCATGGGCGAGCCGTGGGCATAGTGCAGTCCAAAAGAACGAGTTGAGCCATTCACCATTCCCAATTCAAACATAAGTGGAGAGTGACCCCGGTTTCTGCATCTGCATCTGCATAAATGCTGCGCTGGCGCTCCAGGGGAATTCCAATGGGCGGATCATAGACCGGACCCTGTGTCTTCGTACCCCGTACATACATATGCGTCCCTAGGTAGATCTGGGGGACGGGTGCGATTGGACCGGGCCATGCAGTAAACTGCACACTGCCAGGACCCTTGCTCGGTGCTGACACGAGGTGACCGTCTGGTTCGAATGTGTAATAGGGTTAGCGCCCTTGCCGGGAATTGAGTTTCCACGATGTTTCTGGGGTTGTGTCCTGTAGTTCGTATAATTCCAGGTCGTTGACTGCTGAGTTAAAGGTGTGCGGTGTACCAGTATTGCAAGACATGCATGAATGCCCCGGGTCAGGGTTTTGTGCAGCATCAGCATGGATGCCTAGAGGCACAGCCCGACTCGTATTCTGCACACCACATGGAGTCTGGTACCTCGATGGTTCGGATCGCAATGACGTTTGGGGACTGAAACGGAGAGTTGCTCAGCGTCTGGACTCGGGGTAGTTAGTCGTCACAGCCTGGACCTCGGAGCACCCTGGATATGAGGCCTGTTCGGAGTACGGGGCAATCAATGGAGTATCCAGCATTACCACTGAAGGTGTAGTATGAAGTCTGTCGGACACCTTCCGAGTGTTATCTCGTACCGCGACCGTTGCATACGAGTCGGCAGATGCGCCGATCCAAATTTACTCGTAAATTACGGTCAGATCGTGGAGATCGAGCATATCACTTGTTATTTTCTCTGTTTAGTGCCTCGTTGGTGTCTGCTTAGCGTCAGCTTGATGCTTTAGTCTGTCGGACCAAAATTGGACAAGGGGAAATGCAAAAGAAAGCATTTCTTTCCAATTCCAAACGGCCATTCACGATTTCGTTTGGACCCTGTTCCGAGACGAGGGACTCCGATGCACATTATTAGGCTACAATTAAAACAATTTAAAGTGGGCGAGATTTCTGATTATCGCCGATCCTGGCTTGATCCGGAATTGTTATGGAGTACTCCGTACGGACTCGGATCAATCGTGCATTGTACATTAGGAAAGAAAAAAGTACACATTAACGCTTCGTGGCCGACGCACACATTAGAAAAAGAGAAGGAAAAAAGTCCCCATTCGAGACCATCGAGTACTGTACAGAATGATCATGGAGAGATGGAGTAATGGAAGAAATTAAACCGTTTCAAATAAACAGCCAATTCAAGAAATGAAAAATGGGAACCTAGCGCGCCGAAACGCGCCCTGAGCCAGGCTCTAGACCGGTCGGATGCGTAATTTACAGCAAGAAGGCACCGGCAACGAGAGCCAGCATACCGCCGGAGACGCGGTTCGCGACACCAGCACCGGAGTCGGTGGTGGGCACGGCGCTCTGGGAGGCAGCGGAGGAGGTAGCGGCGGTGGAAGAGGCAGCAGAGCTGGAGCTCTCGGTGGTGGCGGAGGAGCTGGCGGAGGAGCTGGCGGTGGAAGAAGCCGAGGTGCTGGAAGCGGTGGTCATGGTGGTGGCACTGGCGCTGGAGCTGGAGCTGGCAGTCGAGCTGGTGCTGGCGCTGACGCTGGAGCTGGAGGTCGACTCCGAGGTGGTGGTCGCGGAGCTGGTGGACTCGGAGGTTGAGTGGGCGGTGGTTGAGGTGGCGGTCGCCGAGGTGACGGAGACAGTTGCGCCCTCAACGGTGAAACGGCCAATGTAGTTGTAGTCGTTGGCGTCCTCGTCAGAGATGATCTCAATGGTGTAGTCGGGCTGGGCGGCCAGGTTGGAGGGCACGTCCCAGGTGTAGCTACCCGAGTTCTCAATGTTGGCTGGAGATATAGATCAGTACATGTGACATGAGTCATGGCGATGCACGACTTACAGGCAATGGCAGTGCCAGAGGTTGCGGTGGTCACAGCACCCCACTGCAGGCGCAGAGTCACGGTGCCGCTGGTGGTGGGCTTCCAGGTGAAGGTGGTAGGCTCGCCAACCTTGAAGGTGTAGCCATCGGTGGGGATGTTGAAAGGATTAGCCTTGCTGTTGGCAGCAGCGACGGCAGCCAGAGCGGCGACAGCGAATGAAGTGAAGAAACGCATGGTTGATTGAATTAGAGTATTGGGGTATCAAGGTATCAAGGATGGTGAAGAGGTTAAATGAGTGGCAGTGAAAAGTTCACGGGGGGAAGAAAAGCCTCAAAAATGAACGAACGGGGTAAACGAGAGGCAAAATGGGAAGTCAAAGCCGGATCAAGCGGATGCTAGTCTTATAAGTGCCTAGGAAGAGTCCGGCAAAGGCAAATAATTAGAAAAACAAATACAGGGGAAGCAAGGCAGTTGATTGGCCGCCATCTAGTACAAAAGGCCCTTTAGTACGAGAAGTTAGGGCCTTGGGACTGCGCGTGGCGATCCACGAGCCCGAGGGCGGCGGACAAGGGACCACTAACGGGTTTGCTTTCCTCGCTTGGCAGCAAATCATCGCTGAAGTGGTTCTGGCCCCTAAGGCACCTTAAATGAGGGTATCCACTCGGTCGGCTATATTCACTGATATACGATACTTAAATTTAGATTGAGGCTGAGCCTGGGAAATAGAGTTGTCAATTCAGCGCTTGATTCAAGCATTGGAATTACAGCTTGTGCCTCGGGGCGTGAAAGCTGTACGGAGTACGGGGTGGAAAGCTGCCCAGCTGTGCTGCACTGTATTCTCTTATGTTTCGCAGTGCGTCTCGGACACTAGCTTAATGGGGTATCGGGGTATTGGTATCCGGAACAAGCAAATTATGCTGCCCCAGGAAGGCGATCACTTCCATGGCGCGACGATCCTCATCGTCCTTCTGCCGGTCCAGCAACTAATCCAAGTTAGTAGAATTTCAAAACGGTTTTGGTAAAAAAGACTCACGGCCTGGAAAAGTCCCTTGCGTCGAGTCTCCTTTTCGGACTTCTTTTCTGCCTTTGCCTTGGGACCGGGGGTGTCGTGAGAAAAGGAGCATTGGTCGCCGTTCCTGCATTTCCCATTGCTGAAATAGCGACAGACGCTTTTGGCCTTTTTGCCCTCGCGGGGTGGGGGCGGCACGCGATCTGGTCCCGTGCGGCGTGAACTGGCTTGTTCGGGCGCGCTGTCGGAGTCGGAATGCGATTCGGAATCGGAATCCGAGCCATCTGAGGATGTCCAGTCACTGCCCTCATTGGCCAATTCAATCTCAGGGTCATGTGGCGAGGGAGCTCCGATTGGAATTGCTGGTTCCGGCGCTTCGGGTAAGCGCTCTGGATCCTCCGAGGACGCGGGGAGGTCGGGTTTAAGACTAGAAGCTGATTCTTGTGGCTCAACGTCGGCTAGTTCGGTTTCGATGTTGGGTGGAGGGGTGTTGTTCTGCGACTCGGCAGGGGGCTGATCAATTGGCTGGTCGTCTTGCTTGACGGATTCCGTTTGAAGGCCCAATGCTTCTTTTTGTAAAGCTTCCAGGCGGAGACGCGCTGCATCGGCCTCAGCCATAGCTTTAGCAATGCGTTCCTGTTCTTGTTCGAGATTGCGTCGGATTTCTTCCCTGCGCTTGGCATCCGCGTCGGAGTCTGCTGGGGCGGCGCTATTCTCGCTCTGCTTATTCTCGCTCTGCTTATTGCCACTCTGCTTGCGATTCTCCTTGCGCTTTGCCTGCTGCTCTTGTGTCTTCTTCTGACGAGCGGCCTCTCGAGCAGCCTTGGCCTCCTCGGCGGCCTTTTGTTTCGCTGCGATTCGGGCCTGGGTTGGGAAGTTCTTTTTTCGCTCCGCAATCCAAGCTGCAATCTCGGCCGGTGTTCCCAAGTTGGAGGTCTTGCCCTTGTAGGACACTTGGAGCCCTCCAGGATTGGCTCCGGCTTGCGCGAGCTTGGTTTCTTCGTCGGCGCCCTCCGCTTCATCCTCCTCGCTGGAGTCGTGGTCATCGGCATTCGGAGTAAGCCCCAGCTGGTTGTGCTTCCTTTTCCTTTTCTTCGTCTTGCGATTGCCTGTGGCATCTGCAGCCGGGGGAGGTTTCGAGGGTAGAGGGTTCCCGAAGCTGGGTACGGCCGGGGCTGTGGGTGGTCGGGGAATAGTTGACTGAGGCTTAGTGAAAGCGGAGGCGTGGTCTCGCTTGTGGTTCATTTTGCCTTTGGGACCGTGGTTGTGTGTGTTGGGTCGAGGTCCCCGTGCCTGCCCTGATTGAGCTCCCATGTACTGACCCTGCATATCGTTCCCCCACGGCATGCCGCCCATGACAGCCTGGCTATTAGGTTGGTGGCCATGATGCGGAGCCGGCAAGCCTTGCATGTATGACGGGGTTGGTTGATATGACGGAGCTTGATTGGCGGGCGCATTGTAAGGTAGATGTTGGTAGCTCGGCGTAGATCCTGGCTGAGGGTATTGCGCATTGGGAAAAGGTGATGATCCTGGGGGATTCTGATATCCTTGCGATTGTCCGTGGGGGTATGGCGCCGGTGGCATGTAGGGCGCTGCATGCACAGGTTGGCTGGGGTATCCAGCATAAGTTGTTTGGCCGTAATTGAAGCCCCCGGGCGGGGGATAGGATGGTGTGCGTGCTCCTTCAGCATGTCCACCTCTGCCTCGATGGCCCTGGCCTCTTCCACGTCCTCTTGGAGCTCCACCACGTCCACCCCAGTTTTGTCCATGTTGAGTTGGAGGATAAGCGGGCGGTTGTTGGGTAGGAGGTGGTGGGGGAGGGGGTGGGAACGAAAACCCCTGAGATCCCATTTTGAGAGCCTGTAGACCTTCCAGCGGCCCCAGTACAATCCCTGAAAAACACTCGGGCGAATATGGATGTTCTGGTTGAAGTCTTTAGGACTGAAGGCTTCGCGCAGGTCACGTGCGGAAGTCTCCACTGATTGGCGGAGCCTCGGAGAATCTTCAAAAGGTTTTCGATGAGTGCAACGGCGTGCAGAGAGGAAGCAGGACCATATTGAAAACGCGCTTACTTCACCTTTCTCTCATATCCGGAGCGGCCTCTAATCCAGCCATGTTCATCCTTGTATGTCTCTTGCCTGTGTATGTAGACCTTGACTAACCGCTGCAGACTACCATCTCGGACTTGATCCAGATCTCCCCCGAGGACTTCTCAAAGTTTAGTGCCGTGGCTATAGAAGATAATATCAATGCCAAGTACGCCAATAAGGTATGAATTCTATATTCCAAGGTCTTGGTTGCCTGGTCGTCTTGTTGCTTTCATACTAACGTTCGTTCCCAGGTAATTCAAAAAATCGGTCTCTGCATTAGCTTCTATGACCTTCTGGAGTCATCAGATGGTTTGATTGGCCATGGAACTGGTTTGGTCAATGTCAACGGTATGTTGAAACCCAATTTCGCTAGATTTCGGACAGTTGTTGACTCCGCGGCAGTGAAATTTCGGATGATCGTTTTCAGACCCTTCAAGGGAGAGATCATGCTGGGGAAAATCTCCAGTGGCACAGAGCACGGCATTAAAAGCAAGTGCCGCATCCTCCATCTGTTATCTACATGAGCTAACTATTCAACAGTTGGCCTAGAATTCTTCAACGATATCTTGATCCCACCACAGATGCTGATGGAAAATTCTCGATTGTGAGCCATTCCCAGGCCGTGATTCAGCCAAGATTTGCTAACCTGAACTTAGCGATTATGCGGAGCAAGTATGGATTTGGGAGAACGACGAGGGATCAGAATTCTTCTTCGATGTTGGAGAAGTTGTTCGATTCCGAATCGAAGCAGAAGAATGGCATGACCAGATCCCCAATGCGCCTGAGCTTGGTGACGAGACTCCCCAAGAAAGGAGGCCGCCTTACTCCATTCTGGTGAGTCAACTTGGATTACAGCAATTGCTTTCACTGACTGTTCTAGGGCTCGATGCAAATGGGTGGAACAGGACCTATCACATGGTGGTAGACCGGGCACTGTGAAAGTACCATTGAATTTGACAGCAGAATATGTTGTCCCCTGCGACTTGAAAGCGCTCATGCAATTTCCTTGCTCAGTTCAGATACATCAGATACCCATACGAATCAATGCCTATGAATACACCACTGGTTGTTTATCAAGCGCTCATGCCGGCAAGCTTCTGGGCCTGTGAGTGCCTACCAACTCGTGGCCAATTCTCAAAGTCCTGGGAGGATGCGAGATGGGATGTCCCAAAGCCGGAAGGCATAATACAGATGCACGCAAATATTCAACATCTTCTCCGGCGTCATCTGCACAGGTGAAAATGAGACTGATATTTCCAAGATTGCCGAGATTGTGTAATGTTTTCTCCATTCCAACTACGGCGTCCTTGGAGCAATGCTGGCTGCGCTCAATATCTTTCTGTTGATCCAAAGTTATCCAAAGTTGTGCCGTCAAGTGCCCCAAAGCTGCTTGCCAACACTGAACTGCTTTTTGCTGTCTTTGAATTGCCCTAGCCTCGTCGAAAACACGTGAACATCGATTGCAATCCCTAGGTCTGATTAACTCTTGGCATCAAGGGCGCAGGTTTACATCGTAATTCCCAAGTGTTCTTGCCTTCTCCAACCGTCCCGCGAACAGAGCGGCGGGTCCCGTGGGAGTACATACACTCCTGATTGCCCAGGTGGCTTGCATGAAGTTGACTATAATGGGTCAATGACCACAGAACCCTGGAATTATCATACTTCATAGACTAGCGGTGAACTGCTTTGCCTTTCTGCGCAGGTCCAAATGATCCGAGGCCAACTCGAAAAGATCATATGCTTTCAATCTCAAGTTTGGACTCGGTAATGGGCTCAAAAGTACTAATAAAGATGAGGGGAGTTCAGTAAGCAAATACGGAGTACTGCTTCAGACATGGAGAAACAGCCGTAGCGCCGGGGTACTGGATCGTACAGGGGCTATACCCCTCTCCTTGAATGTAAAGTACTCTATATACCAAAGGCCATCGGAGTCCCGTTGAAGATTCCTATTGGTATTTTGTAAATTCCCCATGGGGATACGCGTGATATCTTCGATTTCTAAGACTCTCGTATCGACTCCATAATTCATGGATGATGTTAGAATGACGGGTTCTGCCTTCGTCCAAACACTGATTTTGATCCCTGGGTTTGCCGATCCGAGGACCTTGCGCTCAACAATTGAACTGAGAAACCTGGCTTGGAGTGTTGAACAAAAAGTGAAACATCGAAAGAAAAGAGTGACGGTTACTCCGGGACTCCGACGGGTCGGCGTAGACGAGGATTCTCCGACGCCTAGCGGTGGGCAGTGGATCACTCATGTCGTGCTCGGCCAGTGGCGTTGGCCCGATCAATCGCCATCAGCTCTTCCACGGTTGATTGTATGTAAAAGATTCCCTCCGGATCGAATTTTTCGTTTTTTTTTCCATTGGGGAATTCTCTTTAAGCCGGAAACAGCCAATTCTTCCAGAAGCAACATTCCAGCTCCTCCGCCATCCTTGCCATTGATTAGCAATCACGATTCGCAATAAGGGATTCGTGATACAAAGGATCTATATAAAGGACATATCTCCCTACCTTCAATCTTCAACAAAATATTCACAATGGGCTCCACGGAATCTTCACACACCACTGACCGCCGTTTCGGCACTTTGGCCGTTCACGCCGGTGCGCCTCACGATCCCGTGACCGGCGCTGTCATTGCTCCGGTAAGTCCGGCAGTCTGGGAGACTCAAGGCATCAATTGACAAGAACAGATCTCGCTCTCCACCACCTATGCTCAGACCAGCGTTGGAAACCCCGTGGGTCTGTACGAGTACACTCGTAGCTCCAACCCCAACCGGTAAGTTTTACTCCGCGGTCTCTCCGGATCGGGTAAAATGGTTACAGCGGACTAACATCACCTCAGCGATAACTTCGAGCAAGCCATTGCAGCCCTCGAGCATGCCAAGTACGCTCTTGCTTTCTCTTCCGGCTCTGCCGCAACAGCAAACATCCTTCAGTCGCTGGCTGCCGGCTCTCACGTCGTTTCGGTCTCCGATGTGTACGGTGGCACCCACCGCTACTTCACCAAGGTTGCTTCGGCCCACGGTGTCGAAGTGACCTTCACCCCGTCCATTGAGCAGGATGTGGAGAAGTTGATTCGCCCTTCCACCAAGCTCATCTGGATTGAGACCCCCTCCAACCCCACCCTTGGTCTGGTTGACATCCGCGCCATTGCCGACATTGCCCACCAGCACGGTATCACGGTTGTTGTCGACAACACCTTCATGAGCCCCTACGTCCAGAACCCCCTGGACCACGGTGCTGATCTTGTCGTCCACTCCGTGACTAAGTACATCAACGGTCACTCCGATGTCTGCATGGGTGTTGCCGCTTTCAGCTCCGAGGCCCTGAAGGAGCGCCTGACCTTCCTCCAGAACGCCATCGGAGCCGTTCCCTCTCCCTTTGACTGCTGGCTCGCCCACCGTGGTCTTAAGACCCTGCACCTGCGTGCCCGCGAGGCCTCCAAGAACGCCACCGTGATCGCCAAGGCTCTCGAGGCTTCTCCCAACGTTATCTCCGTCAACTACCCCGGAATCGACTCTCACCCTCAGCGCGCCATTGCCGTCAAGCAGCACCGTGATGGCATGGGCGGTGGCATGCTCAGCTTCCGTATCAAGGGTGGCCAGAAGGCTGCTCACCTGTTCTGTCAATACACTAAGATCTTCACTCTGGCCGAGAGTCTGGGTGGTGTCGAGAGCTTGTGCGAGGTTCCCTCAAGCATGACCCACGCGGGTATTCCCAAGGACCAGCGTGAGTCTGCTGGTGTTTACGACGATCTTGTTCGCATGAGCTGTGGTGTTGAGGATTCTGAGGATCTGCACGCTGATGTGCTGCAGGCCCTGGAGGCCGCCATTGCTGCTTCACAGAAGCTCAACGGTAGCTCCTAAGCGCTTTTGCTTTTACTTGCATCAAAATAATTTCCCATAGATAGCATTCCTTACTTTTGCATATGACATCATGATCCACCAACCCCGGAACGTCCCTCATTCTCATGAATATGTAGGCCTATGTATTAGCAGCACACCATTCTCGGTGAAACAATTGACCCATGGCCAAATCCGAGTAAGCTGAACATTGTCCTCCGGGCTGGGAATGTGGTTCTCTATGCCCACAAGTTGACCGGACATGGCCTGAACAAGCCCTGGGGCCTGAGGCGACAAATGCTTAGTCAATATACGTTTGCTCACTGGAATTTTTTTGTATGAAAATTATATCACGACTCTGGGAAGTAATACTCTGGATCTGATTCCAAGGTTGATAAAGAGGCCGAAACATCTTTTCAATTGTCTTCGGTGTTGCGTTTGGTTGACGAGTGTCTCGCCAATCCGAACCCTTGGCAAATTTTCATCCGTTACATCGCAAACATCCCACCTCCACGGAACTAAGTGTCTCGGAGAACAAACGAACATCTAGATTCGCAAAAATGGCGTTCAGCTTCGGGTTTTCAGGCGATGACATCGATATGGACGACTCGGAGCTCAATAATGATTTCTCCGACGTGCCCTCCAAGCAGGCTATTGGAAACTCTCTTCCTGAGCTGGTGAAGGCGAATAAACATGATATGAATGATTGGGTAAGTATCTACCGGACATATAGTTCCGCTGTCCTGGGGTATGATTGCTGGGCATGTTTTGTACCTTGAGTCAAGTATACTGGGCTATAATATGACATCGGGCTATAGCTGGTCAATAAGCTACAAGGCGTGCAAGGCAATTGTGTACTTGAAGTCACTAACGCAACTAATAGCTATCAACTCTCCCTTCTCAAATTTCATTCAACAAGCTCGCCATCAATGACTTGAGCGTGGCTCGTCGAGAGATCTTCGATATCCGTACTCAACTTATGGCGGAAGACAGCGCTGGCCATGATAATGAGGAGCTTATCGCAGGCATTGAGAAAGGTGACATCAAGCCTAATTTCTATGAAGGTGGTTTCAAGACCTGGGAATGCGCACTGGATCTCGCTAAGCTCGCCGTGGCCGAGAATACCCTTAACGAAGATGCCTCAGGGGATCTGCACATTATCGAGGTTGGTCAATTGTCGAGACTATATACTACCACATCATCGGAGTACTCACATACAACTACAGCTCGGCGCCGGAACAGCAGTTCCCACATTGACCTTGTTTGCACGCCTCCTGCAAGCCGAAGCTGGCCAAAGTGAAAGACATATTACCTTGACGTTTGCAGACTACAATTCCGACGTACTGCGTCTTGTCACGCTGCCCAACCTACTCCTAACATGGCACAACAGTCGCTCTCAGACCGCAGTTTCAGCCGATTCAACTGCATCGGCCCAAGAGGAAGAGGAGCTTGACATTACGCCCGAGCTGATTGAGGAATTCAAGGGTGACCTTGCAAAACGCAAGATCTCCATTGAGTTTGTCTCCGGTGCTTGGTCCGCCGATTTCGTCGAGTTGGTCTTCTCGTCTGGTGAAGGATTTTCTCGGAAAACTCTCGTGCTTGCCAGCGAGACTATTTACTCGCCGGCTTCGCTTACAGCTTTCTCCGAGACTCTTTCGGCACTGCTTCGTCGGTCCAGTAATGGGTCGACCCAGAGCCGAGCCCTTATTGCCGCAAAGAAAGTTTACTTCGGAGTCGGCGGTGGTGTCGATGAGTTCCTTGCTGTTCTGAACAGCGTGTGTCCCAATGAGCTGAATGTACAGCAGAAATTGAATGTGCAGTCCGAGGGCGTGGGCAGAGTGGTTCTAGAAGTTATCCCTGCAGCCCAATCCTAGACCAGATCATGAATCTCATGAATGCAATGAAATCAGTACCCAGCATTAATACCCTTAAAGTTCCAACCTTGCCGGAATTTCACCATAGGCCTCAGGATATGCTTCAAACAAATGAAAATCCAATTATCAGGTGCTGGATTGAACGTCAAGTCCCAACTTATATGTACATGATTTTTCCTCCACACATGTCCTACTCAGACAGCCGGCCAAATGAAAGAACAAAATAAAACTCCGATCTAATCGTAGAGGGAGGCCTTGCCATCCTTCATGCGCTCGACACGGGCAGCCTCGATCTCCTGGTTCTTGCGCTGGTAGTGAGCAACGACGTGGCTGAGATCGGCCTGAGAACCGGGGGAAACGTTGTAAGGCGAGCCGGTGTTCATCATACTGCAGAGAGCCATTGTTAGCGCGGGTGTGCGGGAAAGCGCGGAGTCAGGTGTACATACTCAGGCTGCATGAGCTCGAAGTTCTCGCGGGGACCCTGACTGCCGAGCAAGTGGCGGTCTTCGGCGACCTTCTCCATGATAGCGGTGTGGATAGCATTGCGCTGCTCGAAGGTCTCCTGGGAAGGCGTCCACTTGCTGATCAGGCCAGAGATGAAGGACGGGGAGCCGGATTCCTGGTTCGACTTGCTGATGCGGTAGAGGGTGTAAGCACCGGCGATGGCACCGACGGTCACGTACAAGCTGCGCTATTTAGTGAAGCAATTGTTAGCTGCTGGTTCGTGGGTCATGGCGTTTTCCGGACTCGGTCGCGGGGGAGAGCTTACGCCGAAGCCCTCGTTCACGGGCTCGTGGGCGGCGTGGGAGCCCCAGCGGCGCTGGGTGCGCAGCATTTGCCGCGTCGAAGGAGCGGATCGTCTGGCGGCAAACATGGTGTGGAGGGAAGCAATTGTGGTGATCGATGACCCTTTGGGGACCGATGATAGGGCGAGAGGTGGGAAGCAAAGTCGAGAACACGTGATGTCTACATTGGGATTAGCGCCGACCGTACATTGTGCTGCCGTATACTTCGTTTTTAGTAGTAGATGCTGTATATTGCCTCTGTTAAATTCTGCATTTCTTTGATCTTCTGAGAGTTGCTGTTCCCATGCATGTTGAATATCGTGTCCCATAATAGTAACGATGTTGCCTATGTCGTCAGGTATCCTCCGATCTTGGGCCCTTGACCGCATCTTAAATGTTAGGAAAGTCAACTATAGGAACCACAATAATTATAGATTTTCTTCCAAAGCCGACTGCTATTGGGCTTTCACATGATGTGCAAGGCTGGAAACAATCATATTATGTCCATCGTAAGAGTACAAAAGTACCAAGTAATATCGGTGGTATGTTGGAAGCCTCAGAAGGGCCAGTGTGTTGTTCGTAGCCTCACTGTTTGAACTCCTCACCTACACATCCCTTTTTCACCTCCCGCATCAAGCGACCTCTAACCCCCGGAGGCCTTTGAGTGGTAGGCTGGGTTCATGCAAATCATTGTCTTGCAATTGAACAAGTCAACTTTGCGGTGTCGGTCCCACTCGGGAATCCTCGCCCAAACCCACAATTTGATGCCCAATGCCATGGCGTCCTGCAACTGGCCTCGCTTCGGTCCAGAATGGAATCGAGGCGGGTTAGGATCATCTTCCCAGCCCTGATATCTGCGCCCTGATATTTGCGCCCCCGTTTTTTTCTCGGCCCTCTCGCACATTGGGGGTAGATGGGTATCAACACTAAGGTTCGGTCCGCCATTGTGTCCCCCCGACACCGTTGTAGTGATTTCGTGTCTACATAAATTTTTTCTCTTTCGGGTTTTGCTTTTTCTCTCTTTTCACTCCCCTGTGTGCATTAAATCTCTCAGCGCGTATTGAGATTTGGACTTACCCGAAGTGTCTACCTGCTGGCGCTACGGTCGTGGATCTTCATCATTTGCGCCCACACTTAGTTCAAAGAACGTCAAGTCTCTGCCCGAACAACCAGTCAAAGCCAGTTGGCTCATACGTCTTGTTATTTTGGGGACTTAATTCCTCCCAACTATAGCCGACGTTTGGGCTATATCTTTGAGGCATTGCCAGGGCTCACAAATGTACAGTGCAGACATATCCCCACGAAACATCTGATCGAGCCATTACTCATGCTGAATTTAGCACTTTGATCCTATTGGTAACACGTCTCATAGAATCAAGGAAATTTTTTGGGCACGCATCACTCTCCCGCTATGGCCGCGGGTAAGAAGACGAAGGCCAAAGACAAGGGCAAGGCCGCCAACAAGCAAAAGGTTAAGAAGGGCAAGACTCCAGAGAATGCAGACCAGACAACTACATCTGACACTCCTGCACCTGGCAGCCCCGAACTTCTGGCGCAGGATTCTGAAGGAAAGGATCAACCTTCTGTCGACTCAGCCTCTGGTGACCTGCCTACACCACTGCCTGTATCGGCCTACGAGGTAACCGACGACACTACTGCACCGCAAGAGATCTCGGGTGCTGCCGATAGCCAAGAAGCACCTGGTTCTGACAAGCCTGCATCCCCGCTGCCTGTCTCAGCCTATGAGGTGTTTGACGACGACGCCGCGCCCCAAGACACTTCAGCCCCTGCCGCAGATCCCGCCTCATCTGAGGTAGAGAAGCCTGCATCACCGTTGCCTGTATCGGCATACGAAGTGTTCGACGACGACACTGCCCCACAGGACACCTCGGCTACTGCCGAGAGCCAAGAAGCTCCTGCTGTTGACAAACCTGCATCTCCGTTGCCTGAATCAGCCCACGAGGTCATTGACGAAAATAACACCCCTGAAGACAGCCCCGCTGCTGCCCCAGATCCATCATCAACCTTGGCTGAGGAGCTAGAGCCTCCCGTTCCCGTATCGAACGACGTCCCAGGTGACCTTGCCGAGCCCCAAGGTGCTCTAGATACTGCCGCAGAACAACCACCAACTACAACCGAGGAGTTCCCCGAGGTAGTCACTGAGCCCGTTGAGGAACCTCCACACTTGGAAGAACCAGCCCCCGAACTGTCTCAAGTCGAGGAGACCGAGCCCCAAGTGTCTGTGGAAGAACCAAGTCCAACTGCTCCTCAAGTTGAAGAGACTGGGCACAAGGAGCCCACAGACGAAGCGAGTCTCGCCCAGCCTCAGGTAGAGGAGACTGAGCCCAAAGACCCGGCGGAAGAGCCAAGCCTTGTCCAGTCTCATCTCGAAGAAACTGAGCTCAAGGAGCTCGCGGAAGAACCAAGCCTCGCCCAACCCCAAGTCGAAGAGACTGAGACAAAGGAGCCCGTGGACGAAGCAAGTATCATTCATCCTCCAACAAACGACTCTGAAGCCAAGGAGCTGTCAGACGACCAACCACACCTGCACCAAAACACAAGTCAGGGCGACCAACCGGAACCAATTCAGGATACGACTGTGGCCCCGTCAACCCCCGCAGACCCTTTCTCTCCTGTAGCTGCCTGCGTGCCATTGCCGTCACCTTCTTTGGAAGAGGCACAGTATATGACCAGCGCTTCTCCGGACAACCAGGCATATCAACATCCAGCATCTCAGTACTCCCCTTACGCTTCACCCGTCCCCTACTCTGCACCGTATCCTTACGGCTCGCAGAACCCCTACGCTTCATCAGTACCGTACGCTGGTTCGCCGTACGGCTCACCCAATCCCTACTCTGTACCACTCCCAGAGTCGCCTGTCCCACACGGTTCGGGTTCACCTTACGCTGGTTCGCCAGTTCCTTACACATCGCCGAACTCTTACAACCCTGCTGCGGCCTACGCCGGATCCCCGGTTCCATACAGCCTGCCCGGGCCATACAACCCAACCCCATCTTACGCCGGCTCTCCAGTCCCTTATTCATTACCTGCGCCATACGCCAGCTCTCCTTACGCCTCGCCAGTACCTTACACTTCTTCACCTGTACCGAAGGTTAGCAGCCCGCTTGCGCGGTCTCATTATCCCCAAATGTCTCCGACAATGTCCCCCACCGCAACACCTCCGCCTCAGATGCCATCAATGAGCCCCATGGCCCCTCCACCGCCACCTTCCACTGCACCGAGTGTTCCGACTGCTGTGAACTCTCCAGTCATGAGCTCAGCCGGTATGATGCCGCCCTATGGGTCGTATTCTCCCCGGTACTCTCCAGAGGCCCACCAAATGCACCGGAGCTACAGCATCGCGGACCCAGCATATGCGGCGTCGTACCAAGCCCTCCAGAACCTAGGATTGAATGGCCAGATCCCCGAGAATGGACTGGCGTCTCCCCCTGACGCTGACAGTGAGCACATTGAGCTCCTCCACCGAATCCAATCGGCTATCCCGGACATCAACCGCCTTCTTCATGGATTCCGTAACACCCACAGCAAGCTCTCAAACCGTGAGGCTGAGATGAAACAAATTGGAAGCCAGCATGAACAAGCCTTGATGCACAAGGAATTTTACATTGAAGCTCTTCAGACTCAAATGAAGAAGACGGCCAGTGAAAGTGCAGCAGATGCCGCGCAATTGAAAAACACCGTCAACGAGCTTCGTCTTGAGCTGGGTAATCTCCAAGAGAAGCAAAAGGACCTCGAAGATGGCATTGCCGTTCACCAAAAGTCCAACGAAGAACTCACTCAGTCGAAATCCGAACTTGAGGGTCAGATTAACGAATTAAACGACAGCATCAAGGCCGCCCAAGAGGCCCACGAGAAAGAACTCGAGACCCAGAAAGAAGAGCAAGAGAAGGCACTTAATGCACAGAAGCAAGAACTTACCGAACTCTTCGAGGAGATCAAGGCCGAAGACGAGAAAATCGCCACTGAGAACCTCCAGGCTCGCGAGAAAGAACTTCTCGACGAACACGAAGCCAACAAAGGCGAATGGGAAAAGGAGAAATCAGAGATGCAAGCTGCATTCGAGACCCAGCGTGCCGAGCTGGAGACTAGCAAAGAAGAGCTTGCATCCAAAATCACTGCCCTAGAAGCCGAATTGGAAGCTAAAATTGCCGAGCTTAACTCAGCCCGCGAAGAGGTAGCCGCCAAGCTCGCTGAGTTGGAAGAGGCGCGAAAAGAGCTTGAGGAAGCTGGCAAGAAGCATGGCGAGGAGCTCGGACTGGCCAAGGATGGCCATGCAAGCGAGTTGGACGCGCTGCGAAAGTCTCACGATGAAACAATCGCAGCCGCTGCTAGAGCCCTTGACGACAAGATCGCGACCCTAGAAGCAACGCTCAACGATAAGGAGGAACGCTGGTCCGCCGAGCGTGGTGACCTCGAGAAGCAGCTCTCCGAGAAGGATGTTGAGCTTTCTAGCGCCGAACGCGAGAAGGAAAGACTAGAAGGCGACGGAATCGTTAAGGAACAACACCTTCAACGTGCTGTTGATGGCATGAAGTTGACCATCGACAACCTTGGCTCAGACTGCGACAGACTGAGGAAGACACTACTCAGCCTAGGCGAGGCCACCGACCTTCGAAACACCAAAGGCGATCAATTCTTGTGAGTGCGCCTTTTCAACCCCATCGACTTTATGAATTTTCCTATGACTGCTATGACTATGAATTTTGCTTTTGATCTTGCGCGAGTCATTCTGCATGTGCTTTTTGATTGAACTACAGCGAGCATGGGCATCAATTCTTATAGACTCATGTTGATAACGATAAATGGACACGATCTAATAAATCTCTTCACTCCAGCATGGACAGCTTCACAGAGCTCTCGCGATTGATCCACGACCTTTCCAAGGAGCATTTCGGCTACCTTCCCATCGACCCTCCCAAGGACATTCTTTCCAAGATCCCCTCGGAGCTCCCACCCTTCCTCGACAACACCCCGGCCTCCCGCGAGCTTCGCTGCGTCTACATCCAGCACGTTGTGTCAAAAACAATCACATACCGTGTGTTCCAGCCCTTCCTCTTCACCCTCGGCCGCCGCTACGACAAGGCCGACACCTTCTTCCAAATGTTGTCCATGGATATTCGCAAGAAATCCGTCCGCCGCGAAGCCTTCTGGAGACAACAAACCCTCAAAGCCGCATACACCACCTCCGACGCCAAACAATCCATCAACGTCGCAGCCGCAGTCATCGTCGATGAAATCATCGACCACATCAAGCACTTCGCCGACCCCAAGCACCTCGACTCCCTTCTAACCAGCGTCCGAAAGATCGTCAAGCTCGCCGCGGAAACCTGGCGCCACGCTCGCGTCGAGCGCGAGCTCGTTCTAGCTACCTTCCCCGCCCCAGATGCAGACACTGTCTCCAACGAGGGCTGGCTCGAGTACCCCGCCAACAAGGAGCAAAAGAGCGGAAGCGGAGAGCCTACTCGCCACGTTGTGTTGCGCACTTTCCCGCGCATCATCCGTGAGGCTGCGCACGAAGACTTTGTCACTGGAGAAGAGAGGGCGAATACCTGTATCTATGCACCGGGTGTTGTGCTGTACTCGGATTCGCCTGTCATTATGGATAGGTTGCAGGAATTCGCTAAGAAGTCGCCTGGTGGTCTGGACAGCCCGACATCGCCAACTAAGCCTTCCAACAGACCTATTGAGAAGCTGGCACCGCTGAATGTTTCGTCACCTCGTGTTGTGACTGTTCGATCGGCGCCTACGAGTCCGGGACCTAAGGCCCCCATTACGAGGGCATGATGATGAGTTATTGTTTTTATGAACTCGATGTGTTGTTCCACTAGCGACTGAGCCATTCTTTTGTACTGCGATTTCTTTTGTTTTTCTATTTTGTTTTTTTGTGCTTTCTTTTTCTCAAACTGTGTAAGATTTCAATTCACTTCACATGTATTTCATTTGAAATTACAGTTATCTGCTTCGTAGCCATTTGCGTTTGAAAGGTTTCCCCTGATCAATATGTCAAGACTAGAGGGTCTCATTAAGACTGGAGAGAAGAGAAAATAGAGTCAATGTGAGAGAAAATGTTACCATCGCCGAGGTTGCAGTAGAACTGCCGAATTTAATACCGACTTTCTCGTAGCTTCATCCTCAATCAGCCCTAAGTCCACAAGTGGAATTATCCCCCACAACCTGGGAAAGACGGACCTGATTCGCCCCCGCCTCTGTTTGCCGATGAAATGCTAAGACTTCACCTTCCCCACGATTTGTGACCCTGCCGATCTTCCCAGAGTTGGGATTGAGGCGTGAAATGAGAGCACTGAAACACTGACAGGCGTGGTCTTTTCAATGGGTGACGATCTTGTAGAAGTGAGCTACACCCAAAGCACGAAATAGCAGTGACAACTCCGGGGGAAAAAAACCGTCTTCTTCTTCCGGCAGCGGTGATTATGCGGCGGTATGCGCTCGGCCCCGTCGAATCCAAGCTATGTACAGACGTAGATTGCCGATGTGTGGGGTTTTGCTCGCTCTCCAGAATATCCGAAAGAGGCAACTCGAACGAGAGACAAGTCTGCAAACCCCGAAGCTTAGATGTAATGTATTCTGCTTGGCCAAATGCTGTCGCTACAACTTTGAATGTGATCTCACGGATTTTCTGAGGCACTCCGGAGCGTTCTAGATATACACACCCGGGGGGGAGGCGAGAGGGATAGATTGGATACCCTTTTCAATCCATGGTATGTTTACACACGTAATTCTCCGTACGTAGTGACTATGTAGGTACGGATTACGGAGTGATGTGGGGAGAGGGAAGGTTGGCGAGCGCTTCTACCTTTACTCGGTGGTCCCCGAGCGACGAGCTACCGGATCGTGGCTTGTATCTGATTTGCCGAGTAAAGCCAGCCTGGTGGCTTTTTGGAGATCATAACTACCTACATAGGTAGATAGTGCGGAGATAGACAGTACCACAACTACCGTTGTCGAAGAACATAGTGACAACAGACCTGGGAAAAGGTATAAATGTGATGACCCCCAGCTAGACGAAACCCACTACAGAACAACATCCCAAACAGAGCATTGGCTGCTCTTGGACACAAAGATGACTCGACCAACGATGCGTTATATAGCACAAGCATTCACCATCTTGGCAAGCTTCTCAGGCCTTGTGGAGTCTGCAGATGAAGCTCTATGGCCGCTTCAAAGCTTCAAGAGCTCACCTATCCAAGCTCCCTTTTTGAACGTCACCAAAATGGACCAGACGGAGCCGGGGTATCTCTTCTTCTCGCCGCATGACAAACTCCGAGAGACCGGACACCCGGTGATATACTCAGATGACGGCCAACTCGTATGGCAAGGCAACCCAGGAAACTACTCAGCAGTCCAACCGCAGATGCTGAATGGGGAGCCCGTGATAGCCTACTGGTCCGGATATTCAGGCGCAGGCTTTGGGTTTGGAGCGATCACAATCCTAAACAGCTCGTACGATGAGATCCACCGCGTAACGCTGGACTGCAAGAAAGAAGGATTTGTGACTGTGTTTGACCCACTGGAAGTTGATTCGTGTATTGATATTCACGAAAGTCAGCTCACGGACAATGGAACCATCCTCGTGACGGCTGTCAATGTCACACAGGCCGATCTGAGCGCTATTGGTGGTCCCAAGGATGGCTGGGTGCAAGATGCCCTTGTGTATGAGATCGATCTGGTCACGAATGACATCCTCTTCCGCTGGAGTACCTACGAGAATAATCACCAGGTCGCTATCACCAATACCCGAGTACCTTTGGAAGGCGCTGGCGCAAACAAGTCGGACCCATACGAATACCCTCACCTCAACTCTGTTTACAAGTATGGGGACTCATACCTTGTTTCATCACGATTCATGTGTAGTCTCTTCTTCATTGATTCCAGCGGTTTAGTCAAGTGGCACCTCCATGTAAGTCGACACTCCAATCCGGACAAATTGGTACATGTCGCATATCTAACAAATGCCAGGGTCGGACCGGTGGTGATTTCCAGCTAGGTCTCGGAACGAGTTTCTGCTACCAGCACGATGCACGTTTCATTTCACAAAGCGAAGAGCGAGTGACGATCAGCCTGCATAACAATGATAACACCGACTTCACGGGCCGCACATCCCTGACAACGGGTCTTATCATAGACGTGGAGCTCCAAGGGTCGAGGCAAGTGACTTTGAAGAGTCGTATGTGGGATGCTGCTGAGCCGGTGTTCGCAGTGTCGCAGGGCAGCTACCAATCACTTGGAAACGGACACAGCTTGCAGAATCATGGTGCGACTCCAAAGATCGAGGAGTATGACAAGGCCGGAGCTGTTGTGATGCGTGCTCGCTTTGGCTACGACAACACTATGCAGACATATCGCACATATCGTTTCCCATGGGTTGGCCGGCCATCCACCAAGCCCTCTGTCGTGGCTTGTTCTGAAAGTGACGGGAAGACGGTCGTTTACGTTAGTTGGAACGGGGCAAGTGACGTCCAGGCCTGGAAGGTCCGCTCCAAAACAGCGGGAGAAAAAACCGCTGTGCATAATGGATTTGAGACAAGAATTGTGGTGGAGGGTCTGGCCAACAGCGACTCAATTGTAGTCGAGGCTCTTGGTGGCGTTGGCGATGGAGTGGCTTCGGATTCTATCACGATTGAACAGTGCTAGAGTAAAGTCAGATCCTCCTGGGGTCTTTTAATTGTCTGTCCAGTCGAACCCATTTCAAGCAATTTTGACGAGCCAAGAAAGCCCAGTCGGCCATTAGATGTGGCTTCCAGGTCCATCTTGTTCCAGTGTATTCCTAAAACCTTCCAAGGTTGTTCAATAGCGTCGCGGAAATGACGGATCCATTCGAAGTGTTAGTTATATTCAGATATTGAAAGGCAAAGATTGGTAAATGTAAACATGGCAAAACGCTCGCAGAATGGTTTATCACAAAAAGCCGACTCTCTTCACAGGTTGCCATTTGCAAAAGAAGGAGATCTGCCATGGTGGTCATAAACAGTACCTATGCATGTAAGGGTATCAGCAAACGGGATTATTATAATTTGGCCTCGGTACCAATGGCATTTCGACGCATTTGCCGGGACGAAACATCAGCGGGGGCCGGAGCAGCAGCATTTTTGAACAATTGGCGTCCAACGTGATCAGACATAGCGAGAACGCGGGAGGAAACAGTTGCGCCATCTCGACGGTTTTTGCTGTTCGGAGTCAGTAATCAGGTAGTGAAATAAGGGTTCAGAATTGAACACTTACCCTTCACGGCGTGATTGTGCAATCAGTTCGGTGAAGTCCCAAAGCCGCCCACCTTCCAAAACCTTTCCGGTGCCAGGGTCACGCTGCGGGGCCCATTCAGGAGCGAGTCGAAGGGATGCACCGGCTTTCAGTTCCTTGTTCTTCGCAACCAGAATGATACCCTCTTCTTCGAATCTCTGATAAGAGTTCTTGAGGGTTTCCTTGTTGACAGCTTCAAAGTAGGAGAGATCTCCTTGGTGATATAACGTTTTACCCAGCTGCACATGTTAGTAACTTCCACTTAGGAATGCAAGGCGAGACAACTTACTACTTGAGCACTGTCCTGTGCTTTCTTGGAATCAATCCAAACATCACTTGGTCCGTCCAAAGGTGGCGTCAGTCCAAGTAGAGACACAGCCCCCAACCAGCTCGCTTCTAGGAAAGGCCAGATCAGGAAGCAATAGAAGTCATAGTTTTCGCGGCCACAGAGTCGTTCGGCTTCACTCAATTCGATGTAAAGCGGTGTGAATGAAGAATTTCGCGTGATCTTGATGACATCGTCCTTCTCCAGATCCCCCAAAGTTCTCTCGAAATTGCTAGCGAGACCTTCGGGTGGGAAAATAAATTCACCACGGAAAAGCTGAGACAGGAAGGAGACCTGGCTCTTCAGCTCCTCGAATGTAATTCTCTGGTGGGCAGGTCCTCCGCCTTGCTTGATCTTGGTATACATTGCCACAGAAACAAGCGCCTCGGTTATGAAAAGGTGAATGAGCATGTTGCGATAGAACGAAAGCTGGAAACGATCCACGGCATAATAAGTTGACTCGACCAGCCCAGAAATCTCCCCGACGAGTTTAGGTCCCAGGACCTCGAGCGCACGATCAACCACGAGCTCTGTGGGCGAACGGTAGAAATGGGCGACCCTGCCACCTTTAGCTCGGACTCGCTCGCAAAGCCAGTCGAGCCGGCGGCATAGTTCGCCCTTGCCTACACCGCGACCACGCAAGGTCAAAAGAACGGTTCCCACAAGAGCCGTAGGCATCATCACAGAGACATCATTGATCTCCGATAACACTCGATAACCAAAGGTGCGAAGAATACGACCTCGATCAGCGTAGCTTAGCTTGGTATTGAGGTCGGCGTTGGGGTGATCCAGACGCGTAAGTTGTTGGCCAATGAACTCTCGAAGGCTCCATGGCTCATGGAACCGAACATCGACACGGCCCAGCTTCAGAGATAGGACAGATGAGGAGGAAAGAAGATCGGCCAGGTTTTCCTTGGCCTTTGGTTGGCCGAGAAGCTCACTGATGTATGATCTGGAAGGACATTAGTGACAACTCGCAGGTCAAAACTTAGGACGGGGGAGCATACTCGGTTTCGATGACCTTGTCATATTGTGTGCTGACGGGACAGATGACGGTATCCTCAACCCGACCAGATAACAAACTATCCATGATGAAACTCAAGATTCCGAACTTGGGGGAAAGAAGTTTGCCGGTCCTGGAGCGACCGCCCTCAATAAAGCACTCGAAGTTGAATCCTTGCTGTAGTAATGTGTCAATGTATGCTTGCACCACGGTATTATACAATGGGTCGTTTCCGAAGCTGCGCCGAATCCACATAGCGCCCGCGTGCTGTAGGAAAGGACCTAACAGCGGGATGTTTAAGTTATCGCCAGCGACAACAACTGGAAGAGCAATTCCGAGCCGATAGCAGATGAGCTGCAGCGAAACATAGTCCACATGCGATTTGTGGCAGGGCAAGAAGACAATTGACTGTTTCTTCTTGGCAGCTGTCTCAGCTACGGCTCTTAGACGAAGAACTTCCTCGCTAGAGACATGAATGCCTATGACTGGTCAACTTTGGCCAGTGAAGAATACCCAATAGGAACTTACCTTGATGGTAAGCGCGGGTCAACATCTGTGTGCACATATAATACGCTCCCCGGATAAACCTTTTGCTCTCCATCTTGCAGATCATTTTGTCCATCATCGTATCCACAACCTCTAGAAGATTGCCTTCAATCTCGGTTCTGCGACGCGCACGCTTATCATCCATTGTGGCGCCTTCTTTGATAGCCAATAACCCCTCTTTTTCTTCGACCGTCAGCCTTCCCTTGGCTAGTTCCGAGATCTTGTCTTGCAATAACGGGCTGTCCAATATCGAGTTCTTCATTCTTTCAGAAAATCCAGAGTAGAAGATCGGTTGGCCGATCACATCGTCGTATGCGCGCCAGCCGGTGCCAGACATGTACAAGCTCACTTCGCGGAGGAAATCAAAGGGGTTCTCGCGAAATCGCGCCATGTGGCGTACGAGGTTGCGCTCGGTGATTTCATCTTGTGTTTCGGGGCCTCCTGTAAAGCCTGAGGGGTGGATGGTCAATTGATTGCCGACGATCTCCAAGTCGGGTGCAGAGTGGTCATCGACCATAGCCGGTTTGGAAGGTGGCATGTTGAAGCGATCGGGATCCTTCTCAGATCATAGGGCAGATGATGAACCAAGGAAGAGGAGGGTGAGGAGTCTGCCACATATTCCCAAGCTCCCAACAAACCGGGAGATCGCCCCCGGATATTCACAGGCTTTCCCCAGAGTCGAGCCGAGGTGCAGGTCACGTGTGGCAACGCCTTGCGCATTGCATGTCATGTTCCTGAACCTGGAGTAACGAATGGGAAATTTAATATGAATGTACAGTCCGCGCATGCTATTGCGTGAAATGGGCATTTGATTATAGAACGCAGTCTTAACCAGTCGCAAAGCGTACAGAGTAAACTGCACATCCATGCGCCGACTGACTAAAGCGACCCGGTGGAGTCAACGGTTTCGGAGCTTCAGCCCACCTTATCTTTCCTCAATCCACTGTGGCACCATGTCTCGTTTGGTGAATGGCGTCAAGTCGTTCTCGAGTATGTTTCTTCGACCATTTCTTTCTATATGAGCTCACCCTATCTCAGCGACTGCTTCCTCCCTACTTGCCGATGCGACCGCTCCCACTGCCCGCTCCTCCTTCCAAGTCTTTCGTGATGTGCCCTCAATCCGGGGTCTGCGGCGCCAATTGCTGCAGAAAGACAGGACCGTAGGCTTCGTGCCTACCATGGGTGCCCTGCACGAGGGTCACCTTTCCCTGATCCGACAAGCTGCCCGCGAAAACACCGACATCTTCGTCAGCATTTTCGTCAACCCTACACAATTCGGCGTTACCGAAGATCTCTCGAGCTATCCCCGCACCTGGGATTCTGATGTCGCGAAGCTGGAACAATTGAACGAGGAATTGGCTCGTTTGGGAGAGAACAGTGCAAGCGCCGGGCGCATTACTGCTCTTTTCGCCCCCACCTCGAAGGCCATGTACCCCGGGTCGCCTCCATCGTCGGAGGTGAATGGTGACGGCTCCTTTGTCACCATCACCCCTCTCGCTGGAAAATTGGAAGGCGGTTCTCGTCCCGTGTTTTTCCGTGGCGTGGCGACTGTCTGCATGAAATTGTTCAACATCACCACCCCTGACCGTGTCTACTTTGGCCAGAAGGACGTTCAGCAGACTGTAGTCATCAAGCGCATGGTCGAGGACTTCCACGTTGGCAGTGAGGTTCGAATTGTTGAAACAGCACGAGAGCATGATGGCCTGGCGTTAAGCTCGCGAAACGTCTACTTGGGTGACCGCAGACGAACCGTTGGTCTCACGATTTACAAAGCACTCAAGGCCGCCGAGGATCAATATGCTGCTGGCAAGACTAGCCGAGCGGATATTCTTGGAGCTGCGCAGACTCTTGCAACGTCTGTTCTCGCTGAGCAGCAAGACCTCTCGCCGTCTGAGCGCGCAATCTACGAGGTCGACTACATTTCTCTCGCAGACCCTGATACCCTCGACGAAGTCGACATTGTCGATCCGAGTAGGGGTGCCATTTTGAGTACCGCATTTAAAATGGCACCACTGGAAGAATCTAAGCCAGGCGAGGACTGTGGCCTGGGCGATGGCAAGGTCCCCGTTCGATTGATTGACAACCTGATCTTGCATCCCCGTGCCTAGCACCAGTACATTGCCAACTCTCAGTGTCTTAGCGTGTCAAAAACAATTACATAGAACCCCCAAAAGCAGATAGACATACAAACCAATTTCCCCGAGTGCAGTGTAAACAACCCGGAGTGGAGCCAATGGATTAAAGGAAGTCTTGGCGCCGAAAAAAAGTCTCCAAAGGTTCGATCGCCGAAACCAAAAAAAAAACCAACCACCTCCGCTTCCCACATTCTTCAAAATGGCCGACGATGGCATGCTCATGAACTTCAGCATTGCTGACAGTGTCATCAAGCCCGAAGCCAAGTTCAAAGGAGGCACATGGAGAGACAGACTCGTTGCGAAAAAGCGCTCATCCCACCGCGGCTCAGAAAACGGACCCAAAGATGCAGCCGCGCGCAATGCGGCATCGAAAAACCCAAACCAAATTCAACTCGGTGACCGCCCCGCCAAACGACAGCGAACAGACGACTCTTCCCAGCGCCCTCAGCGCTCTGGAGACCGACGCCCGCACCAACATCCACGAGAGAAGGATCCCCGCCACTTCGTTTCTTCTCTATTCACCAGCAACCCGGAAGCACAAAATGCCGAAGAGCCCAAACAGGAGGGAGAAGTTGAGGAGGCGAAGCCGACCAATGCGCCATTGATCGATGGGCTTGATACGTTCACGAACTTGGGATTGTCACCCAACCTTGCGGCGCACCTGCTCACGAAGCTGGAGCTGAAGGCGCCGACCGCCATTCAGAAAAGCTCAATCTCACAACTGTTGAAGGAAGAGAGTGATGCTTTCATTCAGGCCGAAACTGGTTCCGGAAAGACGTTGGCGTATCTCCTCCCGCTGGTTCAACGAATTATGGATCTGTCAAAAGCGACCAAGGAACACAACGATAACCAAGTTCATCGCGATAGCGGACTGTTCGCGATCATCCTGGCACCTACTCGTGAACTTTGCAAGCAGATTTCCGTCGTGTTGGAGAACATCCTGCGCTGTGCGAACTGGCTTGTCTGTGGAACGGTGATTGGTGGAGAGAAGAAGAAGTCCGAAAAAGCACGTTTGAGGAAGGGCTTGAATATTCTTGTCGCAACACCCGGTCGACTGGTGGATCATCTGGACAACACGGAAGCATTGGATGTCAGCAATGTCCGTTGGCTCGTGCTTGACGAGGGAGATCGCCTGATGGATATGGGCTTCGAGGAGGAACTGCAGGGCATTGTCGGCAAGCTCGATGCCAGGCAACGGCCGAGCCGGGTGCCCGGTGTCCCAACACGCCGAACAACTGTCCTCTGTTCGGCTACGCTGAAGATGAATGTTCAGAAGTTGGGTGAAATCAGTTTGAAGGACGCCGTCCACATCAAGGCCGACCCAAGCGACGAGGAAGAGAAGTCCGAAAAGGAGGATGACGAGGCATTCCGTGTCCCAGCGCAGCTCAAGCAGTCTTACGCGATCGTACCGGCCAAACTGCGACTCGTCTCATTAACAGCCTACTTGAAGAGAACGTTTATGCGAAAAGGATCAGTGATGAAGGCTATTGTATTCATGTCTTGCGCCGATGTGGTTGATTTCCACTTCGAGCTCTTTTCACGGAATCAAGACCGCGAACAGCAAAGAAAGCTTGAAAGAGAGCAAAGAGAAAAGGAGGGCAAACCCGAAGAGGAAAAGGAAGAGAAGCCAGACGAGAAAGAGGAGCTGTCACCCCATGGAACTATTGCTCCTGGCAGAGCCTTTTCGACACCAAACAACCCCGTCATTCTGCACAGACTTCACGGTTCTCTCCCCCAGAACGTTCGAACTGCCACCCTTGGCTCCTTTGCGCGCAGCACCGAAGCCTGCGTGATGATCTGTACTGATGTTGCTTCGCGTGGTCTCGATCTGCCCAACGTGGACCTGGTCGTGGAGTACGACCCAGCATTCAGCTCCGACGACCACACTCATCGTATCGGTCGAACCGCCCGTGTTGGTCGCGACGGTCGAGCCCTCATTTTCCTCCAGCCCGGCTGCGAGGAGAACTATGTCCAAGTCCTCAAGCGTGGCTACCGCGATGGCGGCAAGGCGCTCACCCGCACCGATGCGAACGAAATCATCAAGCGCGGCTTCGGGAGTAACGAATCCGGGAAGAAGAACTGGGAAGAGAAGACCACCGACTGGCAGATGGATGTTGAGCGTTGGGCCCTGGATAACCCACAGTACTTGGAGATGGCCCGTCGGGCCTTCCAATCCCATGTTCGCGCCTACGCGACTCATACCGCCGCCGAGCGGAGCATGTTCAATATCAAGGAGCTCCACCTTGGTCATTTGGCCAAGAGTTTCGCCCTGCGTGATCGGCCCGGCAAGATCAATGTCCCCGGTCTGCGTCCTGGACAGGAAGATAGCAGGAAGGACTTTAAGGCTGCGCGTAATGGTGCGGGTAGCAAGAGAAAGGCTGCTCCTGCTGATGATGCTGCGCCGGGTGCCTTGCCTACGGACGATGCTGCTCGCAGAATGAGAGCCAAATTGAAGGAGCAAATGGCTGGCGCCAGCGAGTTCAACTTGGCTTGATCTTTTGTTGGTGAACTCGTGTCAAAAGGTAGAAAAAATGGTTGTATGGTTGTTTTATAGCATTAGCATTTATCTCAATAGATATCCCATAATGAAATTTTCCCATCTTTGGATCCAGCTGCTAGCCAATGAGTTTGCTGTGCTTTCTGGTTGCGCTGTTCTTGAACAGTTGCGAGAGAATAGTCACGTTCGGCCGCTGGTTGTTCTATCCCATCCTGAGAGCTCTGACCCGTCGGATTGATGTTGGTTGAGAGTGCTGAAGGTGCATCTAAAATATTGCCAAATGTCACAGTATAACATCCGTCTTTATGCCACTTGAGCACAGCAAGTTCCTTCATCGTTTTGCTGGAATATACTCGGGTCCTACTGTCCCAGCCAGCAGTGGCAAATATCTTGCCATCAGACCGAATCCGCAACCCTTGCTGGCCCGAATGTTTGGTGTTGACAACTTTAAGAGGTGATTCTTCCTTGTAGCCAGCGGTAGGGACGTAGCCAGTCTGGCCTGCACTTGGAATAGGATGTTTGACAAGCAAGGCATCTGCCGAAGACGAAATGAAATATTCAAGGGAGGGTGAGAAGTCCAAAGAAAGGACTGGCTGCGAATGAGGTTGACAAGCATAAAGCCTATCCCACTTCAAAGGATTCTTGGCTATGTTTTCACGCTCGAAAGCGGCGGATTCGAGAGTCCTTCGTTGATGAAAGACCATGACATGTCCATCCTCGTATGCAGAAGCAACATAGAAATCTCCAGCAGCAGCCACGAAGAGATTCACAGCCATTAGCATCCCGGTTTTTGTTGTTTCATCGGAGGGGATAGTGCTGATCCGACGCTCAGACGGCAGATGAAAGATATCAATACCGCCGGAGTCCAGGGCATTGGGAACCGCAAACAGTGTAGCTTCGGGTTTTTGTGCTTGGGTCGAAGAGCCAGGCAAGCCATCCGAATTAAGAAATACCATTGAAAAAGCACAAAAGTTGAGCGCATTCACAGGCAGAGAATGAAGCAACCAAGGCTGAGTCTTGCCTGCCTGCTCATCCTCACCTGCATCGACTGGGAGAGCTTTCTCAAGTAAAGGTTCATCCTCGACCCGAATTTTCCAAATACATAGCTTGTGATCGCGTCCATGTCTGTCGTGCTGATCAGTATCAAGAAGTTACGGGGAAATGGTGAGATAAGTACGTATAGATCTCGGTCACGCCAGAGCCGAGTTTGAACCCCTTCACTTCCAACACGGCCCCTGCGTGTGCTTTCCATGCTGCCACCGGTCGCTTAGTTACCAGGTCCCAAACGACGATCCATCCGTTGGCGTCGCCGGATATCAGACGTAGGTTTTGGTTGTAGATGTGTAGTGCGTGAATTGGGGCGTTGTGTCCACGCAAAATGTAAACTGGAGTGGCTGCAGATTGAGCCTGATTTGATCGAGTTTCCATTCTAGTATACAAGCTGTGAACAAAGGTTTTTCGTGTCGATGAGCTGGTTGCTCAACGGATATGGTGCGGAATTGCCCGCTCACACCGCCATCACTATACTGTCCAGGCCTGTCTTGGGTTGAATGAGAGGAGCACTCAAATGGAAAAATTCGAGGTCTGCTTGCTAAACAATTTCAAACCTCTGGGGTTCAAATCTTTACAAGCTCAACTTTTCTTGCGATCATTTCAAGCAATGATGCCTGAAACTTCAATGTTTGGATGTGGGGACTACCAAATCTACTCGTGCGATGCGCTTTTATATATCGATGTGCAGAACTTCAAGGTTGGAGCGTGGTTTGAAACGTACAACGCCAATGAAAATTTGCGAATTGGGTATAGGTTTGAGAATACACCTGGGCATGGATCCCTAGCCACTGAAATAGGTATCCCCAGGGTCCAACCTGGAGATCAACCCAAAAAAAAGACCATATCGCCCCTTGAGAAATTCCATCCCCAGGGTGCTGATGCAGCCAGATCAAATCATATAGGCACCTAAGTGGTACTGATTAAGCGCGTGGTGGTGATGCGGCGGCACATAGAATCCCTGGTATGGATGGTTCTCCATCGAAAAGTCCCCAGTATCCAAGAGAGGATTATTTAGGTTTGCAGATTCAGGCATTGCCAATGAAGGATCAAGCGCGTAGAAGTTGTGATGCATATCCGAAGGGACCACGGTGTGTGGATGGGCATGAACCCAGCTCCAAACTTGCTTTAGGTCCTCCCTAATGGGGTCGGTGCTGCTACCAGTAATTTTGGTCATAGCGTCCAGAAGATCGAGGGCTTCGTGCTGTGCTTCTGGTGCTTCTAAGCACTCTGCAGCGATGACAAGACAGTGAATTGCTATGTCGGCGATACCCCTGGAGAGACAGTCAGCGGCCAGTAAAGAGGGTGAACTTGCGAATATGATTTTACTGACCGATCTTTGGCATGGGCAACAAGGCCACAGAGGTCATGTGCATGGGTGTGCCGCAGCTTTTGCATCTCATCATTAAGGTCTGACTGGAGAGGGTGCGTATTCGCCAACAAAATACGAGTTATATGATAAATCAAGCGAGCGATGATGGCAGATCGGTTGGTAAGCCTGTCTGGTCAGCTGGTGATAGATAATTCGGAGAAGATGCAATTGTGAACGTACCAGACTTCCGGAAATACCGATTTTGATTTGGTTTGCCATGGCTGTAGATAAGCGAGGGGGATGAGGGACCGGGGTATGGACTTTTCCCATTGATCACACCACCTGCTGTAGAGAGCCCATTCCTGGAATAAACTATTGAGCTGAGATGCTGGTGGCATATCGTCGTACAGAGCTCGAGACTGGTGTAAGGAGGTTCGCAGCATCAGTACTTTGGCGCAAATGTATAGAATTCGATGATGCCATAAGTCATGATTGCCACCGATGCTGGCCTGCACGTTCTCCATGTCTATATCAACTCCCCAAGTGTCTGGGTTCCAAGACAATGCCCAATCATAACGCACGCAACTGAGGAGCTCTGCGCTCATACTGATTCGGAAACATGCTCCACCAAGACCTGGTGTTTTCGCAGTCCACCCGCATTCTCGAATCAAAGCCCGCGAGCCTGCAATGTGATCTTCCCAGCGCATGGAGTGAGGTGACATGGATGCAGTGAAACCGAGAACCAAAGCAACCGTAGCGCATAAAACAGAATCACGACTGGGGTCGTGGACTGCGCTCAAAAGGGCCTCAGTAGCGTCTTGAGAAAAAGCCAATGCCAACTCAACCGACCAAGAAGGGTCATGCAGGGAACGGTATTTTGCACCGCTTGCCACAAATGCCTTCAGGAGTAAAGGCTCACTCATAGAAAGGCTGGGAAGGACTTGGGAGAACTGTTTGCTGTTAGCTATATGGAGGCCATATCCCAGATTGATCTACCAACATGATGCATTTCGTCCATTGCGTCCATACGAGGCGCTATCTCTTCCACGAAAGTCCGTAGGCAACATACGGAGTCGGAATCCATGAGAGATTGATGTGACTCTTGCTTGTCTGCGAGCTTACGCGCGAAATTAGATGTTCCGTGTGGAAGAAGTTCATCCCCAGGCACCAGATGGGACTGATGCCAAGTGTCGGTCTCAACGAGCCCTGCTGTAGGATGGGGGACATCAAACCCCAGCGGATCAAACGAATGCGCAACGGATTGGAAGATACTCGTTAAATCATCAGGTCCAATAGTGTCCAGGTCATGATTAAGCTGACCATTTTCCTCCACGGGGCTTTCAGGCTGTATCGGAGGATATATCTCGAAGCCACCTACATACAGCGATGCAATCGAACGTGAATCATCTTTGAATGTAATCTTCGAGCCGTCTGGTCGAGCTATCAGGTGGGGAGGAGCCACCGCTTGAGTGTCGATGAAATTTAGGCGGACACCACGCCGACAGACACGGTCTGATTTGCGACAATTCAAGCACCTCCCCACAGCTTCATCGCACTTCAAATGCCGTTGGCGACATGTAAAACACCCTGTGCGCGACCTCCTGGCTTTGGTATCGGATATGTCTGTGGCTTTCTTGCGACCGGCGCGAGAACGGGGCGGAGTTTGCGAATCGCTTGACTGGCTTTTGGGTGTTGAGGTCGTTGTTTCAACCCGGGCAGCCTCCGGTTGCGACTTTGCGGAATTTCGGAGGTTCATTGCGACTTGGGGTAATGGGGTCGGAGTGGGGGTTTATATGTGAACCGAGCTCTAATCGCCAGCGCCGACTGGAGTCCGAATCGATGGAGGTATTCCGAATGCACAAAATACTGTTGTAATTTCCCGAATGGCCATGTTCGGTATTGATAGTGTCGATGAGGTCAGGAATGTTGGGGTAGGGAGTTGTGCTTGCGAGATCGCGATGAGATCGCGATGATCCTACCGGTGCGGGGAGGCAAGCAGGGATCGGCAAATATATCTGTGCAGGGGTCAGCTGAGAATGATTCACTGAAGCCTTTGGAGCAGGTGAATCTACCCCTTTCTTGGCTGCAGGTTTGCCACGAAGTCGCAATGCGAGGTTGATGAGAGAAAAAAGGTGGATCCCGCCAAGATCGCCGATACGAGTATAAAATCCGCCTCTAACGGCTTGGAAGCTTTGATACATCGGGGTATATTTGATTTTCCTAGGTGTACCTCGGATAATATATGAAAATGCACCTGGCATGCTACCGTACTCACGTCCTCCATCTGTCTCTCAAACCAACTTTTAAAACGCGGGCGAAATGTACATGTAGCCCAAGAGGTCCTCTATTCCTTTCTTCTCAAACGCGGCAAACGGATTCGACACATGCATATCAAGACAATGATTGCCCAGAATGCCGCCGAGAGGAATGTCATTCGCAGAGCATCGGCGTATGAGCGGGTGACTGGAAATGATTGTTAGCAAAGCTGAAGTGTGAGGAGCGAAGGGACGAGACATGCCTTCGAGCCGATGGACAGGATCCAGCTGAGAGATGCTATGGACAGATTTGCGGACAAGCGCAATGATGTGATCTCTCTCAACACCAGTGACATTCTTGTTGAGATGATATATGAGAGCGTTTTGGAAGATCCAACTACTCACGGCAACGCCCATGACAGAGCCTAGGCTGCGCCACAAACCAAGTGTGGTGGTTGCAACAGCCTGGTCTTCTTGTTTACTGGTGGCCAGAATAGATACCATCAGGCTCGGGAATGCAAAGCCTTGACCTAGGCTTGAGAACGAAATGCACATCATTGCAATGGGATGAGAGGTGTCTATCCCCATTGAAGCAGCAGCAAATCCACCTACTACCATGCTGCATACACCGATGAGAACAAACGGTTGAAGGCGCCTGGTAGAATTGATCAAGAAACCAGTGGCTACACTGGAGCAAGTGATGGCGATAGACGAGGCAACAAGCCGTAGACCAGAAGTAGTGGGTGAAGTCAATTTCACGGCTTGAAAATACAGCGGAGCGTTAAAAACCACGGTATTGATCGAAACCGCAGCAAAGAAGCTGCCGAATATGATACTGGCTCGGGGGTTCGTTGTAAGAAGTTCGATCGGCATGACAGGGCGTTGGACGTGTGGTTCATAGCGCACAAAGATAACAGCCAGGACAAAGGATAGCGACAACGAGACAAGAATGAGTGGATGACCCCAGGGGAGAACGTTTCCTCCCAAGTTCAGCCCTAAGATCAAGAGAGTGACAGAGGTAATCAAAATGAATGATCCCAAGATATCGATGCTTCTGATCAACTGGGAAATTTTCATGTGCTCTGTTCCAACAGTCTTGCGCCCTAGGCCGACCGGAACTGTCCAAGCAGCTGCGATGAAGTAGATGAAAATGAAAGGGAGCTGAATGAAGAATGCTCCACGCCAGCCAATGTGATCACACAGATAGCCTCCAAACGCAAGTCCGATGCTGCCTCCAGCACCAAGGCAAAGATTGATGTATGATTGGTAAATTCCACGATACTCTAGTCGAACCAAGTCACTGGATATGATCTGGCCGATAGAGAATACGCCTCCGGCACCGAGTCCGCAAAGCGCCCGAGCCGCAATGAAGTCTCCGATGTTCCGAGCCAAGCCACACCCGGCCGTCGTGAAAAAGAACATTGCGATCGAGAAGAGATAAACTGGCTTTCGACCGAAGGCGTCGGAGACTCGACCGAAAAGAGGCATGAACGCGGTCGAGGTCAACAAGAAGGCTGTTGACAGCCATGATGCTGAGTTTGCTGCGTTGAAGTAGGATGTGATTACCGGGTGACTGGAAGCCATGAGAGTCGAATCAAAGAAGCCGATCATATAGCCAACCAAAATCCCACTGAATATGATCCAGAATTGAGTGGGCGTCACATCATTGAACCGAGCTGCATAATCGTCCGCCTTCAAATCATGTTCAGCGGCATTTGAAGCGCGTCTTTCGAGAGTAGGCGTAAACTCAAGCCCCCCGGATACAGAGCTCGCACTGGACAAGACGGGAAGATGCTCATCTTCATCCTTATGGGAAGAGGCTGTTTCCACATCATAGTTGTCGGGCTGACCGAGGAGGGGAGTGACTTCGGAGGCGTCCAGATGATTGGATCGCCTGTCGATCGACATTGTCAAGGAATGCGATCCTGTCAAATTGACTTCTGTCAAAAATGTCCAAGCTTCCAAGCCCGTTCAAGAAAAAAAAAATGTTTTGAATCCTGTGAGCACGAAATATCTACAGGAAATGTCGCAAGCTAAGCTTCCGATGGCAAAACGAGCGGTGACACATTGCCGAGAGTTGAATCAGCCTGCTGGTATGCACGGGGGCTTAGTTCAATGCACCGTCAACATATACACTGCACCACGCAGATCGAAGAGTTGAAGGCCCTGGACCCTTCCCTGGTTCCCCTCCAAGGTTTCCGCTTTCGGATATTTGTCATCCCGATCTCGGGATCTCGCGATAACGATAAGGTGTGGGCCCTGCCCAGGTGCCCAGGTGCCTCTCTACTGGCTCACTCTCATGCCTACATTTGTACGGAGTATGAGCGCTTCAATATGCCGCTACGGATCGCCATCTTAACATGCGACACCCCTGTCCCCGAGGCCAACCGACCCTATAATGGGTATGGCGGCATTTTCACGTCGCTGCTGGAATCCAGCGCCACAGCGAGCGGTCTGGATCCGCGTGATCTTGAAATCACCGTATTTGACATCGTCGATGGCAGTCATTATCCAAAGCTGGAGGACATCGATGCTATCCTCATGACTGGATCAAGTGCGTATTGGCTTAGGGACCTCTGTACTTGTGCTAATACTGCAACAGAGTACAACTCCTATGATGACACCCCATGGATTTTACGCTTGCTGGAGTATACCAAGAAAGTTTTAGCACAGGACCGGGTTCGGATACTCGGAATTTGCTTTGGTCATCAAATCTTGGGACGTGCTTTGGGCACTAAGGTAGGACGAAGCGATCAGGGCTGGGAGGTTTCCGTGTGTGACATGGACTTGACAGAGAAGGGAAAAGAGGTGTTTGGTCGGGACAAAATTGTATGTTCTTCAGTACTTGGCTTTGGGTGACCAATGTCACATCTGATGATAGCTTGGGAGACCTGGGAGCCCTGGAGAGGCCCATTGCTGACTTGACATACGAACAGCGGATCCAGCAAATGCACCAGGATATCGTCTTCTCGGTTCCCCCGAATGTGATCTCGCTGGGATCTTCCCCTCGATGTGAGGTGCAGGGCATGTATGCGGCTCGCCGTTTCATCACAGTGCAGGGGCATTCCGAATACAATGAAGCTATTGTAAAAGAGATTGTAAACATTCGGACCCGGGCGGGAGTATTCAAAGCCGAGTTCGCGCAAGATGCTCTTGATAGAGCTGGAAAGGACCACGATGGCCTGGGAATTGCCACCGTTTTCCTCAAGTTCCTACTGGAGGAATAAAAGCAGGAACACGTACTGTGAAACACGGATGTGATGCATTTGAAGAGTCATATCCGGGGTGGTTCCTGTTCGGCTTTGCTGGTGAGCACGAGAGCTGCGTGACATTCTATAGACCGGGTGTGCAGATCCAGCATGATGGATACATCTCCGTTTAGATTTATTTTTTTAAGGTCCCTGGGAGCATATTGATAAGAATAGAACAGGATAGAAATGTGACATATTTAATGCCCCGGTTACACGAATGTTTCACCTACGAGAGAAATATGCAATTCAAGGTTTACATCTACCCGCGGAACGGAAAGTATCGGTTGGATACCAAACAATGGTGAGTATCGTATTGAGCTAGATCCAGCAAGGATTCAAATAACCAGGACCAGCCCGCTGTGCTTTTGGCATCTGTGGGCAATGGCCAAGACACAGCCTTGGCGGAATAGCAGAAACAGGCCCAGAAAGCAAAGGGCGAAAGCCACCCGAGTGAAAAGGTATCTTCGCGTGAAATGTGATCAGGGATGTGCCCCAGGCACCATCCACATGCAACATGTTTATCTGAAAAAACGCCCCCCTCTGCATGCCCGCAGGGCTATGCATATGCAAAAGCAGCAGAAATTCAACGTTCTTCGCTTGACGCCCCCATGCAAGGCCCAAATGATCAAAGGTCTAGCCTCATGAGCCGGAAAAGAAAGAAAATAAAACAGAACAACAGGAGATGACTTCAATGAGTCTGGCGAGATCGGGTTAACCGATTGCTGCGTCGACACTTCTTTTCTTCCACGTCCGATTGTTCCGGCGTGGTGCCACAGGTGGAAGAAGGGTCTGTGGCCTGACCCTTTTCGTTTTCTGATGGCATCTGCAACATAACTCGATTAGTGGGATGATGTGGATTTCGTTCAAGACCCTACTCACTCGAAGATTGAGAGAAACGACTTCATCTTGGTCGCGGAATGAGATGCCCACGCCCAAGGTAAGATTTGAAAGGAACCGTCGCTTGGGGCGGACACGTCGTGCAGGCTGTGGAGCTTCTGAGTCGTCGCTGTCGTCTGCTGACCGTTTACTGCCAGTGCTGAACGGCGAAGTGTCGCGGGACGCTTGAAGACTTGGCTTGACTGGGATGGCAGGAGGATTTTTCTTCTCCAGCGAGTCGTCTGACTTTTCATCGAGAAGCGCAGCAAACGCTCGATCAATATCCCCCCGACACTTTTGCAGCATGTCAATGATGGTCTCCCGGTCGTATCGGCCGCCAAGTCCCTCTTGGATTGACTTGATGTCCCATGGTGCATAAACATCCACGGCGAGGTTGGAATCGCCGGGTGAGTGAGCGACAATGGGCTTGTCTCCAGAACTAAAGCTTTCGGCAGCGGTTTCAAGCTTTGACTCCTCCTTGACCTCGGATTCGGGCGCAGGTAGGGTGGCCTTTGCAGACTCGACATCAGAAAAGAGGCCCTTGTGAGTCTCCCCAATGCGCCGAACAGAAGAATAATGTTTGAATTCCTAAAGCCGTTAGCCTGAAGTCGAAGGCAGGAAGACATATACAAGGGGATATTCTTACGTGGAATGCAATGTGTATCACATTGCGGGACTCGCCAGAAGGTGTGTTCACGTCTTGAAATGGTTGCACCCCATCCATGGTGTACACGGTAACGTCCAGCTTGTAGGCTTGGCAGAAAGCCTGAATATGCTCTGAGCTACCCCACTCCGCATTCTTGCGAGTTGTAGCGATCATTTCTTGGAATCTCGACTCCTTATCCTGATCAGACGGGGCGGATACGTCGGCGGAACGCGTCGCATATGCGGACGCTGCTGCGCGTTTTGGTCGTCGTCGCTCGCCGCCATCCGAGACAAACTGCACGAAATAGTCTCTATTTGCGGCCATATGGTCGGCAAGTCGTTGACGAATCTTGTCTGCATGATGTGTGTTTGCATACAGTTGATCTGAAAGGGAATAATAGAGGCAATTTCCTACGAGACGCGTCAGACCTCGCAAAAGAATGTCATGGACCCGGAGAGCGCCAAGGCGCTCAACTTCATTACATGATATGAGGTTAACTCACCATCACCTTCGGTCGGTAGGGCAAATAGCCCTCGCTCTTTTAGAGCCGGCATCTCCAAGCTTGGGTGGCCATTGCTTGTGGGTCTATGGTTCTTGTCTGGTAAAGGGTCGTGCATTGCTGGAGACATTGAATGGATCGGAGGAGAAGGCGAGCTCTCTTGAGGATTCGGGATCGGAGCGATCGAAGCTGGGATCGTAGGCTGGTCTAATGAGTTGGGATGAAGCGGATCATGGCCCGTAAGTATAGGCACGATTCTGCCACCATTGATTTGCGACATGGTGAATGAACTCGAATAGCCAGCATTTAGAGGCAAGCAAGACAATTGAAGCTCAAGGGAAACTAAATCAATAAACCCGCAGAGGTGAATCGGGCCCTGCGGGTGGTTTAAAGGAAAAATACTGCAGGTTTCCAAATTTGGCACCGACCCCCTGGCGGTGAGTAGTGAGGCTGACTGATTGGCTACACGCGAGCCCTTGCCCACCATGACATAGGCGACTTTCTTTGTATTTCACACAATGCACTCAGCTGCAATTGATCTCTATTTAAAGAAGGGGTTTCTTTCATTGAGACTTCCTATTCAAGACCTTATTGAGGGTGAAGTGAAAGAAAGGAGTGCGAATAACCAAGATCAAATGTGATCGATAATGTACAGGTGGAGTATGGAGCCCTGGAGCAATGGAGAACGCGGGACTTTACGGAGTCTCCTTACTGACCCCAGATTACACCCTCAATAGTGAGCAAAAGCAACAATCAGGGCTCCCACGAGAATCCTAGGAAAATACAATGACAGCGGGGCAAGTTGTGTATGCATACGACTCCCATCACTCGACAGAGCACGCATCACCTCCGCATCAGTGCGGAGGTGTAATTTTCGCGTTATTGATGGTATCGCTCCACGTCTCCACCGTAAAACTTTAGCGCGTTCCTTAGTATAGGATGTACGCCTATTGGCCGGAAGGGTACACCGCCTCTGAAAGATTCTTAGATAGGACTAACCGAAACGCCCAATGACGAGATTCGTACAAATGTAAATTACCACCGGGCCGGGCCCATGGCTTATCAAAAGAGATAAGGATCGTCCCCTCACCCCCGCCTCCAAGCTTACTCCGTGTGAATATAAAGGCATTGAGCTTCTTCAATTCAAAGTCCTAACTTATGAGAGGATCTATTTGAAGCTTCACTATCATGGCAACTAATAACATTGTGGTTCTGGGGTGAGCAGATCCAGCTTTTCAAGCTCCACATTTGCAGCGGTGTGTTGAACGCTAATATATGCAATAGGGCTGGCGTGTCCGGTTTGACAACTGCGTACCTGCTGTCGCAAGACCCGAAAAACAATATTACCGTGCTGGCAAAGCATATGCCGGGTGATTATGACGTGGAGTATGCATCTCCATGGGCCGGGGCCAATTATATGCCGTATGTCAGCAGACCTATGATCAGGGACTTTGACAGCACAGCTCAGAGTGACTGATTGCCTGACAGGGTTGGAAAAGAAGGGAGCCATCACCAAGCCTGGGAGCGCGCTACCTGGCCAGCATTGAAAGAAATTACGGAAAAGTACCCGGAGGCCGGTATCCACTTCCGAGGTATACGCTCTCAGACTCTTGTCGAAACTCGGACCCCTCTGATGACATGCAGGCTCCGTGATCTATAACCGAAAGAAGGACCAAGAGACAGCAACTGGTGACTGGTTCTCAGAATTGGTACAGCCGAACCCTTGGTACAAGGACGTTGTGCCTGATGTATGTCGGCCCTGAAGTCACAAACATGATCTTGACATTGACCTGACAACTTTAGTTCAAAACCACCCCGGACGATCAGCTAGCTCCGGGGATTGACAATGCCCAGGAATTCACGTCGGTTTGTATTAACACAGCGGTGTACTTGCCATGGCTAGTTGGCCAGTGTGTCAAAAACGGCGCGGTATTCAAACGCGCCGTACTCAAGCATATTGCCGACGCTGCCAGCGCCCATCACACCGGCCAGAAAGCCGATGTAGTTGTCAACTGCACTGGCCTGTCTGCCAAAACTCTTGGTGGCGTTCTCGATGAGAAGATGTATCCCGCTCGGGGTCAAATTGTGGTTGTCCGCAATGATCCAGGACCCATGGTGTCGGCATCAGGAACTGATGACGGAGAAGACGAGGCTCTATACATCATGACTCGTGCCGCAGGTAAGATGACGTCCGTTTACTTTGCATGAACACCCGCTTATCGCATCTAGGTGGTGGTACCATTCTCGGTGGATCTTACCAAAAGCACAACTGGGATGGAACCCCGGATATGAACCTCGCCAACCGAATTATGAAGCGTTGCATTAAAATTTGTCCCAGCTTGGTGAAGGAGGGCCAAGGAATCGAGGGCCTGGATATTATCCGGCATGGCGTTGGCTTGCGCCCTCTGAGAGAGGGTGGAACCCGCATTGAGAAGGACAAGGTAAATGGAGTCGCCGTCGTTCACAACTATGGTCATGGCGGGTTTGGATATCAGGCCTCTTTTGGATGTGCATACGCCACTGTTTCCTTGGTCAAAGATGTCCTGCAAAACAAGTCCCTGGCCAAACTGTGATGTGGGCTTGGAAAAGAGACCCCAGGAGACGAAAGTTCTCTGAAATTGTGCCAACATTTTGTTGTGTGATCCATGGATTTCAGTTGTTACTTATAAGACAGATATGCCGGGCAGTTGGTCGCATGGGTGTTTGTACATACAATTCTAGAGCCAACTTCGAAAGTTGGACAACGACTTACCTAGGTACATAGTAAGAAAGGCTGTAATCTGCTCTTCATATAAGTTAGTAGTCTCTTCCAAGGCTTTTGCTCTATTACTTGCTCTCTTCTCACAAGAATCCTGCGTGGAGAGAATGAAAAAAGGTGCAAATGCAATACTACCTAGTACCTGGCTGATGTTCGGTGAAAGCAATTTTCGAAATGCTGTACGTCAGATTCAGTTCGTTTAATCTGGCTCTGCACATTCTTTGTGTCCCAACTATAATGAGAAATTCGATTGCTCCATCGTCCTTTAGCGTTCGTGGATAATTGATATCAACACTTCGACTCTCGACCTTTGAAATGGGCTTAGACAATTGTACGCAGCACAATTTATGTATCCTTTCGCGGTGGAGTCAAGTACAAAGTCTAGGTATTGGTCAGTAGAAGGCATCATCAACTAAAGAAGACTGCAAAAATCATAACTACCGAATTACTTACCACTGGGATCACAGCTGAGACAGTTAAAAATCCCAGCATTGCCGTACACCCGGTCCATCCTAATCTTTCAAATGCAGGCTCAGAAAGCATGGGTCCCAGTACGGTTCCGGCACCAAATACGGCATCTAGAAGCATGTAGCCCTCGGCAACTGCACTTATGTCTCCATAAACTTCTGGCTTGTCCTCTTGAAGGGCTTTGACGATGCGAGGTATCTCCGTTACCAAAGGGGTCAATGAGGTGTTGAGGCCAATGCCTACTCGCATTGTCAGTTTTAAGTAGTGTTCCACGACCGAATTAGACTTCAATGCAAACATACCGACAAGGAATAGCAGGAAGCATGCAATGATTTTGCTTGCTGTATCGGCATGTTGTATTAAGGCAAGGAAGACAACACCCACGGCTGCAAAAATAAAGCCGATCACAGATACCAACCGGACACCATACTTGTCTGAGATCATCCCAATGAATGGGCCAATCAAAGATGGAATAGTCAAGTTCAGGAATATGGCACCTGTCGCGCCAGGCAGCCAGTGGAATGTTTGCTTGACGAAGATCGGCAGGACCGCATCCATCGCGCTCACGAGAATAGTGTTGACGAGACACCCGTATAGAGCAGCGACCAATTGAGGATTTCGAACAAATCCCCCGACAATGGAGCTCCAAGTGGGATTAGCTTGAACTCCGAGAGACCGTTCCCGGCAATGCGAGAGCAAAGGTGTTGTTGTAGTTATATCGCCACTTTCTACATTCGATAGTCGTCTCTTGCCGTTAGCAACAGGTTCCCGGGAGGTCGGTTCGCTTGAAGGAGCTGAATTCTCAATCGGTTCGGCCGAAGTCCTGTACCTCTCAGCCGACTTTCGGTCAATGAGCATCAGAATTAGCACCAAATTGACAAAGACAACAGCCAGAGCCATCACGAAGACGAAATAGAACCCTGCCTTCTCATACACAATTCCCCCGAGAGTGGGTGATACAAGCACACCAAAATTCATGCCTGAAAGACCGAATCCTATCCAGGGTCCCAGTTCGTGCGACTCAATCGTGTCCACCAGCAGCGTCAGACCAGCAGTGTATACCACACCCGCGGATAGACCCTGGAAAATCCTCGCAACGATGATCATCCACGGCGAGGTTCCAAGCATGAAAAATAGAGTGGCCCCAAACGCGCAAGAGAGTCCCCCAAGAAACGGCAATTGCCGCCTTTCACACATTTTCACAATCCATCCTGCCATTGGAGCACTCAACACCATTGCCATTCCGAAGACAGCCAAGGACGTAGAAGTCCAGAATGGAACCTCGGACTCGGGGACTCCAGACCTTCTGGTCAAAGAGAAGGGGAGGACAGACACGACCTTATCTCAAGTGAGCCGAATCAGTCAACGCAATTCATGGCCTTGATAGTAGAGCCTGACGGCACTTACTATTCCGTACAGGAATCCATCAGTGAATGTTGTGGCGAAGACAGCGAGTCCGATCAGCTGCTTTGATGAACGTACATCAAAAAGCCATGGTTTGCGAGTGAAGTATTCGACGTCTCCCATGGTTATAGTATGGTACCACGATACGATTTCGTCCCTTCGATGAGTGTTTGAATGATGATATTCCCCCAAGGAATCAAGAAGTCCAGGACCTGATACGGAGTAGCGAAATTCAAATCAAAAAGCAAGGGGGGCGGGGGAGGAGACGCAGTCAAGAGCAAGAAACGCCAGGGATGTGGGATTGACAGCCTAGAAAGTCAGATTTTCGTGTACGGAGTACTTTTGCTTTGATGAAGCTAAAGCATATTCAAGGTATGTATCACCGAAGGCTGAGAGCGGGCTTTGATCGACTTTGACTCACCACTGAAAATCCTGGCGCTTGACACCAATCGTGGTGCTCATTTCCTTTCACCGTGCTGGTTTGCAGATCAACACGCGGGGGACAAGCATGATTTAGGGAGATCTTACTGAAGATCCACGCCGATGATTGGGCCATGCAGCACTGTCAACTCAGCCCAACCACAGAAAAAGCAATTCGCCATAGCTGAAAGATGCGCCAGAGGGATGCTAGATCACGAGGTTTGAAGATTTGTTGGTCGTCAGAGCCATTACCCTAGGGTACCCTAAGGCACGGGGTATGTTCCGGAAGGTTGCTGCGGACTATTTTGCCTGAAGCAGGCTATGCTGGCCTAGGCGCATCAATCACGCCAATCCTTGCTCAATAAATATGATCCTTAGGCTCCATTGTCAAAATGATTAATTCTAGCCAATGATCCGTTTGATCAGATATATGAAAATTCCACACTTTCCAAGGTTGTTCCCATAAATCGGTGGTTTTACAACTAGTGTCAGCATGAGGAAACACGTAGGGTAGCATCTCTCAAAAAGACAAGGAAAACCTTGGGGCGACAAGACCAGATCCAGTATGTTTCTTGCGGGCGTTTTATTCTTCATCGCATTCTGCATTTAGCCATGGACCCTGGAGTAATTCCTCTGCAGTGCTTTGTTCCTTTGGATTCTATTTTATCATCCTTCGAAAAAGCTCGATGAACATCCTTCTATCCTCATTGTGCGGGTTGTGTAATTATGAAACTTGAAGTTGGATGGTGCGATGCTTGTACCTTTGAATTTCGCTGTTAAGTTCAGTCAGTTGATGCATGCTCCGAGGCTGAAATAGACCAACCTTGGAAATAATGATGTACTCACTACCTAGATACCTAGGTATCAGGTTTGTAGAGGAGATCAGTTCTTGCCCAGGTGCTCTATTGTCTAGTAGTTCCTTTGGAGTAGGGTCTAACAATGCAGAGATATGTATGATCCAGGTGATTAAGCTCATCATATTCTTCAAGGCTGAACTTCAAGGGGAGATCAATATCCTTGAATAGCTTTTTGCCCCCAAGACTCGGGAAGATCCCATGACTAAAAAGAAGACGTTAAATTTCTAGACGACGCCTGATGAATTCCCAACCCTGGTGCAGGGGATTTGCCTAAGAGATTTGCCTTAGGATTTCTAGTTCGGCTTGTGCAGCGTTCTCTCGGGAGTGATAAACACCGGCCTTGATCTTGAGAGCAACATAGGCCAGTAACATCTGTGTGAATGTTAAGCAAGTGCTACTGGAGATATGTAGGGATTATGTGGGAAACAAACTGGTTTAGGTCTTGAGCAAGCCAGACAGTCGAGCTACTACCATAATCGAGTTTGGTTGTGAGTTGGTACCGGTTGTTGAGAATTTCTCATAGGTATGCGGGATAGAAATACGCATAGTCATAGTATGGCGTACATTCCTCTTCGATGGCTTTGTTCACTGGAAGCTTGTGAGCAATCGCGATTGACAGTGGCCAAGGGCGGTGCTTAAGTGTCCAGACCTGAGACATGGCTCGGGATCGAAAAGTTGTCATCACATCTTATGTGATGCTGTTATAGGCTAGACTTCACTGTTCTGATAGGGACAACTGTATGGAGCCCTGGAGCAGCCTTAGGGGAGTACGAGTACGAAGCTATTCCTAAATTAGAAACTGTGGGAAGCGGTCGCCATTACGTTTTGGCTGCTCACGTGACAGGGTGCGGGCTTGGCGACCCGCTTGCGACAACGCGGAAGCTGTCGACGCCCCCATTTCGACTTCCCCCAACATCCAACCTCTGACAAGCTTTCGGCTCTGATACAGACTTTGCATTCGAGCTCGCTCGAGACCTCCCACCCATTTCCATCCAAGGTGCGCTACCCGGAACCCAGCCCTTAAATACCCGAGACCCTGTCTGGTCAGCTCCAGACGGCGAACAACAATTCCCATCACCATTTGGGCGACTCGCAACGAAACACCATCAGGTTCTTGTTAAACTAACAGAGAGAAACTCGGTAGATACCATCGCTCATTCGGGACCAGTCTTTCCTTGAACCCTTTGCGGCTGCCTAGCAACTCCATCTCCACTCTATTGATTCGTGCGCACGAAACTCTCAAGGAACATCTCAATCTCCCCGATTCCAACAAACTTGCAAAATGGATTTCACGAACATCTTGTACGTTGAGAGTTGGTATGATGTATTGCAAATCTTTACTGATAGGTCATAGCCGTATTGTCAACATTGCCGTGGGCGTGTTTATGGTGCTTGGTGGTATTAGCAACTTCTTCAGCGGCAGCTGGAGCTCCTTCATCCTCGGCGCCTACGCCGTTGCCTTCGGTCTTGGTCAGTACCTTCACCATAGCCAATGCCGAAACGTGACAATCAGCTAACCATGTCCCAGTCGTTGGTGGTCTTGAGTTCCTGCCTCACGTCCCCGACTACGCCTACCGCTACGCGTCTTTCCTCTTCTCCTTCCTGGGCCGTGGTGTCTGTAAGTTACTTCCATTCCATCTCTCGACGACACGAGATAGCTAATTGATTAGTCTACATCTTCATCGGTTCCATCCTGCTGCACGACCATGTGCTGCGCATCATCGACGGTTCTCTGATTGGCCTCATCGGTGTCGCCTACGTTGCTCTCGAGTTCATCCCGTCCATTGAACCTCCTTCCAACATGCGCGAGGCTGATCAGGGTTGGGGTGCCGAGCAGGTCTAAACTGCCTCCGGCAACGACCAGTTCTTACGGTCCCAACTGTATGCATCGGTATAGTTCCCTAGTGGAAGTAGACTTCCCCCACCTATACGCAATGAGTATGACGACCATTCGGCGATGTTAGTGTACGAACGGAGCAGACGGCAGTGGGCTAGACATTCTGTTGATACGGGTACGAAGCAGAGGTTTGTACTATATTTGGAAATGCCAGCTAGTTTGAGTCTAGCCTGACAATGAATTATTGATTACCAACATCTGATAACCCGATACTCGGGTACCCACGATCGGGGCCAACTTGGCAAGTAAATGCCGAGGCCATATTAACGGACACGAGAGGCGTGTTGATTGGTGTCGCCAAAGTACAGGTGGCCACACTCGGCAGGTTCCAGACCTCCACGACCAATCGGAACTCGTAGAGTGCTGCTGACGGCACCGGATCAGTGGCCGTGGCCAATCAGCACGCGTACAATTCTGCTTGCCTCCGGAGCCCCACTGGAAACTGGCCATGGGAAGGAGCGATTCCCACTTTTTTCCATTTCTTTACTGTTCTTGCCCTTTTTCCTTCGCTGCCCTAAACTCCATCGAGAGCGCGGTGGAGTCTCTATGATGCGATCTGGGGATTGTCAGAATCATGTCGAAAATTCAGATTTCTGCAGATTCTCGCGAGAGAAAGGATCAGGCCATATTGTACACATACTCCGTAAGCGCGTAAATGTGATTAGATGAGATGCGCGGTCAATCTAAAGTGATAGATTGATATGCCCGTAGATCCCCTCCTTAGATCGATAAACCCAAAAATCCCCAACTCCCTTTTTCTGATAAGGAAATCGAAGATCCTCTCGGACTTGCCGTTTAACACTCTCGGCTTCTGAAACCTTCCAGACCTCGATCCTCCCCTTTCTGCTTTCCATCTCTTCCCTTCTCTTCGCTTCAATCTGCACGTCTGTGCTTTCTTCCTAACGTGGAGTGATCACCCTCTTGCAGCTCCCTAGCCTCTCAGCCAATCCCTGTCTTGCGAATCGTCCTTTTGTGTCGGCCCCCCAGTCCCCGAAACGAGACCGTCTCTCCACGATCGCTTGCTAGTCAGACCAGTCCGCTTGGTGTGCTGTCAAGCCTGTCGCATTACGCATCACCTGACCCTCACCACGCCGTTGGATCGCCACTCCTCCATAGTGGCCGTTGATCTTGGTGGCGGGCCTGGAGAACCTGAGGAACGTTCGATTCCCCTCCCAACCCGAGAGACTTCGACTTCCCGAGTCACTGTTCATCCTGCGCTTCTCCGAGTCTGCAGCATCGTGGCTGCAGCTCGTTCCTGCCGGAACTGACTTATCTTTCATCTGTCAGCTTGACCGACATTTGGTTTCCAAGTGATACGGTGTATTCTGCTCTTGACTGCGGTACGACATAGCCCTCATATTTTTTTTTTCTCCGTCTCGAGAACCTGCCCTCCCTTCGCTCCTCCCAATTCCGCCGTTCACACCTCCAACGGCCGACTCCCGGCCCACCTCTCAGGTGGTAATGTTAGCGTCCATCCCACAAATGGAAGCGCTACACTCTCTCCCTCGGAACGCGGACGTTCCAATGCGACAACCATCCGCGGAAGATCTGGATGCCGCGCAGCAGTTGATCTCCTCGGCCCAGGCTGGCCGTGAGCATCTGGCAGAACACTACCGCGAGGACCAGCCCATCCAAGGGTCGAGTCAACCAGGATCAGATCGATGGATTGGACATGAACAGATGGAAACCCCGGCTGAAAAAACATCGCCCAAGGGTCAAAAAGACACTCAGTTTCCTGGGCATTCGTGCAGGTAAGTTGTGGTTTGAGCCATCTAGCGATTGCTTGCGGTTCATTTGAGAGCTAACATTGTTCCTTCCCAGTAATTGCGGCACGAAAAGCACCCCACTATGGCGTCGCTCCCCCACAGGTGCGATGATCTGTAACGCCTGTGGTCTCTATCTCAAAGCTCGCAACGTTGCTCGCCCCACAAAACGGAACCGCATGCAGTCTGAGGGAGCCGAAAAAGCGCCGAACACTCCCACCACTCATTCTGCGGGCTGCACGCCATCCGAAGGAGGTGGTTGTAAGGGATCTTGCCCGGGTGGGGGAAGTTGCAATGGTACGGGTGGTGCCGAGGGATGCGATGGGTGTCCAGCATACAACAATCGCATCTACAAGTCTGCTCCCCGTGGGACCGCCGCAATTCAATCCTCTTGGGGGCGTCCTGCGGTGCAGGAACCCGAACCGGTACAACCTGACGAGCCAGCCGTCAAGCCACCCCCCGTCGATGGAAACAACGGCCTCGTTGCGTGTCAAAACTGCAGTACAACTGTGACTCCTCTTTGGCGTCGTGATGAACAAGGCCACCCGATCTGCAATGCCTGTGGTATGTTCCCTTGGTTGACCCCGAATGATATCATTTACTGACAGCAATCAGGTCTGTATTACAAGCTGCATGGGTGTTATCGCCCCACAAACATGAAAAAGTCAATTATCAAACGTCGCAAACGCGTGGTTCCCGCTCTACGAGACCAGTCCCCTACTGCGGCCACCCTCTCATCCAACGGCTCGTCCGCGTCCCCAGAAGCCTCGCCTGCTACCCTGTCACATGTTCACGAAGATCACTACCGCTACATGAGCAGCGAGCCCGCGGATCCTTACCAAATGATCCCTGGGAAAATGGAAGACGAACCTCGACCCTTGCCTTTCGCGCCGCCTCCGGTCGACTTTACTGGTTACAACGCCCCCCTTGCTCATCTGCCCATTGCCCACGGTCTACCAAAACCACTGGGCGTGGAGCGTCTGGGCCATTCACCGGTCTCTCAGTACAGTCGACGGTCCGCATCCCCTAACTCCATCAACCTTCCCAAAAAGCGAACATTGGCCGAGACCGCCACGGAAGCATTACCAGCCCCCACCACCTTGGAAGGAGGGTCAAATCTGCTTCCTCCAATCATGTCCTCTGCCAACCCAACTCCCCCTGGTCGCCTCAGCTCTATTTCCTCTATCCTGAATCAATCAGATGCTCGAGGCGAACCTCGCTCCGATCCGAATATGGGTCGCCCTCAACATCTCCACCCATCTGTCTCTCCCTCCCCCCATCCACCACAGCATCTCCCCAGCATTGCATCTCTGAATGACCCGGTCGACCGCCGTGCCCGACTGGAACGCGAGGCCGAGCAAATGCGCGAGCTCCTCCGGGCCAAAGAGCGTGAATTGGCGGAGATGAGACGGTAGATCCCACGTCGAGGAACCCATTCCCGGCAGTGACGAAAATTATGAGATTCGAATAATGTTTTGCAACTCGGTGTTCTCGTGAGATAAATGGCGCACAAAGATACCACTCACATTGCTGGGTCTTCCTGGCTGTCTTATTGAAAACGTGTCTGGACTGTATTTTAATGTGGAATTACTTTATTCTTTTTACTCCATATGTTTTAGGTGTTTTTCTCTGGGTTGTTAGTAGCCCGAGGATTTCAAAATATTCCAGAGCATTTCTTATGAAATTTGACCTTCATAGCGTTAAAATATTTTATTAAATTCAATCTTCGCAAGAGCAGTCAAGTTACAGTCAAGTTGCAAGTCTCCGACAGTGTAGATCCTTCCCAGACCACCTGGGCAACACTACAGTACTCAGCCTTTGAGGACCATGAGCGGCTGGTACCTTAGCAGAAAAATGGCACTATCGCATTTTACAAATGCAAGATCACGCTGCTCAGCTTCGGCCTCTTCGAATTCAAATCATGGGGTAAAGCAATGAGCTAAGAAGAAGATCGGCATGGATTCCGTCATCCACTGCTCGAGTGTGCCAAGCACAAGCGTAGCCCTCTAAATTCCTCAGAGACGGAAACATTGAAATCTGCCCGAGAGACCACACCATAGCTACCTAGGTACAGTACAGTATACATACACCTGGGCAGTACTATACCTACGGAGACTAGATCTGCCTACAGGGTAATTGAGTCAAATCCAATATACAGTATGGCTTGGCCCATCATGGACTATCAGTTAAGTTTGTCTATCCCGAGGTCCGAGTGCCCGCTGTGTAATTCGAACTCAGCCCTGACGACGTGAACCTTATAAATCCCGAGCAGTGATCGAGATCTCGCACTAGCGTGACAAAAAGCCTCAAAATTGAAGCAAAACGAACGCAATGTATGCATTCTAATGGATTTATTGGGTAATGGGACTGTGGAGGGAGTGTCAAAAGTACTGTACAGCACACTGCTCGCCAGAATCACTAAACTAGTACGTCGATCACATTGGCACGGCAATGAACATGAACATCGTGAGGCAAACAAGATCATGCAGGGCCCCAGGGAAACCCTGCAACAGAAACAAACATGCGCAGCCCTGAGAACCCGAACGTGTCCGCTATGGACTGACTCTGCAATGGCGTTGTTGCAGGGGTTAGCTTCCATTCAAAGTGTTCTTCATGTGGATGTATGGAGCCTCCGAGATCCACTGCATTATTGAAGTGTGGCGATTGTTGCGGAGTCTGGGGGCTTAGCGTGGTGTACGACATCAGGGGGCCAGAGTCGTCAGATCATCGAGTTTAGCCTTTGATAGCTTGTTCGACGCTTCACAGTGTGGGGAACAATATATCTCAGGCTGAGAAAGTGAATCAAATGTGGTTCTCTATACTATGCCTCGTACAGCACTGGTAGATGCACAGTGATGCAAAGGTGAAGATAAAGATGAGGTTGTGTCAGGGGTGAGACCTACTCCCAAATAGGAAGTGATGCGAGCGATCACTGTTTTCCGTCAAAATTTGACAGTCGATCACTCTGCTCTCTCTTAGCCTCTTAGGGGACTTTTGCCGAGCGGCCTCTGCATAATGAGTCCATACTACTAACAGTAGTAGTACATGTGTCTGCAGCGAATCTTCTGCGAATTCCAGAATGTTTCTGACCCTTGCATACAGAGTACTAGTACATGCATTGAAGACCGATCTCCGTCGCGGAGTACGCGGAGAACACGAGATGTACGGATTGACAAGGGGCACGCGGCAGCACAACGGCTGATGCTACGCTGCATTTCTCCGGTACCAAGGCTATCTAGTGACGAGACGGCCGTCCAAGTGGGTCTTAAGTGTACAGAGGCCCGTTCATAAATCTCCTAGTCCTAGAGGAGATCCCACCGCTCGAAATTTCCATGGAAGAGCGAACAGCCACATGAAAATCATCACCCCATTCTGGCCACCCCCTCGAATGAAAGCGTCGGAACACCGTGCCACGGGGGCCCATCGTCGACGCCCACGGTGGAGACCGCGCGACTAAGTGCCGAGCTAAGAGCTTCAGCAGCAATATTCACTATGCGTTCGGCATGCATGTGGACCACATGGCGTGCGCCTAAAACGCCCTCTCGTCAGGCTAACGCTCCCAGTCACCTGGGTGCGCACTTGGGATCGCTGCCTGCTGCAGCACTATTGAACACACTATTCGAGGACCGAGGTGGATGCCAATGGACGCGGGCAACAAACTTTGCTCGTACCATGCATGGGAATCATACTCCGCAGTTTGTGTGGACGGGGATCAACGTCGGGACTGGGTTCAAAAGACCTTTGTCCCCGCCCGGGGAGGAATCCTTCTTGTTTGAACATCAGATACCGTTGCCTGGCTCTCTTGATATCGAATCAATCGGCGCTAGATGCAGTAAGCTGTGTCTTTCGGGAGGTCTCCGTGTTGCCTCTCCTATTTCGGACGTGATCAATTGAATTTGAAACACATCCTCACGCTCGCTTTACCACCATCACACTCTTTACACCAGATATTCGATATGGACGGGCTTCTTCGCACACTTGTTTCGCGGGACGATGATAATGGAGCCGCTCGCGGCAAACGGGCATTGGTCGTTACAGCCGTACTAACGGCCATCTCCACCGTCATTGTCGCAATGCGACTATATGCTCGACTTGGTTTGATGAAAATCACCGGTCGTGAGGATTGGGCTATCTTGATCTCGCTGGTGTGTTTCCCTCAAATTGTACCTTGTGTCAGGTATGGCCAGGCGGTTAACAAACTTGTCTTCCAGATCTTCTGCATCATATACCTCGCCCTCGTCGCTGCCCGTGAGTCACATATCTTGTCAAATCTCAACATCATCCTTGCTGACGTGAATCCCAGAATTCAATTACAGTATGGGTGTGCACTCTGCGCTTCTTTCTAGCCACACATTGCAGCAACAACTTAAAGTATGTCCAACGAACAATAATCTCCTCGCTTTCACCCGAGTCCAAAGGCTGACTATGCTCCAAGTGTTTGTGGGCTGCTATCCCCATGTACAATGCCAGCTTGGCCTTCACCAAGTTCTCCATTCTTTTCCAATATCTACGAATCTTCCCGGGTCGATCATTCCGCATTGCCTGCTACGTGATGATGGCCATTGTAGCCACCTACTCCATTTGGGCCATCGTCAGCGGCTACGTCAACTGTGTGCCTGTGGCGAAATTCTGGAATCACGATCTCCCCGGCAGCTGTCTCAACTTTGAAGCTGTGTGGTTTTTCAACGCTTCCATGAACATCGCAACCGACATTGCCCTTCTTCTCTTGCCTATGCCCCTCCTGTCTCAACTGCAACTACCTCGTATGCAGAAGTTCGCTTTGATGGGCGTCTTTGCAATGGGAATCCTGGTCGTCGTCACCAGTATCCTTCGTCTATCAAGTCTCCGCGAAGTAGCGAACAGCCCGGACACATCTTGTATGTTTCATTACCCCCATTACTTAGCTTATGGACTCTCAACTAACCCACTCTTCAGACAGCAACGTCGGCGCTGCTTATTGGACCGCTGCAGAATGCAATGTGGCCATTATGTGCTCGTGTCTGCCATTTCTGCGCCCGATCATTAGCAGCATCTTCCCTCATCTCCTTTCTACAGCTAGCTACAACCGATATACTGGCACGAAGCCCCCTGGTACCAACGTCACGGCAACTCGCACTCAGACACGCCATACCCAGCTGTTCAGCCAGAATCACGATAAGGACTTTGATATGTATTCTATCAACGTCAAGCAGGGTGACCGGTCTAGCCAGAGCTCCTTTGCTGGTATTGAAGTTACCACTGAGATGACTGTTGTACAGGAGGGCCCCAAATATGGGAACACCAGCGAACAGAAGCTGGTTATGGACGCGTGATGACATTTTGATTTTTCTTTCTCTTCATATATATTCTTGTCATGTTTGGGCGGGAGCCTTCTTTCTTTTCCTCCACGATTGATTGCATTGCGACGGTATATATTTCAAGGTTCAAGGTTGACGATGGGCTTTTGCCCACTTTCTATGGTTATGGTTTTTGGTTTTGGGTGGTCAACTGACATTTCTGTCTTTATTTTCTTTTTTTATATTTTCTGTTGACATCGCATCGGAGTCAAGCCGGCGATGGAACCTTGGAACATGGTTCAATAAACACAAATCTCATCAACTTCCATCATCTTTCTATCCATGGACTGGTACATACATTGTCCGAGGTCGTTCCAAGGTTGGAATTCGGAATGCCCCGAACCTTCAACATCAGGACTCGGACCCCAGAATCTACCCGACAATATCCACGGACTCAAGAAACCTTGGGAGTAGATATAGCGCTAAACCAAGATTGAGATCTCGGAGGAATATCATTCTATACAAAAAGCTTGGGTACGCCTGCCCAGGTGGGCACCTTTTTAAGTCACATGCTCCTTTTCCTCTTCCTTAGGAATTCTGACCCAAACGATCGTCACCAAAGCACCAAGCAATTGCGCCGCAAGTGCAAACCACCAGATAGCATGCAGTCCATCAAGCCCGATCTCTCCATCAGCACCCCTGTCGACACGGGTACCAATGGCATCAGCCACACTTGTCATGATAGCAGATGACAGATTCTGATTCGTGACCAGGAGAGCGCCAGCACTTCCCTGATATGATCGTTCCACATTACTCGTGATGAAAATTGAAGCCGCAGCAAATGCAAGATCAGGGCCAAACGTCACCAGTGCAATACCAGGGAAGGACAAAGCCCAGTAGGTGGTATTGGGGGTTTGAGGCAAGAAGAAAGCCGACCCAAGTGTGAATGCAAGCATGGAAACGGCATAAATATAGTGCCCAGGCACAAGGTGCAAAGTCTTAGCAACAATTACCGTAGCCAGTACACCGACCAATGCATTGGGGATATGATAAAGAGCCACTGCAAGTGGACTGGCGTGCTGAATACGCAGCCAGAATTGGATTGCGTAGAATTGCCAGCAGCCGAAGAAAGAGCCGAAGCCCAGGAAATACGCGATCATCAGCGGGGTGAAACCGGGTGTACGCCAGAGACGATTGGGAATGAGCGGGCGTACGGCTTTGCGCTCGGCGAAGAAGAGCCCGATGAAAAGAATGAAGCTAATTATGATAAGGACATATGTGTAAGGGGACCACGAGGCAACGGGACCTTGTGTCAGACCAAACAAAAGACAGACGCAACCGCCAGCAGCGCAGAACCCACCGATATAATCGAACTGCTTAATTGACGGGGCCTCTGTACCGGCAATATCTGCCATCGGTCGAAGAGACGGAATAGTATACCAGGCTGCGACACAGAGTAATGCGCAGATAATAGCATTTGACCCGAAGATCCACGGAAGATGCTGGTATAGAGCGCCACCCTGGATAGCTCCGAGGGAGAACCCGAACGGAGCAGTCGCGGCCATGGCAGAGAAAACGCGGTTCTTGCGTATACCGGGAGTATAGACGCGGCCGAGAATGCTCATGCTGCCGGAGACGAGGACGCCGATGGCGAGACCCTGCATGGCGCGCATGACGAAAAACAAGACGTATCGGGATGGGTGGAGCGTGAAAGCCCCGACGATATTCCAAACGGCGAGCCAGGCGAAGGCTCCGACCATGAGAAGTTTCGGAGGCATCAGGTCTGTTAGCGAGCCGGAGATGATAACCGACAGGCCGTTGGCGGTGTTGAAGGCGCCGACGACCCAGGGGAGCTCGGTGCTGGTGATTCCGAGGGCCTTTTTGATTTGCTCTTGAGGTGCTAGCATGTCGCCTAGCAGGAACGAGAAGAGCATTAGACCGGCTGAGCAGACAAAGATCATGACGAGCTCGGCTGTGAAGTTCGGGAGCTCGGGCGGGATGCCTTGCTTGCCGCGTATCGGCGATGCCGATTCCTCGCCGGAGAGATCGTCCCGACGACGGGACACCGAGACCGATGGTTTTCGGTTCTTCATTTGGGTGTCGAGGGCGTAGCTCTCGGGTTCGTGGCCATTGCTGAAATCTTTGTTGGCGAGGTCGTGGAGAGCAACTTTGTTCACGACAGTGGTGTTACCCATTAGCGGATCGGGTGTTTGTGCACCGGTCGCTGGGGTCGAATATGTCCTTGTATAGGACATCGATGATCGACTGGAATCCGGCGCTGAATCACCGTCTTGGGCTGCGGCTGCATTTATGCGTGCATTGGCACGGTCTGCGCCCGCGTGCGCTCCCTCGAGTGACATCTTCTATTGGAGTCACGGTATAAAAGAACTTTTAAGGAGTAAATCCCACGGGCAAAGAGAAGAAAAGAAATAAAGCAGCTGTGGCGACTAAATATTGTGTGGTGATCTAACAGTGGAGTCAAAAGTGGGCAAGTCTCTCCCGCTTCCAACGACCGTTCCTTTTGGTCTGTATACTTCAGATCCATTTTGGGGTTGTCAGTTCTTCCAAATCCCTTGCGGATGATTGCGCGTACGTTCAGCAGATTCAAAACTTGTTTGTTCGTGCCGTCATGTTCAAAAGGGCACTTCCTGCCTGGTTTGCCGCGCGATCTAGGGATGCATAGTTCCTATGGGATCTTCCACTTGTCTTTGATAGGATCTGGTCAGGGCATCAATACAGGGGGGATTCTAACAGACCACCTGGGCAGCAAACATGGCTATCGCAAAGAACGTGAAACCAATCCTAGAGTGGACCCCATCTCCATCGTACATGTGAAATGCGCGGAATGCTGCTTTCGTGGCTGAGAATGAATTGCGAATCAACCAACCTCGTCAGCTGCGAAGGTCAGGGATTGACAGATTGACATGATAGTTCGAGGTTTACTTTTTTAACCCCAGCAGTCAAATATCCAATCGGATGCACGGGATCGAGATTTGCACGGCGGAATCCGATTTCCGTGCCCGAACAGACGCAAAAAGGAGCTCGGGACATAGCAGGGAGCTGATTTTGACACAGTTTTCCGGATAGTGATACATGCCGTGACGTCGGCAATGGTCTTTTCTTCTTGTGAGACCTACATCAACCCAGTGTGATCGACAATCAGGGGTGCAACGAGGCATGGCTTCATATTGAAGTTTTTGGGGTTGGGACAGGACCCCAGCGCTCATGACCCACCGTAGCTCTTTGGAAAGTATTTAAAAACGTGCATTGGTCTTGCGCGGCTGTCTTCTGGCTTTTATCTTGAACTGCACCACAAGTGGACTCGGATAGATGCATCAAGCTTTGTTGATCATGATCGCCCTGCATGAATGCAACGTCAGTGGCTGGCAGATCCCCTTACCGAAACATGTGAGTCGCACACGGCCAAGAGGCCCGTGAGACCTCTGGATTATGCCTCTTAGTTCGTCTGGTCAAAATGTACAACAGTGGACCTGCATGTGTATGTGAAATCAACGCTATCTCATTCGTGATGCTAAATCGTCATAGTCTATATCTATATCCATGGATTTATTTACCGAAGACCTTGAAGCGGTCCTCGATGGGAGCGAAAGCCTTCTCACCGGGCTCAGAAGTGGGAGTACCGAAGACCAGCTGAGCATCCAACTTCCATGAGGCAGGGATGTTCCAGGTCTTGGCAATCTGCTCATCGATCAGAGGGCTGTAGTGCTGGAGGTTGGCACCGAAGCCTTCGGACTGGAGAGCAACCCAGACTGGTGACTGTTAGTACATGCGCCAAAGAGAGGCTCAAGCTAGTGAAGTACGTACCGAGGTACTGAGACATGGCATTGGACTCAGCGGCAAAGGGATCGAACTTGTCGGCATAGATGGCGAACTTCTCCTTGATGGGAGCGAGAGACTCGAAGTCAACGAAGAAGAGAACCTGTAGGAGATAATTAGATATCGAATTCCACGCAATGGGGGGTTTTCGATTTTCCGAGGATAAAACATACAGTTCCGTAGGCAGCGCGGAAAGCGTTCAGCTTAGGCTTGGTAGAGCTCTCGAATTGATCTTTGGGGACGACACCGGCGGCAACGAGACCCTCCATGGCGTTGATGGCAATGTCCCACACCTTCTGGTGCTCTTCCTTCAGGAGGAGGACAACACGAGAGGTCTGAGTGTTGAAAGAGCTGGGCACATGGAGAACCGAGTCGCGAACAATCTGCTCAATGGCATCGTCGGCGATGGGGCTCTCCGCCTTGAGGCCGTAGTAGGTGCGGCGGGACTTGACCAGCTCCAGCAAGCTGGTGGTGGCCGGGTTCTTGAATTCAGGTTGAGTGGAGCCCATTGTGTGTTTCAGATGTGTGAGTGAGTTGATCTGGATGTAGTGCGACCCAGGGGCTTATATACCAAGCAAATTTCTCTTACGGAGGGGTATTGTATACTCGGATCCAGTGAAAACGCCACACTCGGCCAATCAGAAAAATTAAGTCCGGATGTACGGAGTTAATCGACGCCGAGCACTTTGTCAGCGGCACATAAATCTTAGGAGCCCGACGCAATTGGCCGAGAGGAACATTATAAATCCTCATTATTACCAATTTGTTACCAAGCAGTTCCAAAGTTCTGTCAGCCCTGGGGGCGGAATTCGTCCGTTTCAATTTTCCGAAAATAAACAGCACTAGCAAGATGTTCCACAGCCGGTGAATCAGACCACCTTCACCTGAAGATCAACAGTCATACGCTCACAGTGCACTCCAAAACACAGCAACAAGCAATAGTCCCCACATGAACACCGGTGTCCCCGCCTTCACCGCGTAGTTCTTCCCCACTGCGAATTCGGTGACGGTGGGGCCAGGAAGGCTCGCATTGTTGCTCTCACACAGACACTGACACGCAACTTCGCTGGGAAGAACGGTTACAGTCACAGTCACGGTTCCATTAGGCCCAACGTGCGAGGATGCACCTCTAACATCGCCAGTTCCATTCGAGTGTCCAGTCAAGTTACCCAGGCTCGGGTGAACCCAAGAGCCCGTCGCGGTGTAAATCCCAACGCCAGTCGAAAATTGATGGATTGGAGGCTCGGTTATGGCTGGGGCTCCATCTCCGGTGGTGGATGAGGTCGCAACGAGAACCTGAGTTTCGGTAAGGGCCGGGGCCGTGTTTGCAGCAAGAGATCCACTGAAGGTGCCAGTAGCCGTCACAGGCAGGGGTGCTGGGTAAATCCCCAGAGACGAATCTGAGGCGACGGAAGCAATCAAAGTCTTCGTAATGAACGAGTTATCTGCGTGAGAAAGCGTGGTTGCAATGCAGGTCGCCTGAGTAGGGTCAGGGGAGCCAACGAGGATGCAGTTCGAGGTGAGATCAAATCGAGCACCCTGGGCCGTGAGACCGTATGCTTGGTTGAACATTAGTTTTCCGGTTCAAATGTAGACCTTCAGCATTACACCTACTGCTTGGTGCGAAGACCACAGTCAGGTCGGGGGTAAATCCATGACAGGGGATATCCGGAAGACAATTGACCGCGTATGTGGTGGTTGCCTCGCTCTACCGAACAGTCAATCATTTGTGACAGTGGCAATCGGAGTACTTACTGCACCGATGACCTTGCCTCCATAACCTTTGAAGTAGTCTGGCTCACGTGCAACGAATGGAATTGTCTGCTTGGTCAGTTTCGCGTCGACTGGCATCATCCTGGATAGCAAGAACTTACCACCGTGGGAACTGGGTCTGCCAGACTAGGACAAATCCAGCAGACCTGAATAATAAAAACAAAAAGCAATCCTAACAGCATATTTGGCGCCGGTATCTAGCACAAAAGTTGAGTTTCTTGAGAGGATGAGAGTGGAAAGTGTAGAGCTGCCAAAAGTTTTGAATTAACAGAGATGTAGAAAATGTCAACAAAGGAGCCACTTGTGGACGCGACGAAGATAATTATCAGACGCAAAAGCGTAGCGATGGCAGGCACTGGAAACCCCACGGGGAAGGCGCGACCAGACTCTGTTTTTGATAATTTCACAACTGCATATGTATTCTGCTACTATCCTAACAACTGCTTGTAGGTATACTACGGTTCCATCATGAATATTCATGGGTGATAGGAAGCCAGAGCATCGGAAGATCTTCATGGGAAACCTTGAAGCGAAGATCAATTTGATAGTCGTGATGTCCAATCTACTCCGATTAAGCGGCTGGATTAGTGCGCCAAGTGCCGCTTGTCCACCCATCCAGTGCTATCTCCCGCCTTTTTCTTAGCGCGATCAGCCCGGGACTCTGACATCTCACGCTAACGGCTCTCGTAGTTAGACTCGGCAGTCATGCAGTCATTCGTAATACGTGTGCGATTTGAGGATTTCACTTCACCCTATCAACGTCCACTCGTCACCAATACCCATCATGAGCACCACTTCCATAGTGACTATTTTCGCGATATGTGTTTCGATACTGCTGGTCATTTTTCGATGGAACAAAGGAAATTCGGACACCGAGACCAAGCTACTCAAACTTCCTCTCATTGGGGATTTACACAGTTCCCCTCTGGACAAACCGTTGTTGAACTGGGACTCGTGGGCGAGGGATAATGGACCCGTGGAAATCCCGAAGCTTTTTGGAATCATACCTGTTGTCGTCTTGAATTCGTATGATGCAGTCACTGAGTTGTTCAGCCGCCGCAGCCAGTGGTATAGCAACCGACCGGCCTCGGTGAGCATGGAAATGATCACAGACGACAAAAGCGGACAGTCGAAATTCACCCTCATGCATGACTACGATGAGCACCTAAAGCTGCACCATAGAATTCTCGCTCCCAGCCTCGGCGCGCTTGGCTCCCCGCGATATCGACCATTGATAGTACTCGAGTCCAAGCAGTTGCTAGTCGACCTTCTGAATGCGGTTCGAACGTCACCTGGAGAAATCAGTACCCATTCAATCTTTCCATTGCTGGAGCGAACCCAGGCGAGCATTATTCTAGCTCTGCACTATGGGTTGCGCATCGCAGACTGCGAGCAGAAGATCTTGCACGATGTTATCGATATTCAGACACAGATAACCCACGTCGCAGCAACTCCCGCAATGCCGGATTTTATTCCTTTGCTGCGCCATCTGCCAGCATTCTTTTCGCCATGGAAGCGCGCAGCCGACAAGCTTTATGCTGCCCAAGTTGACCTTTACTTGCGACTCTTCAACCATGGAAGACAGTCACCAGGCTGGAACGCCACAAAGCAAGCAATCTCGACAGCGGAAAAGTCTGGTATTGATAAAGTCCCAGACCTAGACATAGCCTTCAATATGGCTACTTCCGTCCAAGGAGGAATGGAGACCTTTCCAAGACAAATACTATGGCTGTTCATTGCAGCACTGCACAGACCGTCCTTTGTAACTCGTGCACATGCATTGCTCGATGAGGTCGTTGGTCGCGACCGTATGCCCCTCTTCTCGGATCGAGCAGGACTGAAGTTCATCGATGCAATTGCGAGCGAAATTCTGCGCTGGCGCCCAATCGCACCAGGAGCGATTCCTCGTCGAGCAGATCGCGACGATGAAATCGATGGCATCAAGATCAAAGAAGGCGTGACGATTATGGCAAATGCTTGGGGTATTGGTCGTGATCCCAAGTTGTTTGACCCTGCACTCGGAGACCTTGATGACTTCGTGCCTGAGAGATGGCTGTGCGTAGTGGATGGAGAAGAGGAAAAATTGATGACAGAGCTCCCTTTGCCGGTTTTCGGACAGGGCCGGCGCATGTGTCAAGGCAAGCGAGTCGCAACGGATGGACTGTATATGCAGATTGCGTCGATGCTGTGGGCATTTGATATCGAAGCTGCGGATGGCGAAGAGGTGGATCCTTGGGAGATGGTTGTGGCAGGATTCATGACGATGCCGAGGGAAGTGAAGTTCAGACTCAGGCCACGAGGGGACTGGGTCTCCCGTGTCATCGAAAGAGATGGGAAGGACGTGGGGAAAATATTGGATGCCTTTCTTGGAGTTGTTGATCAAGGTGAAAAATAGCTGGCTGATTCTCTAGGTCTCACCAGGCTTTGATGGTTCTCATTCCGCTGAGGCTGCAATCTGAGGTGCTTTTGACTTGCCGAGAAAGGACAAATTATTCACTGTTTATTCACTATAGTGTTCTTCCAATATCACCGTCAATTTCAATTCAGCTCGCCCCTCAGGTTATCCTTAGTTCACTCTTCCATTCGACTTCTCCCATCCAACTTCTCTGTCATCCTACCTTCTTTCTCGGTATTTAGCCCAACTTCTCTCCTATCCTACTTCTCTCCCATCCAACTTCTCTCTCATCCTACCTTCTTTCTCGGTATTTAGCCTACGGTACTCGTCATGGAGTTGGTACGCGAGACTCCTTTCTTTACGTGATGGTCTAGGAGAAGAATGGAGATGATGCTAATGTTGAACACTGGATTCAAAAGACCCAGCTTCAAGCACTGAACTCCTCCGACGAGAGTGAAACTACGATTGTTGACTCGGAGCAACGGCTTTCGTTAATGTATCAATCACCAAGGCCTGAGCAGCTCTCCGGCGAACGGGGTGAAGAAGCAAGGAGAGACCGGGAGGCAAGTTGAGATGTCCTTTGTGATGTTTGTCTTTCTTAACAGTTATTCTTTGTTACTTAGAAGTCTTCAATCTCCACATATTTCCGGGTAGCCGCTGTATGGAAGGAGCGAGAGGTTACCGCCAAGGCACATCCCCAGACACACCACTTCAACTGGTATGGGGATCCAGTTGATCACCCGGTTCAAACCTCTCCAGAAGAGTCACTGGCGCTCATCCTCGCGACTCCCAAAATCCCAACTGGAAGCTCCGAACATCGGGTTCAGTCAATTCTGAACCGGGCAGCCAAGTTCGTCGATCCAGTTGCAGTGAACATCGATGGCCTGGACCACAAGACCTGGGATCTCGGGGGCAGTGAGATGGTCCGAGCCGTGGGGGGACGTGTGTGCCGACTATACTCGCCACACGGGGGATGGGTCACAAGTGGTGAAGAGAGTGACTCTATTATCACAGACACTTCGGATGTGGTGTTCTGGGACCCAGCAATAGTGATCATGGCAAACGGAATGATCGAAAATTAGCGTGTTCCAACATGGAAGAACCGCCGCGACTGGAAGAAGCGATTGAGGGATCAAAGGACAAGGGATCGTACCCCAAGGCGCCTGGAATTCAAACCATCCAAGTCTTTTCTTCATGTCATGGACAGCTTGGCGTGTTGAGTTGGCTTTATGTGATTGTCGCAGGCGGACAGCGAGAATAAACATTGCATATTTTCGGGGGAAACATCAAGCCCAATGAACGGGGTATGTCATTTCGGAGCGGTGCCCGTCGCCTCCCCACAATGTCAGCGAAGGCATACATCATCCTGTTCGAGCAAAGCATCAGCTATAACAAGACGTTCGCGGATATTGTGCTTATGCTGGCTGACAATGGACGCCCTTTCCAACTGGTTACAATGTGACAGCCCCGTGTCTCCAGACTGAATCTAAGAAAGCCGTTCCTCGCCTTGACTGGGAGCACAATTTCGGATTATCATAAGAGCATGAGCCAGATGATCAGTAAAAGAGTAGATTATAAAACTGTAAGGCGTACCAGTACATCGTCCAACATCATACCGACATTTTGAGTCTCTTCTGGATACAACATCAACCCTCTTTTGAGGTCTCCATGGACTCCACATCCCGGAACCCCGAGATGACCCCTCTCCACAGGCGTTCTCCAAATCCCGCCAACACCCCGGCCCCGGGGAACATGAGGTCATGAATAAGAACGATGGAGGCGTGATTATAAAACTCCGCTCGCCCCAGCACCTAGTTATACAAAATAACTCTCTCATATTCATTGGTTCTGTTCACAACCCTGGGAAGTCGATCTTCCCACGTCTGAATAACTCAGCATGTCCCACCTCCAATATTACGTATACCCTGGCTATGGCGAAGCCAGCCAAAAGAACCTTCGTTACAGCCAAGCCGTCCGAATCGGTGATCGTATTGAGACTTCCGGACAAGGTATGAAATTACATCCAGCTTCTAGGCTTTCCGTAGTAGTTTCTGGCGAATTTGAATACCCTACACCGAAGCACGCTTCGTCGGATCCCGCACCCTTCCCTGATTAATTCATGATAACTGATTCCTTCCCTGCTTAATTCATGATAACTGATTCAATAACATGTAGGTGGATGGGATCCAGAAACCTCGAAGATTCCCACCGAGATCAACGCTCAGATCGACCAAGCCTTTGCCAATGTGCATCTGGCCCTAACACAGGCCGGCGGTAAGGGTTGGAGTCAGGTATTTCGGGTCAACTCCTACCATCTCCCTCTGAATGATGAGGCAATGCACGCAATGGTTCGCAGTTTCAGAAAGTATATGCCAGATCATGAGCCGCTTTGGACCTGCATTGGTGTTGCGCGGCTGGGGTATGATGATATGCGGGTGGAGATCGAGGTTGTTGCGCATGACCAGTACTACAAAGCACAATAAAGATGTTCATCCTTGATTTCGTCAAGTTCTATCGTTGGATCTCCTCTTAAGAAAATATAGATATGTGCGTGTGGTGGCGTGGGAATTAAAGAACTCAGTGAGGTGCTGACGATGTTTCAGGTTATTTCTTGATTCGTTCTGCCCTCGGGACACCTGGAAATGAAATCACTTACCTGGGTACCTGATTTACCAAGACAATATTGTCGAGACGGATGATGGTCAGGTGTCATCTCATGTGTAGCGTAGCTCTTCTCTCAGTTGTCTCAGTTGTCTCAGTTGTCTCTCTTCTCAGAATCAACTACTCTCTTCTCTCTTCCCGGTGCTAACCAGGAGCTAACACGAAAAAAAAATCAATCTCAAGAGATCGATGCCAATTGCCTGTTGACTCTCACTGCTTACAGGCTCGGGGCATAGTCCATCTGTCCAAGTGTCGGGAATATCACCGTGCTTCATGGCCAACTCTCAAACGAATATACACCCGAACAGTCACTTCCATAGGTAAGATGTACTCAAGAACGCTCAGTCTCGTATTTAATTAAGCATTTTCATCTGATAACACGGCCCGAGGGGATCTCGGGTCCAGAAGAAGCCCCGAGAGCCTAACCCAAAACGGCAAAGTATATTCCCCATTGGCGATCGTGTTTCGATCCCCCCTTTGCCCCTCCTCTCTACCCTCAACAGCCATGGGAAATCAGCTTTCAGCATACGAGGAAAAACCTCATGAAGTCGATCTAGGCTCCAAAGGCCGGATCAAAGGTGTCCAATATGATGCCAAGGCTCGTCGATATGCGGGCGTTCCGTACGCTCTCCCGCCAGTTGGCGCACATCGTTGGCGAAAGCCTCGGCCATTGCCTAATTCATACTCGTACACCCAAGAAGATGGAAGCCCGTTTGATGCCTTGAAATTCCGTCCAATTTGCCCGCAGGGAACCTTTGCAAGCAGCGCAGAAAAAGACAAGGGCCCTGAGAATTATAGCGAGGACTGTTTGATGTTGAATATTTGGACGCCGGTTGAAGAGCGGAAAGATGAGAAAAAGTGGCCCGTCGTGCTTTGGCTTCATGGAGGTTGGTTCCAGCTCGGTGAACCGCTTCAAGAGCTAGGCATGGATCCCACCGAAATGATCTCCACAGGCGGGTTGAATGCGATCGTCATTGGCATCGGATACCGCTTGAATATCTTCGGATTCTTGGCTGGTGAGGCTTTGCTTGAAGATAGCAATGGTGAAAGTGCTGGCAATTTCGGGCTTTGGGATCAACGACTTGCCATGGAATGGGTGTACGAGAATATTGCTGCTTTCAATGGCGATATCAACAACATCACGCTGGGCGGACGAAGTGCTGGAGCATATGGTGTGCATGCACAAGTGCTTCATGATTTCCAAAGAGAGACACAACTTTTCCATCGATTCTACATGTATTCGAATGCGATTCCAGCGCAGCCGAAAGCTCTCCCGGATGTCAACCCACAGTTCGATGAGCTTTGCGAGCACTTCAATATCGCAACTAATATCTCTGGCCCTGAGAAGCTCAACGAGCTACGAAGAGTCGAATACCGTGATCTGATCGCTGTCATTCCACGTCTCAAGAATCATACTTTCCGCCCTGTCACCGATAATATTTTCATCCATTCTGGGTTCACGGAATACCATCACAGCGGGGCATTTGCGGAAGAATTCAAGAAACGCAAACTTCGCGTCTTGATCGGTGAGGTACTCAACGAGGAAACTTTGTATGCCACATACAATGCCCCCGAGCCCAATCTTGCATCCTTGGAGATGCAAGTGGCGAACTATTACTCTCATGAAACCACCAAAAGAGTGCTGAGCTCTTACAAACTGCCTGTGGGATCAGACCCAGTCGAATGGAAGACACTCTTTGGTGGCATTATCGCTGACGGCCAAGTGAGGGCGCCATCCAGGTGGTTGGTGAACTGTCTGAGCAAACACGGTGTGCCGCTTCGCGATATCTGGCGGTACCAGATTGCGTACCGTTTGTCATTTATCACAGACAAGGTAGCTCCCACGGCCTGGGGTGTTTCCCATGCCATGGACAAGCCATTCTGGAAGTGAGTTTATGGGACATATTGGCTTCCGGATGTGATGCTAACAAGCCTATTAGTTTCGCTATCTTACATGGTCCCACGCAGGCCGAAAGACCACTAATGGAAGATTGGATTCGGAATTTCGTCGCCTTCGTACAGGATGACCAAGAGTACGACTTCGGTACGAAAGCGATTGATGAAATGAAAGTTGCAACACAGCAAGGATGTATTGAGATCCAGCAGGATGCTCGCTGGGGTGAATTGGTGAAGCTTGGCGAAGTCTTCGCTGATGACCATCCATCCCAGGACGATGCTTGAGAAACTAGGAGCTAAACAACAACCTCGCAAGTCCTGGGAAATTTATCCATTCATGCTCATGTGCGGGTATATTGAAACCTTCAAGGTTCGAAGGTTGTAGATTTCAAGGTTGTAGCTAGATTGTATGTGCATTAATTGCGAGTTCATATGTTTTTGCAATGGCTGAAACGCTCTCGAGCTCGGTATATATTTCGTAGACGCCTTCCAAGGTTGCAATCCATTCATGGATCCCAAAAATCGGGATTTCAAAAAGAGCCTGAGAACACAGGGATGACAGAGGCGTAGAATTGACAACCTTCTTACCTTCTCAGACAAGAAAGCCCTGGAGCGACATGAGATTTCATCTAGTAGACATAGCGGAAGGACGTATTTTGCTTATCTGTGAGGCCAGCCCACTTGATCTCATCAATCATATCCTCATTGACAGGACCCTTGGCTTGGTCCCTGCGGCGATTTTGCCACTTGTAGTAGCCGAAAAGCACAACAGATAACACAGCCGCAGCAGCCTGTGTAGCAAGAACGGCAACTTTGGCGGGTCGATATTCTGGCGCATCGCGTGCCTGGAATGTCTGGGGACCGATAATGTTTCCAATCGAGAAAGAGCCCGCGACCAGAGCACTGGAGAATGCACGCTTTGTGTGACCGGCGCAATTTGCCATCGTCCACTGGTATAGAATTGGCAGGGTGGCTACAATTGCGTTCACCAGATAGATGCCAATCAGAACACCTGCTTTGTTGCTCTTCGGCATGAAAGACAACAGGGCTCCGCCAATAATACCAGGAATGGTACAGAAGGCATTCCATGCCCAGCGGTGAGAAGTCTTTCGAATTCCAAAGCCAACCAGCAATGTGAAGAAAATGCTGACGATTCCCGAGGGCATGTTGAGGAGAGCCGATATGGGACCAGTGAAGCCGAATCCAGCAATTAAAGTGGCCGAATAGGTTGTCACAACACCACTTGAGACAGAGATCTGATAGCAATCGCAGTCGTTAGTCTACAACAAAAGGAGCGTTCATGGAAGGGGTGGAATGTGGGATGTACATACCAAAATTGTCGTCACTGTCAGGAGCCATAGCTGGGGATCCAACACGGCCTCCAAGATCTGGCTCAGGTTCATAGTTGTACTCCATACCCCGGTCTGGTTTTCGCTTACATGTTGAAGGAGGGCAACCTTCTCATGCTCAGTCAACCAGGAGGCTTTCATTGGTGTATCCGGGATGAAGAAAAATGTCAATGATCCAACCACAGCCGTGACGAGCCCAAGAACAATGAACATAATTCTCCAGCCATCTAATGAAGCATGGTGTACGTGTTGGAAGCCGAAGGAAATAAGACCTCCCAAGATCTGGGCGACGCCAAGACCCATATACCAGACGGTAAACCGAGGGGCTTGTTCGCTGCGAGTGTAGTATTGACTGCTCAGGAGCATTAATGATGGACCAACAGTGGCCTCAAAGATACCTAGGAAAATGCGGGCAACCAACAGGCCGCGGTAATTCTGGGCACCAGCGGAGGCGGCCGCGGCGACGCCCCAAAGGAAAACATTTCCGCCGAGCCACTTAGCAGGGGGAGCCTTTTGTAAGAAATACACTGGATAGGGTGAGTTAGCGACGATGCCCAGACATGCCAGCGGCAACGGCGGTTTTGATGAGGGGAACTAACCGTTGGGAACTTCTGCAATCAAATAAGCAATGAAGAACCAAGTAGCAGTATTGGAAAAGTCATTTCCAACAAGGTTCAGATCTTTTTTGATTCCCATAACGGCCGCATACTGTATGTCATCTCAATATTAGCAGGGTTGCTTGCAGGGGTGCGAAGCCGAACGCCGAACGCCGAACGCACATTTAGCATAACCTTGTCGAGAAACTGTAAGATGTAACAGCAAAACATATATGGCATCAATCGCAAATCGATCTTCCGACGCAGGGCCCGCAGATCGACCTGTGGACCGTCCGCGCCATGCGCATGGCCCTCAAGATAAACCACAGCGTCATCCGCGCGGTCAGCTTTCGCTGGTTGTGGCTCTACTGCGGGCTGTTTCTCATCCATAGTGACACGAATTTGTACGAAATCCCAGGAATGAGAAGCGTGTGATCGAAAGAAGAGGAAAAAGAAAGGAAAGCAGGGGCACAAGTAAGGCGGACAAGGTTGACAGAGAGTGGAAATAACACTAAACAATATATTAAGATGAATGCAAATAAACCTTGACTGATAAAATTGAAACCACCGCGGCGACCGCGGCCGGGCTGAGGGTTTCACGCATTTGAAATTTAGTCAAATATTCTAAAGACGCAGCCAATAAGGGGGCCATGGCACTAAAAGCTTTTATGTAGCTAGCTGAAGATAGGGCGATGTGGAGCACAAGTCGATATTGCCATCCCAATATGACCCGGGCAATGTTCGCAAGCGGCCGGAAGAAAACAGCCAACCATTTGAGGTCCAGTCGGGACAATTTTTCAAAAGAGGAAGCTGGGGGATTGTGAAGATTTTGAATTTCAGGGACAAGGCACTTTAGATTATTGCCAAGTCATGTTGTTTCCATGCTGAATGCCATGGTTTTGCATTTTCAATCTTCGGAAGCCTCTCGCTATCTGTAAGTATGGGCTGGGTACACAATAGTCCCCCTGAGGTAGAAGCTGCATCTCAGTACCCTCTTATTCTGGGGGTATGTCTGAGTCTTACTGTGTTGATGGTGATTACGGTTTGTCTGCGGTTGTTTGTTCGAGCCCAAGTCGGACGGTTAGCGGCAGCAGACTATGTGATGGTTGTGAGCATGGTTTGTTTCTCTACTTACAGTGATCCTTGGAAAAAGCGAGAGCTAACACCAACTAGATTTTCAGCATTATCTACAGTGCTCTTTGTATTTCCCGTGAGCACTCTCTGTCCCCAGGCGAACGGAACCCGGCTTATTCTATGCACAGAGAGTCGATATGGACTTGGATTACCCCTCAAACTGCGACCCGATGCGGACTACAAAACATACTCCAAGGTACGAATGAAACGAATCCATACTATGATCAAGCCGACATGACCTGTAATCAGCTAACATGACGCGATTAGATCAATTATGCGGGACGTCCGTTCTATCAAATCGGAGTCGGAGGGTTCAAGGCTTCGCTTTGTCTAAGTTATCATCGACTGATCTCAGGAACCTCGAAACGCGTGTATCGAAATATTATTTGGACTGTCATCGCGGTCTCCAGCGCAGGCCATATCGCCGGGGCGCTCATCTTGATTTTCAATTGTACACCGGTAGGACCAATACGGGACCAACACGGCATTGTGCGCAGGGGCTAACGACGCGAAATCCTCGATTAGGTTCGACGAGGGTGGAATATGCACGTTCCTGGAACCTGCCTTCCCGTGGGAGAAACATTTTACGGCCTTGCCATATTCACTATACTTTGTGATATCGCGATCATTGTACTGCCGATTCCACTACTGCTCAGTTTGAACATCAAACCCGCCCAGAAAGCAGGTGTGGTATGCCTGTTTCTGTTGGGCCTGTTTACGACGATCTGTTCGATCCTCCGACTTACCCAGATCCAGCGCGTGGCATTTGGAGACGGAAACTCAACCATGCTGGTGCTATGGGGAACTATTGAGTTCAATGTGGGAGTGAGTGAACCAAACCTTTATTTTGCGCAGCCAAGCTTCTGACATCCCAAACTAGAACATTGTTACCTGCGCGCCCTACTTGGCGCCTTTGCTCAAGGGTTGGGTCCGAGGTCTCAACTCGAGCAGCGGAAAAACGAAGAAGTATTACATTAACAGCCAGGGCCGAAGTTATGCATTGGAAAATTGGACTAAAGATCAACGATCCCATTTACAGTCTACGGCTTCAGGTCCAGCGCAGCCGAGACGAACGCCGAGCGAAGAACTCATTCTGGCCAGCCAAGAGCCTGAGCATGGGTGCATTGAGATGACAGTGGAGTACAGTGTGTCACTCGAAGGCAGATCGACGAAGCAGAATACCTGATCCGACCAACCCATGTACATTATCTTTATTAATTTGTAATTTTTTACTTCTTCCCTGGCTAGATTATGCAGGATTTTTGCTAATATTGACTTTTCTCGTGTTGCCTTGCCGTGTGTGGACAGCGTGGCATTAAGGGAAACCTCGAGTTTGTGTGCGCTGGACGGGAAGCCTACAACATCCCCCGAGGACGTAGGTTTCCGGACGACAATCCTTTGCATCCTTCTGTTTCAGCCTGTCGACAAAATTGCCATTCGAGCCAATTGCGGAAGACCCACTCGCGGGCGGGTGCGAAGATCCGCCTTAAATTGACGCGGAATGAGTGTCTGAGACACCCTGCTCTTATTCGAAGAACTCACGCCTACTAGGACTAGCACAAGGCTGATCCACCGGAGTCCGAGATTAGTGTCGACAATAGGTAAATACAAGCCCAAAGGGGACGGGATTAGGCCAAATTAGGCGTCGACCTCGGGAACCCCTGTCACCTGTGGAATCTTATTTTGCCTTCTTTCGGGACCCCATAGCCTCCACGCCGAAGTTGAGACTGCATTCTCGTCCCCCCACTTGGTTTGAAATGAAGAGACCCAGATGGGATGTGGCATGATTGTGTGTCACTACATCCTCGTATGACTGGTTGACACAGGTGCTCCAGTCCAACGCCTGCAATCAGAAGCGCTCCATTACATGCCAGACACGCGCTGTAATTCCACGGTGCCTCCGACATCATGACTGAGCCTATCCTTATCATCGGTGCCGGTGTGAGTGGTCTCGTCTTAGCACAGTACCTTCAAAGCCATGATATTCCTTTCAAGATCTTCGACCGGGACTCCGCCGTTGATGCACGGAGTGGTGGGTGGGGGTTGACTCTGCACTGGTCACTTCCTGCGCTCCGCGAGCTGCTACCAAAACACCTCGTCGATCGTTTCCCCGAAACTTTCGTCAACAAAGAAGCATCGGCTCGGGGTGACACCGGCCGCTTTCAATTCTTCGACCTCAAGTCCGGAAATGCGCTGTACGATATCCCTGCCGCCGAGCGCATTCGAGTCAGTCGAGTACGACTTCGTGATCTCTTGACCACCGACGTGGATGTCCAGGTACGTTTGGAATTCCTTCGGTCTTGGCCACCGACAGCCGTCGTTGAATCCTCATCTTTTCGTATCGAAACTCATGCTGTGACAACAGTGGGGTAAAACACTCCAAAATATCGAATCGTCCGCCGACACAATCACTGCGCAATTTGAGGATGGAACCGCTCACACTGGCCGACTACTGGTTGCATGCGATGGATCAAGATCGCGGACCCGGGAGATCCTCTACCCAGACATACAAATGAATCAATTACCCGTCCAGCTTATCGGGGCGTCAACATTGTACACCGCGGAAGAGATGGGCGGCGCTGAATCAATCGACCCGTTCATCTTCCAGGGTTCACATCCCGATTCCAACGTGTTCCTGTTCTTCAGCTGTACGTTACCAAAGTATTGCGTGGGTCGCTCAACACGCTAACATCTTGCAGTCCTCGATACACCTAACAACTTTGAGAATAGTAGCCAAGATCGATACCACTGTCAAATCATTGTCTCCTGGGCAGACTCGCAGGGTATCGCCGTCCCCGAGGCTAACGCGGAACGTATTGCCCTGATCAAGAACTTGACCGAAAATTGGTCGGAGCCATTCAGATCTCTTGTGCAAAAGCTCCCCGATGACGTGGAGGCGCGCTCCATTCGCATAGAGGATTGGATGTTCCAGTTGGGAAGGGAGCACGCTCACCCCCGAGCGGTGCTAATTGGCGACTCGGCGCACACCATGACCATGTGTGAGTTGTGTCAATCTGAATCACCCAAGAGAGGGTGATGGTGTTGACTCTATTCCAGTCCGCGGCGAAGGCGCCAACAACGCAATTGTCGATGTTCTCGATCTCGTGAAGCGATTGAATCTGCAAGACGCTGGGTACGCAAACAGAATTCCTCAATTTCGAAAGACACTTAAGCTAACTACTGTGGTTGGATATGCAGGGCTCTTGATTCGGTCGCATTATCGGCATCCATTCCCGCCTACGAAAACGATGTCTTCACACGCGCAGAGCCTAGCTTCTTGAACTCCCGACAGGCATGTCTGGATGCTCATGACTTCTCCAAGATTGAGGGCAGTCCTTTGGTAGGATTACGAAACTTGAAGTAATCGAGTGAACCGCACAACCATTACCGGGATTACCTGAGTGTTCCCGACCGGTTCCAATTGAGGCCATGAAAATGCCGGTGGATACCGAGGGTCCTTGATCAGGCCGATCACTAGAATATTGCTCCAATGTGTCAATATAGAGCCTAGGTTGTATGGTTGGGCTTAAAACAAGCCTCGTTGCTCTTCCGCATTGAATCGTTGGCTAAAGATTAAGTGAGGCGCCCATTAACCGGGTTCATATCAGAGCTTTAGGGCAAGGGAATACCATCACAACCAGGTTGGCATTGTCGATGGGAGAGCAGAGGTGACGGAGGATGAAAGCTGATGATTGGCGGATAAAGGCGGATAGGAAAAAGTAAAGTCCGGTAATGGTCATTCACACAAAATACAACCGTGGCCACACAGACTTCATGCTGGAAGGCGGAAGAAAGAGGGCCCGGTATGCGTATTACCAGTATCGAACATCGCCTCAGAACTCGACCAGATCGGGGCTTTGATCAGAGCCGGTCGATGTGTAATGGCTCCCCCGGGATTGGATCACCTATTGTTCACATCTGGAAACTTTTCAGATAAGCTGTACAACTTCACCAAATCGAGGACTTGGTCGTAACACGGGTGGGCAATGAGTGGCCCCTCTGATAAACCGACCTCTTTTCGCGTGTCGCAACGTCAGCCACAGGCGTGCCGAGGTAAATACCGAGCATCTCGCGCCTCCCAAGTTCAAAAGGGGACTGACAGGACGCAGAGTGCACAAAACGAAAGCGGAAATGTGATAAGCAAGATCCCTGCTCCAGATGTAAACGACTCAATTTGAAATGCTCAATAGAAGTCGTCCACTTGAGGCGCAATACGGTGCAGCATGGACCTGAGATCGAGTTCTTGAACACTTTATTGGTAGATTTGGACTCATTACCCTCAGATCAAACAACTCACCTGGTGCAAAAAATCAAGAATCGCGTCTTCCGGTTGGAGACTGGTCAAGACCCCGCAGAGCCGGAGGTATTCACCACTGCCACGGCACAGCGAGCAAGCCCAAATGAAGATGTTCCACCCGAGAAACATCCTCTTGTTACCGCGGAAAGTTCATCGCATCACAATGACTCCTCACTCGTCACGGCAATCGAGCATCTTGCCTGGGGCCGTAACTCCGCTGGATGTTTCCCACACAGGACATGCAAGTGTCCCTATCGCAAAGATGGAATGCGATACCTCACTACCGCCAGCCTTCTCCCAGCGGGGGATTTTGGGCCGGAGGCGAGACCGATTTTCCCAAGTCCGAGAGATGCTCAAAAGTTGGTCAATTTTCACATATCCCACCTGGCCTGGCATCACAATTGCATCCACAGCCCAACATTTCTCGAACAGTGTGAAAGATTCTGGGAAAATGGGGAATTCGACGATCCATTATGGCAAGCTGTGTATTTCTCTGTTTTGAGCTCAACTGTGAGTTCGATCCAGGATAGCGCAAAGGCAAGAGAGCTGGTCGATGTCGACCTGAACACGGTGCAGTCCGCGCAACAGCTTTTCTCATCCATGACCCAAATCCTTTACCAGTCGAATTTCCTGGCCAACCTGTCCCTCTACTCCGTTCAAGCGATTGTCATTTCCACTGAAGTTGCCCACAATCTTGGCCTCAGTCAGCTCAATGCAACCCTTTTCAACGCGGGCGTTCGTATAGCTGAGTGTTTGGGCATTCACAAAATCCAGGATTGCTCATCGAAGCCCCCTCGAAGCAAGGAAGAATGGGATGACAAAGTGGAGCGAGAAGTAGGCAAACGGGTTTGGTGCCAAATGGTCATTCAAGACCATTTTGCCATCCCATTCACAGATTCCTACAGCATTTCTCCCATGCATTTCTCCACTGGCCGTCCAATGAATGCGGATGACCACGATATGAGAGACATGCCGATCAGCCACCCTACCGTCAGCACATACATTCGCGTGCTGGTAAATTTGGCAGAACTGATGCCTGGACTAGTGGATGGCTTTGGTCCGATGAAAGCGAGGAGGCCAATGCGACAACAGTACGAACATATCCTCCACATCGATCAAAAGATGAGAACTGTCGTGAAAAACATCCCATCTTTTCTACTGCGCCCAGACAAGGCCAAAGAAGAACAGATCAAATGGCTTGGCATTGCCCGGCGGAGTCTCGCGATCACTGCCGCCGAAAAAATCATCATGATTCATCGCCCTTTCCTTTTCCGATCCTTCCATGACCAGACATATCAATATACAAGGCGGACATGTGTTGCAGCCGCTATGACCATCTTGCGAGAGCACGAAATGATTGTCAAAGAGGAGGATATCTCTATCTGGACGCATACTGCCTTCGCAATCACCGCTGCCGTGATAATGTGCTTCGAAGTAAACGCAACGGCCGAGAATCAGATTGACATCGCTCAAGGATACAGGGAAGCAATCCATGCAGCGCGCGCCCGGCTTGCGGCCCGCAAAAACGATGTTCTTGCGCAACGCGGAGTTGCTCTTATTGATGCGATCTTCACCGTGGATCCGTTCTCCGGAAGCTCAGGTCACCGCCATAAGTCTGTCGACTTCGGCCAAATCCTTGCCAAATTCTCGAGTTTTACCCGACTCAATCTGTCGCCTGATACTCCAGAGACATCTGCTAGCAGGTTCTCTGATATAGATTCTGAGGATGTCATCGGCGCCCATTTCGACCAGATGCAGCCTGCTTGGGACACTGCAGAGGACATCGATTTCGACGCTTGGTTCAGTGGGACGTTCCACTCCCTGCAAGACCCGCTTTGATTTCCGACATAGTGCGCTGGCGGTTAAGCCAGGAAGTATGCTTGGGGCACTCGCCCGTCCGATGCTCTATGTTTCAACCCAGGCTGCCAGACGCTGCCCTCCATACATTGGTGGCTGGGTCTTTGCCAGGAGACCCCCCTTTGATGCCTAACATGTTTGGTTTCCATCACTCTAGCACCGAAATCTGTCTCCCTTGTTGAATCTGATATTTCGTTATCGATTGAGGCAGTGCAGAGCGTGTAATTGGCAAATGCCTCTTTGACGTTCACCGGGTGGTCGATCGAGATGACATGTCGAACTTCAGATTGACCCTTGCCAAGTCTGACTAGTCGATTTTCCCTACCATGTGGCCATCATGAAGAGAAGTACCATATTTCGACTGGATCCCCTCACAACAAATATCCCCAATACTTGTTGAACAGTGACGTTATATCGAATGCCATGTGGGAGAGAGAGAGCCATGGAGAGGAGTGGACCCGTCCAAAGAGATCAGCCAATAAAATCCACCCATGAGGTCAAATTAACATGATTACTAAATTGAGACCCAGGGCCCTGGGGATTTGGAAACAAATAGATTGATCTTGATCACGGCGTTCGCATGGTGCTAAGGTTAGACAATTTAAAAGCTTATATTTGCAGATGTCCAGACTCACAGCCCTTGGGAGGTAAATGCGTTTTCAATCCCAAATTTGAGCCGAAACGTCCGCGGGGTTTACCCGACGCCAAGGAATGCATACCTCCGAGGACAAACGGCGAAGAAGTTCCCCTCGTAGTCGAGAAAGAAGCAGGAAAACAAAACATGGCAGCTCAAGTCCAGTCTTCTGTTTCAAAAATCGGAAAATTTCCGAGATCAAAACGTGACCGGCGATTTCTGGAGTAGAAATGAGCTTATATGGGCCAACAAACGCGCAATTGAGGCGGTGATGTCGTGATGGATCCACCCGCTTAAACCAAACCACCCAGTGCTGTCCGTCATTGTGGCCAGCAACGAATGAGCGACTGAATATTTGCGTTATCTGAGTCGTTCAGCATGCATTTGCCATGTAAATTAAACCCGAGTGCCTGTCAGAACATGGGGCTTCCTACTGCGGCCACTATCCGCACATACACTAACTCAACAATGACCCGTACCTTAAGTTTACCCCCACTCATTCTATAGAACTTTCCTGCTTAGAATGGTGGGCCCCATTTATTGTGCAATTCTCCACATGGACCGTGCCGAAGATGTCTGGGATGAGCTTTTATAAATCTCTGTCCCTTTCCAGGCGACCCATTCGTCTCTAATACATTTGGCAATCATGGCTTTACATAAGGAAGCAGACCAAAGTGTGTCACCTTCAGTCTCTTCGGAAGACTCGAAGCAGGCCGATGAGAATTATGACTTTTACAAGCGGCACCAAGGCCTCGAATACACGCCAGAGGAGGCCAAAAAGGTCCTGCGCAAGATCGACGTTGTACTGATTCCGTTACTGTTTCTCATCTACATGCTCCAGGTAATCATTTGAAAGCCGTGGTCCGGAAGATGATCCTGTTATTGACTTCTGGCAGTACTTGGACAAAAACAGTATAAACTTTGCATCCGTTTATGGCCTGAAAACAGGAACGCACCTGAAAGGGCAACAATATTCATGGCTGAGTGGGTAGTACCCTTGGACTTTCCAAGCCGACACCTACTAATGGAAACAGGTTCCATATTCTATTTCGGATATCTGATCGCGCAATATCCAGCTGGACTGGCATTGCAAAAGTTCCCAGTTGGCAAATATATGGCAGTCACTACATTAAGTATGCGCCTCCAAAGATCCAACGAATCCTGGAAACATGCTAATGGAAACAGTATGGGGCGGTCTTTTGATGACTACCCCCGCTTGCCACAACTTCGCCGGTATCGCGATTAACCGTTTCCTTCTTGGGGTCGTTGAGGCGGTCGTCACGCCAGGATTCGTCCTCATGATGGGCATGTGGTACACAACCGAGGAACAACCCTTGCGACTGGAGGCATGGTACTGTACCAATGGAATTGCGACGATGTTCGGAGGGTGAGTGCAAAATCACGTCTTCATCTACTATACCCATACTGAACCAACACGATGCAGTTTGATTGGATATGCCGTTGGCCACATCACAACAGGCCTACCGCGATGGATGTATGTCTTCTTGATCTTTGGAGCTTTCTCGGTCGCAGTTGGAATCGCCGCTCTGATCTTCCTCCCTGATCTTCCTTCCACTGCCAAATTCCTCAATGAGCGCGAGCGGGCTATTGCCGTTGAGCGTGTGGCCATCAACCGACAAGGTGTGAAAAGCAGCCAGTTCAAATGGTATCAAGTTAGACAGGCTGCGGTTGATCCCAAGACCTGGCTCTTGTTCTTCATGGCTGTTGGAGCGCAAGTCCCCAATTCCGCACTCACCAGTGTATGTTTCTCTGTTCAACTTCCTGTTGGTACATGAAGCTGATGATCAAAAGTTTACCTCCATTATCGTTGGAACCTTCGGATTTGATACTTTGGGAACACAGTATCTCCAGATTCCTGGTGGCGCAGTCCAGTTCATTACCCTACTTCTTGGTGGCTGGATAGCAACCAAATTCGATGGCAAGTTCCATTCACGATTTGCCTGCATGATATTCGCCTGCTGTGTTTGCATCATTGGCGCAGGTCTTCTGGTGGGACTTCCTGATGAGAATAAGTGGGGACGCTTGGTTGCACTCTGGCTTTGTTATTTCCAGGGACTGGGCTTCAGTATGACTTTGATTATTGTCAGTTCAAATATTGCGGGATACACAAAGAAGCAGGTAACCGGTGCTCTTTTGTTCACTGGCTACTGTGTTGGCAACATCATTGGACCTCAGACTTTCAAGGACAGCGAGGCTCCCGGATATCACAGTGCCTACATTGCGTATGTTGTTTCCCGCAAATCTCTGGCCGAGATTCACACCACTGACACCTTTGATAGGATGCTCGTTGGGTACGTGGTCAAACTGCTTTGTATCGTCGCATTATACGCATACATGTTCCTCGAGAACAAGCGCCGAGACCGTCAGGCTATCGAGGGGCAGGAGGTCGAGACAGACGGCGTGGAAAATGGAATGCTGGTAGGTTTCTGTCCTCTCGCATGTCAACGCCCACTAATATATTTCCAGGACAAAACTGAAATCGAGAACAAGGGCTTCAGATATGTTCTCTAGCGCGTACCTTTGCCGACTATTATCTGATCCCTAGTCAAATCCATTCATGGATATAATTTCCACTTTTGTAATTTTCAGAGAGCAAAAGGAAATTCGTAGTATCGCAAAAGTAAGACCGGGAGACACGGACGAAGGCAGGAGTACGGTGCCGGATGTGGAATAGGAAGGCTGTAGCAAGAGAAGTTGTATGCAAATTTGCATGCGGCGTCCGGGGTTCAGTAATTGCTCGAAAGGACTTTGCAACCCTTACTCAAATAGTGACGCCTAGATGGATCCATCCGGCGCTTCCCATGCCACGGTGTTGGCATCCACTTCGGCGGGAGAATCATTAGCAATGCTCTTTCGGTGATCCAACTCCTCCCATATCTCTCTGTAATTTGTGAACCAGGGCTTGGAAGACCACACGCTTCTCGCTCCGATGGTGCGCGTGCGGGTTTAAGAGCCGACTCACGACCCGGGGGAACCTAGAGGAGCCACGATGGCTTGAGCGTCACACTGTCAGCATTATTGTTTCTGAAGAAGTGTCAGGGTTCTTTTGGCCCGCGTGGGTGTTGCAGAGTGCAAGGACTTCAAGGGTGCTTTATTCAGGCACCCCGGGGCCGCTTCGATGAGTGGGATGAGGAAAGGCATCGTACCGGACTATGTCATGGCATTCATCTTCATCTGCTGAGTGTAAAGCGAGACAGGGGGCGACCTCGGAAGTAGTAAGGTGTGTTTGAACACATAGCGCTTGGTGAGTTGCGGCATGAGTCTAATATCTCAAACCCTGCCGCGGGCGTCAGGAGTTGGTCCTGAGTGTTGAGGTTTATGCCAACGAGAACTTGGAACGTTCTATATCTACGAGTGGAGAATGGAATACGATCGCATGATATTATTGATACTATCTTCTCATTACTTCTTGGATGCTTCACTAAGCTTCTCTGGCATGTCGTTGTCTGTCGTGTCAAATTGTAACATTAGGGACGCCCCATTCGGGAGCAATTTACATGATGCTTTCCTTTCAAACTGGCTCATCATAGACTTGGCTCGTCAACGTATTCTGTGCTTGATCAAACTGAGAGAGTGGAGATGGGTGTAGTGGTGCTGTTAGCGGCGATTAATCGTGGGAGATGGCGGGAGCTGCGGGACTCTGAACTGGAGGGGATTGAGCGGGGGGAATGCTCTGTGCCTTCTTTGCCTTGAGCAATGGCACCTTGGTGATGGCGTCACGAACTTTCTTGTGCACGCTGGAACCTGAGCTGCTTCGGCGGAAAGGACTCCTCAAACAATCCCAAAACGTGGTCTTGCTCGCATCAAGGTGGAGAGGGCTGCTGTGGATTCTTGCAACGTTTTTATCGGGATGTCTGGCTTCGTAGGTGCATCTTTCCCAGTTGAATCGCTGAGTGTCCCACATACCACGCTGGTGGAATGGAATATGGACTTGAGGGCCCCCCCTCTTGCCGACCAAGCCGTCGGCTGAGTTGGGTGGGAGGGGCTTGCGGCGAATGGTTCGGTACTGTCGAACAGAGTGCATTTCCACCTGAGTCATCTTGACTCGTTTGCCTTGTGGTGTGTCCTGCAAGTAGCGTTTGTAGAAAGGCAAGTCATGACTTGATCCAATGACCCAGATTGGTTCACGTCGCAGCTTAAGGCTGCCGATAGGTCGGGGCTTGCAAAAACCACCACCTTCCCCTTTGATTCCGGAGGCAGACTTTCCCGGAACGGAAATGAGTCCAAGAGGGGTATTGCCAATGAGTTGGGTATCGATGCCGACGTGGTTGAGCTGAAGAGAGGCAATAGACTGGGAGTTGATACTCTCAATGGATTTGTTTGCGGCAGGAATGCCCTTGGCGCCCGCGGTGCAGGCCAAAGCCAAAGGAGGCTCCATGTCGATGGGGTTGAGGACCTTAGCTTTGGCACCCTCTGTGGACTCATCAGTAATAGAAACGCGTCCGGTGCCATGCTTGTCGGTTGATGGGGCCTTACTGTCGATACGACTAGGCCAGAGAGGATTGAGAAGTTGGGTTTTGGCGTTCTCAGTGGGCTCGTTTGGGATTGCGATGCCTTCTGCGCCAAGGGTAGAGGCCAAAACAGAAGGAGCCTCACTGTTGATAGTGTTGAGGTGGTCGGGTTTGGCACTTTCAATTGGGTCTTTGGAGTTTGAAATATCTCCGACGCCGGTGCTGTAGGTCAGGTTGGCTTGAGCACTCTCAGTCCGCTCGTTGGGGGCTGAAGGGTGTTCGACGCCGACGCCGTCAGTCAAAGGAGCCTCTTTATCGATGGTATTGATACACTCGTTCTGAACACTTTCAGTGGACCCGTTGGGGGTTGAAAAGAGTTCAATCCCGAGGCTGTGGATAGCCTTGAGGTGCTCGAATTCGGCACACTCGGTGATCTCGGAGGAGGCTGAAACATCTTCGATACCGATGCTGTCAGTCAAAGGAGCCTTACTGGCTACATTGTTGATGTGCACGAGTTTGGCACACTCAGTTACCTCCCTGTGACTGGAAACATCCTCGACCCGGAGGCCGATGGTCCCCTCGGTTTCGACGCGCTCGGGGTTCTCAATCAGGGCCCAAAAGTCTTCGATGGCAGAGCCATCGATAGCGTCGAGGTGCTCGGGCCTGGCACACTTGGTTGGCTCGTTGAAGGATGGAACCTCATTGACAGCGAGGCTGTCGATAGCGTTGATGCACTCATTGTGGACACTGTCCGTCGACTCGTTTGGAGTTGAGAAGACTTCGACTCCGGGGCTGTCGATGGTGCTGAAGTGCTCGAATTTGTTACTCTCGGTGGATTTGCTTAGAATCGAGATACATTTGACACTAGGGGTAAAGTCTAGTGGAATCTTGTTGTCGACAGGGTCGAGCTGAATGGGGCCGAGCTGAACACGGTTGAGCCGACGAGTGTCAATTCGCTTGGGCCGGGTGCTGTCAGCAGCTTTCGCTGGGAGTGAAGCAAGTTCAACATCGGGGGTGTTAGTCAATGAAGACTCGGTGTCGACAGGGTTGAGGTGAAGAGGGTTGAGGTGAAGAGGGTTGAGGTGAAGAGGGTTGAGGTGAAGAGGGTTGAGGTGAAGAGGGTTGAGGTGAAGAGGGTTGAGGTGAAGAGGGTTGAGGTGAAGAGGGTTGAGGTGAAGAGGGTTGAGGTGAAGAGGGTTGAGGTGAAGAGGGTTGAGGTGCTCGATCTTGGCACTTTCGTCGTGGCTCTTTGCGGTTGAAATATGGCCGCTTTCGGGGGTGTAAGTCAATGGAACCTCGCTGTCGACAGGGTTGAGGCGAAGCGGGTTGATATGGTTTGGATACACACGCTTGGTGGGTTTCTTTGGGCTCGAAGAACTTTCGAAGACGGGGTTGAAGTTCAAAGGAAGACCGGTGTCAAAAGGGTTGGGGACATGAGGGTTGATGGGCTGGGCTTTGATATTCCCGGTGCAGCTTTCGATGGAGGTGATGATTTCGATTCTCAGAGGAACAAAGGGACAAGGCTCGCTATGGCGTCTCAAGAACTGAGTGCAGAACTTGCTGTTGACATGCTTGAGCAAGCCAAGGAAGGACAAGCCCAGTGCACCATTCATGATGCAGACCTGCAGCTAGTGTATTGTTAGCACCTATTGTGATACACGAATACTATAGGCGATGAGACGCGTACCCGAAGCTGTGAATAGAAACAATGATTTGACGGTTGGTATTGGGGACAATGATCAATTGTCACAGGCTGAGATGGAGAGATCGTTAGCGTTGGATGAATCGAAGACAACCTGAGCATCTATCGTACCTATTCGTCAAATGGTGCGTAGAATCACCGTATTGATGACACTGATGAATCAGGAAGAGGATGGCAGGATGAGATATTGAATGGATAGATGAATAGGAAGAAGAGTTGGAGGATGAATAGAGGGAAGAAGAGGGGTGGAAGAAGAGAAAGAGAAGAAGTGAAGGAAGAGTGAGGGAGGAGAATAGACCAGTGCAACCACCAACGCAAAGGAAGCGTGAAACGGTATGGACAGAAAGCCAAAGACGTGAATTCAATATCGTAAGGATCAAGTCAAGGTGTTGCAACTGGACCATTATGGCCTTTCGTCTACAAGCCAAGGTGCCTCTCTAGTGATGACTAGAAGGTATAGATCTCAACCACTGTCCTGTCAAGGCAAGCCATACCCACCAAACCTCGTTGATTGATGCTAATCGTCTGTCTTTGCTTGTGCATCTCTACCATTGTATGCATAGATACTATGTTCGGCCATGTCCCTGCCTCCTTGAACTGCCTAGTTAGACTCCGGTTGGTCGAGGGTCTTAGTCCGTCAACGTTGTAAGCAGTAGGGCCCTACTTGATATTTGCCACGTTTCTATTGATTTTGGAGCAGCCCTTTGGCACAGCTCAGGTTAAATACTTGAGGCATGGGCCACAGAGATTTAATGCAAGGGTGTCCAGCTCTGAGCATACAACTCATCAAGTATAGCCTTGAGTTCTGTATTCACTTGGGAGATCCATATGGCATTTAGTTCCGGGGGCAACTTTACGAAGTTGATATAAGGGGTGCGGGTGTCCACGCGGGATGGTTCCAAGGCTTAGACCCATTGGAACCTTGGAAGGGGCCCCGGGGGCTTCGGGCATTTAGTGTAGTCCCAATGTACTATTCGACAAAATACTGATATGAGCCCACTAGCCTAAAACCTGGACTCGATAGAACCTTGGATAAATCTCGTTTCATTCATGAACATGGCCCAAATTAGCCGCTCCCTTGTCGCAATATTATGACATCGAAAATTACCAAAAGACAGAAGGGGCGTATCAATGCCGCAAATCAACAGGCAAATCGAGCAGAAGCAAACACGCAGGCTACTTCTGCTCTAAACCGTGTATGCGTACACCACCTTTCCCATAATGCGCATCACAGCCTTGAGAACACGCTTTGTTTTCGAAGGGCGGCGGAAGACTGGAGGAGGGAAAGAAACAACTTCGTGGTGTCCATCCTTAGAAACAGTCGTGGCTTGAGAAAGAGGGATGGTTGTACGGGGCTTCCAAGGCCGTTTCTTTGGCGTGGTAGAAGACGTCAAAGTTTTCCGGGGGCTTTCGACAGGCGCAGTGGTCTCACACTGGCTGGAGTCGGATGGTTTACGGGCCCGAGTATGGGCATCAGTCAGTTCCACAGGCTTGGAAGAAGGCGTTACTGCCGCCTGGGGAGTTTCGACAGGCACAGTGGCCTCACACTTTCCGGGGTCGGATGGTTTGCGCGCCTGGGTGTGGGCACCAGACAATTCTACAGGCTTGGAAGAAGGCGTGAATGCTGTCGGCACAGTGGTCTCACACTTGCTGGAGTCGGATAGTTCGTCAGTCAATTCGACGGGGTTGGTAGGTGGCGCGGATTTCGCCTGGGGAGTTTCGACAGGCACAGTCACAGTGGCCCCACACTTTCCGGGGTCGGATGGTTTGCGCGCCTGGGTATGGGCATCAGTCAACTCCACCGGCTTGGAAGAAGGCGTGAATGCCGCCTGGGGAGTTTCGACAGACACAGCGGTCTCACACTTGCTGGAGTCGGATAATTTGCGCGCCCGGGCATGAGCATCGGTCAATCCCGTGGGCTTGATGATATCGAACAGACTTGGTGATATCGAGTTGCTTAGCGGGCTTCTGTTTCCAGGGAGTTCCAGGGGCGTGGGCATCTCACATTCCGTCAATGATGATGACTTTGGCTGTCCGTCGTTCCTTTGAGGTAGCTCCACAGTCGGAATTGTCTCACATTGGCTCAGGGGCGACAGTCTTGGCTCCCATGTCCTGCGGCGTGGTGGTCCACGGCATCTTTCAGCCTCTTCGAAAGCCTCTAGCCGCTGGTTTTCCCAGTGAGGAACGGGGCGTATGAGACTTGCGACATGAAAGCCGTTCCCGACAACTGCATCGCTGTCTTGATAGGCGGCCAAAGATCCAGGGTCGTATGCGGTATCTTCTTCGGTTTCTCTGGTGTCATCCATCCAGAGTCCATGCGGGGAGTAAAACTTGAATACCCGCCCTTCAGAAGCTTTGATCAGCTGCGACCCTCTGAGCTGGAAAAGTCTGTGGCCGATTCCATCCAAGTACAAGACAACCGGATCTACCAGTGGAAGCGCGTTGTCGGTTATCGCTTGGATCCGGTATTTGCTTGATCCCCGTGGGGCCTTTGGATCAGAGAGAATGATCGCCAGGGATTCTGAGGGCTTTGTTGCACTGTAGTGCGAGACAGGGTATCCGACCCAGCTGAAATGGTGTATGATTTCCTTTGTTGTCAGAGACTTCTCTCTTTCCGCGTATAGCTCATCATAACACTGTTGAAGGAAGGCGAGGGGTCCTTCGTCCGTCTCGTTGTCGTTTTTGTCCCCAGAAGGAACCTCGTCATCCCTGGAGTCTAAAGGCGAATTAGGCTCCCTGCTGTTCCGTTCTGAAAGGCTGCAGTCGCCCTCTTCGCCTTCCTCGAATACTGTAGGAAGAATCGATCGTTCGAATTGTGGACCGATTAGCTCGCTCCGAGTGAGATCAACCTGTGAAGTACAGGGATGCGTGCGGTAGAGCTGGCAATCCAGGCTCTCTGTGGGGTTGTCGGAGCAATCTCCCCTCTCGAGAGAGTCCTCGACATCATCTGCCCAGTTGAAACGAGATGGGCTCAAGTCTGTGAAGACTTCTTTCTTCACAGTTTGGTCAATGGGCTTTTCAAGGCCCGCCGTATCCTTGCTACCCGAATCTCCCCTCTCGAGGGAGTCCTCCACATCATCTGCCCAGTCAAACTGACAAGGAGTGAAGTCCTCATACCACGGGATCTGAAGATGGTTAGCTTCCTGTGCGCTTTGAGCATGTTGAAATGTAGTATCCATGGGGTCTTGAGGGCATACCTTGCTTGAGGAAGTCATCTTGCTGATTGAGACGCGTCTTTGGGGATGTGTAGTTGTCAGGTTTGGAGATGGCGACTACTGTTGATGAAGGATAGTTCTGAGTGTTATGTTTACGGTTTGGTTCATGTTTACTTCGTAGCCCTGCTCAGTCGCTCCTTCCCTGTGATCACTGAAATACACGTAGATGGGATGAATGGAGAGCACGAGTTCCAAGATTTGCAGACCTTCGGTGGCCTCTCAATGGATGCTACTCACTCTTTATATATGCCATCAAAGCTCTTCGTGACATCTCCTTGATAGCTCAAGTCTTTTACCAAGTCAAGATGAACAATAATTTTGATAATGCCTTTGTCAAGCGCGCCAGAAACAAAGAGACCGAGCGTCTTCAAGGGAATATGGCACCTGGGCAGTGAGAACGCTCTTTGTTTCATCTGGACTTTCTACCGTGATTGTTTCCAAATTTGGCCATGAAAGGGTACTTTGGCTTTGTGATTCAATGGCTACAACATCAGGAAGACTCACAGCCTGAAGAGAGACGACATATGTATAATGTGAGCACTTTAGGCTTGTTATTTCTGTGAAACAACTACCTGGAGCCGAGGCACGATTTTTGTAAACATCTCATCCATGGATGTCCCTGGTAGATCTTTAGGGCTATATCTCGGGCCAACGCTTAACTCAAAATGACCAAGTGATCTGCATCTCCCGAAGAAGACGCCGGACATTCGAAAGACCGGCACATCGGCCTTTGTTCCGCCGGAGCGACGCCGATGCTTACATAAGGTATGACGCCGAATCCCCGCACTCGCTCGTGATAGTCTTCGGTCTCTTTTGTTTTTTGCACTGGTTTGCTCCTGAAAACGAAGAGTAATCGATCCATGAACAGTCTGCGAGCTTGCTTTAGATCAATTGGACACCTCCGACTCTCATCTCCCTCGACGACTCCAAGTCTCTCCGCTTACCCCACCCCCTTCGCTTCAACAATCAACCGAGCTTCTATTCAGCGCACTATGGCTTCCGCAATGGCAAAGCGCCTTGAAGGCAAGACCGTCGTCGTCACCGGTGCCTCTTCCGGAATTGGCAAGAGCACCGCTCAGGAATTTGCCCGTTCATCGCCCAAGAACCTCAAGCTCATTCTGACCGCGCGCCGCATCGACACATTGAAAGAGGTTGCCGCAGAGATCAAGCAGGAAGTTGGTGACGGTGTCCAGGTGCTTCCTGTGAAGCTCGATGTCAGCAACCCGGAGGAGATCAACAACTTCGTTTCCTCGCTGCCGGAGGAGTTCAAGGAGATTGACGTCCTTGTCAACAATGCGTCAGTCACATCCTTCGGACGAAATGATCATTCTTCCATCTGATACTGACAACCCATACAGTGGCCTAGTCAAGGGTGTTGCACAGGCACCTGAAATCGCTACAGAGGACCTTAAGGTCATGTTTGATACCAATGTCACCGGCCTTATCAACATGACACAGGCAATCCTGCCCATTTTCAAGAAGCGCTCTGAAGGTGGCCGTGGTGATATCATTAACATTGGTTCCATTGCTGGCCGCGAGCCTTACCCCGGTGGTAGCATTTACTGTGCTACCAAGGCAGCGGTCCACTCCTTCACCGATGCGCTGCGCAAGGAGCTCATTGCCACCCGAATCCGTGTCATTGAGATTGACCCCGGTCAGGTTGAGACGGTATGCTTCCACGATCCGTCCAAGTTATTATAACTTTCCATCTAACACAATGCTTGCCAGGAGTTCTCCGTCGTCCGATTCTACGGAGATAAGTCTAAGGCCGATGCCGTCTACAAGTGAGCTCCACCACCCGAAGGTGACAAATGCAGATCGGCTAATTGATTACAGGGGTGTTGAGCCATTGACTGGTGATGATATCGCCGAGGTGGTTGTTTTCGCCGCCAGCCGTCGCGAGAATGTCGTTATCGCCGACACCTTGATCTTCCCTAGCCACCAGGTAAGCTCAAGCTTTCCCGGCCTCGTTATGAACTTCATGCTGACTTCTCATAGGCCGGTGCTGGTACCATGCACCGCAAGTCCTAAACGACAATCGAATAATACAAACTTAGAAGGTCTAGCTAGCATTTGTTGCACATATCCTCAATGTCGAATTGGTGGTGTCAACCCAGGTATATAATTCATCGCTAACAATAGATCGGCGAAGATACAGACGTGCTTAAATTTCAAAAGTTGCCGACTGTGGCATACATGATATCATATAGGCAGTATTATAGTAGTAAGAAAGGCTGAAGGGCATATTCAAAGGCGATGGAACTATCAGAGAGCAGCCAGAGCCAAAGCAGCAGCAACACCGCCAGCGGCCCAGCGAGCATTTCCAGTCACCATAGGCATAGCGGCATTGCCACTCTCAGTCTGGCTGGTAGCAGCAGCGCTGCTGCCACTGGAAGAGGCGTCAGTGCTGGTACCAATGGCGGTAGAAGAAGAAGCGGAAGTAGTCAGGGTGGATCCGCTGGTCGAGGCGGCAGTAGAGGCCGAAACCGAGGCACCGGTGGTAGCGGAAGCGGCGGCGGCTCCGGTTCCAGTGATCGTGACAGGCATCATTGCGCCGGGAATTTCGGTCAAGGGGACAGCGGTTTGGAACGCAGTCGTAAGGCCGCTCTCGTTCATGCTCACGGAGCAGCTGGCGGACTCGGTATCATATTCGCATTTCTCTGAGATTGTGCTGTGATAGGCAGTGATCAGCCATTGTGGGGGAACCGATGATCGCCTCGCAGGGCTGGACTTACACTGAATGGGCACCGTATCCAACCTCAACAGTTGAGTGACCCTGCGCAACGGTGACACCGCCATCTGGGACACCACAGTCATCGGAGTCAGTGCCGCTAGGGCAGTTGAGAAGATAGGTAGTCATGGATCCGCTCTGCAAGGAATTAGTTTGTTTCCCTGTATTGCAAGGGCAATTCTGCACATACGGAGCCGATGACCTTTCCGACAAGGTCTTGGGAGTCGAATCCAGGCAGGAAGAGAGTGACAGTGTCAGCGGCGACGGCAGCGGTTGCGCCGGCAAGAACGAGAGATTGAATACGCATGTTGAATAATTGAATTAACGAAAGTATTGAAGTCGAACGAGTGACAGACGCAAACACTAGGGTGAGGAAAAGTTTAGAAGTATATAGTCCGTGGGGCCTCTATCACAATTTAACTGAAGGTCCTTGAAGACTACTGGTGAGACTGCAGAAGGGAAAGCTCACGGCCTAAAGCGATTTGGGATAATGGACCTGCAGCGAAGAACCCCAATTGGCCCAAGAATACCCCCAAGATGACTTGAGCATGATTTTCTCTAACCCGTTAAAGCTTAGCCCGCGTACTAGTGAGGCAAAAGTAAGATGACCATACCCTATCGGGCAATTTTGCCCCTTAGTGGCTGACAGCAAAACAGGACCCAGACGCCTCTAGTAGTGCACCCTGGCCGAGCAGGCAATTCACAGCCTCCGGGTTTTGGAGCCATCTGCACAGTGGGGCGATGGAATAGCCGAAGCTATCCCCTTGTGACCTACCACCATTGGTCCTCTGCAGACCCCCTTGGGGGCAAACCCGGTTTGTCCGGTCCCCACCAAAATTAGCTTTTCTTCACCTAAAGATAGGTCTTTTTTTTTTCATTCTCGCCGGAGTATGGCAAGTCGGGCTACGATGTATAGGATCTGAAAAGATGCCGACATATCCAGACCTCGGATGAGAAGCACAACTCTAATTTCCACGTGTCGTCCTACTCTATTCAAGGTTATTCACGATCCGTGGAACATCGGCTTCCCGCATTGGTTGCACGGCAACTTCTCTAGCCCCGGAGGTCACATCTCCCACCTTGTTTGTTTGACAGTTCCGATCATTCTACTCCGTAAGCCATGCAGTTGTAGACCAGTGATACTAGTGCCGATTTCTTGCGCTTGATTTTCAGCTTTTTGAACCTTTTGCAATAACGCATGCACCGGTTCGCACTGGCCAACAGCTCCTCGCGCCAGTTTGCGACGGCGGGTCAGAGCCTTATCTCCAATGCCCAAAGAGGTAGCGTGCCTCAAAATTCCCAAAAGGTTTCAAAGCAACGAGCACTACGGAGTAGAGCATTTCATTACCCTCGCCAGGCAAAAAAGTCATCCGTTTCTTGCCATATTTTAAACACTGACAATATCAACAACGCCCACCATGAAATCAGGCCAAAACCTCTAGCACGAAAAGAGCTCTTAACTCTACTCACAAAAGAGGTCATTTGGACATATTAATGCTGCCGCCTTTGGAGCTAGTCTCCGCAAAATGACATCGGAAGTTCTTCGTGTGGATCCCCGGGGGCCATAGGTACTCCGTACAGATTTGCCTATAAGCCACCACAATCAGAGTGGCTTAGGAGCCATGTGCCCCCAAATCCTCCCCGGTACAGCCACCGTAGCTGCGTACCCGCTACGGTTGCGGGGTGGTTGGTCGGCGCACTCGCCAAGCTTCAAAGAGAGTAATGGTAAGCGATGAGATAGAGCCGTCCCCAATCACTGACCTCCAAATGAACCACATCAGATATCTTTGAGACAAAGCCCTATCATGATTTATGGCTGATTTGATCAAACCACCCAACAAACCCTGGTCGCTGCGACAAAGTTGAGCCCACGTTGCAATGTGGTTGGATTTAGGGCGAAGTCAACAGAGAGAACAGCAGCCTTGGAACCTTCCTTTCTCGCAGAATAGCTCTCGATCTGCTCAAGTTTCCTTGGCAAGCCTATGTGAATAGGAAGGACTGTATATATACCAATATGTTTCCTTGCCGAAGTGTTGAGGGAAAGAAGTGCGACATTTTGAACCTTGGAAGCACTCGACTGACCTCCCGCGCGACCAGGCTCCCAAATTTGACAGACACAGGTAAACAACTCTATCAAAATGGCACAAGCCGTCGACGGAAATAATCAAGTCTATAAGCTTGCTGCACTACCGTTCATCCTGGAACGCAAAGCGGATTATGACGAAGCCATCCGAGTCTACAAGTCTGCGATCGAAATTCTAGATGAACTGGTTCAGAAATTCAAGAAGGGAAGCAATGTCCGCAAAGTCAACAGAAAGATGTTTGAGCGTCAGGTTCAAGTTCATCGGGAACGCTTAAGTTATCTGGAAGGCCTCAGGCGCAAGGGTAATTTTGACAATATCGTCCTGCCCCCAACAATTCTAGATGCGATGGAAGAAGTGGAGAATGAGAACGGGAAGACTTGGAATTTGACCCAGGTAAGTCTACCTGCGTGAGATCCCATCTGGCATTGTGCCCAGCTCTAAATCCTTAGATCCGGAAAGCCCTCCATGATTTCCGAGGGGATATCCCGAGTGATGCTGCGCCAGACCTGAGTGCAGCTCCAGTTCATATTCACTCATTCCTTGGCGATGGTTCCAGCATCCCATTCTTCTCGCCAACTTTGTCTCCGTCACTGCCTCACATCACTTATCGGATAACACACTCCTCGGAACTAATCGAATTGGGCATTCGCTCATATTGGTTCTTTGTGAAAGACGTCACCAACACGCATGTTCTATACGCTCTCCAGTGTATCTGCAACAACGAGGCTCCGATTGTCGAAACTGTGCTTCGACGCGCAGGCGAGTTCCTTCCCCAAATCGGAGCGACGAGTGTGAAAATCCAGAAGATGAAAGGAGGCAGCTTCCGCCTCATCACCCGCACGATTCCAGACATGGGAGCAATCACCGAGATTCCAGATGGAGAGATGCAGCGAAAGGATTGGTCACCACGTCGATTTGAGTATGGCGGGCGCAACTTTGTTTGGAAGAGCGCCGCCGCAGAAGGCAAGAAGGAGGGTGGCTTGTTTGGAGGTTTCGGCTTCGCTTGGGAGACGTTATACGAGACCAAGCGAGTTTGGACCAAAGAGGGAAGCCGCACTGGAAAGAATGAGGATGAAACTGTTGGTCCTCGATTGTGCTGGGGCGAGAAGAAAGGAGGAAATGGTGCCGACCATAGCATTCACATGGCTGGTGGCTTAGATCTATATTTCCGCGAACATTTGTTGGCGGTGCAATTGTCGCGAATGGCGCGTGTGATGTACTCTTCGCATAAGGACACCGCCGGAATTGAAGCGGCAGCTGTTGGTGTGGGTTGGTTGTCGATTGTGACCTCTTTGGCATGAATGATGATGACTCTTGCCAGGTGCTGTCCGTACAGGAAGTACATGAACATTCTGTTGACTTGCTAAGATTTCAAGTTCATATCTGGGTCTTTCTTTGCAATATTGTGTGAGAGGAATTGTTTTTGATCCTTTTCGCTTCGATACAATTCCCCTGTGTGATGTGACGGTTTGACGTGGAGCCATAAAACCTTGGAATTCAACCATCTGTTGGCCGTTGGAGCTGTTCCAAAAAGTCCTTGTCCAAGTCCCCCGCATAGAAGCCTAGGTTTCGAGCAAATGTCGGCTCTCGTCTGGGTCATGTCAGCTTAGGTCACACCATCAAGAGAACACTCTCGCATACCTGTTGGACGGGATAGAAGTCACCATTTCTTCAAACAGTGCATCAAAGACACCGGTTTCTCCAAATGGATTCTCTCTGGGTGGGTAATTGGATACAAGCCCCGGTGAGTCTGGTGCCGGGATGATCGAATTTGCAGGAGTAGGAAGCGCATGTTGAACAGACAGTTGCACTTCACTCGGTTGAACATACACGGTGGGTAACGCATCCCCCGCAGTATCCATTTTCTGGGCGAGGGATAGTCCAGCAGATATATCGGCATCAACCGCCTGCGTGCCAAACAATGTTTTATCGCAAGTTGCCACTTCTGCCTCCAAGTGAGGTAGGTAAGGGGATAGTCGATTTTCTACCAACCCCATCTGTTCTGGGGAAATATTCAAGAGGCCGGTGCCTAAGCCCTGTTTACATTGCAATGCAAAGCAATGCAGTAATGGAGATATGCGGATTACTCCGGTGATTTTCGCATATAAGTCCAGCAGGTCAACAGTCGATTGCAACAGCCGACCGGTCAAATCATCTCCGGTGGTGGCCATAGCTTGAGGGATTTTGTTGCAATGTGCGAGGATAACAAAATTGCAAGTCAAATGCAACACTAGGACGGGGGGATTGACACAAGCCGCACTGTAGCTGTACGGATGTTTTTCAATGAGTAGTTTCTGCTCTGCCTGCAAGATGCTGAGGAGCTCGCAAGCATCTGTATTGGTCATATTGTCCGAAGGGCTTATAATTCTCGTCAAATATTCCATGAGCTTGCCGAGCTTATTGAAAATACTCAAGGCTCTCAGGGGCCCTTGAGGCTGGTCGCGGTGCGGGCCCTCAGAACGACTTGAAGAAACTCTCCAGACGGTCCATTCTTCCATACTGTCTTCGTTTATGCTTCCATGTTCCTGTTGCTCCATCAAAGACATGCATGGTGTTCTCCTGAGAAGTGCGGAAGTCATGTTGTCGAGTAGTGCACATCCATGAAATGTGTGCTGAAATCGGTCTTTCTTGGCTGCTGAAGGTAGGGAGGCCAGCATTCTTGAAGCCAAGCCAGACAGCCTCCAGGCGTATGACAGATCTCCTAGTTTGAGCTGCAGCAATGCAAGTATAAGAAGAGCTTGTATATGGCCTAACTCCAATTTTGATGACTGGGCCATTGCGCCAGAGAAGATCGCAATTTGGAGTTGCGAATGGTCCGGATAAGCGGTGTCGGTGCTTTTATTGGTGAAGATCTCATATGCCACGATGGCCCAAAGAGCCAAGTGAGATCCCTTGGCTGGGTCCGTGTGCGATTGGGTACTGGTATGCATTGTTCTTAAGAGGTCATGGTGCTCCATAATGGGAAACCAGGAGTGGGTATATTTGAAATAACTCTCTAGCATGTCGAGGGTATCAGTCGGAAATGATTGCTCAAGGATGCCTGATGGGATTTGATTGACTTTTGGCGTGGCCTGTGGCTGTGCCAAGTCATTCAACTCGGAAGTTGTGGGCAAAGCATCACCGGCGATGAGACCTGGCGTGTTTGAGATATCTAGATCCCACTCAGGTTCTTCGTGGGTGATTAGCGCGGAAAAATCTTGTGGTTCGTTCTCAAGAAGCAGAGGCAATTCCTTGGCGAGTCGAGACTTGCGCCAAAGAGTCGCAGGGTCTTTCGCGAGGAAGTGATCATTGTTTCGTGACTTGGCCAACAGCTCGTGTACGATGCTCTCGCTTTTTGGCACATGCTGAATCACCAGTCCAAGAATCGTCTCCAGGCTTCTGACATATCCGGGGGCCAGGCCTCGTCTTCCGCCTCCGTTTTCGTATGTGCAGGAACGATCAGCCCCCCGGCAGATGGAGCAAGATGGCTGTTCACCGTCACATTTTGATTTTCTTCGACGACATTGATCACATGCCCGGTATATCCTCTGTCTCTTGGGTGGTCTAGAGGTAGACATTCTTCGAGCTCAACATCGCTGACCCTGTCTCTCAGTAGGAACATTCCGCCGTCGTCGACCACCGCGCATCACGTGATCGGGGTGGATTTAACCGGGAGGCAACACGGGAATCGACAGCGCGTCGACTTCTTTTTGCGCGAGGACGAAGACCAATATACTCCAGCTAAATCTCGGGCTCTATGAAGCCAAGCCCTTCAACTACACTCTCGCGGTAATGTCGCCACAGACTTCAGGTGCAGCCAATCCTCGGCAAAAAGGTCCTGGCAGCCGTCGATACACCGACGATGCAACTATTCTACTTGTCGGCTTCATCGGGGCAGGTAAAAAGACGTTGGGGGTCATTGCATCGGCTGCCCTTCATCGCCGCTTCATTGAGTTCGAGGCATGTTTCCAGTCCAAGCTCGGGTCGTCCCCTCAAGAATTCGCCGCAGCCCATGGATTTGTACGATACCGAGAAGTTGAGATTGATATGTGTCAAGAGATCCTCAGCAAACATCAAACAGGCTGCGTCATAGCTGGTCTCGGCCTCACAGCCAGTTTCCCGTACTCAAGGGTGCTGGCGGACTTTGCGCAGCGGCATCCCGTCATCTACGTGCGAAGAAATAAAGCCGATATTCAGCATTCCATTGGAGGAGATCCAGCCAAGTTCGAGCGCATCTTTGAGGTTGGAAACAAGTTCTTCGAGTCTATCTCCAACTTCGATTTCTTCAATCTTACTCAGGAAGTGCCACGCCAAGCTGAAAGTATGGCTCACACATCACTCAAAGTTAAGGAGATCGAGCGTGTATTCGTGAAGTTCTTACGCCGCATATTTGGAAAGACACAGCAGCTGCTTTTCTCGGCTGATGCTCTCTCCGAAACTCACACATATGCCCTGTATCTTGCTCTAGATGATTTCGAGACAGGTGGCCTCGATCTCGATGGACTGGATGCCGGAGCAGATGCAATCAATGTCTCGTTAAACTATGAAGACTACTCTCATGGATCTGTTATGAATAGGCTTTCGCGCCATATGACAACTCTTCGAAAGCACACTCGTGTTCCGATCATCATTGACGCAACGATGGATTCACAGAGAGCCGCCACAGCCTATTTCAAATTCCTGGAAAACATGTTGCGTGTAGCGCCCGATGCTTTCACTGTTTCGATAGAGAGATCAGATATCAGAAAGGAGATCTATGCCATCAAAGGCCATCCTAAAATGATTGTCTTCTACAACCACAACGGGCCATTGGGTTCCGAAACACATCAGGCATTGATAACCTCCATCCGTTCTTCCTTCGAGGATTGGAGCTTTGATGCCCTTCGCTTATCAGGCCAAAGCTCTGTGGCAGCAGATACACTATCATGCGTTTCGTTCCGTCAAAAGCTAAGGGATGCCTTGGGTGTCCCTGTCATTGCATATAACGAGGGTCCTGGGGGTCGAGCCTCGAAGATCTTGAATCCAACTCTGACCCCATTGACTCTCCAACCCAACCCGAACACTGAGCTTTCTATTCGAGAAGCGCAACAGGCACTCGTCTCGTTATCACTGCTTCCCAAGAAGGATTTCATGATCATTGGACAAGATGTCCGGGTCAGTCTGTCACCAAAGATGCACATAGCGGCTTACAGCTCAGTCGGTCTTCCTCACACTTATACATTCCGTGAGATTCAAACATGCTCTGAGATGGAAGAAATACTCCAATATCCATCATCCGGCAGCCCTCTAGACGGCATCACTATTTCTCTGCCTTTCAAGACAAATGTCATACAGCTAATTGACGAAATCAGCCCGGACGCTAAAGACATCAATGCTGTAAATACAGTCATACTGGATCATCACATTGAGCCAGACGGCGCAAGGCGCCCTCTTTACCGCGGTCACAACACGGACTACATCGGCATCCGGGATTGTATCCACGCCCACCTCTCACCCGCAAACGCCATCCGAGATGGCAGTACAGCTCTCATTATAGGAGCTGGTGGTATGGCTCGTGCAGCTATATATGCTTGCTATCAATTAGGGGTTCGCCGCATCTTCGTTTACAACCGAACACTTTCAAACGCGCAAAGCCTGATCAAATACTACCGTGAATGGGCGATATCCAGGGGAGATGACAGCTTCCATCTCGATAGTATCGAGTCAATAAACGATCCATGGCCCTCGAGCTTTCGCTTGCCAACAATTATGGTGTCATGTATCCCGGGGAGACATCCTGATACCCACACGCCTGTCGACTTTCGGATCTCCGATCGATGGCTTGAGAGCCGAACTGGAGGGGTCTATGTTCAGGTTTGTCATCTCATCTGCCTTCAATGTGTAATGTACTTAAAGCTAATCGGAGATCAGGTGGGATATGGTAAGTTCAAAACTAGGTTGATGGAACAGTTGGACCAATGGTCAAGTAAAGGTTGGGTTATCGTGGATGGACTGAAAGTCCTGATTGAACAGGGTATTGCGCAATACGAGCTGTTCACCCGTCGGCCGGCTCCCATTCATATCATGCGACGGGCAGTCCAAGAAGAGGCGGTTAAGAATGGTTATTTCCACATGTGGTGAAACCGTGTTTGACTCACCCTCATCAGAAATCTGGAGTCAGGACTGATCATATCCGAGTTACATACAACAACATGATATATTGACACCCTATAATGTAAGAAGTGATATCAAAAGCGGAACGTTGACTATCTCAAGATCTCGGAACAAGATTTAACGCGTGGAAAGTGGAGGTAAGACTCGATCCGAGAAGGCTAAATTTACACCCGATGCGCCACATAAGATCTTACACCTCATTGCCTCCCGAATCTGGAAACATACAAACAGCCGTTGAATTTTTTGAGGCTTCAATTCGAATTCTCGGATAATGGACTTCCAACCGGCGATTATGAGTGTCTCCCTGGGGCGAGCTTGGCTCCACGACTTCGGTCACAAAATGGAGCAAGCTTCCAAAGCGGGTTTCAAGGGAATGGAGATTTTCTACGAGGACCTAGACTATCTCGCTCGCAGCATTTCGGGGAACGATGAGCCAACTAGCGAGCATCTTCTGCAGGCCGCCGATCAGATCTATTCCATATGTCAGGCCCAAGGTCTTGAGATCATCGTTCTCCAGCCTTTTCTTTTCTATGAAGGCTTGAAAGACCGAGCGCAGCATGGAAAGCTTATCGAAAAAATGCAATTTTGGCTGCAGCTTGCCAAACGACTGGATACCAGGACTATCCAAATTCCCGCCAATTTCCTCCCTGCAGACCAACTCACCGATGACGTTGATGTCATCGTTGCCGATCTACAACAAGTGGCGGATATGGGTGCAGCTGAAACCCCAACCATCCGCTATGCATACGAGAACTTGTGTTGGAGCACCGTCAACGACACCTGGGAGAAGGTCTGGGACGTGGTCAAACGCGTTGACCGTCCGAACTTTGGGATCTGCTTGGACACCTTCAACATTGCGGGGAGGGTTTGGGCCGATCCCGCGTCCCAGACTGGCAAAACAGCTAACGCGGACGCTGATTTGAGCCAATCTCTCCAGAGGCTAGTCGCTGAAGTTGACGTAGCCAAAGTTTTCTATCTTCAGGTTGTGGATGCTGAGCGGATGGAGTCGCCACTTGTTTCGGGCCACCCCTTCCATGTCGATGGTCAACCACCACGAATGAATTGGTCGCGCAATGCGAGAACCTTCATGTATGAGGAGGATCGCGGGGCATACCTTCCTGTTGAGGACGTTGCAAGAGCGATAATTTCTGGATTGGGATACAAGGGATGGGTTTCGATGGAACTGTTCTCCAGAACAATGTCTGACAAGGGGGAGAATGTGCCTGATCTACATGCCCAAAGGGGCATCGTGGCCTGGGAGAAACTACGTCATAGGCTGCAGCTGCAGTAAATGTCCTGCATCGACAAGATTTATGAAGGTCATGACGAAGCAGGAAACAATTCTTCCCACACCGCCCCTAAACGCTACATATGCTCGAACTTTCCAATGCCATGGTCCGTCCGTACATATCCAATTCTATCATCACAATGACTCCCCGCCCTCACTCCCAGGAGCTTACGCGCGACCAACGCCTACAATGCCGCACATTACGAGAGCTCCGGAACCTCAGCTTTGACGAAATTGCCAATCTAGTCGGCTGCACCTTTTATCAGGCACGCTATGCTTGCCAAGCTGAGCAGCTTACACCGCGAAAACAAAAGGGAGGGCGGAAGCCGAAGCTCAGTCCGGAACAACTGGATGGGGTCATACAATGGATCCAACAGTCACCCGAGCATCAATTCCTGAATTGTCAAGATATCTGTAACACTCTGGGTCTTGATGTGTGTGGGAAAACACTCAGCTTAAGTCTCAAATCCCGAGGGGTTGTCGTACACTCGTTGCCTCCAAAGCCACCTATCTTCGAAATTCCATCAATCCACACGCCTGAAATGAGCTCGCCCTCGTCTTGATTTGTTTCTTGATGAACGGGAGAATGGGAACAACTACTTGATCGATGTACATAATGTTGGGACAAGTAATATATTATCGTTCGATAAAAGGCTGTAAGATCACATTTTTATACCTCAATGTCTTTACCATCCAGCCATTCTTTAGCAAGACGGTACAGTAGATCGTGCTTCTCTCCACTAGCAGTTCCTTCGTGTCGCCTATGGCCAGGCATATCCCTCAAAACCGTGACGCCCATCGTAAGCTCCTGACAATAGGCCAGGCACTTGTATCCTTGAGGGTAAGAATTGAGTTTCTTCACATCGATCTCTGGGAATTGGTTTGGGATGACGGGCAACAACTTGTCCTTCTCGTACCAATGCCTCACAAAACGAGCGCCCCAGCGACCATCGATCTTCTCGAAGAAGAAACAAAACCGGCAGTCTGCCTCCGCATCAACTTCCATCCCGTCGATGAGGAACCGCTGGGTAATTGTAGCTTTCATTTTTGTCACAGCGCGAGTAGCATCACGCGCTATATCCGTTGTCACTCCATGGCATCGGTGCATGATGAATGCTCCCTTATCCATGCCGGCTTTGGAGGCTGCCATGAAATCCAAGTAAGACACTCGGCCGGACCATGTGGTGTACACATATGCTCCCGGGTGGAAGATTGACTCGAAGTTTTCCCATTCGCAAGCATCCCTTAATTTTGCAATCAGCTTATGATTGTAGCAGTAGTTCCGATGTATAACGGATTCTTACCGATAGCATGGCCAGCCTTCGGCTAGTTCACGAAGCTTGGCGCGTTCAAGCAAGAGGTTATCAGGACCATTGTTTCGGACAGCGTTTTCGGGCCATGTGCCCTCGGGCAGTGAATGCAGGTCAGGCATGGTGGAGAACAAACGTGATGGTGAACTGGAGGCTGGAATATAGTCATCGATCGCATATAAGTATGTCCTCTTTGCGGGGTTCTCGCCACCGGGTGTATTCATTGCCGATGGAGTGCGGAAATCGGGTCTTCGCTTTCAGGTCCTTTTTATCCGCAGACCCATAAATCGCTTTCGAGGTAGTGAGGCAGGACGTATTCTGGTACGGATCTAGCAGAGGAAGGGGGACAGAGAGAGAAAGATTTACGAAAGAGTCCAGCTACCATGGCCGTCTCGAGGGTTGAGCACACCTGGGCAAAATTATTATCTCAAAAAATTTGCTTTCTTCATTTCGTAAAATATTTGACTGTCTAGAAATTTATCGCTTTGCTTTCTTCTGCCGCCTTCATCAACACATCCCACGCGCCCCGGTGATCCAGCTTCTGGATATTCTCCTCTCCAGCCCACAGCCGCCACTGCTCCTCGATTTGATATCCGATGATATGTGTCCCCTCCACACATGGCCACGCCAGGCTTTCGCCTAGTTTAATCATTCTTGTTCTTCGTGGCTTGAAGCACATATCTAGCAGGACACCCTTTTCGGGTCGCGACAGGAAAGACTCGAGAACAGCAGCGACCGTCACTTCTGTCTTAGTCACTGGCTCAAAGTCGGGAACCGTTCCAACCACGTAATAGGGGCTAGGAAGTTCCTTAGCCTGCTCGAGCGTTTTTACGTGGATGATTGTCGGAGCAGGTGTCAACTTCTGCGTGTCTCGAGTGAGATCTATCACTTCTTGATCGTCGCGATTCAAGATATAGATTGTTGGACAATGTAGTTGTGTCGACAAAGCATATATGGCTGCTCGGCTTGCACCGCCAGCTCCCACGATCAACGCCGCGGCGGGGGAAGTTGTCGATGGCCTTTCGGCTTCATTTCCTTTCTCCAGCAGACAACCTTTGACTCCCCGCCAGTCTGTGTTGGTGCCACAGATGCGTCTTTTGTCATTTCCTTTGTAGTACACATTGTTGCATGCTCCGATCATCCTTGCAATTTCGTCTAGCTCCTCGAGATGTTTCATGACGGAGTTCTTGTATGGCATAGTCACGACCAAACCGGCAGTGGTTGGTGCTCTGGCAAGCTGTAGCAGATCTTCAAGGGAAGCGCATTCTGTGGAATAGAAAGTCCAGGGAAGACCGAGAGATTTTGCAATGTGGTTGTGCATGCTGTAGGCGATGGAATGGGTGACGCCTAAACCGACCAAATGGAGGGTCATTTGTTGAGATTGTGGTGTTGTCATTGTCAAGTTGGATATTCAGAGCCAACTGTATAATCGAATGCACTTTGAGATCTCCGACCCCAGTGTCGCTCCCTCCCTTTATTCTATACTTGCGGATGTAAAATTGCCGCCGGCCCACCTTCGACTAAATTCATAACCGATCTCTCGACACGCCTTCGACATCCCGGTAAGTCTACATAAAATACAGTTTTTTATCACCGAAGTTCTCTCTATTCCGAATCCTGATCTTGGTGTTCAGTCCTCATCAATCAACCCTCCATCACCAGAGTCGACTCTCAAACAGTCAACCATTTCACAAAAACAACCATGTCTTCTGCGAATATATATCCGACCAAAAACTTCCACATCTTCGGCAAAGGGATATCGTTTAGTGTTTCTCCTACGATCCACAATGCAGGCTTTGAACACTGCTCCCTACCTTACAACTACACGATTCGTGAATCAGACAGCATCGACGGGGTTGCTTCCCTGATTGCAGATGACCGGTTTGGCGGAGCAAGCGTCACGATGCCACACAAACTGCAAGTCCATAAGTTGTGTGACGAACAAACCGAAACCGCGAGACTTATCGGGGCCATCAACACCCTCATCGTGAAAGATCATGGCCGCCGGCGCACGGTTACTGGCGACAACACCGACTGGTCTGGGCTACATAGCATTATTGTTTCGCACTCCAGAGACAAGCAGCGCCATCCCAGCGTTGGACTAGTGATTGGAGCTGGCGGAGCATCACGAGCCGCATTATATTCCATGCATAAGGCCGGAATCCAAAAGATTTTCCTCGTCAACCGAACCCAGGCTACAGCCGAGAAAGTGAAGGAGGATTTCAGCCAAGCCTTCGAAATTGAAGTCATTGCAACACTTGACGCTATTCCCGCAAAGCCAGACGTCATAATCGGCACAATACCCGCAGACACTACGACGGAAGATCAGTTCACCTCTTTGTTTGGGCCGCGGGGACTCTGCATAGACATGTCATACAAACCAAGACAGACCCCACTCTTGACAGCGACACAGAAGCATCCAGACTGGGATACGGTGACTGGCGTGGAGGTGCTGCTTGCGCAGGCATTCGACCAGTTTCGCCTTTGGACGGGATTGGAGCCACCGAGAGAGGTCATGGCGGAAGCGATCCTGGCCCTTGATAAGAAGAGAGCGGGGGCGCTTTGATATATTCTCGGGCTTTCCAAGCTTGACAGCCTATTCTCAATGTCTGAGGCTACAGAAATTCGCTTCGCAACTCATGGTCCTGTTTGCCGTCTCTACATAGTAGTCACACAAAACCACCTCACAATGACTACATGGAACCGGCAGGGATGATAGTACTAGGTAGTTCGAAAATCTACAAGTTTTTGAGAGTGAGCAGATACAGTGGGATCAATCCAAGACTTTATTCCGTAAACCTTGAAGCTGTTCAAACATCGCCAAGCGAGTGTACACCGCGCGTAACGGACTCGACATCCCACTTATCCATCCCGAGATCCCGAGGTCTGATTGAAAACCTAGGAAACTACCCAGTTCATTAGCATCTGAATAAACCGTAATCTCATCGCAACCACTTTGATCTCACCTCAGATCTCGATCATCAAGTCCTAGATTTCACATGGACTCCGAAATTTCTTGGACGCAAGAAGCTAACTTTCTGTGGTGGGCTTCGAGGTATTTTCCAAACCTGACCTTGGAATTGGCTCGATTATAAGCAGCGAGCCTATTCCTGTGCCCTTGTGCTCGTTTTGAGCATTCTTTTGACTTTGCCACAAAGGGCAATCATAGTCTCGGCAGATTCATCCTTGAGATGGACGAGACTTGCCTCTTTTGCCTGAGACAGCGCATCTGCCGCCTTTCGCAGCTCCTCCTCCGCTTCCTTGAAGCGTTCAGTGACCTGTTCCATAGCAAATTGGAGGGCTGTATGGGTTGCTGCCCGGACTCCTTCGAGGATTCGGCTCTCGATATCCTCTCAGCTTGTCTGGAATCTCTCTTCTGATGTTTCCAGTGTAGGCAAAAGGGGCGTTGCAAATTTCTTCGCCCATCCACCCACAATTGGATTCACAAGCGCCGCAGCTGGGTTGACTTGGATTCCCAAGTAGGGGCTCAACCCCGTCAAGGGTGGGAGGGATAGGCGAGGATGGGAGTTCGATATGCAGTCGGGGCCCTTCCTCGTCCTCGTCCGATCCATTCTCAGATAGCATGCCCTCGTCCAAGGCGTCAATCTCGAACGTATTGGCAAGCACGGACGACCCGGAGATTATCTCTCCATCTTTGGTATTCACCTGAGCAGTTAGGCCAGCTCAGGTTGGATAGCTTGAAATGGGCTCCGTGGGCTCAGTACGGGGTCCTGGGGGCCCAGAACCCAGGCGGGTCATGAGGTCCTGACCTTCCGATATCGATCTCCAAAATGCTCAGAATGATATTCTGAATATGCTTGAACTGGTGCGAGATTTGTCGAATGGATCTGGGAAAGTAAGAGGGTAATGAGAAGTTGATTCTGAGAGGGTGTCCACTCGGCGTATTTTGCGCCATCTTCATGCTCGTCCTAGGTAGTTTGGTCATACCTCGCGAACTGGTCCAGGCGACGCCGGGTGACTGTCGCGAAGTCGTTGAGTCCTGTCAATGTCTCTGGCGCGTCCGCTGGCATGCAAATGCCCCCGGGCATCAAGGAGTCGGACGGGGCCGTCATAGTAACGGTCCGTGATAAATGTAAGGATAATGTGTGCGTGATGATTGTGCCGAACAGTGAGTGAGTGATGATTGTAAGTGCAGCACAGTACCTACCTAGGTAAGGTTGTGGAGATGTTGTGTGAAGTTGGGTACATAGGAAAGAGAGGAAGTGAAATGCCGGGAAGGAGGGTTGTCTGTCGGAAGTGAGATTGAACTGAATACAATAAAAGAGAGACAGAAAAGCAGAAGGGAGAGAAAAAAGAAAGAAAGCACGAAAGAGATGGAAAACGAGAAGGAGAAAAGAAGAGGGGTCCAACGAGGTGGCCATTCTTGGTCAAACCGGTCGTCTTCAGCACGACGTTCGTCGAAATCTTTGAATCTTATACGGGTACTTTCCTGGACTCGAAACATTTCGGTACTCACCTTCGCCTGCCTCCTGTATCATGACTTTCGTGACAAGTGCTACTGTTATTGTGATGAATCACTACTTTATTCCAATGTTTCTGATCGAAAGCAATCTGGCAAGTCTTGTCGCAGGTTTACCTCGTTTTGAGCTGTCAGAGACTTTGTCTTCTTTACAGGTTTTCTCAAAGATCTGGTTCTCGAAAATTCACATTCGAATGGAATAGGCTGACAACCGAACCTTCCGACGCGAACTCAGCTTTTGGCGAATCCCGAACCCAACGCTGGAAGTACTGCGTTGCTTGTTTGAAGGCTTGAAGTTGCATCCCGCTCAAGTACCATGCTTGGTGGTCTTCAGATTACAGTTGGAAAGGTAACTAACTCGGTCTGAAAAGGTTCATCTCGGCATCTCCCATGGCTTGCTAGCTCATTCGAGACTTGTCACTCGGGTATACCCTTAGGCGTCTGTTGCCGTTTGCCTGCCGGTGTTGCTTTCAAACCAAGCTACATGTCGGGAGCTATACTTCACACGCCCAAGAATAATGCTTTCTTCATGTAAAAAGAAAACAACAAATGAAGGCTCAGAGCGAATACCCACGGACCTACATTAATCTAGCCAGTCCCGCACCCAGAATGGAGCAAACGGGCATAGTAGACGAAAGAAACCGAACTAGGGGAAGAAAGATAGGTGGAAATTTAATTGGTGATCCAAACTGCTGCTTAGAGAAATATATGGCAAAAGCTCTCAAGGTCGGAAGTTATCAATGCATGTTACCTGCCCAGGTTTGAACTGGGGGCCACAGAGGCTATGGATGGCCCAACCTCGAGGCGCTATCATAACGAATATGGGACCGGCGAAACGTTTGATAACAATCCGAGCCAGAAACCGTGAAAACTAGTCACTAGACACATAGTCGATATTCTGGCAAACCGCAAATTTTCGAAGAGTCGACAGGCCGGGGTTCATGCTGGAACATCTTTCCTTGTGACATTCGATTTCCCCAGTCTCGAATTTCCTGCTCCAAAATCGGCAGATTCTGGCAGTTCACGATCTGATATCCAGTATCGGTAGGCTGGATCAGCAAAGCGAGAATGTTCAACACCCAGAATTTGCAGCTCGTCGACCTACCAGGATAGTTTAGGCTACTGTCGTATGTCCTAATCACCCTGTCGACTGTCGGATGCCAAGGGAGGCTGATATCGGCTACACGAAAAAGGCCGACGAGGAGACGAGAGCTGAGTATTCCCGATGTGTAGCCATGTTCGGGTTGGTAGCCGTCTCCCCGGTCTTTGATGTGATATGCCATCCCTCCCATCGCGTCTGAGCGCAAGTACAGGCCCCAGTGGAAGTCGTTTGGTTCAGGTGGTTCTTCTTTAGCGAGGAGAATTACGTAAAGACCACCGACTTTGAGTTCTGATTGCGACATTTGCACTCGGGTGGTCGAAGTTTGAAGGTGAAGCTGGTGATCGTGATGCTTGGGCCTCCAGTCTGCACAAAGTGAGCATGTATGTCTGTCGTGGTTTTGAAGCGAGGTACTGGATCCCACAGATCGAATGACTCATTGTTTCAACTGAAGTGAACTTGTACACCGTGAAAATGTTGCACAGCAAACGCGGCCAGCAATTGCGCTTCGGGCACGAGGTCGTGCCATCACGGCGTCAAACGTTTGCGCCGGTTTTTTTATTCCTTGGGCGGTGGCTTGACTAGGCTTGAAACATCATCATCGGGACGTTACGAGAGATCAGTCATATTCCATTCATCTAATTGATGGATCATCATGAACCTTACGCTCAACTCTCTTTATTGCTCCAGATGTCTCCGTCACAGACAGTGGACTCCAGGGTTCTGTATGTAACCCGCATCTGACATCGCTAAGGTAACGACTTGATTTTAAACGCCCGTTCAACCTTTACCACATTGTGCTGTCGCACCTGTGATACCTGTATGGTACCTTGAACATGGCCCTAACACCGCGTCGAGAGATGACCAGACTCTCCCATTTGGTGTCTCGCGCGGCTCAAGGCCAATGTGTTGCCGAGGTCGTCATCCCAGCGTCACCTTCTGTAGGCGCCGGATCGAAACATCGACCCGATGTGCGACTTGCCTAATATCGACACTTGCAGGGCAGCCGAGGACATGATCAATCACACCCCGAGGCCCGTTTGACGGATAATATCGGGATCAGCCAACATTGCAAACGACCCCATGCAGCCTTATTGGTTATCAAGCCCCTTTTAGACCTTCTAGTAGCTTTTCCCCCTCTAGTGTCTTCTAAGAATAAATAAGGTATGCCCTAGATCCATATCTGAAACTTGGATTTGACTCGAAACATGGCAAGCCATTGAGTTCCATGGGCTCACAGGCGCACCGATAACCAGATGAGGAATCGCGCCCGAGGTACCGTAGAGGATCCCATGGGTTTCAAGATCGGAAGGGTTCCCAGGTTGCCTTTCGAGAATTAACGTGGGAGCCAAAAATGTGAATGGGTGATCATTTCCTAGATTGACGTGACCCATGCTATGTGATTCTGCACATGTTCCCCAACCAATTGGCAATTATAGAGGGGTCTGCACAGAATTTGGAAGGCCACTTCGTCACAGTCGAGAACCCTGTACCTTGTCAGCATGGACACAGAACCGATCACCAATTCCCCGAGATGCAAGGTTTTTCACTGTCAAACGAGATAAAAACGGGGTGATTGGAGGGTGATTGGAGGGTGATTGGAGGGTGATTGGAGGGTGATCGGAGGGCGATCGTGAAAGAAAGAAAAAATCAGTTGATCGACATGCGGACAGAGCAAACAATGGACGTGTCCAATCCGAAAAGCACGAAAATGACCGAGTTAATTATGTTGCGGGATGATGCAATTGGGATGCAAGGCGGGCGTCTACTGCAAGCCATCCAGGCGTAACAGAAAGCCAAGATGAAAATATGCAGTTGCTGGCCTCGACCTTACAGGACGAGTCTGGTGCCCAACATGCCAATCCAATCTACACTACGCCTCACCGTCGCTTGCTATCTGATTCCGAGCTCAACACGCTAGGCATAGACCGATGCCCTAAGGGCGCCTAGATGGGCCCTATCTCCACCTGGACGGCTGATCCACTTTGGCACTGATCCAGCTGATACTGGGAGAGGAGTGTTGTAGTATACTACTAGTAGTAGTAATGCTGTATATACTCGTAGTGGAAGATTCGTAGTGAAGCTGATTTTCCGTGGATTCAGGCAATATGCGCAATATGTACATATCAATAGGACACATATATTGCACGGTCCTTGACGGGGGAGGCTTGGGCCAATCAATTGGCTGGTAGAGATACCCTTTAGTAGCGTAGTAGCGTACCAAAGCTTGCGATATATTAGCCCACCAGGAAAAGGAGACAGGAGAATGCAGCATCAGTTATGAAGTGATATATGTACTGGACTCCGTAGGGAGTAGAGAGTAGGGAGTACTGTGCTGTAGTCCGATAAATGTAAGAAGTAAAGAATGCGAATACAAAAGCCGAATAGAGGCGCATAACAAGAACTACAGTAATCCCCCTTTTTCACCCAATCAACATTTTCCTCCCCACTGTCTCCTGAATTTCCCTTTCGCCCCCCCTTCTTTCCTTTCGCCTGGCGAGAATTCTTTTTTGGCTTAAAATTCTGGTTACCCCGGACCTACATTGCTATTTTTTTCCCTTTTTTTTTCCGACTATTTTTGATGCGAGTCCGAATTTGCTCCACCAGAAACAGCTATCCCAATCTGCCCTTCCGCATCTCCGACCCCCCTGATCCCGTTGCTCAAGCTCGGCTCAAACTTCTCGAACTCCCTGTGTCTACCTGAGACGAACCTACATAATGGCTTCCAAGGTGAGAGACCACCCTGGCTCCGTTCCGGGCTGAACTAACCGGCCGCAGTTCCTACGAGAATACAAACTCGTCGTGGTCGGCGGCGGTGGCGTCGGAAAGTCCTGCTTGACCATTCAACTCATCCAGAGCCATTTCGTGGACGAATATGATCCTACAATCGAAGGTGAGTCCTACGCGCGTCAACCCCAAACACCACGCTGATTCGGAACCCTCTTTCGCCGACAGACTCCTACCGCAAGCAGTGTGTGATTGACGATGAGGTCGCGTTGCTGGATGTCCTGGACACGGCAGGCCAGGAGGAATACTCGGCGATGCGGGAACAGTACATGCGAACCGGCGAGGGCTTCCTGCTCATCTACTCCATAACGTCGCGCCAATCCTTCGAAGAAATCATGACCTTCCAACAACAAATCCTACGCGTCAAGGACAAGGACTACTTCCCTATCATCGTCGTCGCCAACAAGTGTGATCTGGAGAAGGATCGCGTTGTCTCCGAGCAGGGTACGTGACGCCCTACATCTCCCTACTCAACACCCCATACCCACTCATTTTTCCACCCCCAAACACACCTGTCCACATCTAACATTTACAACAGAGGGTGAAGCGCTCGCCCGCCAATTCAACTGCAAGTTCATCGAAACCTCCGCCAAGTCCCGCATCAACGTCGAGAATGCCTTCTACGACCTCGTCCGTGAGATCCGCCGCTACAACAAGGAGATGTCCTCCTACCCCTCCGGCAGCGGCGCCTTCGGCGCTCGCGCACCAGAGGGCAAGATGGACGTCAGCGAGCCAGGCGAGAGCGCCGGCTGCTGCTCCAAGTGCGTCATCATGTAAAAAAAAAACCGAAAAAAGAAAAAAAAAAAACTTCTCGAAACCGAATCGCTGCGCCACCATGTCTCTCACGGAAGTCCCAGCGCAGCACATCGAGAAAGAGTTTACATTGGATGTTCCGAGGGTGTCGGGATTCGTTGGATATACCTGAATGGCCCTAATCTTTTTTTCCCTTTTCCCAATCTATGCCATTTCAGATCGCACCGAAGCAACAGATCCGACAGAACCAGAAAACAAAAATAAAGCGGCCCTGTCGAACTGTGTTATGGATGTTTGTGGGTTCACGGCTCGCTCGCTTTGATGACTGCCGACCTTGACGCCAACCTCGTCTCACGAAACATTTTGATTCCCCTTTTGTTGTCCGATTGCGTCTTTTATTCTGTTTTCCGAGTCTTTTGAGAAAGATCCATGGTGTTTGTTATCTATCGCTTTTTATTATCATATTCCTTGTCGGTCCTGGGATACGACACGGCTGTCAATATATTTTTTTCCTCGGCTTTTTTTCTCATTTTGGTTTCATCATCTTGCCTTGTTTTTGCCCTTCTTCCCATTTCAGCAAGATCTATTTCTTGCCTATCATCAGTGTGCTTTTTTGGGGGTCCATTTGGCTCTATCGGGGTTCAATCTATATGTCGAGAGCCAATCTATACGCGGTGTTCTACCTTAACTGATCTGCATCTAGCTCCGGTTTTTCAAGGTTGGAATGGTCTAAAACTCACCTGCTGCTGGCATTGTACGCCTGTGCCAGAAGCTCGGTGCAACGCATTTATTTCCAAATGTTGACACGTGAACTCTCTACGGAGTAGCTCCACGTTATTCCCGAACTCCATGGTTGGCAAGGTATCCTTAGCATTGTATATGTAGGATTATTATGCTAGTGATATAGAATCTACTCTATTTACTGGCTGTAGACATGCTCCGAGTCAGAGGGAGGATCCATCTCATCCTCCTTGGCAACATGCTTACCCTGCACGTTCTCCTCAACCTCCTTAACCAGCGACTCCATAAGAGCCTTGTCAGCACCTACCAAAGTAACGGTATTGCGCTTCTTTCCCCAGCGCGGGTAACTGCCAACTTTAATCCCGCGCGGCTCAACCTTAGCAGCCAGCTCTGTCAAGTATGGCGCAACAGCACTTTCCGGCAGCGGCGTGCTGAACAAGAATCGGAACGTCCCCTTACCCTCCGGGTCGGTGAGACGAGGGATCAGAGAAGGCTTGAGGTTATCGAGCAGACGCTCGAAAAGTCGCGGCACACCGGGCAGGATATGTACGTTGCCGTTCACCACAGCGATTGGCACCCACAGGTCGTCGGCGACAAAAACGGCCTGGGACTCAGGGGACAGCTTTGGGTCGAAGGGGAGTTCGACCATGCGCAACTTGGCGGTCAGGCCGGGAGAGGGCGTGTCCCAATCGAAGTTGAGCTGCATGGGGTGTGGCTTGGATAGGCGCTTCATGCGCTCGAAGGCTGGCTGGTGGAGTTGGAGCTTCAGGTCGAATGCCTTGGCGATGGAAGAGTAGGTGATGTCATCGTGGCTGTGAGTGACAGTTAATATTTGTTATTGAGGCTCCTGGAGTGTGTTCACGGAGTTATGGAAGGGGTGTGGTCGCTGGCGAGTAGCGAAAACCGAGGGACGTTACGCACGTTGGACCAATGCCACCGCTGGTGACGACGAAATCATAGCGGGAGCTCATGCGTCGCACTGCCTCAATGATATCGGATTCATCATCTGGGATAACCTCAACTCTCTGGAGTTGCATTCCTAGGGAGAAGCAGAACTTGGCCAGGTATGGCGAGTTTGTGTCGATGGTCTGCGGAGAGCATGGCTGTCAGAATGCAGGAACGATGTGACCGTATTGTGACTGATTCACCTTTCCACCGAGAACTTCATCGCCGATGATAAGGCATGCTGCCGTGTGGATGGGTTTGGTGTGAGCGGCTGATGTCATCGCGGAAGGACCAGGGCGAGGGGCCAGGGATGGGGTCGACAGGGTGGGAACGGAGGGGCGGGATGGACCGAATGGACGGGAAAAGTGTCTCGTGAGAAGGTTGAGTCGGCTCAGCATGAAGGCAGAGATGTGGAGGTACACAGAGAGCGACAGAACTGGATGTTGAAAGCGTGGAGGTGGGGGGAACTCCGCCCGCATCTCCTCCCGCTTCACATTCTCCAGCGTCACATTTCTGCCAGTGTTGACTTCCCAAGCTCGATCGCGTTTCCCTTATATCTCTCTCGGATTAGTGACTGGGCTTTCGGCTCTCTATAGTTTCGTGCACATCCCTGAAATATGGTCAGTCACACGTCGCCGAAACTGATTTCCCGGCCATGCGAACTCCCAAACGTTGCAATAGTTGCTGACTTCTGGCAGTCGGACTCACGACTATACTCTTTCTCCCCGGAGACAAAGGAGAAGCTGCGCAAGTTCCGACTAGGCACATCCAGGGCCAAGGATGCGCAAGCTATCATCTGTACGGCCCCTACGCATGCACCTCGCCGCAAACTCCCAACATAAACCCAAGCAACCAATACAGCGCCGGATAAGCTCTGCGCTCATGCAGGCTGGCTCCGGGCGGGTGTGGGGGATCGTTGAAAAGCCACGCTGACAGGTCGCGTCGCAGATATTATTGATGCAAAGACCCAAGAGATTCGGCCTCAAGATGACGAGGTCTATTCCAAGATGGCCGATCTAGCGGACGATCTTCCCGAGTCCTCACCTAGATTCATCCTCCTCAGTTATCCATTGACGACGGTAGGTTGTCGATCCCAATATCGAGGTGCTTGATCGTGCAGATAACTAATACGACAGCTCCTCGCAGAAAGACGGCCGTCCCTCCGTTCCTTACGTCCTGCTATATTGGCTTCCGGAAAACTGCAACCCAATGCAGCGGATGTCGTATGCCAACGCAGTGGAATTGATGCGCACCAGCGCCCAAGTCAACCGAGTCATTGAAGTGGAGACGGACGACGATATTATCGATATCAAGGACAAGTTGACCGGATCGGACTAAAGCGTCTCTTGGCGATAGGGCAATCAATTCGAACCCTTTGCGGCCAATACATTGGGCAGATATCCAAGCCGTGGGGTTTATACTGCGTACAGAAGCGTTCTTGCGGGTTGAATGGACACATCATTGGCTTATGAGTGCCGTCCATACACACAAATGCATCACATGCTGGTGCCAAATGTGACACTCTCTGTCCTCAGCTTCCAACATTAATGGAAGATTAGATTAAGCAGCCTGCCGCTGATATCTTGGGCTAGTGCCCACGGGTCGATCCAATGGCACCAAACCCCTCAGGCCGGCATTTATGATTTATCAACTGGGTGATTTGCGACGGTGCCTGCGCCCCCAACTAGCGGTAGATCTCACGAGTCTTGTACCGGAAACCCTAGGATCCTCAAAAGCGAGTGGTCAGATTCGTATTCTCGGAGGCGCCGGTGATCACCTTGGCTCTCTCAACCACCGGGCTTCCTTTGGATCCCGATATTGCGAAAGACCATATTCCGTATTTGCTTTTTGATCTCGCCCACAATCAGATCGCCTATACCCAGGTGGCATCTCTCCAGCTAAGCCATTAGTATCATTTGCAAGCAATGATTCGCTCGACTGATCTCCACAACTAGTCCCAATATTCACTAGAGGGTCAGCCTCGGCTACCCAGCACATTCTATTTGCGCGAGCACCAATTTCCATGCCGATGATCGTTCGTCTACTCCGTACTTCGTACTCCATGCCCCATCGTTCGCGCTATCCCACCGCTGATTCGGGTGGTGGAATGAACCCATCTGATTTGGTCGCCATGTTAAGTGCTGGTGGCCTTGGTCATATTCTGAAGACCCAATGGGCTACGGTCCACACGAGATTACGGATCGTCTGTCCTGAATCATTCGACGATACTGTGTCCTCGACACTCGGTACTTCGTTCAATTCGCTGCATGCCTACAGTACTAGTACAGTACAGGGTTAGCTGGATGGTGCTTACAGGCTCAGTCGCAGTTTGAGAATGATTCCGCCAATTTGTTCCAGACAACCTTCTACTATGTACTGCAGTACGAAGTTTTCCATACTGGTATACAGCATGAATCGTAACTAGAAGCCTTTGATTCACGAAGCTTGACCTAGTGGTTGATCCATCGTGTTGGCCAATGGCCCCGGGGTCTCAGACCACCTGGGCACCACTAAACTGCAATCTACTGTACACTCTACTGTACTGTGTATACTCCGCAAAGCTGAGGCAATGGCGCTAACAGAAACCACCGTTTCAAGGGCCCGATCCCAATGTCAATCTACCACGATATCGGGCCTGGCGTTCGTGTGGCGATCTCTACGTCTGAATTGGCCCGACGAATAGAAAGTGCGTACTTTGGGCAGTAAACAGAGACATGGAAAATTCACCCCAGACCAATCTTCAACTGACGTTTCCGAACACGAGTAAGAGAGAGTGGAGCACGGTAGGGGCTACGGGGTATGGCTCCTTGGAATGCATATGAAATCACTGCCCGGGCTGTTTTGAGTGGCGCGACATTGCATGGTCCGATCGAAATCCCTGCCTCGCTCTCGCTTTTGCAGTCGTCTTTCTGAATCCCAGCAGGATGGTACCAAGGGGGTTGAAGTGTAACAGAAGTGATTTGTCAAAGAAGGTGGCGAGGGCTTGCAGTTGCTTTACCGTTGTGCCGGGTCGGACCATGACAGTCGAAGTATAAGCAGAGTCCACGTACTCCGTAAAGGGGCGAAAGGTCCACCAGAACCTGGAAATATGCATGAGCGCACATGGAATGTTCCACATGTGCCATTTCCGCCATATAGAGTGCGAGGGATGAGGGGAAGTTGGATAGTAAGATCTATACTATACAACGTATCCGGACAGTAAACACGAGCATACAGTACTGCGCAATTGAATGGGTTATTCCCACATGGAGCGGCCCATTTCTGCATGCAGAATGCATGCTACATCTAGACAGGTAGATATCGAGATCCTCGGATTTGTTCTTCCCTGACGGATCGCGGTGTCGAGGCTAAAGGAAAAAGCAAAGAGACACGGCCTTGTAATTTTACCAATTGGCTCCAAAGCGCTGGGACCCGGCGATCAGACCAGCGAGGTCCACTCTTCGCCCGCTCCAGGGGAGGTCACGGAGGTCAGTTCCACTGTCTCCACTGGAGATGAGCAGGGAGCTTGGGAAAATACTTCCCTGCACTGACCATGATGGTACGAACTTTTCGATTGATTACTTCCCAGGGGGCTGGGTCAGTTGGCGGTGAAGTTGGAAACTCCTGTATTACCGGTTCTCACCTCCCCAAGGGTGAGAAACAAACACGTTGTCTACTGTCCTTGCAGACCCTGCCTAGTGACACTTTTGTCAGAGTACTCGTGCAGTCCACCGTTGGGCAACGAGGGATGGAATTCAAACTGGTACGAGTATGATCAACACGAACTTATTTAGCCTGCAGTAGTGTGTGGCACAACCTCGGGTCAAAGCCCATTTCTGACGCTGTTTGGGTTCGGTCTTTTCGCTTTTTCTTTTTCTTTTTGGGATTTTGTTGCCTGATTGGCGCATCGCGAATGACGAATGGTTTTCGTGTTTCTTCAACCCGCGTTCTAGTCTGATGCATGCAGGAAGCTCTGGGAACGCTCGGAGCGCTGCCCGTGGGTCCTAGCATCGCCAGGATTCTGACAGGCTATCGATCGGTCCGGTGGCTGCGTTGGTTGATTCTTCACAATCCCAGGGCAATGGTAGCGATTTCAATAATTCAGGAATTACACTGACTACGGATCAGTTGCTTGGAAGTGAATATTCGGGCGCTTCAAGGATCTTGCAACGTTCCCCGACAATGCCATTGTTCAAAATAAAAAAAAAATAAAAAAGAAATTGGAGTACGGATACCCGTACGGAGCACAGTGTATGGAGTATGGAGAAGCCAAGTCACGATACCCACCAGATTCCAAATCCCGAGCCTCCTGATCGACTATGGAGATGATTGCGCTCGTTGGCCTCCTGAGATGGGCCCGTTGACCCCCGATCCGCTCCCACTGATAGGCATTGGCTAGCCATTCCCAGGCCGGAATAGCGGGTACTGCCGTGGAAGGGAACCTGGTTGAAGGCAGATGTCATTCGGTTCGCCCGTTGGACTCTCGTATCTGGACGATCGCATTGGTTGCATATGTGCATATGTACAACTCTATTGTACAGGTGGAAAGGCCATACTCGGAGATGAAAGTCCAAAGTTCTAGTGGGGTTGAAGGATTCAAGATACTTTACTCAATACATTGTTGATAGTCTTACCAGTACTACTTAGGACTACTATAGTATAGTAGAGGCCTGCTCGTACTCCTCGGCCCCAGAGCCCTGACAATGGAGCACTACAAGGCGTCAATCCTAAAATAATCACTGAATATCATTCAAAAATACGAGTAATACCCAAAATCCACAGACCCGTCGTCCCGGGTATCCCCACTGGCCTTTTATGTTTTTTTATTTCGTTTTTTCGCTCTTTTGGATTTATTCGATTTAATTGATTTTGTGTACTTTGTCCGGTTTCTATTTCGTATTATAACCCTTCTCTTTTCTATAATATCAAAGTTCCTCCTCTTTGCGTCGTGAATTTCTATCAACTTCACGCCAATTTTCTCCTTTGAATCACCGCGCAATCCACATGGAATGAAAGTGCACATCCCGGCACTTGATCAGCAAAGCATTTGACTTGACATTCCTGCGCCACTTTACTTGTCCCGATGGCTCAAGATCGTCCAGGCGAGGAGAAGCCGGAGGGCTTCTCCAAGTATCTCAAACGCATGAAGACTGTACTTCGCCCACGTTCGACATCTAAGCGGCATTCGCATGCCGCTCCAGAGACTGCTGCCGCGGCCCCATCAGAAGCGTACGTCATGCTCCATTCTTCGGTCTTCATTCAAGTATACTGACCCTGGAACAGTGCGCCGGCACCAGCCCCAGTCCAACCCACTACTAGTACACCAGCCCAGGAACCCAGTGAGCCAGCACCAGTGGTTATGACCGAATTCACCACTACGTATCATGCGAAGACCAGCGCACTCTTCGCCAAGTACGGCCTGAATCTCGACCCAGATGCATGGAAAGCCCCACCCGACCTTCAACAACTCAACCGAGTGACAAAGCCAATCCGTATGAGGGTTCGCCGTACCTGTCACCGTTGTGAGACAACATTTGGCACAGAGAAAGTGTGCGTCAACTGCTCGCACACCCGCTGCACCAAATGTCCTCGATTCCCACCAGCCCGTGCTGAAGGTGAACCGCACATCCACCGACCCAAGATGCAGGAGTTGAGCGCCAACCATCCCCGAGGACTTCACATCACGCCACACCTCAAGTATAATGGCGATGCAATCAATCCTCTGATGAAGCTCTCACGTACGGGTGGACAGGATTTGGTCCGGAAACAAGTGCGTCAGCGCGTTCATCGCAACTGCCATGTATGCACTGTGCAGTTCACATCGGGGAGCAAACTTTGCGAAGCCTGTAACCATGTCCGCTGCAAGAAGTGCCCTCGGGACCCTGCCAAACTGGACAAGTACCCAGATGGGTATCCGGGTGATGCGGATCCGCCAAAAGCCAAACCCGATCGTGTTTACAAAAAGCCTCGTCACCGAGTTCATTATGTGTGCCATGTTTGCACCACATCCTATCCACAAGATAGCGACACTTGCGCCAGTTGTGGTCAGACCAAATGCGCTGAGACTCTACGGATTCCGTATGTATATTGCATCTGTCAAGACTTGAGATATCTGCTAACATCAAATTCTACAGGCCCAAGAAAGTCAAACGGGAACCAGATCCTGAACTTGTTCGAAGTGTGGAAGAAAAACTAGCAGCGATGGCGATTACACCCAAGCCTGCAGTTGCGGATGGTTGAACTGAACCATACGGCGTTGTCTATCTATGCATTCCATCAATAAGATTATTCGTGATATCCATTTTTAGGTTGAGTCTGTTCATATGAATTGTCCCCTGGTCTTGACCCAGATTGAATAGATGGCTTCTCCCTGACCATGAATTACCAAGCGAAACAGCTGGCACCCGGAGCAGCCGATCAAGTCAGCGCAAACCGGGGCACCTGGACGCAATACCCTTGGCGGGGGTCGGCGCCGACGGTCTGCGCCTCACCACAGGCCTCCGTTTCTATTCCCAGTTTCCCGGTTACACATACCTGTGTACGCGGCATGGGTCCCAACGGTGTGGAAACCCACCGAACATACGACTCATACGGTTTTCCCCCTCCGAATAGATGAACTTTCTCACGTATGGAGTACACATGGACACGACGGCGTATCCTCCTGATTTAGCATTCGTTGGCAGACATCAGAAGATGAAACCCGGCGGCAATTCCAAACAAGGCAATAGGCTCTAGATCCACATATACCGAGCAAGTCCCCAGTGTCTCCGATCTCCTGGGTCTGAGTGGGTTTCATTCCAGACTTAGCCTCGACTTCAGAAACATTGCATGATTCATGCCCGATGCCTCTGACCTCCGTACTACTGCACATCGGCACCGGATATGTACTCCCTGTGCCAACCCTCCAGTCCGATACCCACCTAACGGTGTTTATTCCCACGCTATCCACTAGAGGCGGAAGTCTAGTCCAGCCTAAATTAATTAATCTCCTACGTCATCTGAGTATTTGGCTCCAGAGGCGTGTTCAGTACTCCGTACTGGTACACAGCGGACCGTTTTCATGTCTCTAATTCAAAGACAAGTCCAAATAGACTCCCGAGATGCCCAGATGCGTACCGGGATTCTCAACTCGATGACTATGGTGGCACAACGCCACTAACTCCAATCCAAATCGGAAGACGTCCGGGGATGCACGGTTGTAAGAGTGAACAGCAACCTTTCGGCCGAAGCCAAGTCAGCTTGGAAGCTCCAAGGTTCCAGAAGGTTTGGCATTTGGTATCACAACGAGCAGCCCTGGAGACTGTGAAGCCGCGTGGTTCCGTCCAAACGGACCGAGCCGTTTGGTGGGTTGAGACCCAGTCAAGAGTGACAGCCTGGCACTGCATTTCTATCTGCGTGTTGTGTCATAAAATTGCTGTTTGGGGGCACGTACGGAGTACGGAGTGCTACTAAGTGCTTTGTACTCCGTACTTCGCGTACGAGTTAGTCCAGGGCTGAAAGCCATGAAAGTCAAGGGGGGAGCATATGACGGGAGTTAGGTAGACGTTCATTGGCGGCGGGAGAAATACGCAGAACCGGGATCTCGATTCTCGATTCTTTGCCTCTAGCTTCGGCCACAGGATTGCCTGTTGCGGTATTGATCGGTCGGGGCTGGTGGGACTGTGGGAAGGTCTGGAGTGACGGGCTGGGATTCTCACGCTAGTCCTCTGTAGTGGACGTTTGGGATTCGGTATTTTTGGGGGTTTTCCGAACTCTGAACTGACCCATTCCATGCACTGCGTCCTAGTTGGTCCAGTTGGAAATGCGTCGGCTCCGGTGTACTGTACTAGTCTAAGGTGTCATTGGGGATTTTTCTTGGCTTCGAAGAAAATGTCGCGCTAACCAACCCCTGTCCTTTCTCCACGTCCAAATCCCAATTGGCGGACGCTCTGGGTTTCCCTGTGCCTAGCTAAGCTAATGCAGCACACTGACTGTTCTTTTGGCAGGGAGAATCTGGCAGGCAAGGGTTTCCCGATGTCACGGCGCATTGTCAAATCGAACACACCCAGACTGTCGGGCTACAGGGATAAAGCCAAGCGCTATAGTCCAGACCCCGACCGTCATTACCCATCTCTGACTAATGCACTAAAGTTGAACGTGTCAAAAGTCCGTGGGGACGTGCTTGACACAGATTTTTCACTATGCATAAATGTCATTTACTCAGGGGTGTCGGAGCAAGGGTATCTGACCCGGGTCCAAAGTCCCGGGCCTCGAACATGCATCCCGCACTGAAGGGCGGCCAGGGTCTCCCAAAGTCACACCCACGACTCATGTTGCGTACTCCGTACTATCAGTTCACTTGTCCAATAGTGGTCGGGGGCTGGGGAGATTCACGGCTAATTTCCATCCCTCATGGGTCTCAACGGTCAACTAACCCAATCGAGTAGGAAACTTCGGTCAATTTTTCTCCAGCGTGCTCCATCAAGAATGGTGATGTGCCAGCTGGTGTCAAACTCACGATCCACATAACCCTGGCATGAATAGGTAAATTGCTACAGCCCACTTAAAGCGGTATGGTGGCTAGAGTATCCGTCCAACCAAATAGCCCGAGTTACGACAGCCACTGTGTCTGTATCTAAGATTTTCGTTTAGAAAACGGGCAGGTAGATCATGCATGGATCGGCATGCGGGATCTCAAATGTTTCTGTAATGTGCAAGCAAGTTTGCCTCCTTCGCTGGCTGGGCACGACACAGGTACAGTGCAACCTCAGTATGTAGTGAACTCTGTGTGCGGTCAAGACTATTACCATTCTTGGATCTTGGCACGTCAGTGCCACGATATCGGGAACACGTATGGGTATGTTGTTCTTGTTCCCAGTCATGGACATTATGGGACAGTACCATTGTTGTAATGAAATTATGCAAGATACCGTGTGCAAGATTCCCAATCTTGAGCCCTGGCATGATGTGCGGAGAGTACTCCGTACTAGTATGGCGTTGAGCTAGAGAAGTGACATATCCAGTCTTCAATCTACTCTAACTTTTCCGCTGAAGCATAATCTGTCTTCACCAGACTGCTGGGTCGTAAAATCGAGGCTGTCAACTCATGATATGGGGCACCAACTGCCGGTTTGCAGGAAGCTATTTCCTTCATCTCATCAAAGTTTATTAGAGCTGAACAAAACGGCCAAGTACATAATCTTAGTGTGGACTGTTACCTAGAAGGGGGTAGTCGAAGACACTAGTCACTATCTCGGGCTTAGAAGATGTCGGCGTTTTTATGGAGCACCTTACCGCGCAGTAATCCAATGGTGGCTCCGGGGATCTGTTTTCGTGACAGCCTCTAGTCTCTTTGGGACAAGTCATCTCACACCGGCTTTCTCTCAGCTACATAGGTACGGAGTACCCATATCACAGACCGGAGTTCAGGTGAGTAAACAAGGGAAGAGATGGGGCTCGGGGATCTGCAGGTTAGTGAAAGAATGGAACACTGCCACCCTCTTCCAAGGTTCTGATTCATGCACCTGGTGTCATGCCATGCTCCGAAAGGCTGCTAGCTTTAGGCCTCCCAAAGTTGAGAGTACTAACTAGCACTCTCCGGGATTGTGAGGGCCCCATGCTCAGAGGGCTAGTTGTCGAAGTTACCGATAACCTGGCGGATTATATCTGACGGACTGCTGAGGTCAACATCATTTACAACCTTGGAAAGCTCATCCGGTGATCTATGATCTGCCTGATAAAACTGTTGTCATGGGCCCACTAGTCCAATTCATCTCACTTCGTAGCAGAAGTTCACGCAGACCTTTCCTTTATGGAGAAAAGACCCAGAACCAATTCGATTAAGATACACAGGATTATCCTATGCCCACTAATTGTAATTCGTGTGGAGTACACGCCCCGAAATGATTCTTTGGTAGATACCTTCAATTTGCACACCTGCTCGAGGCCTGCCCAAGAATTGAAGCTACTCAGTGATATTTGCTCTCTTCCTCGATTTCCCATCAAGGACACCTTTGGCAACCAATTTTCTGGTGTGGCTCCAATAGCGTAGAGATATCTTCATGCTACCTTTTCATCATACCCGTGGACTATATTCATGAACTCACATGTTTCCACATGAACATAGATACGCCAGACCTTCTGATAGATATTACCCATATCCATTGTTACCTCGCCTGGATTCATTGACGAGCTCTGGATCTCGGTAAAGCAACAGACCTGCTTCAGCGAAACTAACACCTGTCGCCGCCTCGTATAATCACGTTCCAGTTATCCTGGTAAAATATCTGCCCAGCAGTGCCAAGGCCTTTGATACTATAATCTACGCAAAACGTTAAAATCTTTTCTGCCGACTCAGCAACACTTCTCCAGCTGTCCAGGTATTTCGTATCTCTGTTCTGTAAATAAAAGACCACGTTAGTATCTCTGGATAGCCTGCTTGCCAGGAGAGCGCAAAACCCACATCATTGCAGACGTAAATAGCAGAATCCCATGAGCAACTGACCCGACCACACGCACCAGGACCTGGGCTGAGACTTGGTGTCCCCCTCACACGGCGGAGGTACTTGATGCCTTCTTGTATGGCGGTATACCGGCAGGCTTTCCATCGACCAAAGCAGAAGCGACTTATTTCATTATAGTCTATATCGTGCCACTGTTCGCCGCTTGGGGTCGAGTCTTCAATTGGGTAGTCAAGCGTGTAGTTGGGGTTGAGTTTAATCATCTCGCGGTAGACATCTTGGACTGTCCCATTGACATGAACAAGTGGGCCACCTGGGTAGGGCTGGACGTCCCATTGAACCTCAAATATACTGTAGCCGGGGAGTGGGGAATCTACGGGGACCTGTGTGGTGAATAGTCAGTCAGTATGTGCTCGTGATCATCTTTGAAAAAGAGCCTCAGGGCCTATTTTACCCCAAGAACGAGGGGAGCGAAGAATAGCGCGAGAGCACTGAGCAATTGCATTGTTGTTGTGTCAGTAGTCGAATATAGTGACAGCAAAGGGGCGGGCATCAAGTCAATATTTATATGGGATCGGCTTTTTAAATAGCAGAGCAATGACCGGGCTGATCAAGCTGGAGTACTGTGATCCAGCCCTTCAACGTGATGGAACAATAGGATCAATATCAAAATCAAAACATATGGTTTCTTAACGAAGAAGCTCAAAAGGGGACTTCTAAGTCAGGTTACAGTGACATTCGACGGTCCAATTTCGATAGAATTCAAGGATTCTCGCGAAGTACAGCGTACGGCGCATGGTAGTGTAGTGAGCTGTTTGGTAGATTCCACCCCTTCGGTCTTGTTGGCGAGGCATGTCTGATTCTGAATTGGATAAACGCGGGAAAAAAAAGATCATTTCGGATCTTGAATGAGCATCTGGACATTTTGTCTTGACAGAGTTATGGCGTCCTGAATATATCAAAGGATGAATATGCATTGCTCATAGTTATCGCTATCATATCAGATACTCCTAGAAGATAGTCCGGGGTAAAAGTCCCACTCGGGAGGTCCTCTGGACAATTCCCCGACGGGAAATCGATCAAGGTCCCTTGAACAAAGTGGTATTTGGATCAACTGTACAGGTCCCAGTAAGAACCGCATGCCAATACGCACCCAGTACACAGACAACAATAGGTCATCGTGGCTACAGGGGTTTTGTAAGAGGCAGTCTTGCCTAGCGACTCATTGCTTGTAGAGTGCGACTTCGCCCCGACAAAGGAATGAACTGTGACATGACACAAAAGCTTCCACTGGTTTCGGGGAAAGGTGCCCTCAGTCCAATAAAGGGCTGCAGTGGCCGATGTGCCCGAATCATACTGCAGATGTCGAGCATTCGATCCTTGCTGCGCCGAAAACACAAAGCATATTTCGGCAGGGTATCGAGGAGTTTTGAAAGGCCTTCATGGCGAAAGCCTCCACATCTGAGGTCAGGCCTCACATACCAGCCCACTCAAGACTGAATGCCCGGACAGTGTCCACACGATCAGCCTCTGAATCAACTTCATCAATTGTCCTTTGTGCGCCTCCAATCAGGAATCCCTTCTTCACGCCAGTGCCCAATCTACCGCCGACAATGAGATCCATCAGATCGATGTTCTGGTCCCAGTCATAGGACACCACAAGGAAGTGCGAGTGGAAGCGAAGTGGATCGCCCGGGTAAGCCATGTACTGGCATCCAAAGCGAAGTCCCGGAGAGAGGAAGTAGCCCCGGGAGTGTAAATGGGCGAAGAGAGGGTATGAAGGAGGCACTGCAGGTGCTGCGAGGTGGGTCGATGATGGAGGCGTAGGAAGCGGCGGATAAGATGTCGCAGGGGTTATCGCCATTGCACTCCGAGAGGGCGTAGATGTGGCGGGCGAAGATGAGCGAGTGTCGTCTGGTGCGAAGAGATCCACGACAGCAGCATCCTTCATGGAAGACATAGGAGCCGCGCCTTCAGATGTTTGTGTCTGCGCGGCAGCGGCAGCGGCAACAGCTTTGGCCTTGGCCCCGGCTTTGGCTTTCTTTTCTTCTAGTTTCTTCATCGTTTGTTCTCGCTTCGAGTCTTTGAGATCGACCTGCAGTCGCGTGTAATGGAGGCCTTCCGCTTCGAGCTCACGGAGATATCTCCTGCAATCCTCTTCTAGTAGATTGTTCATACCCTTTTGGGCCTTGGCTTCGTCTACGATGCAAGCTACATCCTTGTCCACCAACAGCCGAGCCTCTTCGGGCATGAGTTCCAGTGGGAGACCCAGGAAGACATTCTGCTGTGGGATCTGGGGCAGCGTCCCGATGAGCACGCCGCAGATGTGATGCTCACGTCGCAGGTATGTCACGGCCTCAATTGAGTGTAAGAGGTATCTACCGGATACATAAGAGATCGGGATGGGAAGTTCTGGTTGAGAGTCCATTGTTTCTTTTTCTTTTGATATGATATTGAAAGCTTCAAAGATTCTGTTGCATACACAGTTAGCACACATCCATAAAAGCAGATATGTTGGTAGCAAAGTGAGATTGGAGTCGCGAATCATTTTCCAGTACGTTTCTCAGCAAGCGCTCAATGACGTATCAAAGGGCTTCAGGGGATTGACAGATTTGTATTTAAATAATCATGCGAAGGGGCGGAGGGTGAAGAGGGTGAAGCTTACCATTAGAGAAGTTAAAAAGCGGATTTGGCCAGCAAAGCCGAGTTGAAGAGAAGAGAAATGTGTGAAGTCGAAAAGTCGAAAGAAAAAGGAAAAGCTCAGCTTCCGCGCTTGCCCCCTTTGGGATTAGCGTTGCTTGGCAAGCGAACTGGGGATCTGACCGGGCTCTACTCGGCAGCTGTCACTGCCCAGGTGTCATTGTCATTGTTTACTACTTTGTATATACAGTCGAAACGATGGGTTTCTTGCTTCTCCTGTTTCTGGCGTTCTTCGCACCACTGCTACTTTTCGTGGGCAAGTGTCCCGCATTCAAAGGTTCGAGTTTCGCGACAAGCTTACTAACATCGAACAGCATGGCTTGCAGCATCCTCCTGCCTAGGAAGTCGCCTGCGATCGATGCGACCAGGATCCGATGCCTATGGGTCAAGCTACCTCCGCACCATGGCAAATTCTGGCCCCGCCATGTCCGAGCAGATTGAGATGGAGGATATGCTGGCGGAGCCAGGAACACACCGTCACTTCGAGGAAGATGATTGAGTCTTTCGAATGAGAACCCCGAAAGACGTCTCAAAATTCAAGATCAGACTTCTTGGGCATTCCTCCCGCTGCCGCCGTATCCTGAGCTTCGGTGTCCCCCTCGGCCGGCGGCAGACTGAATGGTTTGATCTCGAATCGCCGACGGCTCAGAATGAACGCCCAATCCTGCCCGACGTTCTGATCGCTTCCGCCGCCTCGTTCATGCAGGACTGGTAGACGATGGGTCTTGAGCATACCTTGTGGGGGCTCTTCCTGGGATGTGGCTGCCCCCGAGGTAGCTGTGGCATCTGCAGAGTGTGGGAACGGGCAGAGCTCAATTACACCGTCACTGAGGAGCTCAATCCAGCGAACCAGCCCTGATGAACGTGGGAACAGGGACAATGGGAAAGTTATCATTGCGGTCACGCGGTTCGCGTGTGCACTCATCAACGCCTTGAGTGCGTGTAGGAACTGGAGCACAACCTCGGGTTGGGAAGATTCCGGCGGGTACATTGTTGGGTTGAGCAGAGAAGGGATAACAATTCGATGGACGGTACTTGCGTTACTGGACGCAATGGCGGTTTGGAGTCGTTTGAGGATGGCGGCAAATGGCGATTCTTTGGAGGGCAGAAGTGGAATGAAGGACATGTTTGTGATAGATGGGTGGGTGAGGCGTTTAGTTAAATCGAACGCATGGCAGAAGGCGGGAGCTTCCTTTGCATTTGGATCCTGCTCTCCGGGGGTGGAAGGTGCTATCTTCATCAACATATTGAAGCTCAAAGCTTGGGGTTCTCGAGACTCACCATCGCGCGATCCAGCGACTGCGCCGAATTCGCCCAATCTTTCATATCGCCATGCTATTTTCATTCGGTCATCTTTGCGCCGGTCGGATCTCTTCTCATCAAGAGACTCCGCTGAACCGATCAGTCCAGGCAAGGTTCGACCCCACTGCTCTGGCACTCCAACCACATGAATCTTTTGGTCTTGAATCACTCCCTCTGCCGCGTAGTATCGTAGCAATGCGCCCGCAAAGTCTGTCGTTCCGTTTTCTTCAATGAACAGTAGTTTTCCCATTGGCAATCCTGCATGGCCTGCAAGAAGATTGTCAAGAGATCGCGTGCCTGTCGAAGTCGTTGGTCGTCCATCGTCGGGTGAGGGGCGGATTCCCGGTGTGCTCTCTGGTGCGGGCTGTGCGGTATTAGGGACTGCATTGCGGTCAACCCCAGGGGAAAGACCAATATTGCGCTTGCGAAAAGACATATCGAAGAAGCCAAATGCAAAAGAGCTATGTGTCGCAAATGTAGCGACTAACTGATGTCAAGCCAACGAAATCGTTATCGGCGGGACCAAAAGCGGCAGAAAAAAAAGCTTCAGATTCTCCGAACTCTCCACTTCCGACTCCAAGTCCTCTTCCCACCACAAACCAGCCATTGAGCCCCCGTGAACCTACGAACTACCTTGTGCAGCTATTTCGCACGATCGATCTCAAGACCATATATCGGGAAAATCTCTGTGGCCGCAAATATGTCTGACCCGCTTCTCTTCGAGGATACCTTCACAATCACCGGCGTCAACGCCCAGAAGTACGATCGCGTTTCTCGTCTGACTTGCACTTCGAACGATGCCTCTCTCACTTTCACGCTCGATGTGAACTCCGAGCTTTACCCGTGCGCGACGGGCGAATCGCTGTCTCTTGCGCTGGCCTCTACCCTGTCCCTCGACGGCAAGGAGGATACCCGCGCCAGCTGGAGGGAAGTCAGCATGGGTGAGCAGACTCTCGCCGACGATTATGATTATGTTTGCCACGGAAAGGTGTACCGCTTTGAGGAAGGTACCCACAAGGATACCATGTGAGTTATTCGTTCATTGGAACAGAGATGTGATTCTCGTTCTGAAGCTCATTTACTAACCCTTCAATCTCAAGGGCTGTCTTTGTGTCTTTTGGAGGTCTTCTTCTCTACCTTGAGGGCCCTTACAAGAAGCTCGCGCCGCTGCGAATCGATCACGTCTACCTGCTTCTCAAGAAATAAGCTCGCCATTGAAATTTTGTCGCTCATTTGCTGATGGGCTCGGCGTATGGCGGCATAGACAATCTATTTCGGGACAAAGACCGACGGGGAAAATATTGGTGGTTTGAAGCCAGCCCGATGTTTATATCGTTACGGGGTGCAGCGCAGGCGTTTTTTTCTTTGCATTTTAACTTGGAAATACCAAAAGATTCTCAACACCACATGCCAGTCATGAAATTGTTGGTTCAGGCTCATGACTTGGCGCTCGACGCCCTCTCTTCTATCGATCCGTAATTTTGGACTCATGGTCAAATTATAATACCTTGGTGGATTTCCTTGTTGACAACCAAAAAAACCAGGGAAAGAAAGCAGCAGTGGTTTTCAGAGAGCTAACGACGGGTATGAGTTAACTGATATTTATCTCTAGTTTACCAGCAACATCGACGCTGCACTTCTTCCGTTTGTCAGATGTGCCACAATGAGCACGAGGTGATGATCCTTGAGAACCTTCGCGAGTGTCGGGAAACGGTCGACAACCTTGGGCCGAGAGAGGCAACTTTCCCATCTCCAATTCTCGTACTGAGGAGAAGTACTAAACAGCTTGGTACCGTCGACAAAGATTTCAACGGAGCGCACGCCAACTTCAGAGTTGCTTGATCGTACAGTACCCTCCACAGAGAGTCGACAACGGATATTCTGCTCAGACGCCTCCATCGGGATACATGTTGAGGAGGATATCTCAAGTATCGGCTTGGCTGTACGTGAAGCTCCTGTGCCGGAAGGTACAAGCGGTATGTGATCTGATGGAATGGGCGGCGTCAACTTTGGAGCAGTCCGAGCCTGTGAAGCTGCCTCATAGGCATATGCGTATCGCAGCATGTCGTTATCTGAGTATGCTCTGCATGCAAAAGTCACCCCCACGGGCATTTGTTGCTTCTGCAATGTGCCCATGGGCAATGTGATGCATGGGATTCCACAATGCTTCATGGCTCGACCTCCGTTGGCATACTTTACACCATCTTGAAGTGCATGTGTCATCGACTCGAGATATTCGTCGGCATCTGCTGCCGCAACATCGCCATTTGTGGGAAATGCGAGGAGGTCAAAGTCATTGATGTCCATCCAATCTTCGAACTGCTTCTTCCGCATGTCTTCTAAGGCTTTGACTGCCCCTTCGACCCCAGGAAGGGTATATAGTGTGTGGTCCCTATCTCTCACGAATTCAAACATCTCGGGGTACCGAACTTGATTTTGAGCCTCGGTGTGGTTTGAGGGATCGTCCATGGGTGCAATGTGAGGGTGAATCTTGTGAGGATCAGATGCGAGAAGGTTCGGGCAATTTTTATCACCGTTTATGCGGAGGAAGTCGTCCCAGGCTGTGGCAATCATTTGACAACGCTCAACGCTGGTCCAGTCATTCGATATGCCAGGGATATTGCAACTTTGCCCCGGGAAGTCTTGCTTCACATACTGCTCGAGGAGTGGAAAGTCGGCCTCGATGATTGTTGCTCCAAGAGATTCCAGGGTAGCTCTGGCCTTCTCCCAGAGCTGTTGTACTGGCTCAGTACACACGTGAAAAGGCTTTGCGGAAGATGCGCCAATGAAGCATCGGGGAACAGCAATGCGTTTTCCTGCCAGGGCATTGGGGTCTGCCAGATTGTGATAGCTTTTTGGGCGAAGTTCAGCTGCTCTGGGGATTGGAACGAATCCTTGGTTCCTCCAGAAATCGATTTCTTCTTTGGCGTCTGGGTCATCGGTCGCAATGACATTGAGTACAAAGAACAAATCTTCCATGGACCTTGCATGAGGAACGATGACATCGCACGTTGGATAAAGCGGCCATTGGCCTCTATTGGGTATAATTCCCCTGGAAGGGGAGTACCCAACGAGGGCATTGTTCGAGGCAGGCGACCGACCAGAAGAAACAGTCTCTCCAGCCAAGCCAAATGCCGCAAAGCTGGCTGCGGTAGAAGTTCCACAGCCATTGGAGGAGCCAGACGCATAGGCAGTGGTGGAATATTTCAGATTATAAGGGCTTTCTGCCCTACCATATAGACCTCGTTGAGGTCCACCGTCTGCCATTGCTGGCATGTTTGTCTTGCCAATCACCACAGCTCCGGCGTTCCGGAGCATGGTAACAACAGCTGCATCTTGCGACGAGACAAGATCAACAAAGGCGGGAGATCCGGCTGCAACGGTCAGGTCTTTGATCATGAAGCTGTCTTTGACCGTAAAGGGGATCCCTTCGAGGGGCCGTGGTGGGCGGCCACCTGCACGATAGTCGTCTGATTCCTGTGCTTCTTCCAAAGCTTTGAGGTTCAGAACACACATCGAGTTCAAGGAAGGACCGCGACAATCAAAATATCCGATTCGATTGAGATAGCATGACACGAGTTGAACGCTTGTCACCGCGCCGATATCAAGGGCGTGGACAAGGTCCCTGACGCTGGCATTCACAAGATCCAACATCTCCGGTTGCTCTGGGATGCTGACACCCGGCATGATAGTGGTATTGATTGGATGCTGTTCGAAAAAAGATATCAAATCCGAACGAAAGGTCTCAATATTCACCTTTGATGTCTTCAGAACGAGACACTCAGCTGTAGGTTTGATCGAATGATCCCAGACCGAACACCAGTGGCTCATCAGTTTCTTATATCTTCTACATTGGTCCTCGAAATGAACATCGAACTCCCTCATTCCCATGTTGAACTCCGAACATCCTCAAAATCTCGAAGTATGAAAGCGAGGTTCTCAGGCTCTGATTGGTGGTGTCGCGTTCCCGGCTCGACCTTCGTTTTGGGGGTCCCCGGCTCGAACTTCCCTCCCACTCGCGCCATTCACCACAGCCCTATCTAAGTCACTGTCAAACATTAGATATGTTGGGGCACTTCCGTGGAGGAGCGCGGATCTACTTTGGAGATAAGATGGATGATTTTACATGGCAGGCGAGGTCAAAAAGTTTATATCAAGAGAGCATGGACTCCCATTTCGGACATGGCGATTCGACAGTCCGCGCGACCCGTCTCTTGCATTTCCCAGCATTTGTTGATTATTTTGAACACCGTTGCGGTATTCCCAAATCTTCCTGACTCGCGCACCAGACGCCCCATCAAACTCTCGAAGAATGGCCGGTCTGACTGTGCCATACACGCTATTATACACAATGCCCATACCGAGCCAGTGAGAGGACAACCCTTGGGCCTCTTCTCTAGCACCACGATACTCCGAGAAACGACACCCTTGATCTCTGGGAGTATTGGCAGTGGCCCTGAAACTATAGTATGCAGCAACGCGAGGGCTGCGAGCGCGAAGAGATGAGATACCCAATGTCGCAAGCCTTCCATATTTGCATCTCCCTGGACATAATTGATAAGCCACAGCTCTTGTATGCCACCGAGGTGTTTATCTGTGTTGGATACTGAACTCACCTCTCCCTGATCCAACCCCATTATACCATTTTCTAATCGTGTCTCGATCTCCATGCCTTTAGTCGCAAGCTCACGAATGCTCAGCAGACCGTCCTTTTCCTGCTGATCTTTCCACGCTGAAAGATGTGCCAAGTCTCCGATAGCTAGCATAACCCAGTTCTCACAGCCCATGAGGTCGGCTGTATCGAGATATGGGGCTCGGAGCCAGCTTTGGTATGGAAGGCGTGGTACGCTGCCTGTTGATACACAGGCGAGAAGATCATACCACATCACGCCTACTATCAAAAATTCAAGATCATCACTTGCTCCACCTCGTTTGTCCCGGTCGAAGATATCTTCCGGGGATGATGAACTCATGACAGAAGTGACTGCATCTAGATGTGGAATCCAGTCATGCTCCGCACCGCAAAATACCTGTACAAGTTCGTCAGAAACTTGCACCTCGTCAGGATTCATGGAAAGCATACCTCGAAGCTGATCAACATGAAGCTACATGTCAAGAAATCGGCCAATTGGGCATGGTCGTCTCTTAGTTCATCCCCCTTTTCACTCATCATGTCACAGAGCTCCCGAAGCGCCATGGAATGATGGCTCAACGCCTTTTGCTTCTTTAGAACATCCTCTTTTGCGTCAAGTAGAGCACTCTGGTGCAGGGAAGACAGGCTCAATATGGCGTGATACAGAGGTCCGCACTTAATCAGTAGTAGAAAGAGCCAGCCGCGATTTCCCAGCCGAGACCGGGAGTCATGGTACGGAAACTGCCAGGGGAAGACTTGATCGAGATAGTGCATCAGCAGACAAGCCTCTTGGATATCTATCCCACCATAACCCCCAATGCGCTGCGGACTTGGCTCGAGGTGGGGTTCGCAAGCACGATCGGAGACAGTGGTCACAGATTGAGCCCCAGAGTCAAGTATCGCTTCAGACTGTTCGGTCTCAGAGCTCAAAGGTGCGATATCCAAAGAACAGCTTCGGTTTGCTGCAAAATCAAGTCCTTCGTCATGTCTTTGTGCTTCAGCCAACGCACTTGACTCCCTCTCTCTTTGACGAGCTAGGTGCTGCATTTTCTTAACTTGTCGGAAGTTCTTGTTCACTGTAGCTTTGATTTGCGCTCGCTCTTTTCTTTCTCCTGGTCCGCCGTCCATCCATGCTGGCTTGGGACCATACCCGTGGCAGTGAACCTGCCTCTCGGTGCATTCTTTGCAGGAGGGCTTTTCCAAGTCACACTTTCGGTGCCGAACACGACATGTCCAACATCCTGGAGTCGTTACACGCATGATAAGAACTGGTATAGTCAGTAGGAGCGATGTATAGAGGAGTTGAGGAAATTGGGAAACTCGGAACTACGCTTCCCGAATAGGAAGCTCGAGCCGGGAGCTCAGTCTCCACCGTTGACATCTGCAGAGTGGGACGATCCTCGTATAACAAAAACCTGGACATTTGGTGGTCAATTGCAAAGAGATATGCGAATCCAGGTGTAGATAGGACTTTGGAGTAATTCCGAGATCTCAAATTGTGAAAAACTTTCCAGTGTTTGTGCTCTATCCACGACCGAGTCTACTAAAATATATCTCCTGACCTCGAGGGTAATCCCTCAAGGGTTTGGGCACATTTAAATCTAACAAAGCCCCGATATTTCCCTCGAGGATCCTTAATATGATTGAAAATGGTGTGAAAATGGTGACTATGTACAGTGTCCAAGCCCTAGAGGTTAATAAATCCAAGGCTTAGTAAATTGAGCAGTAGATGTTCCGAGGTTTCAAGGTTGTAGGCAACTTGAATTGCATCGCTTCAAGTGTGCCCAGCTGACCCGGTGGCGTTGCTTTGTCTCTTCTTTATCCGGCGTTGCATGAGAAAGGCCGACTAATAGAGCCTGTACGGAATGCAGTCATCTGCGAAAGCTATCAGTATGCGCACTTCTTGCTGACTCTGATGGGAGTACTTACGATGCCAACGATGCTCGCGTAAAGGCCGCAACCAAGAATCACGACACCAATAATGAATACAGTAAGGTTCAAGATCGCGGTGCAGAGATTTCGCTTCTCGTACCAGCTTCCTTCCTTCAGGAGGAAGAACCATAGCACAGGGGGAATGTAGAACGAAAAGCCAGAGACCAGCAGGCAACCGCAGATAGCAAGGAGCTCGGAGAAGAATGGGATGGCTTCTGCGATGATCCACGCTAGAATGGTGATCAAGGCCACAATGATTAGCCAAGTGATCCATCCTTTGGTCGTGTTGACGTATCGGACAACAGAGTTCTGGTATATTCTACCATGTATATATCGACACGCAACAGTGGCATTGATAGAGCCGGAGATGAAGATGACCGGAAGTGCGACACCGAAGGCAATCTTAGCAGGAATAGGCCCTGCCGATAGTAATGCCGGCGAGGCGACGTCCTGTCCAACAAAGGCATAGATGAGAGCCCCTGTCAATGTATAGATAGTGATCTGTGTCACACCCAGTGCCGATATTGACTTGGTGAAGTCCTCGGGTGTATGCATCTCGTCCATGAATGAAGGCTGAGCGGAGGCAAAAGCATAAGCAAAGGCAATATTTGAGATCGCGACAAATGCCTTGCTCATGTTGATACCCTCTTGAGGCCATGCGGACCACACGGGACCAGTTGCATCGCCCTGCTTAATACCCGTTGCGATGATGCAGACTCCGATTGCGGCGATGATGGAAGCGAAGTCGATGAATCCTAGAATCGATAACTCGGCAAACGATGGTGGTATGGCAAAAGCGAAGAGAATGACTGCGGACACAGCACTGAATATGAGAGCGCATGCAGCATTGTTGGAGAGTGTAGCAAATGCCAGCTTCCCGGTCAAGCAATGTGATCCAACTGATATGACCAACAACAGAATGAAACCAACGCTAAAGAGCCCATCCCCCCATTTGCCCATCAGAAGACGACCGAAGTCAACATAATGGGCAGTTTGCGGGTATTTCAGCTTCACCAGCCCGACCATGTAGCTTGCATAGATGGCAACGAGACCTAGAGCAATACACAGGATCACCCCAGCCACCATTCCAAGCGTTGCAAAAGCAGCTGGTAAGCTGAGACTGCCCAAGGCAATCGATTGAACAATGAGGACAATCGTGAGGCGTTTCCAGCCTAGGCGATGAAAGTGGTCATTGCCCTGTATGGCTCTCTCATGATCCTCATAGCGGCCAATTTGACCGAGAACCTCACCCCCGGAGTGGTCGATGTCGGTGTCTTCTTTGTAATTCTTTTCGGTCATTTTGGCATCGTTTAGGCTGTAGGTCATGATGGAGAAGCGACCTTGGGAATTTGTGAAATTGAGTCGACTGTCGGAGATAGGCAGATATCTATTAGCGAAGAGACACCCCAACATCGTTCTTTTACCCCATATTCTGTCTGATAACCCGGTGTCTTGATGGCGAGGCCATTGTGGAGCTGTAGTTCCCGGGGTACACTCGGCGGGAAAGTCGAGCCGGGCCAAGACCTGGGGTAGCCGCGACGGATGCTCTCCGGGCTGTTATTTGTGACTCTCAGCCCACACCGGCATCTTCGGTGGGGTTTCGTGCAAATGGCTCAGATGTTCAAGGTCGATAAGCCTGATAGGGACATATGACGATCGGATTTGTGGTCAATTTGTCAATTTTTTTCGTTTTGATCTTCTGTCAAAGGTCGTCATTCCTTTACCTCAATATTCCAGATATCAGAAGATATCAGAAGATACCTAGGTATCAGTATACTATATCGTAATTTCCAGCAGGGCCATGTGTTTTCGGTCTTTTGTGTGAGGAATAGGAGAAGAAGAGATGTTGAGTCGTGCGGTGTTCGAAAAGGATTTCCCATCTCCTACACCACGCTCTCATGACCCCGGCAAGCACCAATATGTAGCTTCACAACGGGTTGTGTGGTTATGCTGCTGCCGGAGATCATGATTGAGATAGAATTGGTCGGTTTTGTCAGAAATATGTGATTTCAGAGTCTTGGAAATCACCCTAAAGGGTAACGTGGGCAATGTGGAGAAGAGCGAGGATCTGATTTGCGTGATCGCATACTTCACCTTTTTGAGATAGCTTGCGACAATACACAGACATCATCCTTGTTCAGAGGGGAGTTGATTCTTTAGGTACTGCACTATTTAAGCCAGGCAAGCTTCCCGGATAGCAGCGAAACAACCAGCCTGGTCTTTCTACATTCAATCTTTTTTTACTCTGTTTTGGCCATCAATATAGACTCATCCTCGGAGTCTGACCTCTTCGCCACCATGAAGTACAACCGAATGCCCATTGAGATCGAAGCACCCGAAGAATATGGCTACGAGAATATCAAGTACAACTTGTCCGAAAGTTCCATCACCGACCAATCTCTGGGATCTTTGGGTTTACAAGTCCCCGATTTGAAGTTGCTTTACAACGAGCATCAAGGAGGCACCGCCCTCCGCAAGCTCGTGATCCAGGGATCTGAAGGCCTCACCCACGAAGACGTTCTTATCACGACCGGTGCCGCGGGTGCTTTGTTCATTATCGCTAGTTCCCAACTCAGCGTGAACGATCACCTCGTCGTCGTCCGACCAAACTATGCAACCAACCTTGAGACTCCCCGGGCACTTGGATGCGAGATTTCCTTCATTGATCTTGCCTTTGAAACTGGCTTTCAACTTGATGTGAGCGCCGTCAAGGCTGCGATTAAACCAAACACCAAGGTTGTCAGCATCACGACGCCGCACAACCCCACTGGAACGGGGATGTCGCTTGAGACGCTGAATGCGCTAGTGGCGCTCACCAAGGACAATGGCCTTATACTGCTGGTTGATGAGACTTATGCCGACATCTCATTTGATGGACGGCTACCCATCGCTGCCTCTCTGGGAGACCATGTAATCAGCGTGTCTTCTTTATCCAAGTCTTACGGCATTCCGGGCATTCGACTTGGGTGGCTTATCAACAAGAACCCTTCGCTCCAAGAGACTTTCTTGGCAGCGAAAGAGCAAATCAGCATCAGTGGCAGTGTGGTTGATGAATGGATTGGCGAGCAAGTCTTGTCGCGCAAAGAGGAGATTCTATCCGCTACGATCCGCGAGATGAAGGATCGCCGCGAAATTGTGGCTGCATGGATCGAGAAGGACGACTTACTGGAATGGGTTCGGCCCGATGGTGGTGTTGTCTGTTTCCCGCATATCAAGAAGGGATTTGAGCCGGCGGGTGGACTGGCGGCATTTTATCATCGCCTGCTCCACAAATATGGCACTTATGTTGGACCTGGACACTGGTTTGAGCTCCCAGATACATTCTTCCGTTTGGGCTATGGATGGCCCACCATCGAAGAGCTCAAGGGTGGTTTGCAGGCAATCTCCCAGGCTTTGCGAGATTCATCTAACTGATTGTTGAGTGTGGAAGGGTCTAAGGGCTTGTTTGGCGTATATCGTCTGAGTTTTTCGTCTTTACCCATCCGAGTAAATTTGAGAGGAATTGCATGTTTCAAACGATTCTCATGGTATTCCAGAATGATCTCGAAGATGTATGTATATCATCCAATCTTAAACCTAGGCCAATTTCCGCATCGGGCGATTTATCCGATCTGGCGACTCACAGGGCTGAACGGTTCCAAGGTTGCCCCATCCAGGTGCTTAACCTTGGAAGTAGTCGAATCAACCGTATGTTAACCTCAAAAGCTACGTGGACTTCAGACTGGGCTTTTACTTCTACTCAAGACTTTTCCCTCGACTTTTCCCTCCCTGAGGCTCCCTCCTTTGCTCCCCACACGTCTACTCTTCACTGTTCAGCATGGCCCCAGCAACCGGCGAGGAAGATCTCTCGATTCTTCTAGCAACAATGCAACCGATGCTAGACCCTACAACCTATGTCTTCCTTACAACAAAAGACCCTCTCGATTCACTTCCACTGGCAACACTTAAACCGCAGCTGGTTGTTCAAGAGGATGAGGGCACCACGCTCGTTACGACTGAAAGCTTAGTCGAATCGCACGGGTTCAAGGAGCCTGTCTTCCCTTGCAAAAAGATCTCCCTCAAGATACACTCTAGCCTGGAAGCTGTTGGGCTGATCGCTGCTATCTCAAACCGCCTCAAAAATGACGGGATTAGCACCAACGTGGTCAGTGGATACTTCCATGACCATATTTACGTTCCAAAAGGGCGAGCAGAGGATGCGATGCGGGCTCTGGCAGATTTGGTGGAAGAGGCGAAGAAATGAATGGGAAATGAACCAAGAAGTCTTGGAATCCAAAGTGTCAGGCCATGCTCTAATGCTCTATGTTCAATACCTAGGTATAGCCACTGGGCACAATATATACATTTTGAACGTGCCAACGTCACAAATGCATTTACTTCGCACAGTGCGAAGCAATGGGGTATTCTAATCGGCGATGCAAACCCGCAATAATAGACAAGTAATCCGGCTCATTCTCCGCAGTCAAAAGGCCATGTCTCACAAAGAAATCAATCATAATAGTAGCGCAATTGGGCTTGAACTCGCCATTAGCCAAAGCATCTTGAATGTCAGGGATAGACATCAACTTGAATTCTTCGACTTCGCCATCACAAGGCTTGGGAATCGTGTCTGCATCCAACTCAAGATCATAAACATACTCGACCTCAGGCTGAATGAGACCCGTCTCGCCGCCGGCTCGCGCATCACGCACATGCGAGTACGTCACACATCCACGGGCGGCGATTGTTTGACGGACCGTCGCCTCGGGCAATGAGGCTTCTTCCATTGCTTCGCGGACAATGCACTCGAATGGTTTTTCATTGGTGCACATCCCACCTGCGACCGTGTTATCCAGGAGGCTGGGATAAGTCTGCTTGGTCTTTGCGCGGCGGGGAACCCAGATCTTGTAGCCGGATTCGTCGCGCGTGTAGCCTGTCATGTGGGCGCCGTAGGAAACGATGCCGAAGAGCGGGGAGGCGCAACGTTCCATCTCGAGGAGGAATTCACCGCCTGGTCCGTAGACGGGGTATTTCTCGTTGCGCCATCCCTTCAGGATCTCGAATTTGTCTTGTTTGACTGCTTCGTTGATGGCCTCTGCTACGAGGCTGCTTCGGAGTGCGGGGTCGGCATTCGGAGGTGTTACTAGAGTCACGGTGCGGGCACTGGAGTCGATGGTCCAGCTGCTTTGTGGCCAGGGGAACTTTTCCACGACGTCATTCAGGATGTATCCGAGGGTACAATTGTATCCGGATACTTTGAAGGCATGGTAATTGTTGAGGTTCTCCGTGTATGCGGCGCGATCGTCCTCGTAGTAAGGGAAGCTGCAGTTGTAAGTCGAGATCAGGAGAAATCGCACAGAGCATCCTTACTTATCGCATTCAACGACCAGCTCAAGATTCGACTTGCCCATGCTGAAAATCCACCCTCAATGGTAATTGTCCAAAGTATCAACTGCAGGAGACAAACCCTTATCCGGCCGATAAGGGCAGCCCCGCCAAGCCCGCGGTCTCTTATGTCACTGACATTTCATCATCGAAAACCAGGAACAAAGACCTCGGGAGAACCTGGGAAGCTAACAGACCTGCACAATCTCAACTCGAGCCCACCTCTACCTCCGCACCTCTCCATGTTCTCCGTCGTGGTCCCCGGACGCCCGTGTCTAACGGACATCGTCGCAGTCGACGGCCAACCAAATGGCCAAGCAACCAAGTTCGCTTTCACGATTCCCTTAAGCGCCTCTCTCAGCGACATAGTCGTCTTCTTCCTACCAGGAACAGTCCTACCTCCCAATACCGGCGCAGCAATCTACGCGCAGCTCCCAGACGCAAACGGCCAGCCCTCCGACTTCCGCTTCATCGGCGCACTCGCAAACGAGAAACCTTCCGGCATCTTCACCGTGCGACCACCCAGTCGCACAGAGGCCGAAGAAGAGGATGACATGCTAGACGAGAATAGCGCCAATGGCGCCGGTGTCCTGACGCTCGGTATCTCGATTGAAGAGGCGCAAAATATTGCGCCACAGCTTGCTGCTCTTGAGGCGGAGAAATCTCAGAATGGGTCGACGGCATTGGTCAGTCAGGCTGTTGGGCAGAGGCAGATTTCGACCAAGGTGTTGGCGCAACGCATTATTGGGAGTGCGTTCAACTTCTTGGCCAGTTTTGCGGAGTCGGATAAGGGGCAGGATGTCGTGCCTCTTAAAAGCTTCCATAACTGGTGGGCTAAGTTTGAGCGTCGCATTGAGGTCGATCCTGCGTTTTTGGAGCGCGAGGACCCCAATGCGAATGCGTAATTGCTTTGTGGTTTGATTTGGTGGTTCAATATTTATATCTCATTTTTTTCTTTGTTTTCTTTTTTCTTGTTGTTGAATTGCATTTGTTCAATACGCCGACGGCGTATCTGCAGCAAGGAGTACATGTGTTTCTCGCATCGAGACTTGAGCGACTTTTGTATTTCAGGGATGTCATGGAATGTGCAACGATCTGACTTTATCTCTGCGACTTACTGTAGTTATCTCAATGTATATCAGAATGTCAATTTTTGGCACTATTCCACTACATTCCTTAGGGCTATACTTGGCATGCTTCTACATCAATTGGTTCCAAGGTTCATGGGCAATGCATAGGTAGGTATAAGCAAGAACTAGGTAGGTATCATTGTAAACTCATCAAAAAAACGCTATATATACAGATTAAGCACTTTTCAAAGCCCAATCCTGGAAACATGAACCGAAGTCCCATATGCAAATCACATGCTCGACATATGCGATACATGATGCAGCGAAGAGTCAGGCCTGAAGCGAATGCCCGGGGAATAGCAAAGGCTATACAATTCATCAACGTATGTTGAAGGGGTTGTTTCACCACCAGCAACAATAGTCCTTGAATCATGGCTACTGAACGAGTTCTGTCCAGCTGTCTCATGCAACCGGGTAATGTCGACTCTGACCTCCTTGTGAACAGTAATGTCACGCAATGCCATGGCATGAGGCTCGACCAAAGATTCTTGTGAATGAAGAGAGCTTCCAGAGCCACCCTTCGAAGACTTGGATCGCTTGTGTGACGGCCATAATTGTAAGATGGCCATCTTAGTTGTGGATGCAAGATCATTCTCGCTGCCAGCCGGGCCGGAGCGGACGTCTGTGCAGAATAGCTCTTGGCCCAGCTCGCGGGCGAAGCTCTCGCGGTCAGCAATCGCCTCGTTTACTTGCTGTTGGACGCGGAAGAGGCGGAATGGGGTCCATGTGTAGTCTGGGTTGGGAACCTGAGTGTCCAGCGTTCCAACAACGCAGAAAGTGAGTAGCGTGCAGGTTTGGAAAGATTGCTCTGGATTTGAAGGCTGGTTGCGACAGGGTGCAGCCAATGGGCGAGCGGAGAGCTGGGCTGCGGCGCGCATGTCTTCAGGAAGGGTTTTTGATAGTGAGATGATGGCTTGAGTGAGTTGAGAGCGGAAGTCGATGAGGTTGGGGAAAGCGCGAGCTGATGCGTCGGAAAGGAGGTATTTTATACATGCGTTCATGGACCAGCCTTCCATCTGGAAGAGGAGTTCGAGGTGGTGATTGTCGAGATTTTTCATTGGTAGCGTTGTTGATGGGAGTGGGTTTCCAACGCCTTTTGTTGTGAGGATCTCGAAATGATCGTGGACGGTAGGGCGCATGACATATGAAATGAGATGGACGCCTTCCTCAAAGCCACGGTTTGTACTGGCGTAGTCACGCATGTCGCGGAGAGTGTGGATTAGGTTTACTTCTGGGACGTGAATGCGACGAGAGAGCGTTCCTGTGACATGTTCGATGGTTGCGAAACGGAATCCTTGGGAGGATAGCTTTGCTGCTTCTATCTTGTTCAGCTGGCGCACAGAGAACATCATCTGACCCTTGCCCGCACGCAGCGTGGAGCGACCCATGGCGCGAGAGAGTCGCGATACGGGAATCGCGGTTGAGAGCACGTCGTCATACAGGGTACCTAGATCCTGGAGAGGCAAGCGAAGCTCATCTGAAAGCTCCTGAGCCGTGACACAGAAGAGCTGCTTGAATAAAGTATCAAAGTCGGTCTGTAACTCGGTATCTTTGTCCATAAACACTCCTCGTGAGAGGACGTGTTTCTGGATGGCACTTTCTTCGGAATTGAGGCGGTTTCGCATGAATGGCACCAGGTCTTTCACGACCGGCCAGTTGCGAGTGGCTCTAAAGGCCCAGAGGAAGGTCGGATGGGTTCGAGTAAGATCGTCGTCTTTGAATGTCTACTTCGAGTCAATATGAATCATTCAATATTCAATCAGCGCGGATGCATACCCTTCCAATATAGTGATCGACAATCTTGCGCGTTGGGAGAAGAGCCTGAGGGGTGACCATAACCCGCCCAGTGGGATCGAAGTAAACACAAGCAAGAACGAGCTGGTGAGCACGAGTCGTGGACTTTCGGCGATTGCTGCCCGCAACAATAGCACAAGCGGACAAGATCACGCATGCAACACAGGCCTAAATAGCTGTTAGTATAAAGCCAGCCGGGTGTGATAAGACATGAAACATACTAGCACAGCGCAAACGATGACAACCTGACTTCTTGACAGCTGAGTGCCATTGACAACATTTCGATCGTGGTCCTTATATGTGGTTCCCACTGCCGCCGTCCAATGCATACCAGTGACAGCAACGGCCAGCAAACACGCACATATCCCGCGTCTCCACCAGCTATCGGTCCAAGAGGCTCTCCAGCGGAAAAAGATGCCCAGCGCCGCAGTACTCGAAAAGATGGCGATAATAGCTGATCCGACGACATTGGCTGGGTGGTAAGAGCAGCTGTAGTTGGAAATTCCGAGTTGGCCAACATAATGCATGCCACAGACCGAGCTGCCGGTGAGTAGACCTCCGATTAAGATGCGGAGATAGCCCGCTTTCTCCTCGACGCCGACGGCGTAAAAGGCAAAGAGGAGCACTGCTACTGGGAGCACGAAGGAAGTTCCGGTGAAGGAGACGTTGTAAAGAATCTGGATGTTGGGCTCGCCATTACCGAGCACGATCGCGCGGTTACCGATAAAATGCATGCACCAAATCCCAATGCCGCCCATCGTAATTGATGATGTTAAGAGCAAGTACCTTTGAATATGTTAGCCGTTGCGTTTGGACTCTGTGGGGTTCCGCGGACCAGTTGTATAGACCGGATCTTGATGTCCGGCGATGGAGAAGTTCTAATGTGGTTGCGCATCCCATTGCGCTGATCAGGTAGGAGAGGAAGATATAGCCTGCCAGGTATGTCACCCGAGCTACGGGCTCTTGTGCCTCTGTGTTGGCCATTTTGGAGATTATATCGGGAAGGCTGCGTGGGGGTCTTATTGCGGCATCTGTATAGAAAGGAAGGGTTGGGTCGACAACGACGGATAATTCAAAAGAGAAACAACATGGAGATACACAGATTCAGAGTAGTGAGCTGGCGTCAAGTGAAAGACAAATCCCAGGTGGTCCAGAACAGCCGGGGTAAGCATCTTATAATATAGCCCTAGCTCACCTGGGCAGCTCACACTGTTATCGCGTATGCCCAGCGTCACCGAAAAAATAAAATAAAATAAAATAAAAAAAACGAAACGAAACGAAACCCTCTTCACAGCCCTCGACGAATGAATGAATGGCAGCTTCCATGCGTACTCCGTATCTCAATCTAAACAAGAGCTCCACTTCCTGCGCAAGCCATGCATTGGGCTGCATGTCCCATCTCGCGTGGAGTACGGGCTCGACGGAGTCAGAGAAATCCCGCAGCTAGTAGGAAAATGCCGAGGCCATGAAAGGAATGGATTAATCAATCTGGTCCGTGATATTACGCTAATCGGCCATTTAACAACGCCGGGGGTTTGTAGCGAGGATTCTTTAGCCCGCGTGGTGTGATTCGCTTGGGGAGATCTAGATCGGATCGGGGCGGAGACTGAACGATGGGGGCGGGTGGTCGACGCGGCGAATCAGCGTCCTGTGAGGGCCCAATTAAGTGGCTGTGGACACTTGGGATGCCCTGCGACTTTACACTTTCCACATTAATCAGGTGGTTTGGTGGTTTTTTTTTTCCTACTTGCACCTAGTCCGATGTGCGGCTCGGTGCCGACTGTACCTCTTTAGATTAATTCCCACTAATGCATTGTTCGAATGTCTCGAATCCAACCCGGGAAATGGAGGTTTGCACATCTCATCCATGGATGTTTGCCTCAAGAACCGTTCCGGATCTGCACGTCACATGCCCGACGATCTATCACATTGGCTCTGATCTTGGGCGACTCAAAAACGAACGCCTGGAGTGAGATTTAGCGAGCGCCATTTACCTATTTTGAGTGCTTGGAGCTTTTCCCCCTGGACCAGGGTGTGGCAGGGGTATACAAGGGGAGCACGGAATAGGCACACCGAACCCAAGCCAGAGACCTACAAGGAGGCTAGTTTCTGGATTTTCAATTAAAAAAGAAATTGAAAAGGAAAAGGAAAAATTTCTTTGACCGTAGATGCGATAAATGAAGTGGGCCTCCGGGTCTCCATCTCAGCTGCGAGGACCAAAATTAATCTACCTCGTCAGCCCCAATCTCGCCTCGAGTCAACAACACTGGAATACGATGCAAGTACCCGATTCCAAGGGATGTCAAGCAAAGTTCCCAGGTTTGTTTGACATGTCACAAGGGCAGTAGTCCTCCGTAGCAAAGAGCAAACAAAATTCCCAGCCGTTTTGATGAGTCCCACCGAGCCCGCTCGAACCAGATCGTAGCGTCGGCTCGACGAACACCTCCAAGGTGTCACTTAGATCTCGATGTTGCCACCATCGCAACAAGGTTTGGCAGAACCCTCTAGCGGCATCGGTGGCAGTAGATACGTCTGCAGGTTCGAGAGAAAATCCGGATTCGGTGTGATGTGTCTGCTGCGAACATGTTCGGAGTCTATTCTTACCCCGCCGTCAGTCGCATGGCCATGACGACCTGCATTCCTGGGTAGGACGTAGGTGAGATCTGACCTGGAAAGTCGAAGTAGAGTTTGGAGTATTCACCCGATTTTGAGGCGTGGCTTCGGGGAATTTGAGCGCCTCTATGGATCTGTTCTTGTTTGGTGGCTCACATACGAGGCGTAGATAACAGGTCTGCAGGCGGCTATTTCGGCCATTCCTGGTCTCTTTGGGCGCCTTTCTATCCGCTTGTTCTTCATTTAGATCGCATTTTCCATACTTGTTCGACGCCTGCGGAGTACTCCGTACTTGATAGCTTCAAAGCCTAAATCGAAGATCTGGCCCAGTGCCCGGGTGTTGGATCCGTGGTTGATCTCAGATCACTTCTAAGATCGCTCTCGGACTCGCAGTTTCTATACATCGATTTCACTGCGATCGAAGCTTGGAACCTTGGAACCTTGGAAGCTAGGGCAAGCTGTGCTTATTTTGCGAACCAGTCTGCCTTGGTGCCCTGGTGCCCAGGTACCTGTATAGGTAGCAACCTTCCAAGGCTGGAATGTACCCATTGCAAACCAGACATGCAGGTGTGATATTGGGCTTACAACCTCGAAACCAACACGCGCAACAATCTTCTACCTCGACGCCCCTTATCATTCGACAATCCGCCAGGGCTGTCTAATGACCAGTGACGAATGCGGGGGACACTGCAGATTAACGCAGACCGAAGATCGACATGCATGCAGCCTGCAAGAACATCCAGACCTACGAAGTACCAATTGCACTCCCAAACTACCACTCCATCTCAATACTCTCAGGAACAAAATCTACAACTGTGAAGGTGAAGCCTCACCAAACATAGCGATGCGCACCAAAAACAAACCACTGGCGAAAAAAATTGAATATTCAATTGAATGATCACGAAGGATCAAGCGGTATCAACAAGCGCAAAGATTCAAAGGTACAATTTATTCGAGGAGCTTCTGGAAAGCAGCCTGGATGGCGGAAGGGTTGGCACCCTTGACCTCGCCGATCTTCTCGCCACCCTTGCGGAAGTGGAAAGTGGGCATGGCAGAGACAGCGTTCTCGGCAGCGACGGAGGCGAGCTCATCGACGTCGACCTTGTAGAATGCGACGGTGGGGTTCTGCTCGCTGAGCTTCTCGATGGCGGGGCTGATGGCCTTGCAGGGACCGCACCAGGTGGCGAAGAAGTCAACGACGACGTTGCCGGGGGCGTTGGTCACCTTCTCGGCGTACTCCTCGGGGCTGAGAGGGGTGTTAGCATGAGAGCTAGGTGAAATGTGGTTTTTTTTTTTTTTGGTGCCCCGCTATGTAGCGAATGGCAACAAGTTGAGGTGGAACTTACGTGTTGATCTTGATGACGGCCATTTTGGTGGAGGAAGGTGCGAAGCGGGAGATAGGAGTTGTTGTGAAGGTGCGGAGGGGACGACTGAAGGATCCAGAGATGGTCTTAAAAGCGGGAGATTTGAACTAATTGGAGGTTAATGGAGGGGCAAAGGCGGGCTTTTTTATGTCATGGTGCTGGAGCCCGGGATTATGTAAGATTTCAAAGACCGAAGGCTCTGGAGCCTCAAGGGTTGAAGCTTGGTCACACAGGCGTTCACATCATAGACCATGGAGGCACTCGAGCCGTGGAGTAGACTTACTGCTTGCATGATGAATTTGTCAGTTCGTAGAGCACCGAATCGTCAACTAAAGGTCCAATGAAAAGAAGGTGAGCCCTGGAGGCGACAGGACAGGGGCAAAATGACGTGCTCCGGGTGCTCGGCTGCTTACGAATTTCGGGGGTCTGGATCTCAGTGGCCTGAGGCTCTCACAAAGTGGATAGATTGATAATCTTTCATTATTAAAACTCTTGATGCTCAGATTAACTGAGCACAAGAGCCGGCTAATAATATGAACCTCGAATTAGATCAAACTATGTGCGAAAAAGCAACAGTTCAAGGGAATATCCAACAGAATTCGGTAAAATTTATGCAAAACATGGGATGGGGGTATCAACAGAGAAGCAGCATACTAATGATGCGGTACACGGAATGGAATCATACAGGCCACAGAGGGGTTCAAGATCACAGTCGGACAAAGGAAATCAACAAAAGAAATAGGCAAGGAACGACAGGTGGGTAAGATCAACTGAATGGAATTCATCCACGGAAACCTATTCCGCGTAACCGATCTCGGCTTTCGCGCTGGGAATCCGCTTCAATTCCGAAGGGGTCTCGGCCACGATGTAATCTTCTTCGGCGGAGATGGGGGTCAAGGAAGGGAATCTTCGGAGAAGGCCCTGGGTAGACTTGGGGCGGGATGCAGGTGTGACCACGACGGGACGACGGCCGACTTCGTTGTGCCAGCGCTCGGCGGTGGAGCTCTCGGGGGCAGCAGCCAGCTCTGCGTCATCAACGGGGTGGTCGGGCAGGTCGGGCTCATCCATATCCTCGATGTCTTCAAGGGCATCTGCTGGGACATCTGCGGAGTTGCGGCCAAAGGTGTTCAGGTTGGATCGCACAGGACTGCTGGGGTTGCCAGGCATACGCTTGAAGAAATGTCCAGACATCCACGATCCCTCGGAGTCGATCGAGGCGATAGACTGGGAAAGGGGAACGTTGTCTGCCTCGTTGTCGACGAGTTCGGAGGTCCATGATCGGTGGTAACTGCGGTTCGGGTTTTGGATATCAACCCCAGGGGTGGGGCTGGGTTCCCGAAGGAAGGTCTCCTCTCTCTCTAGGGATGACTCTGGGACCTCCTCTGGGATATCGGGGGATTGAAGGCGGGAATCAGGTGGCGACAGGGGCTCGTCGCCGAAGTGTTCGGTGAATTTGGAGTGAGAGCGCTGGATGGGTTCGCTGGGCATCAAGACTCGCGAGGGGATGACAGAGGCGGGAGGCGGAGACGACTGGGTGTGAACTTTGTAGAAGGATTCATGCGAGGTGTTGGATACCTCCGGCGAGGGTTCCTGGAAGCGCTCCTTGTAGCGTCGCTTGATGCGAGAGGAACCACGTCGGAAGAGGGAGGTGATTGTATTACCTCGGCGACCGCTGGTGTCTGACGATCGGCGGGAGTCGATGCCTCGGGAGACGTCTGATGTTGAACCGGCTCCGAGGGTGTGTGAGTGGCTGGGGGTGTTCATGCCGTGTCGGATGGATGAGTGGGATGGCGACAGCGTGGTTCGAGACATGGCCATATCCTGTGAAGGGGCGAAGCTGGGACGCTGGATCAATCTCCGTTCGCGAAGAGAGCTATCGTCGATGTTTCCGATCACTCGAGAACTCTCCAGTGATCCGCGGACGTGGTCACTGCCCTTGGATTCACCTCGCAGCCACGAGCCATGTTCGTTTGGAACGGGTGTCGGTTCCTCCACCTCGATGATGGTGTCCTCTTCCATAGGGATGTCCTGGCTTTCCGAGGCGGATTGCTCGGGCACGGAGGGTTCTGGTTCGGTGATAGAGGGTTCAGTGTCCACGATGGACGGTTCGGGTTGGGCGGGTTTGGGCTCGTGCTCTTGGGGAATCTGTGCTTGCTCTTCCCGCGCCTGCTGAGCATCGGCCCTCTCCTGCAGCTTACGGCGGAGCTTTTCCTGGTCGTCGATCTGCTTCTTCTCGCGGCGACGACGGTCTCGGTCCAGCAGCTCTCGTAAAGCCCCGGCATCCAGAGAGTCCGCTAGTTCGTTCACTCGACGTCTGGAGTAGTAGAGATCCTCCTCCGACCGCGTCAGAGCGGCAAGTCGCTCCTTGTCCTGTCGGGTCGACGCTGGGCGGTTACTCTTCGCGGTGTGTAGTCGGGGTGCTTCCACATAACGGACGACGGGGCGGGGAGTTAAAGCAGCGAAGGCGTTGACTTTGTAAGTGTAGGGGTCGGACATGTCAGACGCGGAGGAGGCGGCGGAGTCCCGTATGGAGAGGCTGATGTCAGACATGTACCGGTCGGCACGCCTCTCGCCCTTACGACGTCGGTGGTCCAGTGCATAATCACCGTTGCCTGGGGCCTGACGGTGAGGAATATCAATGGGGGTGGAGGATAGCATTCGGATCTCACGCTCCCGCATGATCTCGTTTGCCTTGCGCTTGCTCAGCTTGCGACGCAGTTTGTTTGGGCCATGCTGTTGACTTGGCTTGCGCCGTAGGAGGGATCCCGTTCTGGAGGGCGGGTGCTGTGGGTGATCGGCCAGGGACGCTGGACGATCGAGGGATGGGGTCGGTCGCTTCGAAGAGGCCAGAGCCGAGTTGCGTTGGATGTCTTCTCGTGACGAGCGATGCTGACGTTTGGAGGGTCTTCGACCCAAGGTTGGTGCGGGCTCTGGGGCCAAGGACGCCTGGAGATCAATCGCTTCGGCACCGGTCACTTGGATCGTGTGCCGCTTGCTCTTGCGACCAAATGGCCATATCGCCATGGCCACGGATATCAGTAGTCTCGCAACGGGATGAAAGTCATGGAGAGTTAACGAGAGTCTAAGGGTAACATAAAGGAGAGGAAAGAGGAAAGAGTTGTAAGAGAAGACAAACACACAAAAAGTCGAGACTGAGAAAAGGTGAAAAAAACGTAAAAATACCAAACACTGCAATTTGGACAGTCCAGGCCCTTTTTCGCCCTTGTGATTGTGTATTTTGGATTTGGGAATTTTTTGTTTTGGTTTTTCCCCCAATACGGCTTGGCGTTCCATGGAATTCCTACGGGTCAGGTACGGTTTCTATTTCGGTCTTACTATGTACTCTAGGACTGTACTCCCTAGAGTACAGTATGTACATACGAAGGGAACTAAAGGGTCCTCCTAGTTGCACCGGTACCTGGTATCTGACCCTCTCTATGCACGATCTCACTAGTTAACACGAGTCTCGTCACACAGGGGTGTCTAGGCTTCGGTTTATTGGAAATTGGCACTTTCACTGTGGGGGGTACAGTCCCCACCCAACGGTGGCCCAATGACGTATCTTCTTGTTTACTTTTGTTTTCTTCTCTGTCTCCTCCTCTCTTGTGCTCCTAGGAAGTACTCACTCATCCTTTGAGAGTCGATTTCCTTCGGAAATGAACACTAAATCCTGTACCACGGATATGCAGACTTATGCAAGTACCCTTGTCCTCGTGCAAGCCAAGCCACCGTTTAAACGCCCGGTGGGGAATCGGCCCTTGGGTCCCTTGACACGCGGGAATGGAGTCTATCTTCGTACTGATCGGCCCAATTTCCACTCGATTGTCCTCCGTACACAATCTATCTCTGATCGCACTATTGGAAACTTCATCCTCAATCTGATCAATCTGGTCTATTGGGCCATGCTAGTCAATCTACGGCAGTAGCCCAACCGGCCTAACTAACCCTAGCGGAACATCATGGGAAATTCTGGCAATGATCGGCGAAATTCGCCGAACTTTGGGTCTCAAGTGTCTTGCCCTGGATTTTGATTTCCGGTGCCTGTTGGCCGATACCAGAACCAGAACATCATAAGAACCGTCCCCCCGCTGGGAGGGAAATGGCCTGGGATCTGCCAGGATACAACTCCTAGTCGGCCTTCACTAACAAGGGCTACCTAACATCACCCCCCTACCATCCTATATTTATCCCATTCAAAATCTAGCGAACTGTGCAAGGTGTCAGCACTATTTGGTTCTCACGTTGTACCAGATAAGATCCGCGTCTGGATTTCTGGTCTCACTGCCGACCCCATATTCCCATGTTTTCCACCTGGGCACTGGTCTCAGGTCATCTGACTCCCTTGTTTCATGCCCAGGTGCTCGCCAGGCAATCGGAATCGGGATCCTCTTGCCACCCAGTCTCAGATGGTTCAACCCTGGGTCCTGGTCCTGCAGTCCCGGAACCCCTCAGTTTCTGACTCAAGGGCGTACATAAATAGCCCGGGTCTTTGAAATAAAAGCGGAGCAATCGGCTCAGCCAGATTCGCATACGGAAGCCGATTTGCTTTGGCAGGGATTAAGCCACTAAATCTGCAAGGAGCAGGCATTGGCCACAATGAAATAGTATAGAATTATTGATTCGCCCAACATGAACTCATCGACCATTTGACCACCGATCCCATTCGGCAACAATCTAACATACCCTTACGCAGCATTGCAAAATTCACTTACATTTCAAATACAGTGGCAACGTCTCCAAGCCATTGACGATTCGCCACGAAGGCAATCGCACCGCAACTTCCCGAGATTAGTCGGTCAATGAGAAGAAAAGCAAACAATGACGGGTAAATTTAGACTGGGCAACTAAATCAGAAAATAAAAGACATGGGAAAAAGCACGATCGCAAATCCCTCCCAAAAATGCCCGGATCCGACTCTAAGCAAACGCCCGTACACCTCGCATTCCATATGACAGATTGCACGGAGAATAAAAACCAAAAAAAAAAAAAAACGGTCAACGTACACCACATGGGTGGATCCATGTCTGGGTGCCGGAGTCCACCGAGGGACATAAGATATCGCTTTCAGTTGCTGATACGCTTCCTCAACCGGTTGGGCTCGCGTTCCAAAACGCTGTACCTGCGACTCCCGCGTCTGCTCAGAAGCCGCCGAATGGACCACCCGTGGCTCTGGGTGTCATGTGGGCGCGCAGGATTGGGGTCGGGGCGGAGCTTCTGGTCGGTTGACCGTTGGGCATCCATGGCGACAGTGGCGTTGAGGCGGGGGTGGCTGAGATTTGGATTTGGGATTCCGTTTGAGGGCCAGGGAGGACAGGTTGGACTTTTGAATTGGAGATGAGGATGGAGATGGTGTTTGGTCTGGGATCGAGCGGGGTTGGACCTTGTGGGGTCGTCTTTGTTGATCATTCTTTCACCTTTCTCTTTTCCTTCTCTTGGCCTTGGCCTTTGGGCTCGGGGTGTTTGGTCGATATGCATAGCCTCAGGTCTTTGCTCGGATCGTCCGGCTGTTCCAGGCGCAGTTAAGAAAGCGGGTTTGATTCTTTGGGGTCAAGTAACACGGCCACCAGGCAGCCTGTGTAGTTTGCATGGCATATATACATTGGCACAAGCAGACTAGATAAGTATACCCTAGGGTACTGTTGTTGATAATTCAAACATAAAAAGGCTTTACTGGATAGTTCCGAAGATTGAAATGCATATATAAACCTACATAGGCCTGGCGATATTTCAACATTCCAGGTTCAGAATATACACATCCAACTTTGGTAACGCTCGAGCAGCATTATGTGGAAAAGAAGAATTCCAAGTTGACATTTATCGAGAAGAACCTTTTAACCTGGAACCCAGAATATACCTACTGTGCGCATGGCCCCGGACTGCGCCATGAGTCTAACGAGACCGCGTGATGAACCCTGGACATAGTGCGCTTGATATACATCGAACTCTGTTTCCCTGCATCCCCGAAGGAAGCCTGAGTTCCCACAGCCATGAGGCCATGATAATTGGCGGAATAGAGAGCAGTCCAATCCTCATATTGAGCGAACAAGTCATGTCACATAAAACAGACCGTGTAAAGGAGTAATTTACTCCCCGCATCTCAGACGCTAAACAGAGACAACCCACTCGCACCTCGTATTGGATGGAACAATCGGAAAATCTAGAATGCCCTAATGTCGGTCTGGTTGGGATCACAATGAAAAAAAGCCCTCATGGTATCTCAGATAAGAGTCTCGATCTTCTCTACAAAGACCTGGCAGTGCTCAAACCTGGAAGCAATCACATTTGGGCCTTGACTCACTACCCTGAGCTCTATTCCACATCTACACCAACTTCTGGTGGCCTGTCTCAAAGCCTTTCTGTATCCATCCATCTCCGTCGGACTCCCAAGATATCAATATGGTGCACCTGTGGCTCTTCGTGGGTCTCACGTATTTGCTCCTCTATGTTTTCGCCCTACAATCACATGAATGGCATGCTCTCACGAGAGGCCTCATCGGAAAGTGAACGGTGTGCGATACTGTATTTGGGCGACATGGCTGCCCAGTCTTGCTATCTTCGACATTGGGATCGAATTGCGGTCAGGCGATACAGCTGTAGCGCAACTATCGATTGGCCACTTCTTTTCCGGGCCTTCATGCCCAATCACGATTCATGACTCACGATTCACGACTACGAGTATCCCTCCGGGGCCATGGGAGGCCAGGAGAGCGAAGAGGGAGATTCCAGCTGTCCGATCCAGCTGATCTTTTCATATTCATTGATGACCATGACTGTATGATTTTTCAAGTTTGATGGGCGGCGTTTGATACCTGGAGCCGAGAGCTAAAATTGTCCTCCTGTTGGATTGAGAAACTTGATATTCACATTTTGGGTTGGGAAAGATCCTTTTCTATCAAGTTCAGTGAAAGCAAAACACATCATCAACAGTCATTCATGTTCGTATCGAGGCTTTGTAGACGGGAATACCAAGGTGTACGATTTGTCCATTCTGCAATCGATCCCGATACACGCTGAGAACCGCCGAGGTGATATCTGCATCAGTTTTGACCTTGGAGGTAGTCCCTTGTAATTTGTTTTTGAACGATCCTGGAGATCGCCTGGAGCGCAAGAGAGAGGCGAGCGCTATGTCGAATCTCTCTTGCTGCATAATTCGATTGTATCATTTCCTTATTTTGTAAGCTTTGATGAAGCATCTTCGTGGATGCAAGCTCTTGGACGACAAAATTCATTCCCTCAGAACCAAATCTTGATCAGCTCTTCACTGACCGCACTGGGGGTCAGAACACCGCTGTCTGTGATCAGGGCCGAGATCAAATGAGGTGGTGTGAAATCAACGGAGTGGCATAGCGGCAGCTCGATTTGGTTGTCGCCATTTGCGCCTAGGGCGGGTGAGTCTTGCTTGCTGTCTTCGGCAATGTCCTCTGCAGACTTGAACTCAATGACGCGCTGTTTGATCGGCAGATCATATTGGCCAAGAGGGTACAGGCGGACGAACTTGTGGCTCTCAGCAACCACGTAGAATGGCTTTCCAATAGCTTTGGCGAGAATTCCAATCTGGTAAGTTCCCATGCGAGACACAATGCCTCCGTTTTCCACCACTCCCTCAGCACCCACAATCACCATATCGGCCTTGCCGAGGGAATATGCGACAGCGGACTCAGGGATCGTTGAGACCGGAACACCCTTCTCTCGCAGAGCTCGTACAGTCTCCATACCCTCCGGTTCTTCATTGGGATGATCGCAATCTTGGGCAGTCGAGGATAGAACGTAGATCACGCGGAATCGCACCGCCGAAGGTCCGCCCTCTTCGTCCGCGGCCTTTTGCAGAAGAGCAGCGACAACACGAGAGCCACCGTTTGTGAGAATAGTGCTGCCGTCGCGAATGAAGCCACGCCCGAAATCTGCGATCTTGTGACGACTTTCCTTTGCACGGCGAATGAACAAGCGGCCATTTGTCAGAAGATGGGTGCGAATGGCCTTGAAGTCACCCGCAGGTCCCAACAAGCCAGGGCGCTGTAGTGTGGTAATCAGGTACCGTTGGAAGAGATCGGTACCGGCGGAGAGACCGATGGGGTTGGGAATGGACTTCTTGAGGTGGGTGGTGGACTTTTCGAGCAGGTCCATAGTTTCTGATATCGTCGAGGAGACAGATTGTGTGAGGAGCAAGACCAGAGCTTCAATGGCCGCGATAGGCATCGTAAGGTCAGGATCGGAGCGGAGAAGTTCATTGTAGGTCGCGACGATGCTGAGAATACAGTGAGCGCTTGTCAGAGCCTGGGAAGATCGCAGGTGACTTACTCGAACGGTCCGGCATCAGTCGCCGTGGTACCTGAAGTAGTTGAAGCCATGTTGTCTGACTGTGGAGGTTATCAAGTTGCGAACAATGAAAGAAAGAAAGAGTCATGAATTCTGTGTTTGTTCTGTTTGTTCCATGCCCCTCCAGCCTGACACTAATCCCGATCGGGCGGTGTGCGGGCTCGTCTCCAAAGTAAACAATCAACCTGAACCACAACACTTGCCCGCCCACTTTGCGACCGAACCCCTTGCCTGGTCGATTGGCTCCTCCGATAGCATGTCGCGCAATTCGATCGCGATGGGCTACAACAACCGCATGAGCTCCCAATTCCAAGGTACCCAACACCAGGGCCGTGGTCGCAAGAAGGAAGATGAGAATGACGCTCTCATGCGCTTGGTGAGTTCACCCCTCGCCAAGGCGCCTTTCGTCATGCTAACTAGGAATAGCCCGATAAAGAGATCGCAGGATGTATCAACGATATCGGAATTCCCTTTACATTGGCCGATCTGGCCAAGCCAAACGCTCAGCAGATTCAGATGGTCTTCGAGTGGTTCGCGGAGCTGCTCATGAACACGACCAAAGAAACTGTGGAACCTGCTATGCACGCCGCTGCAGAAGATATATGCGGCGACTATCCGGATATCGTTCCCAATGACACCCGCAATCTTATGGGTTTCTTCATGATGCTGCGCAAGCTCTTAGCAGAGGTACCTACCAGCTACTGCAAAGCCCTGAATGATCCAAGACTGACTCATTGTCGTATAGTGTGGCGTCAATGATTTTACTTTCACAGACTTAACAAAACCTACGCATGAGCGCCTTGTCAAGATATTCTCCTATCTGATTAACTTTGTTCGATTCCGGGAATCGCAGACTCCCGTCATTGACGAGCACTTCAACAAGACCGAAAAAACGAAATCACGGATCGACGAACTGCTCGCAGAGAATCAAGAAATGGAACTCCGCCTCAGCGAGATGCGACAAGATCTTCAGTCCAATGAAGCGCACGTAAGAGAGAAAGTGGCTCGAAATGATGCGCTTAAGGCTCGATTACTGGAGCTTGGCCGAGAGCAATCGCGAGTTGCAGAGACGCTTGACCGCGTTAAAACAGAAAGAGCTCGTCGGCAGCAACAGTTGGAAGAAAAGACAGAACGAACCGTTCGTTCGCGACAAGAAGCAGAGAAATTACGACCTTACGTACTTGAATCCCCGGCAACTCTCCAATCATCCTTGGCGGAATTGTCTGAACATTTGATGCGCGAGAAGACCTCTATCGATGCAATGGAAAGACGAGCGCGGGCGCTCCAGACCTCCTCAGACACATTCACCGTCGTTTCTAACGACGTGCAAGCATGCGTAAAGCTACTTGATGACATTTCAGCCGAGCTTCAGAAGGAGGAGGAGGAGGAGTCACGCGCTGCTAGAACAACGGAAGCTATCTCAGACAGGGGCAATAGCGTCCGTGAAGTTGAACAGACGGAGAAGCTTCTGCAGCGTCAACTGGCGCGTTGGGTCGAGCGCATCGAGGCGCTCCAGAAAAACGCGCAAGAGAAAGCAGAAGTTGCGCAGGCACGCATGGAGGAGCTCCGCAACATCCAGAAGCAACTCCGCGAGGAGCGCGCCGAGAAGCAGCGAGACATGGAGCGAAGGCGGATTCGCATTGAACAGACAGAGAAGAAGGTAAATCACCCTTTTAATGCAGACAAAGTAAATGTGCTAATTCCCTTGTTCAGATGGTCGACCTTAAAGAGAACATCGAAAGCGAGATTCAATCTGCCCACGACCAGTATTTGAAGCTGGAATCACACATAAAACTGTACATGACAGAGATGGAGAAGTCTCTGTGATATATGGGCTTTCTTTATGTGCGATTTGGAGTTCAGTGTTCATAGGATACCCGGTAGTGCAGATTCATTCAAGGGAGTTTTCAGCTTTTTTTCTGTTGCAATAGCATGTCTGATCTCAGTCTTGGTCTTCCAAGGTTATCACCCAGTGGGACCGTTTGGGTGGAATTCAAACCAGCGCTCAGCAATACGTCTCACGGGGATGCCTCGCGCGCCCCAGTTGGTTTCATCGCCTCCCATTCGGACCGACCCATTTAGTAAGGGGACGTTCGTATCCCATATCCTTCTTCCCCAGAGAGGATTGGAAGAGTCCAGGGCATTTTCGCACTCATCGAGTCTCAGGTCAATTCCCGCTTTGTAGGCAGTCTCAACAACAGAAGCCAGGGTTCTCGAGAGCCCTTGCGCTGAGAATTCCGTTGTTGTGGTATGCAGCGCTACCATATCAAGGATCGAAAGTAGCTGCCGGCGTTGCGAGCCGGGTTCGTCTGCGGTGGGCTTGAAAACCGCAATATGCGCCCGGAAGCTCTCGAGTGTCGAACAAAACGCGACTGTGATGTTGCTGGATCTTGCAAGAAGCCCGATGGTTTTTGTGAGCAGATCATGGCTTGTCGCGGCTTCAGGATCGGCTCGTTGCTTGCGAATCGCCGCTGCAAGTTGCACTAGAAACTCGGACTTGGTGGCACATACAACGAGATGGGTGTTGTGATCACTTTCAAGGAGTTGCTGTAGGAGGTCTGGCAGCAGATCGCAATGGGCGATGCTTCGTTTGGGACTCGTCGCTTTGGATGCCATTTTTGTAGCTCCTATTGACTGTCCAATATTGTCGGTCGGAAAATACTATCCTCATATTAGGCGCATTATTCGTCCCGTACAGAGTAGAGCTGGAGGCTCATGGTGGCGGAACAACATGTAGTGAACAGTGCAAATCAAAGGCGGGCGAAATTGCGGCATCATCCACTCACTTCCGCGGAGCAGCTCCGCCTCTTCCTCCCCTCCTCACCCCCCATATTCCCCTCACTGGTTCACCTTTGGACTGGGTCCTCTGCGACTGGAAAGATGGAAACAATTTCCAGGATATCCTCGATGCTGGAGACAGGTATGCAGACCCCATGTTGTGCGGTGTGCTCTATCTGGCCGAAACTGACCGTACACAGCTCGAGAGCTCACGTTAGAGGCTGCCCAGTCCGCTGCTATCAACCGAAGCTCAACTCCCGACTATGCCTCGAAAACCTACACACCTGCGCACATCAAGAAGCTCCTGGACAGCCGTCATGAGCGGGAGGTCCTGGATGGAATGCGGAGGGTCATCTCGGTAGGACCGCGCCCAAGTACTCATCCCAGCCGCAATGGCTAACCCAATATATTACAGTTGATGTACCGCTCGCAACCGTCCCTCACCTTCTTTTCCGCGGTGGTCAAGAATGTGGCCAGCGCCAGCCTCGAAGTCAAGAAGCTGGTCTACATCTACCTGGTTCACCATGCAGAGGCCGAGCCTGACCTGGCGTTGTTATCCATTAACGCGATTCAAAAATCGCTCACCGACTCGAACCCCCAGGTGCGGACTATGGCCCTTCGGACTATGTCGGGAATTCGGGTCCCGGTGATCAGCCAAATTGTGTCGCTGGCTATCAAGAGAGGATGCGGGGATATGAGCCCGCATGTGCGCAAGGCTGCTGCTTTGGCTATCCCAAAGTGCTACCGTCTAGATCCCAACACGTTACCACAACTTACCGGATATCTGTCGACACTCCTGAACGATCCCCAATACTTTGTTGTTGGCCCCGCTGTGGCCGCATTCTTGGACTTGTGCCCAGAAGAGATTGATTTGATTCACAAGCCGTATCGCGGTCTTGTCAAAAAACTGACCGATATGGATGAATGGAGTCAGCTAGCAACTCTCCGCTTGTTGACATCTTATGCACGAAAATGCTTTCCCCGTCGGACTCAGAAAGTCAAAGCGGCGGCACCGGTGGCATTCTACGACGATGAGAAGCCAGAACAGCAGAGCCAGGCAGACGGTGACGAGATTGAGGTGCAGGTTATGGATCCTGACCTTGAGCTCCTACTCCGGGCTTGCAAGCCTCTATTGCAGAGCCGAAACTCCGCGGTGATCGTGAGTGTGGCCCGCTGTTATCTGTATCTTGCTCCACCAGAGTATATCACCGAAGCAGTTGGACCCCTTGTGGCACTTGTGCGAACCCCTCAGGACATGCAGCACCTTGCCCTATACAACATTGTTGCTGTGGCCATGAAAATTCCCAAACCGTTTGCCCGATACATAGCACACTTCCTCGTCCATGCGAATGACCCGCCACATATATGGCGCCTCAAGCTAGAGGTCCTTACCATCTTGTTTCCGCACTGCGGAAAACACTGGAAGGGTGTTATAATCAGCGAGCTAGAGCATTTCTCCAAAGGCACAGGCCCTGAGTTGGTGCGAGAAAGCGTCCGGGCCATCGGACGTTGTGCACAAGGGGATCCCAGTACCGCAGACATGTGCCTACGGATTCTACTCAGTCAAATCTCTAGTGTGGATGGGAATCTTGTATCGGAATCGCTAACTGTGATTCGCCACTTGATCCAGCAAGATCCACCCTCGCATAAAAAGACAGTACTCCAGCTTGTCAAGAACCTTGGCACAACAACTCACCCGGAAGCACGTGCTACCATCATTTGGTTGATTGGAGAATTTGCTGGCGTTGAGCCAGAGAACAACATCGCGCCTGATGTTCTGCGAGTTCTGATCAAGGGATTCGCAGATGAGATGGAAATAGTTAAGCAGCAGATTGTGCTTCTTGGTGCCAAGGTGTATCTTCACCATCTGTTGCAAAACCCGCCAAAGGAGAAAACGGACGTTCCTGCGTCAACTGAAGCGATCAAAAAGCACACTCAAGAGTATCCAAATGAATGGGCCAATAATGAAGCCGAAGACCAAGGTACTACCGAGCAGTCCGAGAAAGAAGGTGAAGAGCAGCCTGAAGAATCTACAGAATCAGAAGCGAAAGAAGAAGAAGAAACAGAAGACCGGATCACCCTACTGTGGCGATACATCCTTCTTCTCGCGCGCTATGACACATCCTACGATCTCCGTGATCGAGCTCGTCTCTACAAAAGCCTCTTAGAAACGCCCTCTTCCACTGAACTTGCCAATCTTCTTCTTTTGGCACCGAAGCCCGTCCCCCACGCCCCCAACCCATCAGAGACCCGCAAGGATCTTCTCATCGGGTCTGCCACGCTAGTTGTGGGCTCAGAGGCTGGATATCTTGGCCTTCGGGGTTATACCAACCTGCCAGACTGGGTGGCGGCAGGCCAGGAGCCAGATCCCAGTCTCCGTATCGATGAAACAAAGCCCGATACGTCCAGCAACACAACATCCACAGCAGGTGACCGCCTGGACCGAGCGCTTCGCGAGCACCAATCGATGGCTATGCCAAGCCGCAACCAAAACACTGCGGCTGCTGGAATCGATCCGGCTGGGAAGAAGACCCTTGATCAATGGCTTCAGGAAGAGGAGCAAGAAACCGAGTCAGAGACAGAGTCTGAAACAGAATCAGAGGAAGAATCTGGTTCTGAAGAGGAGACCGACTCGGAAGAAGAGTCTGGCGAGTCCGGATCTGAGGAAGAGTCTGAAGAAGAGACCGATTCCGAAACTGAAGCTGTGCACAAAGAGGCGCAGCAATTGTTGGGTTAAATTGGATCTAATGGTTATATTTAAAGGCTATGTCAAGTAGCAAACAATATAGACCGTGAATTCTAGGGTTTGTGACGCTGATGAGCAAATGAAAGTATCTGTGGAAACTAGCACTATGAACCCAACCTGCAAGAGCGCGTAGTGTAAATGTAAAATGCAGGAACCGACGGGGACTCTCACTCAACACGGAAGTCCCTAAGAGCAGCCTGGAGGAAAGCACGATACTCCAGATACGCTCCTTCAACCTTGCGCTGACCTTAATCCTGCCTCTACAACGCTTTTCCAAGGAATTTCCACCAGCTTCCATCGCAACAATGGCCAGAAAAAGGTCCACCAGAGGAGAACCTTCCGCATCACCCTCAGGAGGGGCCCAACAGAGACCAAAGCGGCAAAGACAGCAGCACAGCCTCCCTGAGCCTGCTATGTCGCAGCCGCCAACCGCCACAACTTCCCTCCAGGCAAGCTGGCGTCGGAGAATACGACTTGATTCCTCCGAGCTAACAATTTTCATTCATACAGTCACGCCTAGATCTCGAGTCCCTTGCTGCCAAATCGGCGCAAGAACTAGTCGAACCAACCGCAGAGAAAGAATCCCACTTTGCCCATCTCGAAGGCGAGGTCGACAAACTCAGAAATGATTCAACCGCGGGTGTCAGCCAGGAAGTCTTGGATTTGATAAAGGCGGAAATCGAGACCCTGAAGAAGGACTATGATCGGATCGATGCACGATTGGCTCTAATGGAAAGCTGGATTCAGTTCACCAGTGCCTCGGTCACGACAGAGAGTGCAAGTGCTGCCCAAACCGAGGAGCAACCGAGCCAACAAGAGATGCCAGGGGAGATAATTGACTTACCGGTTGATCCTGCTTTATGTTTGAACACGAGTCAGCTTGGGAGTTTCCACTCGTGGTCTATCAACGATGAGATCGCTGACCTATAGCACGCGTTCGATTCGTTCGAGTGAGTTACCCATTGTCATTCATTACAGGAATGTGCTCATAATCCAGTACCCACAAGCACTTGGGCAGATCGTATTCCAAATCCTCCAGTCATTGTCCGAGCCAAACATATCCATCGACAGCAATGGGATTATCTTCTGGGACAAAACACCGATAGTGCATTCTAAGGCTGATGGGCTACTCGACCTTGGAAAGCTGGCTACGGTTTATTTGCCTTTATTTGATAATCCGTGAGATAGCGCTTCAATAATTTCAATGCACTGATCGGGTTGGCGCCTTTGGTGTACGTTCCACATGTTGAATAGGTACCAGCCAGACCGGCATGGGACGGTAGCAACATGGATGCATAATTGTCGCAACATATGTATGTTTCCAAGGTTCGGCGCACCTCACAGAGAGGGCGTGGGTATTGCAACATTGGTGGATGGGGTAGTTGTAGGGTCCCAATTCAACTTCACGCGCGGGTACTCATTCATTATCGATTCCATGGTGTCCATGAAAGCAGGGCTCTCCATAGGGACTGCGAACATTTTTGTGATGTCACAGTTAATCGCCGTAACAGAGATATACTCTGTCACCGGAGGACCATAGTCTGACACTGTGCCACCAGATGAATTTCTTTGCATGTAGAGAGTTACTAAACAAGCCGTCATAGCAGAAGTGCCACAATGGCACAGAACTAGGTGTCTGTTTATAAAGTCTGCCGTGCTTTGGTCGAGTCGCTGGAGGAGTTCTCGGAGCGAAAGGGGTAGAAGAAGATAGAGTTGTCGTATAGTGAGTATGGCCAAGCCACTCAAAAGTGCGAGGCTGAGGAGTCCTGCTGCACGGGTTGTTGTGACCAACAACGGAAGCGCCTCGGCATCGGGCCTGACATGACGGTTAGGGCAAGTACATTGTGATTTCAGATGGGACTTACTCGTCAAAGTGGCTCATACTTGCAGGCTTCTCACTCTCCGCAATCAAACGGATAATATAACCATGGAAGTCTTACGATGGGCAGGTTCGGAGACCAGCCTCAAGGTTGGTATGCGCCCAGGAATGCCAGGTCCTGTAAGGGTCATCGAGGGCCAAAATGCAGGTGTTATGCCACATTCAGGAACTGCTGTAGCTTCTATGCAACCTTGGAACGATGTTGCGTTGATGTTGTCCCGACTGGTAAACATGGAGAACCTTGTAACTTCTTGAAGGTAGCATTAAAACTTTGCCAAGGCTATATAAAGACTGAAAAATTGTATGCAAAAAGGTTTGCAAGCAATGGCGTAAAGAAATATAATAAATTGACACACATATTCAGAAAACACAATCCTAGGCTCGGAAGTCCCCAGGAGACTCATGACAGTTGCTCCTTGTTTGGCTGCACTGTAGGCCTCCATTTCTTGAATTCCGTGCAGGGCACAGCCTCTTCGAACATTGAGTCCACCTCGAGAGCTGTACGGTCCTTCATCTCAGGGACAATCAGCCATGTAACGATAAAGGTCAACAAACACAAGCCCGCGTAGACAAAGCCAGTTTTGCCTTTCAAATCCCCTGCGTCTGTGTTGTAAATGTAGGGGAGAATAAGATTGAAGACAACATTGGATAGCATGTAGCATAAAACACCGATACCCTGGGTTTTGGCACGGAGACGAAGAGAGGAGGTCTCCCCTGAGACTGCATATGATGCGGGCCACGCTCCGAGACCACAGACTACTACGACAGCCATCATGCAAGCGGCAGTATACCTAATGGTCATGTTAGTCTATGTCTCAGAGAAAGATCTTGGGGTCTGAGATCGGGGATCTGTAACACACCAGATCACAATGTTGCCGGTCCAGCATCCAGCGATTCCCATGCTCAGCCATATGACAGTGGTTACTGCCAAAGTGCTGAGCATCAGTAAGCGCCTCCCAAAGCGACTCATGAGCCAGATACCGAGCCCGTTGGCAATAAGGCCCAGTACGATACCCAGAATCAGCACAATTATACTGAGACTAGATTCCATTCCAACAACCTGCATGAAGTAACTCGCGCTCGCCAAGAGAGGAACACCAAAGAAGCTTGGAACAACAAAAGAGAAAGCCACAATCATTGTCCGGCGTCTGTTGACACCCCTGAAGCAGTCAACATAAGCCAGCTCCCGTGATAGAGACTCCTCATGCGCGAGAGACAAACGCATTTGGTCAAAAAGCTCAGCAACATTGACCTGATCGGTGTGGAACCATGCCAGAGCACGATGGGCGGAATCGTATCTTCCTTTCCGAAGCAGATACGACGGGCTTTCGGGCAAGATGCAAGCCAAAACGAAGGGCAGGATAGTAGTAATCCATTGAGTACCAAAAGGGATCAGGTAAGATGCAGCCGAAGTCTTCTTTTCACAGGCATAGATAACAGCAGCTCCGATCAGTTCACCAAGAAGCATGAAAGTCGGTGACAGTGCCATGGCCGATCCACGCAAGCAAGTTGGAACTGTCTCGGAAAGATATGTCTGGGCACCGGCCATAGCACCGCCAACACCCCATCCCTGAACAGTTCGACCAACGAGGAATACACCACGTCGGGAGTTCATGTCGTCCGGTAGATCGGCACAGAATGCGATGGCGATCCCAACTGCACAGACGAAACAGCTCAAAGCCAATGACCAGCGACGTCCAATCCGATCTTGCAGCCAGCCAGCATTGACTGCGCCCACCATCGACCCCACCGGTCCCATGGCGCTCCAAACCGATAGCCACGAGGCTGGGATAATGTAGGAACCATCGTATAGGTGACCGAATTCGTGCTTGAAGTATGGTACTGCCGTGATGGTGCCGAGGATCACAGTGTCGTATCCTGTGAGAAGGAACGCTAGGGCGAGACCGAATGCACATGCAACAATCTTAGGGTAGATGCGAACTGCTTGCATCAGCGGTAGCTGGTCAGACGGCGGAGGGTTGGGTTCAGGGTTCGTCTGAGTAGGCACCATCTTTTGATCCCAGTTGGGCTCAGGGGGAGACATTGTGAAGTGAGCCAGGTGCAATCTCAATGGAGAAGATTGGTGTAGTTATTTCTCCGATGTCGATAATCGAGAGCCTCTTATACTGATCGCGTTATACTTCCAGGAACACCATTTGCAATGATAGCCCGGGGTACGAGTCACCGCTAGCCAGAGTGCTGCTTCCAGCCAATATCAAGGCCAGAATCAATCTCCATATCTTGGCTTTCCCACAATCTCATCCCTGATGAAGACCTCTGCTGTTAAGAACGCGGGGGAGGGAATCACCAGAACGCCAAGCCAGGGCTAGCATGCTTAATTGCCGAAGCGGCCAATCGCATCTCGTTGTGCCTGACTCCTCCGGCTTTTGACTGGTTGCGTCGGCTGGAAATGTCTCCACTACGGATGTATACACTACACCCGAGCCCTCAGTCAAGTTGACGGCGTAGAATTAGATATCAAATTAGCCGAGGCTGAAGGGCAGGGATTTCAGTAACCCCGGAGTATCCGGAAGCCACGTCAAGTTTCGAATCGAACTGTGACGTTCTCCCACAGCTGTGTCTGCAGTGTTCCCTCAAAGATCTGGTTGCCTGATCAGAAATCATCCTCCGTTGGTTTTATAGCACGGAACCGCCAGTTTTCAAGTTGGACCAAACTGCACCATGGACCCCTCTCGGATAATCAAGCCCTGGAAGCTCCATCCTCAGCGAGTGTTGGTTTTTGTGAACGCGACCATCGTCGACCCTGTTCAAGGAGAGTTGATCGAACATGCTAACGTTCGAATCTCGGAAGGAAAAATCACCCATATCGTCACAAATGGTGCTTCTGCACTCACAGAGGGTGTGGCAGATGAGAATGTCATCGATCTGAATGGGAAGTTCCTATGCCCGGGGCTAATTGACTGCCATGTCCACATCGCCGTAGTGCCAGGCGAAGCCGACCTGCGAGCATACAAAGACATGTCAGAGCGAATCAGTCTTCTGCGCCAGCCACGCGTTCTGAAATCCATGCTCGACCGCGGGTTCACCTCGATCCGCGACTGCGGCGGTGCAAGCCTAGCCATCAAAGAAGCAGTCGAAGAGGGTGTCATCCCGGGACCACGACTATTCATTGCCGGCTTCGCACTCTCGCAAACAGGTGGACATGGCGATATGCGCGGGCCCCACGATTCCCAACTCTGCTGTGGTGGCACGATGTCTGGAATCAGCAGGATTGTCGACGGACCTGCAGAATGCTATAAGTTTGCCCGAGATGAGCTCCGCCAGGGAGCTGATTTCATCAAGATCATGGGTGGAGGTGGTGTTGCGAGCCCGACGGATCGCATTGACCACGTGCAATTCTCGGATGAGGAGATCAAGGCTATTGTCACTGTTGCCCGAAATGCGGGGACGTACGTTACGAGCCATAGCTATACGCCACAGGCCATCCAGCAAGCTATCAACCTTGGCGTACGGGGCATTGAGCATGGAAACCTCATTGACCTTGAGACGGCCAAGATGATGGCCGAGAAAGATTGCTTCTTGACACCAACTCTCATTGCGCATGTCATGTCCAAGCAGATGAATTTCCTGCCGGCTGACGGGGCAGCTAAGAATGATGAAGTTCTTGAGAAGGGACTGAAAGCGATGAAGATGGCAGTCGATGCTGGAGTCACTGTTTGTTTTGGGACTGATCTGCTGGGTCCAATGCACTTTGCTCAGAGCAAGGAGTTCTCGGTCCGAAGCTCTGTCTTGACTCCATTGCAAATCCTGCGAAGTGCCACTGTCAATGCCGCTCGCCTCGTCATGCAGGAAGACTGTTTGGGTCAAGTTCGAGAGGGATTCGCGGCAGATCTGCTTGTTCTAAACGAGAACCCGCTGGAGGACATCACTATTCTGGATCGGGTGGAGGAGCATGTTCTAGGTGTTATCAAGGATGGGAGAGTTGCTGTTTCCCGATGGGACCAGCTGGCGGTAGACATCTGTCCCTGATGGAGATAAACTCTTTGTTTATGTTATTGCTTTAAGCCACTTTGGATGAGTTCAAGTCTAGTCCTCTTGTATGGAGTTTCCTTTGATAACCTAGCATTTTAGCATGCCTATACGCAGATCATAACTGGAGCTTGTGGATGTTCGAATCGGGAACAGTCCTTGTATTGTGGCCGGATGAGGTAGCACCCGCGTAGCCCGCATTTGGGAAGCCTTGGAGACCAGTATGAAAGACTCAACGATATTCGTCCTTCACATCACGAAGACAACGCCAGACAACGCCATGTTGACCAGTCCGCTAGGACGCGAGCATTTGAACAGGGGCCAAGGCGGTGTGACCAAGGGCGGTGTAGCCCTAGCCGAGTATCGGTTGCCCCCAAGCTCATCCCGCAATTTGGCGGTGCCTGGATCGATAGCGACCTTCCCTCCCCTCAATCGAGGATCGCATCACAATGCTTGCCAAGTCGAAGCCATCCTCGATTTCCTCTTGATACCATATTCGAGCACAAGCACCATCACGAGATCCTCCAGACCTTCGCTTCATATTCTGTGCGATTCATCAACTATTCACGACGCTTACGGAGCTCTACATCTATCCGCGGACCCGTCCACCTGTTTGAGCACGGAATTACGACTTCAAATACCTTTTAGATATCATTATACCTGCAACCCGCCACAATGCCTGGTCTTCCAAGTATGTGAACGCATTACGCATCTCGAAAGCGATAAGACATTGCTCGATATGAACGTTGCTGACCCTGGTGCTTTATAGCCAACATCGACCTCGACGAATGCATCTCCCGTCTCTATCGAAAGGAGCTCCTCGCGGACTCGGTGGTGGAAGCCATCTGCTCCAAGGCAAAGGAGTTGTTGATGAAGGAAAGCAATGTGGTCCATATCGCTGCCCCGGTGACTGTGGTTGGCGATATCCACGGTCAATTTTTCGATATGATTGAGATCTTCAAAATTGGCGGCCCTTGCCCCGATACGAATTACTTGTTCTTAGGTACGTTGCACTCGGCACCCGCGGAGCAGGCCTGGAGGCCGCTGTGGATGTCAGCGTAATGGGTTGCTGACTCGCCACAGGCGACTATGTCGACCGCGGTCTCTTCAGCGTGGAGACCATCTCCTTGCTTGTTTGTTTAAAACTCAGATACCCCTCGCGGGTACACCTCATTCGTGGAAATCATGAATCCCGCGGAGTCACACAATCCTACGGCTTCTACACCGAGTGCGCGCGAAAATACGGTGACGCGAACGTCTGGCATTATTTTACCGATATGTTCGATTTCTTGACGCTGAGTGTTGTGATCAACAATGAGATTTTCTGTGTGCACGGCGGACTTTCACCTTCCATCCACTCCATCGATCAAATCAAGATCATCGACCGTTTCCGCGAAATTCCCCACGAAGGCCCGATGGCTGATTTGGTCTGGTCTGACCCTGATACGGAGCGGGATGAGTTCTCTCTTTCTCCCCGTGGAGCTGGCTACACATTTGGAGCGCAGGTTGTGCGAAAGTTCTTAGAGGTGAACAGCATGTCTCACATTCTGCGGGCTCACCAGCTCTGCCAAGAGGGATACCAGGTCCTCTATGATGACCGGCTCAGTACCGTCTGGAGTGCTCCGAACTATTGCTACCGATGTGGAAACTTGGCCAGTGTACTCGAAGTGAGTGACACGGGAGAGCGCTACTTCAACATCTTTGATGCGGCGCCTGAAAACGATGCCCACCGGATGGAGCAGCTCGGCAAACACCAACAGAACCAGGATGGCGGCCCCAGCCCGGTGATTGATTACTTCTTGTGATACCCTATACTTCGTGTTAATATTCAAATTTTTTTGATTTTCTTTCACCAGCACTAGACAGGAGTTTGGCATAGGCTGTGGATACCCATGAGACATGCTACTTGGCATATGAAACAAAATATCTTACACGGAAGAAATTTGGTATGACGCTTAAACAATGTAACGGAGTCCAGGTATTGGCCTGCGGGACACATCTGTAACAGTTTTATAAACAAGGAGCTTCATCACGCTTTGGAAAAAAACAACCGCTCAAGAATTCAACAAGATCAGATCATGTCTACCAGTCCTTGGCAATGTCGAAGGACCACTCAAACTGCAGATGAGTGTGGTCGTCGTCATCCAGGAACTTGGAGGTGGCATTGTAGTGCCCACGGGCAATCAGGCCAGATGGGGCCTCTTCCTCCGCGACTAGAGCGAGTCAGCACATTCAAACAGAAAGAAAAAAAGGAGTCCGTAGACTTACAGATCTTCTCGTAGAGAGGCTTGACATTAGTGTTGGGTGCATAGCTGCCGAGCATCTCCTGGTCCTTGCTAACACGAACACCCTTACGCTTGACTACCTGCAGGTACTTGAGGCCGCTCAGAACTTCATGGTGGACCTGGAAGGCAGCCTTGATGTGGAACTTGGAGCCCTCCTTAATCTTGAACGGCTTGTTCTTGAGCTCATCGACGGAGCCGGGAGAGGAGAGATCGATAACAACGTCGGGTCGGCCCTCGACTTGCAGCGCGAGAGACTTGATAATGCACTTGCGGGGGTCGTTGGGCTCATGGATGGGCTCGCCTGCGTTCAGGCCGAGCGAAGCCTTCCAGCGCTGCATGGCCTCATCGTCCTTATCTATGACCGAGGGGATTAGTCTGGGGTCAATGGATGTCAATGATGAAGCAAGACTCTTTCTCACCCAGCTGGTTGTACTCGTCAATGGTCTTCTTCTCTCCGACCTTGAACCCTTCGGTTCTGGTGGCGGCGAGATCGTCTGCTTGGTCGGCCATTGTTTAGTTAGGTGGGGCAGTGAACCAAGGATGGGAGATATGCGAGGATGGGGAATACAGCGAGACCAAGGATGGGAAGAAAGAAATACAAATGTGAATCAGGAGAGAAAGCGCAGGATCCAAGCGACTGGGATTTGGTGGGGTGGAAAGGCGGTGGGAGAGGGGCGAGGCTATTCGGATGGAAATTGGATGCGCATGCCCCAGGGTGTCCTGCGTCCTGATGCATGCTTATATTGACGGTCTAAACTTAGGACTGATTCGATTCTTTCTGCTCTTCTTCGTTCTCTTTCCCTGAGTATCAGTAACGCTCTGGGCGATCTAGGCCCCGATTTGAATATGGAGTGGGGTTTCAGGAGATCATGCAACTAAAAATGTACCGGCCACGTTGATAGCGGGATAGTCTATAGTACTTCTTCCTGCGCACCTCTGCGGACTGGACTTGGAGATTGATCCGTGTTTCAAAGTGTGTCATATACATGATGGTGTTTTAGTTGTTCTCCATCAAGGATTACGGAGTAGGCAGTGCTCCGTAGGGTGTCGTGGCTCAGGTCCACGGGGGCATCTACTAGTACTCTTCTCACCGCACTATTGGATGTATGGGCCACAGTGCAGTGCGAGTCCGGAGTGCATTGCATCCGTGGCCATAACTTCCAATCAATACCATTGGGCGAGAAGAAGGAGCGGCTGATGCACTACTAGCACTCCATGATGGTAGTCTACTACCTAGCAGTAGACCCGGGGATCATAACAAACAGATCTCAACAGATATTCAATCGATGGGTCTCAGTAGACACGATCTGAAACAATCAAGTTTAGCCACATCATGCGAACTGTTCCGTATTCCAGATAGGAGACAGACAAGCAGAGACCTGTCACTTGTGGAAGTGATAGATGTCAAAGAAGAAACGAGTCGAGGGATGGGAATGTCACGCCAAAACAGGATAGATTACAGTGAGGTATTATTACCTCCTGTGGACCATCCATCCAATCACGGCCCCCAAATACCCCATCTGACGACCATCAAACCGGACCTTACCGGAACGAGTCAAGTCTCAGAACGACGCAATTATTCGCGCTTCGCATCTTTCCCTCCTGATTGTCTTTCTTTATCTCCGCCTTAGTTTTTTTTTCTCGTGTTGGGCTAATATTGGCGCATTTCCATCCCGGAATTGGACGTGTGAACTCGCTTCCGACTTTTGATCGCAAGACGCGCCTGCTACGTGGCGCATCTTTCCCCCCCCCAAGGATCTTTCCTTTCAACATCCCACCATGGCGCGAACACTCCCCAAGGATCTGAATCCTCTGATCGTCTCAGAAGTTGCTCCAGCTTGTATGTGTGACTAGCGCGTGGCAACACGGCGCGTGCGCTGCGTGCGCATTGGCTCGCATTGCAGCGATGCGCTATTTATTCTGGTCGTAGCTAATCCATGAACCCACAGATGAGGATCTTCTTACGCGCCGTCGTCTAGGCAAGACGAATCTGTCGGTCAAGCAATCTCAAATTGGAACTTCAAATGCGACCAAGCGCGAGAATCTGGGCGTGTTTGAGTACGCGCATCTGCGTGCCCCATTGCCCAAGGACCTGAAGGGCTCTGAGATCTTCCCTTCACACACCTTGGCGCAACAGCCTGAAACATACTTTTTGATGGTGAGAACACCTCTGCATTTTGGCTTATACATATACACACATATATTTTTCAACCGTCAAGGACAAGTACTGATCTTAGTTTTTGGTTTTATAGCGACGCAGCAAAGATGGCTTTGTCAGTGCTACTGGAATGTTCAAGATTGCCTTCCCCTGGGCCAAGGCCGAGGAGGAGAGAAACGAGCGTGAATACTTGAAAGCGCGCGAGCACACCAGTGAAGAGGAAGTCGCTGGCAACGTGTGGATCTCTCCTTCATTTGGTATGTCCCACCTGATTGCTGGATATATCAGCAGCTAACATTTCACTAGCTCTCGAGCTCTCCAAGGAGTACAAGATGTACGAATGGGTGCGAGCTCTGCTGGACCCCACGGACATTACCCAGAGCCCTTCCAGCGCGAAGAAGCAGATCACTCCCCCTCCCAAATTCGAGATCCCCGAAGATGAGCCGGCTGTCGGACACCGCCACCGCAGAGGTCGCTCCGCTTCCCCCAGCAAGTCGTCTCCCCGCAAGTCTCGCACTACTCGCATCACCAAAGATGTCACGAGCACCCCGTCCACAAATGCCGCGAACGCCAGCTTGCAGTCCACATTAGATATCTCAGTGTCAAGCGCCACTCTGGACGCAGACACGATCCCTGAGCTGGGAGCCGATGCGGAGCCCGAAATGAAGTCCGCGGGATCGCCGTCTAAGAAGCCCCGCGCCCGGAAGGCCACTCGGGCCACTACTGCGGAGCCCGAAGAAGAGATCAAGGACGACAAGAAGGAAGAAAAGAAGGAGAAGAAGAAGGCAGAGAAGAAGACCGAGAAGAAGGAGAAGAAGAAGGAGGAAGTCCAGGCTGAGCCGGCAGTCGAGGTTGCGGTAACCACTGAAACCGCGGCCGAAGATACCACCGCTCAGGCTACCCAGCCCACCGTTTCTCTTGACTTGCCTCTCCTTTCTGAGGTCCCATCTGCGGCAGAGACTGAGAAGATGATTGCCGAGGCCAAGAGCATGGTCGAAGACGCCATCAAGGCACAGGCTGAGGGCACCCCTTCTAAGTCATCCGTGAAGGTGACCAAGAAGCGCAAGCCCGAGGATGATGATGATGAGGAGACCTCAGCCGAAGCCGCTCAGCGGGCGAAGAAAGCCAGAGTGCTCGAGAACAAGCTCAAGCAAGAGCGCGTGCGCAACCGCTCCATCTTTGGCGTCTCTATCGCATTTGCCGTTGCGTAAGTCGCATGGTTCCAACCAACCCGCGTCGATACTAACATTGTTCCCAGTGCCTCGATTCCCTACTTCTTCTGAGCGACCATGTTTCTTCACCTGCCAACGTCCAGTCCATTCGGAAGTCCTACCTTTCCCTTCGCTCTGTCGCTTGCGATAGCCCTGCCCCCGATCTTCGCTTCTGAATCCCAATTCCCCTTGTCGTTATCATAAATATACTTCTCGCCGGCGATACTGAGAGCACTGTACTTGTGTCACACAATTTTCTAATATGTTGCTCGTCCTTTCCACCCCTTCCCATCTTGTCTTATGCAAGAGTTGGACTTGAACTTGTCTGTGTCCGTCCATTCCGACCCTCTGATCCAGCCCTCTTCCCCGATACCACGTCCCTCACATCCTCTATGCCCCGTGGCAACAGCCCCACATGTAGCCAAGACTTGTTTAATGATAGTGATATTCTTCTTGAGATTATCTTCCGGACTATAAATATATAAATCTATCCCGGTCCTTCTCGGGCACCACTAAGTTCATGTACGCCTGTGATGTTGGCCCCAGTAACGCGCTGGCAAGACCCAGTTTTTGGTTCGTTGAATAGATAATTAATCCATCAGGCGGAAAGTACGTTAATACCGTCGTTGACTACTCCGTAGTTCGAAGTGGAACACCGAGGTTGGATTGACTGTGACCGCGCATTTAGATGGGAGCGGCCCAATCGCAGACAAGCGCCTGGGTGCAAACACGCGAAACATCCAAAGTCCCGCTCCATACGAGCTATCTCTTCTCCAATTTCCCCCACCTCCTACACCTACAGAGCTTCTTTCCTGTGATAATGTCGCTCCCAGGTTTAGAGCTAACCCAACCATCAGAAGATAGATCGCAGGCTGCTGCTCCGCCATCGCAGATCAATCTTACCCCAGGCTCTGAATGGCGCTTTGAGGTTGCCTTTGGGCATGTTATCAAGGTCAAGGTACGTCACAACGTCCAAACCAATGGTCGAAATCTCTGTCAAGACTGGACTAACCAAACACACAGCTTCTAAATGGAACCGCGGAGCTTTTCGGTACAGAACTCGCCGAGTCGCAAACCTACACTTTCACCGGCACAAAAGCGGCAATCTTCACATGGCATGGCTGCGCACTGGAGGTCAGCGCAGCAGAGACTGTACAAGGCACGTCAGATGGAATTGCGTCGACATTTGGTCATGGCGCAGGAGGTTGCCAAAGCGAGTACACGGCTGAGGAAACGCCAATGATGGAATACGCCAATGTCCACTTCGCGCTGGAGACAATGCGCGAAGAAGCACAGTCAATTGGAAAGGACGGTCCACGCGTGCTACTTCTTGGCCCTGAAAACAGCGGGAAGACCACGCTCGCCAAGATCTTGACCTCCTACGCCACGAAGATCGGCCGCCAGCCACTGGTTGTGAACCTCGACCCAACGGAGGGCCAGCTCGGCGTGCCTGGCACATTGACTGCCACCGCTTTCCGAACCATCTTGGACGTCGAAGATGGCTGGGGAAGCAGCCCCATGTCTGGACCCAGCCCTGTCCCGGTCAAGCTGCCTCTGGTGTACAGCTATCCCTCACAGAACCCGCTGGATGGCGAGGGTGCCGTTTACAAACCAATTGTCTCGCGTCTTGCGCTCTCGGTAACCGGCCGTATGGCCGAGGATGAGGATGCCCGTGAAACTGGGATCATCGTTGACACTCCTGGTATCCTGGGCTCTGACAAGCCCGGCAGCATGGACTTGATCAACCACATCGTCACCGAGTTCTCGATCACTACGATTCTCGTATTAGGCTCGGAGCGCCTCTACAGCACCGTAGCCAAGCAGTACGATAATAAGCCCAGCTCTAGTGCGACAGCCGCCGTCTTTGATGAGCACGTCTCCGTCATCAAGCTCTCGAAATCAGGCGGCTGTGCTGATCGTGACGCCGCGTTCCGGAAAGCAACGCGCGAATCCCAAATTCGCACATACTTCTTCGGCAATCCCATGCCTTCATTATCTCCCGCCTCCGCCATCACCCTCTCCCCCCACGCCCAGCAACTCGACTTCTCCACCCTCCAGATCTACAGCTACACCACCCCCTCCGCCGATGAAGAAGATGAAGACGAGTACGACCCCTCGCAACTGGGGACAGACTTTCTCCCCGGGGGAGGCGCAGAGGACTACGCAGAGCCAAAGCCGGACCCTGACCGCGCTGCTCCTCTTCCCGGTGTGGTGGGCTCATTCTCCGAGCCTGCCAATGCTCCGGAGAAGACGGACAGCTCCGTGCCGTTGAAGAAAGTCCCTGCGCCTGCGCCTTCCGCCCTTGCAAATACCCTCCTGGCCATCACACACGCCCCGGCCAATGCTTCACCCTCCGAAGTCCGTGATGCGAGCATCATGGGCTTCCTCTATGTTGCGGATGTTGATGGGGAAAAGGGAAAAGTTCGGGTACTTGCGCCCGTGGGTGGGAGAATGCCACCCCGGGCTATCATTTGGGCCAAAAGTTGGCCTGGTGAGCTCGTTGGCCTGGTGGGTTGATTTTGTGTACATACTTGGCACATGGCACATAAATTGCATTTCTTCTAGGAGTTTTGGGTTTGACATGGATGTTCAATATTTTACATACGAGTAATCCACAAATTTATTCCGATTGGATATCATTGAGAATGGTCATACCTAGGTAGTTATGTAGGTAGGTGGCTTCTTCTCATAAGCGCCTTGCTACTCCAGGGCTGAGGAGATTGGACCTTCGAATATTGACGTACAAAGGAAACTTTTATGCTATGCTATGCGCTATGCTATGCTATGCTACCTGGTACAATGTAAATCAGACCCCCCATTGTACAAAACGACCCAAGTCCCCTATCCAAATCCCAATGCTCCATATCAAGTATACACCCAATGCCCAATGCCCAAAAACAAACAAAAAGCCAAGTCCGTACACGTAGATAGAACAAGAACAAGAACAAGAACAAGAACAAGAACAAGAACAAGAACAAGAACAAGAGAGAAAAGCATCACTCCCACCTCCTCCACTCATCAACAGCCTTCCTCATTTCCTCATCACAATCATACCCTCTCCCAGAAGCCTCAAGCAACTCCTCCCGACGATCCGTGAATCTTCTCTCAGCCTCAATCCTCCTCTTAGCAATAGACTCCAACATCCCCAAATCATCCCTCGCAACCGCCTCCCGGAACTTCGCCCTCATCCGCGGCGAATACAACTGACAACTAGCCTCGCGGGTGCGCCCAGGTGCATCACCAGGCAAGATGCGCATGGATGTCGTCACCATCCGCGCAATGGGACGATGAATCCTCGCAAGTGGCCAAACAACTTCATCATAACAGTCTTCACAGACACACATCTCAGGCAGAGACGGGATATAATGCCAAGTACTCAGCGTTGGTCTGTCGCGGCGACAGTCACGGAGAACAGCCTTGCGACGAGCATAGCCGAGGAATTCGCGAGTGTCAGGACGACGGGCGCGATCGGCTTCAGCACGCGAGGCAGAGGCGTCCAGGAGATCGATGAATCTGACGAAGCGCGGCGAAGAAGTAACGAAGTCGCAGATTCGTTCTGCGGGTTCTGGGTTCTGGATGAATGTGTCGCGGTGGGCGGGCATGAGGATGCGGACGTTTCTTGCACAGCTGTTGCAGACGTGGAAGTTGGATAGGTCGCTGCCGGTTTCTGGGTCGTAGATCCTGTACCAGGGTTGTTCGGCGACAATGCGGCCGGGACAGCCGCGGCTTCCTGGGGGTGGGCGGGTCATTTGGTATAGGAGTTCCAGGCTGTCGTGTTGCTTTTTAATCATTTGGGCCCAGGCGAGACGGGTCCAGGCGTTGGCGAAGGCGCAGCGGGTCTTTTGGTTGGCGGGCTTGGCTAGACTTGGGATGAAGAAGTCTCTGTACCGCGAGTGTGCGATTTGACTCATGCATGAGGGGCAGATGTCTAGGTGCGTCAGGCCTTTCAGTGTGTACCAGTCTTGGTATCCGGCGACTGCAATAGTGCGAGGACAGGGGGAGAGGCCCATGCCTGTTGAGTTGGGTCGCTGGGGGGATGTGCTGGGGTGCCGAGACGTGGATGGAACTGTAGACCTGTCGGGGCTCGTTCGTGTGGTGCTGGGGTGCCGAGAGCTGGAGTGAGTGGTGGACCTGTCAGGGCTTGAATGGGCTGTGCTGGTATGCCGAGAAGCAGGCTGGACCAAAGACCTGTCGGTGGTGGGCTGGGCTGGTACCAGGCTTGGAAGTAGTTTGGACTTCTCCACCATCTCGGGCACCGGCCTCGGGGGAGGAGGGCGAGACTCAGACATGGCCCTGGGAGGGGGTGCTGTCACGGATTGGGCTCGCAGACGGGAAGTCGGCGGCTCTTGCGGGACTCGTTGGCTTAGGGCACGGGGATCCCGAGTAGGCGAGTGCGGTGCGGTAGCCGGCGCTGGGTGCGGAAACAAGATTGGGATGGCGATGTTAGAGACCTTGGCGGCTGTGGTTGGCTTATGTCCTTCGGTGTCTGACATATGTCCCGGGTCTCGTTGTTCTTGTCGCTGTCGAAGCTTCTCTTCAATCCGGTCTGCCAGGGTGGGCCCATTTGGCACAGGTAACACCGGGGTTGTGGGCACAGGTGCTTGAACGGGTGCTTGCGATTTATGCACAGGGGGTCTGTTGGAGGAAGTGGCCGAATCGGACAGATATCCCGAGCCGGGCTCGCTGCGCAAGCGCTCTGGCAGTGGCCGCTGCGCTGGAGGTGCAGGTCGAGCACTGTTCGAGCGAGCCGCAGAGGAAGATTTGAGCGGCAGCAAGTCTCTCTTCTCGAGAACAGGAGCTCGGGGAACTGGGCGATCTGGCGAGCTCTCCGAGCGCAGGGCCTGGGAGCCATACTCAACCGGCATTATGGGTCTACCGGTGGTGCTGTCCCGGTAGTGAGAAGAGTGTCGAGACTCCCTCTGTACACTGGGCTCTCTCGATTGTTGCGGTGGCGGAGGTCGAGTCGACTGGCTTCTGGATCGGCTTGCACTGCGCTGAGGCACAGGAGCTGGGGCCCTCTCATCCTTGAATCGGACTGTGTTCCGGGTGACCGGCTCCTGCAGAGGCGGCGTCGCTGGTCCCGAACTCTCGTCGGAAGAGGACATATGCGCCAGTCCAGGCACATTTGAAAGACTATCCGGGGAAACTGATGGGGGAGGGGGAGGTGTGGCAGACACCAAGATAGGGTACTGGTCGACGGCGCCTCTGAAATGAACACCCTCGGCTCCTGGCTTTTCTCCAAGCTTAGAGAGACCGTTCAGTTCCCTCGATAGAGACTGGGGCTCTTCTTCGACGCAGGGCGCCGGAGGCCATTGCGCATGAACCCTTCGAGGGGTTCGGGAGTAAGTCATTGTTGATTGTTGTCACACGGCGAGTGCGGAATATGTTTGTTTCGAACGTTAACCTGCTGCGATGACGTCTTTTGGAATAGCTCGGGAAGTCTGGCTCATAGTATAGATGGGAGGAGTAAGAAAAATTTTTCGAAGCAAGGACAATGAAGTTCGTGTGTGAGAGGAAGAGAAATTTTCGTAGAAAGTAGACAAAGATGGCCTTTAAAGGTTGTGTGCGACCAGGAAGTACAAGGGTATATAAGCATTGGCGGACATCGGGCACCACTCTCTGTGAGCAGACCTCTGATAGGCTCTGTGGTTGATTGGGCGAGGATCAACCAGCCAGAAATAGCTTCAGGCTGAAGGGAAAAAAATCATGCGAGCAGGGTTCGCATTGGAAACACAGGCCGAAACGGCCGAGTCGCCGGGGCCACTTCGAGCGGGTGTGGCTATGGCAGGCCTGTGGACTGGTATTGGGCACAAAGTGGAACCAACGGGTGCTGCCGTCGCGTTTCAGTCACTTTTAATTAGATGGAGATCAGAACAACCTGGTGATTGGGTCGCAATAGATTTGCAAACCCGGTTTCCCGCTCAGGGGTTGTTTTGGAAAAAATAATCATAGCGTGGTCGTTCACAGAGGGGCGAGGAGATCTTTCCCCGTCCACAGATGCAGTCAGCGGCAGATGATGCAAACGACTGTGTCATGGGTTGGGTCATGCAGAACCTCGCCTCCAAGTCGACATGCGAACGTGGGGCGTTGGAGCAGTCCACGCCCCTCATGGGGCTCGGGTGGCTTGCATACCCTGTCATCCCTGGAGACCAATGCAGTCGATCGAAGGGGAACTCTGGGTACTAGCGAGGGGTAAGAGTAAGCGGCTCGCGGCACTAGACTCTAGGTGCATGATCGAACCTCCTGTCCGATGGCGGCAAAGGATCCGTTGGATATCAAACAGCCCTGGGCATGGGGCCTTTCGGGAGAAGGTTCTGTCAATGTAGGATCAACTAGGTTTCCTGGTTTCACCAGGCGCTGTATCATTCAAGTGGCGTGCCACATATAGTGTCGACGTATGAAGCACGGAGTACATCGGCATTGTTCCGATACTTCGCGATCCGACGGCTATGGCGTCATAGGATGGTTTCGACTTCTTGTCCTTGCAACCGGGTTCGACGGACCTGGCAGAGCATCGGCACAGGTATAAAACCCATATCTGGTGAGAATGACAGCCAGCAAGACCGCAAGAAACAAATGTAAACAAAGAGAAACGTCAAAAGCGCAGACATTCCGTCGGCTTCGGCCCGGGGGATGCGGGGGATGACAAATTGAAGGCGACGACATCGCTCCACTACTTAATCTCCGACACTCTACATCTCTGACAGTGTTATGTTTCGCTCTCTTGCACGAAGCAGTCCTCGACTTACAATTCTCCGCAATCACCTCAATTTTGGGAAAAACCCCCGCTACATCATGTCCGTCCCAACAACAATGAAGGCCGTGGTGGTCGAGCAGACCGGAGGACCTGAGGTACTCCAATTTCGCACTTCTCACCCAGTGCCAACTCCTCAAGCCGGACAATTGCTAGTTCGCAACAACATCTCGGGAGTCAACTATATCGATACGTATTTCCGAACAGGACTATATGCCTCACCTAAACCAGAAATTCTGGGCCGAGAGGGTGCCGGCACTGTCGCAGCTGTGGGCCCCGAAACGACCGGGTTCAACGTTGGCGATCGCGTTGCCTGGTTGGCAACTAATGGCTATGCAGAGTTCACTGCTGTGCCTGCGGTAAAGACGGTCAAGATTCCCGAGGGGATCAGCGATGAGGATGTCATGGCCTCGTTTCTGAGCGGCTTGACGGTGCTTGCTTTTGCGAAAGAGACCTACCCCGTCCAAAAGGGTGATTGGGTCCTTTTGCATGCTGCCGCTGGTGGTGCCGGATTCCTCATGACACAAATTCTCAAGACCATGGGTGCCAAGGTCATCGGTACTGCCGGTGGTGCGGAGAAGTGTGCCCTTGTCAAGAGTCTTGGGGCCGACGTGGTAATTGACTACCGAAGCGAGGAGGGCAAAGATTGGGTGAAGTTGGTCAAAGACGCTACCGGTGGTCGTGGTGTTGACGTTGTCTATGATTCTGTCGGCAAGGACACATGGGAAGGAAGTCTAGAAGCTGTCAAGCGCAAGGGAACCATTGTCTGGTTTGGCAATGCCAGTGGCCCCGTACCGCCAATTCCTCTTCCGTATGTTCTCAGTCATGTCACTTTGATGGCTTCCAATACTGACCATACTTCACTAGTAAACTTTCCCCCAAGTGCGTTAAAATCGCTCGTCCGACACTCTTTGGATACATTGAGACCCGCGAGGAATTTGAATACTACACAAACGAGCTGTTCAGTCTACTGAAATCGGGCCAGCTCAAGACCAAGATCCACAAGGTTTACCCACTGGAGGACATTGCTCAAGTGCACAAGGTATGTAACTCCTTGCGGTGGTGGTTCTTTCTCTCATGCTAACCCACCTCATAGGACTTGGAAGGACGTAAGACCATGGGCAAGCCTCTTCTAAAGCCATGAATAATGCAAGTGAATGAAAACTGCCTAGATATTAGCATGGGGAATCCCAGCGCATGAACTATGTGTCCATTACCCTGTCCTTTCAAAGCCTTAGTAGGAATCACAATATTCTTCTTCCTCTTCTTCTGCAAAGACCATCACCTCCTTCGGAAATCCCGAAATGCTGCCCATTGACTCGGCTAACCCTGTAGGTGGTACTAGTATCTTTGGTCTTCCGATTATCATTGATTTCATTTCATTAATGGTAATATTAATCTGAAGTTTGGACCGATGGTCTGAGTTTTTTCTTAGAAGAATTCCGTCTAGTCGAGAGCTTCGGCGGTTTCTGGCTGAATCAACTTCTCTTCCAGAAGCACCTCGGAACCCTCAACAGAGTTTTCCTCAAGAGAATCTTCTGCAATAGCAATATCGTCGTTCTTGCCGACAGGCTCTTCGAAAGGCTCCTAGTCCATGATATCTTGCCAAGCGTCTGGTTGTAAGAAAACCAATTTACCCAGTGCAAGATCATCATTGACGGGCTCCTTTTCGCTTTGCTGCTTCTCGAAAAGCTCCCTCTCGAGACATTCCTTATCGGCAAGTTCCTTCTCGAAACGCTCCTTCTCGACAAGCTCTTTCACGTCGTGGCACTCATTGTCAGGCTTCTCTCGGACAGACTCCTCATCGGAAGAATCATCATCGGAAGAATCATACTCGGAAGACTCCTCCTTGACAGATTCCACCTCGACAGACTCCTCCTCAGCAAAATCCTCGACGGGCTCATCCGCGACAGACTCCTCCTCGGCAAGCTCCTCCTTGGCAGACCTTTTTGCCAAAAGCTCCTCTACAAAGAGGTTCCTTTCGGCATCAATTTTCCCGAGACAGCCCTTTTCGAAACTCTCTCTCTCGGCAATCTCCTTCGAGCGAAGTTCCTCTTCGAAAAGCTCCATTTCAGCAATCTCATCCTTGTCAAGCTTCATTCTGGAAGCCGGATTCTTGGGAGGCCGCTTAACGCAAATCGTCTTCACCGGTATGTGATCGTCCGTCAGCTCCAACTTCTCCTTGATAGCATCCATGTTGTAGTCGTAAGACTCAAGGAAGTTGATGATATCCTTGCAGTGATCCCGAATGCTGTATCCCTGCGCTAGAATATGCTCTGGGTCCCAGCTTAACTGGTCGCGAACCATTCTCAAGGCGATTTCTCTCTGTGGCCGCTCAGGAGGCTCGATGAGCATATCCTCGGCACGACGACGTGCAATCTCACCCTCATCCCCAATCCAGTCGATGGGTTTTGGCTCTTTGTAATCGATCATCCAGTCATTGTAAATGAATAGATAGTTCGATGGAAGCACAGTCATCACTTCGTCGTAAAAGTGCATACCAAAGTTGGTCTCATAAACATTGGTAATAACTTTCATTCCGGGTAAGAGGAGATCAAGGACCGACTGTTCGATGAAAAACTCGAATTTGTGCGCCGGCGCAAATCCAGCATCCCAGTCGATTTTCTCCCAAGGTGCGAGGTCAAACTCACCGCGTGACTCGTCACGGAACTCCTTTGCCCTGACCCTTCCGACTGGAAGCAAATCGGGAGCAAGTTCTCGGTAGTAGGCGTGAACCTCCTCAGAAGGATATTCAATCGAAAGGATCTCGAAGCCGTCGATGTCCTCAACCATTTTAGCCTGGACATTATCGTATTCGACGAGGCATTTGAATTTTTGCGTTAGCCGGTCATCGCCGTTGATCGCAATCGCGTATCTGACGACCTTGCGCGCAATTTCACGAGTGAAAATATCATTACTGGCGTACCTAATATGGCGCCACGCTTCAGGATCATCGACGACATCAAAGTAATAGCCCCCCAGTAACATTGAGCAGGCACGATTGAAATGTCCGGGGCCGTCATGGTGGAGGACTTGCTGGCATAGCCATAACTCCTTCTCACATCGATCACATGTTTCCCTGGCTGCCTCGAGGTCCTCTTTCTGCTCAGGGCACACGTCGTGGTAGAGTAGGTAAGTAAAGAAGTTCTTCATGGTAACAGTGCAGAGCTTGATGTCCTCCTCAGTCTCGGGATTGTAGTGATTCATAAAGTAGCAAGTTCTACTGAATGGTTAGTATTCTTCCATCATATCAGATACTCACTCATGAGGAGGAACTTGCAGGTAGCCTGTAGCAACTCGATTGAAGGAGATTGGAAATTCCTTTTCGGTTGGGAAGATCCGAGTGTTGCAACGAGCCTGCATCGCCTCTTCCTTGTCCATTTCCTTCAATTCTTGAGGACTCACGCCCTGCATCTGGTTCTGGCCAACACCAACGCCACCGTATTGGAGATATTTCAGAAACACCTTGCGCCTTTCAGGCTCAAGGCGGCGCTTGGCCAGGAATCGTTTGATCGCCTCATCGCACCGACTACACAGACAAGTCAAGTTAGCCAAGATGGCCCCAAGAATGAGCTTTATTGATCTTACTCGAGAATTGGTAGAGCTCTATCGTATGAGGTTAGCAATGTACTACTTCGATGTGAGAGAATGGACGTACGGGTCATAGATCTTCTTGTTCTCCTCGAACTCTTGCGGAGTGATCGGAGCATCGGCATGCCAGGGCTCAAATCCAGTCGGTGCGCCCTATAGAGTTGGTAAGTATCTGAATGACAGAAAGTGCCTCGTCAAAAACTTACGGCTCCTCTCTGGCTTTTGGGGCGCTTTTTATTCTTCTTCTTCTTTGTGCCCTGGGCCTCGGTATCGGGTTCCATTCTAGCCAAGATTGCTTCCTCCTCTGGGTCATGCTTGAAGCCGATTCGGGGAGCATTTGCTTGGGCAGGGGTTTCGTCAACAGCACCCATATTATCATCATCCCCATTATCTGAAGCTTTGATATTTTCAATCTGAGGGCCCTGTTGAGGTGTTTCGGTAATAGTTTGTTCGCTTATCTTGTCAGATCGCTGGCTAGTCGTAGCTGTGTCCGAAAGCAGGCATGATTCCTTGGTCTTCAAGTAGGGTTAGTCTCACTCTACTCCAGCCGAATCTAGGTCAGAATAGTCAGTGGCTACTGACCATCTCTTTGATCTCAAGATCCCGTAGCCCATGTTTGTCGGTAATATCAAGGGGATCCAGGTTCTCGATATCGCTCTTGGCAAACAGTGGATCATTTTGCTGAGAGGACTGCAGGTCAGGGACGGGGAATGGTTCATCTGTTGCCTGGGTTTCTTCTCCGAGATCAATCAAAGGAGGATACTCGGAGACTGGAAATGAGTTATCAGGTGCCATCATATTAGTGGGTTTCACTTCGTTCACAGGACTGCAGGGCCTGTCTGGCCTAGAAGAGGCTGACTGTTCGCCTGGATCAACAGGACCAGGTGGGCTGCTCATGATGGAAGCCTGGCTAGGTGATTCCAAAGCGTTGAGAAAAAAGAATGAAGGAGGGAGGAGGAGGGGAGGAGTAAGGGATGAGAAAGGAGAAGAAAGAAGCGGGAGAGAGAGGAAGAGAGAGAGAGAGAGAGAGAGAGAGAGAGAAGGCAAGTGGTGAATCAGTTGCTGTCGTGTGCCACTCGCCCAACAACTACTGGACTTAGCATACATAGTCCTGAAAGCATCTATTCCTTTGGTATTTGACATGTTCTCTCAGATATGGTTTACTGAAGACTCCAATGATCATGTCCAGTGGCAGTAGATGTCAGCACCAGCGCAGTACAAACTATTTATTGGTAGAAAACATCTGTAACATACAAAGAATATTCAGAGAGCCCATATGCACAGGATTTAGTTTCATCAGATCAAAGTACTTAGAGTATCAAGTAAGTATGAAGTACGGAGTATAGAGGAGAGCAGAGAGCAGCCTATAGATGCGGGGCCGAGTAAATGCCGAGATGGTCCCTGCGTTATCTGCTGTCACCATCACGACCACGATCACTTCGAATGCTGTGAAGATGTCCGCCAAACCAGAGAGTCGAAAGACTCCACAGATCGGCAGCGATGATCTGGTCCCTTTTGACCATGCTGCCGCCGGACAGTAAGTTTGACCCGTTGTTTTGGCCCGATCTCCGGGACACGCCCGCGACTCTCAACCGATGCTGACAGGTCTTGTTGACCCGAATAGTGATGGTGTTCGGTGTACGCTCTCTGGCGCGCTGATCGCAAAACCCTGCACCCGGCAAGAAGTGGACTTTTACGAATCCAGCGCCCTCCACCCGGCTTTCCAAGAGTTCATGCCCCTCTACATTGGCTCCCTCTCGTCCGCGGAGCAGCAGCAACCGCTGGCGATTGCTGCTGCCCGAGAGTCCGGCGCCCTTTTCCTCCCCGACCCCAGTGCTTCCGCCGGTGGTTCCCCGTCCGTCGAAACGTCCGCTGTTGGGCAGGAATCTGCCGCCGACAATGAAAAAGCCGCGTGGGTGCCCTCCGACGGCAAGAAGCTCGACACAGGACTATCGATCGTGTTAGAAAATGTTGCTTGCGGGTTCCACCGGCCGAATGTGCTGGATGTGAAACTCGGAGCACGGTTGTGGGCGGATGATGCGCCGGCTGCGAAACGCAGCAAGCTTGACGCCGTGTCAAACGAAACAACCAGCTCAAGTGTCGGGTACCGCATTGCCGGAATGAAAGTGTGGACTGGGGAGGATGGGGAGACCGAGGGAGATCAGACAGATCCTTATGCTACAAAACATGAGGGTGCAGAGGGCGAGAAGGGCGAGGTCATCGAGAAAAATGGCTACCGACGGTATGACAAGTGGTACGGTCGTTCGTTTAACGAGGAAACCGTCAAGCAAGGGTTCGAGACATTCCTTGCGGGCGCCAAAATTGGCAAGATTGATCGATCAAATTTGATCGCTCGGCGGCTAGTGGATGAGCTCAAGAACATGCAGCAGGTCATTGAGGCCGAAGAGAGTCGAATGTACTCATCTAGCGTTCTTATCGTCTACGAAGGTGACCCGGAAGCCATGGAGCGTGCGCTCGAAGAGGAGAGCAAAGGTCCACCACCTCGTTCTCAAGAGGAAGAAGAAGACGAGGATGAAGATGACCAGGAGTTTGAAGTTCCTGAAGAAGCGTTAGAGCTTGTGAATGTCCAACTGGGACAAGGAATGCCCCAACAGGCCATCAATATCAATATTGATCCACAAACCATGCAGATGCCGGATCTCGAAGAGGAAGAGGAAGACGAGACTCCCAAAGTACATGATCTACGCTTGATTGATTTTGCTCATGCGAACTGGACACCTGGGCAGGGCCCGGATGAGAATGTCCTTTTAGGGGTGCGCAGTTTGATCAAGGTCTTCGAAGAGTTGGCAGAGTGACAGTTGCGGGCAGCTGTAGGATTGGTTTCCCTGTGATGTTTCTGTTCTCCTTTTGATCTCATTAGATCAAGATTTCCGCATATCTCATAGCCATTGATTTACTCCATTTATTTTACTTATCTCATTCAATTCGAACACCTGGGCATAACCATCATTGCAGCCGGGCGTGTCTGCCCGCGGGCGACACAATATATTACATAAGCAGTGGCGCCAAGACTTCAAGCCTCGAACTCCGACATCTGAACTTCGCGAAGCCGCAGAAAACCTCAAGCCAAGTCAAGATGTTCTTTACCCGGGCTCTTTTCGCTCGCTCGGTCTGGAAAGGTGAGTGGCTGCTGGATCCCAATGCATCCGAGCTATTGTCGAAAATCAAATGCTAATACCTATCCCAGGCCCCAATATCGTCCCGTATGTGATCCGCAATTCGCAAGAAAACATGGCTCGACCATCAATGGCTGAGGGCCTCCGGACTTCTGAAAACTGTGAAAACTGACTTTGGAACCCATTGATACAGCATCGATATTCCTGCCAACTTCACCTCGAACTCACCCCCAATCCGCACCACAAAACGCGCAGCAACCATCCTCCCCAACTTCGTCGGCCTGCGCTTCGCTGTCCACAATGGAAAGTCCTACGTTGACGTTGCAGTAACGGAGGAGATGGTGGGACACAAGCTTGGAGAATACGTTGCGTATGTGAACCCCGTTCGAAGAGGTCTACATACTGTGTTGACTGACCCTGTGCCACAGTACCCGCAAGCGCTTCACCTACAAGCAGTCCAAGAACAAATAGACGACTGTCTTCACTGGCACTGTCCAGACTTTGGCGCTGCTGCATCGCACTACTTGCCTGTACAGATATATTGGATTTCATGTGACATTAGCTGTTTTTGGGTATCGGAGTTCAATATGCATCATTCATTCACCAGAAGCAAATCGCGACGGTGCAACCGGAAATACATCTACTGGCTGGATATCCCAGTCCCATACGAAGTAGATAGGATTGTGGAAATGTCTCATTTCATATCATGATTATTTTCTGCGGCATGGGGCCTCCATCCACAAGCACCCTAATCTGTAGGTGGGGATGAGCGTTAGATGTAAAAAAAGAAAAAGGGAAAGAAAAACTCCGTCCTTGCAGGGATTCGCCGACGCGACCACCGAATGCAGTCCAGGTCCATAAAGACCAAACCATGTACCCATGCGCCACCCAAAACCAAACCAAGACCAGTTGTAACAGGCACAAACAAGCGAAGCAGGCAAGTCAAAACCAGACTACCTATAGAACTCGCCGCGCTTCACACTAACCCCGTACTCGGAGACCGCCATACCAAGGTCCTCCATCGTGAGAACAGTCCGACCCTGCCCGGACCCTCCAGAGCCTCCACCACCGAACCCAGGTCTTTGAATACCCAGGTGTGTATTAGCCTTGGAGCCCTTGTCACCACCGGGCGCGGGCGCCGCACCAGCCGGCGCACCCAGGCCAGAAGCTGCGGCCAAACTGCCAATGGCATTGTTGGCGGAGGAGCTGTTTGAGGCGCGGATGCGCGCGAACTGGTAGGAGTCTGCGGCGATATCCGAGACGAACTTTTGAGCGGCGAGCGCGAGTAGGCGCGCGAGGTGCGGGGGCGTTTGGCCTGGCCCGGTACCTGGTGGTGGAAGGCCGGCGAGGGTGAGATAGTGTGCAGTGACAGCGTCGGGGATCTGAGAGGGGGAGTTAGCTCTGTTGAGGGGTTGGAGGAAGTGAACGTACGATGGGAGCATAGTCGTCCATTTTGCCGAGGAATTCGCGGAGGCTGGTTTCTTTCTTGGAAGGGGTTGGCGCGGGGGCCATGGGATCAAGACCCGGGGCTTCATCCGGTTGGTCGGGGTTGGGATTCATCTCGATATCCTGTTCGATGGAGGTGTCAAGGTCGGGCTCGGTTTTGATATTATCTTCGGATGGAGGTTGCTCTGATCCATTATGTTGGGGAGGCTGTGAGTCGGCCATGGTGGGCAATTATCGGCGGAAAAGCCCCTGTAACTCTTTGCGAAACCGGGCTGCAGGTGAGCAATGAGACCAATGGGCTGATATACTGTCCGTTTATAGGGAGGTTCGAAAGTCACACGGGTAGCGCACGGTCCATCTCTGCCGACTTCTCTGCTTCATACTACTTCATACTTCATTTTCCATTTTCCATTCTCGTAATTCTCATATTCGTGTTATTCTCAATAAAGTCGCTATGTACTCATACATTTTGGGCACCAATCCAGCGTAAGGCTGAATCCCCGTAGTAAAACAAACGGCCCCCGAAGGAACAAATCAAGAATCGCAAACCTATCCACTAACTCCGAAACATCGGTGCGACCGAAGCTGATGAATTGAATGACAAGAGCTGAATTGCAGAAAGAAAGCAAAGAGCAAAGAATGAAGATTGATTCAAGGATCAACCTGACGAGCAATGAGAAAAAACTCCATTACTGCCCCAACTGCATGTGAGGATCGATGTGGTCCTGGGGTTGTTGGGTATGCTGCTGAGGGTACTGGCTTCCATGCACCTCCTGGCTGAGAGTCTGCATTAGGTTTTGTTCTGCGGTTTGATCAAACACGGACTGGCTGTTGGCATCCGGGGGCAGGCTTGGCGAAGCGGACATTTCATGGCCCGAGACAGGGGTCCCATGAGCTCCGGCGAGAGCCATCATACCCTTGATTCCCTCCACATGAGCTTTGTCTTCTTCGCCCTGTTTCTTCTGGCGCTCGCGAGCCTCACGTTTAGCCGCCTGGGCGGGCGCACGGGTCTTCAGTTCGCCGGTCACGAACTTGAGGTAGTATGGGACTTCGATACCGCTCTTCAAGAAAAAGAGTTTCAGGTTACGGGCCTTGTCCTTGAGCTGCACCTGGTTGCGGTCCTTTAGTGCTTCGCTAATCGTCCCTCCGGGTCCAAACATGGCGAGAATCTGACTCCAGTGGGGGCCTTTGACGCGGTCTAGGCCGGCCATCAGGGCGTTCTCCTCCTCAGTGGTCCATGGTCGGCGTTGACTGGGGAGGCCAGATTTCCGACTGGTGGGGGATGATTTAGCTGAGGCAGCCATGCGCGCGCGCTCGTACAGAACCTGAGTGGGCTGCGACTGAGAGTAATGAGGAATCCCCGGCATATATCCATGGTTGGAAGACATTCCGTTTGCCCTCGCCTGCATAGCCTGTGCTGCGTTGGGGTTGTATTGCTGGAAGTTGGTTTGGAGTGGGCTCTGCTGGAAGTTCATGGAAGGTGTCTGCTGTGATTGGTAGCCCCCAGGCGGAGTGGGACTGTGGTGGTATTGGTGGGTAGGTTGGGGTTGCTGCGCAGCAGTGTAGCCATGCAGATATGGGCTTTCATGCTGGGGCTGTTGTTGCTGCTGGGGCTGCTGTTGTGGTGGTGGCTGCTGAGGCTGCGGCTGCGGCTGCTGCAGGGGTTGTTGTGGTGGAGGTTGTGACGAAGGCTGTTGCGGAGGTTGAGGCTGCTGTTGGGGCCGGGGCGATGGGCTAGCCTGTGACTGCGTCTGATTTTGCTGTTGCGACTGTGACTGTTGCTGAGAGCGTCGAAGACCATGACCCTGAAGGGCGATCTGGGCAGCGCGGGCAGCACGTGCGACAAGGTCGCCATGCATGTTTCGGTCGACAGGGACCTCAACCTGTTGATTCAAAGAGAATTGGCCCTGGTGGGTGGTGTTTGGTGATTCATGTGCATCGCCGTTGGAACTTGAAGGCTGACGACCCTTAATGGGTTTCTTTCCCTGGGAGAGTGTTAGCTCATGTTCTTATTAAGTACTGCAAGGACAAACGAACCTGCTGGGTATTGATAGCATCGAAGTTCTTTGAGATGTAGGAGCTGAGATCGCGCAAGAAATCTTCCCAGTGGTACTTGTCTGGCAAAGCATTCAACGCATCCTCGTTGTTGATGTCATTGAGCAAAATGTCGCGGCGGGATGTGAGTCGGTTGACAAAGTCTGTCTCGGACGGTGCTAGCTGCCTAGTGCCAGGACGTCTCGCCAGCAACCGTTGCTCCATATCATCAGGGAACACATTGTAAAGTAGCTGTGTGCGGGTGATAGACTTGTTGTGCATGGCGGCAATGAAGGCTTGAGTCTTAAGTTCAAGGTAAAGAGCACCTTGAACTTTCAGCAGACGACCACCTTCGGGAACGAAGACGTCCAGGAAATGATCGTTGAGATCTGCGAACCCGATTTCCTGGGATCCGAAGATGCTGGAAACGAATGATGCCAGATTGGCTTTGCGGATGACGTCGATCTGGGATGGATCGGTGATCTCGAGATCTGTTGGCTGCAGGAAAGAGTGCTTCACTGTATACACCCTCTTCGTGTGGTCGAACAGGGAGCGCATAGTGGCATATGCCTGGCCATTCTCGGATTCTGGTTCTGAGACCATGGCGGTGAGGTCTTGATAGGTATTCTTGGAGAGGAAGGACAATATTTGCGTCGACTGGTAGAGGAAAGTTAGCTGAGGCAAAGCAAACAGTAAGAGCAACATGGTTCACTAACCAGATTGTCCAGGATCGGAAGACTCTGGATCTTCAGGTGAGAGTTGGCCTTCAGGAATGCGAAGCCTCTTGACCCGGGGAAGTCGTTGGCAGGTGGGATCTCTTGCGGGCCCAATGCAACAGTCTGTTCCTGACGCTCAGTATGGTCCATTATTTCCGAGATGATGGTAGCTACATCTGGGTTTATCTCCGCATCGCCCTGCTGAGTCGGCGCAACTCCGGCAGGGGCGTCAAGCGACTCAGGTTGCAGAGGTTGGTTGATGACATTGTCAGTGGGTTCCACCGTATCAATGACTCCTTCGCCGAGTGCCGAGGCCAGTTCCTCTTCAATCTTGTGACCCGCGCCATGGTGATCGGCCATCAAGATGGAATCAGGTGGCAAGTGAACCTCGCCGTCGGGGCCCCCGTCTGTACGGCGCTTTTTGGCCGGGGGCGACCCATGTTCCTCATGATCGATAATATGGGAAGGCTTTTGGTCTGAGGAGTAATTTGTCAATAAAGGTGACAGTTGATCGTATTGAGGTCCATTGGCGGTGGTGATAGCTAGGTCGAGGCTCCGCGACGGGACGGTCGGAAGCGAGGACTTACCAAGGTCGGTCTCTTGGGGAGGGAATGGGGGAAATGCAGCCGCTTCCCCATCGAAAGATGGCGACCCTTGAGTATCGGCCATTTGGACGCGCTGCTGAGTCGGGGTATCAACTTCCGAGAGGAGAAATGAGGGCTTAGGGGTAGGGCGCATTTGTAGGGCTTGCGAGGGAATCTGGAGGAGACTGGATGATTTTTCTGCCGGGCGGGGACTGTGTGAGGGCACTGAGTGGATGCGTGGAGACTATTTTGATGGGTGCGTGTCTCTGTTGTCTTGGAGAGATAATGTGGGATTGGATGTGGAGAATGGTTGTGAAATGTGGGGGGGTCTGTGGCCATTGCTTTCTGGTGCGTGCCTTCCGCAAGTCGAACTTCTTCCGGCCTCGGAATGTATTACTTTTGCACCACATTTGCAAAGCATTCTTTCTTATTCTCTCTACCAAGGGTTGAAAGTAATTAACTCATTGTGTGAGTAAATAATATGCAATTATTATTCAGTGCTAGTCGTAAATCCACAATTCGTTGCTCATGTCACCAATCTATCGAAAAAGAGAAGAAAAAAAGAATGGAGCTACACAATGAAAGAAGAGCAGTCACAGCCGTGAGTATTTACAGAGCTGAGATCGTCATCTCAAAGCCCCATTGCAGCAGCAGCAAATCCCAAGACGACTATCGTAAACAACTCGGGCTTCAGGCTCGGACCAGCGTTGTCCCAGAGGTCATCCCAGCTATCCTTCACATCGTCTCCGAAGTCTCCAATTCTCGAAAACACATTGTCATCATCGTCATCGTCATCATCATTGTCCCAGTGACAATCTTCCCCATCAGGACAGCAGCCCCACTTTCCATCGTCCTTCTTGCACTTTTCGTCCTTTGGACAACCGCCAGAGACGTTCCTAGGACAGCAAGTATAATTATCAGGGACACAAGCGTCACCACATCTCTTCTCATCGCTCGAGCACACCTCATCCTTGTCATCGGCTGGACGAGGAGAGCGAGCAAGAATATGGACTGGACTGGATCGTCCCATCAATGGCTTCATGGCTGGACCACGACGAAGGATATTCGTGTTTGTTTCGGAGACTGGTGTCGGTCCAGCTAGGGCCGAAAGTGGTGCGAGAAGTAGTGCGGTGAGGTATGTGGAAGTGCGCATTTTGAGGGTTTGTTGAGTATGGAATGACGTCCAGGTGTGAACGTTGCCAAGCCGTCAAGATATATATTGATGTGGTATAGAGGTATTCAGTGAGCTGATGGCAAGAGTGTAGAAGTGAAGATGTTGATGGATGTCAAACTAGAGGAACCAGACATCTTATACTAGGTACATCGCGGCTCTCGAGACCCTGCATCACCCCAAGGCTCCGTTGAGGCCCTGAAATGCAGGGTCTATACAATTAAGGACCAAATCGGCTAACCCGATCGGGCTCGATCTTGCGCCGTCCAGTGAGCGGCCCTTCCCGCTGGGGCGGAAACCCTTCGCCAAGCACAACAACTGCTCAGCCCTGTCAGCGAGTGGATTTCCCACTGCCACGCGAAGAGGTTGAGCAATCGGGCCTTCTCGTATAAGGTCGATCGTTTCCAAACTCTCACTCCGCCCCATACCGACAATCCCGTATCCATGAGCTTTGGCTTGGGACCCGATCACTAACTAAATCCAGACTTTCTATGCGCTGCATCTATTAATACCCCCGTTGCTCGATCTTTGGCGAACTATGATGTCGGAGGCTGAAGGAACCATACTAAGTATCTTACCGACTTTGATCTGATGGCCAGAAATGCCAAGGATAACAAGCCAGTGCGCGTACCCAAGACTGGGGCCCAGGACTAGTTCCAAGTTGAGTACAAGTCCGAGTAATTCCAGCATTTGAAAAGACTCGAGCAAAGCCCAGGACCGAGATTGTAATGTCTACTACTTTCCCCTGGGGAAGCGCCGAGACATAATAATTAGGCAGTGTTCATTTTCACGTTCGTGATCATACGTCACTGCATAGGCTGCGCACCGAAAACACCCAGTAGAATAAATTTTAATAGTTGAGTTTCAGGCAGAATGAATCTTTTTGGAACAAGCCCTGGAGGCAGCACTGGCTTGGTACCTAGTAGACCTTGCACGGGTCGGCAGAAGTTATCTTTCGGTGATTGTTGGAAAGCTGGGCTAGCATTGATCGAAACCTTGGCAAAAATGAGCTCTTCGTTTTCCGGATTTTCGAGAACGAAAGCCTTGGAATTTTGATGAGAACGAATAGGTACCTTTGTTTCTCAAGCGTGGGAAACGCAAACAAATTCAATTCGCGTGGGCAGTGGCAACTTTATAGCAAGACTGCGGAGTATACTATATTGAAGTTGAAAAAAATACAGCAAATCAGACCTTGATACTAAATACGAATCTAGACTTGAAAAGCCCTGGAGGGGCTTATTGGACTACCCCCTCGAGGAATAAGATAATCCCTTTGTCTTCCCGAGGCCTACGGAATACAATGAAAATAGATCCTGATTAAATTCAACCACATGCAGGAATGCACCAGACCTGTCAAGGGAGACGCTCTTTAATGCATCCGTGAAATATTCAGGTTAACCTATTTTCTACATTCCTCATGATCCACATGGCATTCCTTTCGTCCACGCGCTAAAACTCAACCTTTGAATAAGGATGCTTTACCCGTACTCCGGTGGCTGGAATGTCGATCATGTTTTCAACACACTTCCGCATCCATACATTGGAGACAGGGTGGTGTTCACCGGCCCAAACATGGGTCTTTCGATTCACATGTATAATTTCGAAGAAGAATATCAGTGGCAAAAAGAAACAGAAGATAGACAGTAGATACAACTGTGTTCCAAGGTTTAAAGATTTCAGACGTACCTAGTAAAACGATCGGCCTCAGATTCAAACGCAGCGAGCAAAATTTATCATCTAAGTTTCTGCTAACTATGGTCTTCATGACAGCGAGAAAAAGTCTGTGTGGTACAGCATGCAGATTCTATTGCGATAGACTGTTCTTCTTGCGCCGCCAGCCATGCTCTCATCACAAAGAATATGGGCGCTAGTCTGTTGCGGAGTAGGGAGTAGATAGGGCCACCCTTGGGTATTTGACGGAAACGGCAGTCTCTCCTCCCCAATACATGTAGGGACCAGCCCTTCACTGTTCCCAACTAAATAACCTAATCCGGCGTTAGTGTTGCCATCACTGAATAGTATATTAATCTCTTCAACTCCGGTGCAAAAGAAAACAATCAATCCATTGAATAAAGTGACTATACAGCCGATCCTTCAAAGTTCCAACTCATTTCATACCAACTCACCAATCCCTCCCACCAATCGTCAAACCTCTATTCAAGATGCAATTCATCAACATCTCCGCACTTGCCTGTGCCCTCCTCTCTGTCTCCGGACTCGCCTCTCCAGCTCCTCAGGCCCCCTGGAGAACCGAAGCCACTGTCCAACTCGCCAATGACCAAACCGGCGTTTATTCCAACGTCGCCGTCCCCATCGATGGCGTCAAGCGTCCCGTCCAAGAGCTCTGGGGAAATACTGCGATTGAAACGAACGGCCTTGTCTTTGCCTCGAGCTCCCAGCTCACTGCATTCGATCAGACTACCGTCTGCACTATCACCGAAGAGTCGGGTCTCATCGCAACCCTGACTGCTGAGAAGACCTGGGTCTCTGTGGGAGGACAAGTTGAAGACCTTTGCTCTGCTTTCATTGAGTGTGAATGCGACTTCATGTCAAACTTCTGATACACTTCGCCTGAGCTGGAAAGAACATCTGTACACGAGAGATCCGCTGTCTATTATTTTTGAAATTTTGATGTTGCCAGGGTTTTTCTGGCCAATGTAAATGTTGCTTGCATTGCGAATGGGGTGCATTTGTGGCACTTCTCGATTGTCATGAACTTTGCTGGATATAATTGGAGGACAGAGCTTTACTGTTGGTTATTAACTGAATTCATTAATTCGTGACTTGCGCTTGATTTGTGGCCAGCTCTACGGTAAAAGATCATGTTAGGATCAGAGAAAATCCTTGCCATGAATTGGTTGCCCGCGACCAGTTACTACCTACCAGAGATTCTGAAATTGAAGACTTGGTTTCACTTTTTGATTTCTTGTTCCGACGCATGTATGCGCATAACCCAATTTCTCAGGAAATCGTAGCGGAGTGTCTTGGTATGGTAGTCACAGCCTCCACTTGCCTCGGAAAATTACGAAAATAGGGTACGGGATATAGTAGAAGTACGATCTGGACTGTTATTACCACGGGGAAATGCATTCTACAGCTCCACATCTAACAGTAGTGGTTCTCAGAGCAATTGAAGTATGATATCTGGTTCCAAGGTTGGTGTTAACTTCCAAACTCAGACTAGCGTGACATGATAAATTTTCCGTCAACTCATACACATTTTGATACGCAGTTGAGTTGCACGTGCTAAAGAAATAGACTGTACCTGATCAGGATGCAAATTTCCTCGTGTATCGTATCTTGACCACAAGTTTGGTGAATGTTCTTGTGTCGCGTGGGCTTAGCGCGCGTCATTGACCCGATGTCACCATATCGTGTGCAACCTCCCAGGGTTGTATGGATATAGGCATCTGAAGCATACCATACTTACAAGGGTATAGATTCGCTGGTGTTACCTGAAAATCACTTCACCATTTGACATTCACCAAGAATGGTGAGATCTTGATTGTCTGGTGGCTATCTATGCAGCAGCCCCTTCCTGGACAGCATTTTCGCACCCCTCCATATTCTTCTATATCATTTTTATGGCCATCGGTGACATCCAGTCATTGGAAAGGAACAAGAAGTTAACACAACTTCTGTCGTCGAAGTTTGTATGTCTCCTCCACCATAGATGCCGCTCTGGAAAAGAAGATAGGGCCTTTACGCTTGTGTAGCCTTTCAGTGTCTAAAATCCGGATTCAAGTTCCATCGGTGCTCAATGTCGTCAAGATGCAACTTAGTACCACTACCCGAGGGTCCCGAAACCTTATGTCCCGTAAGCTTCAACTTTGACGAATCAGAAGCCACATATCCCATGCATAGTGGGGCTCCAGGCCGAAAACGGCCAGGCTTTGACTGTGGCTGTCTCCGCTGACCAGCCCTAAGCCTGTCTTCCTGAAGTCTGGCCCGCCATGGCCCTGGTCTCTTATTACATAGAAATGGCGTCTCACGCTTCGTCGGTCATATGGCATAGTTCACTCGAAAAGAATACTCATCTGACCAACATGTCGGTGTCCGGCCTTTGTATTGCGTTTTTGGCCCTACAGGGACTGGGGGTAGTTTCAGCTCAGTCCCAACCCTCTGAGAAGGTCTGGGGTGTATATGCATTCACGGTCAATGGAGACAGCAAGCCCAGCGTCATCAGCAGCTCCAAGCCATTGACTGACTATGGAGCAAACGAACTTGTTACGGCGGCATCAGCCTTCCGTTCTCGATACATCTCGAAATCGGGAATCTCCGAGACTGGGATCCAGGGCATATCTCCCATCATATTGGACTCAAATGATGTGAATGTGCTTTCCACAACCGATCAAAATGTCATTGGGTCCGCGCAGGCCTTCATGCAGGGACTTTATCCACCTCTCGGGGCCATGAATGTATCGAGTACGCAGAAAGTGAATGGCTCTTTCGAATTGGCACCATTGGACGGATATCAATACCCCCAAATCATCACGCTCGGTGACGCCGACCCTTCATCTATCATGGTCGAAGGCCAAGCCAAGTGTAACATGTACCAGGCTGCCGAGAGTGTCTACCGAAGCAGCAACGAGGCCGAGCAAATGGCGCGCGACACGGATACTTTCTACCGGATGATTTGGAGCCTAGGAATGTCTGGTGTCTACGATGAATCCTTTGCGACTTGGACTAACGCTGTTCCGATTTCTGAGTACTTGGACTATGAGCTGTTACATAACGAATCGTTCATGCAGAGCATGACCGACGCTCAAATCATTCGCGCTCGCTGGCTGGCGGACCACTACCTATGGAACACAAACAGTCAACAGTCATCATCCAGTGGGTCTATGATCAGATCAATCAGCCCAATTGCAGGACAGACACTGGCATCGAGTATCATTCAAGCCTTTGATATGAATATCCAGCAAAAGGGTACCCGGCAAAAGATGACCTTGATGTTTGGTGGCGATGAGCCAGTCGTGGCATTGTCTTCTTTGTTAGGGCTCGCAAGTGACCGTCAACCGAGCTTTTTCTCACGGCTCGTTCGCGGCGGGTCATTTGTGTTTGAGCTGTACAGTCTGGAGACAAGCGGTGATTTGTACCCATCGTATCCACAAGCAAGCAATTTGCACGTTCGGTTCATGCTCCACAATGGAACAGAAAACGCCACCTCATTCGAGCCATACACCATGTTTGGACACAGCCCTAGCCAGGCTTCCATCCCATATTCTGAATTCCGCTCCGAGCTGGAGACGTTTGCGGTGAGTTCCATTCGGGAATGGTGTGTTCAGTGCAACGCGGAGTCGTTATTCTGTACGGGTGCGCTGGGTGAAGGCAATTCCACTCCAGAGAAGAAGAGAATGGCTCCCGCGGTGGCAGGCGTGATTGGTGCCGTGGTCACGCTCGCTGTTGTCTCTATCACCGCCGTGATTGGATTCTTCTTGTGTGGTGCGTGTCCGACCAAGTCTCGAAAAGGGAGTGCGAGAAGCAGTCTAGGAGGATTCAAGGGACCTGGAAAGCTTGCCAGTGACACAGACGTTTCATTCCGTAACCCGATCTGGAGTGCTTCCAAACCTGACACTGCTGATCCATCTGATGGGATTCAAGCCGGGGTTGTTGTGCAAGGCCATGAACGTCACGGCAGCTGGGAAATGGGTGAGGGGAAGAAGGAGACCGAGACAGTTCAATCGGATGGAGCCAGGGGATCGCCATTTGGAGACGAGCATGAGGACTGGCGGATTCACAGTGGATTGCAGCCAGTCAAGATCCGAGAGAGTGTGTAGCTCGGTACCTCGACTGCCGCAGAATTCCACTCTAGCAGAGACTGATTGGAAAAGGACGCAGAGTGTGGATTAAGCAAAGGGGACTTTTCTGAAAGAGTTCCGGAAGCCATTGGAATCAGCAGGGTCAGGCAGCGATGGTGTGGTCCCCGTGGCGATGGTTGGGGTTTGGTTTTTTGTATTAGGTCGTCAACTGATATCTCCCTTTTCAACTCAAATGAACTTCTCTTTCCTCTCCCACCAGAAACTTTTTCTTCATTCTTTCTCATCACCGAATGTTCGCATTTTCGATGAGCTTTCTTCAAATTTCATCCTCACAACTTCGACGCGTCGATAAAGCAACCAGCCCTGACAAGACTTGCCTGTAGCGTTTCGATATTGCAAGGTTCGTTCCTTCTGCCAACCTTCCTCTTTCCTTCGTTCCTCAACAGTCGTGCTTTCTTTTCGAAGTCGCGCTTTGTCTTTCATGTCAAGTCGCGTCTTGCTGTTTCTTCTCTCCATATGCACGCTTTGCTGCCTTTTCTCAAACAGTTGACACCCCGCACTCATGGCAACTATGAAGAAGTACGAGCTGACAGAGCTGCTAGCCTTGTGCAAGGAAACAGATACAACTTGTCGGTGGACAAGCCAATCAACACACTGTAAGTTTGCATTCTGGTTCCTTTAACCTGGCTCTTGAGTAGCAGGGCCACATTGTTGGTGACCATCTGCTTGCTGTGCACATCATGCCGGTGCCCGTACAGCGATCAAACTCATGAGAGATCGTTTCATGGGCCATGACTTCTGTCACTCACTCGGTCGCAATCACATAGCTGACCACCATATCAGGTCGAAAATCACACTCTGGTCAACGCAAACGACCGATACCTTGTGAGAATCCTCGAACCCGATCGGGCGGACAATCAACAGGTTGTTGCGACCGGGAAAAAGTTGTGTTGCTAACAACTCTCAAGTTCAAAGGCAATCCAGGCCTGCTAAGAGGCCCACTGAACCTTCGTTCGCGGCCAACAACGCTGGATTTGCTCGATTCTTAAAACAACATTCCTCACCTAAGCACCAGAGAGTGACTGCTGGGGGGAAAATAGTACCGATGCAGCCCCAATCGAAACACAAGATGGGAGGATCTTTCGACCCAGTCGTCAAAGGAGTTGACAGACTTGAGCCCTTTGAGGGACAAGACTCTGTTGCACCTATGACAAAGAAAGATGGAAATGCACACTCCGGTGCAGAAAACATTGAGCATTCCCAGTATCAAGATCGCATGCTTGACGCGGATGGTTTCGCGCCACTTCGTAGGGCAAGCGAGCTTTCAGCTCAAAAGGAGAACACTGCTGTCTCTCAATTCGGTCAAGATCCACATGGACCACATGGAGAAGAGACTGTTGAAGAGCCATTCGAGCTTGAGGACTCCGAGGGAATGACACAGGCTCGTGGAATTTCCATCGGAGATCTAGAGCAGGAGCTGAATTCAATAGTCGAAGAGATGTTTGTGTATGATTCCGCAATCGAGTACATGGGTCGCATGCTCAGCCCCCTTGGAAATTATCCTTTGGGTGAATACTACCAGCACTTCGCCCAAATGCTGATAATCGAGAACGCCTCTGCTATCAGCGAGGGCAAATACTGGCTTGGGGAAATGCTCGATGCTCGGGAAAGACATCACACGACACTCAATAAGATTATGGCCATGACGGCTGAGCCACTGCGCAGACATTACACTCTTCGTATCTGGGATGTCAATGCACGATCATCCTTGATTGCTGCGGTTGAAATCCTAGAGGCAGCCGAGATTGAGTTGATGAGAGAGGTCGAGACACAATATTCGGGCAGAGAAGGCCCTCCTCTCTTTGAGTCTGCTGGTGATAACCGCCGCATCGAGATAATTGATCCAAGTACTGGTCAACCCATTGTGATTGGTTCGGACAATGGTCTTGAGGGGGAAGAAGCCTTCAGCGCCGATGGAAAGGCAGCTTCAATTGACGACGGTACAGATCAGTCTGTTCTCCGGCAGGTTCCATCCAGCGAAGACATTGACTCTGGCTCAGTGTATGAGGGAACTGTGGCATCTGATAGAGCAATTGACGGCTCCGTTTCCGATGATACAGACAATGCCGGTACCTGCTCCGGTGATGAAAATGGCCCAGCTACAGTGGGTGTCGCCGAAGAACCATCCTCGGCACCAGTTGCGGAAGGTATTGAGTGGGTTCCCCCAGAAACCTGGACTGCGCCCCTTAATCGGGTGACCGAGCCTCGGGCGAGCGAAACTTTGCCTCGAAACTTCCCTTTGCAAAGAGGTGCAGTATCGTCGGATTCATTCGGCGAGCAGCAAGATGTGAGTCTCGAAGAGACCAGCAGCCAAGCAGTTGCTGGACGCTCTGAAGCATTCATTCGCTCGGCGAACCAGGCTCCTGACTTGTAAGTATTCCGCGTTGTCCTCCTGCGAACTTGGTACAGAAATACTGATTGTTGTAACAACAGAGACATGGGCTCACTCAATCGCCAGTCCGCGGTAAGCACTTGGTCTGGCTCCACGCTTGTCGACGACGGGTTCTCCAGGCCGGTAGAAACACCAGCCGCGCCAGCGCTCAGATTGGATGTCAATCGCGAGGATTCACACCGTGCGAGCCTCGAGCTTCGGTCCGAGTTTGGTTCCGTATGGATTGATCGCCATGGACAAATTCGTAGCTACCGGGAGTCTCGTCGCTACCAGGAGGCAGTTTATGAGTAAGCCCAGCATATATTCTCTTCCGTGAAGATACTGACCCAGCCCAGGATTCCTGTTGCGAGAGGGGACAGGGCACCCACCACCCAAATCGCGTACATCTCTGCTGAGCCTGCCATTTCGCCCGGGCGTCCTGTGAATGTTGACTTCGATCGGCTCATGGAGCGGTTGCGGGCGCTGAGAGAACCAAGCCCCGAGCCGGCTTCGCCTCGCTTGGGCATTGAGGTAGCTGAAGGTTGGACCTTTGAGGGCGACATTTTCGATGCTCCATTCTCGGACGACGATAGCCTTAGGCTCGGAAGGCTTCGTTTCATGTCAAATACTCAACGTCGTCGTATCCAGATTCGTGAGCGCGTCTCTCGTCTCCTGCGCCAGTTTGTGCCCGTTTCCGCGGAGAGAGCTCGAGGTTCTGTCAATGAAGAACTTGGGTTCTCTGAACCGGATGTTGTCATTGATCAACCCCAACGGTTGCGCTTGCGCTTGGGTCTGATGGGATGGGTGCGCAATCACTTGAACCGATGGTCTGGACCAGCTGTGGTGAACACCAGCCGAATCAACGCTCACTATCAGCGACTCTAACTCGGATGACTGCAGGTCTTTCAAAGTTTTCAATGACTTGGAAGGCACAGTCAGAGTATGGAAAATTGGCGTGGACACTGGGGGGACGAACTGGTATGAGGTCTTGGGGGTGTGCAGAATGGCAACCACGTTGTGGTGACAGTCCGCATGTGGCTCTGAGCCGAGTACAACAATGGTGCAGCTTTGGTCGTCATCAAATACGAATGTATTTGATGACGACCAGAGCTGCACCCTGTCGGAGTGAATGGTGTTTGAGTCTTGACAGAAAGCAGAAGGGGGGTTGTTGCGAAAAGGAGAAGTGCAAACGGAAGGAAGCGTTCCAGATGGGAGTGAGAGAGCCCAATATGAGTTATGATTCCATGACTGATTTGATGATACGACGACTAATATTACGATACGGCGACTAATTGAATGAAAGGTTTTTTTTTTTTTTACTTTCCCTCTTCTTGGCTACTGCTCTGTTTGGCCCGCGAAATGCCCGGTCAGTTCGTCATGGCGATTCCAACCTTGGAAGGTTGCTTTGCATGCTTGGCAGTCATGAACCCAACACACCAGAGGATCACGGAGGACCAAATTTGGCCATGACAACTTACAAGTATCACGCAAGGCAAGCCAAACTTACAGGCCTGAGTGGATAAAATATGATCTCTAAATGTCGAGTGCAATTATTCACAGGTAAAACTTGGAAAGGTGTTGGAAGGACATGGAACAATCGAGAAGAACAAATTGCTGACTCGAAATATTCGAGCATTCAAACGCAGTTCAGCAGTATTTGATCCACAGATACTCCTGGAAAGGACTGGGTCTTGCTCCTGCGAGGAGCGTGTTGATGCGCATGTCTTCAGTCGAGACTTAGGGTGACTGAAAATTTCAGAAAACCAGACCATATTGGACTGGGATGTCTGGCCATTCACCCTTGAAATATCAGACGAAAATATATTTAACCTTATATACATCAGACGAAAGCTACAATGACTAGGGATATTAAGAGGAAGGACTTTATTAGATAGATATCTAGCTATTCATCTTTAAATATAACAGACGAAAGGGTTATTTACCCTATATACATCAGACGAAAGGGTATTTAATCCCGTATATATCGGACGAAAGCTACGGTGACTGGGGATACCAGGAGGGAGGACTTTGCTAGACTGAGGTAACTGGCCATTCACCCTTTTACACATCAAATAACATACAGTCATTGATTGCGAGCTTGCTACACTGACATCGCAGCTAGAAGGGCGCAAGTTCTCCTTGACTTAGGGCTCGCAGCCCCCGTGACGGGTAAAGAATACTGCGGCCCGGGCGGAAAGGGCCCCGGGCCCGGGGGACCGACTCAACACCACAATCACGGACTTCCAAGGTTGAAGTAGCCACCTTCTTCAATAGAAAAGCGCAGACTTAACTCTATGCCCAGAGGTAATTGAATCGAGTTCATCGATATTGCCCAATTTGAATATATTGATGCCATGCCAGATTATGCCCTGTTACTGATTTCAAGGAATGTTGGTCTGCGCGTGCGTCTTGGTAATCCCTCTGCACGGGGCTACCCAGATGCCGGGGTGTTTTTTATGCTCAGGTGTGTCTATATGCGCTTCTGTTGCTTTCCGGCTCTGCAGCTATAGTTTGAAAACAATCATCAATAATAACACTATCCATGGGGTATTCCCACTGATACTACCTAGTAGGTAGCCAGCGAGCGGGTGAGAGTTGAACGTGGGTTGACATTTAGTTGATGAAGATAGAATAGTTGTAGATCTACTGTACTGCGTACTCCGTACACCGGATTGAATAAATCATGGCTCTCGCTGTAGTCTGGCAGTGTCAATGTGAAATACCAATCACCTGCAGCGATGTAACCAGAAGTAGTGAATGTCGGATAAATCCGTGATGCTTTGTAAGGGAATACGCCACCTATGTCGCCACCTTGTTTCTCTTCTAGAATCCTTCCGGGATTGGTATTGTGTGTATGGTGATCAAAGCAAGTCGTGAGAAACCCCCAATTTCGAGGAATTATAGGTTTCATGGAGAGAGAGTAACGCCCATCTCAGCCCTCTGCTCTTCCTTTTTCCCTTTTCTTCAATGAGATACGTCAACCCTTGACGATCGAGACACTTAATCCACTCGGATGACTAAGGCTTCTCCACGTCCTCAACTTCCTCCTTGACTCGACCCTCTCCCCTTCACATCTAACCCAGTTTTCCCGACTGTGATATGTCGCTTGATTCATGACTCTAGTTCCCTTGGCACTTGTCTTTCCAGTCGTTTGGGTGGACAGCCCCTACCAGATCGCCTTTGATTAACAATTGCCCCCCGCGGTTATCTCCCCAGCCGGCACTTGGCACTCTGGAACGCCAAACCCTTTTACCCGCCTCACGCCTTTTCCTCCCTGCATCCCTCTTAGATCATCTTTCAATCCTGAGTGATTGTCGGCCGTTTTGATCTTCTTCGAACTCACCGTGACCCAACAACCATGACGCAGCTTTTCGCAAGTCCGTCGGCAGTGACGAACGAGAAGCGCGGGAATTTCCCCGCTCTCTCCCTTCCTTCGCGGAAACACTCGAACGACTCCAGTCATCTCCCGACGCGAATCAAGAACTTTTTCCGGATCAACAGTTCCAGCAGCCAATCTCCCTCGAGCGCCACTGGCTCCAATAGCAACGAACGGGAACGAGAGCGAGACAGCCATGGCTCGACGAAGAACGAGAAGTCGAATTTCCGACAATCGCGATTCATGCCAACTATTGGCCGCAATCGTTCGACTACTGTTGCCAGTGAGGGCAACCCCCTCGACGACAGCATGTCCCCGACGGCATCCGCCAACCCCTACTTTGCCCATCAGGGCCAGCCCGCATTGCGACACCGCAACGATGGCTCCGTGCCCTCCTCTCCTCCCGACACTCCTGAGTTGCAGGTGACCGGAGTCTCCGCGGTGGAGCAGGCTACCACTGCGAATAAGGAAGAGTTGGCGCGCAAACTGCGTCGCGTGGCCTCGGCCCCGAATGCCCAGGGCTTGTTCACCAGTGGGCAGGGCGAACGGCCTCAAACAGCTGAAATGGGCAAGGAGCCTCTGGTTGAACAGTCTGGGGCAGTGAGTCTGGCGGAAGCCGGCAGCGATAAGGATCTTGCCCTGGCGGTGCCATCCAGCTCTGATATGAGCAATGCTTCGTTCCGCCGCACTTACAGCTCCAACTCTATCAAGGTTCGCAATGTAGAGGTCGGCCCTGCTAGCTTCGACAAGATCAAGCTTATCGGAAAGGGTGATGTGGGCAAGGTTTACCTTGTTCGCGAGAAAAAGTCAAGTCGCCTCTATGCGATGAAGGGTATGTTTCGCGGCCACGGACCCATCCCACAGATCGCGTGCTGACCTGAAATTAGTTTTGAGCAAGAAGGAGATGATCAAGCGCAACAAGATCAAACGGGCCTTGGCCGAACAAGAAATTCTAGCAACCAGTAACCACCCGTTCATCGTTACGCTATATCACTCCTTCCAGTCCGAAGACTACCTCTACCTTTGCATGGAGTATTGCAGTGGCGGCGAATTTTTCCGAAGTAGGTATCCCTTTGATGTCAGTTGGCTAGTGTGATTTTTCCTGACTCGTACGCTCTTAGCATTGCAAACTCGCCCGGGCAAGAGCATCTCCGAAGATGCAGCGCGCTTCTATGCCGCAGAAGTCACTGCAGCATTGGAGTATCTCCATCTCATGGGCTTCATCTATCGTGACTTGAAACCCGAGAACATTCTTCTCCACCAGTCCGGGCACATCATGCTTTCGGATTTCGATCTATCCAAGCAGTCCGGGCCCGGTGGTGCCCCAACGATGATTCCCGCACGTAGTGGTGGCGGTAACTCTACCGCCGGCCTGCCCACCATTGACACAAAGTCATGTATCGCCGATTTCCGCACGAATTCGTTCGTCGGAACAGAAGAGTACATTGCACCAGAAGTGATCAAGGGCTGCGGTCACACCAGTGCTGTAGATTGGTGGACTCTGGGAATCTTGATCTACGAGATGCTCTTTGGTACCACCCCATTCAAGGGCAAGAACCGTAACGCGACGTTCGCGAGCATCCTGCGCGACGAGGTCAACTTCCCGGAACACTCCCATGCGACGCCGACATCAAATCTGTGCAAGTCCTTGATCCGCAAATTGTTGATCAAGGACGAGACCAAGCGCCTGGGCGCTCGAGCTGGAGCCTCCGACGTCAAGACCCACCCATTCTTCCGCACTACCCAGTGGGCACTCATTCGTCACATGAAGCCGCCCATGATTCCCCACCAGGGCCGTGCCGGTACCGACACGGTCAACTTCCGCAACGTGAAGGAGAGTGGTAGTGTTGACATTGGCGGCACCGATTCTACCAAAATGAAGGGTGTTCCGATGGACTCTGGACTTGCAACGCCTAATGGCGAACTCAACGATCCCTTCGAAGAGTTCAATAGTGTGACCCTTCACCACGAAGGTGACCAGTAAAGACTCGTCACTTTCGTCAAGTGTTTCTTTCATCCGATACACGAGGAAACTAGTCGTCTGTGCATCCGCCTGACGACCATGATGCATTAACGACTGTACTTAGATGCTTTTCTTCCGCAATTGGGGTATGGAGTGTTCGGACCTTTTTCTTTTTTTCGTTTTATCTGGGTGGATTTCTCAAGTTAAACTGTGTTTCCATCGAGTCGCTACCCATTTTCGCTCTGCACTACGCATCTCGCATTCCTTATCGCCCTGGTTCATGCCCCCGTCCCCAGACCTTTCATGGCATCGAAACCAGGCGTTCTTCGGCAACATCGCTGTCATCCTCTTTCTGGTCTTGCGTTTTGCATCCTCTGTGCTATACACCCACCTTTCTATCTACTTTGCAGCGAACGGCGTTTGGGATGACTTGGTTTCTGTTCTTCTTTCGGGCCCACTTTCGCGCGGCATCTGGACGGCTCAATCTATCACTGTCCGTTTAAATCTCATTTTGTTTTTTGTTTCCAATACTACAACTTCATGCTGTTTCGGGGCTTGGTCGCGGCACTTGGGATTTCGAACATTTCCTTTGTGCCATTGGTTTGTTCTTCAAGATACATAGTCTGAATTCCGATCCTCGGTTGAGCCTGTTCGCACTCCCTGTCTTGATAGAAGATGGGATGTCCCTTGTTTGGCAGACGTCGATTGTGCGCAATTAAATGCTACTTCAGCCTTTGGAGTTTTGCCTTGCGTATTCGCTGTATCTTTCCGAGTTCTCGGCTAGAGGATTTCCGATGCTAAACAATCTTCCTGGACCTAAAAGGCTATTGTTGGTGTCCACATACTCAATGGAAATAACCCCTTTGAGGTCTGGTACATCATGGGATTCAGAGTCCTGATCTTCCGGTTGAATGAAAATATTTGGTCTATTAAATCTATAGATCTAGTAGCAGAGATGATTTAAGCCCAGTCTGCTTCAATGCATATGATAAGGGTCCGCTGCGCAAGCCTTGCGACACTCTTCGAGAATCCTGGCCTGCTTAGCAACATCCCCAAGGCGACCAATGACCTCCTTATTGCCATCATAAAAGGTGAAGACGGCGTATGGGATGTTCACATCCTGGCAGAATTCCTTGACAAACTGTTGCGTCCTGCGCAAGTTATGTCTTGGGATACGAGGATAGAGGTGGTGGATCGCCTGGAATTGCAATCCACCATGGAAAAAGTCCAACCACGGCGGACAGTCCACATCCATTGTTGTCCGCAGCATCTTCTGCGGGAACGACTCCAAAGGACCAAGATCAGCAGTCGACATCGCATAATGAGACAGAGTAATCTGCACATGGAGTGGAGAAGTAACCATGTGTGAAATGAGCACAAAAGCCACTCGATTCCACCAATCCGGGATGCTGGACCAGACAACGCCGTATCCAAACCAGGCCCAGAAGAAAGCATGGCCCGCAAGTTCGAACCACCGATGCCACCAGCCAGCTCCCTGTTTCGGGCCCCGTCCAACAATGATATGTTCCCAACTGAGGAAGTAGAGGTTGAAGCGTCCGAAGAGAAGAATCGGGTAGTACAGCAAGTGCTGGTATTTGACGGTGATTTTAGCAACAGCGTCGAATTCCATGATACGGTCGTAGTATGTGCTTCGGAGGGAGTCGAAGAATCGGTGCGACAACGCGAAAAATGGCATCAGCTCGATATCTGGGTCGTGCTCTGGTGCATTCGTTACGATGTGGTGGACATTGTGGCTGCGTTTCCACCAGCCTAGACTCAGGCCACCTAGGTAATCTGCGATGAGCATGCCGATGACCGTGTCGACTTGATAGTTGTGGGTTATTCCCATATGACCAGCATCATGGGCAGAGAAGACAAGTTGGTGCCAGAAGCAACCGAGGAAAAGCGCAGATGTGCAGAACCAGGACTTGTGTAGGAAGAAAAGAAAGAGCCCGAATAAGAGGGTGTAACGGGAAATCTCAATGGCGTAGGCAGAGTAGTTGCAGTTGTATAGACCAGCTGCCTGAATGCGCTCGTTGAGTTGGCGGTATTTCTGCTTAATATTCTCTTGGTGCTCAAAGTCGAGAGGGGGGAATCTCGCAAGATCCATTTGAATTTCCTCTTGTGTTCGTGCATCCATCACGGCGGCTCGTGGCTTGATCTCGGCTGGAGGAACTGCACTGAGTGCCGAAGAGATGGTCGACACGGAAAGTCTGCGTCTGAGACCTGGTGCATCTTCTATAGGATCAAAAATAGGAGATGGTGGCGCAGAAATGTCATCGCTTGAGGATTCGGAGTAGGGTGTGTCTTCTTCGTCTTGATCATATAGTCGAAATTCGCCGCCTTGTATCGGAGGGAGAAAGTTGGTCCACTGGCCTTCGATGCGGCCAATCTGGAATTTGCTCATGCGCAGGCGAGCTTCCTGTGAATGTAGTCTTTTGAATGAAGTTAGTAGAGTCCGGGCATGGTGAGAAGGTGAAGGGTATTGGACACTCACGCATTGACTTCGTCTGTGGCATCTTTGCCTATCATGTGCTTGATAGCCATATCACCACCAGGGTGATACTTGATCCAGCCATCTATTCGGAGCACTCTATCGTCAACGATGATGATGAGCTTGCCTTCGGCAATCATCCCCTCTATCTCACGTCTTGAAAAGACATTATCCTTGCTCCGCACCGGAGTGTATGTTTTGCCCATTGTGTAGGATCAGAGGTCCAAGTTAAACCAACACCCGAATACTATTTTCAAAGGAGAAGGACAGCCTTAAGAACAACTGCACAGACGGTCTCGCCGAAACGATCGTATTCTACACTTAATCTACGTGGTTACCTGTTCCATATTTTGGGGTCATAGCGCGAAACATCCCCCGTTCCTGTAGACCCAGGGAATACATACAAAGGGGGCAGTGAGAATTGGTCTGTCCAACCGAGAGTGGACACGGGAGAACTTGAGGGAAAGAAGTGGAGGTTGGAGTTATTGTGGACACTGGCGTGGCAACTGGGGGTGTCTGGAGAGAATACGAGTCCTCTGTATGGTCTACCAGGCTAGCAGTGGGTAGTACACGTACCCAACGCCATGTCAACCATGTGCCAAAAAATTAACAGCGCGAGCTAAACTAAGCTTAAACCTTGCCCCTGGCGGAAATTGAGATCTTTACAACAGCCCCCCTTGATGATATTTGCCTGTGGGATATCATAGAAGGCCTCATGCACTCCGTAGAAGTAAAGATTTTAAACAAATTTCACTAAATACGTAACGTTGCCAAATGTTCGAGATAGTGGCGAGCCGTATTCTCTCCACTTCCCCTTGGCGGCACTAACCATGGACCCAAAGCGGAAAAACATTGACACGTGTCCACCCCAAACCCTAGAAACGCAACTTTATCATTTCGGGTCAGGGACCAGATCACTTTCGAGAAATGAGAGCATCTGTGAACCGTCGAGATCGACTCCTTTTTCGCCCCGCTATTGCGGCTTGTGCCCCGCATTCGAGGATGGCTCATGTCGAATGAGTCCGCACTTACGTGGTGGCTTTGCTTCTCGACCGAAATCGCCACCCTTGTCTATCTTTGCCGGGGCATGCTGTCATAATCCACTTACCTGGGTACAGTCGTTTAGGAACGGCGAGGCAATTGCACGGAGAAGCAGATCTATGTCTAACCACGCAGGTACAGCCAAGACCATGCTAAAGTTAATTAAGTCTTAGGGTCAACGAATCCACTGTCTCCATATTTTTCTTAGCAGAATTGGCATTTTCTAGTGAGCTATTTGGGGAGATGTCCTCGCGTTAACCGCAAGACCTAGTGCGAAATAGATTAGGCGTCTAGATAAACGACCGAAGCATGTGACCCAGACACTCTGCTCGAGGCCTAAATAGTGCATGGTGCGAGACATTTCTTTATAGATTTCTGCCTATTTGAGATTCTGTGGCTTTCGCCTCCCTAATTTTCCAAAATGTTTCTACCGCTCATGCGGGATACGAGTACGCAATACCCACTTCAGGCTGAATTCCACACCGAGGCTAAGAAATAACTCATATGTGATGGAGCTATGTTAGTATTCGTATTGATTTTCAGAGACAATGCAAGCAGAAAAATTGAAATAGCTCCTTGGTCTTTCTCTAGTGGGCACTAGAGCGAGATTTGGTATTTGGTGAAACGCTGCGACAGAAAATTGCCGATGGGCGAAGAAGATCTCATCACGACTGAGGTTGATACAAGCCATGCTCATATTTACATTATACTCGCTAGATTTGGACTTTGGGTGGTTTTTGTCTGATTCAACAAAATCGCTAGTGCCAGAAACAGATCGTGCTGTCCTATCTTATATTAGCTCAAGGTCTGAAGAGCGCACTTCGATTTGTGTGCAAGAGTTTTGGGGCCATTCTTGAGTCCACTGAGATCGCTGAATACAAAAATAGCGTTACAAGAAGTTACCAAGATCATCAAACCAATATGTGCTCAAAAGGGGTTACTGGCTCACATGTCAGCCGTGCCCACTATGTGCTAAACAGAGTCTGTAATGGATTTCTATTTGACTAAATGTAATGTGAAGTTCTGTTCTAGATGAGACTCACTCAAGTGGTGTTTCATAAGGCCCTTCGAAATGTTTCTCCTGCATATGTGATGAGCGACGATCGAGATTGGTTGCCTGCGAACTGCGCCACGACGACACTCATGTGTACATGTATCACCTCGTACGGGCTACCGTCTCTCGGTAGTTGGAGGAGCTCCCGTTCCCATTGAAAAACATAGAGGGTGAAACTCCAACTTTGCTTGCATGATGTTTTGTGAGATATAGGCGTCTACAATCTAATTGCCTCTTTTGCGCAATCCATGGACACCTGAAGAGCTTCCTGAGGGGGGGAATCTTCTGCAAATAACATTCGAAGAAAAGAAATGGTTGCAGGGGCTTTTAAGAGATAGGGCTTGAGAAAGAAAACGTAATGATTCAATGTGAAAATGGAGAGAGATGATGGTTGGTCAGGGCCTGACAGCCTGAGGCATCAAGATCCCAGTCACATGGTACTCGGACAAATACCTTCGCCGGTCCGATGGACGATTATTTGCAGCCTGAAATTCAGGGCAGAAGCAGCCTTCCGACAGCCCCGGAAAGACGATCTGGGCACGCCACCTCACACTTCGCTCTGAAGAAGAGATATTCCTACCTATGTTTCCCACCTGGGCGTCTCTCTCGATTCACTTAGCTTCGATTGGATGTGGATTGTGGTCAGGGATATGGGCATCATGGTCGAGTGGTTAGTCGCTCTGTGGTGAAGTAATGGTCGGCTTTTGCTCAAACTCCGAAGATATCTGAATTCCAGCCAAATCTACTGTTCGTGCCCGATAGAGACTCTGTTCCACGAGATAAAGGCGTAGTGGCGTGGTGGGTACCATCAATACGAACATATAGCTAAGTCGGAATAGACAGCCGACTGGTTCTCGACTAAGCTCAGAGGATATCCTTGGGTAGCAGAGATGTTACCCGCAGTTCACGAACCTCTGGGCCTCTGGGTAAGCTTTCTAGCTTCACTGTCACCCGATCTTGATTCTATAGCTTTGGATTAGGCCCGGCTAGCCCCGCTACACGCCACACCCTTGGACTCCATGCTATTTGGTTTGATGCCAAAAACCAAGCATTTTCGTACTTGCATTACTTCCGCCTTATCTTTAGACTAGCATTTCCATAGCATGCCAGTGGAATTGTCCTTGTTGAAGATTATCCTTGCAAAGATACATACTCCTTTAGACCGGAGTGGTCTTTTGACTCTTGAGGTATATAATGGCGATTTAATAAATCTTGGTTGTCAATATAATTTCATCTCATTGCGCAGGGCTCAGCAATCCACTTGTGTCTGTGGCGTAGCATATCTGGAGTAAGGTTAGGCAACCCTTGGGAGGGTTCCGGGACCCCAGTTAGTGCCAGCGGGCTCTCGATTGGCTCTCGCTTGTCATTCCTGTGTTCAGACAATCTCAATCGATGTCCGCCACAGCGATGAAAAGACGCATGACGTTCAACGACGAAGTAGTGGCCTAGATAAATTCCAGAGAACTTTGTACGTGAGTTTCACTTTCAAGACAAACTCAAGATGCTAGCAGTCTCTCCGTACAACATCATGCAGCAACGCATTGAGAACTTGAGGTCCTACTTCAGATCCTAGATGTTTCCTTGGTGCACTGTCTTCATTGAGATTTACCCGTGTACCTAGATTTAAACTACGTATTGGGGTATCTACTCATTTAGCATAGCCTTTTAACTTTTATTTTGGACTGTGAATCGTAGGTCTAGCCCCTACTGCCCGAGAGAAACAATCGTTTCAACCAGATAGTTCGCGCCAAGACCAACTCGTCATGGTCACGACTCACCACTGCACCACGAATAGGTGATGGTTTGAGCATAATTCCAAGAGAAACCGTAGATCAAGCTTGTTTGTCTCCACTACCATGGAAATGATCAGTAGAATCCCCCAACTAGATCCAATCCCTTGGAAATACCTTCTTCGTCTTTCTGGGTCCTGTGCCTCGCTCGGTGCAGCTGTATCATCTAGTTGAGCTGCATCGTCAATCTAGACGCATCCCCGCAGCTGAATGAATCATTGACTCACGAACAGATCTTCTTTCGGCGAGTTGAGCAAGCTATTGTGCTTTTTGTTGGGCATCAGATAATCTATTTAAGCACCGAATGCCCCTTCATCTTCCTTCTCATCAATTCGATCTGAACACATCTAACAACAATCTACTTGACAATTAAATACTCAATATGCTCGTGAGAAACATCATCGCTGCCTTCGCCCTGACTGGCCTTGCCACTGCTATGCCAACTGAGGAGTTTGAAGAGCTCGAAGCGAGGGCCGGCTGTACACGTCCAGCCTTTTGCTGCAAGACCGTGCTCGATCCAGTGAATATTTTCTTCGTGACGGCAATTGGTTCAGGGTGCGATCCCAAGGGTTCCGGCAATTGCCCAAGAGGGAAGTCACCCCTGTGCTGCCCGAACGGCCAGATCAAGGTCAGTTTTTGTGACCATCAAAAATCCTGGTACTTACTGGAGAGGAAATGACTAACTACGAACAGGACGGCAAGGATGTCCTCTGCACTGTCTAGAGACAGACCCATTGCTCAGCCTCGACACCTAGCTACTGGTCGTCATGGAGGATTCCGTTTTGTCGCGGGTTGATTTTCATGCCTTTGGATGTAATCTGATATTACTAAGTACGATTAGTACTATCCATGGATATAAAATACATATTGAGTGAACGCGTTCTATTTGTTTGAGTCAGATCTATCCCGAGGCTCCAGTTCAGCCCTTATTGTACATGCATCACAAGTTTTGGAAATCTTCTAAGGTTGCCTAGAAGCCCGCAAAATATTTACGACTGGCCTGCTATACCTAGGTATATATCTTACCTAACTGCAGTAGCTCTGGGTTCGGGCCTATGTGCTGATGGCCTGACCTCGGATGGACTAGATGGATACTGGTAAGATGCCTCTCCAACGGGAAAGATCGATGGAGACCAAGAAGCAGACTACGGCTGGTGATGTACCCAGGTAAAATGTATCGCTGGACTATCCCGAGGCCCCTAAATCTTCATTTAGCACCTGCGAAGCCCCAAGGTTGATCAAAGTCTTTGTGTTACTAGGTATCCTTGCTGCCATTGAGATACATCCATGGATGTGAAGTACCTAGGTACTCTCGCTTCAAAACCCTGGGCATTAGGGCACGGGTACTAGCATGTACATGTGTCGACTATTGGAATGATAAGTATGTAGGTCACCCGGGTACTACGGTAGGAGAAGCCTGCATGGAATAATACCCTCCAAGGTTATCATGGATGGTCATTGGGTAAACAAGCTTGGAATCTACTACCTAGGTAGGTATTGCTTCAGGGTGGTTCATCGAGCTCAGATGACCTCGGGAGAAGAGCGAAATATATGCGAGGCCAACCAACATTGAAAGAGGTGCTTCCAAGAATTTGACCCGAATTTTTGTGAAAGCCCAAGAGCAACTCCTGACCAAAATTATCAAGCAACTAATCTACGTGCTTTGTCTTGAAATAGTGACATGATAGTGGAGTGCTACATTCGGGGCAACAAGTAGATCGGAGAACGCGTTCCAGCGGAACCTCGAAAACACCCTCACCGCAACGCAAAACACACAACTACCGTTAACGCACCGGCGTATCCCAAACATCAGTCAAAATGTCCGCATTCGCACCCGAAGACCCAGACGATTACTCGTACGCCGAGACCGACCCCGCGGAGACCTCCACCCCTCCAATCCCAGATCAAGCGGGCGACGAACCGTCGCATGGCCACGGCCACTCCAACCCCCTTCTTGGATCCGACCCCCTTGTTTCCGATCTGGAGCAGGAAGTGCTAGAAGAATACACCCGATTGTTGCGCAATGTGAACCAGGTACGTTCGGATCTGCGGACCTGAGCTGGGACTCCCGCGGACAAAAGCAGTTGTCGAGGTGGCCTGGTGGAAATAGACCGCTCGCAAGGCAATTCCCTAGTGATTTCGATTACTGACGTGACAATTGTGTACAGCTCTCCGACAAAGTCGCCGATCTTGCGGGCTCGCCTGCATCCATGCCCCTCGATGGATTGCGTCTTCTAGAGCGCAAGACCGCGACTGTGTGCACCTTGCTCAAGGCTAGTGTGTACAGCATCGTTCTACAGCAGCAGATCTGGAACGAGAATGAGGAGCAGCAGCAACAGCAGCAAAGCGAAGCCCAGTTCCAAGATCAGCAGTATCAGCATGGATATGACGAAGACGTGACATTCCAATGAGAGTGCCCCTCTGTACGAAATTGATGATTTATTTTGTTACTCGCGTATTATACCCGGGGTGTTGGGTTCGGTTTCGAGTCTTCGTTTGTGGTGTTCGGGGAAAAGAACTTGTTGATATATGATTTGTTTCCAAAATATGCTGTGAATAGCCCAGAATACTGGAATGAAGATGACGCATTCATGTTGAACAACCGAGTGATACTTGTACATGCAAAATACACGAGGAAATGGAAAGGAGAAACATTATATACACGCTGGTGCGAAACAGCCAGTTTGGTCCTGAAGGAACCTTAAACCTTACCCGCGTAGTAGACCTTGCGCACATCGACAAGCTTCCTGCCAAGTGCGTGGGCAATCTGATCGGGGTTGCGCTGGCTCATGAGAGCCTCGTAGGCGGCCTTGACAGTGTTCATGGGGTTTCTTGAACGGCCAGTTCGGGCCGAAAGGTCGTGAATACCGCCGGCGCGGCACATTTCGTAGATGAGGTGCTGAACGCGAAGACCGAAGCCTGAGTGACGGTTAGTAAAAGAAACGGATACTATCAGGGGAGATGATAAACATACCAGGTGGACGGTGCATCAGCTGCAACGACGTAGCTCCAACCTTGCCCTTAACATCGCCGTAGATGGTTCGGTTCTCGTAACGGGGGATGGGTTGCATGTTGCGGATGGCACGGTATTGAGATTGGATCTTGGCGTCGGCCGCTTCGTCGGACTTGGCCTCACCGATACCAAGGAGACCGTTTCCATTACCAGCAATGGAGAGACGGTACGCACGGCGGACCTTTCCTAGTCGAGTCTGGTTCGTAACGCTGTGCATGACCAAAGTCTTGGTACGGAGGTCCTTGACCTGTCGCTCCGTGTATCCTGTAGCCAGGAGAAGGCTCTTGAGAGCATCCGTCATTTCCTCGGCCTCTGCTGAGCGCTCCTTCACGCCCAGCTCAGCAGCAGTCTTCTGCTCTGATACGCTGGGCTCGTCAATGGTTTCGCCGGGACCGAAGAAGTCCGGAACCAATGCGCTAGGTGCGTTCAGCTCATTCTCCTCCTTGCCCTTTGTCACGCGCAGGTTGTCTGCCCAGCGGACAAAGTCAGCACCGGTGGCATCGTCGGGCATCTCGGCAATAAAACGGCCAAAGTCTTCCGCGAAATCGTCGTTGTTCTTGAATTGGAATTTAAAGTCCGAGTTCGACAACGGAGCGCGCTGGTGGTGATCGATGCCGGGCTCAATGACAGAAAAATCATCAAGATATTTGAAGCTCATAGGGTCGCTGCGTTCGTGGAGCTGGTCGGCCAGATCCTTAGGATCGATAGCGGCTTCACCGGCGTTGATAGCGGCCATTTGTGCTTCAGTGTACTGCTTAGCCAGTTCGGCCTTTTGCTCCTCCGTGTAAGGCTTGAAGTTCTCTCCTGGGGATGACTTGACATTGGGGAACTTGGGCTTCCGGTTCGTAAGAGACGCAGGTGTGGGATGGAATTGGCGACGAGGGACTCGCGTGCCGGGCGTGGCAGCACGGGAGAAGCTGCACAAGAGGCATCGGGCGGGCCGTGTGACGTTCATGGTGATGGTAATATAAGCTCTCTAGCCAAGCATAGGCCAATTGAGAGCTCTGGGAACGAGGAAACAGGCGAAATGCGGAGACAAGGGACGCAAAGGCAACAGAGCCTGTCGGAGGTGAGGCATCGGGAGGAATTTCTCTGTGGCGGGCGGTCAGCCCCCGTCCAATCAGGAACGCGGTAGATGCGTTTCTAATAATTTTCCCATCTGGCGATTCTCAAATCCAAAAATTATTTTGCTGTCGCTTTGCACCTTGGATGTTTGCTATACGGTCATCCGCTTGGCGACTGACTTCTTACGTGGCATTAAGTCCCGTCCAAGCTTTCCAGTTACGATCAGCCTCCCGAAAATCTTTCCAGCGCCATTCTGCGAATGCGCCATTCCCCGCGATAATGCAAAACAATCCTAAGAAACAATTCGACGGCAAGAAGAAGTTCAAGAAGGCCAAAGTCGATAAGAACAAGAGCAGTGGGCACGATGAAGTTCTTCTTTGCGATATCAACAACCTTCTGAAGCGCAACGAACCCGAGCAGGACGAAACCAATGGCGAGAACGCACCTGTCGCCGTCCCGGAGAAGTTCACTGAGATCGATGTCAAGATTGCTGAGCTTTCATCCACAGGTGATGGTCTCGCGCTTTCTGAGAACAAGAAATATGTCTACGTTGTTCCGTTCACAGTCCCCGGCGACACTGTCAGAGTCAAGGTTGTCAAGCACTTCGAGCCGTTGTCGTACAGCTTGACCGATTTCGTCAAAGTTATCGAGCCGGGCCCCCAAAGAAACGATTCTTTGATTAACTGCAAGTACTTTGGCGAGTGCTCCGGGTGTCAACTCCAGATGATGTCCTACGATGACCAGCTTGCACACAAGCGTCGCATCGTGGAGAAGGCATATGCCAATTTCTCTGGATTGATTCCTGAGCTTGTGCCTACCATTGGCGAAACATTTGCCTCGCCAATGCAGTTTGGATATCGCACAAAGCTCACGCCCCATTTCGCACATGGCGGCGCCAACAAGAAGGCAGACGAGGAGGCGCCTGTTCCCCCCATTGGATTCACATACAAGAATCGACGCCTGGATATGGATATCGAGGATTGTCCCCTCGGAACGGATATTGTTCGCCGTGGACTCACCACTGAGCGCAAGCGTGTTGCCGAGAACATTCGCTCTTACAAGAGAGGTGCTACTCTCCTTATGCGAGAGACGACCGCGCGCGTTCCCAAGGAACCCTCAGCTGCCACAGACTCGGAGACACCCAATGTTGAAGGCATTCCTGCCTCTGTAAATGCAGACACTGGTGATGTCATTCGCACCGAGCGCGAGAACTACATTGAAGAGAAGCGTTGCATTACAGACAACAACGCCACCTCTTTCGAGTACATTGATGATTATGTCTTCAGCAACAAAGCAGGTGCTTTCTTCCAAAACAACAACTCCATCCTGTCCGGCTTCACAGAGTACATCCGCTCGCGAGCCATCCCTCCTGGAAACGACCAGGATGCAAAGCCGATCAAATATCTCCTCGATGCTTACTCCGGCTCAGGACTGTTCACTATCACCCTCTCTCCGCTATTCAAGTCTAGTCTTGGTGTGGATATCGGTGGCGATTCTATCATTTCCGCGCGCGAGAATGCTCGTGCAAACAAGCTTCCCAACACTGGGTTTGCTGCTGCGGATGCCGCCACTCTGTTCAAGGATGTTCCCTACCCACCCGACCAGACTTTGCTGGTCATTGATCCTCCTCGCAAGGGATGTTCTGAGGATTTCCTGCGCCAGATGCTTGAATTCAAGCCCCGTCGTGTTGTCTACGTGAGCTGCAATGTTCACACTCAGGCTCGCGATGTCGCTGTTATGGTCCAGGGTGATGAAAAGCAGAATGTTCGCTATGAAATTGAGAGCATTCGCGGCTTTGATTTCTTCCCTCAAACTGGTCATGTGGAAGGTGTTGCCATCCTTAACCGGACTGCTTTCCCTCAGGCCGAGACTGTCTGATCTCCTCGTTGGTGCGTGGTATATATAGGCATATATCTGATGTTGCATACTCTGGCGTTTTGGGAAAGGCAAGAACAAAAGGTGTGATGGTGATGGTGATGGTGATGGCGTATATGTATTAATCCATGGATATATCAAACTACCTAGTACCAATCTACAATTCTCTTGATACCATATGAAAATCTACTGGAAATACTATGTACGTAAGGAGTACTTCGTAGGTACTCCGTAGCAGACTCCACTTCAGAGTTGGTACACATCATATGCCAAGTGCCAATAGTGAAATAGAAACCGGCGCCAACCTTGGAAACCGTTTTGATGAAAATAAAAGGGGCCACCAGAAAAAAGAAAAGAAATAAAACTAACGACTATGAACAAAAGGCTGAGTTACATCAATTGACAACTGTCTAATGATCCATTCCACTGCTCTCTGCTTACGAGCTTCCGGGGCCACCGAGCAGGGCGAACCGTCGCACAATGCTGGGACCTATCTCATCGTACTCTGCCTTGGTGTGGCAGTAGCTTCGGAATTCGGGCGTCTGGCCCAGCAGACTACCTCCGAACCAGGGACCGTGACGCTGGCGCTTGTGGGTTACGACTGCAACATCCAAGCCACCACTCCGTGCGCCACCGCTACGAGCCTCGGAGGCACGAATTCGGTCATCTACCAAGTGACGGATGTCACGTTGTAGGCGACGACCAAAGTCCTTGTACAAAGTGGATCCACCAGACAGCACAATATTCTTATAAAGACCTCTTCGAACATCGATGGGAGAGGATTGGATAACACCGTCGACAACGTTGGGGAGCGGAGTGAGGAAGTCGGACGAGTAGATTTCGGGGTTGAAGAAGATTTCCGGAGCGAGGAAACGCTCGTATCCGATGTCAATGTTGATACTCCGTCCATTGGGCGCGGTGACGGTGTGCTTGAGGAAGCGGTCGGGCTCGCGGTCATAACGGGCGAACTCCTTGACAATATCCGGGCTGACATAGCAGTACTCTTCCTTGACCTTCTCGGCGGTCTTCAAGCTGCTGTCTGGTTCCGCACGGTCACGCAGTAGGTTCTGCACGAAATATGTGATGTCGCGTCCGGCGATGGGGATACTCTTGATGGAGGAACCGATGACGTAACCCTCAGCAACGGGGATAACGTGGGTGACACCGTCACCGGAATCGATGACTGTTCCGGTCAGAGAGCGATCCGTGACCTTGGAAGATGTCCATGATGCGGCGAGAGCAAGAACGGCTTGAACGGCAATGTAAAGACCGGCGCAGTTGAATGATTCGAACATGATTTCGGCGGTGTTCTCGCGGTTCTCGGGGGGGTTCAGGGGCTATAGTGCAAATGGTTCAGCTTTCGTGCCCGGCGCAATCCATTCCTTTGGCAAAGGTAGTCGACTTACAGGTTCGGTGAGTAGGAAGTAGTGGTCCTCGGGTTCGACGCGCAGGTATTTGAAGATGGAGTTTGACCAGAATCGTTCCATGTGATCCCAGTTCTCGATCTGTCCGTGCCGAATTGGGTAATTGACACCATATCCTGGACCTTGACCGGCAGCCAGGGCCTCATCGCCAATGAAGAAGTCCAAGTCCTCCGTGCCACGCTTCGCGGAGAGGTTGGAGCTAGCCCCACCTCCACCGCCGAGGAACGAGGGCTTGTTTGCAACTGGAGGACGACCGGAGGAGCTTCCAGCACTTCCCGCTGCCTTGGTGGCAATTGCCGTGGGGAAAACGAATGAGGGGGAATCGTTACCGGCGAAACCTGTAGGAGCGGAGCGAGCATGTCAGCCTAATCCAGGATCGCGAGTCCTCTGCACCCTGGTAAATAACACCTACCAAGCTTGGAATAGCCAGTACCGCTGAGGGAAGAAGCAACGTCAGCATCCAGATACACAATGAGCTGTTAAAGCGAGCTTACTTGTCCATGACAACGGCTGGTGTTTGGTTCGCCATTGCGGGTGGTTGGGCTTGGACGCAATCCAAACGTTGGAAAGGGTGGAAAGAGGGCAAAGGACTAGAAGTTGAACACAGTAAAGAGGCAATTCCTCGTATCTCAATAGCCGAGTATGCCCTAGTTCTAAGGGAGCAAGAGGACAGGCAGACAAGGCGGGGGGAGGATCAGGTATCCGGAGGTTGAGATTACCTAAGGCACAACATCATGTGCCGCTATTTAAAGAACTACATTCAGGTGGAATGTCTGCAGAGCTCCAGAGCTACCTAGGTACTTGGACCGAGAACAGAGACTCTGGAGTCAATGGCTTAATTCCTCCACAAAAGGTGCTCTGAAAATGGCAGGAACGACTCACAGGCCGATAAATGCTGCTCGGAAATGTTTTGATCTCTTCACCTCCATCCCTAAGACAGTCTCTCCTTATTCTTCTGAACTGTATCTTTACCTGTGAGAAGGACAAGTACAGCGATCGCCTTTGATTTTTTATTATTATTATTCTAAAATCATTCGTGGTCCCATCACCGGCGCTTCACTCATACGCAAAGGTCCCAAAACGGCACAGGTCTTTCATATATTCACTGTGCCTCGATCATTTGCGAGTCAAAGTATTGCGCCCCGCAGACCCCATCGGGGTAGCTTGCCCTTCAAGCTCGCCAGCTTCACGCGATCTGATCCCAAAGCTGTTTGTCCGCCGCCAGACTTCAGAGGGTCAGCAGACGCGCGTTTCAAAAACTCGCCATGGCAAACCCTTTCCGACATGATGGCAAGTGTGCAATTTTTGTTCATGCTGGAGCAGGCTTTCACAGCTTTGAAAACGAGAAAAAGCACCTTGAGGCTTGCGATAAGTAAGATATCCGCAATCAGCACTTGATCCATCGGTGGATGGTCTAACATCATCTCAATTAGTGCTGCTAGAAAGGCAATGGCGTTTCTGCGTAACGGAGCCACTGCCGTTGATGCCGTTGAAATGGCTCTTATGATTCTCGAGGACAACCCCATCACAAACGCGGGGTATGGAAGCAACCTCAATGCGAAAGGAACCGTCGAGTGTGATGCCTCAATTGTTGACCATCGTGGACGCAGCGGTGCGGCTGGATCCGTGGAATGTGGGTTTTTTGTCCCCCAAAGATGTATCCGTTGATACTAACATAGAAATAGGCGTCAAGAACCCAATCATGCTGGCTCGGAAGATCTATGACTGGTCCAACAGGGACTTGGGGATGTCAAGGGTTCCCCCGAATTTCCTCGTTGGAAAGGGAGCTCAAGACTTTGCATGGCGTCACGGTGTTATCCTGATACCATATGAAGCGCTGATCACACCTGTAACCTCACAACGATACAAGCAGTGGGCATCAGAAGTTCGAGATTACGAACTTGCCAATCCAACCGAAGAAGATGCACGGTACTGGTGCCGTCGACCTCTGACCCCTGTGGACAAACGCATTCAACGCTTCGAACAAAGGGATCTTATTGAGTACCCTGAACGTCACACTGACAGCAACATGATAACCTCAGACCCGGAAGAGGAACTGCGATCCCTGAACATGAGAACTTCACCTGCAGGTGGGAAGGGTCGCCCCGCAAACTCCCCGACTCGCCCATCGAGGCAGAAGAAAGTCAAACTGAGTAGTGAATCTACCACCAAGGAGTCTCCTTCTTCCTCGCGCGTGTCCCCCGATGGAAGTCCCGAAAGGAGCCCCATGGATGAAATGGAAGAAAGCCCCGCAAGCGATGAGGCAGAGAGCTCTGTGGTTGACAGTGACGATGACGGTGATGAGGAAAAAGGTTGCGCAAGTGACAATGAAGAAAGCCGTGCAAGTGACGAGGAACAAAGCTTCGCGAGTGACAAAGAAGGAAGCTTTGGAAGTGACAGGAACTGGGGGACTGAAGACCATGGGGATTCAATCACTGATACAATCGGTGCAATTGCAATTGATCGATATGGGAACATTGCAGCTGGATCTTCCTCTGGTGGCATAGGTTTGAAGCATCGCGGCCGTATCGGACCTGCGGCTCTGATCGGCATTGGCACCCATGTTGTGCCTGAAGAGTCCACTGATCCAGATGGGACTACATGTGCAGTAGTCACATCTGGGACCGGAGAGCTAATTGCAGGAACCCTTGCGGCCAGTACCTGTGCCCAGAGAATGTACTATAGCCAAAAGAAGGGCTCTGATGGCACATTCACTCATGTCATGGAGGAGGAAGCGATCAACGCATGGATGAAGAAGGAGTTCAACGGTACGTACCTTTATCAGAACCATCGTTGGTTTCTTTATGCTGACAGCAGATTTCTCCTACCTGCTAGAACACCCCGTCGTGATTGAAAGTATCCTCTTTGGTTCAATTGGAGTCATGGTTGTAAAGAAGACCAACAGTGGCATAGAACTCTATTTTGCCCACAACACTGATTCATTTGTGAGTTCCACGTGTGTGTTTCTTTCACGACGAGCCTGATACTAAGTGTTCTATCTGGTAGGCCCTTGCATCCTTTGTCAGCACTGCGGCTAAACCAAGCTGTTTGATGTCTCGCGGGAAACGTGGAACCATCGCACAAGGGGGCTGCCGTATCAGATTTGGGACTAATTGTAAGCATTGTTTCCACCCGTGGACTTGGCTTAAATGAGATGGAGCACTGACCCAGGTCTCACTTAGAATGACGAACCAAGCCATCCGCAAGAAAAAGTGTCCGCATTGCCAGGAAGTGCAAATGACGCCGACGTCCTGTTTGAGTATTGAAAACCGCGAGAATGCTTTTCCAGTCCCCTCCAGTCTGTTCACTCGTCTTTTTGTACCAGAGTCAGTATACCCGGTTCTGTCAAGTTTACTGACCCTCCGGTGGATGCCTGCAGAGTGGTTACGAGTGCCTCACTCTGTGTTTCTTATTTGTTGTGATTAGCGGTCTTTTGCTAGCGGGTAAAGGCCCTCTGATAGAGTAGCCCTAAGCCCGGGGGATCTTTCGTGTACCTATTCACTGAACTTGACCTAAGCCATGTGTATGAAGGTTGTCTAAAATCATTATGTTTAATTTAACCCATTTACTGAACCCTAGGCCTTTGTGAAGGTGGACATTTCATGTAGCCACCGTTCTTTTTGTAAACCTTGAAGCAAGGCAATTAAGAGCCTGGTGTTGAAACAGATATTGGTGTCCCAGCCCCAGACGCCCCATTGACCTTCTTCTTCTTCTTTTTCTTCCTCGGTAACAAAGCCGGCTTTGAATTGTAATTCCCAACATCCAAATGCGTACCACAAGTCAAGCACTCACTTCCAGGCGGTGGCTCACAGAAGATACTAAGACAGATCGAGCACACGAAGCCAACATCCACAACACGGCGATGACAAAAGCATGCAGCGCGGAAATCCACGTCCACCCGCGTAGGCAGCACAAGATGTCGTCTCGATCTTTGGTCCGGCAAAAACGCCATCATCAAGTACTGCAGCAGGCCACGTGGTTCTGCAAGGGACATGTATACACCCTTTGTGGCATCGCAAGCCTGCTGTAGGAAGACTGCATCGCCACTAAGCTTGCAAACATCGATGGGAATATGCAGACGCTGGCATGCGAAGATGCTGTTCATCACCGGGATATACTGGTGGGCTGAATCGCTAGACCCACTAACTGAAACGATCAGAATGCGACTCTGGAGTTTCTCGTCCTCGTTCGAGGCGGAGTAGCGATTTGATGGAGCAGTGCCTTCGGCAGGGGCGTCGTCTGGGTTTGCGCCGCCGTGCTCTTCGGCCCAGGCGATTGTTCGGCGGTTGATGTGGCTGAGGGCGAGAGTCAAGGCTCCGGCTAGCATGGTGGATGTGTTGCCGCGGAGGTGGTCAGGGGTCGTTGAGTCCATGAGCTCTTTGAGATTGCGTGTGACTTGGTCTTCGACTATGCGAAAGGGTCGGTATTTATTTGGCTGGGGGGTTGTATCTGTGCTCATAGAGATGTCGCCATCCTGATCCGTTGAGTGGGATAGGGTTTGTGAAGGGTAGAGCCATGCTGCTTTGTGTGTGTGGGAGGCTACTACGGCGATTTCGTTGGCGTAGTTGCATGCGAGGTGGGCGTTGATGAAGACGAGGATGTTGGCGATCGCCTTGGAGAGTGGGAGAGACTCTTCCAGGATGTCCCAGGCATGTGGGTTTGTATCGATTACAATTGTGAGGAGAGAGGGAGCTTGGTCTAAGTTTTGTTAGCTGCGCATTTTCTTTTTTCATGGAACTGGTTGTACTGACCAGTTGCGCCTAGCTCGTAATGCTCGGAGGCATCGACGGTATTCATTGTGCTGGATTGCGCAGTCTGAGCATATTATAGAGTTGGGGCCTCTCGGACTTGTGGCAGATTTCCAAGGCTTAAGCGAAGAAGGGTTTCCGCTTGCCAAGTTCAAGATCGCCCAGTGTGCAGCAGAGACCATGAATACCTCCAGGGCTGGAGAATAGCTTTCAAAGGTCAATCCGATGATCTTCGATAAGGTCACGGGGTGATAACCCGAGAGCACAGACCACGGGCGGCGGTGCCCAGGTGGACGTCCATGACGCGACACTCACTACGGAGTACATCACCGCTCAGTATGGGGGAATCCATCCATGCATGTCTTTGGCGTGTTTTTGTCTCTCCAACGATCTTTCTTTCTGGCCCATGTCACTACATAGTCTATCACCATCATTATATTCGGAACAAAGGGAAAATTGTAGAGTGTCATCCGCAGATGCCGATCACCACCTTACTCCATGCACTCCGGACACCTGTGTCCGCGGAGTCCGTTTGCTATGACTCAGGTGATCCGGCACCCCTTCCCAATAGAAAGCGGGGATGCTGAAGATCTGACCGAAAGTACACGGAAGAACTGAGCATCTTTTGTTGAGAATCCGATTCGGTCGATTTGAGAAGAGTGAGTGCTTGGCGGTGTATCCCTTGGACGCGCCAAGATACAACTATTGCATTTCCGAGTGAGATCATCCGGAAGATCATTGTGATTGCCAAAGTTTACATAGAAGTGAGACGGTCAGCAGAGAGGGTAAGAATCAGAAATATGCGGAGTATACGGAGTAGAGTGCAGTCGTACAGGACGAAGCTGACGGAGAACGTGTTAAAGCCAGTGGATGTGGTTGGTCTTATCGGGCTGATTGATAATGGGTAAAGGCGATGAAGAAGTGCTCAGATGTACACGTACTATTGTCAGATTAGACCGAGAACAGATGAAGTATATTAGCGGAGCTCTTTATCTTTCCTCCCGCACTTCCCCTCCAGAAAAAAAATAACGGGTCCTTTCCGCTTCCCCTTTACAACACTCTGGGGTAATTCATTTTCTCCGGATTTCTATGCAATGGTCCATACAGGAGAAGAACGTGCTGTACACCTGGCCCGAGAGGCTGTTGAACTCGTTGACGCGGGCCATCGGGAGGTAAGGAACCCCTCCATCATGGCGTCGACATGCTAATCAAGACAGGCTGCCTCCCGCAACCTCCGAGAAGCCCTATCCATTGCCCCCCATAACGCACAAGTCAAAGCTGCATTCCTGAAAGTGCAGCAAGAGGACCAGGATGGCCACCAGCTATTAGACCTCTGTCGGCGATACACCCAGAACGATGAGAATGCCGGGAAAGAAGCCGCCGCGTATCTTCGGACGGACGGATTGAAGTCGCCCGAAGGAGTTGCTTTGGAATCCCTCAAGATTTTGCTTGCGCAGCGACCGCAATCCCTGTCGCTCACACAGGATGAGATCATCTCCGGATTGGTGCGACAAAATGCCAGTGTGAGGCAATACTTCTCCACCCAGCTCCAAACCTCCGTCACCGCGTTTTTCGATGAGATATACGACCGCGGCGATGGAGCCGCGGTGTGTCTGGACACTGTGGTCTTGGATCCCACAGTGTGGACCTCGGAAGACACGCGCTCCCATTGCGAGGGCGAGTTATTCCAATTGTTCATCGCCAAGCTGATGGAATCTGGCCATGACCTTGACGGACGTTCTTTGAAAGGAATTACAAGACTACTTGCGGTTCACGCCGATGAACTCCAGCATTTGATTGACGACGAAGGATTTGAGGTGATTCTGTCGTCCTTGGATTATCGACTCCCCTTGGAAGTGCGAAGCCAGGCAACACTAGCCACCGCCAAATTCCTTGAAGTCGCCAAGGAAGCTGGGGAGAAGAAGTTTTTGGCATTGATCATGTCCATCATCGGCAAAGGTCGAGTCGATGACTTGATAGTTGCTTTCTCTGCGCTGGCCGCAATTTTCCCCGTGGCTCCCACGGCGGCAGCAAACCTATTCTTGTCCGACGAGTTCCTGGCACATCTTACTCCGTTGGCAAATCGCGAAGCCAAGAGCAAAAAGGTTGACATTCCCGTGCTGGAGTTGCTCAATGCGGCATGCATCAACCGTCCCTGCCGAGAGGCCGTCTCCAAGAAATTCGGAGAGTGGTTATCGCATAACCTGACCAATGGCAGCGATGCTGGTTCGGAACTCGCAGCGGTGGCCTTGGCAAAGATCCGGGCATCAGAGCCGGAGAAGCCTTCCACTGGCAACGGTAAGGTCTTGGAGGATGATGACGAGTCTGAACTCGTGCACCGTTTCAAGGGACTGATGTCTGAAAGCAAGGTTGAGAACAGTTCCCACGCAATCGAAGGCTTAGCCTACACCTCGGTGAAGCCTGCCGTCAAGGAAGAACTCGCCCATGATCATGCCTTCCTTCGAAATCTGATTGCGACCATGAAACGAAACAGCGCCGACTCCTCAGTACTTTACGGCGGCCTGATGATTGTCCTGAATCTCACCAAATTCCTTCCTAATATTTCCGAAGAGCAAAAGAAGATGTCGCAGCTGAAGGATTACGCGGACGCATCCGCAGGAAAGACCAAAGCAGCAGCAGTCCCGGATAGTAGAGATGAAGAAGAGGCTGTCTTGGCACGATGTGCTGCGCTCATCGAGGCAGGCATTATGTCCCTCCTGGTTGAGTGCGGTCGAATCGCACTCCCATCCACCAACGAACTTACAGCCAAGATCCTGCAAGCCTTGACGAGGCCTCAAAAGTCCCGGGGCTCACTTGCTCAACAGGGTGCCGTGAAGCTGTTACTCGGGCTTGCGGCTCCAAAGCAGAGTAGCTCTGGTCCTGTCACAAACGAAACTACACGCATTGCATCTCATGCGCTGGCCCGCATTCTCATCTCCGTTGACCCTTCCCACGTCTTCCCTTCGTCTGGATTCCCCCAAGTCACATCTGCCGTTCGCCCTCTTCTTTCTCTTCTCTCATCCCCGGAGACTATCTCCCTCTCTGCCGACCAGCCCCGTGACCTTCTTCCTGTTTTCGAAAGTCTCCTCGCTTTGACGAACCTCGCCTCTTATCCCCATGATGATTCTGCTGCTGAGCTCACAGTCCGGGAAGGCTGGTCGGCAGTAGAAGACCTCCTCTTGTCGAGCAATGCCCGGGTTCAGCGCGCCGCCTGCGAGTTGGTCTGTAACCTGATGGCCTGCGAATCTGGCGTGATCAAGTTTGCCGATGGCTCCAAGCAAGCCTCTCAGCGTCTCCATATCCTCCTTGCTCTAACCGATGCCGACGACTTCCCCACTCGACGAGCTGCGGGTGGTGCTCTTGCCATGCTGACAGACTTCGATGCCGCTATTGCTGCTGTATTGGATCGTCCCCGGGGTGTGGAACTCCTCTTGGGATTATGCCAAGAGGACGACGATGCCCTCGTGCATCGTGGAGTAGTTTGCGTGCGCAACCTTACCTGTGTCGCAACAGGTGACATCGGATCCCGTGCGCGAGAGGCCGTTCAGACCGCGGGAGGAATCGCAATTCTCACCGCTTGTATCAAGAAAACGAAGACGCAAGCGGTGCTCCAAATTGCGGTGGAGGCCTTGAAACCCCTGGTTCAGTGATGAGCATGACTCCCTGGGGTCCTTGGGGGCCAATTATCGGCACCTCATTTTTGCATGGGACTATGGAATGCACTTGGTTGGAGTGGAGTTTGGGGGCTTGCTATTTGCTTTTTTTTTCTTTCTTTCACCCTCCCGATATGACCTGAACATGAACACAGCGGCTTTAGCGATTGAATTTATTCGTTTTCTGGTGCTGATATGCAATTCCCGAGTTCATTCTGACTCGCTGAACCTGTATGCATGATCTGCATCTACTGTCTTTGATCCTATTCCAAGGTTCTTGTATTTGATTGGCCTGATCCTAGACCCCAAGATGGTCCTCCTGTAGAGGGAAAGTGGATTCTACCCCAGTCCTTGTCCACCTGACTATCCAATATGCGAATCCAACTATGGCGTAGTGTCACCGGGAAGTTGTGGCGCTGTAGAGCTCCGAGATCACCAGACATGCTTATAGACTCATCCAGGACATATCGTACTTCGCAACGAAATTTCGTACCCCGTGGAGTGAATCAGACGAGACACGGAGGATCTGGGGTCGGACATTGAGACTAGACCGATGCCGATCCCGACCCTGGAGGCTGGTCGTGCAGCAAGTGGAGTCACGACGGTCCAATTCGCAGTTCCCGTTCGTGCAGAGGCTCCTCTCATCATTCCGCATGACGTGGGACAGAAAGTGAGCTAGGGAAATCCACACACCGCAAAAGTGGGAATTGACGAGAATCGAATTGCGACGACGGAGAGGCGTATATAAGCGGTGTCTCCTCTGGTCCGGCGAATCACCGTGGATTGACTGCGCACACCTTTCACCTCACCCACTCACATCTTCGACATCGACCACACGCTCTTCGAACGTTGGAATCTCAGGTACAGTCAGGCGCCTTAAGGAGCTTGCTCTCTTTGTCCCTTTACACTACCCTTTTCTCCCCTTTTCTCTCTCTCCCAATGGCGTCCCTCACTTCTTTCTGTGTCCGGCCGCTCACCTGATCACTTCGTCGTGATACTCAGGTTGATTTATTTCGTTACAATTATTGGTGTGGTACAAGGGTGCAAGGTACCAACATGAAGTTCGGCCGCAATTTGTCGCAATTCACCGTTCCCGAGTGGAGCGGTTCATACATCAAGTACAAGTCCCTGAAGCAGCTGATCAAGGCCGCCGCCGAGCAAATCAAGGCGGGACAGGAGGCGGATCTGGCTGGTGAGAGCTATACCTCCTACAAGCTGGAGAGCCCCCACTGACCGCGCTTCGTGATCCCCAGGCTTCTTCTATTCTCTCGACCGAAATGTTGAAGATGTCGATTACTTTTACAACAAGAAATATGCCGAGTTCGCCCGCCGGTTAAAACTCCTCGAGGAGCGATATGGATATTCCATGGAAGGTCGCCACCCGCTGGAACCCGAGGACCGCCACGACCTCCGCGAGGCCCTGCTAGATCTGCGGTACCACTTCCGCCGGTTACAATGGTACGGCGAGGTCAACCGCCGGGGGTTCATCAAAATCACCAAGAAGTTGGACAAGAAAGTTGGCGCGCAGGCTCAAAAACGGTACTTGGAGACCAAGGTTGATCCTGCTCCCTTTGCCTCCAATGCGCGGGTGTTCCAATCCCAGGATCGAATCAATGCCTGGATGGCCATTATTACCGACCAGTCCAAGGCCGACGATAAGATTGCCGACGACGCCAGCTCAACGCATTCTTCCCTGTCACTGAAGCGGGGTGCCACTCGCCCTTATCTCAATTTGCCCACTAGCGTGGTGACCGCGGTCGATGATTCGCTGCGCAATGACGATACTCACGTCTTACTGGAATTGCTCGAGACGCTGCAAGTCACCGCGGATGAGGCCGGCGACACGGTTTATCCCAGGGTCCTCCGGACTTTGATTCAGCGCTCCATTCTCCATCGCTCCCGGGCTGTGCTGGCTCTCCTATTGAAACGAGTTGATACACTGGAGGAGCATGATGATATCAACAAGCGCAATTGCCTTCACCGTCTGGTCATCTCCATTGGCCGTGATCAGCCCACAAGCGATTCCGAACCTGCAGCTTCCATGGTCCTCAACTTCCCACCGGAAACTACCCGCTACATTACTCCCGCTGCGCCGCCGACTCTCCAGCCTCCCCGAGCTATCGTCAAGGAGGAACACATGTCCCAGCGGCTGGGACGGGATGATCCGGCCGTGTCTCTACTCTCCTTCTTGCTGGACTCGCTGCGCCCTGACCAGCGTGAGTCCTTAATGGAGAAGGATAATGCCGGGCGGACCCCCTTGCACTACGCTGCTCAGTACGGGTTCAAGGCCGTGTGTGAGGTGATCATTGAGCACCTCTCAGAATGGGGCATGTTTGAAGTCAGCGACGGCATCGATGGCCCTCTGTGGCAAGATGACGATGGCTGGGCTCCGCTCCATTTGAGTGTTGTGGGTGGCCACCCGGAAACCACTCGCTGCCTCCTGGATGCGGAGAACCGGAATGACAGCTCCCAAGAAATTGGCAAGATTCGAAAGCAAATCTCCAAATCTAGTGCTGTCTTGGCGCTAGCGACCAAGGCCAACTTCATCGATATTGTCCGGCTCCTCGTGGATGCTGGGGTGGACATCAATTACCAGGATGAGCAGGGAGAGACTGCGCTTCACGTTGCTGCCCGCTTTAGTCATGATGAGTGTGCACAGATTCTGCTTGACGGCACTCGTCATCAAAAGGCGGATACCGAGTTGGCTGAAAACACCTACGGCTGGACCCCGCTCTTTATTGCCTGCGTGGACGGAGCTTTGGAAGTAGCCAAGCAGCTGGTTGCCGCCGGTGCGGATATCGAGCGCTTTGATTCCTCGGGCTGGACAGCCAAGGAGCACGCCGCTCTGCGTGGTCACCTTGACATCGCCCGGTGTCTGGCAGAAGTGAGCCCTGGTCCTCCTGCCAATGAGCTTGAGTTCTCGATCCCTACTCCTAATATGTCCACCCCCAACGTATCTACTCCGAACCTTACTGGTTCCGACTCCTCTTCGCCGCCTGCTCAATCGTCTCTCCTCGATCGCCGATCAAATGCGCCTGGTCCCACCTCTGGGGGCCCTGGTATTCGCAGTACTGAACCTATCAAGACATTTGGACATCGGTATCTCACCAACGAGACCATGATTCTGGTAAGTCTCGGAACCATGGACATGCGCAAGCCTCTTGAGACGGTCAGCCTTGATCGCATCCCGATGGAAAACGCACATGCCACTCAATTGGACACATCTCTGTCGATGGTGGTCACAGCCAGCGGTGCGCACGGTGAGCCTGAGGTCATTGATCTACCTGTGCAAGACAACATTTCCACCGAGCCTATTGTATTCCACACCAGCGATCCCAGCAAGGTGCGTCTGCTTTTCGATCTTGTTCCCACTTATGCTGGATCGAAGGAGAAGGTGGTTGGTCGTGGTGTGGCGTTGCTTTCCAGTATCAAGCCCACAATCGGATCCCATCGAATCAACCTCAAGGGTGATTCCACTGTCCCAATTGTTGCTGCGAACACTTTGGAGGTCATTGGGTCCGTGACGTTCAACTTCCTTGTCATCACCCCTTTCAAGCACCCGAAAATGTCGATCGCGGGAAACCAGACTTACTGGCGCTCAATGAGCTCCACGATGGTCATTGGTCACCGTGGACTCGGCAAGAACATGGCTAGCCGTAACTCTCTCCAGCTGGGCGAGAACACCATTCAGTCCTTCATCGCCGCGGCCAATCTAGGCGCTTCCTATGTGGAATTCGATGTTCAGCTCACGAAAGACCACGTTCCCGTCATCTACCACGATTTCCTCGTCAGCGAGACAGGTATTGATGCCCCCGTCCACACAATGACACTCGATCAATTCCTTGAGCTTGGCATGGGACGCAACAACCAGGCCGGACAGCCAAAGGCCAACGGCGAGGCACCAGAGCTCGGCCCTCGCCAGCGTTCTATGTCAGTCGGTGGCTCGGAGTACAACCCCGTCGATCTGAACGAGAAGATCAAGCACACTCGCGACTTCAAGAAGAAAGGATTCAAGGGTAACACGCGCGGAGAGCACATCCAGGCCCCATTCGCCACATTGGAGGAGCTCTTCAAGAAGATTCCTGAACCTGTCGGTTTCAACATTGAACTTAGTGAGTTAATTCTGCATCCGAAAGAACGGCTATGTCGTCGATCTAACCTAGGTCGCCAGAATACCCCATGCTCCACGAGAGCGAGGAGGAAGAGATGGACACATATGCCGTCGAACTCAACTCATTCGTCGATACCATCTTGAAGATGGTCTACGACTTGGGCAGTGGTCGCGACATGTTGTTCTCGAGCTTCAATCCCGATGTCTGTCTGCTGCTATCCTTCAAGCAGCCCTCCATCCCCGTCCTCTTCCTTACCGACGCCGGTGCATCTCCTGTCGGTGATATCCGTGCCAGCAGCTTGCAAGAAGCCATCCGATTCGCGTCGCGATGGAATCTCCTCGGAATCGTCACCCAGGCCGAACCACTGGTTCTCTGCCCCCGACTAGTCCGCATCGTCAAGGAGTCTGGTCTCGTCTGTGTTTCTTACGGAGCAATGAACAATGACAGCGAGCATGTCGATGTAAGTTAACTCCTTTTTTTTTACAACCGAGACCCAAACCACTAACATTCCTTCCCTTCCAGTACCAAGTCGCAGAAGGCATCGATGCCGTGATCGTCGATTCCGTGCTGGGAATCACGAACGGCCTTATCCAACGACAGAACAAGGGCCTCACACCAGGCCCCTCACCTAATCCCTCTGCTATCAGCGACCAGGTCGCTGATTCCAGCAAGGGTGCCATCCGAGTCCCGGTTCTCGAGCAGGTGAAACAAAACAACATCTAACTGAATGTGAATTCTTGTCAATCTCCCAGCACATTGTCATGTTCATAGGTGCATGCTTTTCATTTGAACTGTGATCTATTTGCATTTATCGTCAATAGTGCATGGCTTCAACAGCTAATATGAGTTGTCACTGTTTTTGCAAGCCGGAATTATTATGTCTTGTAGGTCGAAGTGGAACCAAACATCCAAGATTAGGTACCCTTTTACTCTGGATATCCATAGAGACCTAAGTGTGAAAACCCTCGTTGATTTCCACGGTTGGCGCAACTAGTGGCCGACGCCTCAAATGGTTCAACAATTCTGTGGTGTGGTCACTTGGACCCTTTGGGCGGCGGTCGTAGCGAAATGTTCTCATCATGGGCAGTCCTCACCTTCAACTCCTTGCAACCCAAAACATCACACATCAAACTCACTCTGAATCATCACTCTCGCTATGGGTGTGAGAAACATGGTTCCCTTAGAGACCGGCTTCTTCTTTATGGAGTTGTTCGATGCTTCTACTGGGGCCTTTGCGAGGGGGTTTCATTATATCATTGAGAACGAGACCTTCGAATGCCCATCCAGAATGCTGGCTGAGCTCTTATACGCTGAATACAAATTTCGATATCAAGCGCAGCTTAGGGAAAGACTGGAAACGGCAAACGGCAATAATAACGAAGCGATTCTCACCGAATACGACCGACTCGAGAATGATCTCTACTTCAAAGAATTCGCCATGCCGGGGGAGACTTTGAAGGGTCAGTATGATTTCCTCCGGGAGGAACCAGACTGGTATCTTCGAGAGGGGCTAGTCGAAGATTGCGCTGCACGGGGTGGCTGCTGTGCTCGAGATTGTGGCTGTTGCGCAAAAAGACTTCCAACCCTGCCACGGAAAAGTATCAGTGGGCATTGCTCTTTGGCCTGCCCATGTTGCAATAAACGGGGAGGGGATAATCCTGAAAGTGAGAGCGTGGCTCTAATGGATCGACGGTTTAAGGAGGCCCTTGAAAGCGATATTCCCTTCTATCTTGCGCGTCTTGCAACCTATTACTTCGCTCCTCGGCGACCATACCAGAGTCTGGACGATAGTGAACCACTTGAAGACAATCAAGTCACTGAGGAACTTGCTTCGGAAACGAGCTCCATCGGAGATGCTCCTGCTGGGGATCCGACAGACGAAGCAGTTGATGATCCCCCGCCACCCTATGAATGTCACGTCAGTGCCAATAAGCACAGTTGCGGCACAGGCCGGGTCATTTCCGAAGGCTCTGATTATCGGGCACAATAGGCCGGGTTCTGGTTTCCATCGCAAAGTGATGGATCATTCTGTCTCTAGGGTAGGAGCTTCCGAGGAATTGTTTCAGATTAACATGGACCTTGTTCTCCGCCTGAGCAGAGATGAATGTAATGTCATTTTGAATTCATTGTCGAAGGTCCTAACCAATAGTCATCTAGTGTGCAAGTTTGGAGCTTGGGTCATTAATCAATTTCCCAAAGCATCGTCGGAGGGTAGATCCATGGCCCTCATAAAGCAAAATCAAGCCCCGGACCCTCAAACATCACCCCAAAGAGTCTATTCATCAACAGCCAGTGCTTCCCGACGTCCAATGCTTTTAGGGTCCAAATAAGGTCTCTCGCCAAGACCAACAGCGCGGTGTCCGGTCCGAGGGCCTTGGTCCTCGTAATCCCAAGTTGCAGCATGATAAACGGATCGATTATCCCAGATGGCTATCACAAAAGTCAGAAAACAAACTATCATGGAAAAGCAGAAGAATCCTTACCGAGATCATTGGGGTTCTGCCAGCGAAGGCGCACCTGAAGATCATGATTCTCAACAATCAGAGTAACGAACCACTGAAGAAGGTGGCGGCTCTCCTCTTCGGAAAGATCATTAATCTTCTGGACGTGCGCACCAACAGCGAAGACACTCTTCCACCCGGTGACAGGGTTGGTGCGAATAACAGGGTGTTCGGCCCTCAGTTCCTCGCCGACATTCTCAGGCGCACCGCGTGGACCAGGGTGAACTTTGAAATCGTTGTTCTTGGCAATTTCGTTGAATCGTGGTTGGGCATATGTTGCCGTCAAGGTCTCAAGGAATTGTTGATACGGCTTGGAAATCCGGTCGTAGACCTCGTAACCGGATGCCCAGAGGGTGTCTGTAACTGTTAGCGTGGGCTTTGAGAGTATATGTGCTCGGTGCTTACCGCCGCCAGTCTTGGGAAGCTCGGTCAGACGCAGGAGGGTGTAGTCACTGGGGATGGGCTCGAAGGTGATATCGCTGTGCCATTCTCTGCGAGAGCTTTGTTTGCGGTCGTTGCGGTCTGTGTACAGCCTTTTCCGTTGCACCGAGCTGATCACACTGATCTCGTCGTCTTTGACACTTTCGTCACGTCCGGAGTTGACTACCGGGTGAATGTGGAGCCCTGAAGTACTGGGCTTGCCTGAGAGTTCTCCCAGGCGCTGAACGAGTTCTTTTTGAAGATCGTCATCGAGGCCGTCTTGCTTCCGGAAGAATACCACGCCACGCTGCGAGACTATCCATGATCGTTAGGTTGGGACTTTTCCTGAAGATGGGACGACACTCACTTGTCAGGGACAGCTCCCGGAGTAGATCGTCCGAGTTGGGTGCACGCAAAAAGTCCTTCAGGCTGGCATTAGGGAATTCCCGTCCAATGACCGGGGTGACATCGAAAGACTCGAATGCATCAAGACTTCCATTCGACTTGAGGGGTTCCCGCGCGAGACCTTTCAGAGTGATCTTTTCATCGGCAGCGGCCACCGGAGTGGATGTTTCAGTTACTGCGGCCATTGTGAGGTGATTCGATTTGGAAGTCAGAAGTAGCTGACTTTCAACGCCTTTTATACTTCATTTCCGTGCCGAATATCCGTTTGAAGACTTCACCCCCCGCAGATCTGGACTGTCACACCATCGAATGCTCTCCAGGGTAATGACAAGCCGATAAGATAGAAGTGTTGATATTCGCCATTTTCCCCGCGAATTGTGGAAGATTATCGGGACCTGCCGCGATGGAACAATCAACAACGGATGTTGCGCAACATTTTATGCTGTTTCATGCTCTGTTATCTTGCACAAGGGGAAATAGAGGATCGGATGTCGGTCGCCGTTGTCCCCGATTGCTCATAGACCATCTAGCACGCCATAGGAACCTTGGAATCTCACATGGATTCCAAAAATGTCAGAATAATCCCACTCAAAATTGAATCAGCTAATCACTCCCGAGGTCCTCGAGCCCCTAGGACTCGGGAGTTGGGCTTTCATCGCTTAATGTGCATAAAGGATTTCAAGTTTGTAAAATCAGGGACGTTCGATACGTGCTACTCCCATGCTGGAAGGATATATAACTAGCGGATCACATCTTGCGCTCATCTTTATCCAAAGATAACCTGATTCGGACAACAGACATCGCACGGTGAATGAGATCCTTAGGGTTCGAGGACGGAATTCGGACTCTACGTCTTGCTAGACAAGTTCCAAGGTTCGGATCGCGCAGGAGCACCCGTGACGTACAGGTACTAGTAGCTCATGGTGCGACCAACCGCTGCTCTGAAATGGAAAGTTTTGAAGGTTTCTGTTTCCATTTCTTCCAACTGGGTCTGAGGAAGTCTCCGATTGCTATACATCAGCGGTGGAGTAGTAGCCAGGCTAGGCCTGCGATAGCAGCGATCGCAAAAATCCCGCCTACCACGCCTCCGGCAATTGCACCCATGTTTGAAGAGTCTTGCGTGTGTAAAGGAAATTGACTTGCTGTTGGAATGCCGGTGATGGATGTGGTTGCAGTAATAGCGGAAGAAGCGGTTGTTAGAAAAGGGTGTTGTCGAAGTTCGAGAAGACGTAAATGTTGAAGTTGATTCTTTCAAGTTCCAAAAAGTTGGATTCTATAAAAACTTAGTCCTGTTTTTCAGTTTCTTTCTTTTGTTTGCAAGTAATTACGAAGCGAAGAGGCCACTGAGCTCATAATGGCGCTGTCAAGATTTTCTCGCTCGGCGCACCCGTACCATCCTCGATAGTTCGCTTGAGTACCCGTGAATGCTATTGAGCCATGCTCGCAGCAGAAGGACACGAGCCATTTCGACGAATTGGATATGGTTGTTGTGACATAAGTTCGAGGATGTAGCTGTGTGGCGTATGCAAAATGAAGACACGACCTCAGAAGTGGGTTGAATGAGGCTCCAGAGTGCGTCTAAGGGATCTAGCCTATCTTGGTATACTCCGTATGAGGACCGATGATACATGGTCAGGAGTGAAATGTATTCCCAGTTGGTATCAGAATGTTTGGTTGCACCGCAGCCAAAATAGGAATGACGGTTAGATCGCCAACACTCCTATTTCCAGATTTCTGAGCCTTTTCAAGTCATTCGAACCACCCAGTTAGTCCTTTGTATTGCTCACCAATATGCGCGAATGTTCAACTCCGATTGAGACATCAACCCTTGAAAGCGCGGCTCTCGGTGTTCCAACGCACTCTATGGCTTGTAGAATGATCTATAATCAACTATCTCCCAGGTGACCGGATCATGTAGCCACTGATCGGCAATTAGAAGGGGGTTGCCGCCGCCCCATAGATATCGCCAAGACTTTCACGTTTGTGATAATCATGGAGCGAGAGTACAGTATAGGTATCTACGAACATATATTCAGAGGTCCCGAGCGCGGTATACTATGTACATGATTTGTTCCAATGTTTTTGCATTTTGACCTTCTCCGAAGCACTCTCCCAGTAGGTAGCCCCGATAAGTCAAGCTCTACAGTTACCTCGGTAGTGCCCAGGTGATTTGAGTACAGTTCTAGAGCCTGACGGGTGTAATGCGGGGACCTTAGAAGCTACTCTCTAGAGTGGACACCATTTTCCATTGAAAGTGGATAAATTTAGCATTGGAAGAAGAGAGAGAGAACTTGGAATGTGTGTGTACATGCTCTGAAGGGGGTTCTTTTGATAAATTTCCCCTAGCTACCACCTCCAATCCCCGACCCTGTGCATGGAAGCATCTTCACCAGACGATCTCGAATTCCCCATTCGGTCAGCCCGTGTCCGAGTCCGAGTCCGAGCCGTCACACCGGGCTCTATCACCTTCATCACACTTATGCACTCAGTGGTAAAGGGTAAGTGGGTCCTTTGATTGGTGATTTGTCCAAGAGATAATAGAGAGCCTTGGAGGTGCCTTGCGACAACTATCCCCCATTAAGGTAATGTATAGTGGCGCGCCAAAAGTCTGTGACCCTCCTGATGACCGCCTTTGGTTCTGCTTTCTTACTAGGTAGTATAGACTGGTGTATCAAATCCAGGTCTGTGAAACTGCGGTCATATTATGTCTACTTGGATTCAAATCTCCATAAGGGGTTGTTCTTACAGTTCTGTAGGCTATTGTTACTTCGGGTAAGTTTTATACTAAATATGCAATTAACCTTGAAATGCCACGTCGGGATGACAAGGCTCCGTTGCAGAATACTGTAATTCGATGCAGAAAATCTTCAATCATCTGAAACTGAATTATGCATGAAAACCTAGGAAGTGCTGGTTCTATGACCAAATCTCAGCTGTGTGCCTCCTTTAATCAAAGGCCGCGAGGCTGTGCTCGCTGAAAGCAAAATTGGATGTAACCAATGGCTAAGCTTACTTGACTGTTGGTCGGAGATAATTTAGCAGACTGATCGACATCTTTTAGAAACCATGGACCATGAGTTCACAAATGGAAGTCTAGATGTAGCTGGTAAAACGGCCCGAAGGTACAAAGACATTTCAGATCTAACCCAAAGAGGAAATCCAGATGTTCGAACGCAGATCTGAACACTTGCGGGAAGCATCGTGGGGCTCGTATAAACGGGAATCTACGAGCACTACTACTGGTACTTTCAAAGTATCTGCAGCTCAAAGCATGCTAGTACTCCGTAGAGCGGTGTAAATAAATTTCAACTTGCAAATCCACCAATCCGGACCTGTGGCCTCTGAATGTGCTGGACCACCTGGGCATGAAAATCCCTTACTACGTCCACTCTTGGACCGCAACTCCCACCCCACCCCAGGCCCAATCCGCGCCCGTGCATGACGATCTGATCCCAGCCCCGATTTCCAAACTTAGCACAGGCGAAGCAATGTGGCTGCGCAGTATGATCTCCTGCCAAGCGAAGGAGCATGGGGATTTCCAAGGTTTTGACATCATTGTCAGTCCATAGGGCTGGCTACGCCGAGCGTGAGCCATTTCTTCAAACTTATATTCTTGGAAAGAAAAAAGGTACATGGACTCGCCCTTCACGTTCCAAATATTTAGATTGACCGTGCACCGCGCGAGTCATGAAGGCTGATCGTCGGCTAATTTTGATTTTTCGCGCAAAATTGATCCCTCATGGTATTGCAGGGGTAGAATGGAATGGGATGCACAAGTCAGCCTCAAGTACGGAGTAGCTGTCGAAACACAAGGTTGACGGTTTACGCGACAAGTTTCGATCTTGGGTATATACGCTGGGTAAATCCGGGCCGTTTTCAACCGTTTACCCGATGGGGAAGCAAGCGCGGCCGCTAAGAAAAGAGGAGTCTGTCAGAACCAAAACTGAACGAGAATTCCAAATCTCCGACTGTATCGGTATTGTAGTTCAGCACTAGTCCATAAGCAGACATATTATGGCCAAGGGACGCTTTGGCTGAACATTGCTGGCGTTTTCTAATGCATGGTACTGTTGCAACCGACAGGGGCCCGGGCCGTGCTAGTGTGAATGGACTTGAGATGTGCCTGAAAATTTGGACTCTCCAGAGGCTCTGAACTACCCCCGGGGCCGTACTATAGTGACAGAATGACAGGCATGTACAGAAACCAAACCCCGTACAGCGCACCAAAAGTCCGTGACCCTGGTGACCTTTGATTCCGCTTTCCTAAGATAGGCTAGTGTATCAAATCCAGGTCTATGAAACTACATGTACATACAGTAGGATACAAAATTAAACGGTAATCCGTAACGGGATAGCTGAGTTGTGGAAGCACCCGGGCTATTCATGGTCGACTGCACGGGAGTGGAGCGGGAGGGAGTGGGTCTGGTTAGAGCGGATCGCTCATTGGTCGAGAAAGTGTGGTTGGGTCTCGCGTATATGCAAGTCGAGACCAAGCGGGTCTCATTGAGCCTCTTCGGCTCGTAGACGGTAACAATCCGCTCGAAACAAACCATTCGGGTGTAGATCGTCAATGTGAAAACTCACCCCTGCCTCGACTAGTACTGCTCATGCGTGTGGCATTCGATCCAATGAGAGCCTCGGGCTCGTGTTGGTTGATGGCTAAGTAAATCATACCACACAGCGTTGCATACTAGTACATATTTGACGGGGAGGCATATACGTGGACCAAAAATAATCACCCAGTCCTCATCTTCAGAGGACTGATGGACTCCGTATTGGACATCCGTCAAAGTGACATTGGGTGATCGACATCAAATCTACCTCCAGGGCCAAAGATCGCCCCACCGTCGAAACTGGGCTCGTTCGAACATCAACGAGAGTCACAGTGCTGGTACTCCGTAGATTAGAGCACTATACTATCCAGTACTAGTAGGACTTTGGGGTCTCGGTCTTTCGAATCATCCGATCCGCGTACGAATGGCCTCGTAACGGAGATTGCATCTCCAATCTCCCCTGCACTCTGGAGGACTCCAAAATGCTTGCGACCCATCGACGGTGGGGCACACGAGGGATCCAATGGGATAAACTTTGGCCCAGGGACGTGCAGCCGAGCTCGAGCGAAAGATCCAGGCTGAGGCTCTAATCGACTGTTGGAGGAGATGATCGTCCCCCGTAAATTCACCGAACGCCGGGCAATTGTAGTCCCTCCGTTTTGATCCTGGTCACAGCCATTAGGCGTTCTTGGGATCGTTTCAGGCGTTTTCCGATTTACCGGACATAGCCCGCTTCGCGCATCTCCCATCTTTTCTGCGATTATTTAGGCACTCGTGGATCGGCGGGGATGATTCCTTCCTTATCCACTCTTGCTTCTTCTGATCTCTTATTAAGGTCCGTTCCCCTTTCGCTCGTCAGGACTTTATCTGCATTTCTTCAGCCAACGCTCGTGCATCTTTCTTCACATCGCACCACTTGGTTTCCGCGCCCGTTTCGCATGGCCCCTTGAATCATCGAGTTCTGAGTACAAGCAATCTTCTCAAACACATCATGGCTTCATGCAACACTTCCTATCCAACTGCGGTGCCGACGCTGTACCACCACCACACCAGATCTGCGCCGGTTGCCAATACCCTAAACCAATCGGAGGACTGTTTGCGCTCCCGGGTGAAAGTGCCTTCCCCGCCACCGACGAGTTCGTCTCGAGTGAGCAAGGCCATGAAAGGGAAGCGCGTCCATGCATGTGAGCACCCGGGGTGCTTCAAGGTATGTCTGAAAATATCTGTCAAACACAATCAGCGGATCACTAATTGCGCACAGGTATTCACCCGAGCCGAGCATCGGAGACGCCATGAGCTCAGCCATGGGCCGAAGAAACAATATGTGTGCCCCCACGGAGAATGCGAAAAGGCTTTCCACCGCGCAGACTACTTGAACCAGCATCTGTCCCGACAGTGAGTTATAGATTCACACCGACTGAAGAAAGTACTTGGATGCTAATATTTGAGCCCAGCGCTCCATCGCCCCCCAAAGTGAAGAAGTCCCATTCGCAAAGCGAGACAGCGTCTCGACCGATCCAGCAGCCACAGCCACAGCAGCACCTTCAACAACCACAACCGCAGCGATTTTCACCACCGGTGCTGCAGTCCATCACTCCAAACCCGCCTGCCGTGCCTATGGTCCAGGATCCTGGCTACACACGCCCATGGGGAAGCATGGACTCTTCCGTCTCATGCTCGCAGTGCTCCAGGGGCCCAAGTCAATCACCAGTCTCAGTTGACGATTACCCGTCTCCATATTCCTACACAGGCGAGACATGCAGCTCTCCCCTCCCCACCGAAACATTCACAAATCCTCAATACCCTTCTTCGGGCATGCCGGGCGAGATGGTGACGGCCATCGACCAATACCTTCGAAGTATCCTGAAGCCCGAGGCCTTCACGGTCCCCGAGCAACACATGGATCCCGCGATCTGGAGCCCAGGTCTTGAGATCGACCCAACCTTGATGAAAATGGAACCACAGGTGAGTCTTTTCCAGTTAAACCAAAGCAGTTTGACTTTTCGCTAATTAAGAATCACTAGCAGGATCAACTACCAATGTACTCCTGGCCTCCCGCTGAGAGCCTTCAATATGAGGGCCATATGACTCACATGAATCAGCCTCACCCTGACTCTCATTGAGAATTATTGCGGCTACGATCTATATTTTGACATACTTGAGCGTTCCGTTCTGTTTTGTTCCACCGGGATTTTTGGCCCGTATGCGGCTCTTTTGGGGTCACATTCTTTAATTTCCGGGGCAAGATCTCATTCTTGAGATATGATGTTACCACGCTACGCGATCTGCGCTTGTTGAGTTTCATGGGTTTCACGGCATGCTCGCGTGTCACCCTGCATTTTTGCGTCTTTTGTTTTTCTTTTTGTCTTACACCACGATACCCACCAAGACAGATTGGACAATTTAAACCCACTTAGATGATTATTATTCCACTTTGATTTCTTATTTTAATTTTTCGAAATAAAAACAAGAAGACATGGCGCATGCAGGCCCCAAGCCCCTTGCAGGTGGGTCTTGTCAGTTTTCAACCTCCATCTACATAACGCCTTCGTCCTGACGCACCCGGGTGATACTGCCCGGGTGTACATAGCTGGGCAAACACGATACGTCACCCCACTGCATTGCCCATGTGGACTTGGCAGGGCGCTCCCATTTGCATCCGATGACAACATGCACATGCATGAATAAGGCAACCCAAGAAGGTATGTGGTTTGCCCCGCAGTCACCTGGGTGAATGTACTCCGTACATGGTCTCGATTCCCGAGTGCACTTATGTATTTCCAAGACACGGTATATCATATTTGACGTGTTTTCCAGGGCAATATTTCACCGCTATTCTAAGAGAATGGGAATCGTACCTACAGTATTGTTTAGGCGGAGAAATTGCCACATGTCAGCTTTGCAGACGCCCGGGCGTCTCGTGGTGAGCAATCTAGATTGTATCTATGCTACTAGGAATGGAGTACTCCGCACATCCTGGAAGATATGCATATTTATTCACGTCGATATTTACCTTCTCGTTTCGAATATTCAATTTACATACTTCAAATACTTCTACCAAACCCGAGTATTTCCAAGGTTGTTAGTCGATGAAGCGTAAGTAGTGCCGCACCAACTGCCATTCCCCGGTATAGATATCCCTAGCCAATGCGGATCAAGACACTAAGAGATTCCCCCGCCTGCCAACGTGCGGTAGTCGCGTTGATCTGTTTACTAGTCGCGGAAGCTAGATTTGAGTGCTTACTCCAAATACAAAGTTTCGGTCAAAGTCCGAAGGATGATTGTAGATCTTTTATACAGGCGGGCACGAGCCTTCTACGACTAGCTTTGAAAGAGTCTAGCGTATTCCAGGCTTAGAGGCGAGTAGTTTGATTCTAGAATACTCGTTTTTGCCGAAACCGCCTTTGAGCTCTACTAAGAATTCAACCAGACCAGGTATCTCTCGCAATTCTCTAACCATTTTCAGTGACATTGGAACTTGGTGTATACTTGATCAACATTGTCCGCTGCTGCCATTGATTCGAGACTATTACGACTGAACTTTTGTCTATTATCATCGACATGCCTGATGTCCTGCTGAAATTATATACACCCAACCTTCAGGGACAATGCACAATGTCCGCTAGTGCGCAGAATTTCAAGCACGCTCCATAATTGGACCCTCGTAGACCTTGTTCGCGCGGAACATGTAGTAAACGAGACTAAGGATAATTGTGCCAACAGTCCCGACCACACTGAAGTTCATCGTTTGAACATCCACCACCCAAGATGTAGGCCAGAATGTAAAGAAGACAGCAATGGTCATGTAAATCAAAGCCCAGGCATTGATGATGATTCCCCAAATACCGGGCAGGTGGAAAGGTCCCCAGACCAGTCTAGCGCCGGCCGTGTTGACAACGGCGGAATCACTGCTTCGAGTGGAGCTGATTCCGCCCGTGCAGCGGCGCCAGAGAAGGAGGCCCCCAACAACCATGTATGAAAGATAGAGGCCGGAAATAGACATGGAGCAGAGGTCATTGAAAGCAACAGGTGAGCCGATGTTGATAAGCGCAAGGAGGCAGGCGATGACCGAGGTCACAAGTACTGAGTAGAGGGGGACCGCGTTGGTTGTGGTGACCTATTATTTTGTGAGCTCGATTTCCCCAAGTGGTCAATATGATCCTCCGTTTCATACCTTGCTCCACACTCGCCAGCCAGGAATACCTCTGTCTCTGGCAAAGGACCAGAACTGACGGGAAGTTGATGCCAACATGCCGACCGAGGTTGTTGCACCCATAGTCGTAACGATGGAGGCCATGACGGTTGTTCCTGCAGTTGAGCCTGTTGCCTGGTAGAAAATCGACATGAAGGGGTACCCGGTCGGAGATGCCAGTGCCTTCTCAAGATCGCCGCTGCAAAAGAGCATGGCGAGCAACATGCCAAAACCCATTGATCCGTTGATCAGCACACTGAGCATAATGGAAGTCGGAACTGCAGTCGAGGCATTTGTGATCTCTTCGGACATCTAAGAGAATAGCCAGTAAGTGAACGTCCGAAGTGGAAGTGGAAAAACTTACGTGAACCGCTGCATCGCCACCAGCAAATGCGAAAATGCAGCCGACCGTACCGACAAAGAAGGACAGTCCTTGAGAAGGGAATTCACCCAAGTTGAGGAACTCTGTAAACACCTCTTTGGCATGTCCGTGGTCGGCCATATATGTCAAGGGAATCAAAATCGCAAAGAAGCCCAGAATGTGCAGCACCAAGATCATTCCCTCAAACCGAGGGAGCACCTTTCCTCCCACACTGTTGATGACGACGGAGAATGCGACAACGGCCCAGAATAGAAGAGTTCCATGCCAATCCTTTGACTGGTAGCTGCTGTTTGTCAGGACGATCAAGCCCTGGATCAAAGTACCGACGAGATAACACGAAGTCGCAAAGGTGGCCTGCCACCCAATGACCGTAAGCCAGCCTGATAATGTGTTAGTCCATCTTCTTCAAATTTTTGGTCTTTACCACTCACCTGTCAGGTAGCTGAAAAGCTTCATGCATGATCGTGGAGCTAGCATGGAGCACCAGTGATACTGCCCTCCGGAGGTCGGCGCCCTAGTAGCATGTCAGTCGTTGAATGATTGCGAGACGCCATGAGGGTTCCATACATCGATGCCAGCTCAGAAAGAACCACGAATGTCGCTGCGACACCCGCCCACACGAAAAGGAAGCCATAAACGGCACCAGCTGGACCTCCGCTAGAGAACCACCGCGTTAGCGCTGTTGTCCACAGGTGTCAACCACCGCACAGATCATTCATCTTACTTCTGGTATGCCTGCAAAAACAGCCTGCCCACTTCGTTAGCACTTTGCAATAGATGATTTTTCCAGCTTCACTCACACCACGATTCCCTCCCACGTAATCAGAATGGTACAACTGAATCCGAGAATTGACATCAAACCGAAGTTTCTCTGTCTCAGGTCAACGCCGACCACTACGCATGGACTTCATAGACCTTTACCTTCAGCACAGGACGCTTTCCCATACGAGCCAAGTTGGCATCGTCAAGTTCTTTGGTCGACACATGGCCAATTTCCTGCATGCCAGTTGACACCTGCTTCGAGTATTGAGACGGCATAATGAGTGCCGAAGTGAAAGAAGCAAAATCCGCTACAATGCAGACACAGCTGCAGTCTTTTGTTAAATGCCGGGGGAATTTTTGAAACTAGTGCAATCAATTCTGAACATAGTTGCATATGGTTGGAAGTTATCCTCGTGCGCTAATGCGGGTGTGGACAGGGGCCAAAAGCCCTGCAAGGGATTTGGTGGCGTGGCTGGCCGGATGGACTGCTAATTTCGCCACGGTGCCCCGACACGATGCGACCTAATAACATAATTAGTTGCGACAATAACATTGTGGAATATAATTGGCAAGACACAATGGCATGCTTTTCGCCAAAGTTTGGCGGCGGCCAGACCGACGCTAGTTAAGTGGGCTTCCTTAGGGTACGGGGCCTTAATAAACACCGTGCTTTGTACACTGGAGAACTACGGAGCTTCGGGCCTGCCAATCTGTCCGGCAGATCAAGGGAAATGAGGGTCCACTACGGAGTGCTCCTATTCAATCTCGCAATACCTCGGTCACGGTCCATGTCCGAGTTTCCACAATTATGTTCGACCGACTAGATTGGCTCTCGGAGTCGTCTTCCCGAGCCGATGTGACCATCGTCTGGTTGATTCCTTCACTGGGCATGGTTACCAGCTCGTGCGTTTCACTTCGGTCGTGGGTCCGTCGAGAGGCTTTGAACGTGCTCGCCCCGTAGGTCTTGTGTTTGCTGCCGTATCCGTTGGAGCTGGACAGTTCCAGACTCATTCCGGATGAGCGGAGATTGTCCAAAACGGGCTTGAACTGGGGGGAGCATGCGGTCACGATACTCAGGGCCTGGGCCATTTGGGTCGATATGGCCGTTTTCCAGGTATCGAATGTGGGATCGGACGAGGAGAGGGTTTGGCTTCCGTTTGCCAGTTGACAAATGATGGCGATGATGACCCTAGATAGAGTACGGTTAGCAGATTCATGATAAGATGAAAGGTAACCTACACTATTCTGATCAAGAACACGCTGGACAGACTGGCCTTTCGGCTCACGTTCGTCTGAATGCGAATGATGACCAGTAAGGCCTGAGCTATGATTCCACCTTCGGATAGGATGTTCGCGACACCAAGGTAATTCCACCACGCAGTCTAGCAAGCTGTTAGCGGGCTGTGAGTCTCACAAGCAGAGTGAACGCATACTCGGTCAAAACAGGTGCTCCCCATATAGTTCCATGTTTGTGGTAGATGACACTGGAACGAGGCCGTAAAGATGCTGACGACAGCCCATATCCCGATAAAAGCCCCGAGAGCAAGTGCGACGCGACGATCCAAGGACGCAGGGGTCAAGTTGCGGATGAATATAATCAGCGAGAGCTTCGAACAGGAGATGCTGGCAATGAAGAGAATGGTCGCAGCATATTCGGCCTATGCCTCGCAGATCAGCATCGGTTATCCTTCAACCACACTCAGATGTGCTCACCTTCATCATGTTCTGGAGCCTGGACTCAGACAACGTGAACTTATGTTGCCCAAGTCCATTCGCTGTCGCGAGTGAGACGGCGATGGACTGCCCAATGCAAAGAGCCATCGAAGCCGCTGCAAAGCCATCATCGATGGTCAGTTTGCGAAAAATAAATAACTTTGTCCCCAGCCGAGTCAACACACTGAGTGTGGATGTGACTAGCATGAACCATGTCAGGATATTGATTGCGGGTGTCCATGTGTTCTTCAGTTCTGGAAGCATTGTGTTGACTGCAAGACAGAGTTAGCGGGATCGAGCGTGGTCAGACATATTGTATGCAAGATTCCGGCAGACTGTTTGCCCCAGTCCCAGGCACAATAATTCTGGAGCAAAGTCACTCAAGCCGCGACGCCATGGTCCCAGCCGCCATTCGCCAGCGACACGGGGCCACTTCAATATGCACAGGATCGTGATCCAGGGGCGAGAACTTTGTTCAGCTCGCATTTTCTTTTTTCTTTTTCTTTCTCTTTTTCTTTTTCTTTCTTTTTTTTTTTTTTTTTTTCTTCTTTCTTCGGGACTTGACATTGACGGGGGCCAGATCGCAGGGAAGGTTGTGATGGGGCAATCAATTAGTTTAGTTCAATTGGCACTTGTTTATATCCCTGCTAGCCGGACGCACCCGTGTGGAGCTGGGCCACTTGGTACAACTCTGGGGCCAGCTTCTTTTATCATTGGGTGTTTGTCAGTTAACTCTTAATGTAGTCTTAATTAAATGGCTCCGTTTCCAGAATGATTTAGTCACCTCTCTGGTGTCATGCAACATTCAGTTCAATAAAACACATTTCCTAAAGTGAGACATTTGGCAATTAAAATAGTGTCTGGTTATGCACTAAATGAATGCTCCTTCAGGATTGTGGTTCTTTCGCATCCTTTGCAAAGAGTAACAAAAAAGAGAAATAAAAGGCCATGAGCTCTAGCGCTCCAACTTGGAAGGTGGTTCACCCTGAACTGCCCGACATTTTATTGGCATGTTTCCAGAGACCCATCAATACCTATCGTCGCTGAGAGCAAGAATCGTAATGGGATTCGGACGACTCGAGCTAGAGTGGACACTTCATTAAGATATGCGAGACACATCTTCTCGGAAAGGGAATGTGTACGAGAGCACAAGTGTATGAGAAGAATACTACACGTTTTGGCCAGTTGTGCAGTCCCCTGATATGCAACGACCGGCGACCACTGGGCAGATGTTTCTGATCATCGACAGCCTTTAGCCTATACTCCGTACGGAGTTCCGAAACGGTTATTCACTTCTGGTTTATCTAGTGAGCTGAGAACAACATTGAGTTGTTCATTACCGGGACTACCTATTGCAGGAAATGAAGTTTTGACGTCCCCATTGTTTTTGTTCATTTTCTGTTTTCTTTTGGTAGAGCACAACATCCCCGGTTTTTTTTTTTTTTTCGAAATTTTCCTTATTGTCCTTCATCAGTTCAATATTCACATTCACATTCAATTCAACAACGCTCGACACACAACCGAACAAAAAAGTGATCAAATCGTTCACTCGACGCTGACAAGGTGTGCATGTTTACCTAGTCTGACGTTTCCGAGTCTTCAGCTTCATCCTTAACACTGGCAGTGTTCGAATCAGATTCATCAGATTCTGACACGGTCTCCCAGTCATCATCCTCGGTCTCGGTTTCCGAGTCTGGGTGTTCACTCTCAGAACCCTTTGAATCCTTACCAACATCCTCTAGGGGGCTTGCTGGTGTGGTCTTTCGGCGCTTGGAATCGTGCCCCTCATCAGGGGTGCTCTCAGATAAATCGTGTTTGGTGCCAGCAGATTGATTTTGGACGGCTTTGTCGATAAGCGCCAAAAGATTCTTTCTAGCTCGACCATAGTTCGAAACCACTGAGGTGCGCTTCTGACCCATTACTCGAGCCATCCTATCCCAGTCGGTCTGTAGCCCAGATCAGGTTAGCTAGGTATCGAAGGTTGCTTATCGCAAACTTGCCTTCCTGAGAATGACATTGGGTTCTGAATTCGCGAGAAGCCTAGAACTACCTCCACTGAGCCGAGATATATTCTTGAGTGGGTCGGGGGCGTCTTCGTCGATGAGCGCCCATAGTTCCTTCTTGGCTCGATTGTAGTTCGTGGCCGACGAGGTTTGCTTTTGACCCAGGAGACTAGCCATCTCCCAATGATCAACCTGTAGCTCAGAGCGAGTTAGCCAAGTATCGAAGATTGCTTCTCGTTAACTTGCCTTGTCGGGACTGGAAAAAACTGGTCTAAGCACGAGGAGCGTGCGATCGCCTGGCGTGAGCTGGTCTGTGACATCCACAGCTTGAGTCCACCGGGTCGCACGGGGAGCTGGCATCGTGATTGTTTTGTGTTCAGGTTGGATACGAGTGGTGGATATGTGTGCGCAGAGTCTCTAACGTGCGACTGAGTTCAGTAACCATGGCCTGGTCTAGAGAATGGTGCAGACATACCTTGTATTGACCCTGATGCGTGGAGTATGGAGGGTAGAGAGTAAAGCAGGGCTCGGTTGACCCCGTGATTATGAGTCGTGGGGAGCCAGGTGAATCCACGTGGTGTGGCGTTCACGTTATTTGCGCTTATTCTGACTGTCTAGGTTCTTCTTTTCGCTTTGAACCTGATGCGTGGAGTATGGAGGGTAGAGAGTAAAGCAGGGCTCGGTGACCCCGTGATTATGACCTCGAAACCTCGAAAGTTGGAGGGAGCCAGATGAATCCACGTGGTGTGGCGCTCACTTTATTTGCGCTTATTTTGAGTTCCTACCTAGGCAGGTTCTCTTTTCGCTTTCAACCTTGGAATCTCCGTTTACGAAACGATCGAGTGGTAATAATTCCTCATGCTTCTGCATCTGCTGCGCCGTATGAACAGAGGCTCAGTCTCTGAGCACATGATCTGCATATGCAATTGAAGAACATGTTTTGTGCATCAAGGTTGAATCTCGGTCCCAGACAGAAGTAGTGTATTACCCGTGGACCCGGCTCTTTGGGACATATCCTTGTATTGAAGCGGAAATCGAATGTTCCTAGAAACACGGCTTGTATCAACAGTAATCTCTTTCTCGGTAATATACATGAATGCATCAAGTGCTCCTTCATCTCGGCACTTCAATTGACCTGAAATGCTCAAGCATCCCTGTGAGAGAACCCACCGGAAGGCATTTGACATGAAAGCTAAGTTAAAGACATTCATCAGAGTCCAGGGACCTCTTGAGTGGAATCCCAGTGCCCAAACCAGCATCAGCCTGTCTGAAGTACCAGTGGTGGGCAGCGAACGCAGAAATGGAGGGAAGACCGGTGCCTGTATTGCCCTTGAAGGAAACGTCACCTTCAATGACCTCGACTTCGGAAGGCTTGACAGTCGCGTTGTTTGGAGCCGTGATGTAGTATTCGGGGCTGATGTGCACATAGCCCATAGCTAGCAGTGGCAGTTTGGGAACCGGGTCATTGATGTGCGTAAAGCGGTAGTTGTTGCCCTGGTCCGTTATATGCTTGGCCAACTTGGCGTTAGCCACGCGAGGTGCGGCATACGCATACATCTTTGCTTCAGGGTATCCGTTGCTTCGAAGATCGGCAGCTGCGAGACTGGCAATAGCGGCACCGAGACTGTGGCCGGTGACGATGAGCTCATAGTCGGAGTTCTGGGAGAATGCATCGTGTAGCTGAGACTGGATGTTTTCACGGACGGCTTTCCATGAGCCCCAGAAGCCAAGCTCGGCTTCACAGCCAGTGCAAATACCAGTGCTTGTATAGGGGAAGGAGGCGTCGGCAATCCAGTTGCGTACAGAGTAGGAGCCGCGGAAGGCGAGGACGATGGCCTTCTTTACATCGTCTACGGCGATGAAGCCCGCAGTATCGGTGATGGTGTCGCTGAAGGTATATTAGTATCTCTGATTTTGGCGTTTGTTTCTTTGTTTGCTCACTTGGAGAAGTCATAAAAAATGGTTCCCCCATTTTTCTCCACGTCAGGGCAATTGCCTTTGTCACAGTTGATCTTGTAGCCAGTCTTGGCGGTGTAATCGTTCAGGTAGTATGTCGCCCCAGCATACTGGACCCAAAAGTCGAAGTCGTTAAATTCGCTGGTCGAGATGTCTGATTGGGAGTCAGCATGGTCATGACTAGACTGTATGAGTTCATGAAGGACAGTTGGCATACCTCGAGTTTGCAGAGTACTGGGCAGGGCAAGGCCCAACGAAGCCACAGCGGACAAGGCAGTGAGAAGGGAAATATGCATGACGATGGAGGGATTGTCTCTGATCAAATCCATTACCTACCCTGCGGGAGAGTACGGCTTTATACCAAACCCATCGCCGGGCAGACCCAAGCTTTGTGCCCGAACAGCCCGTCCCACGCTATCCCCGACAGTACCAGTGGTTCATTGGTCGACCCCGAAGTGACTGCGATATCAGATGTCCTCAAAAGATGATCACTGACCAGAACTCCACCCGTACCTGGTTCAGCCGCGGTCCTGCGGAGAATTTGCCTGATCCTTTGACTGCCGGAATGTCGATCACATCTATATAAGGCTGGGACCCAGGGCCGATGACGATGAACCACGGGCCAATCGATCTCGCCTGGGCGATCATCTAAGGCGTTATCGGCGTAGATCGCCCGGCGCCTTAACTGATTTCGGGCGCGTCGCCGTCACTTCGGCACGCGAGTGAGACATTGCCGAAGTTGTATATGCTCTGCAATATTCCCATCACATGTGCTCGTTGATCGGCCCGAATATCGGAGGATGCTGTTGCGACTTTTAAAGTGTCAAGCTTTCGATTGAAAAAGCAGATAAAAATGAAGAAAACACTGAGCAGGAATACAGGATCTCTGCCAACGGTCAAAGACTTCCAAGGTTCAGTCTCGGACCCGACAACCACGAGGACCGTTGACTGAAAAATGAGTCGCATCTTTACTCGGTGGAGACGGGGATGTCCGATTCTCACGTGTAACGGGATATCTGATCTATGAAGAACCCGAGTGGAGAGGATTAGGTCCAGCGGAGCCTATTATCTGTTGCTTTTCCGGACCCCTTACCCGCCGGGGTTTAGCAAAGATCCGTCTCATATGCTAGTCTCTCTACTTATAGTTACAGATTGAATGCTCTCGTAGCCCAGAACTGAGTGATAGAGAAAGCGCTGATATGGGAATGTGGGCAATCGAACCTTACTATATTAGCCTCAAATATAGGGATATGGACGCAATCAAATTTATCTTGATTTCTGGAAGAATCCCAAGGTCGGCTTTTTCGGCCCTTGGTTCGATGGCCCCTTGATGAATCCAACGTCCTGTGATCAATCCGGGAGTTCATCCCTGGCGCATTCTTCCTTTCCCACATACCAACAAATCAGCAACTTTGTGGAGTGAGGCGAATTTCACAAAGTCATCGAGATACACTCGACAAAGTTCCGCTCGAAATCTTACCTCTGACATCTCAATGTCATGATGAGGGTTGGTTTTGTGGGCTTGACAGATTTCGCCCAAGGGCAATGCAGGGGTTGATGCGAGGGGAAGCCCAACCCCCACCACATATCATGTACCTCACAGCCTCTCGATCCTGATTTCAACTTGGAACACCACTCATACCCGAGATGACCGTATCTGCCACTCGTCCGACGAGCTCCCCAAACTCCTACCGTGGGTTGAGATGGGTCGAGGGAAGCTTTGGCCCTGAAGCCCAATGGACCTATGAGCCTGAAGTTAGCGCCATAGAACGAACCATTCAATCGCTCCGCCCGTCAAAAACAACCCAAATGAGGTTCCTCGCTGGGGGTGCCTTCAGCAAGATTTACCATATCCAGCTCGATGGCGAAAGGCTCATCATGCGCGTTTCTCTTCCTGTCAGCCCCGTACATAAGACCAGAAGCGAAGTGGCTACAGTGGATTGGATTCGTCGAGTGACAGACATTCCTACGCCCCGGATCATGTCTCACGACGCGACTCGCGAAAGCGAGATTGGATTCGAATGGATTCTTATGACGGAAGTGCCTGGGAAGCCTCTCACCGAGTCATGGCAAAGTATGCCCATGGTGGTAAAGTCGAATTTGATCAAGAAATTCGCAGGCTTCTCTGCCTCCTTGTGGAGAAGTCGGTTAAAGGGAATTGGGAACATTTACCCACCGCCAGTAACAGTTGACTCAAGAACTTCTGCTACAAAACCCACAGCGAGTGACAGCCTGCTGAACGCCATCCCAGAGATAGGACAGATTGTCTCTCTTGGATTCCTTTGGGGATCTCACGCCCGTCAAGATGTGAACCGGGGTCCATTTTCCTCCAGTCGAGACTGGGTGGAGGCTCGGCTTTTCTTAGCCAAGAATGACTGCCAGGAAATGCTGGCAAAGTTTCTCACTCGTGGTGACCTTGACAGCGATGCTGAGGATGGCATCAAACATACTACGGAGACGCTAGCGCTCATCGAAAAACTGGAAAACATTCTCCCGCGTCTTTTCCCCAGGGAGGAAGACGTCCCAGAGCCAAGCATGATCTTTCATGATGACCTCTCACGGCGTAATATCTTGGTGGACGAGAAAGGCGAGTTGATGGGTGTGATTAACTGGGAGTGCGTTTCGACACTACCATTATGGAAGGCCTGTTATTTTCCTGCATTTTTGCATGGGCGTCCTCGAGATATCAAGCCCGATATTGAAAGTTACGAAAGAGGGAATCCGCCTCCTGATACGGCATACTGGGAGCATTTGCATGAATATGAGGCAACCTTGCTAAGAAGCGTTTTCTTGGACGAGATGAGAAGGTTGGAACCGAGATGGGTGAAAATCTTTGATACGAGCCACCTTCGTCGAGACTTTGATACTGCTGTGCAATATGTTGACATTGGGATTGTCCGCCCCAGAATTGAGCAGTGGGTTGACAACGTCACTGCTGGTGAAACCCCCCAGAGCCTACGGGATAGCATAGGGTGTTAAGACAAGTCCAAATAGCAATTTCGTCGTAGATTTTATTGCCGCTCTATTCAGTTGGAATTGTGGGCTGTGTTGGGGATTGTCGCTTGTAGGCTGAAGACTAGACATGCCTATGAGACCTAGCGGCAGTGCTATTCTACAGGCAGCGAGGCCAAGTGCATGCGGTAATGACTCTTTTCATCTTGCATTCCAAGTAAACTAAATACCTAACATTGGAAAATTTTTATTCAATCGGGGCATATCGCATTTTCACATTAAACATCCATCCTTGATGCTAGAGTGCAAGTCGCTGATTCCCACCCGCACACGGCGGTAGCCAGCACGAGATCCCTTGGCGGCGTTCTCCTTGGTCTTCAGGTTATCCACACTGGAAGACGCAGTCTGCGAGTGCGCGGTGGGGATAGGCTTGGACGAGTTGATGCGCTCAAGCGCATAGACCTCGACCATCCATTCGTACCAGACCTTGCGGTCATCAGTTTGACGGTACATCGTGGCCACAATCTCGCCGTTTTCAGGGACATTGAGCGGGGTCTAGAAGCGAAGGAGAAAGCGTTAGTGCGATAGAGTTGGAAACGTAGAAGGAAGTACTGACTTTCAAGGGGAAGTAGATGGGGAACCAGCTGATCATACTGGCACTCTTGTCTTCCATAGTCACAGGGTTAGTAGACAGCTCCACATCTCCGTAGAGCACGGTCTCAAAGTAGCCTGCAAGGCCGTGGCAGGCACCACGGTTTTGGGCGGGGAATGTCAGGCGGGTCTGGCGCACATTGTGGGCGTTCGAGATGGTGGACTGCATAGGAGACTGCGCAGGGATGTGGCGCTTGGGGTGAGAGAAGGACCAAGCAGTTTGAACGAAGGGAGTTGGGAATTCAGTAGCAGTGAAAGATCCTGATGGGGTGGATGATCGAGTTCCATCACTGGCGTTGGAGGTCTCGTTTGTTGTTGGGGTATCGGTTGTGGAAAGGAAATCAATGGCGTGCAACATCACGACATACGGGGTCTCTGGGGCCGCCGGGTTAGACACCGTCTGGTGAACGACGTCAGAGTGCAACTTGGGGGCAGAGACTGGTGTGAAATGAGCGGAGTATGATGCGGGAATAGAGATTCCATGCACAGGGTTAATCAGATCGTTCACACCATCCAGGCATTCCGGAGACAGTTCATTGTCTGCGAAAGAGCCCAATAGCTCCGACACAATGATATCGGCATGAGTGTAGCACAAGTCGGCATCGCTGCTTTGCGCAAATGTAGAAGCATTGCCCTGTTCAGCGTCTCCTTTTTTGTGGAGCAATGACTCTCCAATACCGAGAGATTCACCCACAGCCTCCTTCGCCTCTGAGGTGGCTTGCTTTGGCACACGAGGGCCCTTCCAAGCACGCATGTCCGACTGGACGAGGGTAACCTTGCCGCCCCAGATGGTTTCGTTGTGTCGCTGCAGCAGCACGAATGCATTCTGGTTCTTTTCCACCGCCCACATATCTATTTCAACTCCAGCTTCAGCACTAGCCTTGAGTGCACGGGTGACAAGTGGGCCGCGGCCTGCACCCACAACCGCAAGGACTACTTTCCCGTCCGGGTGGGACGTAGGCTTCTTCTGATCGGCCCAGTCCTTCAGTGCCTTGTAAATAGCTTTCTCATACCACTCGTATTTGATGGGATCCTTCTCAAAGACTTCATAGGTAATGCTCTCCAGGTTGACAGTCAATGGTTGCAGAGGAGCTTGCAGATAATCCTGGTATCCCGTGCCAAATCTCTCGATTGCAGTACGCTGTGGTTGACGCTGTTGAAGGTTGCGGATGTATGAGAGATGGGGGGTTGGATCGTGGTGCTTTTTGCTAGCTTGTGACAGACTTGGGTAGTCACTGGCCTGGTTACTGTCCGGGTCCTCAGAGTTTTCGAGCCCGGGGATGGGGCCAACACCGCAAAGAAGAATCCAAGGCGCTGTGCGGAGGCGCATCATCTTCGCGATGAGAGCTTGGTGTGACTTGGACAAGACAGGGTATCCCTTTTGGTTCTTAAGGAAGGCAGATCCGTCGATTGTGAGCAAATGCACAGGCTCGGAGTGCCATCGCGATTGCACAAACAGCGAAGGCAGCTGCTTAGGCATAGAGAGTGCTATATTCCGGTAAGCTTCATGTCATAGTCAACTCCAATGAAGAGCAGGGTGTATCCATACCAACGAACAATCGCGTGTGATATTTAGAGGTCTTTCTAATGGCATCCCAAGCATCCCAGGTTCCGAACGGATCCACCTTGAGGGGAATCCCATCACTTGGCTCCAGGAAGTCCGCACGGGCAAGGGGCGCCAGGTCTCCCATGGTATCAACCTCAGTCTCGGGGTTGTCCACCATCTGCAACCAAATGTGGAATTGGATGTATGGGCCAAGGTTCAATGCATCTTGGATTGCACGTGCATAGTAAATGACACCCTCAGAATGCAAGGCACCATGGTGCAGCTTTGGTCCGGGGATGAGAAGATACCCAATTCCGCAGAAGGCGGCGTATGCGACCTCCAACATCAGCACTTGGCGGGACAAGTCCGCAATCAACGGGTCCGGTGAGCATAGATCAATCCAGCTGCTGGTAACTCCAACCAATTGACTGGTTGCATCATTTGGGGTAAGGTATGAGTCTGCCTTGGAGAGCGATGGAACGACCAGCGGGCGAGTGTTCGCAGTAGTGGCTCTGGTTCCAACATTATCATAAGCTGGAGGCTGCAGGTTAGTCAAGTAAGAAGACAATAGACCCAGGACACGTGAATGGAAATGCGACGTTGTGATTGGGACGGTCATCATGTCATACTATCATATCAGGTTAGGATTTTCGAGGCCCATGGCATTAGATATAGTGACGAACATTGCTTTCGTGCACATTTTGAATCACCCTCGGGGTGACCGTAATCATTCGGTTATGTTCATGGTGTCCAACGCAGAAGGTTGGCCCTGGGTCCTCGGACGGATTGTAGTTCTCCATAGCGAATTCAGCTCGGCGCAATGGTGGGGGTTGTCAACGACAAGAGACAATGATGGCAGCTTGGTGACAGCAGCGACGTTTCTGACGGTATCTATATCAGGTAGATCGCGGTGAAGGCCTCGTAGACCAGGAATTCTCACGGACGAAGAAATCCAAGCTGAGTTGTAAACAATCCCGGCCAAAGATTCTCGATCCCTTTGTGGAGCGCGGCAGAATAGACTGGCGGTGAGTCTGATAGGCAGCTGTGGCGCTCGCCCGACCTTCCTATCTGATATTTTTTTTCTTCGCTATCTGAACTTCTTGTTCGCCGAGTTTGCTCTTCACCTTTCGACCATACATCACCATGGCCGAGAACCGCTCTGACTCCGAGGGTGCCTCACGCGCCAAGCGCCAGAAGATGGACGCTGACCCCAAGAACAACCCTTACCTCGCTCACATGTATGAGGATGAGAGCAGTTCCGACAACTCGGCCCTGTCCAAGTTCAAGCGACACCAGACGACCGCCGCGCTGGCAAAGAAGGCCGAGGACGGGGAAATCAACCCCTTCAGTGGCCGCCCCTTCTCCAGCAAATATTTCTCGATCCTGAAGGGCCGCCGTGACTTGCCAGTCCACCAGCAACGGTGAGTGACCCCCGATGGTCATTGAACTGGAACCATGTACTAACTCCCTCCAGTGACGAGTTCCTGCAACTCTACCAGCAATCTCAGATTCTTGTCTTCGTTGGTGAGACCGGTTCCGGAAAGACTACACAGATTCCCCAATTCGTCCTCTACGATGACCTTCCCCAAACTCAGGGCAAGATGGTCGCCTGTACCCAGCCACGTCGTGTGGCTGCCATGTCCGTCGCTCAGCGTGTCGCAGCAGAGATGGATGTCAAGCTTGGCGAGGAAGTTGGTTACAGCATTCGTTTCGAGGATATGACTGGTCCCAAGACAATCATGAAGTACATGACCGATGGTATGCTTCTGCGCGAGGCTATGAACGATCACAACCTGTCGCGCTACAGCACAATCATGCTGGATGAGGCTCACGAGAGAACTATGGCCACTGATATCCTGATGGGTCTTCTGAAAGAGGTTGTCGTGCGTCGCCCTGACTTGAAGATCATCATCATGTCTGCTACTTTGGATGCGCAAAAGTTCCAGCGCTACTTCATGGACGCCCCACTTCTCGCCGTCCCTGGTCGTACCCACCCCGTCGAGATCTTCTACACCCCCGAGCCGGAACAGGATTACGTTGAAGCCGCGGTGCGCACTGTACTGCAGATCCACGCCACGGAAGGCGAGGGTGACATTCTTCTGTTCTTGACTGGTGAAGAAGAGATCGAGGATGCTTCGCGAAAAATCGCACTTGAAGGAGACGAGATGACTCGAGAGGCCGATGCGGGCCCTCTCAAGGTCTATCCTTTGTACGGTAGTCTGCCACCACACATGCAGCAGCGCATCTTCGATCCTGCGCCCCCTCCACGCCGTCCTGGTGGCCGTCCCGGACGCAAGGTCATTGTTTCTACCAACATCGCTGAAACATCTCTGACCATTGATGGTATCGTTTACGTGGTGGATCCCGGATTCTCCAAGCAAAAGATCTACAACCCCCGCATTCGAGTCGAGTCTCTCCTGGTTTCCCCTATTTCCAAGGCTTCCGCCCAGCAACGTGCCGGTCGTGCCGGTCGTACACGCCCCGGAAAGTGTTTCCGTCTATACACCGAGGGAGCATTCAAGAAGGAGTTGATCGAGTCCACCTATCCCGAAATTCTTCGATCTAACTTGTCATCAACGGTGCTTGAATTAAAGAAGCTTGGTATCGATGACCTTGTTCACTTTGACTTGATGGACCCGCCTGCGCCAGAGACTTTGATGCGAGCCCTGGAAGAACTTAACTACCTGGCTTGTTTGGATGACGATGGAAACCTCACTCAATTGGGTCGTCTGGCCTCTGAGTTCCCTCTTGACCCAGCGCTCGCGGTTATGCTCATCTCCTCTCCTGAATTCTACTGTTCGAACGAGATCTTGTCTATCACTGCTCTCCTGTCTGTGCCGCAGGTCTTCACTCGTCCGGCTGCCCAACGGAAGCGCGCCGACGAGATGAAGGAACTCTTCAAGCATCCCGATGGAGACCACCTCACAATGCTGAACGTTTACCACGCATACCGCGGAAATGACGCACAGGCAAATGCTAAGCAGTGGTGCCATGACCACTTCCTCTCTCTGCGATCTCTGCAATCCGCCGACAATGTGCGCTCCCAGCTGCTCCGTATCATGGAGCGTGAAGATCTCGAGATGATCTCCACTCCCTTCGAAGATAAGAAGTACTACGAGAACATCCGTCGCGCTCTTTGCGCAGGTTTCTTCATGCAAGTCGCCAAGAAGGATACCGGTGGCAAGAGCCAGTACCTCACCATCAAAGACAACCAGAACGTTCTCGTGCATCCCTCTACCATGCTGGCCCATGAGGCTGAGTGGGTCTTGTATAACGAGTTCGTCCTCACATCAAAGAACTATATCCGTACCGTGACTGCAATCAAGCCTGAGTGGCTCTTGGTAGGTTTCATTCCAATCGCTCTCCTTCACTTGACATCGTCTAACCTTTCTGTCAGGACATTGCCCCCACCTACTACGATATTCAAAGTTTCCCCAAGGGAGACATGCGCTCAGCTCTCGTCCGTGCTGCTGAGCGCCTCTCGCGCAAGGAGAAGATGCGCGCGGAGAAGCGTCGATAGACCATTTATTTTCATTCAGCCTAAAATTCACGCATGATACGCTTTTTTTTGCACCTGCTTTCTTTCAATCTCGAACCTCAAACGTTGGATAGACTACTTTCTTCTTGTACCTTAAACGATATTATACGTCTCGAGCACGGCGTTTCATCTGAAAGGTCCAGCTAAGATATAACAGCCAACTCATTGGTCTTTATTCAAGGAACAAGTCCTGACCCTACTTGAGCTGGCGATAGATTTAAGGTAAATGCAGAGGGCTGTAAAAGAAAAATCGCATGAGCCACCAACGCCTTGGGCTGGATAAGTACATCTAGGGCTTGCTTGCTGAGCTTTCCCATATGCTCTAGTTGAAACAGAATGATTTAATATACAGGAATATCCATCTCTCTTATAGTCTATTCAATCCACAGCCCACGTTAAAATGTGAAAGATCTTCGCAAGAGCAATCATTCACATCTGATTGGTAGCAAGTGCTGCGGTCTCGGAAATGTGAGTCGTGTCTTTCACGGATGTTGGGTTTGCGCGGCTTCCTTGCCGCGGGTTGCGTTTTCGGGGTATCGGGGGAGACTGTGGTTGTGATTTGTTGAGGGTGATCTTTGTGGATGATGTGGTGAAAGTCCGAATGCCAGAAGAACTCTTGGTTTGTGATTGATTGATAAGTTTGGGTTGTTCGGGGGATGGAGCAATATGGTTCTCTTTGGCTGAATCGGGAGACTCTGTGCTCAAGGATGTCGAGATGTGGTGTTTGCGAAGTTCGTAGACGAGCTCGCGGAGATGGGCCACTTCGTCTTTCAGATTGGAGATGTCCTCATTTGATGTGTTCTCTTGAGGCCTTTTTCCATTGGCTTTATGGCCAGTAGCGGCAAACATGGCCTTGTCCGCATGTTGATTGGCTAGTCGGGCATTCTTGTGGGTGAAGGTGCTCTCCACTGGAATTTCGGCCTCACTTAGGTATTCGCCGAAGGTGTTGGAAAAGTCATAGCACTTCTGCCACAGGGGGCGATCAAGGTTCTCCTTCGGAGCAGTTTTGGCAGCCTTGAACCACCGATTAGGGTCGGGGTGAGCAAATGGTGCCGAGTCCACCTGTCTTGACAGAAGCTTTGGGTCGAAGCCACTGTGTACAGCTGCTTTCACCAGTGCATCAGATGCATCGACTCGGTCGCAGGAATCACAGAGGCCAACCATGCGTGCCAACAGCCTCTCCACGGAGTCGAGGCGGTGATCAGTGGATGAAACAAGGTAAGTGACTGCTCTTTTCAAAACATTGGCGCCTTTCTCCCAGTCCCGGCGTAGACTGTAGAAGCGAAGATATGTGAAAAGAGTTTCCCAGCTATCGAAGAAACCTCCGCTTCTCGCCGCTTGGAGCCAGGCATCAGCTCGCTCTGGTTGATCAAAGCGCAATGCAGCCCCGATCAAGGCCGCATAAATCACTGGATTGCTGCTGTTTAGCGGCGGTACAATAATGTCCAGACCATTGACCGTTCTGTGCTTGTAAACACCCCTACTTCCCAGGTTCACGGAGTAGCCCTCTCCACCCAGCATCTTCAGGAATAGATCGAAATCCTTGAGATTTTTCGACTTCCTGAAGAATGTGACTATAGTGATCACAAGTGAGGGGTTGAGATAGAAACGATTTGGCAGCAATGTTCGCAGAAGCATCTCGACCAGATCATTTTGGCGTGTCTGACCGAACGCAATGATCATGTGTCGGAATGCCGTAGGCCTATCTGGATCCCGTGAGCTCAAGATGTTATTCGATATGCGCATAATCAGCTCCTGTAGGGACATGTGTTGACTCGTGTATGCGCGAATGTCGTCGGTGAGCTCAGCATCGAGGGCCGCACGCTCTCGCTGCATGTCGCCCAATTGACTGGCCCCGTATTCCGATATCACATCGCTAAAGACAGATCTTGGGTTGGTTTTCAGTGACTTCAAGCGGTTCCGAATGTTGTTCAGCTCCTCGAGGAGCTGCGAAACATCGACCTGGGGGGTCTCAAAGTCCGCCGCGTAGTTCATCGATATGCCCGAGTAGCGATGGGCAATTGCAGGTCGTAGAAGCATTCGAATTGCGAATTGCCGAAGGGCGAGTTTCTGTATGGCTTTCAGGCGAAGGTCATCCTCCAAAACCCAATTGGGTAATGTCTCTGAAGGCAGGAAGATTTCACTGTCGTCTACTTCGTCGATCTCCTGTTCATTTTCTGCTAGTTGACTTTCCGCCATGCGAGCAGCAACAGCATTGAACCTCCCTCTTTCGGTGTGGAAAGCCCTCATTGATTGGTTGAAACCGGGTGGTGATTGAGGACCGAGGGGGAAGCGTGGCATGGTGCCGAGTCCCCTCCCCTGTATTAAGCGGTCGAGTCCCCGACGCTCCCTTCGCGATTGTAGTGATGCTAGAATCCGTTGCTCTTCGTCCACCAATTCGCTCACTTCAGCCTTTACGGCAGCGATCTTTTCGTCCCAGTCATTTCGGCGTCGATCCTTCACACTCGCGTCGGCAATGGCGGCGGCGGCGAAGATGCTAGTGTACAGCGCGGTAACGGAATTTCCAATTCGAAGTCGTCTCTGTCTCGCAGCAGTTGCTGCCCGTGAAGTGACCCCATTGGCGGTAGTGCTCAGACACCCGACGCAACGGCAGGAGGACTGCGTTGACACAGCGCGGGACCACAAACCCTGCATTCTCAGGACATTTCTATCAAGTTGATATTTCCAAAAAGGTGACTCGGTTAAAAATCAATGGGACTCCTCTCGGAGCCCGTCGCAGGTAGGGATATCGAACTGAATGGGGAACATGCGATGCAGCAAAATAATCTTGCAATTCCGCCGATGGGCCCCGATCGGTGCAAACACTGCAAACGAGCTTAGTCCCGCGAGCATCTGGACACTGTTGGGCCAAGACATTGTATGTCTATCTTCCTTGTTTGAACGAATCTCCTTTTTTTTAACGCTACAATTAACGATGGTCGCTAAACTCCTGGGTCTCGCTGCCGGGATTCTCGCGCTGAGCGGGTTCGCAAATGCCCACGGCTCGCATTCAAGCGACCAAGCTCCCTCCGACGATTGGGCCACGCGCCATATGATGGGTACAACTACGTCAATCCCACGATGCAATCGCAATACTGACAATTTCATCCGCAGAGGAACATCACATCGAAGCTTTTGATCCCCCCTCGTTCTTCATCCTCCACGACTACGACTCCTCGGGGCAATGGACTCACGACGAAGTCCGCAAGACATACGGATTGAATGATCAATCCAATGCAGCCGTCAGTGAAGACAAGAAACAGGACGCTGTGCGCACAGTATTCGCACTGTTTGATCCTGCCAACACGGGGTTCATCACCAAGGACGATTGGCTGCAGGGTATCGCTGCGGGTAAGCGGTTGCCCGACCTGGGCTTCGGTCCCGGGCACCATGGTGACATTGAGTATGAGTACGAGATTCACCACTTCGAAAAGTTCCATGGCGATGATACCACTGAGGAGGACTTGCTCCATCCCGAGGATGTTGAACATTTCAGACAGCACGACGAAATGGAGGATGAAGCTCTGCGGATCGAGAAGCTGGAGCAAATGCAGATCGTCTTGGGCAATATCCCTCAGAAGTTCCGGCGAAACATGTAAATGTTTCGATGCAATACTTCTTTCAGTGTACATAGTCGTTATACATAACCTTGGAAAGCAATCTACGATTCCCATGCAGCTGGCCATCTCCATGTTCATGTTCTGCTTACCAACCCCTCGTGGATTCACAATATGCCATCACCTCGAACAATTGATTCATCATTCGGCTGGTCGCAGTGTGGTGCTCATATCCTGAACCTTCGAATCGAGGATTCTCCGGCACCATGACTGCCCAGCTGAGGCATCAGGATTACAATATCTGCTCTCGGCCTTGTGCTTTTCCCCACCGTCTGGGATTATTCCAGAGGTTACAGATACATCCCAGGAACCGCGTATCATTGGATTGCGAATCCGAGTGAAAGATTGATATAAAAATAGCTAGCTGAACGGCGAAAATTCACGCAAACCTGCCAAGACATAAATGTACGCAGTCAACTCATGACTAGACGCTGGAGAGGAGTATTGGGACGCTAAGAGATGATAAAAGACGGGAGAGTTCGTTCATGGAAAATACATTGCACACACGCGCAACAGGTTTCAAAGGGATACAGACACTGGGCAACCATTCTGAGGAAGGGCCCACCTAGGAAGGCGAGGCTCAATACTCTGTGGTGTAGCCCAGCCTATCATTCGAATCCACGACGCTATGCCATTGTTAGCAATTCATATTGAAATCATATCAAGAGCTCAGACTCACGAGTATTGTTTGGTCAGAGTTCCTTCTCCGCCTTTCGAGAGATCAATATTGAAGACGTAAAAGCCGCCATCGCTGGTGACAACCATGACCTGAGGCGTATTGCTGCTCATGGCAACAACACTCCTCGTTGGTCCGGCACCGGGGCTTCCGGCGGAGCCTTGGCTTGACCGTGGCAATTTGATCCAAGCAAAGTCTCGAGCTGGTTCCCACATCTCACTGACTCCCTTCGGGAGATATCCGCCCACTCTCGCTGCGACTGCACCGCCGACGTTCTGGGAGGTCCGGCGGAGCATTCCCATGAGTGTTCCGTTGTGCTTCCTTGATGAAGAGTCCGAGCCTGCGTCTCCCAGATCATCTTCATCGGGCGAATGTCCGTATCCACTTGAGGGAGAAATCTGCTCCCGCGCACCTGGAGAATGTGACAGTGAGCCATCTGAAAACGGTCCTTGTTGGGTCAACTTGAAGATGTGAACGGTCTCCGTAGACGAAGAAACACACAGTAGTGTTGATGTCGTGTTGAAGGACATGCTGTAAATGCGAGATGGCATAGAACCACGTCGGAACTGATACAGCTTGTGGCCATCTGGAACAGAGAATATGCGTATGATAGTCCCTTTGTCTGAGGCAGTGGCCAACAATGTCCCATCGCTATTGAGCGCAATGAGTGCCAGGGGCGAACGGTGGGCTTCGATCACATTTATAGCTTCTAATTTTACGGCATCGAAAATCAGAACATCTCCAGTGGTAGGCGAAACGTGAGTCGCTCCAGGCGGGGCATGCGCTGGCGTATTAGCAGCTGCAGGGGCCTTTTGCGGAAGAGGATATGCCATATAACAATTTTCTGACGATGGAGCCAGGGCGCAGATGGCTAGTTTATGTTAGCATGGCCTTGCTTTCCAGATATACAAAAGAAAAGCACATACCATTTGGGTTCGGTGAGGTATCGATCGTGGACAAAAGCTTCATGGTCTGGATGTCATAAAGATAAATTTGATCCTCGAGGACAATGACGAGCCGCTTGCGATTTAGCTTGACTGCCAGAACCGTTGTCGGGAATGTTAGCTCGCATATTGTGCATTGTCGCTGTACCACTACGTTAGCTCCATTCAGGTAAAGGGGCTATAGTCGGCAATTTATAGGCCGGTGGTCCCACCTTGGTGTTTTGGATCTGCAAACGCCTGGGGGATAAGATCAAAGCCACGAGAGAAGTTGAGAATAGCATCTCGATGACTGCGATGTTTCCTTCTTTAGCTTCATAGCTTTTGGCAAAGGGCTCAGTGGTGAATATCTGAAATCCTTTCGATGTTGCTACAAATGCGGTCAGTCGAACATCCAGCGATAGGCAGTACGAAAAGCCGGGGCGCTCACCCACAGCCAGGTAGCTGTAGTCCTGATTAAAAGTCACGAAATTCATGGCCATTTTGACGGATCCTTCTCAGTTGAAGTTCAATAGGGTTGATACAAGGCAACCTTCGGAGTGTCGGAGATACCCCGCTTGGGGCGATCGCGAGAGGGGGCCGAAGCAACGACTCTATGCCCGTCACTGGCCACTCCGTAACATATCTTGCGCCGAGAGCAGACCGAGGTGATTCCAAGACGATGGCTGTGGAGAAGAGAGGACTTGATATCCGCAGGGTCCTGGAGAAACTCGTCACAAGCGAGAGCGCGCTTGGGCCACACCTTGATTGCCCACCGCCTACGCTTTCTCTTCCCTTTGTCTTTGAACTGGCGCTGATCAGAACTCCAGATTCGCTGTTCTATACAATGCATTTTCCTCTGATGGCCTCGTTTTCCTCTGTGATCGTCGACCGATGACCCTTCACGCCCAGAAGTGCGATCCTCAACTCGGATTCGAAAATCAAAACAATGACGTAGCGATCGACTGATATCTCGAACCCTACTTACTTCACGACTCAACGATTATCGCACCGTTGCAAACGTTAGCACTCTGATCTTTTCCTGTTGTGAGTGGCATGGGGGCATGTTCGATACTATATTGCAATCCACGCGGGAGCTCTCGAGCCAACCCGCCCCATTCAAGCCGTGATGAGCGTGAGCGAGCCTCTAAGAGGTGGATGCTCAAACTTAGCCAGTATATTTTGCCGCGTGAGGCCCACCTATCTTCAAGTTTTATTTGAGTGACAGCAATGCCCGGCCCCTGCGCACACTGATCTCGTGGGACCCAGGCTCTCGGAGCTGGTTCGTCCATCACTTTGGTGGCCAATGCACGCTGTATCATTTCTTCTAGGCGCTCTGTAAAGACGATCGATCTGGGAAGAATGCAAACTTTCAATCTTGAAAAGAAGTTGGAATATTCTGGTATGATTAGGTAGGTCTATATATGTGATGGAAATTGTAATGCCCCGGGGCCGCTTCAAGGTTGGCCAGGCAGATAATATATATTTCAACGTACTTTAAAGGTCGGGTACTCATGTGAACTGCGAGATTATTAGCTAAACTTTGGAAGCATGTCTAAGTTTATCTTAGCCCCGGGGCCCTGGAGAGTCCTTCAGGTACCAACGGGTGTCCATGTCCACGGGTGGTTTCAAGGTTGCGTATTTTTAAAAGTGCAAAGATCTACTCAATACGCTGGTACCCAAGTAACAGGGCTGACACCAATGATTTGTGCCCAAAAGTGAGCGAGACGAGTGATGACCTCGGGAGATATCCGGGTACTTGACAGGTCGCAGAGGGATATACTGAAACCGGACTCTTCAGCATACACTAGAAAGATGCTATGATTCAGTTCGGGTGTCCTTGGGCTCCTATGCAACGACAGAGCCCGAGCTCCTGCACTGGCCACGTCGGTTCCCTCCACAGGTAGAACCTGATATTTCGGTATCCGCAGTCAGCGCCTGGGAAACCAGAGAAACCAGACTCCCTGGGCATGTACCGAATCTGCCGCGCGTCACAACCCAAAAACTAGACAATTCTCGAAGGTTTCATGTCGGCCTGGGTATCGACACCGGTGTGTCGAATCACTCGCAAGCGCGAGGGAAACAAGGTACGGCAGCTACCCGCCTCACACGGCAGGATCCTTCATGCCGAGGTCGAGAGAATCCGGATTAGGTCGTTGGTCATGCAGCCCAATTGGAGGATCGGGATTTGGGTCAACATACACAGAGATCTCTGGCCATGTGTACATCAGATAAGGAGGGACCAAGCCTAATGGGAACCATCTGGATGGGCCAACGCAACGTGCAGAATGACCTCAAACGCCTGCAGGTCGGTTCCATGCACGGCTTTCCATCTCGAGCAGTACCAGGTGGCCCCACTTGAACACACCCGCTGGTTGGGTAGCAAACTAGGCAAGTCAGAGAGGCTGACTAGGCAGGTGACAGCTAACGTGTCCGGGATCAACAAACGCAGCATTCTGTTCCCGATGTGCAGTTCCTGCGCCTTCCGGCTAGTGGGGGTTTCAGGAATATCGCTCATACCGACGCTGATTTGCGTTCCATCCCAGGCACCACTCCCGGCGCGAGGCCCTTGGAAGCATCCCGGCACGATCCTTGTCCCCGGTCACACAGAACATCCCCCCGACGACGAGTTGTAGGAAGTGTTCCGACACAATGTCGACGTAGCACCCGGTGGTTGCGGCCTGCAGACTAAGTCGGAAAGGCAAGATCGGCATCGACTTGCCCGACGGTTTGTTTCATCCGCCTGACACGGTTTCGTACTTGAGGATATGGGGACTGGTAGCCAATCACACGGGTCCAGGGAAGGGGTTTCCGGGTGGAAATGGCAAGCGAGACGCGAGGGCAGAAATAAGACTAACTTCCGGTCGTGCCACCGTGGTGACCTGGGTATACCTGCCTACATATAGGTACGTGGATAGGTCTCGATGATGTTTAGGCCGTGAAACATGCTGAGATAGCCGTCTGGCTCTGAGCGGAGACCCGTCTCCTAATTGAGATACCCACCTCGAGTGGATCGCAGTGGCGATCCGGGGTTAGTTCCCTGCATGTAAGTAGCAATTTGAGGTTCCGTCTTACTGGCCCATGATGCGTTATGATGTTGATTTTTTGGATCAAGAGAGTTTGGCTAATGTAGTACATCTACTTTGATGTATACACACGTACGTGCATACCGAATACTGAATACCGAATACATGATACCGAATACAGAATTGTCCCGTACACAACGTAATTGACTCTGGTGGAGTCCAAGAGAGCGGGGTCAACTTCTTTGTGGAGAGACGCACAGACAAGAACGAGAGATATCAGGGAATCTCGGCGTCATCCATAATGGCTCCACCGGATGATTGGCCGGACGTTCTATAAATCCCGCCTTTTTGAGATCGGGAGCGTATGGGAAAGTGGTCATAATCCCTGCTGTATTAACGAGATACTGTGCTCCATACGAGTGACGAGAAAGTGACGGGGGTAAACAATCGCGCAATTGAGTTAGACGTAGCGACGCAGTAGTAACTAAGATACAATATACACGAAAGTATCCTAATCAGTTTAAATACAATAATTGGGTAGATATGTACGATACGCCGTATGGGAGAGATAATCATATTCCAAGGTTGTGGGTACGGAGTACATAGGGAGATCATGTCCCACATCTGCCCCCTCTGCTTCTCCCTCACCCTACATTCTGCATTTTAACAACATTCTTGCTGAGCTCTCCTTACTTTCATATCTTCCCTTCTCCTATCTTGTCTCTTTGATCTATTGTCTTGACCTCTTCGGCTCACTGTGACTTCCGACCTCACATACAAATGATGTAACAGTCGCTCTCATTTGATTCCAGTATCATATCATTGTCTTTGTCAATCTGTGACTACGACCATGGCGACTGTACTCGTTCAGCAGCAAGCGCTGCACCACTCGACCCCTCCTCCCTCCCCGATCCCTTCCGCCTTGACAGTCAACCGGCGACCGAGTCCCATCCCGAATAAGCATATCCCAATATGCCCCACCGGTCCATCTCCACCAAGTCCCTCCTTACAGTCCATCATTACTCCCAGTGACGGCACCTCATCCTTGCTATCACCGCCCGACGAGTCCATGCGCATTGGGCGCCCGACATCCCCCGCCGTCTATGCAATTGATGGTGTTCGACTTGCAGCCGCGATCGCCCATGCCGCGTCGCAACCCATGCCCGACGCCAATCTCATGTTCCCATGGCTCCACGGTCTCCACCAAGACAACCACCTGCAGTTGGGATTCTTTTCAAGTCGCAAGCGCCATGCGCGCCGCACACCTAAATGTTGGCGCGGGATCACAGTCGTGAAACTCGGGGGCGATCTGTCCAAGGCGCGCCTCAAGGGTGCAGTGGCCGTGAGTGAGGTACTCGCGCCTTCATCTCGGTTCCTGCTTGCAGATCCCCCCGAGGGGTTCTCTGTCCGCAACTTCCAAATCCAAACCGCCAAGCTGGCTGCGATGTCCGATATTGTTATCTATGCCGAGGACGATGGATGCCAAAAGGAGCTTGTGGACCTGGCCAACCAATTTGCGATGGCGCAGCAAGCATGGAGACTCAAGATGGATCCTCTGCAGGAGAGACCAACGTACAACACGTTCATACTTGCCGGTTCGTAACATGACCCCCTTGCCGCGTACATCACCCGCTAAATTCAAACCCCAGACAAATTTTCCGATGTCGCGATCAATCAACCTGAGCTTATTGCCATTGATGCAACAGGTCAATTGACAGGAAGAACCATGGATTTCGGTAAGTTGCTCAAATTCCATATCGTGGATGATCGCTGAGACTTCATAGTTCAATGGGAACGTTTGGAAATGGCGACCATGTCTCGAGCCTCCGAAATCTCGTCCAATGTGTGGCTTGGAAACACTCCTGACTACTTCCACTTATCGCGAACCTCGAGAGAGGATAACTATGACCTTTTGATCGAAGCAAGTGATATGGCCAACATTCCCGGTCCCCGATACCTTGCCATGCTCGATAAGCAACTCGAGAGTGGTCCCCAGCGAATGGAGTTCCCCTCATCAGGCTCTCTGTTGCTTCCATCGGGCAACACCCGGGAGGCTGAAGACATCGTCAACACCATTCGATGGATCTACTATCTTGCCCACCCAGAACCCCAGAGCGAAGAAATGGAGGTTGAGGGTGACACCGCAACTACCACCCAAAGAGGGAAACCGCGTCGGGTCCTCATCCACTGCGCTGACGGTTATACGGAAAGTTCACTATTGGCAGTAGCATACTTCATGTTTGCGGAAGGAGTGCCCGCACACGAGGCTTGGCTGCGACTGCATCGCGAGAAGAAACGAAACTTCTTTGCCTACCCGACAGATGTCGCCTTCCTTTGTCACATACAGGGCCGTCTCCTACAAGAAAGTCCGGCGGTACAGTCTCCGGATCTTTCAAAAGCATTGGATCCTGCTTGGTTTCATGCAATCGATGGCTCATTCCCTAGCCGTATCCTACCCTATCTCTATTTGGGCAACCTGACCCATGCAAATAACCCAGAGCTCCTGTGGGAACTTGGCATTAAGCGTGTGCTCAGTATTGGAGAGGCTGTCAACTGGAAGGAATCTGACCGCGCCAGTTGGGGAGCTGAGAATATGATGTACATCGACAATGTCCAAGACAACGGCATTGACCCGCTCTGTCAGGAGTTTGATCGCTGCTTGGAGTTCATCGGTAAGTGTTCAGGTGCACGAAATGCATTGCGCTTCTCGCATGCTAACATCTACACAGAAAAAGGAAAGCGCGATGGGACAGCTACCTTAGTTCATTGTCGAGTCGGAGTTTCTAGATCCGCAAGTATTTGCATTGCCGAAGTCATGGCATCGAAGCAACTTTCATTCCCAAGAGCATAGTAGGTTCCCCACTTCTTTGAGCACTCGGACTTGCCATGTTAACATTGTACCAGCTGCTTTGTCCGCGCACGACGCCTAAATGTGATCATCCAGCCTCATCTGCGCTTTGTGTAAGCATCCCGGGAACCCTTGTGAAAGCCAACCGAACATTTCTAACAACCACCGACAGTTATGAACTCCTACAGTGGGAGGAACATCAAATGAAAAGACGAGGCCAAATCATGAAGCGTGAACTCGAGTGGCAAAACGTCACACGAGAAATCGCCCTTCTCAACAAGCCCTACTCGAGGAGTTAACCACTATCTTGACCATTCTCGACCCAACAGGATACAAGACCTGTTTTTATTTCTTACATGTGTTCGAAAGCACATACCAGACATGATACAACGAATTTGCATGATTTTTATGACCAAGGAACGACTTTCTGACTGATCTGTGGCGCATGGCGTACTGAAGATCTCAGAAAAAGGGATAAATTGCCATCATGCCGACCCAATCCTGATATCTTGTTCTGTTTGACCCGACATGTTCATTTCTTTACTCTGTGTGTTGCCAGTTTCGTTCCATTACTTCGATCTATCTCTCTTCCTTTCTTGTCTTAATGGGTCTCATGTTTTCTTGGGGTGTTTCTATTATTAGCCTTTTCTTGTTCTTTTTACACCCCGACTGTGCGCTGCACTCTTCTATATCCTCGGCATTCTATCTTTCATTCAATTTATCTTCTCCAGCTTCCGAGTGATAGTGTTTGGTATTGTTGCGCCGTTTAATATGTTTTTGCAAGGGACCCTTCATTGTTTCTACATCTACCTACAGACCCTTCTGGTTCATTCCAGGGTTGCCCGCAACCTGATGTCACATCATACTTTACAACTTCGTGATTTTCATTCGCTATGCTGGCCCAAGGCCTTTTTCTTGTCCATTTCTGGGATTGAATCCGTCTTTTATCGGGGCTGGCGCGGTTAAAAACTTCTAGTCTGCAGGCGTATCCGCTGTATCTTGAATCACATTTTCTTATTCGACAAAGCATGCGGAGGTGAACTCCGTATACAGCTTGTAATAATCCGACGTGTATGAAATATTAGAACCCTTACTCGGTCACTTAAGATGCAGCAACTGACCACTTGGGCATGCGTTGAGTCCAAGCACCCAATCCTGGTAGTTCGTCTGACAAGAATAGACATCATCCACTTGAGATTAACGCCATTGGAACGAGGGGACTCCCGAGGTCAACCTTAAAGGACTTCATTTTGCTAGGTAAATGGATATTATGAGCATCATCGTTGCCAGAATCCTCGTACCTGATTCCCTCGTTAGTCTTGACTGCAGACTTAGCACCAACAGAAGCCTGCCTCTATGGTCATTCGTTAAATCAATCACGAGCAATATGATACAGTGTAAAGTATGTGGTTCTCACTTAACAACGCTCGAATACCCGATACAGTCCCTTCAAATCTGCAACCTCCACCACGCCCCGCAGCAACCGTGACGTGGCAACCAACCGCGCACGGAGAGCCGGAAAAACAGCATACTCCAACATGCGGATCATCTGTGCCCGCCGGTCTCTCACAAATGCCTCCTCCGCCCCCAAGCCACCGGCTACAACCGGCTCCGCAGAATCGGAGTCAGCCTGTGCAGACTGGAGAACAGGAAGTTGCTCAGGCGTATAGAAGGCAGCGAGCTCACGCAGAAACGTGCGGAAACAGTCTTCCTCATTAGTCCAGTTCACATAAGGACCCAGCCGCAGTAGGAACCGAGGCAATTTCGCCAGCGCGGGCAAGTACCCCTTCAACAAGAGTGGGATAGTAAGCAGCTCGCCTTCGGGACTAACTTGCATGGAGAAGTATTCGTTCAGCATCTCCCGACGTTCGACAAGTGTCTGGGCTATCATTGCTGGCGCATTGCCGAATATAGAATCGGCCTCGTCTGCGTCTGCATTAGGGTGCTCCTGCCGCTCTGACTCTGCGCCGATGGTCAGCAAATCTACCAACTTGGGTGCTGGGTCGAGACGGATTGTCCCGAAGTTTCCAAAGTCGGTTAGACCGACTTGGTAGAAGAATTCGTTGCATGCAAGACCGTAGTCGATCAGGTAGAGTTTCACTCCGGATTGGATTGCTGCTAGTCGGCGGCGTTCGTCCACCAGACCGACGTAGGTGTGCGAGGCGAACATTTCAGTCAGTGAGTTGTGCATGTCGGAGCGGACGGAGGCGCGAAGGCCCTTGATGGATGCGAGTGCGATTTTGAGGGGTTGTCGATCTGTTGTTTCATACTGGAGGCCGTCGTCTAGTATTGATGTTGTTGGATTGGCCTCGGCGGGTGCGTCTGGATTAGATGGGTCTCGTGGAGAGGCTACGGCCGGACTTAGCATTGCTGTGATCTTGCGGACCTTGGAGTCTGTTCGAATAAGATTGTTTTCGTATGGCCTTTTTGCTGTCGCTGGTGTTTTGGGAACCGCTGGGGCTCTTGGTTCCTCTCCCGTTTCGTTGGTTGCTCCGCCTTGATCGGATTGAAGGGATTCAATAGTCGGTACACCAGGCAGTAGACTCTGCGTCAGGAATGTACGACTCGAGTCTACCTCCGCAAGTTTCGATCGGATATCCGTGCAGACGATCTCGATGATTTCATCTTCGTTCAAGAAGTTGACTTCACGCTTGGTTGGATGTACATTGACATCCACGCGGTGAGGTTCGATTTCGAGATCCAGGTATACAAAAGGGTGTCCACCCTTAGGCAAAAATGCAGAGTATGTCTGTTCAATTGCTCGCTTGAGAGCTGTTGACTCGACTGCTCTGTGGTTGATGAAAAGCAATATTGTGGTCTTCTTGACATGATAGTTGGCATTGGTAGCAAGACCAGATGCACGGAATCCAAGTTTGGTATCATTGGTTTCGAATTCAACAACTTCATTCGCTACGGCACTGCCGTGAATCTGGCGAATCCGGTCGATGGTGTTTGCACTAGCTGGAGTCGAGATACTCACCCCAGAGTCACCATGCTTGCGGCAGGAAAAGGCGACCCCCGAGCAATGCACTGCATACCGACCAACGACATCGAGGATTTTGGCATACTCTTCACTCGCTGATCGGAACGCCCTGCGCCGGGTCGGAACATTATAAAATAGGTCCTCGACCTTTGCATCATGTTAGCTTCCAACCGAATCTTCCCTGGGGTCCTCAACTCACTGTGATCTGAGTACCTCCTCGACCAGCCGTTGCCTTGGGCGCAGAGTTCTGGCCTGGCTTCGCTGGGATCAACTTTCCATCTCCATAATGCGCTCGCCAGGCACAACTGGACCCGGCAGTTTTTGTCGTGACTGTCAAGTGAGCGATGTGGCTAATACTAGCCAGTGCTTCACCTCGGAATCCATATGTTCCAATGGAAGTCAAGTCCTCGAACTCTTTTAGTTTCGATGTAGTAAATCTTTCACAGAGGATGGGAAGATCATCCCGCTGGTTCTTATTAGCAACATGTTCTTCAAGCGTGACATTATCCGGAAGCTTACATCAATTCCATGACCATTGTCCGTGATCTGTAACAGTTTCAGGCCTCCTTCCTTGATCAAGACTTCAATTGTGGTGGAGCCAGCATCGACCGCATTCTCGATGAGCTCTTTTAGTGCATGCATGGGAGCGACGATAATCTCTCCAGCGGCAATTTTGTTAACGACGTCTGGATCCAAAGCCTGTTATAATCTTAGTGATTGATGCGATTGTATAGATGCATTTGACCGGACGCGTCTGCGTACCTTGATCTTCTTTGGTTTGCGAGGTTCCTCACTCTGGCTATCGTCTGCCGCCCGCTTGGTGCCATGATCAGCAAGTGGCTCGGTGTGAATTGCGTCCTCCATGGCCAATATCTTTGATCTCAGACACTTGTTGGCAACTGGAGGGCGTACGCGCAGCTGGAGAAAAGGTGAAGATCCGATAAGGCGATAAGAAACCTGGGCGTCATCACCTGTGGGGATTGTTTTCTCCGCTCCATCCTCACCGAAGATGTGACGGACGACACATTGTCTTTGTGCCTGTTCAATCCCTCAATGTTATAGAGAGTCGCTAGTTTCATGTTGCTGACCTTGTCTGCGCATGTACAGTATGGCGCCTGCAAAGATGCCACTTCAGGCTGATGAAGAGATGGGCAAGAAAGATGATGATCACCGACCAATCGATGCGCGCTTTCGACCTCTGCGGCAAAGAGCAATCTTTCGCCCTCATCGGATTATCTTCGCTTTGATCGCACTTATTATTCTCTACGAGTTCTTCAAGAACATGCCGACGGATCTGGCACCCGCCGTCGAACGATACGATCCCGGGATGGCAAAGTTGCGAGCAGAAACACTGGCCAAGTGGACTGGAACAGAGCAATCGCCTACCAACTCAGAGCCAGCACGATTACCACAGGCTCCGGTACCCGTACAGTTCCAGAAGGAAAAAGGCTATGACGGCAAAGTCATGTTTCCCGAGCTGGAGCACTCTCTCCCTCGTTACAAATATTCGAGCAAGACCAGCAGCCGCGCAGTATTGTTTGCCGCATCAAGTCTGCGCAGCTTGTCGGATCTCTTACCATTAGCCTGCCGCATGGCAAACCAACCTCGAAGCTATGTGCATTTCATTATTACGGGAAAGGACGAAATATCCGTACAAGATATCAAGGAGGTGAATGGGATCAAAGAGAATGAGTGTCCAATGATATGGCATGGTAAATGCTCGGTTTTCTTTGGTATACTAGGTGCAATTGTATGCTGACATGGTGGTGAATGACAGTTGGTCGACCCGATGCTGCGCCCATATCTACCGATACTCGCATGGAACGTTCTGTCAGGGAGGGATTGAAGCTCGTTCATGCATACATTAATCCCGATGTCATCATTTCACAAGGCCAAAGTTGGGAAGATTCCTTCTTCTGGGAGGGAGTGGAAGCCCATGCCCACGACAGTCGTACTACCCACATCGCCCTCCCGGCCGCATCAAGAGATCTCATGTGGATGGCCTCTTTGGATAGCGCAGCTCTTCGCTGTAGGTCAACCTCTATCAATCCTGGATTTCGTCGTATCACAGGCTAACAAGACGACACTAGTATGGAACAAAGTTCGCATTGAGATTGTGATCAATGCGCCTCAAGATTCTGGGTCTTTGATCAGACTCCTGAAATCCTTGGATGCAGCTGATTATCTAGGATCTGTTCCTTCCGTGACCATAGAGCTTCCGCCGGCGGTGGACCCGCAGTTGCTCCAATTCTTGAGGCTCCCAGATGGATTAACCCAGCTTGCAAACCATATCATCCTACGGCGCCGTGTTCAACCGCACCGGGTGGATCCAGCAGAAGCCTCTCTCCGGACTGTGGAATCATTCTATCCTTTGGAACCAGAGATGACCCATTTGCTTGTGCTTTCCCCTCAGGCAGAGCTGGCGCCGTCGTTCTACCATTACCTGAAGTACAGTGTACTGAATTACAAACACTCCGCCCGTGCCAAACAAGTTTTCTTCAAATTGGTCGGTGTATCCCTTGAACTACCGTCCACCAAACCTACCGTGGACAAACAGATATTCGCCCCACCGGATATGGGTGCCAAGGACAAAGATCAGCTTGTCCCTTCATTTATCTGGCAAGCCCCTAATAGCAACGCAGCTCTTTACTTCGGTGATCTTTGGACGGAATTTCACTCGTTCCTATCCAGCCGCCTATCGTCACCTGCATCTGAATCGGCGTCTCATACCAAGTCAATCTCTGAGAATTATCCCGCGTTCATGGAATACTTGCTCGAAATGATTCGTGCAAATGGGTATTATCTTCTTTACCCATCCTTCCCGAGCATGGAATCTTCCTCGATTGTTACAATACACAATGAGCTATATCAGCCCCCGGAAGAATTTGGAGACCACAGTATCTCTGGTTCCGAGAATGAACGTGATCCCTCTACCAGCCCAGGGTCTCTTGAGAAATCTTTCCGCCACGCACGTACCATCATGCCTCTGCTTGATTTGTTCCCGTCGGGGCTCCCGGACCTTGATGCTCTGCCTCTGCTTGGTTTTGATGGAGAGAAATTAGATGCTGCCGAGTACGAACTTCGAACAAGAGAGTATTTGCAATCATTCCGCACTGATTATGGAGGATGTGCTGGAGACAGCAAGATGGACACTCTTTCGTCAAACTTATTTTGCAGGCAGGAATGAACTTGATCTTTCTCTAGAATCTGAGTCCTGTCCACGAAATTTTTCACATTTCCAGTAAAATATAGACATACAGCAGATCCATGCCTCCAAGGACCTTAGAAAATGTACTTGTGTATAAAACAATTCGCATTAGAAACAAGTAGAAATGGAAGCGTCCGAAGGTAAAAACAATGACGGAGGCCTTGGCACCTTATGTAATACGATTGCGGAGCTGCACCAGACCGAGCTCTGCTTCTCCATCACCAGCTTACAATCCACTTGCATCACTCATTACTTGCAGAATTCCATCTACTTCTGCATTGTAACAGTATCATCTCCTCGTCTGCTTGATATCTCTCACTGCCCCGCTCACCCAATCTACCCCCGACCTGGTCACCAGCAGAAATGGCCAACGAGGGCGAACGGCCAACCTCCGCCGACAAGGGCAAGGGCAAGGTTGATGATGTTCGTGAACAGACCGACAAGAACGCCGAGAAGGGCGAGAAAGCACCAGCCGATGCAAACAAGAAGGAAGGAGAGGACGAAGATGGTACGTTGCGATAACACTCCACCCAGCAATCTCGAAATCGGGCATCTGGTGTCTGTGAATGTGCAGTGAATCAGTTTGTTAACTCGATATGGCTTTCAGAGGAACTCAGCGAAGAAGACCAGCAATTGAAGAGCGAACTCGAGATGCTCGTTGAGCGTTTAAAGGTAAAATGACTCCGGCTCCATGCGCATAGTGCAATGACGTTAATCCTTGGTTTTGCTCACAACAGGAACCGGATACATCGCTCTACAGTGCTGCACTGGACGCAATCAAGACATTCATCAAGACCTCCACATCCTCTATGACCGCTGTTCCTAAGCCCCTCAAGTTCCTCCGGCCGCATTACGATGACCTATCCGGGCTATATGAAAAATGGGCCGCGGGCCCTGTGAAGGTTGGTTATGCAACGTGAACTTGCTTTTCTGATTATCTAACGGACTTGTTTCCAGAACTCTTTGGCCGATATGATGTCGGTACTCGGAATGACCTACGGAGACGAGGAGAAGCTGGAGACCATCAGATACCGCCTCCTGGCCAAGTCCGAGGACCTTGGCTCTTGGGGACATGAATACATTCGCCATCTTGCTTTGGAGATTGGCCAGGAATATCAGAACCGGTTGAACGCAGACCAGGATACTCAAGATCTAGTAGACCTTGCCTTGTCACTCGTCCCATACTTCCTGAGCCACAATGCCGAAGCCGATGCTGTTGATCTTATGAGCGAGCTGGAAATTATCGAGGACATCCCCCAATTCGTTGACGAAAACACATATGCTCGGGTCTGCTTGTATATGGTCAGCATGGTCAACCTCCTCACGTACCCCGAAGACCAGCAGTTCCTTCGAACCGCCCACGAGATCTACGTCCGCTACAACAAACTCTCACAAGCGATTGTACTCGCCATCCGTCTGAACGACACCGATCTCATCAAGAGTGACATCAATGCGACGACAGACGTGTCTCTGAAGAAGCAGATGGCTTTCCTTGTCGCTCGGCAACAGATCTGGCTCGACCTTCCCGCCGAAGATGAGGAGGGAGAGGCTCTGGCGGACTGTCTCAACAACACCTCTATCCCCAACCACTTCAAGTCTCTCGGCAAGGAACTCAACATTCTGGATCCCAAGATGCCGGAGGATATCTACAAGACACACCTTGAGAGCAGCCGCGGAGCCGGCCTCACGAACCTCGACTCTGCACGACACAACCTGGCCAGCGCTTTTGTGAACTCATTCGCCAATGCCGGCTTTGGTAACGATAAGATGATGTTGATTGAGGGTGATAAGGGCCCGTGGGTTTGGAAGACTAAGGACGACGGCATGCTTTCGACCACCGCGTCACTTGGTATGCTGCTGCACCGTGATGTGGATGAAGGCCTTGACAAGATCGACAAGTTTACCTACGCCCATGAAGACCAAGTCAAGGCAGGTGCACTGCTTGCCATTGGTATCATTAACTCCGGTGTTCGCGTTGAATCTGACCCAGCTCTTGCCCTCCTGAGTGATCCCGAGAACCTGGAGGCGAAGAGTGTTCCTATGAGAGTCGCATCCATCATGGGTCTTGGTCTGGCCTATGCTGGCTCCAACAAGGAAGAGCTTCTCGAGGTTCTTCTGCCCATCGTGGAAGACGCTTCACTAGACATGCAGCTGTCAGCCATGGCAGCTGTTTCACTTGGTCTCATCTTCGTCGGTTCATCAAACCACCAGGTCAGTGAGGCTATCGCCACTACACTGATGGATGAAGAACGCCAGAAGCAGCTCAAGGATAAGTGGACAAGATTCATGGCTCTTGGTCTGGCTCTCCTATACTTCGGTCGCCAAGAGGAGGTCGACGTTATCCTCGATATTCTCAAGGCCGTTGATCACCCCATGGCCAAGCCCACTTCCGTTCTTGCCTCAGTATGCGCCTGGGCAGGCACCGGAACAGTCTTGAAGTTGCAGGAGCTTCTCCACATTTGTAACGACATTATTGAAGAGAAGGAAGAGAACAAGGGCGATGAACTTGTCCAATCATACGCCGTTCTCGGTCTTTCACTCATTGCCATGGGTGAGGATGTTGGCCAGGATATGATTCTCCGCCAGTTCGGCCACCTGATGCACTATGGCTCCAGCAACATTCGCCGGGCTGTTCCCCTGGCCATGGGACTGATCAGCCCTAGCAACCCTCAGATGAAGGTTTACGACACATTGTCTCGATACAGTCACGACAATGACAACGAGGTTGCCATCAACGCTATCTTTGCCATGGGTCTCTGTGGTGCCGGTACCAACAACGCCCGTCTTGCACAGCTTCTTCGGCAATTGGCGAGCTACTACCACCGTGACCAGAACTCTCTGTTCATGGTCCGCATTGCCCAGGGTCTCCTCCACATGGGCAAGGGTACTATGACTCTCAACCCCTTCCACACCGACCGACAGGTCCTTTCCCGCGTCTCAGCAGCGGGATTGCTCACTGTGCTTGTGTCTTTGATTGATGCCAAGCAATTTATCCTTGCTGAACACCACTACCTGCTCTACTTCCTCATTACCGCCATGTTCCCTCGCTTCCTTATTACCCTCGATGAGGATCTTCAGCCTCTCACCGTCAACGTCCGCGTTGGCCAGGCTGTGGATGTGGTCGGTCAGGCAGGTCGTCCCAAGACCATCACTGGATGGCAAACCCAGAGCACACCGGTGCTTCTGGCTCACGGTGAGAGAGCCGAGCTTGAGGATGAGCAGTATATTCCTCTGAGTAGCACGCTTGAAGGCCTGGTTATCTTGCGCAAGGTATGATTTCCTCTCTAACCCTTAACCGGCCAATGCTAACGCATATTTCAGAACCCGGACTATGAAAGCCCTGAATAAGCGAACGAGATATTCCCCGAATTTCATCCATTGCTCGCGACCGGCGAAACTCGTATAGTGGCTGGGTTATCGTTGGATCTAATGTATTCAGAACGAATTGAGGAATAGCATGGATTTGTTTCAAATTTACATTGTCTGGACTGCAGAGGCTGTCCTGATCAATGGCCTTAAATGGCGTCGTGAGAACTTTGACTATGAGCAGAGACGCGCGACTTGGCTTGCTGTATACTTCTCTTTTCATTCAGTACTTCAGCACAATGTCTTTAGACCGGGTTTCCAGGAGCCACGTAGCTCATCGCATGCGATGTATACCCTACTGTTTTGAGGCTGAAGCTGCTATCAAGGTTCTCACCCGCAATAGGAAATAGGGCTTAGGGCAAGGTTCTTATCAACTTTTTTCCTCTGCCGCATGGGAGTTGGTACGATTTGCCTGGAAGTTGTAGTCCTCAACCAATCGATTTTGGCCCTTAGAAAGACAAGAAAGCATCTCTCGTCTTCCCAGCAGCCATGAAGCTCGACGCCAAAGCTATTCGCTACCTCACCTCCGAGGATTTCCGTGTTCTTGCCGGGGTACTTATCGGCCCCTCTCTGATTGCCCCGCGACATTCAGTTAGATGATGTCGCACCTCGACCATATGCTAATATTGGAGTCTGAAATAGGTTGAAGCCGGAAGCCGAAACCATGAGGTCGTCCCGACGCCGCTGATCTCGAACCTTTCGGGCCTCCGCGGTGGCAGCGGAGTGAACCGCGCAATTTCCAACCTGGCAAAGATCAATCTGATCGCTAAGGTCAAAAATGCCAAATGTGAGCATTCTGTCGACTCGATCACTTGCCTACACGACGCTAATACAACGGCTATAGATGACGGCTACCGACTTGCATATGGAGGATTGGATTATCTTGCGCTGAACGCGCATCAGAAAGCAAAGGTCATCTACTCAGTTGGAAACCAGATTGGTGTCGGCAAGGAATCAGACATTATCGTGGTGGCACACAGCAGCGGATCCCAGCGCATCATGAAGATTCACCGTCTCGGCCGTATCTCTTTCCGAACTATCAAAACCAACCGCGATTACCTTCGACACCGCAGCTCAGCCTCTTGGATGTACATGTCACGACTGGCGGCAATGAAGGAATTCGCGTTCATGAAGGCACTGCGCGAGAATGGATTCTCCGTCCCCGAGCCCATTGCTCAGAACCGACACACCATCGTGATGGGTTTAATCGATGCTTTCCCTCTGCGCCAGATCGCCAAGGTCGCCGATCCCGCCAAGCTCTATTCGGAGCTCATGAACATGATCTTGGAACTTGCGCGATTTGGTCTGATTCACGGTGACTTCAACGAGTTCAACATCCTGATCAAGGAAGAAGTGGATCCTGAGGCTAAGGCCAAAGGTCCACTCACTGAGGAAGAGGAAGATGAGAACCTGTTGTTGACTCCTGTTCTCATTGATTTCCCTCAGATGGTGTCTGTTGACCACGTTAATGCCGAGATGTACTTTGACCGCGATGTCGAATGTATCAAGCGGTACTTCAGACGCAAGTTCAAGTTCGTGAGCGATAAGAAGGGTCCCACCTTTGCTGAAGCCAGGAAATTGCTCCTCAAGAACCCTGGCAAGCGCCTGGATATTGAGGTCGAGGCATCAGGGTTCTCCCGCAAAATGGCCAAGGAGCTGGAGGCGTACATGCAGGAAGTGGGAGCCACTGGAGATGGAGAGGGCTCCAAGAACAGTGACGACGAAGAGGATGATGACGATGAGGAGGAATCTGGGTCCGAAGAAGACGACCACAGTGACGCCGAAGAGAATCAGACCTCCGAAGATGTTGATGATAGCGCCAAGCGGCTGGAAGACCTTCGAGTCTCAGAATCATCGGCTCAATAAAGGCCCATGCTATGTGGCCCTGCTTAATGACCAGTTACGACGAATCAAGCATGTAATAGTACCTATGCATATGTAGGTTGTCAAACATCCTATCAAATCAATGAGTCTCTTCGAAATCACCTTAGTCAATGTTTTGAGAAAGTCCCAAAATCATGCCTCAGACCGATGCGGTATGGTACATAACCGATTTATGTAGCTGAATAGACATTCCAATGTTTGCTTTGGCCTAGGAAGTGTGTAGATGTAGAAAGGCTCCGGCGTTGGCGCATGTTTAATCACGTGACAAGACTGGCGGATGCATTTTGAATGCAAGCCCCGAACACCTTCGAGTACCAGATACCTCAACCCAACAACACAATGGTCCGTCTTAGCAATATTGCAGGCAAGGCCTTTCGCCGTGCGCGAGAGCAAGCCAGCGCGCAGCCAGTAACCCAATTCCGCACCTCAGAAGTCGTCGGCAAGCCGGTTTACATGTACGTTATCCAAAAATTCCCAGAACGCCATATCGATCCAGCCCACAGCACCGGCAACACTGCACTATTGCAATTGAATACTCCGACGATTATTTTAATCGAATCTAGCTAACTGGAATCACCTTCCAGGCCCCAATTCCGCATCGCTCTCGTCCACAACCCCAACAACTCTCCGAAATACGCCCAATTCCGCGTTCCCCTCAGCTTCAACAAGTTCGACCTCCGTAGCTACCTATGGAACCTCTATGGCGTTGGTGTCCTCGGTATCCGCAGTTACGTCCAGGCACAGGGAATCACACGAATCACGCGTGACGGCAAGGGATACGGCCCATGGCGCCGACCCAAGTCGCAGAAGCGCATGACCGTCGAGCTGAAGGAGCCTTTCGCTTGGCCCGAAGCACCCCAGGATATGGCTCCGTACGAACACCCCACCCTCCTGCCTTCAATCCTTCCCAAATCTCGCCTTGTCAACACGTCGCGATACCATGTACTAACGTTTTTCTTAATAGCTTCGAGTTCGAGAGCTGGAAGAAGGCCGAGCTGTGGCAGAAGGAGCAGCAAGATAAGGAGAACCCGAAGCGTAACTCTGGCGAAGAGCCGGATCACAAGCTTCGCGCCGCTTTCAAGGAGCAGGCTCAGGCTTTGCAAGCGAACAAGGAGACTTGGAGACCGACTTGGAAGGCCTTGGGCCTTGAGCCTCATGAGGTTGCTAAGTCCACTCGTACCGTTCCCTCAACACAGCCTGGTTGGTATGCTCGGCAGCGCAAGGCCGGGTCGAAATAAGTTCACATGTCGTTCTGATGGATTGTGCATTGTTGGGTTTTCCTAATTGGACTATTGGTGTTTCTCTTTCTGTTCTGGTCCGTTTGGGCTGGAATTGTGTATTATACTCTTGGGTAGACTGTATACATCTTCATTTGGCGTCCTGTATTTTCTATTTTCTACCTTGGTTTATGATCGGATTCATCTCGTATGGGGAGATTTTGGCAAGGATGTGATAGAATATTTGTGATAGACATGGTAATGAGGTTCATTGAGTTGAGATTTGTGAAAATATTGACTGACATGAGCATATCGCAGACAGGATTAAGTACAGTTCACTAAGGCACAGAAACACGCTATGCAGGAAGAAACGAGGGCAAGGAAAATCAAAATGCTAGAACGAGAGAAAGGGGACGCGCAGAACACCGACGAGAGTGATTTACAAACGACTCTCGACGAAGTTCATCTGCTGGCCCGGCCATTGCGCGTCGGGCCAGATTTGACGAAGCCCTTCCCAAATGTGCCTGTTGGTTTCTTGTTAGTGGTGTTCTTGAGCAGACGGGGCAATAGATATAACTCACTTGACAAAGATGATTTCCAGACCATCCTGCACTTCTTGTGGAACTTCCTTCACATCCTTGCGGTTGTGGTCAGGAAGCAATACTGTCTTGACACCTGCGCGGTGAGCGCCGATCAGCTTCTCCTTGATACCACCGACGGGCATAACTCGACCGCGGAGCGAGACCTCGCCGGTCATGGCAATCTGAGGAGGAACAGGCTTGTTACTGAACAGGGAAATCAATGCGACGGTATGGGCAAGACCGGCAGAGGGTCCATCCTTAGGGATAGCACCGGATGGGCAGTGGACGTGGAGACTTCGACTCTTCATGATATCCTCATTGGGGTCATGAGTGAGACCGAGCTCGAAGGAGTGTGCCTTCACCCATGTTAGGGCTACTTCCACGGATTCCTTCAGCACATCACCGAGCTTTCCGGTGAGCTGAACGCGCCCATTGCCCGGCATGTCTGCGACTTCAATGAACAGGATACTGCCTTGGCCACCGGTGGAGTAGGCAACGAGGCCAGTCACCACACCAGGACGACCATGCTTTTCGGCAATCTCTTCCTCAAATCGCTCGATGCCCAGGATGTCCTCCAGGTCGTCGACCGACACAACGGGGTTGTATTCATCAAGGCGGTCGGAATCACTAGCATCGGCATATTGAACTGCCTTATGGCGACAGATGGAACCAATTTCTCGCTCGAGGTTACGAACACCAGATTCGCGGGTGTATGAGGTGATGGTCTTATCAATCACCTCGTCAGACAAATTGACTTGTCCCTCGTTCAGTCCGTTAGACCGAATTTGCTTGGGGATCAAGTGCTGCTTGGCGATGTGACGCTTCTCAACAGTCGTATACCCGGACAGGGAGATGGTCTCCATGCGATCGAGGAGGGGTGCGGGGATTGTCTCCAATGAATTGGCAGTAGCGAGGAAGAGCACCTTACTCAGATCAATGGGGATGTTGATGTAGTGGTCGGTAAAAGTGTGGTTCTGCTCAGGGTCCAATACCTCCAGCATAGCAGCAGACGGGTCGCCTTGGAAGTTGGCACCACCAACTTTGTCAATCTCATCAAGCAAGATGACAGGGTTGGCGACACCGACCTTCTTCAAACCATTCACGACCAGACCAGGCATAGCAGCAACGTATGTACGTCGGTGACCGCGAATTTCTGCCTCGTCTCTCACACCACCAAGAGAGATGCGGTGGAACTTGCGGCCCAGCGAAGCGGCGACTGACCTGGCCAGACTGGTTTTTCCAGTTCCAGGGGGTCCGACGAGAAGCAGGATGGGAGACTTGTCCGTCATGCGCTTGGATTTCAGGAGCTCAAGCTTAGTCTCCAACGCCACTCGGTCAGACTCGGACAACAAGGGAACGTCTTTCTCGACGTCCCCTACTGCAGAGGAGTCCAAATCCCGGGAAAGGCCCCCGATTTGACGTTCAACATCAAAATTAGTCGTCTGCTTCAAGCGAAGAACAGCCAGGTATTCCAAGAGTCTCTTCTTGATACGATCAAGGCCATAATGGTCTTCATCCAACTGCTTCCTGGCTCGCTTCAGGGTGTCAGGGCCAAGCTGATCCTCTGTCACCTTGGTCCAGGGAATCTCCGATAGGTTTTCCAGATAGGTGCGACAGACACCATACTCGGCATTGGCCGGGTTCATCTTGCGCAAGCGCTTCAGCTCCTTGTCCGCAATCTTTCGGGCTTCAGGGCTAAGCTGTGCATCATGTAGCTTCTGTTGAAGCTCATCCACCTCATTAGGCTCTTTATCGTCATCGTTCCCACGCCCGGAGGTTCCAGGGGGTGTCATGCCTGCCAGCCCCGACATTGCGCGCTTTGCAAGGATCTCGCGCTCCCGGGGATCAATCTGGCTGATGTCCATACCGGACGACGGGAAGGAGGTTGAGCCAATGGAAGTCACCTTAACGCTACTCTTAATATGCTGTGCCTGTCGACTGAGGATCTCAACGACCCTAGTCAAACGTTCTTTAACATCCAGGGAGGCAAGGATGCGCAACTTCTCTTCAAAGCTCGCGTCAGAGACATCTGCCATGAAATCTGCCAGCTTTCCTGCCTGTGCCAATTCGGTTTTGGAAATATATAGCTCAAACTTCCGGGCAACTAGTGGCGAAAGGCGAGAAGATGCTGCCGACAATAAGGAGGAGAGGCGGAGGAGGGTGAGAAGCTCTCTCGAGAGTTGCCTCAATTGTTGGAAGAGATCAGTCACCTGGTCATCATTCTGGTCGGAGGCTAATATCGCAATCATGATGGTTAGCCACGCTTCCCCTTGAAGCCCATATGGGCAATCACACGGACGAGCACTCACTGCTTTCCTCGTGGAGAGTAATTTCAGCTTCGAAGTATGGGCGATCACGCAGAATCTTCTTAATTGAGAACCTTTGCTGTCCTTGGACTAGCAGGAAGGGCTCGGAGTATGCCCGGCGCTGAACTCCGATGACTTTTCCTACGGTTCCAAATCGGAAAAGATCATCTTTGCGCGCCTGGCCGGCATCGATCGCATCATAATCTCCTTTCCGCTCTGCGTCTGAGTCTGCGCCTTCCAGGAGCTGCTGGCCATCACGGCTGAGGAAGGGTGAGCTCAGCGGAACACATCCGAAGGTTATGGAGTTGGCATCTCGCCTCGAAGGCTTGTCGACCAGTGATGAAAGAAGATTGGCGAGATCAGGGCGGTTCGAGACCGGGATTCGTAGAGTGACGCCGGGGAGAAGTACCGAGCCCTTGGCGAGGGGAACGAGAGGGATCTTTCGGCTATTGGATCCCATCTTGTACCCTACTGGATGGGGATGGATGGATATGGATGGATATGGATGATGGAATGCAAAAGGGGAATGGAAGATGAAAGGAAAACCAAAGACAAAATGACGAAGATGGGGAATGTGGAGAGGGTGAGGGGAAGATGTTATAGGAGAAGAGCAGAAGCGCGTAGATGGGGAGTCCGGGGGAGATAAGAGCGAGTCGCATGTCTTGTAATCTCCACGTCCCGAAGCCGAGGTTAGGTCCTTTTGCTGTGTATTGGGGCGTATTTGGTGTTTTTACCACTATAACATACATCTCTAACTGAATTCATCCAGCAGAAGATTCTAGATATTATCTTTTGACTCTCAGCTCCCATACTGTAAGTAACATACTCTAGTATCCGTCCTGTACTGCATCTCCGGGGGCAATCTATTGCCTGATCTGCGTCCCGTGATCGGAGCCCACTTTTTTCGCCTCGCGACTTTCCTCGGCTGCGTTGCTTTGGACTTGGATTTCTAGTTCAAACAATGGCTGCCCCCGCCCCCGCCCAGAAGACCTTCACCATTGGCACCCGCAAGTCCAAATTGGCTCTGCTACAAACCGATTTGGTCCTGGCCGCCTTGAAGAGCGCATTCCCGCAATATGAATATCAAATATTCTCCAAGGAAACTGCCGGCGATCTGAACACTACCATTGCCCTGCGGGATTTTACCACCAAGAATTTGTGGACTGAGGAGTTGGAGGAGCTGATGATCGGCGGTCAGGTCGATCTCATTGTGCACTCACTGAAAGGTTCGCTAATTACTGCCCCAAAACAAGTTAGCTAGTTTGAGAATGTGTATTCTGACGTGTGTTTGTCTTATCAGATGTCCCCACTACCCTCCCCTCATCCTGCAAGTTGGGTCCGAGCATGCCCCGCGAAGACAGCAGGGATGTTCTCGTCGTGAAACAAGGCTTTTCCTACAAGAGCCTGTCCGAGATCCCCGCCGGCTCCGTAGTTGGCACTTCTTCCATCCGCCGCACGGCCCAATTGGCCCGGAAATACCCCCACCTGAAGGTCCAGGATGTCCGTGGAAACATTGGTACCCGTCTGTCCAAGCTAGACGCCGAAGATAGTCCTTACACCTGCATCATTCTTGCCGCCGCCGGCCTGCTTCGCTTGGACCTGGCTGATCGTATTACACAATACCTTGACTCCAAGAGTAGCGGTATGCTCTATGCCGTGGGCCAGGGAGCCCTCGGCATTGAAATCCGAAAGGAAGATACCGTGCTGCAGGAGATGCTCAACACTATCGGCGACCAAGATACCACTCTCTCCGTTCTGGCCGAGCGGAGTCTTCTGCGTACTCTGGAGGGTGGCTGCAGTGCCCCTCTGGGAGTCGAGACCGAATGGGTCCAGAGCTCTGAGGGCAAGAAGCTCCGCATGCGCTCTGTCGTTGTAAGTGTTGATGGCAAGGAGTGTGCTCAGGTTGAGCTGGATGCCGCTGTCGACTCCGTTGAGACCGCGGAGGCCTTCGGTGTCACGGTGGCCGATGCCCTTGTGGCTGATGGTGCCGGTGCCATCCTCGAGGCTATCCAGCAGAACAAAGCTAAGGAGAGCACTACTGCTTGAGCTGGAAAAATGTTGGTTGTGTATAGGTACATATACCCTGTGAAAAGAATGAAGTGAACGATTTTTCTTATTTTGTATGCTCGCCATGGATCCCTGCCATGGCTCTATGGATTGTAGTAGAGTTGTTTCATTCGCATCTTCCAAATCAACCCCGATTAAGCGTGTTACCGGCCCCCTTAGGGTTGGCTTCCGTGTACTCATCCCAAGCTCGCGCCTTGAGCGTTTCCTGGTCGGCAATGTTATGATCATCTTCATCAACTTCAGGCTTGATGCCAGACTTTTCTCCTCCTCCTTCGATGACATTGCCTCTTCTATGTTCTTCGTCGAGATAATCCTCAATGGTCATAGTTGGCAGGTTATGACCAGGTCGGAAGACTCCTTGTTGCATTTCAGAGCGTCGGCCCAACAATGTGAAAGGCTGCATCGGCTTTCCTTTGCTGTTCAAGATCGGACCGCCTCGGCCTCGTCCCAGAAGCTGGGACATTGAAGGATCCAAGCGATCGGAATAATTTAAGCCTCCAATATTACTCCGCTGTCTGGGGTCGTCAGTCGGTGGTGGCCGGGGTGGAGCATTGCGCATGGCTGAAAGTATCGATAATTCTTGAATCAGAAGATCCAACGCTTGAAATGTCTGGTGCGTATAAAGCTGGAGCTCTGCCAGGTAAAGTGATCGGGTATCATCATCGTCGCTTTGCAGTCGGGCTTCATTTCGGGAAAAGTACTGCAGGAAGTGTTAGTGGAATCACCATATCAACTTTCTCGTAGTGATAGCTACCTCCAATTTCTGCTTCAGCTCTTTCTCTTCTCTGAACCGGTTGACCTTGATCTCTCGACGAGCGGCGGCATCGTTGGACGGTGCAAGCGTGAATGAGGTCGGATTCGTCATGTATTGCTCAAAAAGCTTTTTGTCGCCAGCAGGAAGCAACAAATATTCGTCCAATCGCATCAAGTATTTCTCATACTGTTCCAAGGCACGTCGAAGAGCTGCTTCCCGGTCTGAAGTGGCGCCTCGTTGCATCAGCTCGGCGAGGTGGTATTCCAGCGACATGTACCTGCAGAGGATGATCAGTTGAATGAGCGACACATTGACAGATCATTGGTGACTTACTGAAGATCGCCAGAAGAGACATCCTCGAGTAGCTCATTGTTGCTGAAAAGCGACAGCATGCTCACTTGTCGCTGGCATTCTTGGAACTTGGAGATGGCTGCATTCACCTCGTCTCGGTAGGCCTCAGTGTTGGTGTCACCCCGTGAGCCGAGGTTGCTCTTTTGCTCCTTGGCAGAGAAGAAGAGAGATCGAAGAGTTTGCGGTTCATCCATTGTGGTGGTGGAATTCTAAGGGCTGACCCCCGCGATTGGAATCTGAGTTTTGGAATGGCGATAAGCCCGATAAAGAGCTTCGTCTTATCTCTCCAGCGTCCACGGGGGTGTGTCGGAGTACCAATGTAGGTAGGTAGGTAGCTCTTCACATTTTCTATATTCAATGCTGGTTTCTAAATCATCCATGTATATATTGGAGTTCATTTTAGTCGGTTTTGAATTTGAGTCAGGTATTCAGATTCATCTCAGTCTCACTTAGCCATGAATCTACATGATATATATTCAGACTTGAAATTGTATAGCTCTTATATACTTCCAAGGTTCATCGTAACCTTCGAATATACTAGACGACTGTTTTGCTTCCAAGTTGTTGTAAAAACTGAATTTTGGTCCCATACATTTACTCACCAACAAGTAATTCCATCCTTTGAAGATTGAGCTGCCATCAACATTTGCCCAGGTGACCTCAAGGAATACCTAGGTATGTTCGAATATGGTTGACACATAGGCAATACCTGGCACCATATGCTCCGGGGCGCGACCTATCTCTCTCTTCATGCAAACTCCAGCCTACCTAGTAGTGTGTAGTCCCAAGGTTCTCACCTGGGCATTCACCCGATCAGGCATTCTCAGACTCCGAAGTAACTTCAACAAATTCCAAGATTGCATTGCCTAGTACAGTCAAAGAGAGCGAGGGCAGGAACGTCCCTGGTACTAAACATCGAAGGTATGTACTGGCCGGGGACAATGGGAACTATCTACCTAGGTATGTATTCAAAGCTTGATAACCCCCTTAACCTTTACCTTCCTAGTTGCACCTGCCTCTTTAACAGATATTGAGGTCTAAAATCCGTCCCTTGGGCCCCCGGGGGCCTGGGCTCGACATCTGGATCTTTCTCTCTCTCTCTCTCTCTCTCTCTCTCTCTCTCTCTCTCTCTCTCTCCCTCTCTCTCTCCCTCTCCCTCTTGTACACAAAAGCAGACTCACTCACACGTCTGGTCGAGAATTCCAAGACATCATGTCTCACGAAGCCGTTGGTGATCCATACGACAGTGGCTCCGAAATCGATGAGACGCCGGAGCCACATCTGGGAAAGTCACAATCTCAGAATGCCGTGTTTAATGCACTGTTTGTCTATCTCATCTGAACATTTACATCACTCTCACTGACTAGGAGCTCTACAGACTCGAAAGGCATATTACTGATGAACCAAACGATGAAACCGAAGAAGAATCTCGCGGGAGAGCCCGTACAAACAAGCCTGGAGGCGATATGTCGCTTGCTCGCTTGGTCGCAGACCAAGGCACAGAAGCGGGCGCATTGGATCCACGCGAATACCAACTACAGCTCTTTGAGAGAGCTAAAAAAGAAAACACAATCGCTGTCCTAGATACAGGCTCTGGAAAGACGCTGGTTGCAGTGCTTTTGCTGAAGCACATCCTTGAGCATGAACTGATGGATCGTGCGGAAGGCGCAAAGCCACGAGTTTCTTTCTTCCTGGTAGACAGTGTCACTCTTGTCTTCCAACAGTCCACGGTCTTACGGAATAACATTAACCAGAAAGTGGCACACTTCTATGGTGCACTGGGGTCTGATCTTTGGGACAAAGTGACTTGGAGAGAACATCTTCAGAAGTACATGGTGATCGTCTGCACGGCCGACATCTTGAACCAGGCTCTACTAAATGGACACGTCAAGATTGAGCAGGTCAACCTCTTGATATTCGATGAGGCACATCATGCTAAAAAAGAGCACCCTTATGCCCGGTATGATCGGGTTAATCGTTGAATCATACTCAGGCTCACAACTAACAATCGGTTAGAATTATCAGGGAGACCTACATGACTGCAGATCCTACCAAGAGACCAAGGGTTTTTGGTATGACAGCTTCTCCGGTTGATGCCAGGTGTGACATAGCAGAAGCAGCAATGTGTGTAAACCTTCAAATGAGTGAGTTGAGCGACTACTTCGGATGATACTGACAGTTAAAAGCCAGCTAGAGACACTTATGGACTGTCGAATTGCAACAACGTCGAATATCTCCGTGCTGCGCCAGTTTGTGAACAAGCCCACAGAAGAAGAGTGGGTATACGAGAAGCTCCCCGCGCCGTTTGAGACCGAATTACATGGAATCTTGAAAGCCAGATATGGGGATATATCATTCCTCAATGGGATCTTTCAATTCTCGTTTGCTGCAAGCGCTGAGCTAGGTCCTTGGTGTGCAGACCAGGTCTGGGCGCTTGCGCTCGCGGATGAGGTCCTCCCCAAGCTTCAGGCCCTCATCATGAAAGGGGCGGATACCGATCCTCAAGTTTGCGAGAAGGTTGAAAATGAGATTGAGCGAGTCCGCGAAGCGAGCGAATTCGCTAAGAACTATGTCTTCGACAACTTTTCTAGACCAACCGGGTCGAGTTCCAAGGTTGAGCTTTTGTTGAAAAAGCTCACCGAACAATTCCTCAAATACGCTGACACCAAGTGCATCATATTTACGGAGCGCCGGAATACCGCAAAAGTCTTGCTGCAGCTCTGCAACGCTAGGAGTATCATGAACTTGCGGCCTGATCTGTTGGTCGGCGCACGCAAGAGTGATACCATGGGAATGAATGTGACATTTCGTCAACAGTTCCTTGCCCTGATGAAGTTTCGGAAAGGGGAAATCAACTGCCTAGTAAGTGTTCTTGGTGAACCCTGCATCCAGCATCTATCTAACCATTCTAGTTCGCGACCTCGGTGGCCGAAGAAGGCCTAGACATACCAGACTGCAATTTGGTCGTGCGGTATGCTGTTCATTCATATTGATACTTAATGCATCATCAGCTGAGTCTTACAGTTTCAATATCTACGACACAGTGATTCAATATGTCCAAAGCCGAGGTCGTGCCAGACATTGTGACTCTGTGGTAAGAACTACATGCGTAGTTGGCCTTCTGATTTACTTCACACGTGCTTACAATTGATAGTATGCAACAATGATTGAAGAACGCAATCGACATCACCAGATGAGAATCCAGGAAGTGAAGAAAGCAGAGGTACGGAAATGAAGTTCGAGGCATTTGATACTGTCCCTTGAACTAACTTGCCTTCAAGCTCCTCATGAAGAATTTCTGCAACATGATACCAGAGGATAGGAAGCTCTATGGAGTCGAGAATGACCTGGAAGACACTATGCGCGGAGAGGGTCGGAAGAGATCCTATACCGTTGCCACAACCGGTGCTAAATTGACGTACCGACATGCAATCGACGTGCTTGGGCGGTTTGCAACCTCATTGGTGAGACATTGATCATGAAACTGACTCTGCTTTCGAGTCTAACAATGAGTCTATTACAGCAATATGAGAACGATAATTCAGCTCGGGTCACCTACATCGTCATGTCTGAGAATGATTCATTCAGCTGTGAAATCATCTTACCTGAGAAGTCACCTATTCGAGGTATTATCGGATGCGCTGAGTCAAAGAAATCGGTTGCGAAGCAGTCCGCAGCCTTTGACGCCTGTCTATTACTTCGAAAAAACAATCTTCTCGATGACCACTTCAACTCCATATACCACAAACGCCTGCCCGCAATGCGGAATGCAAAACTCGCCATTACCTCCAAAAAGACAGATCAATACACTATGCGAAACAAACCTGAGATCTGGCTTAAGCGACAAGGAACCACACCGAAACGCCTATATGCAACAGTGATATGTCTAGTTCCTACAGAGCCTGTCAACCCAGAGCCTGCAGGTATCATTCTCTTCACAAGAGATAGACTCCCAAGTTTTCCAACCTTCTCTGTTTACTTGGATAACGATGTTGAAACTACAGTTCATTGCTCGTGCACTGACAACTGTTTGGAGATCACTCCTTCAACATTGGGATTACTCACGGATTTCACACTCGCACTGTTTCATGACATATTCAAGAAAACATATTCCCCAGTCGCAGAAGCTTTTCCTTACTGGCTTTCTCCTCTAAACAAGAGTATCACGAAGCCAGTACCCGGACAATCAACCACACTCTTTGACATGATTGATTGGGATGTTCTACAGTACGTCCAGGACAACCCAGAGATCAAATGGTCTGCAGATATGGAGCCCAAATCACTGCTGAATCGATTCCTTTATGATGACTGGAATGGAAGGTATCGTTACTTTTCATTTGCAATAGATCGTTATCTTCGCCCTTCCGACCCGCCGCCATATTACGCCCCATCGCGGAAATGGAACGCAGATATCATGAATTGGTCATCGAGTCTCAGCAAGAACTCCCGGGTCAAGTTCTTCAATCGATGCAACTGGGGCCAGCCAGTCTTGCAGGCACAGCTGATTTCTTTTCGACGAAACTTTCTTGATCCGGCCTCGGATGAGGAGAAATCAGAGAACTTGAGATGTGTCATTTGTCCTCAGGCTTTGAATATATCGCCGGTTAGCAAATTCTTGAAGTTATATATTTGGCCTTTCAGTCCATTAATTGATATATGGCAGATCCCCATTTCGATAGTTACAGCGTGTTTAGCTTTCCCCGCGATAGTTTCCCGGCTGGAGTCCTACTTGATTGCCCAGGAGGGCTGTGAGATGCTCGGTCTTGATGTCAGACTTGACTATGCTCTCGAAGCATTCACTAAAGATTCCGACAATACCGAGGAACACCGAAGTCTACAGGTACACGTTCAGCGTGGGATGGGAAAGAACTATGAGCGCCTTGAACTCTTGGGTGACTCTGTTCTCAAGATGGCAACAACAATATCTTTATTTGCTCAAAACCCAGACGACGATGAGTATGACTATCATGTCAACAGAATGTGTCTGATCTGCAACAAGAACCTGTTTATCAACGCCAACAAACGGAATCTATACGAGTATGTACGGAGTCGTGGATTCTCTCGGTAAGTCCAATACACTGAATCATTTTAGCGAGAAAGGCACATTCAGCTCACATTCACACACAGGCACTTGTGGTACCCTCCAGGCCTATCCCTTGAAATCGGACGAGATCATGCCAAGTTTGTTATCAACGAGAGTAAACATGCTCTTGCTGAAAAAACCATTGCGGATGTTTGCGAGGCGTTGATAGGGGCTTCATTGCTATCTGGAAGTGATGGAAGTCGCTTTGACATGTCGATCAAAGCCGTGACCGTTTTCGTGAACAGCCCAAATCACACAGCCACCTCGTGGAAAGACTACTTTTCGGTGTACTCTCTCCCTACATATCAGACCCAGATGGCCGATTCCTTTGAGCAAGATCTGGCCCAGCAGGTTGCGGGTGTAGGTTACAGATTCAAGTATCCCCGCCTTCTTCGGTCAGCATTCACTCATCCCTCTTACCCAATGGCATGGTCAAAGGTGCCTTGTTACCAGCGCCTTGAATTCTTGGGAGACGCGCTCCTAGACATGGTTTGTGTGGAGCATCTTTTTCATCGTTTCCCTGATCGAGATCCACAGTGGCTCACCGAACACAAAGTAAGTAGATATCCTTTGTCGAAGCATGTTGAAGCTGCCTAACGATGCATAGATGGCGATGGTGTCAAATAAGTTCCTCGGAGCCCTAGCAGTGAAGTTGGGCTTCCACAGGCATCTTCAGCATTTTAGCAATGCTTTGATGAGCCAAATAACGAGCTATGCAGAAGAAATACAACTGGCAGAGCAAGAGCTTAAAGGCGAAGTAGACTACTGGCTATCGACGACAGACTCTCCAAAAGTAAGTGACTTCTGAATTGAATTAATCGACTGTCTAATACTAAAGATTTCTAGTGTCTTCCGGATATGTTGGAAGCATACATGGGAGCCATTTTCGTGGACTCCGGCTTTGATTTCACCGTGATTGAAGCCTTCTTCCATAGACATGTCATAGTGTACTTCCAGGACATGTCGATTTATGACACATTCGCAAACAGACATCCTACGGTACGAGCACTCACTCACTACATATGCCCTTTTGCTCCCACACCCTGTTCAGGCTAACATAATGCAGACATTCCTCCACAGTCAATTGACCTCGGAGTACCGGTGCACCGACTACTGTTTGAAGTCCGGTGCAATTACAGCCGTCGATGGAGAGACCCCAAGCGTGCTCTCTGCGGTCATCGTTCATGGCATGACCGTTGCAAAGGCAGTCGCATCGTCGGGCCGGTATGCCAAGGTCAAAGCGAGTTCCCGAGCGTTGGCGGCTCTTGAAGGAATGAGTCGCACGGAATTCCGCAAGAGATTTAATTGTGACTGTCAAGGGGATCACATTCCGGTTGCAGAGTTTGGAACAGCTATTTGATGGTATAAAGCGCCACCTATTCGATACTTGAACAGCAGACGTTCTTCGCGGTCAGGAATTCTCACATGTACAGTGGAAGAATCAAAAAAGTGTCTAGGCTCCGAGAGAAAGAGAAATGAGACCTTTCCCCTCTACATGACTGGAAAGCGTAGTGTGCAACAAGACGTAGCGTAAATTGTCCATCGACTTCTACTGCAATGAAGCCATGAAGTATGAAACAACAGAGACTAAGACGGTTTGGGCGGGAAGAGCCATGGTCGCATGGCCGTGCCACGCTTAACCCAATATGGACTAGTGTGTATCCCCTGAAGTAAAGCCAAACACGCGTATCTTTCGATCTTCAACAGAAGGACGGATAGGCCTGGAATTTATCTTTGCTTCCACATTTTTTAATCTATTAGATTTCTTTTCTTCTTTGTTACGCTACTTTTCCCACCCTCTCTGTGTCTATCGACCTCCGCTCGACGCGACCGCCCTCATCACAATCCAAACAACCCGAACAGTGCTCCTTTCGTTCCTGCATCCGATGAACATTTCGAATTCGCCTTAATAATCTCGGAAATATGGAGGTCGCCTCATCAGGCGTGCCGAATGGCATTTCAGCGCCAGAGACGACGGCCCTAGTCGACTCCGATGCTGTTGTCCAGTACCTGACGGAGGTGCTCCAGGTAACACTGGGTGCCCAAAGGTCCGAGCTGGAAGGCGAGGGGAGCTTGCTTTCAGAATCGAAATACAACGAAACCTTGCAACGGTGTACGCGATTCGCCTCCGAGTCCCAAGTTGCGCTCTACGTACAGAAGGATATTGTGGCTACGGAAGAACCAAACGGTGAAGCGCAGGACCAAGGTGGGCTGAACCCAACCTTCAGGACCGTTGAAGATAGGAATGCTGACTATATTGGAATAGAAGCAGTTGTCCAATATGCTTACAACCTTTGCGCCGACATTTCGTCTGCTCCCACCACGGTGGCCTCGTTAGCGATAATCAAGCGACCCGTTCCAATCGACCCAACGCTCCCGATGGCGTCGCAAGTCCAAGTTATGAACCTCCCCGGCCCGGCCTCTCTGAACAACGCCCCTACTCAGCAGGGTAATTCTATGCACTACCAGATCCTACACCTGCTGTTACATCATGGCCTCAGTCCCTATTTTGAAGCGCACACCCGCACCCAAGACACGGCCGTCGGCACGAAATCGAAGACGGATACGGAGGCTAAGACTGGTATTCCGGGCACCAGGAAGAAAATGGCGGATCTCGAGTTGGGATTGATGCATCTCCAGCAGAATGTAGAGATCCCGGCTTTGAATCTCCCTTTCCATGAGGTGGTACAGGCTGCGCTGAAGGAAGCCGAAGCACGCGGCATCAAACCTTCGGTCGAATTGATTCCGTCGACTGTTCTCGAGAGCAGTGCTTTCACGAACAGTATCCAGAATGTTGTGAACGGCTGGATTCGGTCGATTCAGACGATCACCAAGATGTCCCGCGATCCGGATAGCGAGTCTGCTTCCCCGGAGGTGAACTTCTGGCTTTCCATGGAATCTGCCCTAGAGGGAATTGACGCCCAATTGCACAGTGAAGGTGTCAAGCTGACTATGGACATTCTTCGTCACGCTAAACGTTATCAACCAACTCTCAGTTTCAGGGCGGATACTGGACTGAAGGATGCCACCGAGTTGGTCCAGAAATACAACCAGCTTATGCGAGACTTCCCTCTTGACGAGCTTCTGTCTGCTACTTCCCTTCAGAAGGTCCAGGAGTCTCTGAACCTGATCTTCAACCACCTGAACAAGAAGCTGAAGATTTGCCCTTATCCCATCAAGCGTGCCCTCTCACTTGTCGAGGCTATTTCTGGCGATCTTGACAAGAAGATCCATGAGCTCATTGCTGGACGCGCAATATTGCACCTGGACTACCGCGAGTTCAGATCACTGATGAAGATCACACAAGCAATCTGGCGTACTTGGGATGAAAACTTGAAGGAATTCACCAACGTTGCGCGTGAGTCAACACGGCGTCGTAATGAGAAGTTCATTCCCATCAAGATCAATGCGCGACACGACAAGACTCGCGAGCGTGTGAAATATGTGGATACTTTCAGAATTAACCACGAACAACTCCAGAAAACCATCATCAATGTGCTTGGACCCAACAGCTCTTCATCCGCTGAGACAGCTGCTGGTGTTGATGCCGATGGCGCCGTAATTGTCGAGGAAATTGGTGACGTTGATGCCGTGGAGGAGGTTGCGCATGCTTATGCCGCGCTGAAGAATGTCGACGTATTGGATGTTTCTCCAGCGGGCTCCCTGACCTGGGAACAGGCTGAGATCGCTTACAGCGAGCGCACTTCTCGTGTCGAGAACTCCATTATTGCCCGTCTGCGTGACCGTCTAGCGACAGCTAAGAATGCCAATGAGATGTTCCGCGTGTTCTCAAAGTTCAACGCCCTGCTTGTCCGCCCCAAGATCCGTGGTGCCATTGGCGAGTATCAAACACAGCTCATTGACAATGTGAAGCGCGATATCAGTGCTTTACACGAACGCTTCAAACAACAGTATGGCAATTCTGAGGCTCATGCCATGGCCCAATTGCGTGACCTGCCGCCTGTTTCAGGTGCTATCATCTGGACTCGTCAGATTGAGCACCAACTTGATGGCTACATGCGAAAGGTTGAGAATGTCCTCGGTGAAAATTGGCATCTGCACGCCGAGGGACAGAAGCTGCAAGCTGAAGGAAACTTGTTCCGCAAGAAGCTCGACACTCGACCTGTCTTTGAGTCTTGGCTTTGGGATGTTCAACGACGCCACATCACAATCGCTGGACGGTTGTTCAACGTCGTTCGCAACCGCTCAGCCGGTAACACACTCGAACTTGCAGTGAACTTCGACGCCCAGATCATTGCCCTTTTCAAGGAAGTCCGAAATCTCATTTGGCTCAACTTCCAGGTCCCTCACGCAGTCAGCAACATCTCCAAAGAGGCGAAGCGTGTTTATCCGTACGCCATTAGTCTGATGGAAAGTGTCCGCACGATGTTGCAGACAAGTCGCCAGATTGCCTCCATGGCCGATGCCAACATGCTGCTCAATGGTTACATGAACGATGTACAGATTATGGTTGCCAAAGGTGTTCCCCTTCGATGGGAATCTTTTGTTCATTCTTATGAGCTTCATGTCAAGCAATCAGCATTGGCGAACGGGGCCATCGAGTCGTCTTTGCCTGGCCGCTCTGAAAGTAAGCATGTCCAATTTGTGCGCGAGTTCGCATTCTCTGCCTCTACGCTTCAGAGTAAGACTACTGTGCTTGATTCCATCAACGAGAACATCCAGAAGTCCATCCACGAGCTCAAGACCTGTCCATATGATGCCACTGCATTCAAGCAACGTCTGGACAGCATCCAGGTTGCGGTCGACAAACTCAACCTTGAGAACTATGTTAACCTTGGTTACTGGGTTGCTCAGCTCAACGCCACAATCCAAACGATTCTGCGTGATCGACTTCATCGTGCCGTTCGGGAGTGGATAGCTGTCTTCCAAGATTCCACCAACGAGAACACAACTACCTCTCATCACAACGCAGCTGAGACGGAAGCCTTGAGCTACAAGATCCAGTTCCCTGAGCTTCTCCACGAGATCTTGATGAAGAATCAAGTTCTGCACCTGGATCCGCCCTTGCAATATGCTCGTGCAAGCTGGTTCTCTCATTTCGACACTTGGCTTGGTGTGATTTGCAACCTTGAAAAGATCAAACCTTCGCGTTACCAGATCTCCATTGGTGTTCAGAATATTCGCCAATCCGAAGTCTGCTTCTCTGATCTCCCGCAGAACTGCACAGACGAGCTCAATGAAGTCTATAACGTTGTCGAAACAAGGCTGAAGGGGGTTTCGGAGTATGTCGACAAGTGGCTGCAATTCCAATCGCTTTGGGACCTGCGGTCTGAGCAAGTCTACGACATCCTAGGTGATGACCTTTCACAATGGCTTCAGCTTCTTCAGGAGATTAGAAAGAGTCGTGCCACATTCGATACTTCTGAAGTCAGCCGCGGATTCGGTAACATTAGAATTGACTACGAGCAGGTTCAAACCAAGGTCAATGCCAAATATGACCAGTGGCAGCATGAAATCCTCGTGAAATTCGGCTCCAAGCTTGGTGGACGTATGAGAGAGGTTCATTCGGAAATCGCTGCTGCTCGCAGAGACCTCGAAGGTCAGACCTTGGAGGCTTCTTCTACTGCTCACGCCGTGTCATTCATCACCATCGTGCAGCAGTGCAAGCGAAAGACTCGAGTCTGGGAGCCCGAGGTGGACCTCTTCCGCCAAGGACAAACCACCCTGGCTCGCCAGCGCTACCAATTCCCCAATGACTGGCTCCACGTTGAGAATGTTGATGGCGAGTGGACAGCGCTGAACGAGCTCCTGAACCGCAAGAGCAAAATTGTCCACGAGCAGACTGAAGGCTTGCGCGCGAAGATCACCGCAGAGGACCGAGTCATTGCTGATAAGATTGCGGAAGTCATTGTTCAATGGAACGACGAGAAGCCCGTTTCTGGCACCATTCCACCTGAAGAAGCCTCTCGCACCCTCAGCTCATTCCAATCTCGCCTTGAGTCTCTTCAGTCCGAGTTCGAGATGGTCTCCAAGGCCAAGGAAGCTCTTGATCTCACTGCGAGCGCCGAATCATCCCTTCCTCCGATTCTCGAGGAGGTCCAGGACTTCATGTCCGTTTGGGCTGCTCTTGCGACAATTTGGAACAGTCTTAATGATCTTCGCGATGGGCTTTGGACCAGCGTGCAGCCTAGAAAGCTCCGACAGGCTCTTGACAATCTGATCAAGATGACCAAGGAGATGCCCAGTCGAATGAGACAATATGCAGCCTTTGAGCATATCCAAAACGTCTTGCGCCAGTTGTTGAAGGTCAACACCCTTCTTTCGGATATGAAGTCTGAAGCTGTGAAGGAGCGACACTGGCACAAGATCTACAAAAGTCTTAGACCCGACAAGCGGTTTTCCCTCGTCTCCTTGACTCTTGGCGATGTTTGGGACTTGCAGCTCGCATCAAGTGATGCTATCATCCGTGCAATTATTGCACAGGCTCAGGGCGAGATGGCACTAGAAGAGTTCCTGAAATCTGTTCGCGAGACTTGGCAAAATTACTCTCTTGATTTGGTACACTACCAGAACAAATGCCGTCTCATCAAAGGATTCGACGACTTGTTTGCCAAGTGCAGCGAGAACTTGAACTCACTTCAGGCCATGAGACATTCGCCTTACTACAAGGAATTCGAGGAGGAAGCTACAGCCTGGGAGGATAAGCTGAACCGTGTCCATGTTCTGTTTGACGTCTGGATCGATGTCCAGCGACAATGGGTTTACCTTGAAGGTGTTTTCACAGGAAATGCCGACATCAAGCATCTGCTCCCATTGGAATCCGGCCGTTTCCAAAACATCAACTCCGAGTTCTTCGCTGTGATGAAGAAGGTGTACAAGTCTCCATTCGTTCTGGATGTACTTGCTATCGTTGATGTCCAAAAGTCCCTGGAAAGATTGGCCGACTTGCTGAACAAGATCCAAAAAGCTCTTGGTGAATACTTGGAGCGCGAGCGTGTCTCATTCCCTCGCTTCTACTTCGTGGGTGATGAAGATCTTTTGGAAATCATTGGTAACAGCAACGACATCTTCCGCGTTGCCAAGCATTTCAAGAAGATGTTTGCCGGTATGTCAGGCCTTGTCATGGACGATGACAACAACATCGTTGCATTCACATCAAAGGAAGGGGAGGAAGTTCGTCTCAAGAAAGAGGTCAACCTCCTCAAGACTCCTCGTATCAACGATTGGCTTTCCGCCCTGGAAACCAACATGAAGTTGACTTTGGCGGAGCTTCTTGGCGAAGCCGTTGAACAATTCGATACCCTTTACAACGCGACGGATGTTGACCGAACTGCTTTCAACGACTTCCTTGCAAATTACCCTGCTCAAATCGTCGTCCTTGCCAGTCAAGTTGTCTGGACCAACTCAGTACAAAAGTCTTTGGAGGAAGGTGGAGAAAGCCTTCCGGCATTGCATGGAGCCGAGATTCGGATCCTCGAGCTGCTGGCTGCAACAGTTCTCGGTGAACTCGACCCCATCACCCGCAAGAAGTGTGAGCATATGATTACGGAATTCGTTCACCAAAGAGATTGTATCGCCAAACTTATCAGTCTCAATGCTACCTCGCCCACGCACTATCACTGGCTACTTCAGATGCGTTACGTCTACGAGCCGGAGGGCGACTTCTTGCAGCGTCTGTACGTTCACATGGCCAATGCCAAGCTCAATTACGGATTTGAGTACTTGGGTGTTCCCGAGCGTCTTGTTCGCACTCCGCTTACGGATCGTTGTTTCCTTACCCTCACTCAAGCTCTCTGTCAACGACTGGGTGGTTCTCCTTACGGTCCTGCAGGTACTGGTAAGACCGAGTCCGTCAAGGCATTGGGTCTGCAACTTGGTCGCTTCACTCTTGTGTTCTGTTGTGACGACACGTTCGATTTCCAGGCAATGGGCCGCATCTTCCTTGGTATTTGCCAGGTGGGTGCCTGGGGTTGTTTCGATGAGTTCAACCGTCTTGAAGAGCGTATTTTGTCCGCTGTTTCACAGCAAATCCAGAACATCCAGATTGGTCTCAAGAACAACAATGACGGTGACAAATCTCAGATCGACCTCGTTGGCAGACGTCTCGCTGTTAACTCCAACACTGGAATTTTCATCACTATGAACCCTGGTTATGCCGGTCGTTCCAACCTGCCGGACAACTTGAAGAAGCTGTTCCGCAGTGTTGCCATGTCCAAGCCGGACAAGGAGCTGATTGCTGAAGTCATGCTGTTCTCCCAGGGCTTCAAGCAGGCTAAGCCTCTGTCCAAGCAAACCGTTCCCTTCTTCGACCACTGTGCTTCCCGGCTGTCTAAGCAAGCCCACTACGACTTCGGTCTGCGTGCTTTGAAGAGTGTCCTTGTTAGTTCAGGTGGTCTAAAGCGTACTCGTCTTGCAAACTCCGACGGTGACCTTGGGCCTGATGATATCATCGAGCCACAAATCATTGTTCAAAGTCTGCGGGAAACAATCGCACCCAAGCTTGTCCGCGAGGATGTTGAGACCATGCTGGAAATCCAAATGGAAGATTTCGCTGGCGTTGATTATGTGCCCGCCAATTTCGAAGAACTCACTCAGGCAATCCGGGATATCGCTACCAAGGAGCAACATCTTGTGGATAGTGAAATGTGGATCACCAAGGCGCTCCAACTCTATCAGATTCAAAGCATCCACCATGGTGTGATGATGGTTGGAAAGTCAGGAGCCGGTAAATCTGCAGCCTGGAAGATTCTCCTGCAGGCAATGCAGCGCGTTGAGGGTGTTGAGGGTGTCTCCCACATTATTGATTCCAAGGTTATGTCGAAGGAGGCCCTCTATGGTAACCTTGACAGCACCACCCGTGAGTGGACTGACGGTCTCTTTACTGGAATCCTGAGAAAGATTGTGGATAACCTCAGAGGTGAGGACAGCAAGCGCCATTGGATCGTATTCGATGGCGACGTGGACCCCGAATGGGTTGAGAACTTGAACAGTGTTTTGGATGACAACAAACTCCTAACACTCCCCAATGGAGAGCGTCTCAATCTTCCTCCAAATGTGCGCATCATGTTTGAGGTTGAGAGTTTGAAGTATGCTACACTCGCCACAGTCAGTCGTTGTGGTATGGTGTGGTTCAACGCCGATACCGTTACTCCAACGATGATGATTTCCAACTACGTCGAAAGTCTCAGAACCAAAGTTTTCGAAGACTTGGATGAAGACAGTGCGCCTATGGGTACCGGAGTGGTTCGAGCGCAGGATGCCCAGGACACAGTTGCCACTATTCTCAAGCAGTTCCTGGAGGTTGACGATCTTGTTCTCAAGGCCTTGGACGAGGCTAAGAAATACAACCATATCATGGAGTTCACCGACATTCGCGCCCTCAACACTCTCTTTAGCTTGTTGAACAAGGCCTGCCGCAACGTCCTTGAATACAATGCGCAGCATCCAGACTTCCCTCTCGACCCTGAACAGATCGAGTCGTACATGTCCAAAAAGCTCCTGCTGACCTTGGTTTGGTCTCTAACTGGTGACTGTCCCCTGAGCGACCGCAAGGCCTTTGGACAATATGTCACGGGAATGTCTACCATTGATCTTCCACCAGATGGTGACTCTTCCCTCATTGATTACGACGTCACCTTGCCTAAGTCTGAATGGACCAGCTGGCAGTCACAGGTACCCACGATTGATATCAACACCCATTCCGTCACTCAAACAGACGTGATCATCCCCACTGTTGATACTGTTCGCCACGAGGATGTACTTTACTCTTGGCTCGCCGAGCATAAGCCACTGCTGCTTTGCGGTCCCCCTGGATCTGGTAAGACCATGACTTTGTTCGCCGCACTCCGAAAGCTTCCCAACATGGAGGTTGTTGGCCTCAATTTCTCAAGTGCCACGACACCTGATCTTTTGATCAAGACATTCGAGCAATATTGCGAGTATAAGAAGACCCTCAGTGGTGTTGTTATGTCTCCAAACCAGATTGGCCGCTGGCTTGTCATCTTCTGTGACGAGATTAATCTTCCCGCCCCCGATCGTTACGGCACCCAGCGTGCTATCTCCTTCTTGCGACAGCTTGTTGAGCAAAATGGCTTCTGGAGAACCACAGATAAGACCTGGGTTACTCTGGATCGCATCCAGTTTGTTGGTGCTTGTAACCCTCCTACCGATGCCGGTCGTACGCCCATGGCCGAGAGATTCCTTCGCCATGCACCCCTTGTCATGGTCGACTATCCCGGTGAAATCTCTCTCAACCAGATTTACGGCACGTTCAATTCTGCTGTTCTCAAGATTCTCCCCTTGCTGCGCGGATACTCCGATGCCCTCACCAAGGCTATGGTCCAGTTCTATCTCGAATCCCAATCTAGATTCACACCTCAGATTCAACCCCATTACGTGTACTCGCCCCGTGAGCTCACTCGTTGGGTTCGTGGTCTTTATGAAGCTATCAAGCCTCTTGAAACCCTTTCTATCGAGGGTCTCATCCGCATTTGGGCACATGAAGCTTTGCGTTTGTTCCAAGACAGACTGGTAGCCGAAGATGAAAGAGCTTGGACGGCAGATGCCGTTCGCCGTATTGCATTGGAACATTTCCCCACGATCGATGACCAAGAAGCCCTCAAGGGCCCCATTCTGTTCTCGAACTGGCTATCCAAGAATTACATTCCAGTTGAGCAGGAGAGTCTTCGTGACTTTGTCAAGGCACGTCTCAGGACATTCTGCGAGGAAGAAGTGGATGTTCCGCTTGTGCTGTTCAATGACGTCCTTGAACATGCCCTGCGCATTGACCGAGTCTTCCGCCAGCCTCAGGGCCATCTCATTCTTATTGGTGTGAGCGGAAGTGGAAAGACGACATTGTCTCGCTTCGTCGCTTGGATGAATGGTCTGAAGGTCTTCCAAATCAAGGTACACGGAAAGTACTCCTCGGAGGACTTCGATGATGACCTTCGTAGCGTGCTCCGCCGGGCTGGATGTAAGGGCGAGAAGATTTGCTTCATTATGGACGAGTCCAACGTTCTCGATTCTGGATTCCTGGAGCGCATGAACACCTTGCTTGCGAACGCGGAAGTCCCTGGTCTGTTCGAGGGCGATGAGTTCTCTTCGCTGATGACTGCTTGTAAAGAAGGAGCTCAACGCCAAGGTCTTCTTCTTGATTCGCAAGAGGAGCTTTACAAGTGGTTCACGCAGCAGATTGTCAAGAACCTCCACGTCGTCTTTACCATGAACCCGCCCGAGGAAGGCCTTTCTTCAAAGGCAGCCACCAGTCCCGCCTTGTTCAATCGTTGCGTGCTTAACTGGATGGGTGACTGGTCTGACCAAGCCTTGTTCCAGGTTGGCTCCGAGCTTACTCAATCCGTTGATTTGGACAAACCGAACTTTGTTTCACCTGACAGCATTCCAGTGGCCTACCGCGAATTGTCTCTTCCGGCGTCGCATAGGGATACTGTCATCAATTCCATGGTCTACATTCATCATTCGCTGCATCGATTCAACGGGCGCCTCCAGAAGCAGCAAGGGCGCGCGACTTTCCTCACTCCTCGTCATTACCTTGACTTTGTTGCTCAGTACGTCAGTCTGTTCAATGAAAAGCGTGAGGATCTCGAGGAACAGCAACGTCACTTGAACATCGGTCTCGAAAAGCTTCACGATACTGTCGACAAAGTGAGCGATCTACGTGGCAGTCTTGCTCAAAAGAAGACCCAACTGGAGAAGAAAGACACTGAGGCGAATGAGAAGCTCCAACGTATGGTTGCTGATCAACAAGAGGCAGAACAGCGCAAGCAAGTTTCCTTGGAAGTACAGGCCGCATTGAAGGTGCAAAACGAGGAAGTGGCAAGTCGGCGAGAGGTCGTTCTGCGTGATCTGGCCCGCGCGGAACCTGCAGTCGAGGAAGCTATGAAGAGTGTCAGCAACATCAAGCGTCAACATCTTACTGAAGTTCGGTCCATGGGTAATCCCCCTGCCAGCGTACGACTTGCGCTTGAAGCAGTGTGCACGCTCCTTGGTCACACTGTTGATAGTTGGAAGACCATTCAGGGTCTGATTCGTCGCGATGATTTCATTGCCAGCATTGTGAACTACGACAATGCCTCCCAGATGACACGCAAGCACCGTGTTAAGATGCAGAATGAGTTCTTGTCGAAGGAAGACTTCACCTATGAGCGAGTTTTCCGTGCCAGCAAGGCTTGTGGACCTCTCGTTCAATGGGTCGAAGCCCAGGTCAACTACTCCACGATCCTTGACCGCATTGGCCCTCTTCGTGAGGAGGTCGATGAACTCGAGGCAAAGGCGCTGCAAACTAAGGCAGAGGCACAGGCTATCGACAACACTATTAATGACCTCGAAAGCAGCATTGCGACCTACAAGGCTGAATATGCCACCTTGATCAGTGAAACGCAGGCGATCAAGGCCGAGATGACTCGGGTCCAATTCAAGGTCGATCGCAGTGTTCGCTTGCTTGATAGCTTGTCATCAGAGCGGCAGCGTTGGGAAGAGGGCAGCAAGTCATTCGAAACCCAAATCAGCACTCTCGTTGGTGATGTCTTGATTGCAGCAGCATTCCTCGCTTACGCTGGTCTCTATGATCAACAATTCCGCAAGGCCATGACCGAGGACTGGGTTCACCAGCTGGGGGCTTCTGGAATCGACTTCAAGCCTCACAACCCAATCACCGAATACCTCTCCAACGCCGATGAGCGCCTTACATGGCAAGAACATTCGCTCCCCGTTGATGACCTTTGCACCGAGAATGCCATCATCTTGAAGAAGTTCAACCGATACCCTCTCATCGTCGACCCATCTGGTCGGACCACAGAATTCCTGCAGAAAGAAAGCAAGGAGAGGAAACTCACAGTCACGAGTTTCTTGGACGATTCCTTCGTCAAGCAATTGGAGAGCGCCTTGCGTTTCGGAAACCCTATCCTCATTCAGGATGCCGAGCACTTGGACCCCATTCTCAATCACGTTCTCAACAAGGAGTATCAGAAGACCGGTGGCCGTGTCCTCATCCAATTGGGCAGACAAGAAATCGATTTCTCGCCGTCGTTCAAGCTCTTCCTTTCGACTCGGGATCCATCTGCTTCTTTCCCACCAGACATCTGCAGTCGTACCACTTTTGTCAACTTTACAGTCACGCAGAGCAGTTTGCAGACCCAGTCATTGAACGATGTCTTGAAGTTCGAACGTCCCGATGTTGACGAGCGCCGCAACAACCTTGTCAAGATGCAAGGCGAGTTCAAGGTCCACCTTCGACAACTTGAGAAACGTCTCCTGCAAGCTCTGAACGAGTCTCGAGGCAACATTCTTGATGATGATAATGTCATTGAAACCCTCGAGACCCTCAAGAAAGAAGCTGCCGATATTTCCAAGAAGATGGACGAGACTGAAGGTGTCATGGCTGAAGTGGACAATGTTACGCAGAAGTACAGCATCATTGCCCGATCGTGCAGTGCGGTGTTTGCAGTGCTGGAGCAACTGCACCACATCAACCACTTCTATCAATTCTCCCTCCAATACTTCGTCGACATCTTCAACTCTGTGCTTTACCAGAACAAGCGCCTTGCACAAGAAAAGGATCACTCTGCACGAGTCCAAATCATCATTCGGGATCTGTTCATCAATACCTACCAGCGAACATCCTTGGGTCTCGTTCAAAAGGATCGGGTCACACTCGCCATTCTGCTTGCCCAAGCTACGCCTTTCCCCATGGACAGGACTCTTCTCGACCGCGTATTGGACGAAACATTGCAGGGATCCGATCTATCCACTGATGTCGATTGCCGCGAAGAAGTGATGTCCAGGCTCGCCAATATGTCTATCTTCAAGGATTATCTTCCTAACATCACTCAAGAACAATGGGATCGTTTCTTCAACGAAGAGCTGGCAGAGAACTTCATCCCACCCATGTGGGACGAGAATGTTTCGGAACTTGATCAGCTCCTTCGGTCCTTGCTGCTTGTCAAGGTCTGTCGCATGGATCGATTTGTGCCGACCGCAGAGCGCTTCGTTGTCGCTGTTTTCGGCCGGGAGCTCTACGAGGGTGGCGCCGATCTCCAACATGTTGTTGAACAAGTGACTGCAACTCGACCTATCGCCCTCAGCTCAAGCCCCGGCTTTGATGCCAGTTACAAGGTGGATGCCCTGGTTGAGTCCACCCGTGCAACCTGTGCCAATATCGCCATGGGTTCCAACGAAGGTCTCGAGAGTGCAGACAAGGCCATCAGCAATGCGGCCGCAGTTGGCAATTGGGTTTTGGTCAAGAACGTTCACCTGGCACCTGCTTGGCTTCAGAGTTTGGAGAAGCGTCTGGATTCGCTCAAGCCACACCCACAGTTCCGCCTCTTCTTGTCGATGGAGTCAAGCCCCAAGATTCCTGTCAATTTGATCAGAGCATCACGTGTGTTAATGTACGAGCAACCTGCGGGTGTTCGTGCCAACATGAAGGATTCGCTTTCCTCGCTGAACGCCAGAGCAAGCAAGCCCCCTGTCGAGAAGGCTCGTGTCTACCTCCTGCTCTGTTTCTTGCATGCAGTGGTTCAAGAGCGACTTCGCTACGCGCCAAGCCTTGGATGGAAGGGCTTCTGGGAATTCAACGACAGCGATGTAAGTCTTTGTCTACCTCGTCGCCATTTATTCCCGCCACTAACAAATGCTTTCTTCTAGTACGAATGCTCGGCTTATATCATTGACCACTGGGTCGACAGTGTCGCTCAAGGCCGTTCCAATGTTGCACCGCAGAAGATTCCCTGGGAGATGATCCGCACCCTAGTCGCAGAAATGTATGGAGGCAAGATCGATGACGCGGAAGACTACCGACAGCTCGAAAGCCTGGTCCACAGCTTCCTTACCCCCGCTGCATTTGAAGACGACTACAAGCTTGTCTCGGATGTTGAGAACGACGATCTGCTCACCCTCCCCGGCACAACCAGCATGCGTGACTTCGTTACCTGGGTCAACAAACTACCGGAGCGTGAGCCTCCTACTTACCTCGGTCTCCCTGCCAATGCCGAAAAGCTTTTGTTGGTCGGCCATGGCCGGAAAATGATCTCTGATCTGTCTCGAGTTACAACTCTCCTTGACGAAGGTGAACAGTTGATGGTGGATAACTGATGCATATCTTTGTCTCGCCATTGACCTTCTCTTTTGGATCGGTGTGCTTTCTGGTCTCTAGTGGTGTTGGTTTTCTGTTTGAGCTGAGGAATTGGAATTGTACATTGGATACAGCTGGTGGGTGTTATGTTCCAATGTTTTGATTTGATATTGTGTACTGTATCCAACTTGTTCTCATAGTACATTTCAAATGTCATCCATGGATAAACAGTGCGTGCTCGGCTATTCTGAATTTGCCAAACCAGGTGCTCCAAGGTTATATGTACGTCTCCAAGATGACGGAGAGCAGCCCTGCAGGGGTGGTTCTCCCAGCTACGAAAGTACCTAGTTACTAGCCCTGGAGGTAAAGAACCCACCTTGGAGAGCACTATGTACAGACTACAGAGTAGATGGAGTTCCAAAGCAGCTCGGCAATACCTCGAGTCCTCGCATCGAGGTTTTTATCACACATAACTAATACTTCCCTGGCGGCTACGAAGTGGTCTATGGTATTGTCATTGCGTCTACACTGATCTGGAAATATGTATATATGGTCAATAGCATTAAGTATCCTGTATACAGTCTGAGGGTTATCTGGTCCGCATGAGGAAAACAGTCAAGCCGATCCTCTAGACATAAATGTAGCATCACGAAAATCATCAACAATGAACGCCAACAAGCCCCACGGGGGGCACTGATGTCCTATGTACGCGAGTAGAGCATCCGCTTTCTAGGAGATGAAGGTAGACTCAGAGAACATGGTGCCCTCCTCGGTAACATCCTCACCACCGATGTTGAGCTTCAAAGAAAGCTTGTCCTGAGGAGAGTACTGGAAGATGTAGGGCCTGGTACCGGCGACACTACCAGCAATGCTCTTGATGAAGCCAGGCACCTCAGCCATCACATCAATGCGGTCAAGGCGGGGACCAAGAGCACCGCTGACCTCGGCGGTGAGCTCCTTGCCATCGGTGGTCTGGCCGGTCCAGTCCCACTTGATCGACTTAGGCGCGGGCCAGTCACTTCCCTCGTCCTGGGCGGTCTCTAGGTGCTCGACGCTGTTGGTTGCTCCGGCGTAAACCACCTCGCCGTCTTTGACGATACCACCAACGTTGACCTTGGTGGAACCGTAAGAAGGGGGAGTGGTGTACTCCATCATGATGGCGGAGTAGGTGGGGGTCTGGAAGTTGATGAAGTTCCAGCGGGCGGCTGTTGGCTTGTTAGACCGATGTTCACGGTGTAAATTTTACTGCATATATATGCTTACCTGCGTGGTGGGGCTTCATGCCCTGCAAAGCCATGATGAAAACACCACGACCGGCCAGGTCGTAGGTCTTGTCCTTGGTGGCAATGTTACCCTCGACAGAGCAACGGGGCCAGAAAGCGTGGCGCATAGATCCCCAGGGGTTCTTGGGGTCAGTGCCAAAGTATGAAGTTCCGTCCTTGCCGACAACGAAGCCAGGCGCGGTCTGGGAGAACTTGAGGTCCACGATGCTACCATCGTTGACGGTGGACTTGATGGTGTAGGAGTTGCCCTCCTCGTTCAAAGTCAGGGATAGGTTGTCGGCACCGAAGGAGAGCATGTGTTCATCGAACATGAAGTTGGAGAGCGGGTCCGAGTACCACTTGTTGTCGCCCTTTCCACTGAGGTCGAAAATCTTCACGTTGAACTGGGCAGTGGTGTGGATTCCACTTTATAATAGAATACTCCGGTCAGTTCTGATATCTTCCAGTCTCGAGATACAAGCTTCAAGCTCGGGCGATGGATGCTTACACAATGTTGCTGTAGATCACCTGGACGAAGACCACTGTGCCGTTGTCGGCCATAATATAGAAGGTCTGGGTCTCGACATTGGTGTAGGAGTGCGCGCGCCAGCGCAGAATGTCCTTGTCCACTTCGGTGAATGGAGTAGTCTCGGTTTGCTTGGTCACAGACTGGATAGCCTCTGGGCCATAGATAGGCTCCTCAGTGCCCACGACGGCGGAGAGACTGTCCGCATCGAATCAGTAATAGTAGGGAATATCCGGATAGCATGCAACATACGTCGACTTGAGCCAGTTCATGATTTCGATGGAAAATTATATGGAGGTTCAGAGGAAAAAGAAAAAGGGAGGTGAAAGGCAGATCGACGCGGGGCCCGAGTCTAGTTCGGAAGCAGATGGGAGGACCCTCCGAAATGAGGAGATGTGCAGCAAATGGTCTGATCGGAAGATCGAGAGAAGATCCAAAGAGATATAGATAGTTAGAACCGCGACAGAAACAAGAGAACGGCGAACAGAGGGAGGCTTTCCCTTCAGTAATGACGTTGGGCGCAGCTTGCTCGCTTGGCGCTTCGGCCAATCAGATCCAGTGGTCGAAAATCTTCGTAACTTCAGCATCTCCGATCCCCTTCATCCCATATTCACAATCATGGCTCGCAACGCTCTCGCCAAGGAACAGTTCGTCAAGCTCATCGTCGGAGCTGGACAGGCCAGTCCCAGTCCCCCTGTCGGTCCGGCCCTGGGAAGTAAAGGTGTTAAATCCATGGATTTCTGCAAGGTCATTATTTACCCTCCGCCCCGGCTTGCACCAGATACTGACTGGCTATTAGGAATTCAACGCTCGCACCGCTCACATCAACACCGGCGTCCCCATCCCTGCCCGTGTCACTGTCCGTCCCGATCGGTCCTTCGCTTTTGACCTCCGCACCCCGACTGTCACCTACCTGCTTCTGAACGCCGCCGGTGTCGAGCCCCGGAAGAACCGCGTGCGCGGCGCCATGAAGCCCGGTCATGAGTTCTGCGGCACCGTCTCCCTGAAGCATATCTACGAGATTGCCAAGATCAAGCACACCGAGACGCGGTTATCGGGTCTGTCCCTGGAGGGCCTCTGCAAGAGTGTCATGGCCCAAGCCAAGTCTATTGGTGTTCAAGTTGTCGCGTGAGAAACGAGGCATTGTATAATTATCCTGCCGCATGTGCTGTGACAGTGTCAGGTTTCATTCTTTGTGTGTTGTCGATTTGGCGTTCTCTGGGGAATATCGGGGGCTCTCCCCTGCTGTACGATACCGATTGTTCTTTCCAGTGTTTCCAGATGGAATGCATGCCATAGCGAGTTGCTGATAGCCAATCTAAATTCATCTGCATCTACCGTCCACGAGTCTCCTGCCGTATTCTCCGTATTCTCCGTGTGCCTCCGGGGCTGTATATCGACGGAGTCTCTCCCCGTAATGCATGTGAAGCCCAATGTTCGACTCAAGCGTCCCACCGGACTAGACCCAGGGTATCTCCTAGTATCACCAGTGCGACCACAGACCAGCTGAGCACCAGCCAAGACCCCCAACCAGGTAGGACACCTCGCGGGGCGGAGACCTTGGCAAGACCCTTGGCATATCATCGAATCATAGAGTCAGCCACTAAGCTCTTTCAGGTAAACTTCCAGATCAGATCGAAAAAGCGCCTGCATCAAGCGTCACGGGAAGTCGGCACGTTGGCTCACTCCGCAGCCATCCGGCTTTTGGTTTCTCTCTTTGAACGATCTCCAGTACTCCGTACAGTATGCTGAGGTAGTATCTGAGAAAATCTGAGAAATCCCCATTTCATCAAAGTTCTACCCCTCCGACCAAGTTTGCCTGAGGCCCAGACCCCTCTCTCTCACTCTCTCTCACTCACCTCTCTCTTTACACTCCCTCTCTACTCTCACTCTCTTCGCACTCCTTTGCTGGTGGCTTGTTCTGTGTTCGGCAAATTTTCCTCACGCGGTTGTGGTTTTGCTTATCGCATTCGGCGAAAAAGTTAAACGAGATTTGCCTCTTTTCCCCATTAAACCGACTGCTGTGACATCAACTCGGATCCCAATCGCCTTGGACGGATTCTGTTCGCGTTGCTCGTATCCTCAATCTCAACCGTGAGGGGCATGTGTCCCACGTTCCGGGCCGACTATGACGTCTGAACGGACTGAATCAACCTCCACTTTAACGGACTCCGGTATGTCTTGGCTACCCATGTTGATCGGAGTATCCCAAATTCCTACTGACGCATCCCGCGTGCTCCAGCTGCGATGATTCCCGCCAAGAACTCCGGCCAGGTCTCGGAGCCCGACACCGACGCCAAGTCGAAAGCTCAACCTTCTCAGGTCCGCTTCTCGTCCATCACAGAGGAAATCGCCCCATCCCGGTCGGAATTATCTCCTGTTCCCGAAGTGCAGCCTCAACAGAAACCTCCAACTGAGGAGGAACAGCTACGGTCGCTCGCCATGAGTCTACAGGGCACACAGCTTCAGGAGTCACGGGCTCGGAACTTCTCGTTTGACCCCATGTCTCTACCTTCCTCAAGGGTATGTAATCCTCTCTAAAAACTCGGCAATTGGGGGAATGCCCCATAATTTCCAATTACATCATACCCTGCAGTAATGCATGTGGATTCAAATCTGCACTGGGGCCTCTCCTGGATAGCGCAATCCAGAAACTTGGGCCAAGCTGACTGATTTTTTTTGTTTTGACACAGGTCGCTTCTCGAGAATCGAGTCGCAGTGGACCTGGCACCGGCTCCTTTGCCTCCCCTCATGCTTCACCCCCCGTTTCTGCTGTACAATCGCCCCCTCTTACTCCCGCCGCGACCCATTCCCGTGAAGGCAGAGCCGGTGACACTGCCTCCCTAACTTCCGCAACGCGACCTCACGTGCAGACCAATTTCACCCCCGATGCATCACCGTCAGTTGGCTCAGTTGAGAAGAACGGCACTTCTCGGCCTTCATCGCATTCGTCCAGGCCTCCATCTACCGATCAGCTACCTATCCGTCAAAGTGAGGGGTCGGATCGTCCAGAACATGTCGCCCAGCTTCCGCGACATCGCGCGCAATTCTTCATTGGAAATGACGGGGGCTCACAGGAAGAAAGCCCCCCTGCCACTCCGAGGGATTCTCATACCCCGCCGGGGGCTATGACCCCGGTCGGCGAACCAAATGACCCATATGCGCGCCACAAGCGTCCCCCTCAGCCGAAAAATCTCGCCCAGTTGGACCCTCGTTTCATTTTCAGCAGCCGAGATGTGAAGCGGTCATTCCGCCCTGGAACCCCCCGATCCGCCAGCGCGAGTGATCTCAGCAAGAACGGCGATAAGCGAAGCATATTTGGTGGAAACAAAAAGGAGTCTGGGAACGAGAAGCAGCACCATGGCCACGGCCACCACGGTTCGATGTCTGAACTGAAGCGCTTCTTCAAGATGGGACATCGCAACAAGCGATCCGAATCCCCATCATCCATGCCCAAGAAATCAAGTCGCGGGTCTGGGAAGAATACCCCATATCAAATGGCTCCCGACAACGTTCCCTTCGCTGATGATCATGGACTGAATTCCAAGTATGGAAAGATGGGCAGGGTACTTGGCTCTGGTGCTGGAGGCTCCGTCCGTCTCTTGAAACGGAACAGTGACGGCGTCACCTTTGCGGTGAAGCAGTTCCGTGATCGCCACAACTGGGAGAGTCTCAAGGAATACTCCAAGAAAGTCACTGCGGAATTTTGTATCGGTTCCACCCTGCATCATGGCAATATTATCGAGACTCTCGATATCATTCATGAAGGGACTCACTGGTACGAAGTCATGGAGTATGCGCCGTTCGACCTTTTCGCCATCGTCATGACTGGCAAGATGGGCAAGGATGAAATTGCTTGCTCTTTCAAGCAAATTTTGAGTGGTGTAGCGTATCTGCACGGCATGGGCCTTGCTCATCGGGATTTAAAGTTGGACAACGTCGTTGTCAATGATCGCGGTATCATGAAGCTCATTGATTTTGGAAGTGCTGTCGTGTTCCGTTATCCTTTCGAAAACGACATTGTTCCTGCTTCAGGTAAGTTATTATCTCTGCACTTGATTGATGGTTACTAACTGCAGGACAAGGCATTGTTGGCTCGGATCCTTACCTTGCCCCCGAGGTCTACGACGAGAAGAAATATGATCCTCGCCCCACGGATGTTTGGTCGCTGGCGATCATCTTCTGCTGCATGACTTTGCGCCGCTTCCCATGGAAGCAGCCGCGCATGACCGACAACTCTTATAAGCTTTTCGTTTCCAACCCTTCCCCGGGTACTCCACTCGCCGATTCCGACCCTCGTCGTCGCCCCAAGTCGACGCCCGACCTTCCCTCTAGCGGCAACGAAAACAAGCGCCTGACCCCTCGCTCGAGCGGACCATCTGACCAGTCCGGCTCCGAACAGAATGGGAATGGCAACAAGTCGGAATCCCAGGGCGACGGCGATCGTTCGCCGGACACGCCCACCGCTCAGAAGCAGATCAGCCAAACCAGTGCCCACACCAATAGGCCCACTCGCACCACCAGCAAAGAAGCACCCCCACTTCCCCCAGGATCTACTCAGTCCTCCGGTCAGCGTCAGGAGGTTATCAAAGGACCCTGGCGTCTTCTCCGGATCTTGCCGCGGGAAAGTCGCTACATCATTGGTCGCATGCTCAAGGTCAATCCGAAGGATCGGGCGACTCTCGACGAGGTTCTTTCAGATGAATGGGTCAGAGGCATCCGCACCTGTCAACAGGATGCCACTGGCGAAGTGATCAACGACCCCGGCCATACCCACGTTCTCGAACCTCCATCCCAGAGTCCTGCCGTTGCCAGCAAGGGCGCCAAAGCCAAGTAATATCCCTTCTTTGTACCAATTTCTCATTGTGTCTATAATCCCTTTTCGTTGCTGAACCTGGATATCATCCTTGTGCCTTTCCACGTCCCGTGTGTGATTCCCTCCGATTATTGTAGATGAGTCTGGTGGGCGCACACCGTTTCGTGTCTCCTTGTTCGATCTGGGCTGGTATTCGTGAATACACCCAAGTTCCAATCGGTCGCACACATCACCTTCGAACTTGTCGCGAAATCAAGCTGTTAGATTTCCGGTTCTGCTTGTGTGCGTCGGTTCTGTCTTTTCTCCCCCTTTTTGATTCGGTTGTTTCTGAGAGCAGCTGCTTGTGGTTTCTTTTAATTGGTAGATACATAAACACAGATATATTCTTCTTAAAATTGTCGTACACCGTAGGCTGAAAGGAACCCTAACGGCGAAGATCGGCGATATCGGAATGGCCTGACCGCGGAGCAAAACTGAGCTGCGGAGCTCTTCCCGTCGCCTCACTCCGCATAGCGACTTAGGTTCCCTCTGGCCATGATTCAATAGAATTGTACATTGTTCACTCGACCGTCATTACAACATGTCTGAACAAGTCGAAGGACAGCCATTGGTGTCCTCCCTGTGGACGAGGTCACTGATTGTACGAACTTCTCCGAAGCTACCCTGTCAACGTCAAAAACCCCGGCTAACAGCTCTACGCCCATAGTCAGGAGCCATTGCAGGTCTGACAGTTGACTGCTCGCTTTATCCTCTCGATACCATCAAAACGCGACTCCAAAAAGCACGCGACCACACCACACCCCAAGCCCGAGTCTCTCTGCGTCAAACCTTCCGCGGCATCTACGCCGGCCTCCCCTCCGTCCTCTTCGGCTCCGCCCCCTCCGCCGCCTCTTTCTTCATTGTCTACGATGGCGTCAAGCGCTCTCTTCTCCCTTCCAGCTCCGAGCCCCAGGCCCGAGCCCACATCATCCTCACACACTCCCTCGCCTCCTCCCTCGGTGAAATCGCCGCTTGCGCCGTCCGCGTGCCCACAGAAGTCATCAAGCAGCGTGCCCAAGCAGGCCTCTTCGGCGGCTCCAGTCTCCTCGCCCTAAAGGACATCCTCTCCCTCCGCCATGCCACCCCCTCCGACCCCACCGCAAAGCGCGGCTACAGCCAAGTCTTCCGCGAACTCTACCGCGGCGCCGGAATCACCATCGCCCGCGAAATCCCCTTCACCGTGCTCCAATTCACCATGTGGGAATCCATGAAAGAAGCATATGGCAAGCGGTACCTGCGCTCCGCGGAGACCGCCACCTCCGTCATTGAGACCCAGATCCCCGCCTCGACGAGCGCCATGTTCGGTAGTGTTGCTGGTGCTATTGCGGCGGGTCTCACGACCCCGTTGGATGTGATCAAGACGCGGGTTATGCTTGCGCGCCGTGGAGACGGGGCCGCTGGGGCTCCTGTGCGGGTGCGGGAGATTGTGCGCGGAATTGCGCGCGAGGGTCCTGGCGCATTCTGGCGTGGAATCACGCCGCGTGTGACGTGGATTGGAATTGGTGGGGCTGTGTTCTTGGGAAGCTACCAGAAGGCTTCCAATACCCTTGAGGGGAGGAGGGAGAAGGTTGAGAAGGGAATTTAATGGGTTTCTTCAAGGTTGGACTTGGTGTATTATGTATAGAGTGGAATCCGCTATACCCCATGACTATGTATCAGTTGGCAACTACATTCAAATAAATAGAACAATGATCTACGTAGGACATTCCTGCATATAGCCTGGAGGTACTTTGGAACTCCTGCGCCTATGCTTATATTAGGGCTCGGCTCATGCACCTCAGTATGTAGGATATATAACTACCTAGGTAAAATGGACCCACGGTCGTAATATCAACTTCCAAGGTTGAGAAATAGGTATTTCCATGATAATTCCAAAACACCTTGAAAGTAAGAGCATGAGCCATGGGGTTTATTGTCCAGTAAATATACATACAAGCAGCAGAATGAGTATCGAATGATTCAGACTCCACCTATACCATGGATATCGCTTTCTCTTTCCAGGCAAGCCCCCTTAGGCACAAAACGAGTGCTATTTTGAATCAAGCCCAAAGGCAGCTATTTGAGTAAATTCGCGCGTAGAGGCAATGCGAAATAAACTGGACGTAGATAACCCGGGCTACCTAGCAGGGTATAAGCGCTGGCAATGATCAGTGCTATGTAGTTTCCAGTTGCCCTGCCAGAACAACCTTCCAAGGTTGGAGCTAAGCACTGGAGAAAAAGGTACCGCCATAAGCGCCAAACTTCCAAGACCTGGTGCTATAAGCTCCCAACGTCTTCCCCTCATCTGAACACTGAATGTGACGTCCTAATCGGAACGTGCGATCGGCAGATAAGCTCCGCATTTTCTCTCCGCAATTGGCATCACTCTTTCACCTACTGCATGTATGGCACGCAAACTAAGCCACCAAAGGGTCACTTATGGTAAGTCGCTTGAGGTTCGCCGCGGGAAAATACTAACCCTGGCAGTCCTTCCCTTGCCTGATGCCCCCGGTGGGCACCGGCTAGGGGTCAATGGTCTCACTGTTGACCACCAGAACTCCATTCTGTAAGCCTTGCATGAGCCGTGCTGGTGCAGTTGACCAGCCAGTCAACTTCGCAATCCCCGAAGATATCGTCCCTGTCGCACGTGGGCACCCCGATTCTAATATGATGTCTCGGTAGATACTCCGCGGGCCGCGACGGCGTCATCTGTGCCTGGGACCTGGACTTTCCTCTCGCTCCTTCGTTCGCCCCGTCAAACGGAACGTCCACGGGGGCTAAGCCTAACCCTACCGGCTTCAAAACACAGGTTCAAGCCCACAGCCATTGGATCAACGATATTGTCTTGGCACAGGACAACTCCGCGCTCGTCTCCGCCTCGTCCGACACGACCGTGCGACTCTGGCGCCCGCATTCCGAGTCAGTCGATGTGCCCGAACGGATCGGCAAGCACGCGGATTATGTTAAAGCGCTGGCGAGTCCAGGGAACCATGCCAGCTGGGTGGCCTCAGGCGGTCTCGACCAAAAAGTCTACTTGTGGGATCTGAACGGTGGTGGGGAAACATTGAGCATCAATGCCGGCGGCGAAGACTCTACAGACAAGGGATCTGTCTACGCACTGGGTGCTGTCTCGTCGGTACTTGCCAGTGGTGGGCCCGAGAATGTCGTGCGAGTGTGGGATCCCAGGTCTGGGAAGCCTGTGACCAAATTCGTGGGCCATACCGATAACATTCGTGACATACTGATCAACCAGACGGGTGATACGATTATGACTGCCTCGTCTGACCAGACAATCAAGATCTGGTCGCTCACAGCGGGTCGGTGCATGAACACCCTGACCATGCACAATGACAGTGTGTGGTCGCTCTACTCCGACCACCCTGATCTATCTGTTTTCTACTCCAGTGATCGATCTGGCTTAGTGGCCAAAACTGATACACGCGGATCGCCAGACCTCGAACAGGGCACTTCTGTGGCTGCACTACAAGAGCACGAGGGTGTGGTTAAGGTTGTGGCTGCCGGAGACTACATTTGGACCGCTACGCCGAAATCGAGTATCAACCGCTGGCGAGATGCGGATACTACACTTGACATCGAAGCTCCACCTGACCCATCCCGCACGATCGACTCTGCTGCAGCACCGGCTGCCCCGGCCAACGAGCAACCGAAAAAGATCCCCTTCAATGCAGTCTTGCAGTTGTCAGCAACATCAATTCTCGGTTCGCCCAAAGCTAGCACCCCGGAGCCTACCTTGGAGACCCTTGGCTTGACGATTCCGGTCCAGTCGCTGCCTGAGGAATCCATCGAGGGCCAGCACGGCTTGATCAAATGTTTAATGCTGAATGATCGGAGGCGCACACTTACTCAAGACTCAGCAGGGGAAGTCATCCTCTGGGACTTGCTCAAGGTGACTATGATGGTGCCAGGATACTGAACCTCATCGACTAACCCGGTCTTAGTGTCTTCCTGTCCAAACATTTGGCAAGCGCCACATAGATGATGTCGCATCTGAAATAAACACCATCGATAGCATCGCGCACTGGTGTGCAATTGATGTCCGCACTGGCAGGTTATCGGTTATCCTGGAGCCTAACCGTTGTTTCGATGCGGAAGTCTATGCGGACGAAACCGACCTATCGCCGTCTGACATACCCGAGTTTAGAGACGATCAAAGAAGTAAGTCCAAGTTTCCCTCAGAGTCACAACATATCCTTGACGGTGCATAAACATTCGGATCTGCATGCTAATTGGAAAAGTTAATCTCGGCAAATGGATCCTGCGTTGGCTATTTGCTCCAGTCGTGGACGAGGAGGTCCGACGAGACATTGAGTTCCGTCAAGCTGCCATGGCAAAGGCAGAAGAGGTAGCCCGTGCCAACCAACTGAGTACCTCAGTGCCCAACGATGACATTCCACGAAGCGTTGGTATTCCAATCTCCAACCCCAATGGATCCTTGCGTCCGGGATCGGACTTCCAGGGAAGCCCGAGCACTGGATTCGGGATCAACATCGGCACACCATCATCAAACTATCTGAGTACATCCATTCAAAGTAACTCTCCGTTCCCAAATTTCGAGCCGGATACGCCCGATGCCTCTGGACCCGGAAACTCTCATCTTGATGGTGGGCCGTCTTCCTTCTCGGATAGGAGCGACTATTTCTCAAACCGGACTACGCCCACGCAGGCTCAACAGAACGAGAATGATAAAAATCCCTTGTCCCCGCATGATACAAATTCAACTTCAGCGGTCCCTCAGTCTCCGGCGGAGCCTGACAAGGAAGAACGCAAGAAGTCTCTATTCAGCAAGAAGTTCAGAATGGACTTCCCCAAGAAGCTTTCTCGGACTTCTACTGATACTAAGCCCCAGATCTTGGAAGAGAAGGCCGAAGATACTGAGATTTCTTCTATCAAAGAAGAGAAGGTTTATGAGCCGAACCTTTGTGGTGTAGTAGACCGGATTCGTCATGACTATGAAGAAATCCTGGCTTCTAATGCAGAACGAGATTTGGAGACTTCTATTCTGCCCAGCGACGAGAGCGAAACCCCCCGGTTGGACATCCCACCTCGGACTGCAGTATTCATCCAAGAGGAAACGGGGGACACAGCTGTTGCGTCTGATCTCTACAGAGGTAGTGTGGGTCACATTAGCGAAGACCTCGAGAGGTTGAAGAAGTCGATCCCGCATTGGCTCGGTGAGCTTTTGCTGAAGGTGAGTACCGCGACCCAGGTTAGTATCACTGGACACAATTACTGATCATTCTTCCCAGAACCAAATTCCCTTCAAGGACCAAGTGAAGATCGCCTTTGTGCTGAAGCCCTTTGATGATTCGTTGCCTCCCGTCGTCAAGCCCGAGCCGTATGTACCTCCGAAGATCGTACCCCCAACGATCGTACCCCCAACGATCGTACCCCCATCATCCCAAGGGACCAGTCATGAGCGATGGAAACTCTTCCCCAATTGGCGTTGCAAAACCCAAGCTAACCCTCTGGCTACCAGTGCACCTCCCAACGGTGCCCCACCCGGAAACCAGGCCAACAACAATAATGGATCTCGTCTGAATGCCAACCGTATGCTTCGAGCAAAGAAAGTGCTTGCTTACGTTGCGGAACGCATCGATCCCGCCGATCCAAACGAACCCGAGGACTCCCTCATGCCACCCGAGGAATATCTTGAGCTTTACTGCCAAAAGACGGTAAGTACCGAACTCCAATCTTGACATATCTCAACCTAATCCTTTCACACTAGCTCTGTCCACCAAATATGACACTAGCAACGATTCGGACGCACCTTTGGCGCACCTCAGGAGACATGATCCTCTACTACAAGACGAATGGCAAGAAAGAAATCCACCCACCCCCATCCCTCCTCGGCATCGAAGATAGCACCGTTTCCCTGGGCGAGCCTCATGCTCCAAACGGTGATAACCATGCTCCCCCTCCCCCTGGAAGCATACATTCGACGGCCAATTCTGGATCTGTTGCCGGATCTTTTGCCACTTAGTCAGGGCTGGGCTTATTTCTTGTTTCCCTTCTGTTTTGAGAGTACATGTGTGGTGATATTCTTGCTTTCGACGTGAACACCTTTCTTCTTACACCGCTGCTATTTCGCTTTTGACGAATAGGGTTGGCTTGCTTAGCTTTTTTCTTTGACTCTCTTCAAGCATTTATTTCGTGACTCACACTTCGAGTTGTATGTACACCTGAGATACCTTTCAAATGTATGCGCTAGTGTCTTGGCCTCGATCATACTGTAGACATGGGCTTTAATAAGGGAGACTTGGTAGGGTCACAGATTCACAGTGCACCTATGCATACTAGGTATTCAAGGTTGCTGTCCATTTCCATACTTAACCATGCGCCGTTTCGGAGATATAGCTCACAGGCTCAGTGGAGCAAACCTTGGAAGTCTTTTGACTACATTCATGGATCTCACCTGGGCAAGGCAGCATTCATGCAAATAGAAAGCTCGGCGTTGTTAGGTATCGGTTGTTTCTAGTCCAATGCCCTACCTAGGTAACCTTCCCAGGTTGGAAACAGATGAATGATTCACTCCAGCGTGTATTGGAATCTTGAGCCACTCTGGATGAGAAATATTTCATCACGTCAACCGTTATAATTGGTAGTCATTTCCAACCTTGGAAGGTTGTCCAGGTGGGTGGCCATCTCCATAAAGCCCCGTAAGCCGACAATAACGAAAGGGCCCTTCGCTTTTCAGCCCGGGTGCACAGGTCGATTGGCCCCGGAGGCGGGGGCCAGAGAGGAATCCTGGTACCTGGTAGTACTCAAGACTACAATTCAGATCATACCGCTGACTTCGGGAGCCTATTGCCTTGTTATAATTGATTGGGTCTTCCGGGGTTGCACTGCCACCGGTGGACAGGCTTATACCTACACCTTGGTCTGACAGTCGCAAGCCCAGGTGACAGGCGACAGAGCTACCTAGGTAGGTATATCCATGGATGCTGTGTTCCAAGGTTTGTACTTTGTCCATATATTCTAGCAAAATTACCCATGGAATTCTAGGCATTTTATACCATATCTCTTCAGGGGGATATTAGAATGTAAAGCCCTGTCATGGATGCGACCGCCAGACCTGCATGGCTTGTTGTAATGCGACTGTGCAAGACGCCCTTTCCCAGGTGCCAGGAATGTCTGGTGCGGTGAGTGTGAGTATTGTTTGTGGAATTGAATCCAGAGTTTTCGAAATTCTCACTTGAGGTGCTGAGAAGGTTAGCTCTGGGTCAGTATGCTTGTTATGTATGGAGCCCGACATTGGCGCCCTCAGGTCCGGGGGTGCTGAGTGTACATTGGTCGGAATCATAATGCTGACATCCTTTCTGGGCAGCAAAGAACCCTTTGATACTTTTCCAAAAAAAGCATTGCCGTCGAATTCCAGGCAACGCTGGAGAGTATCTTCGGCTTTGACATAAAGCGTTGATCTGGAAGTGGGATGAAAGTGATGTCGCTAGTACCCTGAGCCACCGAGTCCAGGGGCCCAATCACATCCATCTTTGCAGGGCGCCAGCAGCGGGAACCAACAAAATAGGCATAGGGTGACTTCCGAGGCATCTCTTGAGATGCCGGGAAACCCTCTGCAATATGCGATACCTGAGTCCGTGTTTAGTACCTGGACTTTTTCTCCTCGGTCTCTGATGACACTCGGGATCTTAACTACCGTGGCTTTGGGCTGGACCGGCGAACAGTCCCCTCAAAAGCCCGGAGAAGGGACACATGGAGGGCGAGTCCGAGTGATGGCCCCATTCGCTTATTGCTGGCAGGTGACCCCAAACACCGCGTCAGATAGCCTAGGCGACTGAAAATAGCATCAATGCGCTCAGGGGGAAATTCGAAATGAGCACTAGGCTCTGTGGAAGGTGTCGAATGGTCCGATGGCCTCCGGTAGAGCCATGTTGATGACTTTTAGGTCCGTGGAGAAGGGTCGCGTGTGGCATGATGTTTCAGCGGGGGAAATAGGGTGTTCCTCTTGAGGCTGACATGCATGCCCAAGCACAATTGGTGATACTATCCCTGGTTCTATTTGAATCCTCGGATGATTATCGAATAAGAGAGACCAGTTCCATAGAGTTGTAGATGTATAGTTTCGAACCCATTTGGTGGGGTATTGACGGATCATCACATCCCTGCGTTCGCATATCTACAAAGGTCCCAGGGGGGTCCCGAAGGAATAAAACAGCCCCTTCAGATCCCGACACCGTGAAAAAAAGGAATATATAAAGATCTATAAATCCAAGCACGCCTGTTGGGTACAAGGTGGCGGGAGGAACCCCGCTTAAATCCGACTTTCCTCTTCACCCACCCAACATCATACCACACACCACCACTCGTTACTGATCATGCCAACCAGAGGTGTCTACCCCTATAACCTGGGGTCGTTTGGGAAGACCGTCACCACCAACAGTCCGGAGGCACAATTATGGTTCAATCGTGGACTCACGTGGGCCTACTCCTTCAACCACAAGGAGTCCATCGTGTGCTTCCAACAGGCGCTGGTGCATGATCCGTCGTGTGCGATGGCTTATTGGGGGGTGGCCTACTCTCTCGGCCCCAATTACAATAAACCCTGGGACTTCTTTGGCAATGAGCTGACATCTGTGATCGAAAAAACCTATTGGGCCGCCCAAAAGGCCGTGGTGCTCGCCGCTAATGCTTCGCCGGTGGAGCAAGCACTTGCCAAAGCGCTGACCGCGCGCTATCAAAGCGAAAAACCGGTCAGCATGGAGCAACTGGCCGCCCAAAATATCGCATATGCGGATGCAATGGAGGAGATCTATCAAGAATTCAGTGATGATTTAGACGTGGTCACGATCTATGCTGATTCCATGATCAGCCTCACTCCCTGGAGGCTATGGGATCTGGTTACGGGAAAACCAGATCCAGCCGCCCGCACCGTGGTGGTGAAAAGGGTTCTCGAGAAGGCACTCGAGAACAAAGAGTCCACCAAGCATCCCGGTCTCTTGCATATGTATATTCATTTGATTGAAATGTCACCATTTCCAGAACTGGGTCTGCGAGCCGCCGACTATCTCCGGGACTTGGTTCCGGATGCTGGCCATATCACTCACATGCCTTCGCATCTGGATGTCCTGGTGGGGGACTACCGAAGCGCTGTTCGTGCGAACCAGCGCGCAGCCATTGCGGACGAGAAATATCTGGGACGGGAAGGTCCCTACAATTTCTACTCCGTCTATCGAATGCACACATATCACTCGCTCATCTATGCAGCCATGTTTGCAGGCCAGAAGCAGACCGCTTTCGAGGCCGTGGATCGCTTGGAGGCGACTTTGCCCAAGAAATTACTCGCAGCGATGGCCGATTACATCGAAATTTTCATGTCCGTGCGGGTACACATCATGGTCCGATTCGGCATGTGGGAAGAAATCATTCAAGTCCCCATCCCCTCAGAACCAGAGATATATTGCATGACAATAGCAACCTGGCACTACGCCAAGGGTGTCGCATTTGCGGCCACGGGAAATGTCCCCGAGGCAGAAGAGCAGCGAGCGCTGTTCCGCGAGGCCCGGACACGGGTCCCTGAAACGCGTCTAGACTGGCCGAACAAATGTACTGATATCCTTGGCGTGGCATCAGAAATGCTAGATGGTGAGATCGAATACCGCCGTGGCAACTACACGGAAGCGTTCGAGAGTCTGCGCCGCTCCATCGAATTGGATGATGGACTGGGCTACGCCGAGCCCTGGAGCTGGATGCAGCCCACACGCCATGCATATGCTGCTCTCTTGCTGGAGCAAGGGCATGTCGAGGATGCAGCAGCTGTCTACCGCGCTGACTTGGGTCTTGATGGCACTCTTATTCGGGCGCGTCAGCACCCGAATAACGTGTGGGCTTTGCAGGGCTACCATGAATGCCTGGTGCGACTTGGAAAGACCGAAATGGCTCGAGTGATCGAGCCTCAGTTGGCAATAGCGGTTGCGGTGGCCGATGTGCCCGTGACTTCTTCTTGCTTCTGTCGACTGGATACCTCCCAGGCACCGAACGTCAGCAATGGTTGTTGTAAATGATTTAAGATTGTATATACCTTTTTGTTTGTATAATTCATTGTCTCGGTGTCGTATGGTGCATGCATTCGCGTTATCGACATCGACATCACCCCATTCATCTCATCTCGTTTATTTTGCCGTGCCCAAAGAGGGTACCTTTGGCACCTGGGAGGGTCCAAGTTGACTTAGAGAGCCGAGGCGTTTGGAGCAGACGGCAATCAGCTGGGGGCATACTACAAAACTGAATGAAAGAGATCAAGTTGAAGTGAGAAGGATGGAAAGTAGGGTAAATCAATCGCCGATGTTGTGCTGATAGCCAATGAGATTCGGTGTTTGATGGGGATCAAACACCGAAGTGACACATTTTCCTCTCTTGAGTCAGGAATGTTCTTGAACTCGGTCATTGAACAGTCCAGCAGGCCAACGGCATATCCGTTACACATCCAAGTACAACTCAGTCCATTGGCTCGAGGCTCACTCCGTTGAGGGTATCTTCGTCACGTGCATAGTGACGTATGCATTCGGCATCTCCAGTGCAACCAGAACTACACTGCCCAAGTACTGTCTCAAGCGGAATGCCTCGTGTTGCGAAGCCTCCAGTAAAGGCTGCATGCTTAGCCTGGTACGTTGGCCGCCTTCAATTCACAGTTCGATCATATATATGCTTACATTACCTGTAGCCGAACATCGAAAACACGCTGTGATGGTCAGCGACCATGTGGAAGTGTATGCACTCCAATTGATCCACAAAAGGCCCCATTGACAAGTCTCCTAGTGCACTGGAAAGAAGCGAACCTGCAGCTACCAGCCGAGTCGCCGAGGTGGAGCTCGCCGAGGGGCCCAGTATGAACAGACACGTCGATCAGCAGGCAACTCACTGCCCTCGTCCTCGCTCTCAGATATCGCTGATGACATTGGTATCTCAAACAAGTCTAATGTCGTATTCAAATCTAACATTAACCCAGAGCCTTTCCCTGAAAACATGCTGGGCCTGGTAACGCCATTCGCCGGCGTCCACAATCTGGATTTATCTCCCGATTCTCTGTCTGCAGATGAAGCCCAGCAGATATGGGGCCAGCTTACCCCACACGATGACAGTCCATATGGATCCGCTACTTTGTCATACACAGGTGCCCCGTTGATAAGGTCGTACCAATCCGAAGTAGAAATGTATGGATCAGACCCCCATGACCCAACGAAGCACTAACAAGATACTTAGTGCTAATGCGTACTACATCTACATTCATCCATACTTACCCTTGCTGCCGCCGTCCATAGAGCCACAGTATGAGGACCAACCCAAAGTGATCAAGCCACTTGAAGAATACTCAGAGCCCGCGAAGTCAAATTTGCCATACTGGCCAGCATCATCGTTGAGCCTGGCTATATCCGCAATGCTGGTTCTAATACCTGCCCCCGAAGATCAATTCCCAACAGCGGACATTTCTCTAGCTTACAGGCGTTGTTACGCTCAGCTATTTGCGCAGGCAGCTCTAGCAGCAGTGGAAGCCGAGATCGACGACTTGTCGCATCCCCTTACCCCCAAAACTTCTGAGTCAGAGCGCTCTCGGGGTCAAGACGGTCTGCATCCTCGAGTCCCAGCGCAGGTTTATCCCGTACTTGCTCTTGTGGTTTTGAGTATCTATGAGTACTGCCAGCGAGATAATGTATCCCGAATGCGAGCCCGGGGCAATCAGGCTATCACAACTGCTATGGATATCTCGATACATAGCCTTGACTCCTCGGAAACAACATTTTCTGAGGCTCAGAGGAGGGCTTGGTGGATGACGGTACGTATTGACCAATGATTGACGAGATCTACGCTCACTATGCTTGCAGATGTGGGTGACTTACATGTCCTCAAACATTCATCTAACTGTAAGATCGCATTCAAGATTCAAGAGTCGCGTTGCTGACCCTTCCCAGCCACCGATTATCTCATCGAGGGATCCACGAATCACTTCTCCCTATCCTAAGTTGAATGTGTTCTTGGAGGTATTTTCCCCGCTAAGCGGAGTCGATATATCGCTGACGCCCTAAAGCCATGGCCTATGGTCATGAAATCACAAGAGATCATGTTTGAGACCAATAAAATGGTCCAAAACATCGAACATATCAATGATGATGTCGTCCCATCCGACTTTGGACCTAGAATAAGCAAAATTGACTCAGTTCTCACAACATTGATGAGGGAAGCCGATCGCCATACTTTGATCACTATCAACGAAGAGCCCGAGGCATCCGTGGCTCAGACCATGTGGATGATTAGTCGAATGTTCATTCATTCGTAAGTATCTATAACTTCTTTCCATATTCATCATGCTAAGCAAGATAGTTCTCGCATTCGACTGCACCGCTTCCGAGCGTTCATGGGCATCCCTCTGTTTCTAGACCAGTACTGTGACCTTGCTTCAATAAATGACCAGGGCGTCTCGCACGACATATCTAAGCCTAAGTGGGTCACAGACTGTGAGATTTCATTCCCATTCACCGAGCAAGAGTCCTCTAGGATTTGTCTCAAGTCGTCTCTGGTGGTATCCACGATATTCCGCACTTTGCCATTTCCACAGATACTTGGCCAGGCCTCTTTTGGTCCAACCAGGTATCCGAAGTCTGTGCCTTATTTTGCCTGCTCTGCCATGCAGAGTAGCTACGCTCTTCTCATGCTCCTGCATCGACTCCGTGCTTCTTTAGCGACAGAACGTCTCGCCCAATGCTATCACCTGCTTCATGGACCGAATCCTGAATCAGAAATAGCTGATGCTGAACGGCTAATGGAGGAGCTACGACATGGCGTCGAAACACTCTGTAAGTCCTTGAAACCGGACGTGATTTTCGAGGGCGTGGGGGATATGGGCCGTGAAATCGAGGGTGCTTACCTGGCGGCTTTCCCTGACAACTAAATACCGAATATGATGAATGTTACGTGTCACGTCGAGAAGCGTAGTCAGACACTTTGTGTCCAGAATAGCAGACGCTAAGATGGTCTTGATAGCCAAACGCAGACATGCCACGCGCGATGGTCCGGATAATTGATCTGCCGGGCCGGCGAATATCTTCGAGACACCCAGGCTTCACCCGCGCAAATGCGAGTGGATCTCAGCTTCTAGAGCAGAGTGGAGATGACAGGGAATATATCCATATCGCCTTTCATCTTCCAACGATGCTTTCAGCAGGCGTGGTCCCGATCGCGACGGGCTCGCGTCAATTACGGGAGCGCCAAGCATGGACACAAACTAGATGATTATGACGTTCTGCAGCTTCCACGGAGATTCGGTATGTTTGAGAGTCGATCAGTTGCATGAATGCTCGATTGTGCTTTGAATGGATAATGGTAACGCGTGGGTTTGCAGGAATTGCCGTCAGCGGCGGCGCCGACTCCATGGCATTGGCATATCTATGCAAGCAGCTGGAACGTTCATCTGACCTTTCTGGAGCTATCTCTGTCACTGCATTCGTGGTAGATCACCGTGCTCGTCCAGAGAGCGCCGAGGAGGCCCAAAAAGTCGCTGGTTGGCTTCGTGATATGGGTAAGATATGAACTCGACGTCGAGGTTTCGAACCCACCCCTAACATCCAACAGATATCAAAACTCAGATTCTCAAGCTGGACTGGTCTGAGCTGACTTCGGGTCAAGACAAATCATCGAAAGATTTGTCTAAGCTAACTGCCTTCGAGACCCATGCGCGGAGGTTGCGTTTCCAAGCTCTCGGCCTGGCCTGTCATGAATTCAAGCTGGAAACGCTTTTATTAGGTCACCACCAAGATGACAATATTGAAACCACCATTTGGCGGCTTTCTTCCGGCGCAAAGGGACTAGGTCTCGGTGGGATCCCCGAGGTTGCTCGAATTCCCGAGTGCCATGGCCTCTTCGGGGCATCTGAGAGCTGGTCCACGACTTCGATCCCCGTCAAACCAGACGCCATGCCTAAATCCCGAGTTAGCTTCAATGACCGGAATCGCGGATTGATCACGATATCTGGGGAAAACAAACCCGAAAACACATCTCATGTAAAAGTTGCAAGTCCAGGCATATTCATATGCCGACCATTACTGCAATTCACCAAAGCAAGTCTCCTGGAGACTTGTCACAAACACCAAATCCCCTACGTCTCCGACCCAACCAATTTCGACCCTACCCTCACCCCTCGGAATGCAATCCGTAGCTTCCGCACTTCTGGATCCTTACCTCGCGCGCTGGAATCGCAATCCATCCTCTCACTAATTCGCTCAAGTCAAGATCTTCTCCATAGATCGAACGAGCTCTCTGACTCCCTTCTCTCCTCTCAATGCCGAATCCTTGATTTCAACCCCAAAGCAGGATCGGCCGTCATTCAACTCCTAGACCCGAGTCCTGCCTCCATGGACCCTCAGCTCGCTACCTTGTCAGACTCCCAAACCAGACAGATTCAAACCCTCGTCCTCCGCCGTATCACGGAGTTGGTCTCTCCATTCCCTGATAGTCATTTTGCACTCCGCAGCTATGAGCCTTTCGTGTCAACTGTCTTCTCTGGTTCGGAAAATGACCATGTTGAAAATACGACAGGCAGTCCGGAGAAAGACAGCCTTCGGCAATCATTTACTTTAGCCGGTGTCATGTTCCAGCCTCTAACGAACCAAACACAAAACTCGGGGCCAGAGACTGATGGAAAAGGCCCGCGATCTCGTGGTGACAATATATGGTTGCTATCCCGGCAACCATTCATGAAGGATCGGGACCCCGTGACTCAGGTCAACGTCTCCCCAATGGGAAACTTCACTCCATGGCTCTTATGGGATAACCGGTTCTGGATGCGACTGCGTTTGGTCCCCAGTGACTTGGATCACGATGCCAGCGAGTTAGGGCCGAAGTTGTCTCACCTGCCTATCACTATACGTCCATTTCATAAATTGGACGTGGAGCGTGTGCGTAGAGATACAGTGAACTCAAGACCACAGGGCGCAAAGAAGAACTCAGTGATTGAGCGCGAAATTCCTGGGACATTTGAGAACTTGAAGGCTTGTTTATCTACCGAGGCGCCTTCTCAATTACGCTTCACCCTGCCTGTCTTGGCGAGGGAGGGCATCAATTCTAAGCCTGGGAAGCCCTTGGACCAGAAAGTCAGGCAACAACTGGCGTTGCCCACTTTGGATTATCGCTTGTCGGCTCACTCGGCTGCATATACCTCTGAAAGTGAGGTAGAACTGGTACATTTACGTTGGCGTTGGAAGCTGAAGTGGCAGTGGATGTACAAAATGATTGATAGTGAGGCACTGCGCCTGATGGGCTGGCCAGTTGGTGGACGCACCGAAGACGGTTAGTGTACATGACAACAATACTTAAACATAATGAAGAAAGTCCCATGGTGAGTTGATGTCCTGTGCCATGCATATAGGATTTCAATGGCTGTCTGTGCGGATGCGCCAGCTTGTGAGTGACAAGAAATAGGAATGATTACAATAAAGAAAGGCTCACGGACATGTATGCAAATGAGTGGGTAGTCAGTCAGGAGGAAAGAGGACAGTGCGGTATCAGTGTACAAGAAAGGGAAAGTTTGTGTATAAGTGTTCAGATGTTGGGTGATATGAGAAAAAAGAATGAATGGGACGGGGAAGAAACCTCAAGGAGTGGCGGATTCTGTTATTGCTCGCTCGCTTTGAGCAGCGCATGGGCAGCCGATTGAGCCCGAAGACCTCCGACTTCTCGCTTCAGGCGGAAGTTCTCTTTCTTGACACGGCCAATCTCGTCCAAGGCACTAGCAAGCTGAGACTTCAGGGCATCTTCGGCATGTCCCGATCGGACATCCTTGGCAACTTTGCTGAGCTCGGTGTTGAATCGATCGTAGAGAGCCTCGTTTTCCGCACTTGCTTCCCGATACAGCTCGTCCAATTTCTTCACGCGCCTCTCGCTAAGAACCAACGAAGATTCCAGGTCTTTCTCAATAGCCGATGTGCGCCCATTGCATTCGGCTGTCAGCATGTCAAATTTGGCTTCAATGTTGCGCATGCGAGCTTCGAGGGACGCAGTAGTCGCAGAAGATGCATGGCTGTCTTCACGGTCAAAGCTGAAGCTCAGATCCATAGGGCTGAGTTCTCTTGGGGGTGTGAGCTTGAAAGATCGCAGTTCGTCACTGATTGCAGAAATCTCATCTCTCAAGCCTAGTTGAGTAGCATATTGGGTCTTCTTTTCCAGTTGGACGCGCTCGCGCAACTGTGCAGATGTTAGTCAACGATTTACGGCTATGATGAGGCTAACAAACCTTCTGTGGACTTTGCATCCGTGCTCTCTGCGGCTTCTGAGAAGAGGACGATGACTGAGGCCGCTTGTTCTCCGATCCATTGTTGGCTGGTCGCTCTCGGAGGCCTGGGGTTCGTTGAGGGATACTGGATGCACGAGGTCCCCTCTTTGCTTCTTCGCCAGGCGATTCCGAAACATCCCTCCTGGATTTGGTTGTCCGCTCCGTGTATGGCGTTCTAGGGTCAATATTTTCCTTCTTGCTCGGCGTGGACGGACGAGGTGGTGACATTCGGCGAATGGGCGATCCCAATCTTGAAGGAGAGCTAGACTTTGCCGGTGATTGGGAGCGCATTGGGGATTGACCACGCATAGGCGAGACAGGGATATAACTGCTTTGAGGTCTGGATTGCTTGGTTGGAGTGACCACATCACCACGTGTGTAGCTTGAGGGGGTCGTCGGGCGTAGCTGTTGGGTTGGAGAAATGCTTGAGGCATCTGAAGATGCTGTAGGTGGCCGAAGGTCTGACAACGAGCTCCTTCGCTTCCTGCGAGTTCTGGGCACGCGATCCTCGGAGAAGCCTCGGAAGGATGAGAGAGAGGGAGGCTGTTCATGACCTGTACCTGGTCTTGAAATTGTTTCTTCCGATGCAAAGCCGTATGAACGGTCACTGGAAGTGGGACGCAGGAATCCGAGGCGAGCATCCACATCAGTTGACTTTGAGCGAATTAGGCTACCCTTAGGGGTGTTGGGCTCTGATCCCGCAGGACTTTGCTTTTTGCTCAACGTTCGTAGGATGGATGCTACCTTTCCTTCGCCTTCATGCTTCGAGCTTTCCTTGTGTGATCCAAATCCAAAGCGCTTTCGGAAAGAGGATGAGTTCGAACCTACTGACCCCGTGTTGTGTCCTTTGGACTGACCACAAGTCAAAGTGCCCTCCACTGAGGTGCCACCAGGGATGAAATCTTCAAAGAGTACGTCGAAGTCTTCGACAAGTCGGTCAAGCAAGGAGACATGGTGACTAGGATCGCCATCTTCGGTGAGAACCTCAGCGAACGCCATGGTTAAAGCACCTCGATCACCGTCATTCCCCGACGCATCAAGCAGCTCTGCGAGCAAGCGAATGATTGCGCCGAGAGCACGTCTGTTCTGTGGAGTCATGTCTGCTAGGAATTTTCGGAATTGATCGTCGAAATCGCGTGGGATCATAGTATCGAACTGACTCTGAACCCACTTCAGCGAAGATGAGCTCAAAATAGGGCCCATGCTCTGGTGCCAGGCGTTGGCCAAAAACGTTTCAAACGCAACAAAGAGAGTATCGACAGGCACTTCTGCGGCTGCTTGAATCCTGCTTGGGTCCTCCAAAAGAATGTTGTAAAGCTCATTGACTGGAGCTCGGTCAACGTGGTCTCTAACCCGAAGCATGCGGCCCAAGATATTTCCACTCCGAGATTGCAGAGAAAGCACAAAAGCTGCGAATGTCTGCTCTAACAGCCCGAATTGGGTGTCCAATCCCTTAGAGGTTGAAGCTCCAACGACTGATATCTTGTTGTTGCCTTCTTCCTTCTCTTTCTCTTTCTCCTTCTCTCTTTCCCTGTCTTTGTCTTTGTCTTTATCTTTCCCAGGGAAAGTTGATGGCAAAGTATTTGATCGTGACAGTTGGCCTCGGGGCGGGAGAATTTTCGGAAATTCACCCGTGAGAGTGGCCGATCCTGGACCTTTGGAACTAGGGGCACTGTCACGACTCCCTCCCAGAAGGTTAGAGATAAGTTTGGTGGGTGAAGGTGGCCGGAAGCCTCGCGAGGATTTCACTTGCGCAGTCAAGCTGCTAGCCACGTAACGTAGGATTTCGAAGTTGGAACGGACCAATGGTTCCGTGAGAACCGGGTTTCGAGTGCTACGCAGTGGGGACAGAAGATATTGAACTATGGTTAGAATGTTAGCCTGAGAACGGATTTCGAGGAATGTTTACTTACGGCGCCTTGCAAGGGTAGGAATAAAAGTTTCCACTGTGATCAAATCCGCGGATCCAAAGCCAACCACCGATTCAACGTCCAGTCTGTATTGATGATCTCCGTTCGGTGGAGATATCGATATCACGACTTCCAGGTTGGAGCCCTTCAGTATTTGGCTACAAGTAGTTTTTGAGGTATCGAAAACAACTCGTATCGGGGATGGGTGGATAGGGTTCAGTGCGGCAGTTTGGCCATCTTCACAAACGCAGGCCAGGATTCCGACATTACTAGCGGCCCCCGTTGGAGGACTTCTGAGCGTCCATTTTCCTCCTTCTCTTTCGCTTTCGGGGAATCTACCTTCGATCTTGGCCTTTGATATCTCTTCGATCAACCTGCTGGCTTTGCCTTCATATGTCGTGGCCAATTCCAATGCAATCAAGTCTGCTCCAGAATTTGACTCAGACGATGCTGTCTTGGCGGATACAGGCAGAATGTACATTATTCGGCCACATTGGGACTGCATACAACGAACATTGTGAAAGTCCAGTACTTGCACAACTTGTAAGTCTGACGGTGGGAGAGACATGGGCATGTCTGACGTTGACGAGGCTGCATTATCAATATCAGCCAGCACTCCACGTGCCGTAGCTCGGCTTTCGTCGGATTTGGCCAAAAGGACCATGCAATTTTTGTAGAGGAGCATTATTCCTGCACTTTGGCCGGATGGTTGCTCCAACTGGAAAGGAGGGACCACCTCGTTAAAGTCAACTGCAGTAATCAACCGACCCTCAGGAAACGTCCGAGCTGGCCATCCATTGACAAGCTCTCTCAATCGGTCGAGGCTTTGAGCATGGCTTGACGGCGAGTCGTTTTCAAGCGCACATATGTCCTTTACAACATCTCGTGCTTTTAACAAGGTTCGCACAGCAGGGTGAACCAGTGGGAGATTGCTTGTCATCGTGTCAATCAACAAACTGTACCGAGGAAGTCGCTGGACGGGCTCCATAAGCAAAGAGCGCAATCTCTGTTCTCCTGTTTCATACACCCTTTTCGAGAAGCTGGAGTTTTTGTCCTTCATGAACAGGTTCAGGGTCTGGGTGAAGCCGGTATGCGCTCGCATGTAGTCCCCGTATGGCTGTGAGAATCGGGGTAGCCATTCGAAGAGAGCTTTCGCAAACTCCACGGCTCCCAGTGCATCCTTTCTATCCCTGGGTAGACCCCGCGAAGGAAGCTCTGTGTCCTGCCCAATGTCCGTAATGGCTTCTTTCTCTGTGTCATCAAGTACTTGTCGGATGACATTCAAGAAACCAAGGTTGACCTCCAGAATTTCACGCAGGCATGGAGGAAATAGTGCTGCCAAAGCTGCCTCATCGGGACTTGTGCTTGAGGGTCTTCGCGCTTGAGCTTTCTGTATGAACTCATCGGCCACTTCGTGAACGAGGGAGTACAACTTGGCGACGTATCTCTCCTCCGTGTCCACGAGCTCACACATGGTCAAGCGCAGGGCCTCCTTTTGGCTTCTTGCGAACAACCGCGATTTGCTGACATTGGTGGGCTGAGATGGTGCGCGCTTTAATCGAGATGTGGGCAAGAACATGGGATCGCCCAATGCTTCTATGAGGGGTGTGTATGGTCCGTACTGGGGATTCTGAGTGTCAAGGTCTGAGCTTTCACTGCCACGTCGCTGGGGCGCTTGTATGGTGCCCGCGGGAAGAATCACGTCGATGTCAATCCACGGCACTCGCCGCTCTTGATAGGCACTCCGAATGTCGTGAATTATTTCCGATGAATCCTCCACTTTGACCATTCGGTTGGCCACATCGGCTGCATGCATCTCATCGAACATCTTAGGGATCTTGCCCCCTGGTCGTCCGATTCGAGCGAGACCCGCCAGCCGGTTTTTAGCCGGCTCCGAGAGCTCGGCGAAGTATCTCAACATGCTGACGGCAAGTCCACGAGAAACCTCGTCGCCTTGCTTGTCGCGAGGCAGGTGTTTGACAGCTGCATACACCGGGGCAGCAGGAGAGACCGTTATTCTGGGGTAGCTTTGGAAGCCGGCCGGTGTGAAGATATGAGCTTGAATGCGGGAGCTGCTGACGGTGGCATTCACGGTGGAGACAGCTCCATAGAACACGAGAATCGACGATAAACAGGGGTCGACGACATGGTAGAGGCTGAGTTGTTCGAGGGGCAGGTCTGCCAGGGTAGGGGCCGGGGGAGGTGCGAGAGCGGCCATGCTGAATGCGCTTGCGACAGGTGCGCAATGCGAGACGGTGAGCAGGCGCGATGAACAAATGAAATGCGCCTCGAGACGAGGAAAGAGGGTTGGAGAACGAAGGTAGGCACAGCTGCGCAGAGATTGAGATTAAAAGAGAGCAATTATTCCAGAGGAAAAGACAGATCAAGATCGCATATAGCATGAGCTGAAGACAGAAGCAATCGCGACATTCGCGCTACCCTCCATGGAAGCCAAGAGAGCAGAAGCTTAATTCATCGAGATCCAGGAGACACGTGCTGGAGAGGGATTGGCGAAAAAAAAGAAAGAAACCAAAACGAAAAAGAAAAGCGCCGAGACGAGGAGTAATGAGGGGAGAGGCGTTTGTTTTGAAGGTGGGGAGAGAAGCGGTGGGTAGATATCGCGATAGCCCCGATAGTAGCGGGTATTAGCGCCTCACACTAACAGTACCCCCGGTGGATCAAGAGAAAGTCTGGCCCTGCTCTCCAGGGCTCTCAGCAGTCCACTGACTTTTATGTTTTGGCTGTTGATGCTTTGTCCGGCCAACGCTTATCCTGTTGCTATGCTATCCCCAACCGCCGCAAGGACTGCAGCTACATGCTACTATCTGATAGGTCACATCCCGATGCTTTGCTGGCATCATGACTCCTTGGGGTTTCAAGAGGTTGCACACCCGATAAGAATAGACCTTGGCCCTGGAGCACAACATTCGCAGCTCTGAAGGCCAACAATGCCGTTATGTTTTGAATAATGCCACCTTGGAAACCTTGGAACGTGCCCCCAAGGTCTCCCTAGTATGAGCGCTGAGATGACCCGGAAAATATATCAGCCACTGCGGAATATATCTTGTCGATCATCGATATAGGCGCATGTACTTCTTGTCTGCAGCTCCCTTCACGTTGTTGTAGGGAGAGGTCTGCATTTACAAAGCGCAGAGTATAGAAAGGACTGTCCACGTTGGAATAGGCCTGGTGGACACACTTGGGATCCATGGATGCAAGTAATACGGATTGTGACTGAGGTACTGAAATATCCTCCCATTATATCCAATAGGCGTCCTCAAATACCAAACAGCGCGTAATCTCCGTTCACGGCACCCCTGGTGAAGGCGGTGACTGGGCGGGGAGACGCTAATCCATATGAGGCAAGGGAAGCAGCAGTATGATGATCGAGAGACCAGCTGTTTCGTTCCGAACCTCAAACGGTGTCACAACGAGTCTGCTCTTGCGAGGCCAGATTCTACCATGGATGTGCCGTCGCTTCCAATTGCCATCGACCCCGTGGCTTTGGTGACTACAGAATGCATCACGGTCACTTCGTCGATGCGCAAGCATGCCCGCTGGGCTCACTCCTCCGTCTCCGCCATATTGGGCGGCAATGGGACATCTCGCGTCTATGAACGGGATACATCTGCCCCCCCAAGCCCGAATCCCCGCAAGACCGGCCCACCGATACGGAACGAAGATGATCACGTCCTGGCGAATCGTTGGGGTCTGCGAGGGAAGAAGGGGAAAAGCATGCAGGACAACCCATTGATATCGGCCTTTACACGACTTAGAAGCGACCTCAAAGGGTGCAAAGATATCAGGACCTTTGATACCCCGGCTTTACTTCACCCGTTCTTACAGGTCGTCCGTTCCTCCTCAACCTCTGCCACAATTACTTCGATCGCTCTGGTCTCCATCACCAAGTTCTTTTCCTACAATATTGTGAACACCAACTCTCCGCGACTCTCGATGGCGATGCAGCTGCTTTCGGCTGCAATTACGCACTGCCGATTTGAAGCGAGCGACTCTTCGGCGGACGAGATTGTCCTATTGAGGATCCTCAAGCTGATGGAGGGCATACTTTCGCGGCCCGAGGGCGAGCTACTAGGCGACGAAAGCGTGTGCGAGATGATGGAGACTGGCTTGAGTATGTGCTGCCAAGGCCGTCTATCAGAGGTACTCCGAAGATCTGCCGAAATGGCAATGGTGAAAATGTGCCAGGTGATCTTCATGCGCCTGTCGCATCTGGATGAGAACATACCCGCAGGGCCGGATCCCTTCGCCGGCGAAGATACAAGAAATGATCTTTTATCACGTTTGAAAATGGACCCCTCTGTCAACGGGGATACCGTGACATCCCAGCATCTGTCGGCTATAAGTGCAGACACAGCAGCAGCAGAGCGAAACAGCACTAGCCGGGAGGGAACACCCGATCCGGCCGGTAGTTCCAGCACTCCAGCTGCTGCAGCACCCCCCAGTCCAGATGACGACCCGGAAGCAGAGGTCCAGCCGTATTCTCTGCCGTCTATCAGAGAATTGTTCCGCGTCTTGATCGACCTTTTGGATCCACACAACCGGCAGCATACCGATGCCATGAGGGTGATGGCACTCCGTATCATTGATGTCGCGTTAGAGGTAGCAGGTCCATCAATTGCTCGACACCCGAGCCTGGCAGCCTTGGCCAAAGATGACCTATGTCGTTACCTCTTCCAATTGGTCAGGTCAGAGCATATTGCTATTCTGACAGGCTCATTGCGAGTTGCTGGTACACTATTGTCGACTTGCCGGCCTGTACTGAAGCTACAGCAAGAACTTTATATTTCATACCTTGTGGCATGCCTCCACCCTCGCGTTGAAATACCGCGAGAGCCTGGAATTGACCCATCACTCTACGAAGGCATACCTCAATCGCCTAAGTTGGTCAAGCAGCCGGCTTCACAGACTAATAGCGGGAGATCAACGCCTGTTCCTGTCAGGGACCGACAAAAGCTTGGACTTGAAGGAGGGTCGAGAAGACCCGAAACCAGAGAGGCCATGGTTGAAAGCATCGGCGTCTTGTCTCGCATACCTAGCTTTATGGTTGAGCTTTTCGTCAACTACGACTGTGAGGTGGACCGGGCGGATTTGTGCGAAGATCTGATCGGACTTTTGTCTCGGAATGCTTTCCCAGATTCTGCCACTTGGAGCACTACAAACGTCCCACCGCTATGCCTTGATGCTCTCTTGGGCTATGTGCAATTTGTGTACGACAGGTTAGACGATGAGCCGGTACAAGGTGACTATCCACCACAAGAACGCCTACGGAAGCAGCGCGAGACCAAGAGACTCATCATCAAGGGAGCTCAGATCTTTAATGAGGATCCCAAAAAGGGAATTTCATTCCTTGGCGGCCATGGTGTGATTGAGGATGTGAAGAATCCAGTTCTGGTCGCTCGCTTCCTGAAGGGAACCTCTCGCCTGTCGAAGAAGGTTCTCGGAGAATACATCTCTAAGCGCGGCAACGAAGAATTGCTTGGCGCTTTTGTGGACTTGCTCGATTTTTCGGGACGCAATGCGGTCGAAGCACTGCGAGAACTGCTGAGCTCCTTCCGTTTGCCCGGCGAGTCACCTCTTATTGAACGAATCGTAACTATCTTCTCGGAGCATTACGTCGACAAGGTACAGCCTGAGGGCATTGCCGACAAGGACGCACTCTACATCTTGACATATGCCATCATCATGTTGAACACTGATCAGTACAATCCCAACGTCAAGCCACAAAATCGCATGTCGTTCATCAGTTTCGCCAGAAACCTACGTGGTGTCAATGGCGGCGGTGATTTTGCGGAGGAATTCCTCCAGGAGATCTACGATTCCATCAAGAGCAACGAGATCATCCTTCCCGATGAGCACGAGAACAAGCATGCCTTTGACTATGCCTGGAAAGAAATGTTGTTGAAGTCCTCGTCGACATCTGATATGGTGATCGGGGAAACTAACTTGTTTGATGCTGAGATGTTTGAGGCCACATGGAAACCAGTGATCGCGACCCTCTCGTATGTCTTCATGTCTGCGTCAGACGACGCAGTGTACTCTCGTGTGGTGAACGGTTTCGACCAGTGTGCACAAATTGCTGCGCGCTACGGTTTGACTGAGGCGTTTGATCGTATCGTCTTCTCACTTGCCTCGATCAGCACTCTGTCTACCGACAAACCCCCAAGCACAGCGCTCAACACAGAGGTTCAAGCTGGCCAGAAGAGCGTGATGGTCAGTGAGTTGGCCGTCAAATTCGGCCGAGACTTCAGAGCGCAGTTAGCCACTGTGGTACTTTTCCGGATTCTCGCCTCGAACGAGGCCACTGTCAAACAAGGATGGGAGCACATTGTCCGCATATTGAGCAATCTATTTATAAACTCTCTCATTCCACCATTCGATGCCCAGCTTACGTCCGAGCTCGAGATCTCCCCGATTCCGCTGCAGCCTCCGTCACAAGTCGTCGATCGTGATGGACGGAGCAATGAAACCGGAATCTTGTCCGCTTTCACATCCTATCTTTCCAGTTATGCGGCGGATGACCCCCCCGAGCCCTCAGATGAGGAGCTTGACAACACACTTTGCACAGTCGACTGCGTGACGTCGTGCTCGATACCCGACATCTTATCGAATATCAAAACCCTTCCATTGGCTTCTCTGGAGACGCTTGTGGAGGTTTTACTCTCTCTGCTCCCTGAAGAAAATGCACCGGCTGTCATTGTTGTGAAATCCGAGCGGCCTACACCCACCTCTCGAATTGGAAACAGGGCTGACCCTAACCAACCTAAATACGACCCCTCAATGATCTTTGTTCTTGAACTGGCTACTGTGCTCACTCTTCGAGACGACAAGACCTTGGAGGTGCTCGGAGAAAACCTTGCCACGACCCTCCAAACACTGCTGCGTGATGCCAAGAACCTCCATCCTCTGTCTGTGTCTCGTGTTGTATCTTACTTGCTCAATTTGTTACGACTTAGTCATGTATGTATCACCACGAATAAGGGGCTGAGGAGAATTCCAAACTGACAAACTTCTAGGAACAACACTTCATGCGGGTGCCCGTTGTGCTTCATGCTATCTCTGGATTTGATCAGGATATCCTGGAAACCGTGGCCACAGCCACCGTCAAGGGCCTATCCAGATGCATTACCCACACCGGTCGTCTCCGAAATGAGATCACTATATCTCCAGACTTCTGGTCAGTCTTGCAAAGACTTCACCAACACGAGGCAGTTGCGCCCCTTGTGTTCGATCTTCTGCAAAGCATTGTCAATTCGATGCCGGATATCATCACCGCCGACAACTACGAGTTCGTGGTCAGCTTGGCAAACGACTTCGTGAGTGCTGCTCGTGTTGGGTCTATCGAGGAACGACACAGGGATGCTCAGGCCCGTCGTAACAAGAGCATCAAACAGTCAAAACCAAGGTATGATGCACTGCCATGCACTTTGCAACTATAAACTTATCTCTCCATAGTGAAAATCAAGTCGTCACTCGCGGCGTGAAGGCAATTGGCCTGATCTACCATCTGACTGGACGAGTTCCGGCTCTTATCAAACAATCACACCTTGAGGAGCACGAAGGTAATCACCTTTCAATCACACAATATATGCAGCAAGTTTCTAACATTTACCCTTTCAGCCTGGGCTGCGTACTGGTCACCTATCTTCCAATCCCTGACCAGTCAATGCATCAACCCGTGTCGCGATATTCGACACCATGCCATCTCCACATTGCAACGCTCTCTACTATCCGCAGAGCTAGTCTCCAGCGACGATAGCGAGTGGACTAGCATTTTTGACGAAGTCCTATTCCCGCTTGTAATCCTCCTTCTGAAGCCGGAGGTCTACCATTCCGACCCCATTGGCATGACAGAGACTCGCTTCCAAGCCGCAACCTTGGTCTGCAAGATCTTCTTGCGATTCCTTGACCAGCTGCCAAACCGAGCGGGCATGCTTCCCCTCTGGCTCAGGATCCTGGATATTCTTGACCGTATGATGAACAGCGGCCAAGGTGACAGTCTGGTGAGTCAATAATAACCCCCAACCCCGGATACATACCATCTTACATCTTGCTAATATAATCTTCCCATTATCGCAGGCGGAGGCAGTTCCCGAAAGCTTGAAGAACATTCTCCTTGTCATGGCTGATGGAGGCTACCTCATCCCTCCATCACAAGATCCAAGCAAGGAGGAGATCTGGGTCGAGACCCGCAAGCGTCTTGGTCGCTTCTTGCCTGATCTCTTTGCCGAGGTGTTCCCTGATCCTCCCAAAGATTCTGAACAGCCTCAACAGGGAAATGTTGTTCCCTCTCCAGTCCAGAACAACGAGACAGAGCAGAAACCCGAAGAAACGGCCGCAATCGAAGACAATGGTGAAAAGGAGGGTGCCGTCGCTGATGCCGAGAGCCCATCTTCGCCGCAAGAAATTGAAGCAGGGACTGCTTAACGAAGATTAGGAGAGTTAGGCTTTTCCTCTGATGATCTTCTCTTTATTTGCTTTTGCTGCATTTGCATTTAGATCAGGGGTTTACCCTCTATTCGTCTCAATCTTACATGTAGATATAGTTTGATGTTTTACGGCGCTACGTGGGAGAAAGTTAGTTAACTCATATCCCTGACCTCGGGATAATTCAAACATTGTATGATTTTCCGTCTGCATCTTTCAATCCACGGGGATGGCTCCGACGAAATATGGCTGCCACATCTATCTTACTTCTTATACAAGATGCCTTCCAAAACAAGCTACTACAGACTTCAGGAGGTACCTAGGTATGCCACACCCAAGGGGCTGGCAATATATCATAAAGCTGGAATGGCACAGATGTATCATTTCAAGGAACATCTTATGCACGTAAAGATACAAAAAATTGCATGTCTGATCAGGTATCCTAGAAAAAGACAAGAAAAATCGAAATAATCATGGCGGGTGGCATAGACCTCCCTCAAGTTGCAATAAATTGGAAATAGTCATGAGATGTAATGCAGGGGTGTTGGTTGAGCGGAAAGTTTGATCGAGGAGAGAATTCATCAACCTCTACGGGGACAAGTTACAAGAAACAGGGTTAGGGAGGGCAGGGCAAGCAAAGATACAACAAATTGACATGGAAAGATTGATGTCCAATGCCCTCCCCTTGAGCACATGCTATTTATTGCTAATCCTCGTCCATGTCAAGGTCGATAGCATCGGGGTTGGCGGCGGGAGCTGGTGCTTGGGCTGGAGGGGGTCGGTTGCCTCCCTCGGGTCCGCTGCTAGCGGCAACGAAGCCGACGGGAGCCCGGGCTTGACGCTCCAGTTCAGCCATGGCATCGGCGCCTTCTTGGTCGCCACCATCTTCTCCCTGGAGTTCCTGTTGGCCCCGAGCAATGGCCTGGGATGCGATAAAGTTGACATCGGTGCTGGTTTTGAGTGTTAGCCAAACATTCGCAAATAATGAAGTAGAAGGAATGACATACTTGAATTTAGCCTGTGTAGTTCTCTTGGTGGTGAGCATTGCACCGAATGTATCTTCGTTTCCGTGGTTGACTTCGAAGTCATCCCACCTCTTCCAGAAGTGAGCGCTCGTCCGAGGATCACAGAATTGAGATCCGTGGCCATAGATTGCACGGGCACGGTCGATTTCACCGAGTCGTCGTTCCATTTCGGCGAACTTGAGACACATTTCCTTTGCCTCTTGGTCGGGCAGTGCGGCAATGGCTCGCTCGTAAATCGGTCTTGTTGATGTAAGACCGAAGTTGGAAGCAGACTTGGTGATGTAGAACTCGAATATTTCGAATCGGTCCTCGTCGGACACAGCCCGAGTGGCACGTTCGTAGATCCGCATGGCGTGTCTGGCGAGACCTCGCTCCTCTTCCAAGCTGCCGTACATCAAGTATAGAGACCTGGCGAATTTCGGGGGACATTCTTCCAGGGCTTGCTCGAACAAGTCTCGGAGACGCTCGATGCCGATCTTGCGATCCACGGCCTTGGTCAAGTACAGATTCCAGAGCTCGAATGCAACCGGATAGGTGAAAAGATCCAATCCTCGCTCGTAGACCTTGAAGGACTCTTCAAAATATTTGTTTTCTTCCAGGAGGTTGGCATAATTGACGACAGTTTGAGGTGTGGCGATCCGAAGCTCGAAGATTCGCTCATAGACTGCCTTGGTCTCATCCAGGGAGGAGACACTCTCAACGAGATCCACATAGAAGCTCCACAATTTCCAGCTCTTGTGGATTCGTTGTTGTGGGGAGAGACTCTCGTCAAAGTAATCAACAGTTGACTTCTTGGGTGCCTGAGTGGCCTTGGCCATGACACTGACTGCCTTTTCAAAGTTTTCGGCGCGCAGTTCCATTTCAGCCCATTCACACCAAACCTCTGCCAACTCTGCCACAGCCTTGAATGGAACCTTGACGGCCTTGTCAAAGATAACTCTAGCAGTGTTCAGGTCACCGCCGTTCTCGTAAAGCTTGGCGTAATTGATCCAGAGCTCGGAGAACTTTCCGTGGGCTTTCTTGGGGCCAATAGCTGCGATTGCATCTGTGTAAGTTTGAACAGCTTCTTGCTTATTGTCTCCCCAAAGCGCCACTCTCTTTTCCCATTCAATGACATTGTGAGGGTTCTGTCGAAGAAGAACATCATTGACGAGGAAAGGTCTGCGATCCATCAATTGCTCGAAGCGCAACATGCGGAGATCAAGGTCGAAGTCGGCCTCCTCGTCGACCTTGCCCTTTTCGGACCGAGTCGCCGCACCGTCCATCAAATTGCCAATGATGGACTCTTCGAACTCGACGTAGGAGTCGAAGATGAGGGTGAAGTCGCGTACAGTCATAACGGTAGTAATTCCCTCTTCAAACACATCCCTCGCTTTCTCGAAGTTGCCCTTAGTGATCCAGTATGTCGCCAGGCCAGCCCAAAGCTTACCCCGCTGGTCTGCAAAGCGCTGAATGCCACTGCGGAGAATAGCATCGACATCAATTCCGGATTGAGGACCAGTCTGGATCTTCTTCGCCTTCGAAACGAGAAGGTCAACCATCTCTGTCCACAGCTGGAAGGGACTTTTGCCATTCTTGGATTGGAACCGAGGATTGTCGAGAACGTCCATGAACTTCTTCACGGCTTCTGTGTATTCACCCATTTCAACGAGCAATTCGATGTATTCCTCGATGTTCTCGGGGTGGATTTGCATGTACCGCGCAAAGATTTTGACAGCAGTCTGTCCGGAAGCAGATCGGGCGAAGCCCTTGTAAAGCCTCCAGATTCGGTTGTGCTGTGTGACTGGTAGGGCTCGCAAAGATCGATCAAAGGTTCGTCGAGTCTGGGTGACTGAGGGCTGCTGGAGGAGGAATGAAAGATACATTTCCCAGATGCGCGGCATCTTGTTGAGGAGAATCAAAGCTCGTTCGAAGAGGGCATTGACCTTCTGGTATTCGGCGCGATAGACCGTGGGATTGCGACCCTTCAGGTGATTCGTACGGAACTCAAGATACTGATTAAGTTAGCAAAAATACCAGTTTTGGGGGTCTGGAATACTCTTACCATTTTCCAGAGCTTGTATGATCGCGGCAATTGCTTGCAGGCACGCTCCATGACCTATCAAGATGTTAATTTAGCTCAAGAGCCATCTGTTTGTTTCATGGCGGGGACGTACGAAGGCCTGTTCGTAGAGGGTGCCATTTTGCTGCTTGAATTCGATGTATGCAAGCCATGGTTTGACACTAGTGGCGTCGCGTAGCAAGTCTTGCTCATAAACGATGTCCTGATCAGTCTAGAGAAGATGTTCGAGTCAGTCATAAGTCCAGTTGGTCCAATGCGTGAATACTGACAATCAAGTAGAGGTCGGGCCGGGACGCAGAAGATCGATCCATCTCTGCGTGCTGCCGGTGTGATCTCGGGGGCAAGAGTGTCCCTGGCATTGCGCCACTCAGTTGAGCGAAATCCAATTATGCCGTCAATTTGTCGACATAAAAAATCGCATAGATTAGAGGCTGTGAACATGCGCACTGGAGGGCACCTGTTGACGGATGAAGTTCGCATGCTGATCATTTCACGTGACCCTCGCCATATCAGGTAAGCGGTGAGCGTTTATCAGCGTCATATCAATGTGGCCGCTCTACGCCTAATCACGGACGCTATTGTGCTTTGTGCTGCGATTTAATCATGTCTGGTGCCGTAGTGAGTACCCTGGGCCTACACTGCAGTGTGCTTGATCTGACTGATATTCTTCTAGGGCCGAGAGGCAGTCTTCCCAACTCGCCAGTCATTGGGGTTGATGAAGAACAAGCTGAAGGGGGCGGAGATTGGCCACAGCTTGCTGAAGAGAAAGAGTGAAGCTCTTACAAAGTGAGTTGCTTTGCCCATTGTGGCTTTGATATATAGACTGACCCTTTATCTTCCCAACAGGCGCTTCCGAGGTATGCTGTACTGGTGCATTCTAGTTCCCCGCCTTTGGCGCTGACCGTATCTCTTAGAGATCACACGCCGTATCGATGAAGCTAAACAAAAGATGGGCCGTGTCATGCAGATTGCAGCATTCTCATTAGCTGAAGTGAGCTACGCTGTGGGAGGAGACATTGGTTATCAGATCCAGGAGTCCGCCAAGCAGGCTCGTTTCCGTGTGCGAGCCAAACAAGAGAACGTCTCTGGTGTTCTTCTGCCCTCCTTCGAGAGCTACACGCAAGATGGTGTCAATGACTTTGGCCTCACTGGTTTAGGCAAAGGAGGACAACAGATTCAACGCTGTCGGGAAACGTACGCACGGGCTGTGGAGACATTGGTGGAACTTGCAAGTCTACAGGTATGGAGGCGCATATCGAAACTGTTTCAACCATTGCTCACCAGCTATACAAGACTGCCTTCCTGATTCTGGATGAAGTTATCAAGGTTGTTAACCGAAGAGGTATGTGGTTTGCCGAACTTTCATAGGTCAGATTGCTAACCCACTCGCCATATAGTTAACGCCATGTAAGATCAAGACTACCCCTTAGATCAATATCCCACATACTGACATGCCTTGCACAGTGAACATGTGATTATTCCTCGAACCGAGAACACTATCAAATGTATGTCCTATCCTATGAGTCTGATTCGCACCGGCTAACTCCCCCCAGACATCAACTCCGAGCTGGATGAGCTCGACCGAGAGGAATTCTATCGCCTGAAGAAGGTCTCAGGAAAGAAGAAGAGAGATGTTGCTGCTGCAGATGCTGCGATTCTTGCAGCCCGCCAAAGGGCAGCCGAAGAGCAAGCAGCGAACCCGGAGGCCGCTTCTAAGGCACCACCTGCCAAAGAAGAAGAGTCGACGGATGTCCTCGGTGAGAACGAAGACAACGATGTCATTTTCTAGACTTGCCCTTCTGTTCCTGGTTGATACTCTTTTCCCGTTGGCGCTTTCTGTTCTAGCAATAACATGTACCACTTGTACGCTCATACTCCAGCCCTCAGCTCGTGTTTTTTATGTCATTTTACCCAGGGAAATATGAAGCCTTATGCGATATGCAATCTGAGTATATTGCAGTAGCAAGAGTAGCATGATGAAAAGCTCTCCGTATTTCTAATCCAAATATGTTTGAGACGAGACCTTCCAAACGCCAGAAAGAACAAGATCCGGGATATTTTGTGGGATGCAACCACCCACGACTACTGTCGCTGATAGGTAACGCGAATGGCCTTGCCTTGCTCGCCCATTGGCATACCCGATGTAGCCTCCTTTGCGCTGATTGCTCCCGTCTCGGCTTCGTACTCGACGAAGGCAATTCCCTTGCGACCAGGTACCAATCTGACTTCCTGGAATCCCTCGAAGCGGCCAAAGATGGCGGAAAGACCCTCTTCGTTGGCATCGTCTGGCAGGTCCCGCAAGAACAGGATCTTGTTTGGCGGGAGGTACTCGTCGGGAATGACAGCAGCTGTGGTGCCAGAGGTGGGCTTGAGGCCAGCGCCTTTCGTAGTCTTGGCCGGGCGTGTGGGCTCGGCGTTGGGGGCAGGACGCTTGAGTTTCTTCTGTGCTTCGAGTGCCTCGTGGGCTTGCTTGCGCTCTGGTAAAAGGGAAAGAGAGGTTAGCGAGAGTCACCCGGCAGATGATGTCGCCATCTTCATCGAACATACCCTTCTCAGCGAGACGTTTCCGCTTGTGAGCCTCTAGCTCGTCGCTGCCGCCCTCGCGTTGCACTGTCGCATCACTTCTGCTTTTCGCATAGTCCAGGATCATGGGCTTGTCGAAAATGTCGAAGCCATTGATTTCCTCGATAGCGCGGGTCGCAGAGTCGACGTTATCGAAGACGATGAAAGCCTGGCCCTTGGCCTTCAGATTGGTCTTTGCGACCACCTCTAGGATGGTACCATATTCCGAGAAAATCTCCTCCAAAGCCACCTTCAGCTGTTCGACTTTAATCCGCTCATCTAGATTCTTGACCTGGTGAAGTCGTCAGTATGGGAGCGGTCATGCGGGAGCGATGAGGGGTGCGCACATATACTCTGCAGAGACTTGTTAGCATGGGAGATGATCTGCGATCCAAGGGGAGGACTCACGTCGAATTGGGAGGTAGCCCAGCTGCAGATACGGCCGCCATTGTTGCGACAATTGGAGCTCCGGAAGACAACAGGTCGAGCTTCTGATTTGAGGGGAGAAATGAGATGGGGTTGCAGTGGTGGATTATTATACAACAAAGTGGGCCATCTTACATCAACTGGCATCATTGGTCTAGTGGTAGAATTCGTCGTTGCCATCGACGAGGCCCGTGTTCGATTCACGGATGATGCACATTTCTTTTTCGTTTTTTTTTTGTTTTTTCTCACGTCTGCTTCAATCTGGTATCTTTGTCTTCTGCATGGCGCCGTCGACTTCGAAATTTTCCTCCAAAAGTGGCGGTTTTCGAATCACATTGCATATTTCCTCCGTGCAAGTATAGAAATTGGCTCTTGGTTGGGTTTCCATTGCAGTCGACTAATGCAAGACCTATCATATCCATGTATTCATCGGGGGTTGAGACCTATAGAGTCATCCTGATACGCCTTGCTTATGTTGCATACTCTATTGTATGATATGTATGAGCGGTTCTAGTCTCTCAATTTATGTGCATTAGAGCAATTTTGCTACCCGTAGAATACTTTGCAGTGATCTTGGGGCATTGGGGACTCTCAGCATGATGAGTATGAAGTCTGACATGACCAGATAGTGACACAAGCTTCAGGACGCGTACTCTTTGGGGCCATAGACATCTCGACTTCCGAGGTTGGAAATGCCCGATGCAACTGGGTACAACATCCTGGGCATGTGCGTCCATTTCTGGTCAAGCCGTGGAAGAAAAAAAGCGTCTGCATGTCTAGTGACTACAAGTGCCTGTCGCCACAACAAAGCCAAGGCAATCGGGGGATCTCGAAGGGGGCAGCCCCTAACATCCTATAGTATAGAAACTCTCTAGAGAGATCCAGACCTGCAGGTCTTACTCCTATCCACCAATCGTTTTATACTTGATCGGCAAAATAGCCCAATATTGTCCAACATGCAATCTCGATTGTATACAGAGCCCTCTGTATCCTCTTATAAATACTCCGTACGTATGGCAGACTCATAATTTCCACTACAGAGATCGGAGGCATCCAGAATGAATCTCACCTTTTTGTTATCCCTTGCAGCTCTTGCTACTGTCGGCACAGCCAAAACACCAGGCTGTGGCAAGAACATACCCTCAAGATGGCCATCAGCAGGATCGAGTGCATCTCTCAATCTCCCGGGCACAGATCGACAGTACAGACTATACATTCCTGCGAACTATGACAAGAACACGCCAACGGCAGTATACTTCTCCTTCCACGGAGCCTCCGGCACCATGAAGAAACAAGAAGCCCTATCCCAATTCTCCAACTCGCTATTCAACCCAAATGGCATTGCCGTCTACCCTGACAGCAAAAATGGATACTGGCTCTCCAATCCAAACGCCGACACATCACGCCCAAATGATTTAGACTTCACCAATGACCTGCTCTCCCACATCGAAGAGAAGCTCTGCATCGACCAATCCAGGATTTACTCTGCTGGAAAATCCAATGGAGGCGGATTTACAAGCGTTATTGCTTGTAACGCAACAGTCGGAAGTCGATTCGCTGCCTTTGCCTCCGTCAGCGGCGCGTACTATGACACCGACGAGGTTGACGGTATTGGTCCCTGTGAGCCTGCCGAGCGAGCAGAGGGATATCCGTTCCTAGAATTCCACGGCACAACCGATACGACGGCGCCTATGGATGGAAATACCAAGAGCAATCCTAAGCTGCCTGTCATTGATATGTTGCAGGGTTGGGCTACCCGCAACGGATGCGGAGACCAGCCCCAGTGGGCTTCAAACGAGACCATCTACACCAATCCGCTGGTGAAGCATGTTTCTTGGGACTGCAATGGGAAAGATGGCATTGTTCAGCATTATCGCGAGGGTGAGAATGGTCATTGCTGGCCTAGCACCATCGGTAATAGCGACTATGTCAAACACTCCGACCAATGCCCATTGGGAAAATATGTTTACAACGCAACGGAGTACATCTTCGACTTCTTTGAGAAGTATCAGTTGGACCAATGAGTCCAAAGTTGTCCCAGCATGATTTCTTGTGTACTACGCTTTATTTTGATCTAGCCTCATCCATGGATGTCGCAACGCTTCCCTGTTACATATTACGCCGCATTCGCACATACATTGGAATAGGTATTGGAACCCAGGCTTTCACCTGGGCTGAAATCCTGATTACATATTCTATTGTCCCGAGGTCGTTTTACTATTTTCTGCCGACTGTCTTCATGTATTCCAACCTGGAAGGTCCCAACATTGGAAGGTTCACGCTGGATTACCTCGAATCGATCTCACCGAGACCAAGAATCAATCCCATCCCGAGGGTCTCAGGCTTCGAGATTGAGGGCAATCTTCAAATCATCGACTTGAGGCTTCAGCTGCTTAGGTGAAGCGGACCAGTCCTCATACTTGACAACGTCAGACTCCGTCACCATAAATAGGTACTCTGCAGCGCTCGATCGAACCTGAAGAAAACGCACTGGTCAGCACAGCTCACAATTTAACAGATATAAACAGAGATAGATCGCACCCTCGGGAAAGGATGTAAGAGCATCCCGGTCAACTTCTTTAAGACCCCGGTGTGTAGATAATCGATTCTCGATAACGCTCCATACGCTTTAATCGCAGCCTCTAATCGGGCTATATTTGCCGACCTGAGATGCGACTTTTGAACCAGGGTGAATATTTTTCGGAAGCTAGAGTGGAATTTAATGTCAGTAGATGATTCAATCGTATATAGCTGCGAGATTTGACAGACCATGGACTAGAACCTTCGGGGACGACCATAACAAAGCCATCAATCAAGAAGGCAATGAATTCAACCGCAGGAATGGCAAATCGGTCATCCTGAAGATTATCATTCAATATCGTAGAAAGGTCTTCCAAGAACAACACCAGAACCTCCTGGCGATGGGTCGATGATTGCGAGTTGATAAACTGAACCAGCGCCGAGCGAGCCGCTCGAACAAGGCCTTCCGCGCCTGAAATGGCGGATGTTGCAAAGCCTTGGAGAAGAGGTAAACGCAGCCAGTCAATGCGGTATAAAGAAAAAAGCTGGGTGAAGTATTCTTGCGATGAGACATGGCTAAAGTGCTCAAATGTTCTAGTACAGTCAGCACTCATCCCACGATATCCGGGATTTTGGGATTCTTACCGTTCAAGCGGAGGAAAATCTCCAGCTGATTCCCAGAAACTTTGCAGACAGAGCCATGCCTGAAGTCTCACCTTGTCCAACTTCTCACAAGCAAGTCGACAAAGACATCCGACCAGATCTTGGATCAATGGTGATCGTGACGTTGGCTCCCTTTGCAAAAGGATCCCGACGGCCTGAATTGCTTCCACACGTATGAGTGATCCGATATCACCTCGTCTGTCAGTCGTGTAATCGTTCAAGAATTCTAAGAAGGTATTCGCAATTTCATTTGTGGAGGCTGTAATTGGGTGAGCTGAGTTCAAAACTGGAAGACAGACCCAGTAGGACCGAGACACGCCTGACATACCCATATGTGGTAGAATGCTCGTTGCCAAGCACTTCACAGCAGCCACTCTTTTCTCGATGAGTTCTTCCTTGCCAGTATAACGAACCAGCTCAGTAACCACGCTCCCTTGAAGATCACACTCTGCCCCAAGTTGTTTGAATACTGCGCCGAGTGCTAGGATTTGACCGCGACCTGTCGGCATCCGCCATGAATTGCGTAGGTGAGCAGACCAATCGCGCACAGTTTTCTCCTGCTTCGATGGCGAAAGAAGGGGGAAAAATCGAGACAGGGCATTAGAGGAAGTCTCGATAGAGATATCATCGCTTCGCAATAAACAGAGAGAGAGAACCTGCAGTGCACGGTCAAGTAAGGCCTCGGTGGGGTGTTCTAAGCCTATGGTAATAATGGAACGCGAGAGAGAGGAGACCAAGGAAGATGATGCCTCCGCTGTGAGCTCGGGGCGTGATGTTTGGAATGTCAAGTCATCATCGGTAGGACCGGACTGGGATCCAAAGATATCCCAGACTTTGAGCACCTGAGAGGAAACAGCCTTGGCTTCCGGAGACCCTCTTGTCTCCAGTGATATTTCCCACTGGGAAGTAAATGAATCCACGGTGGCAGAAAATGCCAAAAGGCAGCCGTGCCGAGATTCCACATCGTTTCGAGATATACTGGAGAACTTTCGCAGCAAAAGATCCAGTACCTGCTGCATAGTCCTGAATGAATCATGTGCACTCAAAGTGGCAATTGATTTGGCTGCTTGTCTCCTGGACTCAGCATCTGGGGAGCCGATTCCTCTCCAACCCATCAAAGCGTCAAGAAGGGGACTCCAGTAAATTTGATCCAGAGAGGCTGTTGACTTAGCAACGTCAATTATGGCCCGAGAGCGTCGCGCGACAGCATGGTAGTCAACAACTTGCACCAAGGGAATTCCTTCCGCAATAGTGTTAGGGTGTCGACCGATCAATTCTTGCAAGGCAGCAGAAGAGCCACGTCGAATATTTCCAGATGGGTCGACACAAGCGGCACAAACGAGCTCCACGGCCAGCTTTTGCAGAACGTCGACCTCCTTTTGTCCAGATGGCGACGAAACAAACTGTTTCTGCAATGCCAGAAGTTCCGCTGTAGTGTATTTCCGCGACAAAGCCCAGATACCGAAGCAAGCGGCATCTCGCACACCTGTTCCCACTGAACTGCCAGTCGAAGACCTCTGCTCAAAGTATAAGCCGGCTACAAGTGACTGAAGGATTTCAGGCAACTGGTGAATTGGCGGCGCTCGACGGAAGAGCAAGTGAGACAGCGTCAGAATTAAGCCTTGCCACTGCTGAGCATCGACAGCACTGAGATTTCGTCTCAATGTGTGAGTGCCAATCTTGCGCGCTTCGAATGGAGTGACAAGTGTTCCATCAATTTTTTCGAAGAGAATATTTTCCCCCAACGAGCCAATAACGGCCTCAATGACCTCAGTCGCCATGTCTGGATCCAATTTGAGGGTGATGATGCTGAGTGCTTTACTTGCAGCAAACCGAACAGGCGTGTCTTTGTCGGCCAAAGAGACCAAAAAGTGATCAATTGAATCCTCCATTATGGCCGACAATTGATCATCTGTGATAATTCCACTCCCTCGTTCGCTCAAAGATAAAGCCATAACCGTGATATTGCGAAGAATCTTAACCACAACCTTTCGGGCTAAAGCCGAAGACTGGATGGTTGCTGATACCGCAGAGGTCCCTTGGCATACGCTGAGGGTTTGCTGGAAAACGCTTTGTATCAGGGGCGCAAAGTCTTCCACCTGGCCGGATGCACCCAAGCGAGCTATAAAAGTGAGCAAACCGATACAGGCATGAACAGAGGGTGATTCAGCATTATCACCAGGTTGCATCTTCGCAAATGCCCATTTAGTCAACCCTGTCAGAACCCCCAGAGCTTGCATATCTCCTCGCAAAGCCAATCGGGCTAACAGAGCAGTTGCCGCCTCGCGCTCCTTCCCTGCGACGCCGATGTAATGCAATGACAGAGAAAGGAGGGACTTCGCAACCATTGGGGTTTCAGCTGGCAACCAGCTAAGCTGCTCCATGTTGTCGTGAGGCACTGGAATATCATCCGATGACAACGAAGAGAGGTCAAATGGAGCAAGGAGAAGGTGGGACAACCAAACTAACATCACATAGCGCTCTTCCCAGATGAGTCGTTTGGGCTCCGAGTCAAATGAGTCCTCGGAGTTTGGCTGCTGGATCATGTCCCATTCAATAAAGCCCCGAAGCATGGATTCAAGATACTTCGGCTCATTGTTCAAAAACCTGCTGATCACCTTGACACCCCGGACCTTGCAGAACGTGTATAAAAGCCTGCAGATGGCCCTTGGGAGCGGATATGTGTTTCCCCTGTGTGCATTATTTGCAGAGGCTGATCCATACTGAGCACGGTGCTTGACCAAATAGGCCAGGAAAGCGTCCACTAAAGGAGGCAACAGCTTCTGCAGATGGGGATCTAAGAGTTGAGGCCACTCTTGGAAAGGCTCGAGCTGAATGAAAAGTCAGTAGAATCTAAATATATCAAAGGCAAGGTTTTCTTACTAGGCTGACGAGCTTTTCTGTTTTGGTGACCTGTGCCCATTTACGTGGGGTGCGGATGGAAGTCCCAGGTTGGGATTTCCACAACAGCGAGGGTAGCTTGATCGAAAATTCGGCTACCAGGTCCCCGGAGGCTCGCTGAAGCTTCACATCGCGATCTTCGGCAGCATCCATGTTGGAATCCAGTTGATGCGGTGCGTGAAGACTTGCAGTGTTGGGAATAGCGTCAACAGCGGGACCGGTCATGTGACACTGAATTACATCCATCTGCTTTATACGCTCAGCTTCCAAGGTCGTCATTAGGCAGACAATAGGTGGGTAATCGTGGGAACACGCCAGAGACATCTATAGCAATTTTTTTTTAAAGAAAGTCTTACAATTGATGACTGTACCCTTCCAAGGTGGGAAGTCGTCGGGCTATATCCATGATATCTACGGGCATTCATTCTACTTCGAGTCACGGTCCGTACCTACCCAGTACCTCAGGCTAGTAGGTACCGCAACCTTGGAAGTATTCAGATGTTTAGCAGATCAATATCATCTTGCAATCGAGACAGCAGCCCTTTTTGATTCAACAGAGTTTCCTTTTTGGTAGTTGTCGTTCCAAGGTTCGTTCATGTCCAGCTTTCATAATTGAATAATTACATCCGCTCTATAGCTTCCTGGGACGCTTTCTCCCAGTCAACCATCTTCCAGAAATAGAATCCCTCAACTAGCACAATGATCGCTTGTCCGGCAAGGATTCCACACCACAGTCCGAATATGCTCCAGTCCAGCACAAAGGCTAGCACAACGCCCAAGGGCAAGCCCACAAGATAGTAAACCGAGAGCTGAACATAGCTACCTAGGTCAGGCCGTCCGACAGCTCGCAAGAGACTATTCAGAGACGTGGCCACGGCGTCAGAGATCTGAACAACGGCTCCCAGAGGAAGGAGGAAGTAGATATAGTGCCAGACATCGCCGATATCACTGAAAAGACCAGGAATGACACCCCGAAGAGCGAATATGACGATCATGTTTCCGATGCCAGCGCCGAATGAGGAGAGCACCATGACTCTGGATGCGGTGGCTGCACGCTGGAGGAAGCCCGAGCCTACCAGGTAGGCCACGTGGGTACCGCCGGCAACGGCGATCGAGAACGAGACCTGAAATGCAAAATCGGCGAGTGTTGAGAGGGCAGCCTGGGCAGCGAGCTCTGTGGCACCCAGGCGTGAAGCCATGATGGTCATGAATTCCCAGGCAAGAACCTCGGCTTCAATCATAAGCCAGCTTGGGATAGCCAGACGTAACATCGGGCCCCAGCCGTACCATATTTCCATTGAGATAGGGTGCCAGCACTCTGATCCATCGACAAAGATGACATAGAGTGCCAGGAATACTGGAAGAAGACTGTTTGCAATTGCGACGGCGATAGGTGCACCGACAAATCCCCACTGCAATTTCTGTGAAGGAAAGGTTGTTAGTACTGTAGTTGTCCCCGATTCCATGCTCACTTACCCAGACAAACAGCCAGCCCATGAAAATGTTCAAGACAGAGCAAACCAAAAGCACAACCAGACTCGCACCGAACATACCCTGAGCCTGGAAGAAGCGTTTTCCCGACTCGAAGCATGCGTAGCCCGGCGCACCTATGATAGCAATTCTCAAATAAACACCAGCAAGAATAGCAGTCTCTCTTGACTCATCCGGTAGAATCAAGAGGAAGATGCGATCCGCATTGAACCACATCGCACCGATGGGAATAATGAGAACGAGCATGAACAGCGTCAACCGCTGAACATGCAACCCGACCATAGTGAGTTTTCCAGACCCATAAGCCTGCGGACATAATGTGTCAAGGCATGTCGCGAGTCCCTGAAAGGCGAAATAGCCAGTGATCTGGGCTGTCAAATTTGCCAAGCTCACGGCCCCGATCTCCTTCTTCCCCAGATGGCCCACCATGAAAATACTCGAGCCAGTCAATACATGCTGGAGAAGAAGGGCTATCATGAGTGGGGCGGTGTATTTAGAGATGATCGAGAATTCCAGTCGCCATCCCGACTTGACGGACTGCCGGTCTCCGACTTCGGGGTCGCGGAGTAGAGGGGAGGTTTCGGTCCCGTTACTTTCGGCGACCATTGTGGATGATAGATGATCAGATCCAGGCCATGTACCTGGGTGAAAGAAGAAGAAGGGAAAAAAATGGCTCCGAGGTGGAGAACAGCAACAGCAAATCAAGCCTTGCAGCCGCAACACGTCTTTAGGGCGAAAATTACCCCATCTCGGGAAATCCATACTGTGATGGGTTGTAACTCCCGAGTCGATTTCGTCTTTTCATCCATGCCTCGTTTCCGATGTTCCAAATGGCGCGGATTGGAGTCTCGACATCGCGATAAAAATCTGAAGCTGAAAATTGACGTGACTTGTGAGCAATCAGCTACAGGGGGACAAGAAGACCCAATCACATCAGGCACAAATAGGCAAGAGTTTGATCGCCATGGAAACTAGTGCTAAAAATCAAGTATTGTCGGGCAACCTACAGCCAATGCAGGGATCAAGCTAATTTCAAGGCTGAATGAATACAAATCACAGTAGGCCCTTGTAGGCAAATGACGAAGAAAAACGAGACGCTAAAACAACAGAAAAATGACCAGGGATTTCGTAGAAAGAACCAGCCTTTCCTTGCATACGAGCGAGGTAGAACACATCAGCATTTGGCCCTTAGCTGGTTCACGGTTTCTATACGGATTACAATCTCAATGGCTTCAAGGTTGAGCTCCCTTTTCTATTTTCTTTCCCTCTTGATTCCCCTCTTTTTATTCTATGTTTGGCATGGAAATTGAGGGACAAAGGGAGAAGCACAACTTATCCGATGCACGAGCACCTTGATCATAATCCAAATAGCCTGTGACAGAGCTATCAGAACTGACAACCAAGCCTAAGGATATGAGGTCCTCATTGACACGACAAGAGTGCTGTACGGAGTATGATCAGCATATATCGAAATATCCACCATGGAATGACGTGATCAAATGTCGATATCCGTGATGAACCCCCCTGCGTGCTTGGCGATCAAAGCAGTAAAGGGAAGTTTGTAAGCCTCAGACAATGAGATCATTGTGCGTTTGATGTGCATCACCGCGATGGCGAGAGCCAAAGTGTTCCAAACATCATTATTAAGATCCGAAAGATCGAACTGGCCCAGTAATCTCATCCCACGACTTTCAGTCCGAGGATTCGGATCACAGTCCAACGTCACGATAGACAACACAGGTCCACAAATGACAAAACCCATCACAGACGGCCAAACAGGGGATTCAGCAGAACTGGTGATCTGACTGCGCCACAGATTGGCCAAATCCTCTAGCCCTTTGAAAGCTTGCGAAAATGCGGCTTTTGCTCCTTCGTTCCATTTCTTGCTGTATATCATGTACACGGGGGTTGTGGTTGGTTGGATTCTGATGTAGGCGTCGTCGAAGGCCCAGCGGATATACTTTTCGATTGATTTCTGGATCGATCGTTCGGGACTATCTTCCAAAATGTTGCAGTGATCTCTTACGACTCCGCATATATTTAGCAAGTCCCGAAAGGCACGGATGGCAGAGAACTCGGACCCTTTATCGGCTTCTAGTACGAATTCGCCTTCCTGGTGTATTGTTTCATTTCCCTTCACGGAGAAAAACAACGACTCTGGCAGGGTCGAGAAATCCTTCGCCCAGTGCATGGGAATAGCAGGCATACAGCCGCGGGTAAGTAATTGATAAGCAGTACGATATTCATCGGGTGATAGCTCGTTGACATTGGGAAGTTCAATCGATTCCAGCATTCGCTTTGCTCTTTCTCGTGTTAGATCGTTAACGAGCGAGTCGCGCTCTACCAAAGTGATAGCGTATGGCTTTTCGCTTTGATCGAGGGAGGCCGTGTCCGGCACAGATGCCGACGTATCTGTTTCTTTCTTTGGTCTCCGCCTGGGTTGCTTGAATCTGCGAGATGATGCAGTTTTGGCACGCGTGCCCTGCTTGGCGCGGGAGGAATATGCTGCTGTTCTTCCTCGTTTGGGAGTTGGTCTCGAGAGCGGGTCGTCGCTATCATCACTGGCATCACTGGCAGCGCGGGGTGCGTAGTCGCTTCCACTCTTGTCCGACGATGTTTCGGACGATTCGCCCTCAGATGCGGACTTGTTTGCGTCGTCGGAATATTTGCGCTTGGAGCTCGTGGTTTTTGCTGACTTTGATTTCCCCATCTCCAAAGCCTTGTTTTGTCCGAAGTCGTAGGAGAAGACGGTATTGATAGGTGATACGATTTAGGCCTCGGAGCCAATTAACGTGCTGGTCGTGCAATAATCGGGTAGGGCTATTGTGTGAGAAGGCACCTTGATGTCTAGAAAACTGAAACTGTAAGGATCTAGTCCGAGATCTCGTTGGCAATTGACCCCCAATGTAGCGGTCGTCGAAATTTTGATCTGTGTCAACATGGTCATAAAAATTGTTTCGAAAGATCATGCCCAGGTGGATGAGGTGAGGTCACATGCTTTGAGCATCTTTTGATGCTTTCTTTCGAGTTCTGCTTTGCATTTAGAGAATGGGTTTCTTTGTCCATTCCAGAGGGCTCTTTGGCCCCGAAGGTTATGCCCCCTTTGTGACTTAAGACTCGACAAAAGAGCGTCCACTCATCCCGGGCAAAGTGAAATCTATTTTGGGGACAAAGAGGTGATACTTAATGTGACCGCGATGCGAGACAGATGATGGGGAGGGATACCTATATCAGTGAAACTTTGAAGGTGATAACTTCACACTCTCACCCGAATGAACCAAACGTTCGATTGCATCAGAAGGGATCCCTACCTAGTACTCCCAGGCTACCGGATAGATACAGCACACAACAGAAAAGACATGTTGGATGTATTAGGTCGTATTTGCATCTCCATTTCACGAACCACTAGAACATGCCAGGCATAAAGCGCAAGAATCCCCAAAGGGTCCTGAGCCATCTTCATAGATCTTCAAAACTGCGTCATTCCTCATCACGTCACAAAACTGCACTCACCTCCCCGGCAGTATCATCATCACCATTTTTGGGCATCAATCACCCGACATAGAATAGAGTCGTAAATCCATCCATCCGGAAGGAATACTTGAGCATAATAGAACCAACGAAAGAAACAGGGCAAGCAATTTAGATAAACACAAAAAGAATCGAGAAAAACAAAAGCAGCCTGGGGGTCTCATTGACCATGGTATCCGGCAAACTAAGCATGTTAATGAAGAGATCCGGCGTCCACACCGGCAGGTGAAACGAAACCGCGATTGGGTATGTGGAGGCATGAGGTGCTTGATAGGGCGGGCCGGTGGCGCCCTGATGAAACCGGTTGTTTCGGCATTTGAACCCCTCGATGAACCGGGTTGGCGCCTAGATCAACTCGTGGCAGAGGTCCAAGTGCGCATTAAGGATCCCGATTACATATCAGTGAAATCAAGCAAAGTCGGCGGTGTAAGAGAAGCCGCGGAATTCTTCCTGCATCGCTTGTGAAAGCACTAGAAAAAAATTAGCCGAAGTCCATCAACTCGGTATAATGGGAACCGCATCTTACCAGACTGAACAGGTGTGAGAACTGGGGTCACGCTGGTGAACTCCTGGTCGAAGTTGCTGGTATCGGTGGGGCTGCTGATAGTGGGGATGAAGGGTGGAGGGACCCGCTTGTGGTAGATGTCATCCCAGTTGATGTTGCGGAAGAAGGCGTGGGACATAACCTCCTGGGCATCGGTGGGACCGGAGCCCAGGCGCAGCTCAGGCTCACGGGTCAACAGCTTCTGAAGGATAGACACGGAATCACGGGGCATGTGGATGGGGTAGAGAGGCTCGTCGGCAAGAATGGCATCATAGATTTCATCCTCGTCCTCACCACGGAAGGGAGATTGCTGCAAAAGCATCTGGTAGATGAGAACACCGAATGCCCACCAATCCACAGCTCGTCCATACTTCTTGTCCAGCAGAATCTATGACAAAAGTCAGTCCAGCTGCTTCTGCATCATCAGTGATGAGTACACTTACCTCGGGACCCATGAATTCGGGAGTACCACAGAAGGTGCTCGTTGTGCCGCCATACCACATGTTCTCCTTGCAGAGACCATAATCGGCAATCTTGATGTGACCATCCAGGGTCAGCAAGATATTGTCAAGCTTCAAATCACGGTAAATGACACCATTCTCGTGGAAGTACTTGAGCGCCAGGCAGACTTCGGCAGCATAGAATCTAGCAAGATGATGTTAGCACCTTGCAATGAAAGATACCAGGTGAAATGGACGAAGGATAACATACTGTGCCCGCTTGAGACCGAATTGACCACGCTGAATGTGAAGCATAAGATCACCACCACTGATGTACTCCATGACGAAATAGACACGAGTTTCAGTCTGGAAACAAGCATGCAGATTGAGAAGGAAGGGATGACGTTCTTTGTTAGCAATCAAGAACACACGCTTCTCGGATTTAGTGCTCTCCACTTCATCGTTCTCAATGATGAACTCCTTCTTCAGGACCTTGATGGCATACAGCTTGCGGCTGCTCTTAGTCTCAGCCAGCATAACCTTTCCGAAATTACCCTTTCCAAGCACAGCAAGGAAGTTGAAATGGTCCAATCCAATACGAGACTTGGCCTGTGCAACCTCGTCTTTGGCGGGAGGTGCAACCTGCTGTTGCTGAGGCATAGGCTGCGCGGGCTGAGGAGGCGGTGCCATTGGGTACGACTGCTGTGGCTTCTGCATGGCCTGAGGGGGAGGCTGCTGCGGGAAGTTGGCGTACGCAGATGGGTCGTAATGAGCATGTTGGGGCGCCTGGGGCGCCTGGGGCGGCGGCATCGGGCGGCTCATTTCGGCTGATATGACAATGATTAGTATTGGCAATTCCACATTCAAGAATGGTGAGGCGTGTTCATACTCGGTGTTTGCTGGGGACTGCGAAGCCCAGAGGCTGCCGCGGCCGCAGCCGCAGCGGCGGACGATCCAGAGGGCGACTTTGGCGGGATCTGTTGACGCTGTGCAGCCTGTGCAGCAGCGGTTGGTGACTGTGGGGTCATAAAGGAGTTAGTGGCTGCGCTTACCGCTTCTGCGGAGGGTTGTCTAGGAAGGGCGCCATATGGCCCTTCCATCGGTTTCTGGGGGTAGGAGAGGGCAGCATTGTCTTGAGGGGGCTGCGGCGGACCGCTTGGTCGAAGGGTACGGTTGCTGAGGCCGGAACTAACAGAGGCAGACTTGTTGTGATTCTTAGTGCGAATCAATGTCTCGAGAATTTGGTTCGCCGCTTCCATCGTCATTCCACAGAAATCGGGCACAAGGTGAGTGCACTGAGCGTGGCACGTAAGACTACATTCTGAAGGACAAAATTGGTCAGTAGGAACAAGGGGGCATTTGCAACATTAATGATGTTCCTACCAGAGCAGCGCTTGGCATTTTTGCGTCCAAATGGAAGTAGGTATCCACAGTGGCAGCACCAGTTGGCGGAAATGTTGGAGAACCCTTCGAAGCGATGGGGAATGCGGTGATTGATCTTCTCCTCGTCCGGGTCGGTCTCGTAGTTTGCTTTGCTGATACACTTTGTGACAACCTTGGAGTAACACTTTTTGTGACAAGTGTACTTGCAGTCCGCGCACTGCATGCCTGCGGCATACTTGAGGAATTCTCCGCACAGCGCGCAGCGCATGATGTTGTAGAATTGCTGAGTGACGAACTTGTGGCCCTGCTTCTCGTGAACCTCCTCCTTCTTTTGACGCACAGCACCTTGACGGTTCAAACCGATATCGAACGGACGGCGATCCTTCAATTGCTTGGCTGTTTCCAATTAGCATGCGTAGTCCTGGCGCCTGATGATATCGCTTGTCAGCCTTACCAAAGCTCATTTGGAGCTGAACACGGCCAACTGGTTCCAGAGCGAACCATGACTCTATCATTTGGGTTGGGGGAACGTTGGTGCTCTCGCCGCCATGGTGCCCTCCGTGACCCGCAGTGCCGGGTCGTCCTCCAGAGCTGGCGCCATGTGAAGATCCCATAGGAGAGGAGGGGTGATCATGTCGGGGAGACCCGCCATCGGCCATCTTGTCCGCTGACACCCATCCGGACGCATTGAGCTCGGTCTCAATCTTCTTCCGACGCATTTCCTCTGCGATATCGGAAATGCGCACCCATAACATACCAATGGGAGTGGGGCGGTCACCAGACTTATCGTAGACAGTCAACTCGATCTCGTTTGCCTTGTCGATGTCCATAGAAAAGCCCTCGTCCAACCACCGGTCATTGCGGGTTGCTTTGGTTCTAGCTTTGATTGCATCTTCAACCTTGACGACAACGTAAGTTTCCGGACCGCGAGAGAATCTCGAGCTGGCGGCGTGGTCCACGTCCTTGACCGCATGAATGCGCATCGTCAATAGACCAGTCAGGGGCTTGCGCATGTTTGGACTACTCAGAGACTCGTCTATACATCGGTTAGTGAGATGTTTGACCGCAGTGGATTCATCCTGTCGGCCATACCATCAGGTGCGTCGCCAGACTCGATATCAACGTGGAGGTCCTCGTATCGCTTCAGGGCCTGCTTCAAAAGCTGAATCTTTTGATTGCTTTCAATGCGACGGCCCTCGGCATCGGCGCGACTCTTCCGGTCACCCTCGTCCTGGTACAGACGAACCATTTTCTCGATACCGGCTTTATATTGCACCTCCACACTCAGCTTGAACTCCAATTGAGACAACATCAGTTGAATCTTGGGCCCGAGGTACGGGGTGTCATATTTGATCAGATCTGGAACGTAGACCTCCATGTTAGCATTCCGGTCTAATCTCAGCTTCCAAAGACCCCTTTCGAGCTTTGTTCCCCCTCCGTTTCGGAAACGCACCTAGCTTGGTGTAGTTGGGCCTGGCCTTCGGGATCGGGGCGTAAGGTCGAGGGTCGGGGAATGGGGCACCGGAAGGCATCGAGCCCGAGCCTCCTTGAGGGTAGTGGGGGTCGTTGTAGTCGCCGTGGTCGCCAGCATATCCGCCGTGGTCCTTGGGTGGAGGGGCGGGGCCTCCACGCTGGCCGGGGGAGCCAGCGCTTTGGTTTCGTTGGCGGATTTCCAGTTCTCGCATTTTCTCCTCCAGATAAGCGATGTTCTTGCGGCCATCACGAATGTTGGCGTCGACTCTCTGTTGCACGAGGGGGTTGTCGGTGGACTGCCGCATGTTACTGGCAGCGGTGATGAGGGCCTTCTCTCGCTCGATCTTGTGCAAGACCGAGGCGATTAGCTCTTCCCCATCCATGATGACGGGTCCGACACGGGCACAGAGCACGGCAAGCTCAAAAGAAAAAGGTGCGCTTGCGCCAGGTCAAGGTGGGTTTTGGTGGTGGGAGAGGATTCGCGGGGCTGTTGTTGACAAGGGGGCGCAACGGGCGCGGGTAATGCCACTTCGGAAAATGTGAGACAGACCGCAATGATCGATTGACAGCCGAACTCCAGACCCGACAAAGAAATTAGGGGTAAGAAGAAAAGTCGAAATCACTGAGTACAGTCTGAAGTTAGGATTTCCAGCAAATTGAGCAACCTTGGACGGTGTGTGTATACCACCGATAAGGAAGTGGCGAAAGTGTCATGCACGTGAAGGTCAGTCGAGGAAAGAGTATATCCCTTGACTCTTAGTACAGTAGTACGTGCTGTGCCAAACCGATCCCAACGTGCCCTATGTGCCCATTGGGGGGATCTGGACCATCGTGCCATCCCCTTGCTGCACTTGTTCCAATCTGATGCTTACATTCTTGGCCTTTACCCATTTTACCCTGGTATTGTTACATCAAATGCATCTGTACTAGTAGTATACCGACATAGAAATGTTTATACACTTCCAGATTTAAGAGGATCCTGGGATTCTGGAGGCAGCGAGTGATCCCGTTGGGAAACAATAGAAACCTAATCGGTCTGATCCTGCAGACTAAACTTTGGCCTGAGAAGTCAGGTTGGCAATTCTACCGCCTTCGGAGCAATAGAGCAGCGAGTTCTCCCGAGTTCGAAAGTAAACTCAGGGATCTACAATACGTATCTTTCATAGTAGGTTCGATTTCAAGTAGCATTTACTTCTTTAAGTACCCTGCTTTGTGGGGCTCGTTTGGGCAATCGGTTCTCGTCTCTTGGCATACTGATACCTGAAGCCGATGTATTGCCTAGCGCCAGCTTCGGTCCCTTCCAAGGCTGCGAAAACAAAGAACTAACGCGGATGCAGGATTCTACAATGCGGAGAGCGGCACTGAGCGGGGGTGGAGGCGCGCGGGTGTTCCAGCGGAGACCACATTGCCAAGACTAAGTACTTAAGATCAGGGTCGCCTTGGAGGTAGCTCGAAGAACAGTTGGGTGGTACAAATTCAGGGGATTCAATGGCCACATAAGAGCTAGATATCTCCGTTTCTCCTGGTTCTCTTACAACTACTAGGTATCATCACAGCCAATGATGGAGGGAATGGCTCCTACCCGTGGACTAGGGCTTCATCGAACCTTGGAATTCAACTAAGTCAAACTCTGCGACGTCAAAAGATTCATGTCAACCCTGAAAAAGCATAGCTACAATGGCATTCACATCGTCTCCCGAGATCATCGTGGATGGATGCAAAGTATCAACTAAAAGCCGAATCATTTGGCACCAGGAGCACACAGATCAAGGCTTTACCACGTAGCCATAGATATTGTTCGAAGCATTGATATCTCCCACTCCCATAACAGTCCGGTAGACCTGGGAGCACTTTCCCTGGACATTGAAAACCTGAAGAGTTCGAGCGCCTTTGGACCCAGTCCAGCTGATTTTGGCGCCTCTGGGAATGAATATGGGACGACAGCCCTGGGGTGCAGCTCCAGTGTACACCTGATTGTTTGCTCGAAGCTCCCAAGCGGAAGAGGTGCTCAATATCAGAGCAGTGGCATATACAATTGAAAGCTTCATTGCTGGCGCCGAGTTAGTACTGTTTTTCAAGGTTGGAATATACCTGATCTTAAGTTTGATTCACGTAGACATACCTGAGGCCCTATTAGGTAGCTCCGGGGTTATCGTTTGATCGAAACAGAATCTGGAAATTTGAAACGGTTTGAAAACAACCTTGAAGTAGTGAAAAAATTAGATAAACGCGTTGTCGAGCAGTTATATATTCTGTTACGAATTCCAGCCGGCCACTTGAGCTCTTGTCTTAGAAGACTCGTGATATCATTACTCTGTGGAGATACGAACAACTTACAAGTCATGGCCATTCTTGAACATATCATCTGGCATAAGAGAGCGCCCAGGCGAGAGCCCAGAGGCGTTCATGAGTGGAACGGTCCAGCCAAACCTTCCATACAGCCCAATCCGGCGATGTTTCTCGCCCGCTCTTGGTGGCGTTGGAACTCTGAAACCTGAAGTCCCCGGACTGACCATAGCTTTGAACAGCCTATTCAGTCCTCTTGATTACTTTCGGCAACAGGAGCCAGCTAATAGCCATAACGCCATAGAGCCCAATGCAAATCGGATGCAGGACCATTGTGCCAACTTTCTGAGCCAGTATACCAGTAAAAAAGGGCGAAACAGCACCGCCACTGCTACCAAGAGCACTAATGAAGCTCAGACTAGAGATCTGCATGCTACGCGGAATAAGCCTGGCGAAAACAGATGTGGCACATGGGTAAACAGCGCCCAGCAGCAGGCCCAGGATAGAGACCGTGACGGCTTCTCCGATGACATTTGGAATCAGCCAGGTGAGCAACTGGAAGGCAACAGCGCCTGCTATCATGCCTGAAACAGCAATCTTCTCACCGATCTTAGAAGCTGGATGGGTCAGAAGGAAGCGACCGACGGTAATTCCAGCCCAGAAACCGGCGCTCACGTATCCGACTTGCGATGGGTCGCCGTGTCGATAATTGATGAGGAACGAGACCACCCAGCCTGATATGGAGACCTCGGCGCCTTGATAGGCAAAGATGAAAAGAGCACCTAGGAGGGTAGTGCGATTGCGAACGGTATTCTTGAGAACCTGAGTTCGCGAAATAGGTGCTCCATCGTTGAGTTGGACGGCAGTTGGCCTTGGGGCCATTGGTGGCTCGTTGGGGGACTCATTCTCGAAATTATAGAAAGCCCACGCGGAGAACCCCAAGTTGAAGATTGCCACAGCCAGCGTGATGATGTAGAAGAACGACCACCTTATTCCATCTGATACCATAGCCGTCGCAAAGAGCGGGGCAATGATACCACCAATACCATAGAAGCCATGAGAGCAGCCCAAAGCTGTCGTATAATTTGCAAGGTTGGCACAGTATACGTTGCTTAAAGCAAGACTGAGAGCCAGCCCAAATCCAAGGAGGAAGAAACTGGCAACAACAGCCGGGAATGGCGGTTGGCAAATGATGACAACGTAGCCGACTGCCTGAACAGACAAGGCGAGGGCATAGCTTCTGGAACGACCAAGCATATGCTCGATTGAATGGGTGAGAGGAGCCGCGAGGATGAAAGCCAATGCATTGGTCACGAAGATCAAGGACACAACAGCATATCCAATGCTATAGTGCTTTTCTATGTAGGGAATCAGGGCACCCGGTGCGCTGTCATTCATCCCACTCCCAAGGCTTATCAGACAAATGCTTAGCATGCGCCATTTCGTTTTCCACGAAGTGGCAGTTCGGTCTACAGCCCATGTAGAGGCCTCGTCTGCGGCTTCAGGCGTCGAAAGACGCCTCTCCAACTCACTTGGCGAAGGCGAAGGAGGACATGCGGATGACAGTGCCGCAGACTTTGAGGTCACCCGAGTTGAGTCTTTGGCTGGCTGGATCTCATCCAGCTCATAGCCCGCTGATGCCTGGGTAGTGCCTTGCTCGTTTCTGTGTGCCGCGGGCAGAGGACTAGTGATTTGAGGCGAGCTCTCGATCTCGATGAAAGGGTTCAGGCCGGAGGTAGCCATCCTAAGCGGATACAGAGAATCAAGTCAAAGCCCAGTACAAACTGAGGGGCACTCCAAAGCCATCTGGTGGGCAAAATGGGCTAGGCCAAAGATAGAAAGCCTGCAGGTCAATGACAAGGAATCCATATCCCGGCCAACATTGCAGCTTACAAATGTGTCTATCTACCCGTGGACCCTAGGGTAGCCTGTTACTGCAAGTGACACTTATCTCTGCAGGTCGGAATGGCTTCCGACGTCGAAAGTGTCATGAATCCCGAGGTCAAGCCCTGAAGTAGAAAGCTGCGAGGACCGCGGGGGTTCTAGCGATAGCCCGATAAGCTCAAAATTCGACCCCCACAACTTTTCTTCTTCCCTTCCATATACGTTTCTACCATATACACTCCTGATCTGTCTATTTTCGCAATGGGTCCCCCACGCAGAAAGATGCTGGCTACCGCTGAGGAGACTTTGACTCCCCCCGATGGACTGTCCGAGACCCAGCAGATAGTCCGAGCGATCAAGGCGACCGGAAACAACATTTACTTGATTGAGCAGCCAGACAAGAAGCAAATGCTTGTGGAATTGCCCGCCCGGTTCCGCTCGACCATCTGGATCAAGCGCAGTTCGTATGTGGTTGTCGATACCAAGGGCCAGGCGGAGCGAGACAACAAAATTGGCGGGGAGATCGTCAATGTGGTCCGGGACGAAAAGGCCTGGAGAAAGGCCCCATTCTGGTAGGTCTTATCCCTGGAATTGACATAAAATTGGCAAAGCAGTCATTCGCTAACTGTTTTTGTTCTCCACAGGCCCAAAGAATTCGTGAAACAGCCCGTCGTGCTCGCCGGCTCGGATGATGAGGAAGAGGAGTCTCGCGTGGGCCAGATGCCTTCGTCAGACGAGTCAGACTGAGTGGCCTTCGCGGAGCCACCATGCGCGTGTCGATGGCTTCAGCTACGGGTTACAGGCTTTGGGGCTGTCATTCGACGCTCGAAACATGTACGCCTATGTCATTTGAGACTGGGTGTTATTCTTGATTATTGAACAGTCGACTTGCTGCGACTGGGGCGACTGGTCTTTTCCACTCTACTGGACCCATTCAAAAGCACGCCAAAGACCTGAACTGCGAGCGACAGAACCACAATGGCCGAGCTCGCATCCGTGCTGGGATAGACGTTCCAGGCCCACTCTTGCAGTGCCCACACTGCATAAACAAGGACTGGATGAATTCCTGCACGCCAGAGAAGGAAGGGAGTGGCCCATGCGAGATAGGCAAAGAATTGGTAATGCAAGGACCTGGCACATAGTAAGCCTATGGCCAGTGAGCTTAGCATCACGGTCATGGTGAACGATTTCGACAGTGGCACTGTCTGCTGGCGACCCTGGAGAGTATCTTGAAGGAAGCGAACCACGTTCGTCCCTGAAGGCTTCACCCAGCTTGTGAAGAAGATAGCCAACAGGGAGATATGCAGAACTAGCAAGGCCAATGAAAACTCTTTGGAAAGGAATGTTTCTTCCCCCACAAAGCGCCAGTTGACGGTCCATTTGAACATGAACTGGCGGGATAGCTCAAAGGCCCGAGAGAGGTAACCTGTAGCATTGACCTGGAGAAAGGGCACTGCAAGGAGGATCTAAACGCCCTCGTCAGCTGCCGTGCAGTATATATTCAAGAAGCCCGCACTTACCTGTACGAGGATAGCCATCACTCCAAGTGAGATACTTCTAGCCAATCCCAGACTAAGAAGAGTAATGACCGCAATGGCTGGCACCAGCAGCACAAGTGTCATCTTGATGGCAACGCCGACAGACCAAACTGCAATACCCGCTACCCACCTACGTTTCAAACACAGGTAGATAGCAAGCCACATGGCAAAAGCCGCAAAGCCATCGTTGAACAGACGCAGGACGAATATGCTATGTAGCCGCTTTGATAGAGCCAGCAATGGGAAGAGATAAGGCGGCGCACCGGTCTGCCTGTAACAGGAGACTACCACAGCCAAAGTGGCCAGGTATAGCACGGCAAACAAGGCCTGTCCGAGGAGGATGTCGCGGCCCTGATCCGTGACGTGGTAGAGGAGGGTGTATATGTAGACGTGCGCGGCAGGGTAGACGAGGGGACCGGTCGAGCCTTTGATCAAGGGATAGTCGCGTTCGCCGGATATATAGAGCGAGACCTGCTGCATGTATGTTGTCCAATCGATCTCAGTGTCTGGCCGTGGTTAGCTGCGGACTTGAATGTATGCGACAACCTGGAGCACAGCGCAGCTTACATGCGATCTTCCAAATGACAAGAGCGCAGAGGAGCGCGTCGCCTAGAATCAATAGAGGCGCAATCCATCTTGTATGACGCGGATTGGTGAGCACGTCGTACGCAAAGGTTTTGGCTGTCAATGCCATGGTGCAATGGTGAGTGGAAGAACCAAGGTGGCCGGAGCTCCGCTTCCACGACAGTTGGTCCCTCGAGTCTTAGCGTACGCTTTCGACCAATTTTCTACAATTGAATGTATTCTCGAACAAATGAATAGTGTATGGTATTTTTGGAATACATTTCAGTGTACATAGAGAATACATAGGTCTAGCTCGCCTTGAGACCTCGAGCTCGGTCTTCTAACCCCGCCAATCTGCGCAATTCTTTGTATATAAGTCCATGGTATCATTAAACAGGCCAAGAAAGCAAAAAGTGTAAATGTAAGTGTCAAGGATCATTGATCACTGATCATTGATCGCTGTTGTGCAAGCGGTTGGCCTGGGCGTTCGGCTGAGCGTTGCGGAATCCGAGCAATTTCCCCAGAACACCCTTGGGCTTGGGAATGGGACATTCGTGATTGACGTGCGAGAGCTCTTCGGCCTCCTTTTCCATTTGGAAGAAGGTTGAGACTTCGTCGTCCACAGCTCCGATTGGTGCCGGTTGAATAGGGAAGGCGCCCTCTTCGGAAGCTTCGACATCCTTGCGACGTCTCCGTCGAACTCGTGGAATTTGTCGCCCGTCGGCAGATACGATCATCTCGGAATCGGCGAAGGTGCGTCTCGGGGATGGGCAGGGGAAGACATGCGGCAGTCCAACCACCAGCAGAGATGCGAGGAGGGTACCTGCGAACAGGCCCATCGTGGACCGCGAACGAGGATGGAGATGAGGCGGCATTGTGAGGGATGTATGACGGAGGACGATTGAATTGAAGTAGGTGGGCGTGGCCGACAGTTTGTGATTTTTCAGGCCATCGAATAATCTTGCCGACGGGTGGTATGATCGAGTCGAGCGATAACAGGATATCCGAAGAAGGTCAATTGAAAGGCAGATGAAGGATCTCCAGATCGACACGCATTTGAAGCCCAGACAGGCCAAGTGGGAGGAGCAAAAGGAGGGATTGCGGAGAGAACGTTAGCAGACGAAGGGCTTTGCATCTAATCTTATCTGGCTCCCGCGTGATTGGATGTTCCGCTTCTCTCAAGTCTCTGCTACGCGCATAACCACTATGGCTTCGCCGAGATGAGCTTGTCTTTGCCCAGGGAGATAATTATCTGAAATTTTCCATTGCGGGGGAGTCTCTCGACTTCCGTATCAATCCCTCTCTCCTTCATCTCCCCTCTCCATACACAATGAGTGACCTTGACCGGTATGATGAACCCCCCCTCAGGAGTTCACCGTTGCTCAAGCTAAAATTCCCGTTCATCTCGCAGGGCGATCGAGCAGCTGCGGGCCTGCCGCCTGATCCCCGAAAGCCAAGTTCGTGAGCTGTGTTACAAAGCGCGCGAGCTTCTGATTGAAGAAGGGAATGTCGTGTCGGTAGACGCACCTGTCACCATCTGCGGTGATATCCATGGCCAATTTCATGATTTGATGGAACTGTTCCGCGTCGGCGGTGATGTCCCAGATACAAACTACCTTTTTATGGGCGATTTCGTCGACCGTGGCTTCTACTCCCTCGAATCCTTCCTCCTCCTTCTGTGCCTGAAAGTCCGATACCCCGATCGCATCACACTGATCCGCGGCAACCACGAATCGCGCCAAATCACAACAGTATACGGGTTCTACGATGAATGTATTCGCAAGTACGGCAGTGCCAACGTATGGCGCTACTGCTGTGAAGTATTCGACTACCTAGCTCTGGGTGCGATCGTACTCGGCGCGAGCTCAGAGCTAGAACCAACCTCATCCACCGTGAACGACACCGCACAATCCAACCTCGCCATCGCAGACAGCGAGCTAGAAACAGAAGTTCTAGACTCCCGAGGCCATGTCACAATGAGCACATACCGCCCGCGACAGCGCTCCTCATCCGACGCATCCACAGACTCCCGCAACATCTCCCCGCCGCGAGATATCTCCGCTGCCCCGGGGCAGGTCGCCGCGCCATCTCGATCGGGCGCACCGGGGACAGGCGCAAGCAGCGACGGTAACGGCAGTGCCGTGACTAGCCGGACCGGAGCGGTGCTCTGCGTCCACGGTGGCTTGTCACCGCTCATCGACTCGGTGGATAAGATTCGGCTGATTGATCGCAAACAAGAGGTGCCGCATGAAGGCGCAATGTGTGATCTGCTCTGGTCAGACCCCGACGAGATCGAGGGCTGGGGGTTGAGTCCGCGTGGAGCTGGCTTTCTTTTCGGTGGTGATATCGTGAAGCAGTTCAATCATCTCAATGGCCTGTCTCTTGTTGCACGCGCCCATCAGCTGGTCATGGAGGGTTATAAAGAAATGTTTGACGGTGGCATTGTAACCGTGTGGTCTGCCCCGAATTACTGCTACCGCTGCGGTAATGTTGCCGCCATACTTGAACTGGGCGAAGACGCCAGCGGTGGAGGTACTGTTGCTCGCAGTAATGGCGAATTTGGTCGGAGCAATGGAATCTCTGGGGATAATCGAGTTGTCAGCCCCGGAAGGAGATACCGTGTCTTTGAGGCCGCGGCGCAGGATACAAGGGGCATGCCTGCGAAGAAGCCCGTCGCCGATTATTTCTTGGTAAGTTCCTCATTGGCGGTGCTTTATATGTCGGTCACGCTAACAGCAGTCTCTAGTGATACCATCCAACGCCATTTTTTGTCCTTTTACATGGTTGTCTTGGAAGTAGCATTTTTGCGTCTTGGTGTTGGTATTTGCGAACTAATGACCATCTATGACATACATTTTCATTCGTAGCCCAGTCGTTTGTTAATCGATCTTTGCTCAGAGGCATTCTTGGTTATCATTTGTGAGCAGCAGGGTTCTACCTAGGTAAACGTGCCGTGTTGTGGTATCGGAAACTCAATAAATACATTAAACAATCATGTGAATCTGAAGACAAGACGCGTACATAGCGGTCCGTTACGCAAGTAGACATCGCGTTCATCATGTTCATTGCCATCCATCTCTAAATGGGGGATTGCCATCAGGAGCCAAATGAGGTCGAGTGATTGGTATACCATTATCCGGACCCGGTGTTGGTGGCTGAGCAACGGCAACGAGATTCTCGTTCTGGAACTCGATTTGAGGCTGTGGATTAGGAGATGCAGTATTCCAGGACCCGTTCCAACCACCTATACCCATACCGTAGGTAGCATTCCTGGACCACCAGTCCTGGCTCTCTTCGACCAAATTTTCTGTGCCGTCGTAGCCAGACACAGGGGATGCATTTGACGGCGGTGTGCCATTCGGTATTCCATTCGGTAGTGGGACATGGGCGCCTGAACCGTCAAACCAAGTCCCCTGCTGGGGAGTGGAGGGGGCAGTTGCAATAGGGGGGAATTGATAGGCCATTTGGGGACGGAGATACGTGGGCTCGGGCGGGGCAAATTCAGGCCTCTGAAGCTGCGCTGATAGAGCGCTGGGTGTTGGTCGCATGGACGGGAGGGACATGGGGATAGTAGTTGGAGCATGGCGGTACTGAGGACCCATGCGTGAATTTGCCACTGTGAGAGGGTTTTGTTCTTCCGCTCGAGATGGTTGGAATGGCGGTGCAGTCGGTGAGAATCGACTGGGACTTGTGGCAGGGTGCATGGCAGTTGAGATGGGTGATTCCATGGATGTTGAGGGAGATGCCGCTTGATCCCAAGAGCCCCAAGAGCCCCATTTGACATGGGTCCGTTCGAAGACGGCGATTGCTTCGGGAGGAAGTTCAACGTTCCATTTATTTGCGGAGATGTCAAGGATGCGGAGGGTACGTCGAGCACAAAGCCAACCTTCTGCCATTTCTTCAAGATTCTTCAAACCGTGGATGACGTCTCTCTGGGCGTTTTTGTCGGGGAGGTTGAGAAGGTGGATGGTACATGTGGTGTGGGCGATATAAACGACAATATTGCAGATTTGCTTCAATCCATAACATCGTTTGTATACGCGCAAGAGCTTGGAGACAGTGGCAGCAGCCTGTGTGCAAATCTTGCGGGGCGAGACATGTGGTGGCAATGGTGTATTGGCCTTGGTATATTTCAAGAAAGGCCGATAGAGGTGAATGATCAGTAGCTGATATAGCATGCTGTGATGAAAATTAGTTAAGATTTCACACTGAAGTAGTTCGTTAACTCACTGCATGACGAGCACTTGAGGCAGCTGCCCTTCTCTGGCAACCAATTCCTTGGGCAGTTTGTTCTTCCACGCCTCAAGCCGGGTGTGAACATCACTGAGTTTCTTCAGCTCCGACTGTTTGGGCTGCATTTTTTCAAGCTCAGTTGGATGATAGAAGAACACCAGGAGATCGCTACTAATCTCGCACAATTTGGAGATCTGGAGAGCTACTGCACGAGTTCGCGATGCCTGAGTGTGCTCATGGCCCACGCCAGAATCAGTGTAGGGTGACCATAGCTCTGTCTCCTCTCGTGGGAAGACATCAAATTTGGGCACATTCGCGTTTGCAGAGGTCAATTGTGGCTGGCGACCAAGGTAATTTGACCAGCATCTGTAAATCGTAAGTGAAAGAAAAGTGGGATGAGGCTGTAATTCTTACTTATCAATGAGATAGCAGCCCCAGAATGTGACTCGACGAGCGTCGATTTCTTCATCGCTGAGACTGTGAGCGCCGATGTTTTGAGAGTCCAGATTGAGTCCAAGATCAAAAGCCATGCGGAAACTGAGGCCGCTGTAGACCCAGCCTTTTCCTTCGCGGCCACATCCTGCCTCTCGGACAGACATGAGTGCGAAAGCTTGAACCGTGCAAAGCTTTGCGTTCTCATGCTCGTCATTTTCCAAAACGAGCCGTTTCGCCTCTTTGAAGAAGTGATTGCCCGCCGTTGCAAGGTCTTGGGGATCATCAAAAGCACCTGGCCATGAACTGAAATGGCAACCGAGAGCAAGCATGGCATTGACGAGTAATGTAGAGCAATATGAGCTGGGAACCCCGCGGATATAGTCCCGATAGAACAGATCTTTGGAGAGAGTGGTGAAAAATGGATAATGCCATGTGAAATACATGGTCATCAAATGACTGATCAAGGAGTCATCATCCGTGACCTGGGTCCACCGACTTACGGCGTGTACTTTTTCAGCCTCGGGAGCAAGATTGTTTGTGACTGCAGCCGCCTCATGAAGCTCCGAGCCTGGCGGCAGGAAGATAAGGTTCGATGTCCCCCCAATAAATTTGCGTGAGCCGTCCAGCATCAGCTCACTCATCTTCCCAGCCAGCTCTGATTCGAATTGATTGATTTCGATCAAGTTTTCACCGGTGGACTCTGTTGCAGCTGAATCCAGAGATGCAAGTCCCTTTTCTTGGGCCAGCACTGAGTTGGCTACATCCTCGAGGTCATCGCAAGCGCGAATTTGGCGTACTAGATCGAAAGCATCTGCTTCATCATAGTTTAAAATCGCCTGGATTAAGGTATGCAAAGTAGTGTTTTTCGTGCGCAAAGTATCGGTATCCTTTTTATAGACGCCTTTGCGGCGATGATCCGAGTTGGGATCATATACGCCTAGAAATCGTTCCAAGTTAGATACGCCAAGCATATATCTGGTCAAGGCGGAGATGCTCACATGGAGTATGATACACTGAGGAGCAAGCCGCACAGCTGGGAAGATTTCCATCGCACTAGCCGCGGACATAGTTAATACCCAAGGTGAATTTTGCAGGTACAGGGTGCACACCTTGGACTTCCTCTTGCGACAGGCCACACAAGCAGTGCTGACACATCGCCTCTTGGACGATTGGGCCCGATCTGAACTCATGATTCAGACTGTTTGATCGGCGTGGAGACGAGTGAGCGGTTCTCTTTTTTGCATGCCTTTTCCGACTATCGTGTCTGCCGGTCACTGGTCCATTCACTGGGATGGGTGCATGCCATTTCCAAATCGGGACAGAGTATTAGAACATCCCCAAATTGGCTGGTCTGTCAGTTTGATATCAAATGGGGTAGGGTATCTTGACCTACGAATCCGAGATCTACGACAATTGCCGGCCATCTACCCCACGATTTGTAGACCCGCAGTGGAGGCGGAGACGAGTTTGCAGGCTGCAAAGATCTTGAAGCGACAATGATTGGATGCAGGCGACAGCGATGTGGTTTATCGCCGCCCTCTGGATGGCTGTGATGTTCGATCGATAAGCAGCTGACTAATGCCCTTCACGTGCCCAGGTGGTATGATTTTAGGTTTGCCATTTTCGCTTGTCTTTCTTAACTGTCGACTACGACTATACTCAGTATCCAGTACGGAGTATGGGAAGGGCCTTTGGAATTGCACGGGCAGGAGTTACAGACGTACCCCGGATTGGATGTTGAAGGATTGCCGAGGTGATAAATTACCACCCGAGTACTCTGTACCGAATACATCCATCAACTCCTTCAACACCCCCAGCCGGACTATCGCGGCAACTGCACGGGATACTCGAGTACGGAGTACTCCAGACTCTAGGTATACTAGTAAACACATACTGTAGCACGGAGCAGACCCTGTGAGACGGAATCAAAAGTACGAACTACAGGAAGACGCAAGGAGCGCGCCACAGGGGGCTCTAGAACATCTCAGATCGCCTCGGTATTCCGTATGTGCATTGTATGTCTGGGGACGTCGACAGGTAGTCTCGGACAAATAGAAACTCACCTTGCGCATTGGGGGACAAACACATTGTACGAGTGCTGCCACCCTGGAGTATACAATGGACATGTGGATGCCAAGACATGATTGGAAATCATCGCACCCGAGAGATGTATGAATGCCTAACCCAACCACACAAACACCCCCAAACCAATGGATATAGAGGGCTCACCGCAATGTCGCCTAAGGCGCTCCACCAGCCACGTCTACACTCCTTTTTAAGACTGTGCGATGGACAGACCCGCCAAGACTTTGCTTGCATTGTTTTTCAATGTTGATGTTGTGTGTAGCCTATGCGAAAAGAATGCGCAGACCACTGTGGGCTGGTCAATTCCACGATTGTGACTGGTCTAGTTCAACAAGGACCGCCTCTAGAATTGTTGAATTGGCCAAGACCAATGTAAGGATGTCTCGAATGATCCTCAATTATCTTCGCCAGGTCCGCAGTCCGTACGGAGTACGGTATACTAGTGCACACAAATCCATCGAATCTAAACAAACCGCCACAAACAAAGCCACAATATAGGGGCACTAGGAAATAGGGGTTTCACCGCAATTATGCTCGCTTAAGGCGCTCCACTAGCCACGTCTCGTCGAGTTGACTTTTTGGGAAGTCTGCAGCCACCCGCTGATGAAAAGTGTCTTCAACGATTCAATCGGAGAAACCAGGGAGCCCCGTTGGAGTTCCTGTCGATCGCTGACATTGTACTTATCTCTATATTGCTTTTTCAGTTTCACCTTCGGAATACAGTCACATAATCATAGTACTAGTACTCCGTACTCGTACCAGTTGACTGACTTATCACAAGACACCTATTTATCCTGAGCAATTAGCCCCGTTTCGAAAACACAATCCACTCTTTTTTCCGTGGTTTTTTCCTGGGGAGAACGGTGTGCATCTGCCGACACCGCACTAGAAACAACCTTAACGGACCCACCACTTTGTTTTTTGTTTTTTTTTTTCTTTTTTGTTTCCGCGGCTTTGTCGGATGGCCTCCCGGTCTGAGTCACTGATAACTGTCCTCGGGCATATTAATGGTCTGCCGCAGTAAGCATGTATTCTGCACTCTGTCTATAGTACTCTCACCATATACCAGTACTAGTACTCGTACTGCAATATTAGTATATCACTCAAAGAATACTGAGCACAGAATGTCTTAATCCACCGACTCCACCGGCGGAATGTTCCATGAGTAATGGGAATTCAAAAATACCGTACATGTATATTACCCCCGGAAGACGGCATCCTCCAGCCAATCGGCGGACCGGTGAAATAAATTACCTCTGGTGCACACAGATGCGGTTTTCAGCCTTTACCTACCCAATACGGGCTTATCTGAGATCATCACTCTTCCCCATCTTCCACTGAATTGACTCTCTCTCACCTCTTTACTCGATATCTCTACTCCTTACGCTTCTTATATCTTCCTGACCTCCTCGCTCCTACACTTGTTCCCTCGCTTCTTTTATTCGATCTTATCGCCTCCCCTTTATCATCTGTCACCTTATCGAGTCGCGTGCATACCCTTGTCTCGCGGCCCTATCCGCTCTGCATCTTGGGCCATCATACATCATCAGATTGGTCATTGTCCTCCGCCTGGTTATTAGGACGGGGGCTGCTCACAGTCGACAATCTTTCCCCTCCACTCATGTATCTAGTCCAGACGCTCGACCAGAGTGCTTCGTCCGGTCTAGGCCTCGCTAGTTACTGTCATCCAGTGGTTAAACAGTCGTCACTATGATGGTTCCTCGGGCATTTCGCTTCACCTCCGCAGGGCCGCAAAAGCCCTCGGAACAAAACATGAATACATTCACGCCTGTTCGCTCTGCCTCTCGCCCCGCATCCAGGACCGAGACTCGGGGTTTGAATTCCAGCCCAGTCGTGATCCCTCCAAAGCGTGGCTCGCGCAATCTCTCCATGCACAGGGAAAGTCGGAACCGTACGCCGTCCAAAATCTCAGATTCATCTCGCCGGTCAACCTCAAGCTCATCCAACGAACGCCACATCCCTACGTCATTCAACTCGATGCTAGATGCGACTGCCATCCCACCACGCCGAGGCCGGAACACGCGCAGACCTCGGAAACTGGCCCGGGGAAACTACGAAGAAGACTTCAGACGGATGTTGCAGGAAGATCTTAAGCCCAAAGAGGATCACTTCCTCGACGGTGGCATCTACTCCACTCTGGACTTCCTTCTGAGTCCACCGGAAGACCATGATAAACTACTGGGCCCCGATTCCGAACATGACTCTCCACTTTCTGTGAGATCGACGTCAAGTGAATCAACACCGTCGCTAGTGCATGGCCTAGCCTCGCCGTCTAGTCTCTCCTCGCCTCCCACACCCCCGAGTCATCGGTCTACCCCAGAAAAGCGGCAACCTCGGTATTCACACTGTGAAGAGTGCGCTTTAGATCATCCGCTGCTTCCAACCGAGTTTGATGAGTGTGATATTCTCGAAACCAAATATGACATTGTGCCTGTTGGAGTCGACCCAACACCGACCAAGCGATCTGCTTCCTTCGGACGGTTCGGGGCCATCAAATCAAATCTCACAGCATCGCTACGAGCCATCAAATCCGCAGCACAAACCGTCTCAACATTCGCAACGCCTTCCGTCCAACCAGAGGACTTCCTCACCCGATCCCTCTTCGCCATTGCCCCAGAAATGACGGATGATCGCCGTCCATTACCAATGGAGGAGACACCATCACCAGCCCTCCGGCGATATCTCAACCCAACCCCAATCTCGCCAGCCGAGATGTACGTATATCACGACCACCCCCATGACACGCCCAAGGGCACCGGGATGAGCCCCGTCTCCATCCAAATGCAAACATACCGACGATCCAGCCGCGGCAACAGACGCAACCACTTCCACATCGCAAGCCGGGATCAAAAATTCGTTACTTTCGACCCGGAAGTCCCGCCGATGTCTCGCTCCCGCGAGATCCGCGAAAACAGCGACTTCTTGCGCGTGGTTGTTCTCGAAATGAACATGCGCCGCTGCGGTAAACTTCGCGAGGACATTCCCACGCGCGCTCGCATCTGGCTACCAGCACGCAAGAACAATTATCGTCTTATGGGCCAGTACGAAGACGGCGATGACAACAACAGTGTCCCCTCCCGATGGGTCGGTGTTTCAGCCGAGTGAAACAAAGGCCATTTGCATCGAATGCTTCTCGTCGCGCCGAGCGCATGAGTTGCATATCGCATCTCTTTTCTGGCCACTTGCATTTTTTTACGAATCTCTCCTTTTCTGAAATCTTTCTTCCTGTTCATTTCAAGCGCGGCGTTGGACCTGGACCGTGTCCTGGTCGTATACTTTCCTTTTGTTACATACCCCTTTCTCTCTATGGCGGCCCTGCGCGTGAGGGCTTAGACTTTATCCTATACCAAATCCAAACAAATACCCAATATGTGTGTATGGTAAACAATAAACAGTAAACAGTACCGATGTAAACTCCTAGACCTTGAGGTAGTAGTGGTGATATCACCTTACAGCTCATGAGATCATCCCGGATATTTACTTTGATCACGGGATGCACATCCATGGATCCAATGAGAGATTACCTTTATCCAAACCCTAACCTTGAAGTTTCCGTTGCCTCTTCAGGCCTGGCCCGTGATCCTCAGATGATCCGTATTATGCGTCACTTGTGATTCATCCCAGACAGCCTGTCACACTGTTTGGGAAATAATAGGCCATTACGAGAAGCTAATACATTACAAGATAGTCAGATAGTACCCGTGGACCTATCACCGCCGAATCTGAAACCTCTCTTCGTCCAGTAATGTTCCGTGTTTCCAACAGTCCTCCACCCAATCCACGGCAACAAGATGAGGCATCTTAGACCCCGATCTATCAGAAAGAACCTTCCGAAGAGAAGATATCTCATCTGAACCCAATGCATCCGAGTCAATGACCACATGCGTAATACTCGAATCACCCAAGGACTCAGCAATGACCGCACTGGCAAACCGGGCCGTGTTTTGTGCAAGACGCATTCGGTGGTCGTTCTGGTTATCTGACCGAGGCTCCGAATGGAAGAACAGAGTAAGGTCGCGGAAGAGCCAGCCACAGGGCGCCGTATAGCCTGCGTTGACTCGATCCTGAATACGAGTCTCTATTCTGTGGGCTGTGTCTGGGTCGATTTGGTTGGAGCTCTCGGTGGAATTGTTCATCTGTTTGAGGATCTGGGATGAGGTTAGAAGAGTTTGGCCATGATTGGTTGCGGGATGTAATTACCTCGGTGAGTTCTTCTACGGTTGTATCGCGGGCGTAGCTGTCGGAGAATTTGTCGACATTGGCCATGAAGTCTTCTTCCCTATCTTCCATTCCGAAGAATATGTGTCTGGAGGTTTAGTATCGGTGTGCATAGATCTATGGAGGGCATTGTACATACCTTGGCTCGAATGGGAGAAGGAGATCAGGCATTCCGGCGTCCCTTTCATTTTGTTTGATGCAGTCAAGTAGCCAGGATGGACGGATGATGTGTTGTCCACCTTGATTCATGAGAGAGGCTACCTTGACAGTCTCTGCATAAGGTTTAGATCAACCTCATCCTGAATTCTAGAATAAAAAACTCACTTCGCTCAGCAATGCAGATCGTATCTGCTGCAGCCGTGTTGGTCTGATAGATCTTGCCTCCATTAGCCTTAACAAGCTGCTCCAACTGGACCTTTGTCTTCTTTTCCGGTACACTTGACTCGGTCAAAATGAAGAAGTTGAGTTTGTCGAACACATTCCCAGAAGGTCCCATATACTGGTTTCCAATATTCTCGTCATACCCAGAAACGGTCAGTGGCTTCTTGGTAGTCCTTTTGACTCGCTTCTTCCGAGAGTTGTCAACTGAGAATTTCTTCTCGCGGTGCTCTTGTTCGGCATTTGATTTGAGATCCAGGAATCCCTGAACAGACAGAGCACTTTTCCAATCCTTGTCCTTGCGCAACCTCTTGAAGCGAGGGAAACGCAGTGTCAGCCCCATGCGGAATGTTTCACTCACTGCTGTAGAAGCAGCCTTCACACACAAAACGATTGACTCGGATGGTTTGATCCACATATCCGGTCGTTCAATCTGTGCATCTCCTCCAGCCAGTTCGATGTAACTGGTCGGAGGGTTCTTCACATCCCACTCCTTCCACTTTCCATCAGTATGATGGCGGACTTCTTGATAATCAGCCGCAGTGAACCCGCCACCAACCTTGCAAAAAGACCAGCATTTCATAGATTCTTCACCAGTGCTGGCATTGTCGTCGACTCGGAGCCCGCACAAGAAACTGGCCAGGGCGCCTCCTCGATGACCAGAGCCGTAGTATCCGCCGATTACAATAACATCAAGAGACTCTCCAAACTCGGTCATGTAGTCCGGTTTGACTTTCATCCAATCGTCATGGCGCTCATTCAGCCGATATGGAGACCGTGGGTTCTTGAGCACCAACCCTTCTGATGCCTCCGCAACGACCTTTCGCAGTGCATTTTCAACTTCCGCTGAATTGGTGGCCTCCTCATAAGGGTGGATCTCGAACCGACGATGGACAGGTTTGATAGTCTTGGCCATGGCATTGCGTCGATCACGTAGCGTATACTTTGTCAGATCACGTCCGTTGAGGTGCAGAATATCAAAAACACGGAACAAAGGCCTATGGCCTGTTGAGAACGGGTTCCGCTGCTCAGCCAAAGCCGCAGTCTTAAGGGTGCCGAAGGGGACGATGGCGTCCTGCTCTGGGTCCCAAGTAATCATCTCGCCATCGAGGATGATGCTCTGCACCCCATCCACGAAGGCATCTTTCAAATGCCGTGTCATTGCGCCGTTCTCGTCGTAGATCCCATTCCCATATAGGTAGGCATAGTCTTTAGCTTTGCGCGACCAAAAGCCAAATCTTCGACCCCCGTTCATTGACTCATCAGGTACCATGTGCATCTGCATACGTTCACCATCGAGCTTTTCTTCAATCCAGAAAACATCGTCCTCTTCAGTCGGTTTCATGCGGGCAATGATCTTCTCGAATGAATGCATTTGGAACTGAGCCAGTTGAGGCTGGAAGCATTGCATCAGCCCGACACCACGGTCTTCCCCCTCGAGTCGAATGTTTGGATCATGTAGCTCCCAACACACACGGCGCAGACTGCTAGATATGCTGTACAAGTTCTCAGCATCGGGATGCCAGACATCGAAGAGTGTGCGCTCCGTCGCGCCGATCCTCATCTGTCGAAGAATGATACGTATGAGCCAGAGCAGCTCCTCTGGGTTCATGCGTCGGTAGAATTCCGCCATAATCGGAATCTGGTCGTCTTCTTTGGATGCGGCGGACAATTTGTCCAGTCTGTCGTTTACTTCGTCGATCGTCATGTCTCCTGGTTCACTCCGCAAAGGTCGCTTAGATAGGACGTCAAAGCATCGCCCGGCAAAGTCACCGGCCATTCGCATCGTGGCGCCTTGGCCAGGAAGTTTCCAGTTCAAGAGGTTGCGGGCATCATCGGCGACCTTGTCGATCTTCATGATTTTGACGAGCATCTTGCCGATGCCCTTCTCCTTAACTCCATACATAGGCCTATCACGGTCTTTGTCGGGGAGAATCAATCGAAGGGCCGGATAGATGTCATCGCCGACTTCATTGCGCCATCGGGATATGAAACGCTCGATCACGTCGCGGCGCAACTCTAACGGGTTCAGAGTTGAAGCACTCTTTCCATGTGGGCCGAGCTTTCGGCGAGCTGGGCCTGGGCCTCCTGGCTTTTTCTTGAGTTCATTCAGAGGATTGAACAGGTTGAGGTATAGATCGTGGAATGCGAAAGTTGGACCTCGATTATGAGGTCGGTTGGGGTATCTGTTATGTTAGTGGGTTGTCTGTATTTTCAGGGGGCTGTTCTCACTCTGCGTCAAGGTCCTCCTCTTGAAGAGGCTCTACAATCTCGTCGGAATCCATGACAGAGAGAAGAGTGCATGAGGAAAGCAAGATGACCCCGGATGTTTTTAGGCTGCACTCCCGATAAGATAAAGCCGTGTGGGGCACACCCGAAGCACACCCGAAGCTCCAGCTGGAACCTCCCGAGGTCGGGAGTATACACGGTGAAACCTGTTGCATCGGGATATCTCAGTTCACAATGTCAAAATTGACCTTGAAAGGATATATAAGTAGCAGCTAGGTTTAAGACTTCATTCATTCGGGGTATATAGCAAAACAAGATGACCAACGCCAAAAATAATGTACAAGATCAAACGAAGATATATAGCGGATGCGAAAAGTTCATTACCTAGTAACAGACCAAAACATCCATCACACTGACGAATGATTCCAAGACGAGTGATGCGCAGTCAAGTCAGCAAGCCTAGTCAAGATCGCCACAAACTTCCTCGAATAACCCCACGCACTCAACCCCGAAAGAATCTCACAACCAACTCGCAAATGTCTTTCCGGACCCTCAGCTCCACAAAGATCACCAACACCGGTAAGATTTGCCTTCATTGCATGACCGTCCCGAACAAAGAGCTGCACAAGCTCATCATCACACGGACGATCCAAATGAATGAAACGCGGCTCATGTCCAGGCTCAACACGCGCCTGCGAATGAGGAAGCGGACTCGAGTCGTGTGACGCATGCGCATGACAAGCTCCGTATGCCCATAGAGTCAGAATAGCGATGAATGTCGCGACAGGTTCGTGGAACGAATTGGTTGAATAGCGACGGATATGCCAGAGGGTCACGCCAGCGTGAACTATTGATAGGCGCGCTTTGTATTGATCGTGCTCGATCCAGCGTCGGATATACTGCCATTCCAGGGATTGGTGTCGCTTGCTCCAGGGTAGCTTTTCGGTCGCCAGAGCGGTGGCGAGTGATCGCATTTCGCGGAATGGAGCGAGGAGAATTAGTCGTGCGGTATGGAGGTGAAGAATGGTCGGGTGCTCGAGGCCGGCGGCTTTGGCTACGGTACTGTTTGCGGTCCAGTGCAGGATGTCTAGACAGTCACATGCGCTGTTGCGCCATTTCGAATAGGATGGGATTCCGGGGAGCCAGACAGAGCCGGTGGGGATGGCGGTTTCACGGGATTGCTTTTTGGCGGTGGGGGTCCAGAATGATAATGGTCGACGAAAGTAGTCACCTACTTCCCACATTCGATGGTAGAGAGCGTGAATGAGTAGGATGTGACTGAATTCGCCAATGCCTGGTATCAGGCGTTTCTCAACGTAGAGGATGTGCACGGCGTCATATAATGATTCGTTGGCTGTCAAAATTAGCAACTTTCCGGTTCGAGGGCCAAGTGTGACTTGCCTGAGGATTTCTCCCACAGAATTTTCCAGTTTGCTGCTGATGCTGCTTGCCATAACTTTTCATGAGCAGGCAGCGAAGCCTGCCCATCATCCAACGAGAGCAATGGTTTATTATCAAAGTAATAGGCAAGGGTACAGTCCAGTAGCTGAATCATTGTCAGAAACTAGGCAGATCATGTATTTCGTATGGCATTCTTACCCATATGCAGTAGCCAGTTCGTCTCCTGGTCTCATCTTGAGCCCAACAGATCCAATCTGCATCATGTGATGCCCCATCTAGGTGGAGATTTCGCGGTGCCAATAATCGGGTGGTGTTCGAAAGCGCTACGAGATCACCAAAGCTGCTCAAGGCCGAGGAGATATCTCGTTCAGCTCCGCTATGAATCAATCCGATACAGTTGAACAGCATAGCTTGCAGGGTCTCGAGAGAAGTTCGAGCCGGGTGGGTCTTTTCTTTCTGTGGCATGTTAGTTCAACAGACCATACAATGGATCTTTTTTCAATCACCTCAACAAGGATACCTCGTCGAACAAACTCGTGGAGAGCCGCTGTGCACTGTTCCGTCTCAGGGATGTGTGCGACATGGCAGCCGAGCGCTGCTATTGATGTTATCAATAGCCAGTGGCATGAATTTGGATTGAAAGCTGGAAGATGCAATATCGGATATACAGTCTGGAAGGAATCAAAGAAGAGTCCAACAAACCAGGTGAGCTGGTCCGCTGTTGGAAATCTCTCCGTTTCGAAGACCTTGTAGAACGGATTCTCGCGGTAACAAAGCGATATAAATTGTCGATGTATCTCATCGTAAGTCGAAGATTCGATGCTTTTGGTGCGTCGTTTCGGATCTGCCGATGTCTGATCCGCACAGATCTCGGAGATGACAGGAAATTCGAACCGACGCTCAGTGTCTTCAAGTATTTGTTTTCCAAGGGCGATCGAGCTGACGGGTGAGTCCGCAAATGACGAAGGATTCTTTCTATATTTCTGATATCTGGGTCCTAAATCCTCGGTGGAATGGCCAACTGAGCCTTTGGTGGAGTCCATAGATATGGTTTGAGGCGACGTCTCGCTCGCACCATGCGAATATTGACCGGGGCTGTCCCTGTTGGCTGTAGAAATCTGCACGGATGGCCGCTTGGAGGATGTCTGTTGATGCGCGGAGTCGTTCTGACTAGCAAGCACGACTGGCGGCTGCCATGCTACGGGAGAGAAGTATGGGCCTGGACCAAAAGATTGATTGTAATGCGAGGAGATACCGACAGGCTGGGTCTGATCGAGCAAGTCCCCCGGAAGTAAGTCGGTGGGAAGCCAGTTGATGGTGGAATTCATTGACTGGTCGAAAAGACCAGGATCAAAGCCCAAGGACGTATTGTTTTCCATTGTCATCTCGATGTCGACCGCTGAATGGGAAATCATTGGCCGAAGATCCCCTACTTCAGAGTCCAAGTTCGACGAACCTGTGGAGAGCTTGGGAACACTGAAATTCGAACGATCATAAGTCGGATCGGCGTCTTCTTTGTATCCACTCAATGGTAGCCGCGCCGTCGACGCATCCTGTCTTTTACTCGGTGGATAGACATGTGTATTGGATGCCTCCCCATTCGCACCGTGCGTGTTGACTGGAGTCGGTTGAGCCTGATCAGTATTGGCCGAGAAGACACCAAGCAACGGCGCAGATGATGATGCAGGAACAGTTGATCCGTGTATAGAAAATGGACTCAAATGAGAGCCCGCATTGGAAGCACGATGCACAGTCTTGTGACCGCTCGTCTCGGCTTCCTTCATATCCAGATCTCTCAGAGCTTTCGCTTTGGACCGCCTTTGTGTAGGATACTGGCATTCAAGTGAGCGGGTGTTACATCGGCCACAGGGGTTCCCGCCGCTGCAACGGACCCGGGCCGTTGCACAGCTAAAGCAGGCGCGGAACGTCTTGACCGTGATTCGATGCGGCCGATCCTTGCCCTCGTTTCCTGGTGTATGATGGCTGATCTCATGTCGGTGGAGCGTATCGCTGCGATCGGTCAGTATAGTGTATGACGAGAAATACTAAGGCGCATGCCTCCTCGAGAAGTGCCGGCCGCACTGTGCACATTCAAACGGTTTCTCCTTTGTATGGCTGCGCAGGTGACGTTTCAAATGTTCCGGTCGTCGAAATGTACTGCTACACACCGCGCATTGTACATGGCCGGTCCCTGAGTCCTCATCGGTCTCCGGGCGGAGGGATGACTGAGAAGGACCCTCCGGATCTTCATTGTCTGCGGAGAGCATGGTAGATGGATATTCTACTGCATCGCCGGAATAATTCTGCAGCGCTGCAAGCACAATGAGGGGGAAGGCAGCGTGTCTTGGAAAATGCGGAGAAAGTCGAACCGATTGGCCGCTGGGCACGACTAACCCAATTTTCCGCGTCGGTTAATAACATTGTAGAACTAGTCCGGAGTAGTTTAGGTCACGGAGCAGTGTTCGAGAAGCTCCAGCTGAGAGGCTCACCGGTCGCGCACGGGCGTGGGACCTGTCATCTCAGCAAAGAAACGAAGACTCTTCCACATCCAACATCCATGAATGGCGGCAACTCGAACCAGCGGTTGGTGTCCCGCAATGACGCTGCGTTACAAGGTGCCACGCTAGCCTTCCGCTCCAGAGATCCATCACCCCATGTCACCAAGCCCGCAATGGCAGATCATGCACCCAATCGTCACCGCGCTGGATCTGATCTGGGTCCTGAAGTGGGCTCCGTCAAAGACAAAATTGGGCGATTGACACAGCAAGGCTCCCCCGCCACACTAGGTGTGCGAGGACGACCGTCCGCCTCAGCGCTGTCGTCCACTTCAGAGATCGCAGCTCGGCTGGCCGCGTCAAGGTCCCCTGGGCGGGATACGACAACTGCGTCCTCAGCCGCCAAGCTCGCGGCGACACGAAGTGTGAGCAGAGCGCCCGAACGGCGAGAGGCTCCATCCCCTACCCCGGTCCGCTCGGTCCAGCGACGAAACAGTCTGGATCGCATGCTCCTAGACGATGATCTCGACTCCGACCGTGATTTGCCGCCTCCCCGGCGCTCGCTGTCGCGACAATCGAGGACTACAGAATATTACGACAGCCGAACCTCCAGTCCTCACCCATCCGTGAGCTCTCACCACTCTTCACAGCCAGATGAATCAAGACCGAGGCTGCCTCCCCGGATCCCTCCATCGCGAGGGTCTCTCAAAAGCCTTGGGATGACCACTACACCCTTGCGACCCTCGACGCCAAGCGCGATGTCTATCTCCGCGCAATCGCACGCAACCAGTGCCCCTAGCATCATGGACGAGCCCCGAATGAGCGAGGAAGCCCTGTCCAATGCGATTGTCGCCTCATCCCTGGCTTCAGCACGCGCATCTCCGTCCATCAAAGTGCCGCCGCCGCTCCCTCCCCAGCGACGGCGAGCACGGTCCATTTTACACCTGGCACACTCCCCCAAAAGTGATCTATCCCGCACCCCTAGTCCCCCCAAGGGCATGCCGCAGACCCTGCGTGGTGCGCCCAAACCGGATTCGGACCATCGCAAGCACCGGAACCCACTCAATAAGCACCCTCACAAGCATCACGAGGGGGATCGCAAGCATTGGCGCCGGGAGGTGACGGAGAAAGAACGGAAGCGCTACGAGGGCGTTTGGGCCTCCAATAAAGGGTTGCTTATCCCTACCGACAGTCCGGATGGAGGTCCGGGAAGCGCGGCCGAGATGGTGCTAAACCTAGTAGTTCGGGAGATTTGGTCCCGCAGCCGCTTGCCACCTCCCATGCTGGAACAGGTGTGGGACCTGGTGGATCACCAAGGCATCGGGCTTCTCCTGCGGGAGGAGTTTGTGGTTGGAATGTGGTTGATCGATCAACAACTCAAGGGTCATAAACTGCCGGTTAAGGTCCCCGATAGCGTGTGGGATAGCGTGCGGCATGTCGGTCTCAAACTCAACCGGGCCCACTAACCCTAATGAAATAAGTAACGCAGAACGAAATGTCATTTCGCAATGTGAAATATAGGGATGTGACTAGGCTGGATTTGGCAATGGTAGAAAATATGCTCGTCCTGTCACCCAATGGGCGGTTAGCGGGCCAAGGGAAGTCCCACCGAGTTTACACCGTCACTGTATACTTAGGTGCTGGCAACTATGCACCCTCACTGTTTGTACTAGTACCTAGTCGAGATTACGAATGAAGGATCCTCTAGATCAAGCCTCGATCGTCAGATCTGTCATGCAGCAAGACCCCAGGATTCACGATCACCGAATCGTCGTCGCCCGTTACATCATACATCACGTGTTTTGGATGGTTCACGGTGTCAGGACACAGGGCATACTAGTCGACATAGTCGGGAACCTTGGAAATGATATCGAATGGAAAGATCGGTACCTACATAGCTACCTAGGTACTAGTAGTAATGCGCCTAAGAGAACCCCTTGAAGCGTGAAATGTCGATCTATATACTTGTATAGCATGACAAATCTCTCCAAATCGGGGTTTAGTTCGCCCAAAAGCAAATCCCGAACCCTCCACAGCCCGGGATTTGCTGGGAACTTTCTATATCAGCACTTTCCCGTTCCGAGTATACAAATGCATGCGCCGGGGTCAAATATTGAGTACACAGTCCCGACTGACTGGTTGCGGAGTATAGACGCTAGCCGATGATGGACTCGTTCGATGGGGCGTCACGCCCAACTCGCAAGAAGTTCGCCAAACCCCCGGTCAAAGTCGCCTGTCTGCCGTGGTGCGTCTTCCCCGTCTGACGACCATGCAGTCGCTAACCTTGGAATGATCCCAGCCGCGCTTCCAGAACACGATGTGGCGGTCAGATGCCATGTTCCAATGTATGTCATGGATGACCGCCAATGCGCTCCGCTAACCTGCTAACCCGAACTGCCAGTGTGTGAACAAAGATCGCGAATGTTCCTATTTGCCCAGCAAGAGAGGCGGGCCCCGCAAGAAGAAGGAAAAATCCTCGGCCTCGCCGGAAAGAGACTCCTCGCAAGATGTTCCGTATCCCGCCATGCCCTCCCCGGGGTTTGAAGCCTGTATGTGTAAAGAACAACCAGACGAAGAGTAAAATCCCGAACCGCGTTCTGACGGACCCTGCAGCGGGCATCTTCACTCAGATTGATGATCTCGCCCTGCCTGGTGCGGGTCTGCGCCATCTAGATTTTCAAGCCGAAGTGCCCTCCATCTTCCAGGGCATCTTCAACAGCGATGGAACTCAGTCGCATATGCAGGTGCCCCCAATTTCGCCATCATTGATCAACACAGAGTCCTATGTGAGGACGTACGGCAGTGAGCCGGAGATGTATGTCCGTGAGATTCAGATTCGGAACCCGATCTGACCATGACCCAGATTAAACGCCTATTATGACTTTATTCACAACTATTTCCCCATTCTACCGCCACGGGCATCACCGCCATGCCGAGATCGACCGCTCAACTGTCCAGTGCCCGGTTCCAATTCGTCCGAACCGATGATGATCTATCGCCCCCGTTCGCCTCTAAGTCTTGCGCTCTCTGCGATCTTGGCCCTGATCCCGCATCCAAGTGATCTCGATCCGACCTCGGGAGCATCTATTCTGCAGCGCCGAGCCTACGCCCACAGCTTTGCCCAGCTAGCCAACTCGACCATCGAGACGGAATGCGATCTTGATTTGTCGTCCACTGACCCGGGCCAAGCATTGTCTTCCGGAAGACCCTTGGTTGGACGACAACGATTCCACCCCCAATGTCCAGTGGATTACGAGAGTTTGTTGGCGTTGTTGGTGCTTTCAACGTATGAGTATGCCCAACGGGGCAACTTGCTCAAAATGCGCTATCGTGCGGGCCAGGCTCTGGCGATTGCATTGGATAAGTCGTTGCATGCCCAAGTAGGGAATGACGAATTCTCCGAAGCCCGGCGGAGAGCCTGGTGGATGACGGTTCGAATTACCTTCTCGCTTGTTTGAATCTTGTCTGATTGTCTTCTTAGTACTATTGTGTGGTCCAAGGGTCGATCGTGAGCACAACGGTAAGCCAGGTTATTCTGCTTATAGACCTGAATCTAATGGAGAGCAGATGCCCGCTATCGTCATCAACGATCCTCAATTTACGACTCCATACCCGACATTCTCATCCGATGCCGAGGTTTGTACCGAGAGCACTCCATCTTGACCATTCACTAAAGAACCGCAGGGCTGGTCCATTCTGATACAAGCTCAACAAGTTCTTGTATCTGCGACTCAATTCATTGGAGATTTGAACAAATGTCTCGCATCCCAATCAGGGATGTACCACATGTTCGAACGGATGCAACAATTAGACGCATGGACAAACTCCGTGATTGCCCAAGTCGAGCTTCTCCCACTAGTCCCCCAGACCTCAGACTTCGGCGACCACAACGAATCAATAACAGCCCAAAGCATCCGCGCGATCTCCCGCATCAAGCTTTGCAGGTTCGTCAATGGCAATCCCCAACCCCAAATCAACCCACTAAACCAACCCAGTGCCCAAATCAAAACTCATCGCTACCGCGCCTTCTCCGACATTCCCCTCTTCATCAAAAAGCACTGCGACCTCACCTCCGCCAACCCAAGCACCCCCAACGTCCCAAAGCAAGGCATCCACAACGTCTCCTGCCCCTGCAGCAATCTAGACTCTTTCCAAAGAGCCGCTTCAACAGAATACATGACTCCCTCCGACTCCTCCACTTCATCAGACATCCACCCAGAAACCTCCTACCCCCAGTATCCCCAGTACCCATTCGCCTCCGGATTCCCATACAGCACCCAGCAATCCGGCAAAATCTGCCTCCAGGCCTCTCTCTTAATCTCCCGTATCTTCCACAGCCTACCGACTCCGCAACCGCTGTCTGACTCCCGGCACCAACGCCCATTACCAAGGACCATGCCTTCGTTCGCGTGCTGTTTGATTCAAAGCAGTTATGCAATGTTCATGATTTATTACAAGGCTCGCGTGGCGAAACAGCTGTCGCCCGTCCGGAATGAGAAGGGCGATGATTCAACGAGTCAACTTATCGAAGAGCTGAGACAGGGCCTGGGACGGATCATTACGGCTGTGTCGAATTATTCTCTTGCGTTTGAGGCGTTGGATGGGATGAGAGGTATGTTGATTCGTGTGCTTTATGGAGGTTCATGGGCGTCGCTGACTGGTCCTAGATGAGATCGAGGGTGCATATAAGACGGCGTTTTCTATGTCTGTTTAATTTTGGGCATCATTTTTTTATCTTTACCTTTCTGTTTTTCCTCTTTTAATCGTTGTTTTTGCGGGCTGAGCGCCATTTTGATGCATTTTAATGACTCTTTCGACGACATCTCCACTATTACTTTTTTTTCTTTTTTTTAAGCATGAAGAACACCAGGCGTCTGTTTTGCTATGTTAATGTTCCTGTTTATTACCTATGCACCTATATTTGGCGTACTTTGGTTTTCAAGTCGAGGCAAACCCATCTCCACGGGCTCCTTTTTTACATCTCGAAGTTGGCAATAGCCCTGAATCTACCTAGTATTCTAAGATGGAATTATTCACATGAGATATAGAAATTAGTACATCTTGCAAGTGACTGGGAATCTTACCCTGACGGTCCACGAGTATGAGTATCCGAAATGTGGCTAAGCCCGCTTGAGCCATCCATCCATCCATGGATTGAACTAAATCATTATCATGTCAATCTACGCAATTCCATATCTACAAATTTCCCAGAAATTTCCAACCCAAGATAAACGCTAGATTCTATAGCTTGGACCGAATTCCCTCCAACCGGAACTTGACATCTTTCAAAACCTTGCTAGAAGGCTTCCAGTCATCAAACTGCTTCAGCAACTCCATCGTCTCATCGTGCATCTCGCGCCGTACGTACTCCTCCTCCAGCAGACCGCGCATTGCAAAAGGTAGAATGTACGGGTTGGGCGTCACAGAGCTGGTGGCTCGCTTGATGCTGAGAGTCGAATCTGGAACGGAAGAGGTCTCTAACGCGAACTCAATGGCCATCCTGGAGTAAAGTTATTTCCTGCGCTTTTATGGGGCATGATGGTACATACGCATAGACACTCTCGTCATCGTACAGTCGAGAATGTCCTTCGCCGGTGTATAAGCTACCTGCGAGAGGGGTGCTGAGTTCACGTATCAGGCCGTGGTCTGGGACTCCTAGGTTGCGGAGCTTCAGAGCAAAGCCGACGAGATGAGATAGGCTGTCATTTTTTAGTTAGTGTCGTGTACTGGACGAATAAGTGGGTCTAGTTGGAGCTTACAAACTGGGAGCGTGCACTCGACCATCCACGAAAACGGCACGGTAGACGTATGGGTGTGCTACGGGGGAGAACAGAGATGACTGTGAAGGTCAGTAATTGGCACACCCTCTCATAGGAGATTGGATGGGTGTTTACCTCCAGAGAAACGAGTTGATCATCAATGCTTCCGATGTAAGAGATGCGCACACCAAAGTCTAGTGCACACTTCAGAGCAGCTTCATAAGCCTTCGATACCTTGCTGAATGGAAGAGCAAATTCAAAAAGTTCGCCGGCAGATCCGCTGATCCACCGAGAACGATAGTCATGGAAGGGACCGAGATTCACGCCAGCCATGGCACAGATACCAACTCGTTTGCCATCAAGACAACCAAACTGTACCAGCTTTGCCACTAGCATGATGGCCACCGGAACACCCTGACTGTGGCATGCGATCATGACAAAGTCCGCTTTTCTTATCTCTTCCATCCAATTGAGAAGGAGTTTCCATAGAAGATCCACTCGCTCCGTGATGCGGCCTTCTCCTTCAAGAGCGATCTTCTCGATCTCACATGTGTAGCCGTGACTCTCTGTGTACTTCCGAATGGCATCTGCCGCCATACTGGAGAACCGAAGTGAGGTCCCGGTGGGCTGCCCGAGTACGCTTCGGATGAAAGGTGCTGGGAAGTAGCCATGCACGCCGATCGCCAAGGCACGTTTAACGTGTAACGGTTCTCGGAGTCTGCTGACGTGTCGGACTTCTTCGCCTTTACTGTAATGCAGGAGCCTACCAAGGCTCTGTAAGATCGAGGGTGGTTCCTCGAAGGCGTATGTCTCCTGGAAAATAGGCAAGACCTGATTCGGAAGGATTTTCTGCAGCTGCTTCGAGGCAGCGGTATCGGCCAGTCGAGGCTCAGCGGGTGGCGCATCGGCAATAGACAAAGATCCATCCTTGGATTGGTTGTCTTTCGGCGGCTTGATTTTGACGCTACCCGTGTGGGTTATCTTCACGTTTGCATCTGTTTCTGGCTCAAGTGCGTTGGTATTTGCTGGCTGATCTTGTTCCATTGAAGCCTCAACTGCTTCTCCTTTTTGCGGCGTATCCAAGGGCGCATCTTTATTTGTGTCTTTGGACCAAAACGACCAGCCAGATGATCTCGTGTGTGTGACGGGGGTCTGCGAGCCACCGTTTGGTTCTCTTGGGTCCTTTGTTGGATCCTTTGGGGGCATGTTAGCTCTGGACTCTTCTGTGGTATTGTCAACCACAGGAGCAACAACCGTGGAAGTTGTCGATGGTTCTTGGTTATTCGGTGTGGTTGTACCATACCACATCTGAAGCCAGGATCGTTTGTGTGTCGTGGGTGTAATTTCAACCGTATCTTTGCTTTGACTTTGTTCCGCTGCTGTTTCCGTTTCCTCAAGTACCTCTTTCACAGGGGACTGAGCAACCTGCTCTGTGCTTGGCTCGACCGACGGACCCTCCGTTGTTTCTGTGGACTCTGGGGGTTTCGCAGCAGCCTGATTTGTACCAGACGTTCCATAAAACCACGAGAACCAGCCACTGGATTGCTCTGCTCCCTCTGCAGGTGCCGCGGGCTTCGGACTCGGATCGGGGGTGGGTGCAGTCTCCTGTTCCTTGACCGTTCCCTCTACAGGCTTAGGATCGATATCCTCCGCAGTATCTTTATCTGATGTCACAGCTTTGCTGGCAGCGGGATCACCGTTATCGTCGGGGGCTGTGGTGGAAGCTGAACCATCTGATGCAATGTTGACTCGGGTTGTGGCAGCTCCGGCGGGCAGGGACCTAGTCGATGCCCCTGCCTTGCGTGTGAGTTGTAGAGAAGGGTTTCGGGGCTTTGTGGGGGTTTCAAGTAAGGAGGCTGATGAATCCATGGCAGCCGAAGCTACAGATCTGGCGGCTGAGATGCTCTCACGGGCAACCTCGGTAACTGGGGCTGCTTTAGGGAGTCTTGCGGCGGACGACCATATGCCAGGGTACCCATTCTATTCCAGAAGATAGTAGTTAGTAAATGCAGTCAAATTCAAGTTTACCTCGACACTACAGGCTTACTGCGTTGTGCCCTCGACTTTGGGAGTCCGATCGGTCTCGACCGTCGGGTGTGACTGGTGTGTCCACGCCGGAGAGGGTGGGCTTCACTCTCTTACGAGATCCCGGGGACGTCATGGAGGTAAGTTTGAAAACATCAGGCCTGGAGCTCGATCTATTTTTGAGGACAAAGCAACCACGCAGCGCCACTAAATGACTGGGAGGTGCCTGAGTGATATCACGTCACATGTCTGGCACTGATACTGCCTCAGGCAGCAATCTGGAGAACCGGTTCACGGGCGGTGAGAAATACTGCAACTTTTTTTTTCTTCGGCCGCTCTGATTAGAAAAAGTATACATTCGTCTTTCTCCAGTCATTTAATAGGATTCTTTGGTCTGCACAGACCGATATTCCTTCAAAATGGCGATCCAAAAGAAGGTTGGTCAATCTTTGTCTCACTCGCATTGTGCCTACTAACCCCTCTCACAGCATGGAAAAGGTCGTTTGGATAAGTGGTATCGGCTTGCCAAAGAGAAGGGTTACCGTGCCCGTGCTGCTTTCAAGTTGATCCAACTGAACCAAAAGTATGGATTCCTTGAGAAGAGTAGGGTCTGTATCGATCTGTGCGCTGCGCCTGGTGTAAGTCTCCCTCAATTGGTCCTTCATGAAGAATCTTCAATCTGACCGCTGAACAGTCATGGTGTCAAGTCGCCGCAGAATACATGCCCGCGCAAAGTCTTATTATCGGTGTCGATCTTTCTCCAATCAAGCCCATTCCTCGAGCCATTACTTTCCAGAGCGATATTACCACAGACAAGTGTCGCGCAACGATTCGCTCGCACATCAAACACTGGAAGGCGGATATTGTTCTCCACGATGGTGCTCCCAACGTCGGTTCCGCTTGGGTGCAGGATGCTTTCTCCCAGGCGGAGCTTGTCTTGGAATCCCTGAGATTGGCTACTGATTTCCTGGCCGAGGGCGGAAACTTCGTCACCAAGGTCTTCCGGTCTAAGGACTACAACCCTCTCTTGTGGGTTTTCAAGCAGCTGTTCAACTCAGTCGAGGCTACCAAGCCTCCTTCTTCGCGAAACGTCTCCGCCGAAATCTTCGTTGTCTGCCGTGGATACAAGGCCCCCAAGCATGTCGACCCGAAGTTCCTTGATCCCAAGCACGTCTTTGCAGAGCTTCAAGACCCCACTCCCAACTACGAAGCTAAGGTCTTCAACCCCGAAAAGAAGAAGCGTAAGCGTGACGGTTACGAGGAGGGAGATTGGACCCAGCACAAGGAGATCCCAGTGACAGAGTTCATCAACACTATTGACCCCATCTCTATCCTGGGTGGATACAACAAGCTCAGCTTCCAGCAACCTCCCGGTGGCGATCTCGCTCTTTCAACTTTGGACCGTTTGGAGGACACGACAGATGAAATCCGGAAATGCTGTGAGGATTTGAAGGTCCTTGGTAAGAAGGAATTCCGCAACCTGCTCAGGTGGCGTATCAAGTGTCGTGAAAAGTTCGGTCTCGTCGTCAAAAAGAAGCCTACCACCGAGGAAGGCACCGGGGAAGAGGTCGCGGAAGTCGCCCCTATGGACGAGGAGCTGCAGATCCAAGAGGATCTGATCCGAATGCGTGAGCAGCAAACCGCCAAGGGCAAGAAGGAAAGGCGCAAGGAGAATGAGAAGAAGCGCAAAGACATCATCCGAATGCAGATGAACATGACCGCGCCCATGGATATTGGTATGGAACAGCTTGGTATGGGAGGCGAAGATTCCACCTTCACCTTGAGACGTGTCGACAGAGAGAATGCTCGCGACGCGGTTGTCAACGCTCGCGACCTTCCCGCCGAGAGCGAGAGCGAAGAATCCGAATCCGAAGAGGAGGAGAGCGATGACGAAGAAGACCGCCTTGAGAGGGAGCTTGACAACATGTACGAGCAGTACACTGGTCGCATGGAGGATAAGGACTCGAAGTTGCGCGCCAAGAAGACTCGCAAACAATATGAGGCCGACGAGTGGGAGGGCTTCTCCGACAAGGAGAAGGGCAGTGATAATGAAGAAGAGGAGGAATCAGACGAAGAAACCAACCCCGCCGACGAAGCTGCTCGGGCAGAGAAGCTCTCCAACAACGCGTCCATGTTCTTTGATCAAGACATCTTCCAGGGACTAGGAGAAGAGGAAGAGGAAGAGGATGAAGAGGAAGAACAGCCCGAAGAAGAGGATGAGGACGAGGAGAGTGACAACATCTTCGCCATGGACGAGGATGACGAGGAGGAAGAAGAAGCTCCTGCGCCCAAGCAAAAGAATAAGAAGGATACCAAGAAGGACGCAAAGAACGCGAAGAAGAAGTCCGTCTGGGTTGATGAATCCGACGATAGCGAGCCAGAAGATGCTGAACCTCGAAAAGCCAATGGCCAACTGGGTATGTTGAATCCGCTAGTTTGCCTCAACCCCAATTACATTACTAACTGTTCGCCTTGCAGATATCGACATTATCACCGCCGAAGCCATGGCCCTTGCACAGTCTATGGCCACCGGAGAGAAGCGATCATCGGACATTGTCGACGACGGCTTCAACCGGTTTGCATTCCGTGATTCCGACGGCCTTCCCGAATGGTTCCTCGATGACGAGGGCAAGCACAGCACGCCCGTGCGGCCCACCACCAAGGCTGCCGCCTTAGCCATCCGCGAGAAGATGCGTGCGATCAACGCCCGTCCGATCAAGAAGGTCATGGAAGCCAAGGGACGCAAGAAGTTCAAGGCTGCTCAGAGACTCGAGAAGCTGCGCAAGAAGTCCGCACTTCTGGCAGAAGACGATGCTCTCAGTGAGCGAGACAAGGCCGGTGCCATCGCCAGACTGATGAGCAGGGCTACCAAGAAGAGGCCCAAGCAAGAAGTCAAGCTTGTGGTTGCAAAGGGTCCCAACCGTGGTATCTCTGGACGTCCCAAGGGTGTCAAGGGCAAGTACAAGATTGTGGATTCACGTATGAAGAAGGATGTTCGCGCCGAGAAGAGACTGGCGAAGAAGAAGGGCAAGAAATAAAGGGTGTGTTCATAGTTTCGTGTAATTTACATAGCAAAACTCATTGTGATACCCCAGGGTTCGACCCCAAAAGTATTGGGGCTTTAAATTGCAGTATTCACTTGACATTGTTTAGCACGTTGAGACGAAGTAAATAGTGAGGCTGTGAATGCCGCCAAGAAACCCGTGCACCGCGTGGTTTCCCCGGCTAATCGATAAGACTCGCTTTTCTTTCTCTCCCACTTTGCATCGCATTACCTCCAACCTATACTATACTCTTATTGCCGATATACTCCCTTTTCCCTTTGCATTTGCATTGTTTTATTGTTTTGTTTATATCCATTACCCTCATGGGGTTTTTTGACCATCTTCAGAAAGGAGGGGCCGGAGGCTTTTCTTTACAGCCCAAGAAGGCGCAGATTCGCAAAGTTGTGCAGACTCGACCAGCTGCTCCTACCCGGTCCGCGACGCACACCCCAGAGACCCGATCGCCGCGAGTCCAGCCGTCAGCCGAACGCAGTCAGAAAGCGCAGTCACTGAAATCTCGATCGGTCTCGAGCGACTTGGAAGCTCGTTCAGCGAAACGACTCGGCACCCCTTCGCGTATTCGAAAGCGACCGACGCCCGAGCAGCGACTTTCCAGCGATGATGATGCGAGCGATAGCGATGCCTCGTTCGAGGTGCACAAGCGTGCCAGGATGAGCGCCAGTGCCGAGCCAGACCCGGCACGGCGCCTCCGTTCAGTGAAGGCCTTCTCGGAAGAAGGCTCGAGGCCTTTTAAGATGATGCACGCTGCGGAAATCACGTCGGGCCAGAAGGCCGGCAAATTTAAGCCTGCCTTCGGCGCGGACGGCAAGGCCAAACAAATCCTTTTGCGATACCCGAGTGCTTCGCCCAAAGAAAGGTTTGTCGCTTATTTGAATAGTGATATGTAAGAGACGCTGACTGCTGGTTTGTTGGTTAGATATGAATGTGTTGTTCCCGGAGAAAACGACGAATTCCGACCAATCGACGACATCGTGCAAGTTATCGAAACGGTTGCTGATCACTACATTCCCGCTGAAGCAGCAGACGAGTTCAATGATGAGACAACTGGAATCAAGCGTCGGTTGCGGCGGGCTTTGGCGGTGACATCCGAAAGCCAGTTCCTGGATGCTGTGAATGATTATAACGAAGCCATCCAACGTCTGGTTAAGGATGGTAGTCTTGCGAAGCAGTTGGATAGCACCCTGCGCATTGACCTCCCTTGGGTGGAGCGAATCCTTACCCAAATATACTCTCGCACGGTCTCCCCTCGCGTGGAGTCTCTCCGGCAATACGAAAATGGCACAGACAACGTCTATGGAGAGCTCCTTCCCCGTTTTATCAGCACCATTTTCAAGGAGACGAAGCTCAAGTCAGGCCAGGTCTTTGTCGACCTGGGCTCCGGCGTGGGAAATGTCGTCCTTCAAGCCGCACTTGAAATTGGCTGTGAGAGCTGGGGATGCGAGATGATGTCCAACGCCTGCGATTTGGCAGATCTTCAACAATCCGAGTTCAAGGCACGATGCCGACTTTGGGGCATCGTGCCAGGCAAGACTCACCTCGTCCGAGGTGATTTCCTCGAGCAGGAAAGCATCATCAGTGTTTTAAAGCGAGCAGATGTGGTGCTCATCAACAATCAAGCCTTTACCCCTCAGCTCAACAACGAGCTGATCAATCACTTTTTGGACATGAAAGAGGGATGCAAGATTGTCTCCCTCAAATCTTTCGTGCCGGCTGGTCACAAGATTCAGTCCCGCAATCTGAACTCGCCCATCAACCTTCTGCAGGTCCAGCAAAAGAATTATTGGTCAAATAATGTTAGCTGGACCGACGTCGGTGGTACATACTTCATCGCGACCAAGGATAGCTCTCGACTGAAAGCTTTCATTGATCCTACGCCATAACTGCCAATGGTTTGTGACTTATTCTCATGGCACGTACATTGCTTTGTATCTTTGGGGACATGTACATTACCGTCCGCTCCTGGATATACCTTTCCTTTTCTGTATGATACCATATCCGACAATGTATAAATTGGAATATACGAACTTTATTTCAGGATCCTAGATACCCTGCAGTCAATCACTTATGGCCTCGGAAAGCGGCCACTGAGTGCCTGAACAGCGAGCGCCGTTCCGAGTCCCCGATTCATAGCCTTTTTTCCAATGATCGGGAAGCTGTATAGATAACTAGCTTCCCAGCCCCCATCCTCCATTTGCAAGCCTTTCAGTGCTTCAATGTCTTGATAATTGTATACGCCCATCGCGTTGCAAACAATAACACGCATTGCCAATGCGATGCTGTCACCGGGGAGCCCCACTCGCTCTTGCACACGCTCCTTGAGAAGAGGCCCAAAAGACAGCGCCAAGTCTGGCGCCTTCGAGACAACAAGCAATCGATTGATATAGAACAAAAACCAATCCGGACAGCGGAAATAGTACGTCCCCTTGGAGTATGCCCTGTGGTAGAGAATGTTGCGGACCCATTCGAGCATCTTTTGGACCTGGTGGCCTCGTTGATAGAGATAGAACGATGTGCAGATGTTGACGCTGACGATTGGGTCGAATCTGGGTCTATCACGGTCACGATACATCTTTTGACTACTAGGTAGAGATCAGCAAATTATCCGTAGACGACAGTACAAAGGCAGCGTGACTAACATATATAATGCCATCTTCGTTGACCCATTCCAGCATTTGATCGAGGAGGGAGTTTGCGAGTGCGTCGTCAGATTTGAGAACTTGCATCCCCAGCGAAGTGGTGTCATGGTCATCCGGTAGAGCTTCAGGTGCAAAGGGAGGCGTTTCTGGGGATAGTCAGACATCGGGACGGACCTCGGGAGTTCGAATGAGTGATTCAGATGTCATACCAAGATAGAAATTCCAAAAATCCCCTTTTCCGTAGCCGGGCTTCTTCAAAAGCACGAGTTCTCTGGTATATGGTCAGTTACCTATGGACGGGCTTCCGAGGTTGTGCAATAGGATGTATCATACTCATTCCCCGTAGCTTCCAGGATCAGGAGCTGAGCATAGTTTTCCCACAGAAGGACACCACATTCTGTGAAAGAATGCATCTTCTTTGCATTCTGCTTAAGCCAGGCGTTTCCACGAGTCACCACATCAACGAGAAGGTTTTTGATGGTTCGAGCAAGCGCAGCTGGATCTTCAAATAGAACAGCGTGCATTCCCAAGGAGCCTGCGGATATAGTGTTAAACACATTATCATCCACGAAAATGGTCTTGGCTGGGTCTACACCCGTAGACTTCACAACATGCTCATAGAAGCCTAGATCGGGCTTCCGCACGCCAGTCGTCGAGGAAGTAAATACTTGATCGAACAGAGACCAGATGTCTGCGCCCCATCGAGCAAAGAGGGAATCGAAGTCTGGCTTGGAGATATTCGACATGGCAAATATCTTCAGGGACGGTTGATTTTCCCGGAGAGCTTGGATCCAGGATACGATCTCTTGATCGTATTCGACTGTCATCCGTGCTTGAGCAATTCCCTCGCCGAGAGCTGAAGGGGAGAAACCAAATTGTTTGCCGAGTATCTCGTAGCAGTGTTTTTCTTCGATCTCGCCGCACTCATATTGCATCCAAGCTAACGTTGAGGTGAGACGCTTCAGAGACGGAATCTTTTGCTTGGCTGGAACATTAGGAGGGACTTTGATCAACACCCCTCCAAGGTCCAGGATCAGGGCATCAAATCTTGGGCTTGGGGTAAGAGGCACAATCATTGTGAGATTCTGGCGAGGGGCAAGGGGGAACAGAGAGTGAGCAACATGATCGATTTCTTCAGCGTGTGCCAAGCTGTTTTAAGTTCCATCTACGATCGAGATCGAGGTCTTCAGCCTGATCTAGTATAACCCCACCTTAGTGTCTGCAACTAAGTGGGGAAAGGGGTATTTGCTCAGTACTTTAGGTCACACACAGCAACTTTTGTCTTGACGCTGTATTACTCTTCGTATAGACACTTTGGCACGGTAACCACAGTAGTCTGTTTATGAATGCTATCTACATAGACACGGTGTTTTGATCGGGTATTTTGATCGGGTACTTGGATTCGAAGTATAACGTGAAATGTCCTGGAAACAATATCCGTGGGCGATCCCGAGGTGACTCGAATGATACTTTCCCTAAGTTTCAACAAAAGGGGGTGTCGTACCTTCTCATCTTTACTTACAGTCCTCTCTTCATCTACCTAGGTACACGATAAATACTCACTTCACCCTCCAGCGTCTCCAGGGCTACAGGGCTTGTTGATTCATCAAAGTTGACTTGCAAACAACCAGGTGGAACCTGAAAGCCCGATAGGTAAGAGCACTCTCACCCACCAGCAGCACACATGCTGACCAAACGGTGACACCGCAGCCCTGGAAGGGTGACACAAGCGCGGGCATATATGGGTGAGTCCCTGACTAGTTCGTCGTAATACCAGTCACAGTCTAATCTGTCATAAGGATGCGCTGATCAACAGCGGAAAAGTCATTTCTTGATACCAGGGAAGAGATGGTTGTCTATGGCGCTTCCAAGTCGCCGAGAGCCTCGTTTTCATCAAAAAGCGACAATCTTCCCAGGAAAATATCCCCAGACCCGCTGATCTTGCCACCATTCCCTCCAATTGGCGTGCCCAATTTATGCCTAACACCAATTATAAGAATCCAAACCCTGCCCTACTTGATGCGCATTGGAGAATGTGCAAAATCTTCGAGCCACGAGTCATAAGAAACACTGTTGATCGACAAATTCGGGACTGGGAAGTTTTGAGAGGCTTTGGGCGCGCTACCATGAGAGAGGACGGTATGGCTGATCTCGTGTGATACGAAGAATGCCATTGGACTAATTTTCTAACGTATGCCAGCGTTGATTCCAAACGTCTTCGGCTTTGGAAAATGACTACCAGCGAGAACCGTGGACATCCTCGTTTACCTGGTGAATGAAAGTAGCTTCGATGTAAACCGCCGCATCGAGACAAAAATCCATGACCTCGCTATCCAAGAAAAGCGTCAGGAGAATCAAATCCGACCTTCGACGGGAGGCGACATTGGGATCATCATGCTGCCGTCTTGGTTCTCTGGCCTAAACTGACCCTTCCTCTTTTGTCATGAGTTTCGTGTGGTTCTCCTTCTAGGGTTTTCACCTATGCTGTATTTTCTACAGCTTACTCTGATTCTTACCCATTTTCCATTGCTGCCTGCTCCTACTGTATCGAAGCCTTGGAACCTTGAAATACAAACACATTCTTCAAACCTCACTTGGGTATAACCTCAGGATTCGATGAATATTCAAATAAGTGCCCAGGTGATACCTAGGTAAATTCCAAGTTTGCACATGCCACGCACCTGGGCGTGTATTGAGACCGCTTGCCTGAAATATAGACATTCCCAGGTTAGCTCAATTCGTGTTTCGTTTGAACCTTGGAATTCAGACCAAACCACCCCAGGGCTTCAAGTTGCGTCCATGCCCAGGTGGATGAAGTGTCTGCCCAGGTGGAAATGAGAAGCTATATTTTTCCAAGTTGTACACCCGGGCAAGGTTGAATCTTTCAAGGTTGATTATGTGGTAAAATGTCGGAAACTCCGAGACAGCATGATCAATTCGCTTGCCCCCCCTGGACCAACGAAATACACCCGTGGCAAAAAGAACCACCTAGGTACAAGTATCGTGGGGTGAATCTGTTGAAAGACTACACTTCATCCTGGGAACCTTGCCAGGTGGAAGCCTTCAAGCGATTCGGGAGGAGAAGCAGCAATCGTTTCACCTTTGCCGGGGGAGAGTTTGGGCAGAGAACCGGGGGATTTCGGGAATACTGTACTAATAGATACCAAAGGTAGATGGGTACTAGGTACTAGGTAGTCTCTTGAATTCCGAGGTCATTTTGAATTCCAATTTTCGGAAAGGGACGTTGGAGATTACAACCTTGAATGCCTGGTTAAGACCTCGGGATATATCGAGACGGAAATAATAGCAACATTCCAAGCTTTTCATCATATAATATGTACCGTCATGGTCTGAGCCTGACCTTGGGGGTGTGAATGTATTGTAAAGCAAGGGAAAAAAAAATCGATCCATGCTATCACACAGCGGTTCTTCGTGGTCCTCGACGTGGATATCCAGCAGAAATCATTTCAGGTCAGCTATTTTCCAGTAAGTCCTCCGTTCCAGCTAGACCTGACCGGAAGATTGGTTGACATGTGATACCCAAGTGCAGGCGCACCTCATGTAAGGTGCAATGGAGCCATGGATATTGCCGTGCTAATCGCTTGCTTAGCGCATCAGCGCATTTGGATTTGCTATGAGTACTTGGATGCTTGGTTCATGGCCTCCGCCTCTTGACCCATCCTTGCCATCCAACGGTCAACAAGATCTTGGTTTTCCTTCTGCAGTCGAGTTGACTTCTCCTCGGCCATGTTCAGTTGTAGATTCAATGTCGCCATCTCATTTTGGAGGTCCTGAATAATTGAGACAAAAGCCGTGTTAGCCACTCTTCATTACATACCTTGATGTAATCGGAAAGCCTGGATGGAAATTGACACCGCATACCTCCAATAGCTTGGCCTTCCCCTTCAGCTCTGCAACTCGGTCCCGCAACCGTCTTTCTATCTGCGCTAGCCCATGTTCCGCAAGCTCGACCCGCCGCGTTTCCTGCTTATGTGACTTTCGAAGACCTTCTAATTCTGTATTCGCGCGGTTCAGTTGATCCTGTAGTTCTGAACGGGAGCGTTGTGCCTCGGATAAATCCGCACGGGCGAGATTGAGGAGCTCGGCTGGAGTTGGACTCGGCTCATTACTCCGTTGTTTTTTGGAAGCCGTGACCAAGGGCGATGGAATAGAGCGATGTATCTCAGGTTGCGACGTTACTGGGCTGGCATCTCTTGTAGTTGTTAGCTTGCTGGTACGATCTGCAAGCCGAGCATCTAGATCGGGAGAATGATGTCAGTTGTTATCAGTCAAGGCATCGCTCGAGGACGGACAGGCATCGTAAAGAGTGGCATTTGCCTTCTCAGACTGATCTCGGACTGTCAGTGCAGCCAAGTACTCCTCCCTCCAGTGGGCCATGGGCCTTCCCAGCTAATTGGGGATGTGCCTGAAAGTGATGGGAGTGGAGATGTGGGCGAAACGTGCTATCGTTATCAAGCGCCCACCGCCCGATCGACCGCCCGGGCCTCATGCATCATCGAATCCGGCTGCAACCCAACCCCAACTCTTTTAACTTCACTTGCCCTCGTTTGTGCTCGAAGGGCCCTGCAAGATATACAAGCTGTTGGCTTTCAAATTTTTTCATCTGCAATATACTCATTCACATCCAATACAGAAGTCCACAGATCCTCCATCATGGCGTCAAGAAAGAAGGTCCTCCTCAAGGTACGATCTCCGCATCTCCTCCGTGCGACAGATAGCAAACCACCAAAGAGAATTTTCGAACTGACACAATCTTGCTATAAACAGGTTATCATCCTTGGTGACAGTGGTGTCGGAAAAACCAGTTTGATGAACCAATATGTCCGTTCAGCCTCGCCCCCCGACTAGCGCTGAAGCTTCACCGCGGTCGCCAATCCCAACATCTGCTAATTTCAGTTCTTTGGAATCTCATAGGTCAATAAAAAGTTCAGTGGAAGCTACAAGGCTACTATTGGAGCTGATTTCCTCACCAAGGAGGTCCTCGTCGACGACCGACTGGTAACAATGCAGGTGAGGCTTGGAGGGATCCAACAAATCACATCGAGGGGCAACGATTGACTTGATATGCTAGATCTGGGATACTGCCGGCCAAGAGCGGTTCCAATCACTCGGAGTCGCCTTCTACCGTGGAGCCGATTGCTGCGTCCTGGTCTACGACGTGAATAACTCCAAGAGTTTCGAAGCCCTGGACAGCTGGCGAGACGAGTTCTTGATTCAGGCGAGCCCCCGGGATCCCGAGAGCTTCCCATTCGTAAGTGGCGCTCCCACATTCCGTTGGCTTATGTCTGCACCGCAGGCAAGAATAATCCAGGTTGGTCCGTGCTGACCATCATGTGCAGGTTGTCATCGGTAACAAGATCGACGTGGAAGAGAACAAGCGGATGATTTCCTCAAAACGTGCCATGACTTTCTGCCAGTCTAAGGGAAACATCCCTTACTTCGAGACCAGTGCTAAGGAAGCGGTCAACGTTGAGCAGGCATTCGAAGGTGAGTCGATACATCCCACAATAAGCAATCGCCGTCGTATTCTAACCGTGTTTAGTCATTGCACGAAGTGCACTTGCCCAGGAAGAGGCTGAAGAGTTCAGCGGCGAATTCAGCGATCCGATCAACATTCACTTGGACAACGACCGCGATGGATGCGCCTGTTGATATACCCTTCTCATTATCGTGATGCTTCAGCGAACTATCTTTGTCTTTCCGTACCCCCATCTGGTCTTACTGAATTTGGAAACAAGCTTTTCGGACCACAGGGGTTAATAACACTGTGTTCTCTTGTCTAGTAGACCCTGCCCTCATGACAGTCTTTTTTCTCTCGAGGGACTTAATGCAATACTACCATCTGCAGTTGATTGAATGACCCGAGTCGATTCGGCACCGGATTAGCAGACGAGGGAATCACCTGTGGATCTCACATGTGCATATTGGCAGCAAGGGTCCGGAGGACTGGGAGTGCAGCGGCGCACCAAAAGTCTGGGACTACCCAGACCGCCCAGCTTTTTGCCACCTTTTCTATCAGTATACTCCTGGAATGTTATATATACACATGTTTCTTGCTTTAGAGGCCTGTAGACCCAATACTAGCCTACAAAATCTTTAATACTAGTAGAGATCCCAACGTCGCTGGAAACCCGTGGGACGACAAACCCGCGATCCCATGCAGCATCACGTGATATGACAGTCCATATTAGGAAGGCGGGGACCTAGGCGGTCAGGTGGACCCAGCCTAATCCGGCGAAACCATCCATGGTCGACCCACCACCCTTCGCCCGTGCCTGGCACGTGCCTTGCAGACCGCCTTCGGCTTATCGGGCTTATCGCCAGAATGCTGGAGGTGGTTCCGATTTGGGGTCCTGACTTCTTTTCCCTCGTTCCTCGTCGCTCGTTCGTTTTGCCTGGTCGGTAGTCCTGCTTTTCGTCAGACGGTTGGCGTTTGATCTGTGGCTAACCTGGTGCATGGAATAGCACCAATTGCGATATCGGCACACTTTGACCACCGTTTCACCTTCACGGGTCGCGCGACATATTACCGCTTCGCATACGGAATTCACGATGGTCCAAACTGTGCCTAACGAGTCTGGCACCATGACGCTCGGTGTGACCCGCCGAACAATGGGCATTATTCTGCTCCTGCTGGTGGTTGTGCTGTGGACAACCTCCAACTTCCTTGGTAGTGTATGTGCACCCTGGTCGCAAGACCCATGTGAACCACAGCCTGCGCTAGTGACTAACGATATTCAATACAGACCATCTTCGCCGACAAGACCTACCCTAAGCCTTTCTTCGTTACCTACACCAACACCTCTATGTTCATGATGCCCCTCTTTATCATCCTGGGTCGCCGGACCTGGGCTCTGTGGCGCCTTCGAAAGTTGTCCCAGGTTACCTCAATTGGCAGCTTCTTGAGACTCGTGGACACTCCAGACCCCAGGGCCGAGGAGCAGAGAATGCTGCACGATGACTCTGACGAAGAGAACTGGCGCCCAAGACGCAGCAGTCAGGATGCTGCGGGCCAAAAGCTGGGATTAAAGGCCACGGCCAAACTTAGTGTTCAATTCTGTCTCCTCTGGGTAAGTGCGCTGATATTCGATTGATAAATGGCTAGCTAACATGTAACAGTTTACCGTATGTTGCATGTGGGAGAATCGAGTGATCTCCGTGTTCAACGTGTTCTTAACTAACCGTTCTCGAACAGGCAAACTATTTCGCCATGAGCTGTCTGCAGTTCACAACCGTCGCAAGCACAACTATCCTGACCTCTACCAGTGGTAAGCATATCTTGAAATAGGGGGCTTCCGAGGAAGCCAAGCCATGGACCCATACTCACATTCTTTAGGTGTGTGGACCCTGATTATCGGTGCTGTGCTAGGAGTGGAGAAGTTTACGCCCCGCAAGCTGATGAGTGTCATCGCTTCACTCATCGGTATCATTCTCATCTCGCGCGTGGATCTCTCCAGCTCGGATGCGGGCGCAACTGGGGATGGCAACGAGGGCTCCTTCCCTCACAAGTCCACCGGAGAAATTGCACTCGGCGATGCAATGGCAGCTTTCAGCGCCCTCATGTACGGTCTTTACACGATCGTCATGAAAAAGCAAGTCGGTGATGAGTCCCTGGTGAACATGCCTTTGTTCTTTGGACTCGTTGGATTCTCCAACGTAGTCCTGCTCTGGCCAGGATTCTTCATCCTCCACTGGACCGGGGTTGAGGTCTTCTCTTTCCCCGAGACCGGCCGAGTGTGGACCATTATCTTGGTAAGTACCATCTTCTTCATCGTTTGCCCTCCCCGCTAACAAACCCAGTCCAACTCGCTTGCCTCCTTCGTCTCGGATATCGCATGGGCCTACGCCATGCTCCTCACCACCCCTCTCGTGGTCACCGTGGGCCTCAGTCTGACCATTCCGCTCTCCCTCGTTGGCCAAATGGTCTTGCAGGGGCAATATGCAAGCCCTCTATACTGGGTGGGCGCGGCCATCGTCGTCCTGTCATTCCTCGTCGTCAATCACGAGGGCAAGGCGGAGGATATCCCCATCAACCCCGGCGGCGGAAGTCGGCGCAACTCGAGCGCTTACGACAGCATCCCCGTCGAGGAAGAGGAGATGCGCTAGGGGGGCGCACAGCTGGCATGGGCTTCGGGATAGCAGTAGCCCAGTTGCCAATACGAAGATGCAAATGCATCCTGTATTATTTTTCTTCCTTTGTTTGAATACTTGAAAGTTAAGGCTTGAAGCCAAGACCAGCCAAAGGCTTAATTGAAATTTGCCAAGAGAAAACGAAACCCCTGCGTGCTTCTCAGCCAGGGGGCCACATGGTGGCATAGTAATGAACAGAAAACTGATATTTGCTACCTAAAGAGCATTGCCCTTTCCAGTACCTAGGTAGTTAACTCGCAACTGGGCGGCTGTATAGGCTGAGGTTAGATTGGTGATTTACGCTCTACTTGATTCAAGTTCAATACTCACGAGGCCAGCAAAGCTGATCAAATTTCCTATTATAACGGGGACCGAGCATCTCTTACCTCGACAACGACAAATGTCTTCCAAGGTTTGCTGCATGCGGTAAATCTACACACGTCTCCCACTACCCTCTTGTTACCATCTCCTCGTTATTTTCAATAAATGCAGTCTCATAGACCGGTATATTATGACTTGGTATAGAGAAAATGAAGATTTAATATGAAAATTCTCAAAATGCAGATAAATCACTGAGCCTTTTGACCCATATTTGTACCCGTGGACAGAGCCACATATGAAAGCAACCGGAAAAGTTGTGGAAGATGAGACAGGCCATATCCAACACCCAAAGCGGACATTTGCAGAATAAATCCCATCGAATACATCGAATAGAAGGACTCAAAGCGTATGACACATGAAATCATGTAGCTGTCATGAACACAAATACCCAGCCTGCTGGGTCCCTGTTTTCGTGGAGACACATGCCAGAGATATCAACGATAAAAAAAAAAAAGAAAAGCCCCGCATATAAACAACAAACCAGCATGAAGACCGGATTAAAGACTCTATAAACGACAAAATGAAGAAAAATAAAAGAGAAAAAAGAGGATATACAACCCGGAAAACAAAGACCCTAAGCTTCTAGGGTAGCGTTGTATCCCCAACGCAGATGGTTCTCCGCAATCCACCACTGCGACACATGAGCAGCCTCAGAAAGCCACTTAGCAGCAACGGGACCGTACCGTGTCTGCACGATATCATGCAGATCAACGATATTGAGATCCTCTTCGGGGCGGAGCTCGAAAGGATCAGCGACAACGTCGGTGAAACGCCAGGGCGCATCGGCGATCAAAGGCACGACGAGACGGTATGGCTGCTCAGCTGCGCGCATGGAAACCCAGGTTCCGCCGGGGTTCATGGTGGAGAAGTGCCATTCGCGCTTTCCGTCTTGCTCGGGGATGAGGGGGCGGAGCATGGATTGGCCTTCGTACATGGAGAGGAGGTCCTTGACGATTTTGGTGTCGTGTTCGTCGATGGACGACGATTCGATGAGGAGGTCCAGGATGGTGGGGAGGATCTGGGTTGAGAGGACGGCGCTGTCGACGGTGATTTGGGGGAGCTTGGGGTGCGAGAAGAGGAGGGGGACGTGGAAGCTGCCGACGTGGGGGTCGTGGTTGGCTGTTACGCCTCCGTCGTTGGGTAGGGAGAGTCCGCTGGAGGTAGGTTAGTATGGGAATGAGTTGGAATTTGGGGTGGGGGGGTAGACTGACTGGTCACCGGCCATGACGAGAAGAGTCTCGTCGGTCATGTCGTTCTCCTTCAGGATTTGCATGATATCGGCCAACCATTCGTCTTGGTAGACGATGGTGTTCAGATACTTGTTGATCTTGTCGTTCCATCCGGCGGTGTTGCCAAACAGCTCCTCGTAGTCACCGGGCTTGTAGTAAGGGGTGTGAGTGTTGTGGGTGAGATGGGTCAAGAACAGACGTCTCTTCTTCTCCTTCGCCTCGGTGATCACATCCCGGAGGTATCCATTCAGAGTCTTATCGGGGTAGTCGTGGTCATGCTTCTCCTCGGGGAGATACTTGTCGTTGAACTCCTCCAGTCTCTCCTTATCCATGACCTCGGAGAATCCCATGGCTGGAGTAAGAGCGTACTGCTTGTCCCAGGTACCGTAGTGGGACTGCATCCACATAGTGTGCCAGGGCCAGTTGATCCAATCATCGGTCTCGGTGGTTCTGTTGGGCTGGGCACTCAATGAGTTGAAGATGTGCGGCAAGCAGGGCTGGTAGATGTCGTGGTAGTATTCAAGGTTGTTGAACACAGCGATAGGGTTCACACCGCACACGGTTCCTGTGAGACTCTTCATGGTGTAGGTACCAGAGGTATAGGCATTCTTGGCACTAATACCACCGAAAGGCTCCAGCTTTTCGCTGCTCTCGAATCCGGTGTCGAATCCGGTGAAGCGCTGAGCCATGGGAGTAAGTGTACCCAGGCGATGAAGAACCTCCTCGGGAATTTCACCATCGAAGGATTCTTTGATGTGCTTCATGATGTAAGAGTCCGAGCGGAAGGGGAACACGTCCTGGCGGTTACTCTCCAGCTTGATAAGGATGATGTGCTTGATCTTGACGGATCCGTTCTGGAGCACCTCCCGAATAGGCTCCAGAATCTCCTTGTCGAGGTTGACCGTGTGGAGAGGGTCCTTTGCGGGGTTGTAGTGTGTCTGAAAGTGCTCGGTGTGGTTGATCTTGAAGGGAGACCATTCCACAAAGCCATTCGAGGGATCATTCGTGCGAAGCCAGTCAAAGTTGGGGAAGTCATCCAGGGCAGTCTGGCCCTCCAGCCAGCTGAAATCACCGGGCAACTCAGCAACGCTTCCCTGGTTAGGGCGGTAGATCAGGCCCTTGAACGGCGCGAGCGGCAGAGTGGCCGAGAGGAAACCGTAAGTCGCATCGGAGGGGCGAACGACGCGCAGAGCCAGGATAGCAGCAGTGCACGCGATCACGATTCCGCGCTTGAGCATGGGCTGACCCTTCTTCTCGGAGGAAGTAGAGACCTGGGGCCGGTCCTCGGGGGTCTCCAGCAGTCCAGCGGACTCGTGGCCATCCTCATAGTCATCGATGGCAATCTGCTCGTAGATCTCGGGGTCTGGCAGGGTCTGTGACTTGCGGCGAGTGCAGCGGTACTTGGCAGGCAGGAACGAAACCCAGGTGGCGAGGAATGCGTCAGTGATCCGGAAGAGATGCGGGGTTGCGTAGTAGGCAGCAGTGTAGATCAGCACGTCGAGCAGAATGCCGAAACCCAATGCGGTCAGGACGGTCCAGGCGGTAGGCTTGTCGTGGTGGAAGTTGTTCACGTTGCGCCAGTGAATTTCATTCCCGACGTGGAAGTAGTAGGAGATGTTGGCGGAGATCATCGATGCGGTGTACAAACTGGGACGAGATTAGCGATTGAGCATTCCCGGAATGTTGTCAGAACTCACCTCCACAGGACAGTCCAAAAGGCCGTCAGGTAACGCCATAGCGGGTACCTGAAGGAGCGCGCGAGGGCGCACGCGATCAGAATGAGGACAAAATCGACCAGGAAGAACGTCAGACCCCAGAGGAGGAACGAGAGCACCGTCAACGACTTGAGATGCACGAGAATGTGGAAGCACTTGGACAGCACGATGGAGATGAAGATCACGGAGAAGAAGTATCTCCGAGAGGCCTCCCAACCACGGTCCATGTACAGCTGAGGATCTTGAGCGACATCGAGAGCAAAGAGAGCAGAATCCCGGGCCTGCTCCCCGAGTCTTTGGGATAGAGGTCCCCGACTTGACTTCATGATTGAGCACTGAACCGCATCCAAGGGGAACTCAGGGACGATAAGGGGAAAAAAAGGGCTTCCCGCAACGGGGGGGTCTAAAAGCAGTTGTCAGCGGAAGTTTGGGGACACTCCACATCCACACGTGTGAGTGGTTGAAGATCGGCGCGAGGCTATTCTTTCTCGCCGGACAGGGTAACTGGGCACGCGAACAGTGCAGAGCAACGCTGGCCTCTTTTTTTCTTCCGCCGCTGTGGGTTTTACGTGGGTCCAGCCCCCAATGCAGCCTTGGCAAACGGTGAGGTCTTTTTTCGTATGCGTATGGAGTTCGGACTCGTAAACGAAAGGAATTCGCAGCTCCATTGCCCAGCTAGGCAAGCTTCCGGGGCCTTCGTACATTGTTCGGCGCAGATAGGACGGTTCTTCGGAGATGATCCGTATCCACTCGGACCCTTGGGGGTGAAACGCGATGTCTTGGCGTGTGTTCGCTGCCTCATGTTCGTTTTCCATTGGTGCGACTTCTCCACCTTCAAACGGGATTCAGGGCATCTGATTATTTTTGTCGTTCATCGGAGAGATAGGAGACGACAGATTTACCTGTGCTCGCACTGAAGAGTTTTACACAGCTCCGTCCCTGAATAGTGGCCATATCCTAATCTCCCGAGCCCATCTCCTAGTACTGTATAGTATATTTGTGACAGTCCAATCGCTCCAATCGCATCCAATTGCAATGGCGACATCAGGGACGAGGCCCTACATCGCAGGCGGTCAGGCCTTACGAGGTTCTGCCGTTCATTGCCGCTTTGGGCGAGCCTAATCCGTCCCGAGGTCAACTTCGATGGGATGGTGACACCCGACAGGATCTCAATGCAGCATGAAGTCGCAGACTAACACAGTGGATTAGAAGCCCGTGGACAGGGGTTCCCGCCCGAATTAGAAGGTTGTATTCTTTGAGGGCTATCGCTGAAAAGGGGACAAAAAACGAGGCAATGAGCGAAGGATAAGAGAGACGAAGAGAACAAGCCTAAGCTAGCTGTGAGATGTGGAAGAAAGGAGAGCAATACTCTGAAGTCCAACATTGGAAACACGTTCAGTTAAACAAGTAGCGAGAGCACACCCGGGGCAACTGAAAAACCGAGATTTCCTGCGAAAGGCTCGTTTGGTTTGGCGAAATTCAAGAAAGTCTTCCGATCATTGCCAGGACAAGTCGGATGAACATAAAAAGCGATCTCGGGATATTCCAAGCAAGGCAGAAAAGGGCTGTCAGATGGCGCGTTGAGTGTCAATCAAACTGAGTAGCCCTCGTAGGTCCGTTTAAAACATCAGACATAGTGTCCTGGTGGCAATTGATCGCGGCCATAGCATTCAGCGCCGTCGGATGTTGTGGCCATCTGCTCTCGCATTGTTCTTGTACATGTTTGAGCATCTCTAGGCCTTCCGAGCTTGTCCGAGAATCTTTCAGAAGTATGAGACCAAGACGATATCCTTCCACAAAGAGAAGCTCTTGATCTGCATCTGACTCATGCTTAAGCTCATATAAAGCTCGTCCCAAATGTTCCCTGCCGTTGTATTCCTTGTTCTTCCTGAAACAAGCCCTGGCAAGCAAATAGTTGAGACGCACATGCCGACTTCCCTTGCTAGCATTCTTTGCTCGATGAAGAATTGCTTGAACTCGCTTTTCCTGGCCTGTGCAAAACAATAGTGCCAAGCCCATAGCTCCCAGATAGTTACTATAATCTGGGTCAGTAGGTATGGTTGTCAGACACAGAGTCTGCATCTGATTCGCCAAATCATCCCACCTTCCCTCATGATACATCCTCGCAGCGTCATTTAGAAAGAACTCGCGTTCTTCCAAAGGGGAAAAGACCCTCGTTCGAGGGGAGACAAAGGTACCCGGATTCGAGGTCGTGAAGAGGCCTCTCCTGTTTTCTGGCCGGCGATACCTGAGCCGATGAAGTTGGAGTATTGCTCCTCGTTGATGAAAGAGCCGTTCTGTCGGTGTCTTGATCCACAAATGTATAGCTTCGGGGATTTGTAGTTATGGTGGATGATCGGGATATATCGTCGATTGTGTTGCCCGACACAGCTTTCGTCGCCTCTGAGTGCCCAATTCGGTCAACGAAGTCCCAATCGCCAGACGCCAAAGCGTCGTTGATACTGGAGCGTCCGGCGAACGCAACCTCCGGTGCTTCTGAATGCCCAATTTAACTTGCCGAAAATGTGCTTCCGGTCAAGATGGGCAAGTTGTATGCACAGGTTCCAAGGTTGTCTTGACTTGTCTCAAATACAATGACGAGGAACATGATGCTATCATAGAGGTTGTGATGTATATTGAAGGAGTAAGCCTACTAGGTAGTTTCTGATAGAACGTTACACTGCTGACTGGATACAGATTTTAATGCGTTTGGGGGAAATACAGGTCTAGTCTAATGATTGCCACACGCCGGGGAGTAGTAGCTGGGCAGGTGACCGCCGGCGAACTCCCGCTGCTGGATGGTCTTTGCCTCTCCTTGTAAAGAGACTTTCACCCTCAGGGAAAAGGGGCTGCTAGTCAACCTTCGAAATTGATGACGAATATGAAACTCCTGGAAAGAGAAACAGTGAAGTAAAGCCCGAAGCCAGACTTCAATCAATTCTATCTTTGCTTGCTCTCTAGCGAGTATCTCTTTCATTTCCCATGTTCTCCTGTGTTTTGCGGTGGTCAATACCTGAAGATTAGTCTTTGGGGACGGTGTGGATGAAGTATTGTTCTTCCAAGGCTCTTTTAAACGCAGAAACCCCGTACTAGGCATATGCAGACGCCTACTCAGTCGCTATTTTCGTAGCGAGAATATCCGTGGACGCTGGTTGGGCATGTATAGTCGCAGGCTACTAGTAGCTTCTTCTTCCTGCGTGGTTGATTTCTTATAGATACTTCCAAGTTGTCATCCATGGATCTGTCTCTAACCTTGGAAGATGCCCAGGTTTACAAGCATAGCGAGTATCTCAAAACGTAGATATTAACATGCCCAATGAAACAGGCAGTAGACGTAGTGTAGTCTTTGAATATAAGCCAAGTCAAAGATCTGAATGATGCATACTTGGGCACACAACCTTGGATCACAGGAACTACCGCCAAGAGTCCACGGGTATGTGATTTGCTTAGATGTACACTACATTGACACATGCGCATACCTAGGTATCACAAGATATGAAGATAAAGATTTCTGCGTTTGCCAAAACATATGGCCTGGCCGGCATGATGCTGCACAAGCTTTGTGGCTCCAAACAGGGCTCCCGTCAAGACGTACAAAGCCGGACTATCGACCTCGGGATGTGAATACGACAGTACCTAATATCCTTCCAAGGTTCCGCGCTTCCCAACATATCACACACACATCAAACACCGAGATCAACCCAATGGGGCATTCCGCTACTTGGTTCTCCTGGGGACGTAGGTCACAATGGAAAAGTCCTGAGACTTCGACCCTGGTCTTCGAGGCTTTGCGGGATCGTGATACATCACATCAACGGTGTTTCGATCTTTGTCGTTGTAAACTGCACGATGCGCTCCTGGGGGGCCACTGTTGTATGGCTGGGATGTCCCGTGTTTGATTGGCGTATGTGTCAGAGTTCCCTTGGCTGACAGGGGCAGTGAATCTGCACCCTTGTTCCCAAAGTGTGAAGGGTAACCACCCCCACGTGGTCTACGACGCGGAGCCCGCTGCCCAGGTGGACCTGTTGCCTGACATCTCGGGCCCTATGCCAATCCCGCCCTTTCAGATCATCCTTGAAGTTCATCACACCGTGGCAATGATACTGGGCACATATTAGCGTGAAGTGAGAACAGAGATGGGGGAGATACTTATTTACGTAGGAGGAATTCGTTTTGACTGATTCCGATGATGATGACGATGATGATACTGATGATGCCGATGACGTTGATCTCGCTGTTGCTGTCGCTGTCGCTGGCGATGGCGATGGCGATGGCGATGGCGATGGCGATGGCGATGGCGATGGCGATGGCGACGCCGATGACGCCGATGACGCCTGAGCCATTTGGAGTTATGCTGAAGCTGATGATGGACCTGGAGCTGGGGTTGAGTATGGAGATACTGCAGGTGATTGAGATATACTTACAGCTGCCTAGGTGGTAGATTGGAATTCACTGCCGGGGGGTGTCAGTCGATGCTAGTTAACAAACTCGCGAGAAGCGCGATTTCTTATCTGGCGTTGAAGGGTGATGCGCACTCAGTTCTCTCTAGTACCTGTTTGGGGTCCCCCAGAATGAATAGTAAGACTGAAGTAAGACTGAAGTGAAAATGAAAAGCAATACGAGGCGAGCCGCGTGATAGCTGCAGGCTAGCCCTGAGGCCGAGGGCCTGGGAACGATCCCAAAACATTGCTAATATGAAATTCACCGCCAGTGCCCTCAATATTTCATCTCCAAGGGTTTGATATCGATAATTCTTGAAGAACTTCCCCGTTTCGCCGCAGAGCTACCTGGTAGCACGTTATCATCTGGTTAGCACTACAACCCACCCGGGGAACAGCGGGCGAGATCGCCCCACCGCCCGCATTCAAGAGACAGGACGCTCCCGCTCCCGCTCCTGCTCCCGCTCCCGCTCCCGCGCTCCTCTACTTCCCGCCCAGCCCCCCTCCGTCCCCGGAATAACTTTCGCAAACAAACAATATATATCAAACCTGCGGATCATCACACTCAAATTTCTTCATTCACCATGTCGACAACAATCGATCTCGATTCCCTCAATGATCCAGACGCCACGCAAGGGGAAGCGGACATCTTCCAGATCCTAAAACAGGGCTTGAAATCTGAAGGTGATCATGCGAGCGGAGCAGCCCACTTAGCTGAATCCTTGCGGGAATTCATTCATGACCAAGGAGCTGGATCTCTCAAAGTCGCCAATGACCTGGTTTGGGATCTTTGGGTAACGCTATTGCGAGCGATCACGATTGTACCCATCGATCACCCATGGCATAATTGCCTTATTGCGACGGTTGATAAGTTACGTCGCGAAGGCGGTCGTATTGCACCCTCAGATGATGCGAGCGACAATGTCCTCCCTACAGTGAGAGCTGAATGTCTTGCTAATTTGCTTATAAGAGTGAGGAGTGGGCAGACTTGCCTGGGCTTTGCATGTACCTTGTCGACATGTGGGCTGGTGAGTAGCTGCCAGGCTTTGAAATGGGCACGTTAGTAACTAACACTACAGAAAGAGCCCTCAGGCACGGAAGAATCTTGCCCCGAAGATATTGAAACTTGGAAGCGCATGAACTCATTTGCTTCCCGCCTGCTAGTCGACGACTTTAAGCACTGGATAGATTTCGCCTGGTGGGAGATTACTGTCGGTCTGGAGACTGCACCGCAGGATCCAACTGAGTTTGAGTGGAGGTTATGGGTTGTGACTGAATGGCTGATTCAATGCGGTGACCTCTTGTTCAAGGACCTCAGCTCTACCGAAGAGCTACAAGAAGAGGTTCTGGCTTCTGTCAGGCCTGGCCCACTATGTGCCGACGTCCACCCAATGAGTCTCCAGCGATGGGAGTTCTGGATTTCAAGACTGATGGAGCTCAGTGGCGGGACGTATACAGTGGAAGGGGGCTCAGAGGTTGCACTGAGCGCAACATCCACATCTCGCATCGAACTGGCCATTGCTGCGATGCGCAGACATTCGTCAAGCAGTATCGCGGAACATCAATCTTGAGGCGAGGGATAATCGTGTTAGGATTGGGATCTTAATGAAACTTCCAGCCCTATTGCCTAGCTTTGTTTGTATCTATTGACAAATATCTCGAAGGTCCTATATCGTGCTTTCAGATGCAGCTAGTATTGGTGAAATGATTGCGCCCGCCTCACTGGCCCTACCTAGACATCTGTCAATGTCATATAACGAGAAGACGCATTCGAAACAATGTAGTTAAGTATTGTGTATGGGCGCGTGAATCACTCATGTTGTCGGGTTTCAAAGACTACGCCATGATAAATCAGCGGGGTGACCAGTTGACGGTAATATTTGACGGTGATAGCGTTTACCCTGTAAATGATAGGTTGAGAAATGCCATAAGATTCGGGTGAGGAAGAGAGAGGGGAGAAAAGGCGATCCAGAACTATGCACTATGCCCACCTGTGCAGGTGAGCACCCGGGCAGGTGTACCTCCAGGGCTACAGAGGGGAGTCACCTGATTCCAACAGACGGCCCCGGGCCCTGGGGTGCGAAGGGGCACAGGTGCCAGGGGGGTCCGGATACGCCCCCCAGGGTTTAGCGCCTAGAAAGTGGAGATCCTGTATGTTTATGTGGGGCGATTAGCTTCAGGTCCGATCGGGCCTCATCGCCTGGAAAGTGGTGATACTGCAGATTTGCGCGAAGCGAATAGCTTCAGTCCTGACTGGAGCATTCACTCCGTACAGTAGAGTCATTTAAGCGGTAAAAATCGGTCGATTTCTGTCGCCGCATCAGTAACTTAGTGGGGCCTATTCGAGCTATCCATGGATGTCCCTTCGCCACCGGGGAACCGCGTCACTTTCTGCACAGAACCTCACCCTTGAACTCCATTCCCCCGACAATGGCTTTCCACGCCTTTCAGATCTCGAATTACCACCACAAATTTCTTATAGACCCTTCTGTGACCAAAGTGTCTCCGCTCAGGTTGGAAGCCCTCGCCATATCCTCACCATCCTGGAATTCAATGGATTAAGAGCCCTCGTCCATGCATCCCCAATTTATCATAAGCAATATCTGATGGACCGTCGATGGCTGCTCGGTCAATGCGTCGACAAATTACTAGGCAGCGTTAACATCGAGCCCAGCCTGGTTTGTCAAACTCGTACTACCGGCTTTGCACGAACTCGAACTCGGGAGTCTATCGCCTCAATCCTTGAATCATACAAATATCTTCAAGGTCTGCCTAGTTTCTCTTTGGTCGACGACGAAAGGCTACATCCGTATGATATGATCTGGATTTTGCGCTTTCACACTTCGATTGCCGTGCCTCTAGCCAATCAGTTCAGCAAATTGGCTCTGAAAGACCTGGCTCGAGAAACTAGGGATCAAAAATTGAACTCATCCCCACTCGATGTTTCTGAATCTATGAGTCAAAGTGAGCGGATGCGCATGATCCGAGCCCTTTATCGCACACAGCTGTGGTGCAATTTATTCGGCATCGGACCGCATAAAGACATAGACAAGCCATCTCTTCCCGGGTACAGCTGCATCGATCTTCTTACCATATATTTATCTCACTTTGAGCCTTGGGAAATTGAAGAAATGCACTGTGTTTATGGGTTCTGCGAGACGACATACGAGAGGATCTTTTCTCAAATTCGATGGGATGTGGATGCAAGAAACCCTAATTTCGATGCAATAAGAAAGGATGGTCACCCAGAAGGCTCATTTGATCTCGCTGCCAATGGTTAGTATCATACTCGTTTTTCTTTCTAGCCTTTCTGGAGGCTAACACTGTCGTAGAAGATGATTTTTTGGATGGCGTGATTACGCAGGGCCTCGTGCTCCTTCACACAATTACTTCGCCGGTCACAGATCAATCTGAACTAGTCTCAATCATGTAGGCCAAGCTTTGCCTCCACCATAGGCTCCTTCCTAGAGATTACGGTGAGGTGATGAATGCTGAGAGAGAACGACGTCGCCGTGCGCCTTCAGAGCAAGATTTGAAGGAGCAGAGACGAGATCCACTGCCATTTCAGGGTGACCGAGTAGATGGTGTGTATCCTCCGTTTGCATGGACATTCATATGGGGAGAAACCTACAGCAATATAACGGGAGATAACCTCTTCTATTTTACATACCCCCATGAGCTGAAGTACTGCGGGTATGTTATGTGGGATAAAGAGCGACTAGAGAGTACGGGTGTGGTTGGGGTCTTGGCCAGGACGATAAAAGAAGAGGCGTGGTTGGAAGATGGTGATCCACGAACAAGCATGATGCATGATGTTGAATCTAAAGTCTAATTCGCCGAGGAGTAGGAATAAATTAGCCATATGATTGAACCAAATGTAATCTTTTGGGAGACAGTTCTATGACAGCATTGGATTTATCAACAGTACGGTAGTTGCGGAGTGTCCAATACCTACTTGGTGCCTGAGGCCTTATTTACGCCTAGGGCACCAGCACCAAGGCCTCTTGCTCTACCTGAGAGACACCCAAGGAGTGGTGGCTTGGTCCTGAGTAGAGCTGAAGCGAACTATACTCCTTAATATACGGACTCTTGACCCTGGCTGAAACCGAAGACGTTGGATGTCCCGGTTTTTCTGTCCCGGTGGCCTGCCAACCGCAGTGGCTTCTAGGGCGGAGGGATATTTGCCGGTTTTTCCTCATGATCCAAGAGCTTGGGCTTCAGGGCTTGTTGCTTTGTCCATGTGATACTGGTTGCATCTGATAGCCTCAAAGAGGATGGTTGATATAAGGCAAGTCCGGTAGGCCCGAAAGATTGGATGGATTCGCCGCCTCCGGCTCATAGTGTGTAACATCTGGGAATAAGGCCGTTAAAAAATCCGATTCGTTGAAAGTTGCTGTGTCGCTGTAAAGAAAATGTCGTTCTTCTAGTTGGAGATTGAATGAATTCATCACCTCCGGTTCATGGTATATGGCTTCAAGGTTGGTGGTGGCTTCCATGAAAGTTCGGAACACTTAAAATACGAGCATCTAGCCAAAGTTATCGGGGTTTCGGAGGGGTTCAAGCAGTGTATGCGAAACAGCTTTGGTCATGATGATGAAGAGCTTGCCCGACAGCGGCAAATACGATGAATCACTAGAATATAGCTATCATCGGGGTAGATTATACCAGATTATTGTTTCTGAAATGCTTTTCCTCTTCCCAAGCCCCTCTTCTTTCGTACAGAATCTCTCAAGTTGTGCATCGTCAACCCAATGCGAATTCAGATGCCTACCGAAATCTCCGAGCAAGGTTCTTGTCAAGCTGAAGGAATACTATGCTGAGGGTAGCAACGTTCATTCCTTTGGGTTTGAAATTCATTAAATTCTGCCTAAGCGTTTGCGAAGACGAATAAACCAACGCCATACTTTCATCCGAGGCAAATTCCAAAGCAAAAGAAAGAGCAATCCTCGGAAACACAAGATACATTCCATCACCTCTCCGCGCGGGGGATTAACACATTCATCAATCCCGACTGAGACGAATAATTCGCAAGTCGTTTCCAAAACCTTTTGCGTTTCTTTCCGGGGGCACCGCCATCCACAGTGGAGTGAGTCTGGTATGGCTCGGATTGCGTGTGCTGTTTTCTATCCTGTTGATAGGACTTGCGTAATTCTTCAAGCTCACTTGAAGATAGTTTTTCCATGGCACTAGCGAGTTCAGGACTGATGATGGCACGAGTTTCGAGAAGCTTCACCGTATCTAGCAATACCGGGTAGAGGTCCTTGCACGTCTGAAGGCCATCTCGAAGCCACTCGGCTTCCTCAAGACAACGCTTTTGCGAATCAGGACATTTCAGTAGACGTCTTGCTCTCTCAACCCAATCATCCAATTTCAGGAGGAGCTTTTCTCCCCGCTCCCCACATCTTCGCTCTAACTGTTCATTCTCGATGGCAACGATAAGTGGATCTGGACTTGACTGCAAGCCATATTTGGGAGGCTGTTCTCGACCTTCACTCACGCGTTCGGACATTCTGACTAAAAGATAAAGTAATGTTTTGGAGTGGATTTTGCTGTTGGACAACATACCGGATAGCTCGCCTCCCGCGCCCATTTTTGACCGAGTAAAGTTACGCCTCCGCGCCCCAATCCGCTCATCACGCGAATATAATCTGGGCAACCTAGATCAACTCACTGAGCTGAGCGAAAGCATGGGCGGTCTGAGCTAGCCTGGTAGGCCCAGTCATTTTTTATAGTCGTAATCAAGGCGTGTTGCCCAGGTGGAAACCATAGCCTTTCCTGCATCCATGGTCCCTTTCCTTCCAAATCTTGATCTTCAGATTCTCTTCACTTTCCTGTCGCTTCGTTTTCAATTCACCAACCGATGGCCTGCCATGTCCGAGCGCTGTGAGCGTGATTCAAGTGAGCTACCCACCGGTTCAGATGCCACAGTTATTCTTGAGCGGACCCTGAGTCTGAGATCTGTCATCTCTACAACTTCGTCTTTCAGCCAGCTGGTCCAGACCGCGCGGAACCGACCGCACCTCCAGCAGATAAATCAGATCGGAGCTGGCTCACAAGGTGTTGTCTTCGAACGGGTTGGAAAAGACTCAGTCCTGAAGAAGGAGAGACCGGGAAATGAGATCCTATCCTCAAATTTGACAAAGGAGTATACAGTCCACCGCCAGGTTTCGGCGGCATTTGATCATTACCAGCCTCTCACGAAATGCGAAACCACAGTGCCTAGGGTATTGCGCTTCATTCCCAAGACAGGGGAAGATCCATTCTGGGAGGAGTTGTTGCCAAAGCTTCCAGGGGAGTACCGCACTCGAGATAACTCTGTGCTCATGCAGCGTATTCTGCCTCTACCGAAAGTCGTTCGTCGCGCGCTGATCCACCGGTTTATCACTGCGGATATTCCACAAGCATCGACGCTGCTCGCAGATCCCACAAACAAGCACTGCCTCGCCAGAGTGTACCTTGGAAAAGCAAATGGTACTCGGAGCCACGAGTCTCCCCTGAGAAACTTTCCTTTATACCTCGACGACATGAAGCAAATCGGAATCGACACTATCGAGCTTGCTAGCGCTCTTGGTAAAGCATACGCCACATTACACTGGGGCGCTGGAGTCAACGGAGATGACATTGAGTTTGTCTTGGGGACCACAGCTGAACAAGCAGTGTGCGGACGCCAACCGCACCAAGACAGAGCCATCGGTCTGTTCTTCCTTGACTTCGGTCAGTGTGACATCGTCGACCTAAGTCAGGAAAGTGGAACTGTTTATCAGGCTTTCAAAGGAGCGATGGTGACCGGGGATAACCAGCATTTTATCCCACACGCGAACCAACCTGAGTTTCTTGCTGCTTTCAAGAAGGGATATTCTGCAGCGGGAACAATAATTCTTGGCGACAAGCGCCTTGACTCCAAATTCGACATAAAGGAGTTTATACAGCAATACGAAGAGTACGCCGAAGATTTTCTTTCTTAGCTCAACTGGGAAAACAGAGGGGATATGATGAAGCTACTGAAGGGAGCTTCCACCGGAGAAAAAGGTTGTTTCTCTACCGACAGAGCGACAGACGAAGAAGGTGAAAGCAAAGTCGGAAGAAACCGAGCTATCTAGAGAACAGCCAGGATCACTTGGCCGGGTTATCGCAGCCTTGGGACAGGGGTTACCATGGTTGACATAGACCAGGGAGTGATAGAAGATTATTGAATTTCTTAGCTCGATCAAATAACTAACATCCTCATCCTTAGCTTTAAAACTCAGAAAAGAAACATGACAAAAGAGGCCCGTTTTCTTCCATCTTCTCGCCTCGCTAGGGACTTCGGAGAAGGAAAGGCCAAAGCAACAGAGGAGCGCCATGAAGAAGAAGAAAAGGGTTGTCGAGGGGTCCATTTTCATTCATCTCACCTCACTGAGGTTCTCGGAGAGAAGAAAAGGCCAAAGCAATAAAGCGCCCTTGGCTCATTGGCCGCTGATACCCCCCACCCAAGTTTCCCAAGGCCATGGGCAAGACTTCTAAACAAAGTTGACCATGTTGCCGCCTTGCTCATTTATTCCAGTAACTGTTGCACCCATCGATGAGGATCAGCCGAACCACAAAGATTATCACCCAGAGCCCTGGCGGGAGTCTGGCCAGGGCTTCAAGGGCTGAGGGTCTTGCGTTTGTGGTATTGGCGGCGGCAGTCACTGTGACAGTGGTAGGGGCGTTGACCGTCGTTGTTATGACGGTAGTAGTGAAGGTTGCGGGCGGGACGAGAGTAGCAGGCGTCGCTTGGTTATGGACGTTTATAATGTTTGACATTTTGATCTCGTGTGAAATTATGAGCTTGGATGAGCACTTCGAAGGTACTGGTGAAAGATGTCATCCTGCGTAGGGATAGGATAGACATCGCGGATCGTAACTTTGTTGAGACCTCGTAGGTCGACAGCTCGTCCCTTCCGCTCAGGTTCCTTTCCAGGTCGATGAATCGTTCTCCAAACCACGAAGACGGGAAAGCCTGTCGTCGTGCGGTTGGTCGCGTACTCCATCTTACCCTGATCGTGTAACGATTGGAACGCCTCATTGACAACCGCTCGATCCTTCGGGCCGAGTGTATATACCTTTGATTTGGGGAGCTTTGTTTCCCATCCGTGGACGAGGGAGACCGTCATCCACTGGTCCTCGGGAATTCGTATAACGCCAGGGTTCGCACCCCAGATGTCATAGCAATTCACTAGATCGACGAGCGTCTGTCGCTCGACGGAGCTAAGTCCGCTGTAGATTGTGACACCGTTTGATAGAACATATCCGTCTTTGGTATGTGACAGGCCGTCAAGGTTGTCGGTGGGGCTGTTGTCACTGTCCGTCGGCGAGCGAAGGTTGTTGGTGAGATGTGAGTAGCAGGCGCCGCTTGGCTATGGACATTTCTCACGTTGTACATTGTGATGTTGCGTGAAATGATGAACTTGGATGAGCACTACGACTGGGGGACAAAAGATAATAACTATAACATCGTACCTGCCGAGGTGTACACTAGGTAGTACACTTGCCACATTAATGGACTGAGTTTGGCGCGTCGCGATGGTTAAATACGTAGCTTCTTTCCGGTTAACAGAATGCATACGGAGTACTTACCTTCCACATATCCGCGCCTCATCTCACGCTTTAGTCTTATACGAGAAACCCCACATCTTCCGGTTAAATACCAGACAGAGTGTAGTTACAAAGTTGTCAACCATGCCCAGGTGATGTCTCTCTGTCATCTCTAGGGCCTTCCAAGACAGCTGCCTATTGTATCAGAGCTCATGATCGGCCAGGCTCACCAATTGTCCAATGAACAACCGGTATCCGATATGTGAGCTAAAATCACCTGTGGGCTTTTACCCCCATGTCTCGTCCATGATCTCCCAAATTGGAACCCAGGGATTTGGCGGGCATAAATGGTGGCAAATCACAAACAGTACCTAGGTAGTAGAGCAAAGATGGTGGAAGAGCACAACGGCGTGTGTGATCATTCAGATGCGTAAGTCCACGGGGCTGGATAGCCAATGACACGTGCCAAACAGCCCTAATCGTGCGGGCGGCGGGCCGGCCCGGCTGCGGAGGAGGCGAGAACGTGCGTGTGCTTGTATTGGACTTCGCCATTGCCAAACGCTTTCAAGCTTCCAAGTTATCCTGCTTCCCAGTAGGAAGTACATACTTCGTGCTGAACTGCTTCATCCTGAGTCGACTTTAATAAACATAATGTATGCCCGGGTCTTGCGCCGTATACTCTCTGCCTGAGACACGGAGATCATAGTGTAAGAATGGTGAACCCCAGTCAATGATAACCCTGATCGAAAGTTTGAAACCCCCCTTTGTATTTCCACAAAAGATGGTGTCTTTTTTTGACGGATTGGTGCTGAAAATGCGTGATAGTCTAATATAACACTCGAGACCTCGGGAGGGTAGACTTCCGCATTGGGCTGGGTTGGGCCCGAGGTCCCGGCCGCCCTGAGGCCTAACCTAATCCCGGGCCCAGTACGGGGGGCCCATTTTCCGGGAAAGCCCAGTTTTATGCATCATGGATAAAGATAGTCTTGACGCTCATTCATAAAGCTGCTGGATGATGGATTTTATGTACAACCTTCCAAGGTTAGAAAAAGACCTCATGACCTCACCTGGATCCTATAAAAGTCTAGTAGCCCTGGAGAGTTTCCAAAAGTTGATATCTTCCTTCCCACTTCTATCACTATAAATAAGCTATTTTTGGAAATTTCAGGAATATTTTCTTCAAAAGTATAGTACACCAACACTCAAAGATACTGCCAAGACTTGCATTGTTTATGAAACGGCAGAATCTTGGCATGTTTGTAATGTTTGGGGCCAAATGAGCCCCCGGAAGAGCCCAGTGGGCTCGAGGGCTGCCCAGTACCGGGCTGGGCCCGGGTTGGGTCCGGGTTTACTGGGCTGGTGCGGAAGTCTACTCGGAGAGGGTATCGTTGTGGCGGTGCACTCGAAGATGATGCGGGGGAATATCGGTATCTCCGTGGTTGTCCTTTAATACCATCAGTATGTTTTGGCAGCTCCGGTGCTTCTGAAGAGTATCGAACGATTTTGAGCTGACTGGGTTGCCGTCAATTGCCCGTTTTTAGGGAGGTGCCTGGATCTCGCAGTGTGATACAAGTGTATCGGCCATGTGATTTAGCGCTACTGGCCGAGAGGTATCTCAGCCCCCTCTCAGCCCCCGCGGTTGCTTCGTCCTCGATGTCTCGCGTTCCCCATGGACCCGATATCTGCGATCGGGTTTGCCTCGGCAATTGTTCAAATTCTAGGCGCACTCACTTCGACTGTGCATAGCCTCGATAAACTACGGGGGAGATTCAGCGATGCGGACTTTACGATCCATGCGCTCATTCAAGAGCTGAGCTGCATCAAGACAGCTCTCACAAGTTTGAAGGAATTGCATCGACTGAATTCTTCCGATGTGATCGTGTCGGAGGAATTCAACGAACAGATGCTTACAGCTACAAGCGGCTGCCAAATCATAATGCAGGTTCTATCCGAGGATGTGATGAACATGGTGCATGACAGTCAAAGTGGCGACACACTTGGTTTCAGATCGCGCATCAGAGTTGTGTGGAAAGAAGATATCATGAAAGGACACCAGGAGAAACTACACGCCCAAGTAATGGCGTTACAGCTATTGCTTCAGGTCTGTCAGAGGTTAGAGCCCTTCCTCATTCCCAAAGGTCGCACAGAAGCTCATAGGCCCCTCCCTAGTCATACATCACAGGAGCAGCTTCGTCTGTTGAGACAGGCAACGACTCGTCGTATCATGCGCAAGGTTCGCGACGACACCGAAACCATAATATCGACACGGAGCCAGGCTACATCTAGCGCAGCGAGCATTTCGCAACACAGCAGTTTTACACTCGGTGACTCAGCTGTCGGTTTCAACGATGCCCTCGCAGATTTGTCCCTATATCGCCGGTCATCCCCGCAGCCCGCCCCGTCCATCGGAACTTCTAATATCCAGATCGACACAGGCGAAGGCTTTGCATATACACCGACACGCGATAGAGGTAGTGCAAGAGCTTCGTTTGATGCTCATCCGCCCCAGCAAGATTATCTTCTCTTGCCCACGAGTCCGTCGGCACCAGTGCACCCAGCCCATAGGAGAGCAGTGTCGTCCCGTGAGGTGCCGCGTCCAAGCCTACCAAATGTGACTCGGAGCAAGTCTGATACCAAGGCACCGAAGACAATAGAAAGATCTGGCTCTAAGCTTGAAAGAATATCCTCTCTACTTCGCCTAAACACCTCAAGCCGCCTAAATCTTGCCTCTACCTCTTCCAACAGCTCACCAAAAGCAGGCAAAATTACATCTTTCACCAGAGTGAAGCCTAAGCGGGAACAAAATCCTCATACCAGCATTGATTTGACCGGCGAAGATGCTGCTTCCATTCCATCGATCGTCAAGGCCGCACAAGCTGGTTCCCTGGGTGAGGTAGCACGGCTCATCGATTATGGTATGAAGATCGAGGAAAGGCACAAAAAGTCAGGTCGAAATGCGTTGTTGGTCGCTGCGCATTGTGGAAAAGATGATATTGTGGAACTTTTGATTCAACATCACGCTCGGATAGACGTGGTTGATGGGTCCGGCTGGACCGCACTTCATCTTGCAGCTTCGCGTGGGCATTGCGACGTGATAACACTCCTTCTGGAAGAGAGCAACATTTCTGAGGTTCCAAACTATCAAGGCCGCACAGCTTTACGAGTTGCTGTTGACCGAAGCCAGCATGAAGCCGTGCAAAAGCTGCTTATGTACAATGCAAAGGTCAACACTCGTGCCGAGAATCAAATGACTACCTTGCACATTGCAGCAAAGCAGGGTGATGCGGAAATTGTGAATATGCTTGCGTCAAACGGCGCAGATATCGAAGCCAAGGACGCTAACATGATGTCCGCATTGCACTATGCGTGCGAAGGAGGCCATGTGGAAGTCATTGCAGTACTTCTGGCTCACAAAGCTAATATAGAAGCAATCGGTCGAGACCGTAAGACACCGCTGATATGTGCTGCCGAATCAGGCCAATCCCGGGCGGTCGAATTTCTCTTGAAATCAAAGCAAAAAGCATCAGCAAGCGGAACAGATGACACTGGAATGACTGCCTTGCATTGGGCTGCATATAATGGTCATGAGGAGACAGTGGACATTCTCAGCCAAAAGAAAGGATCCCTGGCCAGGGTCAATGCAATGGGGCGAACGGCTTTGCACTTATCTGTTATGCAGACCCAATTCGCCGTCGTTGAGCCCTTACTACGCAAGGGTGCCGATCTTAATAGCCGATGTGCGACGGGTCTCACTCCTCTTCATTATGCCTGTATGGCAGACAGTATCGAGCTGGCAATGCTATTACTCCAGCAAGGTGCTGACATCGAAGCAACTGAATATCAGCATCAACAAAGACCTTTGCATGTCGCAGCGGCACGAAGCTCAATCCATCTTTTGGAACTTCTTTGTACCAAAGGAGCTTCTTTAGATGCCCGAGACAGCGTTGGAGATTGGCCGCTATCTGTAGCATGTCGCTGTGGGCACGTGGCTGCCGTGGGGAAGTTGTTGAGTCTAGGGTCACCTCTCTATCAAGAACAACAAGCTACATCGCGTAGTGACTCTCCGCTATGCCTGGCTGCTATGGGAGGCCACCTGCCAGTAGTGTTGCTGCTTCTCGAGCGCGGCGCATCGGCATCCAGAAAGGATGAGGGCGGCTGGCAGCCTTTCCGCCATGCTGCATATCATGGCCATGTGGAAGTTCTCAAGGTGCTCTTGACCCACACCCGGATACCCGACACAGAAGTCTCAGATGTCATCAGCATGCCAGAGACGATCGGATTCCACCCAGATATTATGATCACCGAGGACCGCAAGGCGCGGGTGAGGGAACTACTCAACCAAGCTCTAGCGGAATCTGGCCAGATGCCTCCAACTCGTATCTCAAACATCGCCCTGACTGTGAATAATGGAAACCATCCTGCTCAATCTTCACAAGATCGCTATTCGCAAGACTGCGAAAGTTTGGTGCCCCAGGAGTTACCCGCAACTCTTGAGCAGGGGTTACCCAGTAGTCGCTCAGCGACCCCTGAGCGTGACTTGACCGCCGAGATTACACGCCCCAATGACCGGGAGCATGTTCAGCTGCGGCTCAGCGAGCAACCCTCACCGCCAATCAACGCGAACAGTGCCTCCGTTCCCAATGACCCTCGTGGAACATCTCCTATACGTTACACCGAGCAGAATTCTGCTAGGCGTAATCCTCGTCGACACCCAGCCAGAGAAGAGCCGCCGGTGTCGGCGACCTTCGTTCCTCAGCAACCTCTTGTCCTTACCTCTCAACGCCCCCAGAAACATTTGAAAATACCATCCCACTCCGTGGATATCGGAGTCCCGGTTGCTGAGAGTATGCCAATACAATCCCGTCGGTATGCACAAAGGAGTCGCATTCCTCAAAGGACTCCTGCTCCTCGGGAAATTGTGTTACCGATATCAAAGCCGGAACCGCCGGTTGAACATATGCAAGAAGCCATTGATGATTCCTTGGACTCGGATACAGACTCGATGTGTTCAGTATATACGGCACCTGATGGAAGTGTCGACACCAATATTGCCTCAGGGATCGATTACCAAAATGGGCCATTCGAACTAGCTGCATGAATACCATGACAGTGATTTCAAACCATGGGATTGCTTGAGGACGATGATAAATTCGGAACAAGACCTACCTACAGCTGTGCTTAAGGAATGGCAGTGCCCTTCTATATATTTCTGCTGTGTCGCTCTGAGGCAGTATCACGTATGGTCAAGCTGGAGGTCTCCTACCTAGGTACCTAGTATGATCAAATCAGAAATACCTGCTCAAGTTTCCGGAATGAATCTATGGATGTCTTTCGATGCAAGTACATTATCATCTTTGGCATTTGTATTTGGCGATTTCAGATGCTCCTGGTCCACGAATACGCGGACCCTGCAAACCAGCAACCCGTTCTCGCCCTTCTCGCACGAGAGCATAGCTTTGAGCTCTGAGGCATAGAGAATGTTGAATATGCAGCATGTTCCAAGTTCGACTCAGTTAATTCCATAGACGGGAATCCCAATGCCTAACGCCCCTGTAGGAACTCCAAGAAAGGAGTAATCGAAGAGAAGTTGGGTGGTGAAAGAGAAAGACCCCAGTGTTGAAATATCACCAAGGTGGCCTTAGAGCTCCTTTCTCTCCCTCTTTCTTTCCCTGTCCTCAATGTATTGCGAATGGGAAGCCACGCATTTGTTCAATTCCGCTCCCACCTAGACTTCTGCAGCGGCCCACAAAGCCCACAGCCCAGTCCAACGCGACCCACACGCGGGCTAGTTCTAGGGCCCATTTTTATTCCTAGGAGAGCTATCCAGCGTTATCCAACCACAATTCCCAATACCAGAGTTACCATGTGTCCCGAGCCCGCGGCGAAACTCTTTGGATCCGGCTCGGGTCCACTATTTCTCCGATCCATGCGTCACTCGAGACAATCCCCGGCGCCGACTCGCGATACTCTATGCACTCGACCAAATGTGGGGGAAATATACCAGATGGAGAGGCCATGCTGGACATGTCGAAATCGGACCATTCAATGCGACAAGTCTCAAGTCCCCTGTTTCAAATGCGAGAAAGCAGGGCTAGAATGCTTTGAACAGCGACCGCTCAGATGGGTCTCAGGCGTGGCAATCCGGGGGAAACTGCGAGGCCATGTTTTCGGGAAGGATGCTGAGCGAATTGAAGGCCAAAAGCGCACAAGGCCGAAAGGGAACAAAGCCATATCAAGGCGTTTGGCAATAAACAGCAGCCCGTCCCTTGCTTTGCAAGATCCACGCATATCGAATTTGGATGCCTCTTCAAAGTTTTATCTTGACTACTGTGAGTAGATGTTTTGCCCAAGGAGCAAGCAGCACTTTGATTGGCGAGGCTAATACCAACCTTGGGACCAAAGACTGCAAGCGCATATGCAAACTATATATTTTGTATGACAGCGACAGGAATCCGTTTCGCAATTTGCTGGCCTACACTGAAGAGAATTCGCCTTTACAAAAATCCATATTAGCCCTTGCGGCACGTCATTTTGCGAACACGGGACACTCATTCAACCAGATCAGCACTGACCTTCATCCGCGATTTGATCAGGGCCACCTGGATGCCTTGCTTTTCAAGAAACAGGCCATCGAGGGATTGTCCAGCTCACTGTCCCGCATTGACATGCATGAGAAAGACTCATTAACGGCAGCTATTCTCCTTCTCATATTCCTCGACATTCTGGAGTCTGGGATTGATGGCTGGAAATCTCATCTTCGAGGCGTCAAGAGTCTGGTTGGCCTTTATTGGACGCTGAAATCACCAGTCTCCAGCGGAACTTTTCACAAAGATCCCGGAGACACAGTGCAAGAGACACGACGGTTCATCGCTACTCAATTCTCCTTGTATGTCTCTGTCTTTCGTGGATCTTCTTGGCTTGTTGCTAATGGTAATAGAATTGAAACCCTTGGGGCCGCTATGTCTTCCACGGAATCAATGCCTGAACATGCTTTTGGTGACGAGATACCCAGACAACAAGAGTCAATCCTGAGGAGCTTCCTCGGATGTCCGGGATTTCTCTTGAAAGCTATACAGTTCTTTTCTAACCAAAGAGAAAGTATCGCTCGATTGAGGACACTCGATGACATCTCGTATAATGAGCACATACGAGACACCATTGCCATGTTACAACTTACGACGGATTTCGACTCTTACGAATGGGCTTGCGATTTTCAACGGCCAAGCGGTTCTTCTGCAACTGAGACCGAGAAGGCCTTTCTATTATCAGAGACATACAAAGTTGCCACTTTGCTATATGGGAAAAGGGTCCTCGGTTTCATACAAGCAACAACCCCGGACACCGAAGTACTCGTTTCGCAACTTCTCGGCATGATCAACGACCTCAAACGCGATATGAATTTCTTCAAGTGTCTACTCTGGCCGACCTTTATCGTCGGCCTGAACTGCCGGGAACCAAATCAACAGCATCTTGTCATCGAGACGTTGTCAATGATATGGGACCTAACAAGCTGTTTGAATGTGATATCTGCTTCAAAGATTTTGCGGGAGCATTGGCAACGAGAAAGTCAGTCCGACTCTCCACTCCAGGCTAACTCATACATTGGCGGTTTGGGTGGGGATTGGCTTCTCATATAGCGTCGCAGAGCATCAATCACTATACACTGTTTTGTGATAGGATTGTCTCGTCGCGATCTTTGGCAATTTTATTCCCGGTCAATATCAAGCGACCCTGCAAGTCGGAAAGCTGGTATCGCTCAAAGCCCGAAAGTTTTCAATTTTAACAACTTGGAAAGCATGTGGCAGATCTGAACGCCCCACTGTCGCGGGACCCCACATGCTTCAACTTCCTAATCCAGTATAGCCTATCCAGGAAAGTCAAAACCTTATTTCTGCGAAATCTTCAGCAAGTGCGCCCCCAAGTGCTAGGGTGATCGGGGGCAATTGGACCTCGGGATAATGCTCAATCGGCATGAATATGAGTCATGATCCGTGATTTTCGCAAACTCGGGAGTCGTAAACAGTAGTTGGGATGGGATTGGCCCGATTGGGATAAGAGGCATCTATCCTATTTTCTGTCTCGAAGTCTTCCAAGTCTCATCACCGCAATTTCCGTGGTTTCCATTTTCTTGTAAGTACGTAGTAGAATAGAAGTATAACATCAATGTGTTTTTTTTTTTTTTGAATATTCCGCTCATGTCGACCGTGCCGAGAGAGCGTTAGCAACAGCAAGTCCAAAAATGGGAGGAAGTCCGCATTGTGTGTTTAGCCATCACTCCCACTGCTTCATCAAGGTGTTGGCCTCGATCTCAGCGTCGAAGTTGACAAGGTGTGTCGAGTGGCACCAAGGCTTGATCTCCTCTTCTTTGCGAATGGTGTTGGCAAAGAATGTGCACCACTTGACACGGGGATAGGTTTCGTTGATCTCAGTGCGAGTAGCTTCGTGAATCAACTGACCGAACTCCTTGACATGAGGGTGGAAGCCTGTGTTGTCGTAGGTTGTGGCCAGCTGAATGAGCTGCCCAATGTAGGTGATTGTTCCATCCACTCCCATATCCTCGTGTCGGATGATGGCCTCGGCAGCTGCCTCGGCCTGATCGACAGTAGCGCCAAAGTTCTTGAGGACAGAGAGAGCCTTGATACCACCATAGATGTCGAATGACATCCGCGTAGCTGTCAGGTTCTCCTCGGCGGTGCCGAGATCGTGCAGCAGGCATGTCAAAGCCCAAGTCACAGAGTTGAGGGTAGCAGCCTGCTGGGGGAATTGCTGCTTGGTAATGGCCATGCCTATTTATGCGTTAGCTCACAGCTCTGGCTTAGTTAGACGTGTAGCTCATACCGTAGAAGTAAACCCGCATCGAATGGTTGAAGGTTTCGTGGTGCAGGGTCTTCTTCGCGTATTCCAAAGTCTTTGCAACAGTAGGGTCTTCAAAAGGAAACTTGATTTCACCGAGTGAGAGAGGCTCAGGCTTGTTGATGAAAGGCTGATCACCGAAGATGGCGCCCGCATTGGCGGGCATGCTGGTCCATCCATTGGCTGCGGTATCGTGGTGGCACATGGTGTAATGAAGAGAGTTGGGAGAGTAGAGAAAATTTGAAGAAGTCTCAGAAGATAGTGGGTCAGTTTTTGTTTAAAGTCTTGTAGAAGATGGTTAAGAAGGCATCTGAGACCTGAGATGGAGGCTTTAAATAGTCGCCCTCCAGCAGAATCATCGAACAATATTATTAATTCATATTCTCGGCTCAGCACAAATGGGGCCTCCTTTTGACCGACTGTCGATTATCAACAACAAAAAACTCGCTTCATTGGCACAGATTTGCCAACGTCGATGCGAACTAGAAAACTTACCCGATTAGGACGTTGTGGCAGGTGGGGCGGTGGGCCCTCCCCGGGTGGCGAATGCGCGATGTCTCCCGATCTCTCTTTTCGACGCATACCTCACATCGTCGGACAATATTCGGGATTCTGGCATTGCTAAGCAATGACCGGTTTAGGAAGCTTAAGCATGTGGCGTTCAAATATACACGATGTGTGATCCTACGCGTCACCAGTACCGACACCTATCGGTGGAAATTTCGAGATGAGTTTAAATATTGAGGTCGCCCCACAGAATGCAGCACAGAAACAAACACATCACGTTGACAATCAATCTTCAATCCAAAGAATCTTCCACTCTCAATGCCTTACAATCATCTCGCCAATCCAGTGAGTACCCGATCGATATGCAAGTTCAGTCGCGTATGCTGATTCGGGCGAACAGAGCCCCATGGGGTTTGGTGGCTTTGCAACTACCTTGATGACTCTCTCGTTGTCCATGATGGGATTTCGTGGTGTGTCAAATCAGACTGTCTTCATCGCAAATCTTTGCCTACTTGCCGGGGTCGGGCTTCTCATCTCCGCACAATGGGAGATGGTGAAAGGGAACACTTTCGGATACACAGTACTTACTGCATTCGGTACGGCACATCTAAGTTATGCACTCAAGAAAAGGTCACTGACACAACACAGGTCTTTATTACGGTGGTTACGGTATACTAATACTTCCATCGCTGGGGATAGTGGAGTCATACGGCGGCGAAACAGCCGAATATCACAACGCATTCGCATTTTATCAGCTCGGTAAGTGCATTATATTCGCTGGCAAGGGAAATGGCTGATACGTTGTGTCAATAAAGTATGGTGCTTTCTGAACTTCGTCTTCTTCCTCGCATCTCTGGCAACGTGAGTACGACAAGCAACCCAAAAGTATGGCCCATGCTTATATTCCCGCAGAAACATTCCGAATGTTCTGGTCTATGCCGCCTTGGAGATATGCTATATCTTCAATTGTGTCGCTCACTTCGTGCAGGCAGATGGCAAATCGCTCTTAGCGGAGAGGTTTACGAAGGTAGCCGGTTCCTTCGGTTTTATATCAGCGCTGGCGGGATTTTACCTGCTGGCACATGGATTGTGTCAAAACGCAATCCCATTCGAGATTCCCTTGGGTGAAGTCCATGGGATTTTTCGACGCGCAGCGCCTAGCTGTAAGCCCATCGATGAAACTGAATGTGTCTGAAGATTTCAATTCGGTGATATATTTCAAGTCACACCGCAATCACAAACCCAGTGCACGGATGCGAGAGCGTCCAGACTGCCATCCATCCCACGTCAGGCCGTTGGCCATGTTTTCCCGAATGTATACCCAGACAGCCTTCACAACAAAATCTTAGCAATTTTAATCCCTCCAGGGCTAGTTCCATCACTTTACTAAGTTGAACTGAGGTCGGGATGCGACGGATGCATGATTGGTCACATTAGCGCCTGAATGCACTAACTGATCACAGCCTCGCGTTGGCGCCTACTAGTTAGGTATTTTACCCCTCTCTATTCCGCCCCTCGCCAGAAAAGCCTAGCTTATAACTTTGGACTCGAGATTCTATAATTTGCGTCACCATCATTGCCACCAAAGTCGGATATAAGGTTTATGCAATATCTATCCAAATGGATGGTGTATCCTCGGCGGCGAGCTTGATTGCGATCATTGAACTGACAGGAAGTCTCCTGAAGATTTGCGGGAGCTACATTCGAGAGGTGAATGATGCACGGGATGAAATCCTCATCTTGCAGCAGACGATTGCAGGTCTTCAAGGAACACTTCAAGACATGCATGAACTTCTTCAAAGTACCAATGGAAAGTCCCTACCGACCTCCTCCCGACTGGTCAGCACTATTACCGACTGCCTCACCGATCTTCATGCGTTGCAAAAAGGACTTGATCCAGGCACAGGGAAGAAAATGATGAGAAAGATGGGATTACGAGCCTTAAAGTGGCCCCTAAAACACGCAGAGATGGAAAGCGTTATTCAGAAGGTCAAGAGGCATAGATTATCATTTTTATTATCATTGCAGGTGGACCAGACGTGAGTTTGTTCGAGAATAATCTTTTGTCTCTGTTAGCTGACTTCAATTGTGTATAGTTCTCTGATTGTCAACGTAGCCGAGAACACCAATCGCATTCACCATGATATGGATCTTGAAAAGTTGAAAGGCGCGATGGAGGCAGGTTTTGAGTCATTCTCCGATCGAAACGAGGACCAATGTCTCCAAGGCACCAGAACCGAACTTCTTCGACAGATTATGGAATGGGCTTTATCGCCTTCTTCAGAAACCATTTTCTGGCTGAAAGGAATGGCCGGGACGGGAAAATCCACAATATCTCGGACTGTGTCAAGGTCGTTAAAGGATACCAACCATCTCGGTGCCAGCTTCTTCTTCAAGCGAGGTGAAGGGGACCGCGGCAACGCTAAGAAGTTTTTTCCTACATTAACAAGGCAACTGATACTTGGAATCTCCGAGTTGAGGCCTGGTGTGTATAAAGCACTCCGCGATGACCCTGACATTGCATCAAAGTCGCTGACGGAGCAGTTTGATAAACTACTTCTTCAACCACTGCTCGATCTCGATCTCGATCAATCTAGCCAACAATCTCAAGCTACTGTGGTGGTGATTGATGCTTTGGACGAATGCGAGAATGACCAGGATATCCGAAACATCATTCGTTTACTGCCTCTTCTCCAGAAAGCAAAAGCGGTTCGCCTTCGAATCTTCTTGACCAGTAGGCCTGAACTTCCAATCAGTCTCGGCTTTGCGGACATCAAAAATCGTGATTATCAGGACGTTGCTCTTCATGAGATGCCCGAAGAAGTGATAGAAAGCGACATAAGTTTATTCATACGGGACCGATTCGCACAAATAAAACACAGCAGAAATATCTACGAAGACTGGCCAGACCACGATGTTATCCAACAATTGGTCACGATGTCCGTTCCATTATTCATCTCAGCAGCCACCGTGTGTCGATACATCGAGAATTCGAAATGGGAACCCAAATTACGCCTCGCAGAGCTTCTTACTGACCAGACCAAATATGTGTCGAGAATGGATAAGACATACATGCCAATCCTAACACGACTACTGGACGACCAAGATAGTGACGAGTCGGAGCAGCAGCAGCTCTTGCTGGAGTTTCACAAAATTGTTGGTGCCATCATCCTTCTTGCTTCTCCGCTTTCTATCAACGCGCTGTCGCTTTTTCTTGACATGGGGGCAGACCAGATCAGCAATCGGCTACATACATTCCAATCGGTTTTGAATATTCCGAGTGATCGGGATGAGCCAGTCAGAATCTTACACCTATCGTTCCGGGATTTCTTGGTCCAGTCTAGAACCAAGTTCTTTGTGGAAGAACAGCTTGGACACAAAAATGTTGCTGTATATTGTCTTAGAATCATGTCGAGTCGTCTGCAGAAGGATATATGTCACCTCACGAGTCCTGGAGCGCATCGGGCGGATATTGACCCTCAACATATCCAACATTGTATACCACCGGTGTTACAATATTCTTGTCGCTTCTGGGTATACCATCTCGAACAAAGTCAAAGTTTGCATTCCGACATGGAAAACGTGCTTGCTTTCCTCCAGGTGCACCTCTTACACTGGATGGAAGCGATGAGCTTGATCGGTCTGATTTCGGAGGTGGTGGCTACGCTTGATCGCCTTCAAGAATTAATATCTGTAAGCAATAGAGAAAGTTGAAGGTGATCTATACTAATTGATTTAGGTTAACGACAATCCCCCGTTATCTGATTTGTTGCATGATGCTACGCGGTTCATCCTCAGAAATACTCAGATAGCCGACAAAGCCCCACTCCAAATATATTGCTCAGGGCTCATATTTGCACCCCAAGGAGCAATAACTCGCAGAATGTTCGAATCTGAGATTCCTGGTTGGATTTCACAGTGCCCACAGGTGAACGAATCTTGGAGTGCACATTTACAAACCCTCCAGGGTCACAAAAGCGGGGTCATGGCACTGGCATTCTCACGCGACGACCGGCTGTTGGCTTCTGCAGGCAACTACCGTGATAGAACGGTACGTCTTTGGGATACAGCAACATGCGCTCTTCAGCACACTCTCTATGGTCATACTCGCATGGTCAACTCAGTAGCTTTCTCAAATGATGGCCGGTTATTGGCGTCTGGTTCCCAAGATTATACCGCGATACTCTGGGATACAACCACAGGGGCCCTTCGACACATTCTTGAGGGCTCCGGGGGCCCCAAAAAAACAGTGGTCTTCTTACACGACGAGTGTTTACTGGCATGCTGTTCCGATAAAATAGAGCAGTGGGAAACGACCACTGGTGCTCTAAAGCAGACAATCCAAGAGCGCAAACACTGGGCCAACACGGTAGCCTTCTCTTGCGACGGCCTACTGCAGGCGTTGAGCTTTTCTGGCGAGCCAATGCAGCTATGGGACATTGCTTCCGGCACTTTACTACATGCTCTCGAGGGCCACACGGGCTGGGTTGAATCGATGGCCTTCTCACACGACGGCCGACTACTAGCATCTGGTTCTAGTGATAAAACAGTACGGCTCTGGGTCACGGCCACAGGTACTATGCAATGGGTCCTCGAGGGTCACTTAGGCCTTGTTGGATCGGTTGCCTTCTCAAGCAACGGCCAACTGTTAGCATCTGGTTCTAGTGATAAAACAGTGCGGCTCTGGGACACGTCCACAGGCACTCTTCAGCAAATTCTTAAGGGTCATATAGATCCAATCCAGTCGTTGGCATTCTCATACGATGGTCGGCTATTGGCTTCCGGATCTTTGGATGAAACAGTGCGGCTCTGGGACATGGCTCTAGATATCACACAACAGACTCATAATGGACACGCAGAGTGGGTCAGTACAATGGTCTTCTCACACGACGGCCAGCTACTGGCGTCTGGCTCTGGCGATCCAACAGTGCGACTCTGGAACGTGATCACGGGTGACCTTCAGCAGACTCTTGTTGGTCATACGAGCTCCATCTACTCACTTACTTTCTCACACAATGACCAGCTGTTGGCTTCTGCATCTTGTGATGGCACAGTACGGCTCTGGGACACGGCCTCTGGAGCCCTTCAGCAGACCTTTGAGGGCCATGCAGGCACGGCTGAAGTATTGGCATTCTCGCGTGACGGGCGGCTGTTAGCGTATAGCTCCTCTGATATGACTGTGTGTCTTTGGGACATAGCAACAGGCACCCTTCGGCAGACTATCCAGGGTCATAAAGACTCCAACTCGGTCGCAGTAGGGGAATTCTCACGTGACGGCCGCCTGTTAGCGTCTGCAAATCGTTTTCATGATAGAATGGTGCAACTTTGGGACACAGCAACAGGCGCTCTTCAGCATACTTTGGAGTGCAATACAGGCACTATCCGGACAGTGGCATTCTCACGTGATGGTCGGCTATTTGCATCTGCAAGTGATTTTGGTGATGAGGCGGTGTGTCTTTGGGACACAGCAACAGGCGCCCTTCAGCATACTTTCAGCAGCACTCGAAGCATGGCCATCCAGAAATTAGCCTTCTCACATGATGGCCGCGTGTTAGCGTCTGCAAGTGGCTTCCCTCATGACACAGTGCGTCTTTGGAATACGGCAACAGGCGCTCCTCAGGAGACTTTTAGCATCAAGGGAAAAATCACTGAGCTTGGATTCTCTCGTGATGGGTTGTGCCTCGTCACTAACCTAGGTATCCTTGATATCCAAGCCTGGAGTGGCAATTATGCGCCTCATTTACCCGGTACGACTCCAGTGATAGGGATGGCTCCAAACGAAGATTGGATACTTGTGAATGGAGAACAGGTACTCTGGCTTCCCCATGATATGAGGCCTGATTCTTTTGCGGTGAAGGAAAATAGGATTGCCCTGGGGCTACACTCTGGTCAGGTCTTCATTTTAGGATTTCACGTCTAACATTTGCAAATTGCTAGTAAAGATGTTTCACAACCATTCAAGCCTATTAAGGCCACTCAGTAACACCGAATTTGTTTACCAGCGTCTTGGCGGCGGGACTAGGTAGGATTCCGTAGGAATGAACTACTAGTGAAAGTGCTAGGACTTATACACTATATCTAGGTAATTTTTAGAAGTTAGGCGCCCGGGGCCTGTCAGGAAATCATTCATAAAAGCAGCACTAAACCCGTTCAAGTTGAAAGCCTAGATATTAAAGTAAAATGACCAAGATCACAGTTCAAATTCCACTATACACTCTAGGCTTCTTACGGAGCGCTCACTTGACCGTCCACAACGGCATAGACAGAGCCTCGGCATTGACACTCATTGCCACTTCTAAGGACTCCCACATGAGTTTGATTTTGCAGGAATACCAGCCCAAGCAAGGTAACTGCATGAGATCAATGAATTTAATGGGAAGAAGTTCTCCTAACGCTCATTTTGGCCCATGGCGGTACTTCACATTGTAAATTTTCAATTTAGACCAGAGGCTGGACATTGATTTCATTGACTGACAGATATTTGTCGTGCAATACATTTGATAGTTCATTCAGGCTTCTTGCCAACCATCAGATACATGGGGGTAAACAATTTCTGCTGGCCACCTTTAACCAAGCAGTCAGCAGCGAGGGCCATACTATCAGCAGTTTTCTGGGACCCCTTAGGCAGGACGCCAACGGTCTCACCGAGACCGAACATGCGATGAGCAAGACCACGCCCCCACCAGGTCATGCGAGCGATGGTGAACAAGTCCCAAGCCGAGCCCATGTGTTTGAAAGATCCAGCAATAGGATAGTACCAGGGTGTGGCATCTGGGCGGGTAGCGAGATCCTCATGGTGAACCATTTGGAAGCCTGCATCTTGGAACGCCTGAAGACCTTCGGAGACAGTAACCATGTTGGAAATTCCATCGCCTTGCTCAATGCCTAGACGAATACGGCGGTGTTCCAGGTTATCGTTGTCGTAGTCATCTGTCATAAGCCATTCATAGACACCGAAAGTACCACCTGGCTTGAGAACGCGGTAGATTTCTCTATACACGTCCACCAGCTCGGGAGCGTGTACGGTTGCCTCGATAGCATACACAACGTCGAATGTGTTGTCGGGGAACTTCATTTGCATGAAATCACTCTTCACAAAGGCCAGATTGTCTGCAAGTCCCTGGCTCTCGGCGTAATGGATTGCCCGATCAATTTGATAATCGTTGTTGTTCAGGCCGGTGATATGGGCTCCGGTAAATTTGGCAATCTCGCGAGCAGGTCCTCCAACACCACATCCCACGTCCAGGACTTTCATGTCTTTTTGGATCCCGATCTCTTTGGCGAGATAGTGCTCATGGCGGGCGATGGCTTGCAGGAATGGCTCGCCGTGTGCGAATCGACAGAAATGGAACGAGGCGCCCCAACCGTACTCGTAGAAATCGGTCACTAGGTTGTAGTAGCTGCACCTCCAGGTAAGCGATCATTTTCTTGTAAAGGAAAGCGTATGAGAGACTCACTGCCGGGTAAGGGTCGCATATTCGGATCTCCGAGCCTATTACAGATCATTATTAGCTTCATTGGCGTCAAGCTATGAATTCTTGCTCTTACCTCGCGATCTGCATCCGTCTCATTCACATGCTCTTTGTTGTCCCAGTGTTTGAAGTATTCGTCGACGGCAGCCTTCTGAGCAGCAGCATCCTTGCCACGCATAGCTGACAATCCTCCACGAGCCTTAGCCGATTTGCCATGCAGGGCCTTGTTGAACTCTGCGTCGCGTTTGAGATCCTCACGCTCCAGAGTAGAGGGGGTCATGATGAGTTGGCTTCAAGTGGATATTGGGTGTTGGGGATTAGGGTATTGACGAGATTAGGGAAGGCCGCAGTGTATTCAAACTGATGAGAAAGTGAGCTAAGAATGACGGGAGCTCTGCTTTGAAATAGTTCAAAATAGAGTGGTGGAGTGAATCAAGATTTGGTGGTCCATCACTCCCGGTACTTCGGATGGTCCAGGGCCCGGCCGTTTTGGGCAGTGGTCTGAGGATTGTTTCTTCAGCCACCTTGACCGGAACCCTATCTGCAGGCTACAGCGCAGATAGGAGAGCCAACAGGAAGATCTACTCTCGTCTCAAGGGACTAGATTACCGAGAGGTCCTGAAATACCACACTGATCCTCCATAAATCAAAGCCGGTTTACACATCTCCTCGGCATTTACTTCAAAGCCTTCGTGTTCAGCACAGACACCATCAGTCAGTTTATCACCTATTGCATATACCAACAAAAGCCGCGCAGATTCTGTTAGGCAACCCTAGTCCCGAGGTCGTTTATTTTGATTGCCCACTATCGGGGGAACATGCCAAATGAGAATAACATACGTATATGCCTACAGAAATGGAATTTCTAGGCCCATGGAAACAGACCTCCAGAATCCTTTGGTTATTGCGGCTGAAGCCACCAATTATGGCGATCTATCGCGGCTTCAAGATTGAGACCTCGGGACCTTGGGATGCTATGGTAATAGGAAATGTCAGCCGTTCCAAGCTGCGTCATGTGACTCATGTCCCATTCGTGATTCCAAGTCGATGTCAATTTGTAGACTTAACAAAGACAATTCAGCCGGGCGATGTATTTTACCACTCGCTAAAATGAGCAAGCAATGATAGAGAAACCCTCATCTTAAAAAAGTGCCGACTCAATATGACAAGAATAGCTTCGGAAGGTGAATGAGACCCATAAAACTCTGTTGTCATGACGCTCTGAGTATATGATATTGCCAATCCCATCGCTCAGGTGACCCCGGACTATGATTTGAATTTGCTCGGATGTGACTCGCCAAGAAGTAAGCAGAATCACGCCGTCCGCGGGCCCCGAGGCCCAAAATCGTGATGACATAATATCCCGGCTCAGCGGGGAGCCGAGAGCCCTGAATTCGGCAAGTCACTGGCCCGGGATTACTACGGGGTGGTCTGATAGGCCCTACCTAGGCTAGACTGCACAGAATCGCTCTTGGGCACGAGAGTGTTTAGTGTTGACGCGTGATTTCTCTCAATCCATTTTTTAGCAATCATATGTACAAAGCTTACTGGCATTATAGTTCCATCTTCCTCGCTTGGCCAATATTTTTGATGTCGGAAGAGGCAATTGGCTCAAGCCATAGGGAACTGGCTAAGTGGGAAGCTGTAAGTACGAAATATTGCAATGGGAGGACTGCGATGTCCTTTGATGCCTCAGGTGTCTATGTCAAGCCGACTATCCCTGCCTCGTTTCTGACCTCGAGGTTTGCAACCAAAGCGTTCCTAAGATTCACACATTCTTTGAGATCCAGCTATTTTCCAGTGAGCCCACCCTATCGAATCTGCCATGCGTAGTTGGCCCTTTTCCGTAATCCTCGGCCTCGGGGCCTTGTTTGGTAATCAGCAGAAGAAAGAGTTTCAGCGGTGCAGCACTTCCAAGGTTCGCAACGGGGGCTCAAAGGTCTCTGCAGAGCGATGGTGGTGATATTTGACAGCACCCTAGTAGTTTTGTTGAAAGAGAGGAGAGGGAGGGAGAGACATCTCCTAGTAGCAATTCTCGTTTCTCCGAGGCTCTATGCTACTTGGTCTTCAGAGATACCAAGCTCGATCAATTTGCAGTACTGCAGAGATCAGTAAATTGATTCAATTTCGTGAGACTCAAATGTTGACTTACATCAAGCTTTGCCGAAAGTGCCTGGATTCTGTTTTTCGTGGTGAGGCGCATGAATCTCGGCGTATCACGGTACTTATCGTAGAGGGGATTTTTGGCACGAATCTGCTGACATTTCCTAGAGCCATTTTGATTGCCCGCCCATTTGCTGCAGCCAAATCTGAAGACCGCTTGTATGGCGTATATTGCATGCCTCCCGGCAAAGATGTTGAACCCCCTGAGCTCCTTCCCATCGATGTCGATCAAGACATATTGATCCGGTATACGATACCCTAAGATCAAGCTTGGCTCGCCACGTCCTTTCTCCAGTAGACCTATCCCGGTGACGTTAGTGTAATATGATTCGCGCAGGACATAAACCACTAGGCTGGAAACTGATGTATCCAACGGAACCGCTTGCACAGATGGTATGTGTGTCATCGCGCACTTCCCGCATACGCCCCGGCCCGGGGCTTGAACTTGACTGCGGACTCTGTCACATCTGGGCGTCAAAGAGAGAGTTTTCCACTTTCTCTCACAAATTAAGCTGGCATGAGATCTTATCTCTTCGTCGCTGGCCTTGGTCATTGAATATCTCTCACTCAGCCAACGATTATTATTCCATCGTCGGCGGAGCTCCCAAATATGTGCATCGCGCACACCCAGCTTCGCGGAAGATCTATATATCAGTCTCCAGTCTGTCGGCTTGGAGGCCTGGGACCCTTCTTTCGGTTCATATTGGGGCTCTGTTAAAAGAGAATTGAGGAAGCCGCGCTCTCCACAGGGTAAGAACCTTGTCTTCCAGAAGAGTTGATCTTCAAAGACTTCTCCCATCGATCGGGATACTTCTCTTAAGTTGAAGAATTCCAAGGTGGTCAGCTTGTTCGCTATCATAGATCTCAGCTCAGGAGGAAGCGATCGAAAGCAGTCGTCTTCAGAGATGAGATTATCTTGGCTCGCTCCTAGTTGTATCTCCGTGAGCTGAAAGTTGCTTCTGTCTCGAATGCCTTGAAGGTTTCGAATGTCAGGTTGTTCTAAAGGGTAAATGTGTCTGCTTTCCGCCATTTCTGTTGGCAAATCAGTTATGAAGGTCGTCAACATGAGCCTTGAAATGGACATATCCTCATAGGATGCATTTCTGCCTGAAGACGCAACATCATTGCAGATATCAAAAAGTCTATCCAGATCAATGTTCTCTTCCAATTGTCGACTCAGTATAGTCCAGCAACTCGCGTGAAATATATGAGCCCCGCATGGCTTCAAGCCGGACATGTCGTACCAAGGTCCAAGCTCTTCGAGCAATGCTGCTTTTTCGGAAGGTAGAGAATAGTAGTCAACCCTCTCTTGCGCATCACCCCAATCAAGATTGGCAAGAAATACATCGCTCAGTTTAGCACCCTTTGGGGTACGATAAACTCTAATAAATACATGAGTCCTCCTGACTGTATTTGATTTCAACGGGAACACTCACGCGCTCGATAATCTTTGAGCCAGTCATTGTTTGGGCCCGTTGCGTCAGACTCTGCGCCAATAGCATGTCCGCAGGAGAGGCAACTATCTTCACTGTATCCACGTCTTGGGGGTTCCAGGCTGACGGAGGGCGCCGTAGTAGCGGATGCTTCCCCCTCCGCGGCGGCAGGGTGCCAAACGATGTCACTCATCGTTTTCCAGATAAGCGAAGCTGGCGTATACGTCCCAAAGCTGCAGTTGAAAGACAATGCAAATGCTAAGTTCACCCCAGCAACAATTTGGTATCAACCCCTCCTGTAATGGTCATAATGACATTGAGACTTACCATTCCGAAGCTGCTTTAGTACTGGTCAACGAAGGCTTCTTGGTAACAGGCGGGGACGACATAGGAAACCTTAAAGAAAAAGGTACCACGCGCAAATTAACTCAGAAACTTGGGACATTGCCCAGGTCGAACACCCCCGACAGCTTCGTATAGTGACGCGACTAGGCCCACCCGATTAATGTGCTGATGCCCTACCGAGAATTATTATCTGCAGCACTCACGAAATAATCTCAATGGACATTTGAGCCTGAAGATTGGTCTCACCACTGTAAATGGTCTCCTTAATCTCCTTCGGAATAGCGGGGATAGCTTCATATGAGAATTTGGACCATGTGTTGAGTAGACAAGGACTAGATTATGTTCGAGTTAGTTTAAGGAATGATTAAGACACGGCGTTTGCCCCTATCTGGCCGATCGTCGACATTGAAATATTTTGGAGCTAACTTGTGGGGGGTAGATGGCGGCGTTGTAGGTAAGAGAAGAGGGCGACAGAGTTGATTCTGGTGCGGGACGTCGGAATAAAAGCTCTGCAAGAGTGTAGCGCATTTTCAGGATCACTGGAGATAGCGGTTCTCAAGGCAGCCCTGGAGTATTGTTCCCAACCTTGGAATGCTCCAAGGCTGTCGTTCTAATGGATCCATGGATCGTCAATAGAACGGGCCAGTGCATGACTGTCAACCAATGAGACGCCTTTCTTGGGTAGGAATGGTTTGGCGCGCCCCACCTTCCGGGTAGCTGCGAGATCAAACCTTGGAACAAACACGGCTTGACAACATCCATGGATGAGCTCCTAGAGATCATGACAGTCCTAGTGCCCTGGAGCGTGTAGGGATAGTATACAGTACACTTATCCTACAGATTAAGGAAACGTTACATACAAAGACTCATCCGATGCTCAATGGGACATACGGAGTAGACATGATTTCATTGGTGAATCAAAAGTAAAAGCCAGACGGGGCCTCGAGAGATCTCGGAGGCTCGGGTTGACCACCTGGACAGGTGCCAGGCTGAAGACCCGGCATTTACTCGCGAACTAAGATGCACGACCATCTGGGAAAACCGTTGATAGCAAATAATAGCCGTCGAGTTACTGCATGCACAAGTCGATAATCTTTTGGAGTGACACAACAGTCAAATCAACGTCTGTCAGGGGATCAGGCTCCTCATAGCCGGTCGAAGACAGCGGGAAGCGGGCGTAATGAATGGCCCGTGTGATATCCAGGAACTTGGTGGCTCGGTTTGGCTGTTGTGGATCCATCTGGCCCCATTCAAAAAGTTTCTCGAAGATCTCTTCCGCAACTTCTTCGCTGACTAGTCCGGCAGCCCATTTATGTGCTAGCAACCCGTCTAGATTCGCACTTAACAGCTGCTTCAGCGTCATAGCTTCCTCACAGTATTCGTCGAGCGTCTTTTCTCCATGTCGCAAGGTCATGAGCTGGTTGATCGTCTCGTGGTCGTTGAGAGGTCTTCTTTTGAATGGGAACTGTTTTTTCAGTCGCTCTGACAGGGCACCGAAATGGAGTTGAACAGTAGTGTCAAGCGTGAACGCGAATGCTGCTGCTGCGCCAGTGAGCCCTCCGCGGAGGGTTGCTCCCCGTGCTTCATGCAACTCGTCGGCTGTCAAGCCTCGGCCTGCCCAGTAGAACTTGCACAGCGAAATGTAAACGTCGACAACTTCTCCCGGAAGACCGGCGAACGATGGGGCTTCTGGAGTCATGGTGGCAGATGACGTTTCTTTGTCTGAGTGGATGCTTGTGGGTTTGAATTTTGGATCTGGCAGGATGGATAATGTGTCGAACGATGGCGTCCACGAGTGAGTCTGTGATGAAGTGGTTTGGTATGACCGGACTGTTTCTTCTCAGCCGCAGCTGCTAGAAATGGTGGGGTCTTTGTTTGACTTGGTGATGGGGGCAGTTGAGAAGGGTTGTCGTTCCTGAGGCCTGACAATGCCAACGGGACTGCTTTCCTGCGTTAATCACCAGAGCACATCCCTTTTGTGGTCTCCAGGTTGAGCTTCAAGGATTTGAGCTTTGTGTAATTTAAGTCTGATGCCTCCGTGAACTGGATATTCACGAATCTCACATGATTTTCACTTGGGTACGGAGTTGAGACTACATTGCGTGAAAGCAGACCAAGTAGGTGCCTTAGGCAGCTGGAAGTCACTCGACACCTCTCCATCCATGAACCTCGGGATCCTCCAGAGGTCCCGGGGTGACAACCTAATGTTCTTCTCATCAATCCATGATAAAACTACAAGTTGAGTTTTCAATGCGAAGAACTGTGGAGCCCTTACGTCCAACGAGGGATCAAACGTGATCAAGCCTGAATATGCATTACGTGCGAAGTGCCAACCTTGGAACAGTACTGCACTCCGCAAGGGGCTTTATCTCTTTTCACACTTGACCTTAACCTCTAGATCAATCATCTTCTCGGCCTGCAGGCCCACCTCTGTCTGCCTTACGTCACAGTGCAACGTGAGAATGCGTTATGGATATGATATATCCAAAAGTACGTGAAGGACAAGACATCGTTGCACGAAATGAAGGGCTTTTGCAGGTGTGCTCCATTAATCGACTCGAGGCATCGGGTCAACATGAAGGTTGGGGGTCAACCCGCGTCATATTCTCGGATTCGACCGAGCAATTTGAGCACGATCGGGGATCGACCGATCTATCATGAACCTCAGCATGTCTTTCCAGGGACAAGACTGGCTGTTGAAAGGGAGTCTGACATCACTTCCACATTCCATCTTCACAGGCCACACAGACCATCCTTGGTGTCTGCTGAGCTTTTTCTTCTCGATAAATTGAAGAACCCTGCCATAGGTGAACCGTCAACAATCGATATCTACTTGGAAAACGTGTTTGTGTCGCACGGGATACTACAAAACTTCAGAATTGAACATTGAACTCAATTATTGACATATAAATTCAATTTCTTCGTGTTTCGCAACGACAACTAAAGAATCCATCATCTCTACCGCTGCAGCTCAAACATAGCCTGAGATGAGCTCTTCGTTTCAAGTCTCCGAGCATATTATTGATGCTCAGCATGTGCGAGACTCAGCTCAAGCGACAGCGACTCCAGACGCCAAACTGAAGCTCTGCATCAAGCAATACACACCGCTAGACAATTTCGACCCCCAGCCTGGCGACGTGACCATCATCGGTACACATGGAACAGGGTTTCCCAAGGTACGCTCACTCCATTTCAGAAGATCATATCATTGAGACCGGGGTAGGAACTATACGAGCCTTTGTGGGAAGAATTGCTTGCTCGTGCAAATACAAATGGATTTCGTATACGATCTATCTGGATTGCAGACAGCGTGAACCAAGGGGCCAGTGGTATTCTCAACGAAAAACAATTAGGAAGCGACAGTAGGTGCCCGGTTGATCTTGAACTTGCCAAAAGCACATCTAATCCCTCCAGTATCATGGTCTGATCTTAGTCGCGATCTAATCCACATGGCCAACCACTTCCGCGACCAAATGCCACAGCCCATCATGGGTATAGGACACAGTCTCGGGGCAACACAGCTGTACGTACCCAACACTCTTCCATAAAGAACGACAGCTCATTCCATCCAGTATTTTCGCCTCATTAATGCACCCACGCCTTCTGTCCTCCATCATCTTACTCGAACCATACGTTGCCGTCACACCCCGCACAACGGATGAAAGGAAATTGATGACCCTAGCAACATTCCGACAGGACATCTGGCCATCGTACACCGAAGCCATCCAAAAAGCGCGCAAGGCCTTCAAAGCCTGGGACGAGCGCGTATTTGAAAAATGGACACAGTTCGCATATCGCAGTCTCCCCACCGCCATCTATCCATCCTCGCAACCGGGCTCCGTCACACTAGCAACTTCAAAACACCAAGAGCTAATGGCTTATGGGTATCCTCGGCCTCGGGCACGCACGCCCGTCATTCTCCCGGGAGAAAAGGTCGATCAGGGAGCTATAGATGCGTTGCCGGAACGACAGATCTATAGGACTGAGCCTCTTTTGGCGATGAAGTTGATTGGGCATGTTGCTCCTTCGGTGCTTGTTGTTAGTGGGGCGGGAAGTAGTCTTTATGAGGATGGATCTCATGAGAATGTTGCGCGCGTTGCGGGGACTGAGTTTGGGGGTAGTGGGGGGATGGAGGTTGGGCGGGTGCGGCATGAGGTTATTGGCGAGGCTGGGCATACTCTGCCGTTTGAGAAGATTGCGGATACTGCTTCGGTGGTGGCATCGTGGGTTGGGAAAGATATGCGGCAGTGGCGGGAGGATGATGATAGAGTGAGGATGGAGTGGGGAGGGCTTTCTTTGAAGGAAAAGACAACGTTCTCGAAGGAGTGGTTGGAACTTATTGGTAGCCTACCTGGCTTCCAGGGACGCTCCAGGCTATAGTCTTGGTTTCAGGGTCATGGTCTAACTTGGTAAATTGTTCATGTTGCTGTATATATAGATGTCAAGTCGGGATCGGGGCCAAGGAGGGACTCTCTTCACGCAACCTCGGGAGCTTTTGAGAGAGGTCAAACAAGAACAATGATCCCAGGTCATCCCGAGTCCACGCCCAGGTGGATGTGGCTTGGGAGGTGTAGACTCTTGCGACGTAACATGCGTGTCCCGAGGTCTTTGCTCCTAGTGCGTGATAAATTTGATGGGATGGCCAATTCAAGATCTCTGATATTGCACTTGAATCCAATCTGTATTATTTATCAGACACTAGACTATTGTAAAGGCAATAACTATGATACAGCATATAATAAGATAGATGAAATGAGGATAAGACCTGAAAGAAAGGGTGCCAGACTCGACAGTAAGAGACACGGATGCGTACCGAGACTGCTCCGCCTCATGAAACTCTGATAGGGCAATTGATCACAAGAAAGTAAGAGTAAGCTCAAGCTCCATAGACAAAAAGAAACCCGCTGTAGCCCATTCAATAGGCACGAGGGTATGAACGCCAATCCTTTTCCCAGAAACTCCGAAGCGCATCACGCGACGAGCAGTCGAAGTGCATCATCAACCTGGGTATATTGAGCGAAAGAAATAAGGAAGTAGAAGAAAGAAAATGAGAGCACGGTTGGTGCAGATCAGTCACGATCAAGGCTATACAGAGCTGCCCAACGCAGGATCCAATTTTCTGCGAGCGGCAAGAATGCTCTTTAACGAGCCCAGCCAGCGAGCCAGTGACTCTTCGTCTGGTGCGCAAAGGCGGTAGGTCTTTTCCTCCGCGATGATTTGCATGCAGAGTTTCTTGGACCTTGACATGGGGTCCACCTCGGCGGCATCGAACACCTGGGCCATGGGGACGATCTTGAGGGCGGAATATTCCGATTCATCTTTATAGAAGGCTAGACTCTTCGGTCGAAGCACAACCCAGAGTCGCTTCCACTGGCGCACGGTCCCTTGAATCCGCAGCCCCTGCAGGTACCCCTGGCAGATGACCCGCTCTGGATCGCGCAAGATTCCATGGTCAGTTTGCTTGCCTGTGTCCCGGGGGAGGGTATTGGATGGCAGAGACGAGGAAGGTGGGAACGCGGATTTCTCCTCCGGGGCAGAAAGAGACAATGAATGTATGGAGGGCATGGATCGTAAGTGGCGATTACGGGACGGGGTGGGCCCATCGGATAACTCTGAATGTGAAGCTACTTCGTTGCCCGAGTAATCCTGAATGTAAGGGACGTTCTGGGCTCCGACTCGCGGGGACAGTGCGTGGCGCGGCTCTGGAGAGCTGGCGCGGCCGGCGGGGTCGAAGTCAGAGTGATCGGTTGTGTCGTCGACGAGCTGCTTGTTGATAGTTGGGGTTTCCCGCCTGGTCAAACCGAGGAAGGCTCGCTCGTCCTCGTCGTTGGGCATGGTTGCGCGAATGCGTGCGATCCACTCCTCGGCATCGCGTTCCGTCGGGGCCTCGAAGCGGTAGTTCGTGGATGGGGTAAAGACGCCGAAGACATGGCGGCGAGTTGATCGGGGGGATTTGACGGGTGCGACTGCAGTGACTTCGGAGAGGGAGAGGGACACTCGTAGGCGGGTGGTCTCTTCGTCCTTGTAGACGGAAAGGAGGTTTGGCCGGAGAACGAGGTAGGCGGGCTTCCACGAGGCGCGGAAGACATGTTTGTGCTTGACTCGACGGCAGACCCTTCCGGTCTTCAGGACACGGTCAAATTCGAAACTCCCGTTCTCATTGACTGGGGAGAAGGGATCCTGATTCGCGTTGCGACGGAAGAAGGATGAGGGGCCAGGCTCCGGGAGCTTGATCGCAGGCGTGCTCGCCGCGGGTCTGGAGAGGACCGCATTCATACTGAGGATGGGTTGGAGAAGAAGAAGAAAACCCGAGAAAAGGGGGAGCCCCGCGGTGATAACCCCATGAAGAAAGTTAAGAGCAGCGCATGCGGAGGCGATGACGGTCTTGGCCGGAACCAAGCCTTTTGGGGTTCCTTGGGGCCCTTGCTCCGATCGACATTTAATTAGGGCACATATGAGGTGTCCTAGTGTTCTAGTACACAATACGAAACAAGTGCCCCCTTTCGAGTAATTCTGCACACTCGCAATTTCCAGAAACCGTCCAGACTCGCGGAAATTAACCCCCCTTTGCGATCCAGTACAGTCACGTGGGGCTCTAGGGGGTACCGGGTACTTGTTCTAGAGCGTCTGGACACCGTAGCCTGTGTGGGATAGAATGTACCTGGTACCTAAGGTCAATACATGATACGCCGTTGTGCGCCAGGTTGAAACTCGCACGCGCCGATCTCGTAACGGGCTGAGATGATTTGTTCTCGATCACCTCGGAATGGTCAGAGTGTAAGACAGCTTAACTCAACATTCAGATCAGGTTTCAGGGTCACGGTAGTGGATCATGGACATATCTCAGATAGGGCTGGATCTGAGTCGAGTACTCTCCTGTGTAGAACAACATAAGTCTTGTACACAGTGCTGACAGAGTACACAAGCACAAGCATATTTCCTAGATGAGTTCAGAATCTCGAACCTTTCGCCTAAAGGGGGCCAATACCGGACTCGTATGGCATTCTGGTCTTCCTAGTATGTAGTCCTCTGTAAGGTTGTGTCGTTCATTAACTTGCATATTTACTACAATGTACTCAGGACCACCTTGGAATTGTATGTATTATTTCTTACAGGCCCCGTCTAGACCAAATAGTCCATGGCAAATGGTTATATTTAACCCCAAGCCCATGAGGATCGACCATACCGTACCAATACCACCCAGTACCCAGAATTGCTCGTCCCGGCAAGTAACCAGGGGCAAAATAACCGTTTTGACGTGACACCCAGGGAGGCGCAAGCGTTGTGGCCTCTTAGGCTTGGCGAAGTTCCACGCCCATTTCCATCCCCATTCCCTCCATCTTCCTTCCATCACCCGTCCATGTTCTCGACCCTCCCCCTGTGTACCTTGTTGTTCACAGTTGTCTGCGTTGCTCCCGGCGCTCTCCCCATTTGACCACCGTGGGACTGAGAAAGTTGGGGGAAGGAAAGGAGGCATTCCTCCGGCCACTCGTTTTGCTGTCATTTTCTCCCATTCTCACTTCTTGCGATCCTACGACTGGATCTCGCCCTGCTCTGTAGTCAAACCCCAGACCGTGCGCCGACCCCCTCTCTCCCGAGACGGACCCTCCTGTCTCTGATCGCATCTCCGACACGATTTCTCCACCATCTCCTTAACAGCCCTGTGCTGTCGCTTGGGTCGAACACTTGACGCTACTCGCACTTGTGGCCTCTTGCCAGAATCGCACCCATGAGCTTCATTCAACGAATCACGAAACGGCTGCCCAGCGCGCCCAGCCTGCCGTTGGAGGATGCCCCCAACGAGAAAGGCCGCCTCCATCCTAGATTCGCCTTTTTCCGACGAAGGATCCGCCTCAAGGGCAACTCATCTATTTCTATACCCCTGGGGCTTGTTTTACTATTTCCATGTCTTGTAATTGTCCTGATTCTGCTTCTGTTTGTGCGACACCCTGCCTCCCCCGGGGGCATCTTAATTCCAGCGGGCACTCCGCCTTCCATCCGGTTCGTGCATCCCCCGAAAACCGTTGATATGTGCGAAGCTAACATGGCGCGCGTTCTAGAAAAATCAGTGAAAAACACGATAAGGTCTTCGCTACGGGATGTATGCCCATTGAGCCCGAGGAAATCGCAAAGGCCCCCCGCGCCAATGCCGCCTTTGTCGTTCTCGCCCGTAACAAGGAGCTTGATGGTGTCATTCAATCGCTCAAGTCGATCGAAAGACATTTCAACCGGTGGTGGCACTACCCCTATGTTTTCCTCAACGATGGTGACTTCGATGAGGATTTCAAGGCTACCGTCAAGAACTACACCAGCGCCGATGTGGAATTCGGCAAGATCGACAACTCGATGTGGGGATTCCCCGATTGGGTCGATCACGATGTCGCCAAGGAGGGCATCAGAAAGCAGGGTGATGCTGCCATCATGTACGGTGGTATGGAAAGTTATCACCACATGTGTCGCTTCTACTCAGGGTGAGTCTAGCTGGTGAATATAGCGGTCTGGATCGTCCCGCTAACTTAATTAGACATTTCTACAAGCATCCTTTGCTGATGAAGTACGAATGGTACTGGCGTCTGGAGCCCGAGATCAAGTACTTCTGTGACATCACCTAGTAAGTCGTCACTGAGCCTGTCCCCATCGATCCCAATTTTCTGACCCACCTTTCCAGTGATCCATTCCTCAAGATGGCCGAGGCCAACAAGACATACGGTTTCACAATTGCAGTCAAGGAGCTCCGAGAAACCGTCCCCAACATCTTCCGATACGCGGCCGCCTACAAGCGCAAGAACAACCTGAAGTCTAAAGGTCTATGGGAGATGTTCTTGGAGCAGCCAGAGAAGCCCGAGGTTCCGCCTGAGGAAAACAACCAAGGCAAATTGCCCGACGAAATCCTGCAAACCGAAGCCGGTGACAACAACCTGAAGGACATCGACCCCGAGGCTATGGAGGGTGAAAGCTACAATATGTGTCACTTCTGGAGTAACTTCGAAATCGCCCGTCTGGATTGGTTCCGCAGCAAGGAGTACGAAGACTTTTTCACCATGATGGACAGAAGCGGTGGTTTCTGGAACGAGCGAGTAAGTTATCTTTCGAATTCAAAAGGAAGATTTGTACTAACTGATTTGTGTAGTGGGGTGATGCTCCTATTCACTCTCTCGCCGCCGGTGCTCTTCTCGCGCCTAGCGATATCCACTACTTCCGTGACTTCGGTTACCGCCACACCACTATCCAGCACTGTCCTGCGAACGCCCCAGCCCGCCAACTTACCCGCATCCCCTATCTCGAGAAGACTACCGAAGATGAGAAGAAACGCATCGAGGAGGACGAATACTGGGCCAATGCCGACCAAGTCAAGGAAAATGGCGTCGGTTGCCGATGCCGTTGCGACACCGACATTGTCGATGTCGAAGGCAAGCAGGGCAGTTGTCTTCCCGAATGGGTTGAAGTTGCCGGTGGCTGGTCCTCGCCATAAATCAAACCACTGATGCCGTGGCGCACAGTGCCCGTCCCAGCTGTGTTTCTTTCCCCCCTTGTCTCTGTTCAACTGCACGCATCACTTTGGTGCACCATGGGAGTTTTCTGCTGAAACCTGTCTGCATGTTACGTGGTCATGGGGCTGTTTCTTTGGGCGGCGTTCAATGGATCTGACGGCTTTTTCTTGTTCGGAGGATGGTACTACCTTCCGATAAACACTCGACACATTCATCATGCTGTGGTACTGGATGGCAATGCATCTTTTGGTTGCATCTGGGAGAACGCACGTGCGCGCTTGACAATCGAACCTCGCTGGATTTTGGAGTCTCGAATGATCTTGAAAGATTATTCGAATAGCGCTTATATCAAAATTCGCCTGGTTCTTCTTTATCTCCACCAAGACCTATCACCCACCGCTACATCCGTGTTTTCTCAAATATTGCTCGATCACAGCGATAGATAGGACTTGATCAGGAGGTCACGAGCCATTTTCTATCTGTTTTCCGACTTCAATTTCCCCTGTCTACGCCACCTGCTCTCCACCTCGACCACCCTTCTGGCAGATCAGAGCCACTTCCCGTTTCCCCGTGTGCGCAGTGTTTGCGTGGTTGCCCTCCAGCATGCATTCATGAAATGTACATACCTTTCCCTTTAACCTCCTCTCTACACATCCCTGACACCGTGGCACACACGGCTTGTTTTCCGCATTGTCTTTTGAATCCCGCAAATACCAGATCGAGCATGGTTGTCTATAGAGTATGGAATAATCACCAGTTGAATTACGTGAAGAATGATATCAGTATAATGCATTTTGTTTGATTCCAGACTGATTCCATGGCATTTCCCTTGACATGTAGGAAGCTCGTTTCTGCCAATTGTGCAGCTCGCGTGTCGAGTTGCCAGTTTCTATGCTCTCTAGGTAGTTATGTGTAGTCTCGATTCGCCGCTGGAAGATGGCCGAGCCATGCTTCTCAAAGAATTTCAACCTCACGATGTATGAAAAAGTATCACGAGATTCCACCTTTGCCAACTACTGACCTCGTTCTCGAAAATGGCATTCAATCTCAATGTAGATCTAGAATTTCTCTCATACCGGCGATCAACCGCACCAGACGATCAGTGCACTGAAGATCACGATGAAGCGGCGGAGCTGGCCGTCCCGTCTCGATCCACTCTGATCTCTTCCATCCGCGATCTTGCGGATACGTGTAGATCCCAAGGTCGCCGGAAGATGTTCAAGATTCGACGGCGAATGGTAATGTTCCTATGAGTACACTATGTAGACACCAGGCCTGTCCATATATCATCCCGATTAAGCTTGACTCGATCTTTCAGCAATTCGTTGAAAAACCGCCGATGCGTCGAGGAAGGTCTCTGCTCGATAGCATTTGACACGGCTATCTTCCTCCCGGACATGAAACACAGCGAAGCCAGGTATGGTGATTTCGTCGGTGTCGTGGTTATCGCCCTTGACTAGGTATCTGATAGTGGCAGCTTGGTAGATCCGAGGTGCGACATAGTCAAAGTAGCGAACTTCATGGGTCATCTGGTCCAGCTGGCCAAGGACTGTCTTGAACATCTGTCGCACTTCACTGCCCTTGATGACGGGGTTATTGGCATATTGCATCTCCACGTCGTCTGTCATGAACTCGTCGAGCCATCGATCGGCATCAAGAGTGGCACTGGCTTGGTGGAACTGGATTCGAGATGTTAGTTATGTGGTTTTGTTGGAGAGCATTTAGGGCTCGCCTCTTCGAGCCATTTTGACACGGCTCCGTTGTCGAGTTTGGGACCGAGTGACATGGTGGAATGGAAGTATTGATAGAATATGTCAACAGAATCTCACATGGAAATTCATTCCTCTGCTTGAAGTCATTTATAGACTTGCAATGACCCCCGCTCCTTTGCGAATTGCTTATAAATTCGCAATTGACCAAAGTCCTGATAATGACCGACCCCCGACATTTGCTCGTGTATTTGTCATACGCAATCATTGGCGTAAATTCCCAATGATGCCAGTCGCCGTGGTTTCATACAGTGCGAGCTAAGCACTAAAAGCGGGAAATGGACGCTAAAGTCGGGAAGCCTGGCCCAAATGCGCAGCCTCCTGGCCAAACGCCCGAGCTTCGGCTCAATGTCGATAATGGTTGCCCGGGCTTGATAAAAGCAACGCAGAGCCGACTTTCTGGCCTGCGGAGACTCATTGGGTCCGACATCGATGGTTGAAGTTGAAATATCAGGTTGGGAGGAGCTGATGAGGCCATCTCTGTAGATTGTATGAAACTGTAGCATGTATGAAACTGTAGCATGTATGAAACTGTAGCATGTATGAAACTGTAGCTTGTATGAAACTGTAGCTTGTATGAAACTTGAAGCTCTGGATATATTAGTGAAGAATGGAATAGGCTACAGCCCTGGAGGGGATACCTAGGTATTTGGCAGATAAAAATCTAGGTAGTGATATGATTCCAAATCTGATATTCGATCATGGTGATGGTTTCGACTTAGCACTCATCGATGGAGTATACGAAGTAGTATGTTGATGGACGTGTAGAAGCAACGTCACAGAGCTAAGGAGTGGGGCGGTGGAGATCATGAAGTATATGGATATAGACAGTACTGTAGAGAGTATACAGTGGAGAGGATACAGTGGAGAGTAGAGTACAGATCAACAGTTAAGTAGAATATAGAATGTAGAATAGAACACTGATCTTGTCAAGGGGAAACAGCGGACAAAGAGAGTACCCAATACCGCCATCTCACAACCACCCCTCTCTCTCCGACAAGTACCATCTACAACCCCGCCATTACTTCCACTCGGATCTTCACTGACAGACACTTCACGTTTCACCCCCTTTCAACAAACCTGAATAACTTCACATCTCCTAACCCTTACTTTGACTGAGTCAGACCCGTGACGGTATCCATCCCCGCAGACCCACCTGCTTATCACTCTATTGGGCTTCTTGTCTTTGCTTAGGCATAGTATCTTCCGACCCTTTCCTATTCCCCCACATATTCTCTATCTTCTCCCTGGACTTCATGCTTGCTCCGACCTGACTTTTTCCTGGACCTCTGTTTCCGCCGCCGTTGACTCCATGAACTTATCCCCGACGATATGACTGACCTTCCAGAGTCGCCTCGTCGGCGTCCTCTCAGTGCCCAGCCCTTTTCGAGTCTCCAATATCCCACCTTGCCTCCAGCAACCGCCTCGGTGGAGGAGTGGTTGTCTCACTCCCGACCCACCAACATGACGTCAGATCGACTATCCGACGATGGCCCCAAATCGTTGACGGACAGCTGGGCCACACTGAGTGTGTCCGATATCCACTCCGAAGATGGAAGTCACTCAGAGCAGACCGATGTAGGCTCCTTGATCGATCAGGCGAGCCCGGACGATGTTGCGAGTCTCGACGAACGCTACAGCAGCAGCGAGGCAAGCCAGGATGAAGACAACCAAGATGACGATGGAATCGACAACGACGAGGTGCAGTGCACCGAGTCAGTCTCCCAGGAGCTGCCTCCTCTCTTTGCATCCAGGGGAAGTGCGATCGACGACAGCACGACCACCACAAAGCCCTCCTTCCCACAGACCAGTGATTCGATCGAGTTTGTGGAGCCCGAGATGTGGCCGGAGATCGAGAGGGTGGAGCTGAAGCATACCATCCGCATATTCGAAGGGGCAGCAGCTTCCGAGCTCAAAAGCCGACTGCCCTACAACCCAACCGACTCCATTCTCATGGCCACAGTTCAACAGACCATGACCAAACAGAGTCTCGATCTAGACAAGCCCTTCCGCGTGCTATATGTCGGAAACCCTGGGTTCCGGAACATCATCCTCGACAAGATCGGGGATGTCTTAGTATCGAGCTCCGGCGCTGGCTCCGAGGCGAGCTCCGCAGAATCCTCCCGCTACCACGTTGTACCAACCTCGTTCGGCGCTGGCGCCGTTCCCACCTTCGCGGAGCTCCTGCCGATCCATGTCCAGCTTGTGGTGGATGAGTGCGTGGAGGCCACCGCCGATCCACATGCAGACCGTCCTAATACCCTCAACCTACGGTTCAAGAACCGCCCTCCTTGCACTTCGGCTTGGAACGGGATTGACTACCGGGTCTCCTCCATATCTGACTGGACTTTACCTGATGTGGCCATTATCTTCATTTCTAACAGTGATGATAAGACTGCTTTGAAGACCCAGCGTCTCGCTCATGCTTTCCTAGAGCGTCATGGAATTCCGGCTATGGTGGTTTCCGAAGAGCCACTGTGGAACATGGCTGGAGAGGTAATCCCTCTCAACCATAACAGTCTGCACACCTGCCTGGAATCCCGGCATCCACTTTCCGGGGAGACTGCTGTTCTGCGACGGTATCCCATCGACTTGAAGACATTTGAGAGCATCACTGCTGGCCAGCTGAATCGGAATCTCGCCTCACTCGTCAGCTTGTATCCCAGGAAGACACACAAAGTCACTGCTCACACCTCCAAGCCACCCCAGCGGCATATCTTTGCTGATCTCGAGAAGTACCCTGCTAACTGGCTTCCGCCTTCTTATGCCTCCAAGGCCAGAGAACTGGCCCCCATGCTGCGTCTGGCTACTCTGGCTCTCATTTCCATCATTGCTATGTCTATTGGATATACGGCCGTGAAGGTTTTGGTCGCCTTCCTAGGACAGTTCATTGTTGGCACATCTCTTACCAGCGCATCCATCCCAGTCGCTTCTCAACTCTCCACCGCTTCCATATCAGCCCTGAATCGAGCAAATCAAACTCCTATCGTGCAATTCCCGTCGTCATCGGTGCGACTCTTGCACGTCCCCTCCATGGATAGCTCTATTTCCGCAGATGTCAGGTTGTCGACTATCTCATCGCCTCAAACAAAGACTGATCAATTTGAGTTCCAAGTCATTGGGGACTACCATGTTGTCATCAAGCCTCCCCAGAAGTTTGCATCGTCCAAAAAAGCCCCCAACTTCAATATCAGCGTTCAGAGACAGGATAAGTATCTTCCCTATGAGCTTTCAGCGCTATTTGAGGGCGTTTATACGTTGAAGTTGAATCGGGAGGATGCATATGGCCTGGTCAACTTGACCGTCACGCCCAAGTCCAAACGTCCAGTCAATCAGACCATCCACCTCGATTTTGGAACACCTTGGCTGAAGATCTCGAACTGGAAGCGCGCTGCTCGAGAGATATCAGCAAACATCGCCAAAGACCTGCACACAGCTCAAACCGGCTTGATAGAGGTTTATGGCCGGTTTTCTACCGACTTGGCAGTGATCATGGGCGATGTCGTGAAGAAGGCCCATTTCTTGCGTCGGGATGCGGAAACTCTACAACACGAAAGCCTGCATGCGCGCGATATCGTCCTGTCCCGCTCCAAGGAAATGTCCGAGGCCCTGGCCCGTAATGCCCGCCAAGGCCTCCAGGTCGTCTCCTCTGCGCTACAGATGCATACGACCAGTCTCAACAAGGAAGCTCAAGTATTCCTGCATGATACCTGGAGCCGACTCGAGAGCTCAACTCCCAAGCTGGATCTTCACGGCATGATGGACCGGATGCGCAATGCCCGCAAGTGCGAGGCCTTGGGCCGGGCTCAATCTAATGCGAAAGACATCATGAAGAAGATATGGCTACCTCAGTCCGACGACTGAACTGTTGCTCGCTCTAAATGATCATCAAATTTTCCCTTTATCACTATGTACTTGCTGTGTTTTTCTAATGACTTGGCTAAGGGACGGGGTGTTTTCTTTCTTCTTTTTTGTTGCCGGCGAACAGGACTGGGAGGAAATGGGACTAGGAACCAACTCGGACTATCTCGTCTACACAGATGCTATTATCTTAATTGAATGATGATCATTGGCGATATTCTCAAATTCAGGCGGAGTAGTTGTTGTTTGTTGATATTCGGCGTCCACTACTGGCAGACGAAGGCGGTGTGTAATTCTGCCGGCGATGGGACCCAATGTAGGTATTAATTTTTCCCCCCTCATCGCCGCTTTTCTTGATCAACAAACACCAACCATCTCGTTTCTTGTGATTCCACTCGTGTACCTGTGGAACCCTGCCATAATATCAAATTTTATCTTTTCAAACCGATCACCCTAAACACCATCACCATGTCTGACGTTGCCGAGACCAAGCCCGACCCCACCGTCGTCTCTGAGACCAAGCCCGAGGAGACCCCCTCCACCACCGGCGAGGGCGAGAAGTCTACCACTGAGGCTGCTGCCGAGACTGTCACCGAGACCGCTAAGGAGGCCGCGGACACCGCCAAGGATGCTGCCGTGAAGACCTCTGACAGCGTCTTCTCCATGTTCGGTGGCGGCCCAAAGAAGGAGAAGAAGGAAGAGCAGGCTGAGCCCACCGATGAGCCCTCCGGCTCTTCCAAGGCCCAGAAGGCCGATGACGAGGTACGTTGAAGACGACCGACGCTGGGTACACATATGGTTGTTAGGCGCGGACAGACTGGGAGCGGGGTCTTTTGTGCCCCTTTCCCCGTATAGTGGGGTCGTCGCAACCACGCCAAATTCTGCCCGGCGAAGGTACTTTCTGTCGCGATTACATACTAATCATGATTTCTCAATGCAGGACGAGGTTGAGCAGTCCGCCGATGTCCACTTCGAGCCCGTCATCCACTTGACCGAGAAGGTGGAGACCAAGACCAACGAGGAGCTCGAGGAGCAGTCCTTCAAGATGCGCGCCAAGCTCTTCAAGTTCGACCGCGAGTCTAAGGAGTGGAAGGAGCGTGGTACCGGTGATGTGCGTCTGCTGAAGCACAAGGAGAACCAGAAGACTCGCCTTGTCATGCGTCGTGATAAGACCCTCAAGGTCTGCGCCAACCACTACAGTAAGATTTCCTCCGCGCCCTGCTGCTGATCTGTAATTGGTCTCTGACATTCTACACCAGTTGTCCCCGATATGAAGCTCAGCGCCAACGTCGGCTCTGACCGCAGCTGGGTATGGAACGCCGCTGCCGATGTCTCTGAGGGCGAGCCCGAGGCCCAGACCCTGGCCATCCGTTTCGCCAACAGCGAGAGTAAGTTCATCTCGTGTCTGCATACAGCATCCGAATTTCGCTAACATTTCTCCAGACGCCAACGCTTTCAAGGACGCTTTCGAGAAGGCCCAGGAAGAGAACGAGAAGCTCTTCAACGCTGAGGAGTAAACTTATCTCTCTCATTGATTATTTCTCGAGGCTTGTCGGGCCTTCTCCCATCAGGAATTCGCTCTCGAAAATCACCTCAAATTCGCCCCTTTCCCCCCTTCACATCGTTTCACCCCAATTCACCCCAACCCCAACCCCTATGACGCAACGAGCGAGACAACAGTTACGAAGATGTTGCTTGCATTGCTGTTGCAAGCCATGCAGTCTACGAAATGGAGGGCAGTTCCCTGGTATCGGTGGTTTCCCAGTTTCACAGTTTGGCAGTAGATAGAAATTTCCCATCGAATATACACCCTGCACATTACCCCCATACCCTGATGATATTTGGAAAGCATCAAAAAGAGAAAAAATTAACCAAAAAAGACAGTACTTTCTGATGACCGAGAATACTTCCTAGTAGACAGTATGAAAGACGCATGTACATCCCGTGGATGTAAGGTGTGACTGGGCCCGTACTTGTGCGTATAAGAAGCTATGTCTGTAAATGTCGAAATACTCTCAGAATATATTGTGTAGTTGAAAGTGTAGAGACGACGCAAAGAGTGAAACGTGAGGCCAAAGTGCGAACTTGCCAACCTCACCTTATTCACCTTCTTCATTTCCCACCACTTTATCATTGGATCATCTGAATTGAACGCATTCAAAAGCGACCTTGTTTTACTTCATCTGAAAATCCAGGTAATTTTTCGCCGTTGGATGCTCCTGTCCTCGTTAACATCGCGTTACCAGAGCCTCGAACCTCCCACCGCGCAAACTTGTCCCGTCACTCCGCACGCCCCTTCAGTTTCGATCCTAAACTGAACAACCCGCGCACACCCCAAGCTCACAATCACTCAAGATGCCCGACGTGAGTCTCCATTCTCCTTTGCTTCGCTTTGAAGCCCCATTCCGAGGACCTACGCGGTGCAGTAGCTGGGCGTCTCGCCGTGGCAGACCTTCCTACTGTATCTTGGCTTTCGGGTTCGGCATGCGCGACAGCTTCGAGCTCAATTTCCTTCTTCTAAGCTAATCTGGGATCTTTCTCTCTTCGCTATATAGGTTAAGCGAACCGTTCGCCTCATCACCGAGCAGAATGTTATGTGCGTGCGCTCACTCTACCTCCACCTCTACCTCTCTCCCCGCCCTTGAGCCTCGCGAGTCCGGCCTCAGAAGCGCTCAACACGCTTCTTGCTACTCCTATACTGGGCGCTGGGCTTGGATTCGCCTGGGTCTTCGGCCGTAGGACTCAGGCGTGGTCATGCGCATGAGCACCAACGGACGCGACAACCACCACGTTCCTCCGCATCCCCACCCCTTCCTCTCCAACACACACAACTAGCGATTCGCGAATAGCAGCTGACATGGATTCCTCTGCAGAGATAAACCATCCGAAGTCGAGGGCTTCCCGCAGCGATCTTGGCATATCGAAGTCTGGCTGGTGAACGAGAAGGGCGCGCTGGTTCCGGCAAATATCTTCGACAGGGTCACTTTCCACCTGCACCCCAGTTTTGGTGACCGAGCCACTCAAGGTACGATTGGGATATTGTCGGACTTGCCGATCTGCTCGCGATAGAGCGAGCCTTGGCGCAAGTCCAGCACGAGCAGGAATATCATTTCATAATGGATCTGGTGCTGACGCAGTATTTTTACAGTGTTCAAACAGCCCCCCTTCCGCATTCAAGAAGAAGGTTGGGGTGAGTTCGATATGTCCATCGAGCTTACGGCCGACAAATCCTACACCATCCAGCATGACTTGAACTTTGCCCAGAACCGCTATGAAAGCAAGCATGTCTTGGTAAGATTCGAGATATTGATGTCTCAAGTGGAATGAGTTCTGATTTGTTGCTTGCAGACTTTCAAGAACCCCAAGCCGGCTCTCTTAGCTGCGCTGCGTGAGTCTGGTCCGGTGCCGGGTGATGAGAATGGCTTGAAGGCCAAGCGCCCCGCCGGTGGTGAGGAAAGCGCCAAGAAGAAGAAGCGTACCGACAAGAATGTATGTTGACACTGTGTTATGAGATATTGACCACAGAGCTGACGTTTCCAAGGTCGACATGGATAGACTCGCCGATGGGCTCCAGAAGCTTAACGAAGACGACCTCTTGCAGGTTGTCCAGATGGTTCACGACAACAAAGCAGCGGACTCATACACCAAGAATGATGTTGAGCGTAAGTTCCCTTCTGCCTTGATACGCATTATCTACCCAAACATACTGATGTCTACACATAGTTGGGGAATTCCATGTGGATCTGTACACCCTACCCGACGCATTGATCAAAATGCTCTGGGATTTCACGGCGGAGCGCGGTGCCCTTTAGGGGACCTGAAGCCATTCAAAATCAGGCGAGCGAGGGACATTTCGTCTGTTCTCGCTTTTCATGCTCATTCCTTTTCCGTCACCATACGCCTAGTTACTTCTTTATCATGATTTTACTTGTCTTTGACCCGGGGAGTTAGCGGACCGTCAGAGGAAATCGGATGGCTCTGGTTCTTATTTCTTTTGCTGTTTTACCTACCGCATCAATGTGCTTCCAAGGTTCTCTTCCATGCGGAGGGGAGAGAAAATGATCAAATTCGATGTCTTGCTTTCCTTTTGATGTTTGAGTACGGAGTATATGTAACGACCTGTCAGGCTGTCGCTGGTGATGGCTATAATCTAGTAACGCACTGGTCCCGAAGTCTTCAACCCTAGATTGACTTAGGCTCAGATCTTGAAGCTTGAACAATTTGATATATCTCCAGCTGATGCACTACAGGGTCTACACATGGGGTCTTGTACCATAAGATTGAGTTCAATGAAAGGAGAGGTAAATAACAGCATGGGATATCTCAAAACGTCAAGCCCGGTCCCCGCCAGGCTGCAAAAGTAGAGAAAAATAATCAGACAGGATAGAAGAGAACCATTGTAGAGCACCATAGTAACCAGACCACCGAGACCCGTTCACTCCAAGACCAACGCCGTGAGTCTAATTCTTTTTTCTGGCGATATATCCAAGTCGATTGCGAAGACAGAGATGAAAAGCATATAGAGACGATAGGAGAGCGAAATAAAAGGAAAGACAAGCCCTGTACATAATCACCAAGCGCACCAAGACGCCATGCTACCGTTGCACAACATGAAACAAAAGAAAGCGAATATCGAATTGTATATTATAGCACACGGTGCCTGGACAGGTTAGTGACTGGAAGGCAACCAGAATGGGGGATACACACAATTTCAACAGATCTTCCAAACTATCGGCGCTGCAACTGCGTCCACGAGGGATGCTACGCAACACATCGACGATGGTCGCGAAGACATCACCACCCCGGTAGGCCAGCAGAGCCGGAGCCTTGATGTGGTCCATCTCAGCGATATCTTGATGCATCTTCACAAAGCGGGTCGTGGGCTGTCGACGGGCAATTGTAACGAGGCATTCCTCAACAATGGCACTATCATCGAACTGGAAACAAGTCAGCGACGTCGAAGCGAGATTTTTTTTTTTAATTCTCAGAACATACCTTCGGATCAAAGATGCAAACCACAACCACTGTATCGGAAGTGACCTTCTCAATGGCATCGAGATACCCCACCGCATCAACGGTGTCAACCGAGCCGAACCGTCTACCCCGCGGACTAGGGCGGCGCTTATTATGATTCTGCAATTCGTGCATGCGAGACGCGCGCCACTTATTCATGAAGCGGGCTTCGTCGTCATCATCACTCGAAGAGGAATCACCCGCCGGTGACTCATCCCGAGTAGACTTGGAATTGAACGACGGGCCGTGGTTGATACCCGCTGCGTTGAGCAGGGTACGGCGGAAGGACTTCTTGCGGGCGCGCTCGAAGGCCTGGGCATCCGCGATGACGCCCTTGGGGCCGGTGTTGGCGTCGTAGACGGTGTTGGGGACGTGGTAGTTGGGAGCCCGGGAGGAGACCATGTTTTCGTCTTCGTCGGAGGAGTCGCCGTTGTGCTTGTTCAGAGGTTCTTCGTCGGAGTAGTGGGGGTCGGAGTCGCGGTCCTCCGGGTGAGAGGTGTAGTGTGGGCGGTTGTTCACCAGCTGGTTGAATTCTTCTTGGGCAGACATTTTGGGCGGGATGATGTTTAAAAAGAGTATGTTGGAGTGAATAGCCCCTGAAGTGAAACGGAGAGGCTGAGCAGGGCAGAGATCGCCAGGGTGAAACGGTGAGGTGGTCAGCCCCTATTGCCCCGTTTCAGACTGGCGGTTCCACTTGCAGAACATTCGCCAATCGTTCTGGATTAGGGCTTGATATTCTTATATTCTTATAGAGTGCAAGTATACTCCGTAGAGTACAAAGTGTTGCATCTGATTAGAGTACAGTAATATACTATACTATAGTACTTTAGTTATAGTACTTTGGTATATAGTACTTAGTATGCCTATATAATAACCAAGTATAAACTTGGCCTCTCTTAGCGTCGTTTCATCTTTTTTAAGCGCCAGCGAACACAGCGAGATTCTCGGACTCGATTTGGTTCTACCAGTCTTCACGCTGTCTCGAATCTGTCGTGGATTGAGCGGTCTGCTTCATCTTCTTCAAATCCAAGGATTCGTCACATTCTCTCCTGTTCCCGGCTCCTATCCCTCCCAGGTTTTCAGTTGATCTCCTTGTGAAATCGAATACGTATTCCCTCCGGGCGACTATCTACTTTTGAGTTGGGCGTTTCGGAAATGGATCCCGTCGATCCCTCCACTTCTCCATTGGCCTTCACTGCGTTCGTGGTTCGGCTCCGAGATCCACTGCCAACTGACTCCCATCTCAAACCCGCTAATGTGGGAGTGCCGCGCGATCAGCCTTTCGTCAACTCAATCGGCTCAACCGTATGCCTAGATCGGACAAGATAGACATCCTCGTCCACTATCATCAGCGCTAAAGGCTCTGGCCTCGGCTCGAGTCTGACGGGTGGATGCTGGGCCTTATTTTCGCCGTCAGCGTGCTAGCACATTGCTTGTTCTGCGGTGGGCCTTCGTATTGGCTTTCCTCCTGAAATCCCGGTGACATCAGGGTTTGAGTATGCAGACCGGGAATGCACTGACGTTCCTTGGGGTTTGGACCGAGACCGAACGGTCGTGTTTCAGAGCTATACGTGCTGGACTGGAGATTGCTCGACCTCTGATCCTCTCCTATCGCTAATCTCCGTGCTAGCATGCTTACTATAGTCCATCGTGAAAATTCTGGCCCCGCATATCTTCACTGATCCTGGCAGTGCTCCGAGCGTAACCGTTGCTATACGAGAATCGATGATGCTCTGGCGCTGAAGCGTCGGACGTTGGCCGATGTCCGATGTTTGGCAGTCCGGTTTCGTGTGACCTCATTTGACACGAGATTTGATATTGGCTTGGTAAGATCTTACTCAACTTCTCTGTGAGCTTGTCTCATATCCAAATTATGCGTTCGATCTACCTAGGGAGCACATGGAGCTCCTACTTTGTCCCACCAAGGCCGTCTATTCTTGGAATTGGCTTCCGAGATGACGGTCACTCGATCGATGTCTGCTAGAATTTAGTGGCTGCATAGAATCCGTTTCATATATCATCGAGCCTGCGCATATCAGACTATGAACTTGGCTGTTACCTGTGCCCTCGCAAGACTTGCACTCTTTACATCTCATCATCCGAGGTCTCACATGAGACGTCTGATACACCCACCCAAGTGGACACTCAATTCCTTCCGAGGTCTCTACTCCAGACTCTCTGAACCTTGGAAACCTGGAATCAGATATAACCTTGCCAAACACACCGTCAGCTCTCGTCTCGAGGTCCTCACCCTGAACGACCAAGGCCCCACCGTTCCTCCAAACCTTGGAAGCTCTCCATAGATCTTGAAACTCACCAACGCCCAGTGAAGACATAGGTCTGACTCCAAACTGCAAAAGCATACTCTGACCCATGACAATCCACCAAAGCAAACCCAATTTCATCCAACAAACTATCCCCTGTAACCGAATCCTCCGAATCACGACCAACAACAACACTCGAAACATCATCTCTTCTCGGCACCCAAGACCCCTTGACCTCCGTCCCAAACTCGGGATCAACCAACTGCGCCGAACCAATGCCACCGATAGTCGCGTTTTACCCCATATGTATAATACATACAGAGCAGGATTTCGAGGCTGATGGCGGAAGCTGCTCTTGCATCCATAGATGCTGAATGCGTACTGCGTGGGTTTTAGATCTCGTAGGCTCTGGGAGATGGCGTTCCCACGGTTTCCGGTGGCAGTATGGAGACTACTAGCGTTTGAGGCTTTGCTGCTCAAGTGGAAGAGGGCTCTTGCGCTGTTTAGGAATTTTACAGGTAGTAGTCACCGTAGGGGGTTGGTCCATCCATCCATGGTCATGATGGCGACGTTGATGGGTGCCTGCCCAGGTGCCAGGAACTTAGGATTGGGGATTCGAGGGAGCCCTGAGGGTATGGATATTCCCAGGTGGTTTTAAAGAGAGACAATCTAGCCAGGTTCCAACCTTGGAAGGTTAGTTTTGTACTAGGTAGGTAAAGAACCTTGAACTTGAAGGTTGTCCAGGTGTCGACCTTGGGATGAGACGGTCTTGCGGCATCTACCGACAACATTGGAATTTACGGAAGACAGCCTGAGGGACTACTTGGCTTCTCTAGGGCTGGATTAGAGACTTCTTTGCCAGTAGATGGGTTGGCATGACAGCTGAGGGCGGAGACTAGAGTCTTCTCTTACTTAGGGTTTATGAGTGACACATGGGCAGTGCTGATGCTCAGAGCTACCTAGGTACCTATGGAGATATATCGTGAGAGCACGTAGGTCTGATTTCAGGCTGACCCCATCCCCCATCCCCCATCTTCCGACCTCCGAGAGGTCCCAGACCAGGTCTCGCTCTATTTGAGTCTCGTTATTCCAACCTACAGCCTTGGAAAGTTCACGTAGCTTTGTCTTCCACCTGGGCAGCACTTGGGCATTCCAGCCTTGGAAGGTAGGGTATCAGTCTGCTGTCTTTGCCCAATTCAGGCTGTCCCCTGCGAATGTCCATGGTTTGGTGATATCTTAAATAACTGGACGGGGCGGCGTTTCCAAGGCTGATCCCGAGGTCCTGGCGTGTGTCCTGCGGAGTACACGGCTTATCGTTCGCTGGATTGCCTTACAGAGTAGCAAAGTTGGAGGCTTTAGAAAGGCTCATACAGAATCAAGGTCATTGATGCATGCCCTATGCTTGATGCCCACGCCACGCTTAAGATTGACAATTGCAAGGCACAATGAGCAACCGAAGACCCAAAGTAGGCTCTAGCGTGGAAATTGGAAGAATAAATAGGAAAAAAAAGTTCACAAATAGAAATTGGACTGCTCGAGACATAATCAAAATCCGACACCAAGGAATCTCAAGCAAAAGATTCCAACGCAAAGACAGTAGGTACAGCAGACTCTTTGTTGAGCGGCATAAAAAAAAGGAGAACGGATGAGAGGGGGAGAAATAATGAAGAGAATAATAAGCGCAGTGGATCAGCAGAAATATCATGGCCGAAATCCAACAGATAGGACCTCCTTTTGCCTGTGCCAAGAAATCACATACCAACACCGATGGGAAGGCCAGAAGAGAAAACAAGAAACTTAAAGGGGGGATAAAAGAAATTCAAGAAGAAAAAGGGATAATGGGGGAAAGGGGAGTCATTGAGAAGTTAAGGGAGAAATTCGGGGACCAGAGAGGGTGACGGCGGAAGCATCAGTTGGATTGGCTTGGTTTTGACCTGCAAGTCACTGTACAACCATCGACAACCCGACTAGTCGCGCTCTCGTCATGTCCAAACAAGTATTGTCATCGCTATCGTTTGTTCGCCGGGACTGCATCCCATAGCGCTCACCACCTCCACCATCCGTATCGCATGCGACGAGCCGATGTCTGCGCCGTGAGTAGGGTATTATCGTGGAAACCCCGACGGGTTCCCCGGTAACTGATTATTATCGTACAATGGCGGAGATTCAAACCATCGAACCTAAAAAATTTCGAAGAAGAGCATTGCAGAATGATCGACACGGGGTATCTTGCGTTTTGTTTTTGTTGGTTTACCAGGCCCAGACCTTGAGCTGTAATAGGGGAGCTGAATTAGTGGGTGTCCTTGAAGAAGGTAGCAGAGGCAACTTACGAGAGAGTCCCAGGATCCAGTGCACAGACTGATGCCGTCGTTGCTGACACCCAGGCAGCTCACACGGTTGTCGTGGCCACTCAAAGAACCAATCTTATCTCCACGCAGAACATCCCATACCTGCGATCCGGGGTTAGTTTCCAATCGCATTGCGAAACACGGATCAGCTTACCTTGCACTCGAAGTCGTCGTATCCGGCAAACAATAAGCGACCAGAGACTGAGAATGCGACGGAGGTGATACCGCAAAGAACTTGGTCGCTCTGAAACAAAGAATCCCACGTTAGCTTCCTTCCACGCAATCAATTGGTTGTACTCATTTACCTGGTAAGTGTTAAGTTCACGGTCGGCACGGATGTCGAACAGGCGGCAGGAAGTGTCGTCGGAACCGGTGCCGAAAGCGTTGCCATCGGGGAAGAATTGGACGGCATTGATATCGGACTCGTGGCCGGCGAATGTCTGCACGGCCTTTCCGGTACGGATATCCCACAGCTTGGCGAAAGCGTCGCAAGCACCGGAGACGAAGATGTTCTGGTTTGTGGGGTTGATGCTGATCGACATCACGTCGCCCAGGTGGTCGGCGAACTCAGTCACCTTGGTGCCGGACTCGATATCCCACAGCATACAGGTCATATCGCCGGAGGAGGTAATGATGCGACGATCGTTGATGAAGCGACAGCAGGAAAGGTATCCCGAGTGACCCGAGAGCTCGCGCGCGACACGGGTTGGGCCCTCCCGAGAAGACAGGTTGTAAATTGAACAAATGTTGTCGAGACCACCGCAGGCGACGTAGTTGCCGCTCGGGGCGTAGGCACAGGTCATGACCCAGGAGGAGCGCAGGGGAATCGCGTGGACCTTGTTCGTGGTGTAGGCGTCCCAAATGATCAGCTTTCCATCTTGCGAGGCGGAAACCAGATGGCGTCGGTCGGTGGACCAGTGCATGGCGTAAATCTTGGCGAGGTGACCTTTCAGTGTGCGTCGGGGCTTCATTCCAATTCGTGGTAGGGCATCGGCGTGGTTTTGCGCGACTTGACGAACTAGACGGGAGCATCAAAGTCAGTATGGGGGGTTCGTCATCCTTCAAGGTCGCCGCGTGGCAGGATAGCTGCCACTCTGCGTGCGAGAGCCTCGGTATCTTCAGACGTGGTGGGAGTCGTACGAGAAGTGTCGGCCAGCTCATCCTTTCTGCGCTTGATCTTGTCCTTCAACCCCTCAGCCTCGCGCCGGGCGGCCGTGATCTTGGCCTGCATCTGTTCGCCGCTCATGTCGGCCATTGTGTCGGTAAGGTATCTCGGAAGATAACAATGATAAAGTGGGAGGTCGGAAAATCAGAAACGTTGAGGGGAAGGGGGCAAAACGTGCGTGGGAGCGAGAAAGGGAAAAAGAAAGGCGGAATGGAGATTGATGCGCCTCAAGTCTGGATCATAATAAGAACAATCAGAGAGGGTGGGAAAAAGGGTAGGAATGGGAAGAAAGACCGACAGCAAAGGGACCAGGAGGAACAGGGGGTGAAGACCGAGCGAGGAGAGTCAGCGTATTACCGGCTAGTGGTAATCGATGACATACCAGACGCCATAAAGTACCTTTACCACTTATTTTCTCCCACTCATTCTACTATGTAGATAGTTCGAGTCTAATAGACCTTGAGAGATAAAGGGGAATACTTGATCCTGTCCTTGAATACTGGTCTCTTTGTTGCACGTACTATACTAGGTAAGGTCGTTCAGCCTCGTCTTACCTGTTCGAGCCGTCATTACCATACGTATCGAAACTTGATATGCAGATTTATATTGAGTCTGCAGTGCATAAGTATAAGAGTACTCTTTATAAAAAAAAATACCACCTCCTGATACTCCTCCGCCGTACAGGTATCGGAAATTGTGGCGCTGAGGATCGGCTTGGTGCTAGGACCACTAGCCCCAACTGAACACTGTTGGTCGCCGGCAAATCCTCCCGTTCGTCGTTAACCCGCGGCTCTGTGAGAAAACCGCTTCGCGGCTATCCGGTCCCGTTTTCCCCTTTTCCCAAATTACACTGTATTTTTCCTCGAGCTAACGGAGATTGGACTGGGTCTACGATGCTTGCAATCGTGATCACCTTATTCACAGAACTACATCTGTACTGTACTGTAATCTCAAGCCCTAATCATCCTGCTAGTCATAGTAGCGCACGGTCATGTCGCTGACTAAAGGCCTTTCGAGTGCCCACCTGCACAGTGTGGGCACCCGTAGGACATCCATATGGATACTAGGCAGCTCGAACATTGGGGACACTTGATGTTGCTAGGACAGGCAGTCTCGATGTGGACTGTCTACCGTACTGCAGTCTTCACTCGGCATTGGAGGCGTTCGGCTTCCAGATTGCTGGGAACCGTTAGAGCTGCATTTTGTAAATGAAGAACAGGGATTTCCAGACTCATGACTCGCTCACGATGTCCCCACTATATGGAACAATCGATTGTGCTGGGCCCCCTTTTTTCGGACCCAATCTTCAGACTTGCAAGGACGATCGTCATTTGTTGTATGTACACCAATTTTGGTGTCCTCACCACATGGAGGATTCGACGCTTATGCATGTATACTTATGACATCGCCAAGCTCCCCACTTTAGATCCGCAATATCCCATTCAGGACTCCAATCAGTAAGGAGTAGATGCGCGACTATTTATCCATGACAGGTGATCCGATCTGGGGGCATTCCCGAGTGCCATCTCGTGGCATTCATTGGCTTCGAGTCTACTCCTATGATTGCCTCTCGGCCTGGCATGGATCTGTAGGTGCAGTCATGTTCCAAACCCTGCCCCCAGACTCGACCGGATATTACAGCTCGGAATGCCAGAATATTGGTCAATTTCTAAGTTCATGATATTGATCTTTTGGCCATCTCCAAGAGGGTCACGTCGTAGTATCGAAATCAACATGAAATTTGCCTCAATCCAAGTGTACGGCCATAATCAACGAGGCCTCGGAAAACCATGGAATATACATTGGCATCATGTGAGCCCATTTGACTCGATTGAACCTTGGAGCTCGTGTATCACCAAGCCCACGCCAGGGATAAGCTCCCACCAGACCAGACCAAATCCAATTACAGTTACGGTTTGCAAAGGTCACAAGATTCAGTTCGCCCCTGGGCATGACGAATCTTCCGAAGATGACAAGGCGCTGATCTCAGATATCTCTGACTCATGCTGCCTAATTGCAGACGACCATGAGGCTGAATCATTCCAAGGTTCTCACCAATTTCGTTCCAAGAGTTGTTACTTGTGCTAATTCACAGAGATTTGTTGGTCAACTCTTTTGGGATTGACGAGACATATTTATGACGGCTCAGGAGTAAGTGATCGGATGCTGGCGTTCCACAAGCATGCGTATAATTTTAAAACCTTGGAATGTGTGCTGTCAGTGTCAGAACATATTCTACATGTGGGCACTCATTACGCAGGACGGGCTTTCAAGGTTTGTCACTCCGCGCGGGGATTCATCGGGGTTGCTTCATGTATGTCCCAGAGAGCTTTCGACCATGCCAAGGTTTTTCCTAGTCAAATGTCTAGATAGATCCAGCCTCGGATCGTGACCCGAATCCACTCCCTCCGATCCGAGATAGCGGTAGTAAACATACCTATGTAGGTATATTTGGTTAATTCAAGATCCCGTACTCCGTAGTTGGTAGCGATGCACGGAGTACAATAGAATCATACAGCAGGCGGCCCCTTTTCCGGGCTACCAGTGTAAGCGGAATCAAAAGCAAATAAAGGTCTCACTGGCACTTTGGTCCATTGTGTACTTGGTATGCACAAGGCCACTTTCGAAGGCAAAGGCGCCCAAGGTTGGAGTGCGGAGTACTGGCCGCGGGATATCCGATCTTCCAATCGCATGCGGCGGCACAATTGAGGACCATTGGGGCGAAAGTGTGTACTAGTATGCTTGGTCTAGAGCGAAGGCCATAGTTCACAAAAATATCTGAAGAACTGCCATGAGTGTAGCAGAGAATTCGAGAATAATTCCAATCTCACTACATAAGGCGCCAAAATGACTCGGCAGTCTGCCGGTTCTAATCTTAGATTGTCTGTGCGTCACATTGTTGCAAGCGCGTGTTGACCCTGTAGTGATGTGACAGTGCTGGGCCAAAGCCATGCGGGGGGTTTCGGCCCCCAGCATACCAGGGCTGAAGTGTTGCTAAGATTAGGGGACTCTAAAATAAACTATCATCACTCTGAGATGAAACGGCACATTGGCTCCACCCACGAGATGAGGGCTTCTACACAGTATCAGGGGTCAACTGGTCGGGCGATCCCCGTATTTCCAATCGAATACCGTTCCACGGGCCGTTTGCTCGTTGATGCACCTTCACCGAGTGGGGTTGGGACAGAGGGGTCATGTCCTATACCTCGGGCAATGCGCAAAGAAAGGAGAGATCATTTCCGAGAGTTTGGGGTCTGATATGTACGTTGACGTCGACGAAATGAAGATGTAACACTCATTTCGGATGTCGATCCACTACACTGAGATGAGGCCTCGAGAGACTTGTTGCAGACTGTATGATAGAAGGCTCGTCGGTGGGGTCAGTGGCCTGAACTTCATCCGGTTCAGACAAATCACCGAAGCTATTCCAATAGTTCCCCAGCGCCATTGGTGGATTTGTGGGCTGGATGTTTAAGATCTACCGCCGCTCGTGCCGAATGGCATAATCAATCTGGCCGCATATGGGGGAATTCTTTCAGTAACGATCGGCTTTTTGGAGGCATGTCTTGATCTTTCAAGAAATCCAGGGCACACCTGCCCTGTGACAAGGAACAATTATGCCAGCTGGTATGCGAAAAGGGATGAATGCTGGTGGTTCGCAGGGCTGATCCAGGGTCCTGTGAGTCGGAGTAGCAGAGATGAGGCGTACGGAACACTGTGCAAGGACATTAGTAGAGAGAGAAAGAAATAACAGAGAAGAGACAAGAGACAAGAGATCTGAGAGAGTGAGAGAGTGAGTCGAACAGAAAAGAAAGGATTAGTCAAAGAGTGGCGGGCGCAAATACTGGTTCCCGCGAAAAACAATATTAAGGAGCCACCTGACGCTCTCCGCTTTGCCGCAAACTTGATCCTTTCTTTCACCCCCCTCCATCGTCTCGACATCGATCTCATCGAATACTTGATTGCGGAGTATTCTATTCTATCCTGTTCCCGTCCTTCGTTTCCCCTTTGATCTCGATCCTCCCTTTGGCCCCTTCTGGCTAGGAGTCATCGAAACAAATTCATCACTCCAGAACATCGCCATCGAATCGCCTGATGTCTTGGGATTAATTATATTCAGAGTTCTGCAACAAACAGCAGTGGGCCGATAACCCATCTGAGTAGGGGGCTGAATCTTAGGATATCTTCAAGGTCCTCTCGCCATCTTGCATTTCATACTCTGCATGGTTGCATCGTTTCAACGTTCCATCGTTCTGCATCTGAAATCTTGTCTTTCATCTGTTTAAACGTTTGCTTTGCTACATCTTCATCATGCGGGAAGTCAATTTCAGTATCCCCAACGTGAACAAGGCTTCGGTCAACATCACCACCACACTCTACGACCGCCGTGCCCTCGATTGCACATCAACCCTACCGCTCATCAACTCGCTCAACCATCTTGCCTATCTCACTACATCGTCCGCCCGAATTCGAGATATACTCACCGTTGACGGCGGCGTGGAGCGTTTGATATGCATTCTCAAGGAGGGCCGCAGCAAGGATCTGATGGAGATGTGGAAATGGAGCCTCGCTTTCCAATGTGTCGTCAATATTGGAGTGCGGGGCTCTGAGGGCGTCAGGACTCGTGTGGTGGAAGCCGACATGGTCCCCGTCATTGCCACCATCCTGAGTAATTACATCAAGGTGGTGGATAAGGTTCGAGCACGCGACTGCCCCGAGTCCGAGAAGCAGTCGTCTTCCAAGGAAGGGAAATCTAGCAGAGAACCCTCCGCTCGTTCCACTCCGATGGAAGTGGACACCCAGACCGAATCACACGAGTCCGAAGAGTCCCACCGCCGACAGGACCCTCCGAGCATCGAACTCCCCCAGCCCTTCCGCCACGAAAGCCAGCCAATCGATTCCGATGCCATGGATATCACCTCTCCTCCCCATGCCCCCAGAATCTCATCACCAGAAAGCAGCAACCTTGGACAAGAATCTCACCACCGGGCCCATGACGGTCGGTCGCCACGTGCAGGCCATCGCCTTCGCTCCATGCAACCCCTAGCTACAGCAGTTCCATCCGTGGAAACCCCGGATGGCTTTGGATTACGCCCAGTGCATGACACTGAGCGTCTCCCTAGCATGCTTCCCGGTCTCCAGACCGGAATTGTCTCGCAGCCGGATTCCCCGACTACCCCCAGCGGACCCCTTCATTCGCAACCTCGAAGCCTTCCCCAAACGATCGCCGCCAGGCAGCGCCCTGCTATCCGCCAGCAGCAGTCTGGCTCTGGTGAGTCGGACGATGCCCAGGGCGAAGACTCGACGATGGATGAGAGCAACATGGGACAACCCACCGAGACTATTGTTGGACTTCCGGATCGGATGGAACTTGACAATGTTGAGGGACGCGAAGACGCTATGCTGGATAACGTCTCTCCCGCTCACGGTCTTACCGTCACGGATCCCTCTGAAGAGGAAGGCCCAGAGGTCGAGACTTTCAACATCACCCATCGATCAACGGTCGATGGTAGCATCATTACCAACGGCAACGGTCAAAATAATGGACTGGGTCTCTCCCCAACCCAAGCCACCAACAACCCCAACTCTCCCACTCTCACCCCCACCCCCTACGCCTTGTACCTCCGTGACCGCAACGCTCCCGCCGCTCAGGGTGTCTTGACTGCCATGCCTCGTGACGAGGATGTTCTCATGTCCCTGCAGCTACTGGCATACATCTCCAAGTACTGCTACCTCCGATCATACTTCCAATCCTCCCACCTCGTCCCCAGGCTGAAGATTGACCGCGAACTTCATCTTTTGGATGAAAACCCCGACCCCTCATCGATTGAGATGTGCGAGGACGAGGATGAGTATATCAACCCTGATGATGTCAACATCTTCCCCCTGGTGGAGAAATTCACCGTGAGACATCACTCCAAGGACATGCAGTACTGGGCTTGTGTGGTCATGAGAAACCTTTGTCGTAAGGACGAGGCAAATGGTGGAATCCGCCAATGCGCCTACTACAAGTGTGGCAAGTGGGAGGAGTACCAGCGTCAATTTGCCAAATGTCGACGTTGCCGTCGCACCAAGTACTGCAGCAAAGAATGCCAGAAATCCGCTTGGGTGTATCACCGGCACTGGTGCCACATGACTCCCTGATCACGATCTCGGGTCTTTCATTCTTGATTTCCATGCATACCGGCTCGCATAGCGTTATCCACGTCTCGCGTCTCATATTATATTCCCCAAGGTCTCACTACGCATGGCATCTCAAATTCTGGTGGCGTTTCTATTTCGACCCGAAGATACCTTTTTTTCTACATGTTTGGCTTCTGTTATATTCCCTTCTTCGCACGGCCTTGAAACTTGCTTTGATGTGGGGCTCTTGCCTGCGAGCCCTTATTTTTTTTTTTCGCTGCTCATATCCATCTCATGACTGTACATCTTCTATCATTCCCCATCGTGGGACCCATTCACTCTGCCTTTGTTTTGTTGGGATCATCACGTTTCCTCCCATAACTAATTGTGCTATCACGATTCTCCTATGTCGGCAGATGGACAGCTTGACCGATGAATTCGGCCATGTCCCCACCATCTGAAGCATTCTACTTTGCGCATCTCATCTATGACTGATTTATGTCCGGAGGACTTCTTTCTTGTGTTCTTGCACTTTGCCACAACGGCTCCGGCGTTTCTCTCTTTCTTTTTCTTATAATCCAATTTCAGTCTCACAATCGACTCCACCTTACCCACATCTCATCTCCCCCGTATTCAGTAACGCCAGCCCGCTCCTCACTCATCCTTACTGAACCCATAGGTCGCCTCCAGCCTCGACATGAGATGTTCATGCGCTGTCAAGGGCTTGTCCCCAGGCACCAAGCTCCCGGCACCACCCCCAAACCCAACCTTCCCAACAATGCCCCCATGTCCCTCGCGATGTCTCGCAACAACCTCGCTCGGAACCGGGATCAACTCAGTCGTATCAACCGGATGGCAGAAATACACCAGCGTGTATCTATCCTGCGGGTTCGGGCTCTGCTGCTCAGCCAACGGGAACACAACACGATGCACAGTCGACTTCAGAAGTCCGTCAGTCCAATAACTGAGCAGATCGCCAATATTGACCAGAATCGGCGGGAACGGATACGCTCCTGCATCCGGGCCTGGTACAATGGGTACAGGCGCCCAGGTTCCCTCTGGAGTGCGGATCTCGAGCCCGGGTTGGCCGGGACGCTGGAACAGAAGCGTTATGCTTCCGTAGTCGGAGTGGGCGCCTGCTCGCACGTCTTTGTCGTGCTTGTAGGCTGCTGTCTTGGGTGAGAAGATGGATGGGTAGAATAGGTACCGCAGGATACTGCCGGTTGGGCCGGAGACGGGATCATGGCGGGTGGTGAAGAAGTCTTCTGGGATCTGGATGGTGGTCAGGACATTGCTTTGTGGTTAGGGGTGTTTGGATTAGGAGGCACGGACTTCCAAGCCTAGGGCTAGCAGGGTGAGGATTCGGTTGCATGTTTTGTTGCATAGTTTGGCGAACTCGTTGATTTCTTCTTCATGGGGAACTAGGGAGGGTGGCAGAGGTTGTTGCGCTTTGCCATCTTTGAAGTCGCCGAAGTTCATGGCTCTTGTTTGTTGGTTAGTTGGGTTCTTCCAGGGTTGGCATTTGGATATCTGTTTCGACATACTCTTTGAAATCCCCGGTCTATACAAATGTCAGATTCATAAAACGTCTATGTATACAGATTGGCGTTGACATACCCGTTGATGATCAGGATCGAGGGTTTCCACATGCATTCCAGACCAACCGCGGTTCTAGACTTGTGAGCTTGTATCAGTATAGAAGTCTTGAGCACTCACGTTCGGCTCAATGCGGCAGGTTTCCTTCTCCTGTGCCGGCGAGGCGAAGAACTTCTTGGACTAAGGTGGGATCAGCACTTTCTCGGCCCTTGCAAGGTTGAGCACGACAATCATACCAATCCAAACCCATGGTCTACATCTTCCACGGTGAAATCACTGCCTTTGCTGTTGACATATAAGAACCCATACTTGGCGGCAGCGTCCAGCATGGCCTTCCCCACAGCGGGGTCATGGGGATTGGATATGTCAATGACCGGGAGCTCGATTGGAGTCGTTGTGTCTGCCATTTTGGATGTGCAAGAAAGATTGGACATCGCCAGGGCTCAGGTAGATATATGTATGTGGGCCTATCGCGTATCTTCGAACCAATGGTGAGGTCAAGTGGGTTGACCCCGTCTGGATTCCGAGCTTAGGCGACGTCCGTCAGCGCTATCATCGACTTGCCTACTTCGGTACTTATCCTTGGGCAATCACTAATGGACTGGGGGATGTGTTACTTGATACAATCTATGGATGTTATATACCATATAGCTGGGTCCACGGGTATGACAAGAATCACTATGGCCATGACCTCGGGATTGATGGACACACTATCATGCTATCTACCCCTTACCTATACAATAACCTAGCATAGCTACTGGTAAATCCGAAGTAAATTGAAGTTCCCATATATGTGGAGGAAAGTGATAGGTGATGTGATACCTGAAGGGGCGCAAAAAACCAACTCCGCCTTCCCCCCTCCTGCCATTGTCAACAACCCAAGCTCCCATACCATCATTGGCCCGCTGCATTCTCGCCCGCTTCCTTCAATTATTCCCTGTTGTTTCTTTCTTGGGGTTTGATGCCCGGCATCGGCCGTGCTTTCCAGCTACAGACAGACCGCTCATCATGCCGAGTACGTTGAAGCTGAGCTCCGCGCTCCCGCAATCGCAGCTAACTGAACTGTAGTCCGTCCCCTCGATGAATGGGCCGTTGGCCGCACCCAGTCCCTCCCCCTCGCCTCCCTGAAAGACTCGGTTATCGGTATCGACGCATCCCACTACATCAACCAACATCTCTTGAACCAGTCAACCCGCGAGGCGCTCCTAGGCGCACTGGGCGGATTCCCGTTCGCCCTCCGAGCGAACATCGAGAAGGAACTCCAAGTCCTGAAGAACCTTGGTGTCAGCTGTATCTTCGTCTTCAATGGCCTGGAATTCGGCAAGAAAGAGCAGCGCGCGCGATCCCAGTCGTCGCGTTCGTTCGAACAAGCTTGGGACCTCTATGACCAGCAACAGGCAGATCAAGTCGTCGATGCCTTTAGCAGTGCCGGTATGGAATCCTCCCGTCCTGCGTCTCCTGTTGGTCTCGTGACAGGGCTGGCGAGCCTTCACCAACGACAATGGAACCTGATAAACCCTCCAACCGCTGACACTACCCGTTACCCAGGAACTCCACCCCCAGAGACACTTTTCCGGTTTTTACAACGAATTCTGGTCCAAAATGGCGTTCAATTCATGGTAGCGCCCTACAGCGCTGCGGCCCAGGTGAGCTGGTCCCCTCCATAACTTTGGGTACTTTGTTGAGACTAACCAATCTGCCTGCATAGCTTTACTACCTTGCCAGTGGCACCAACCCTGTTATCGATTCAGTTTATGCTCCCTCTGAAGCTCTCTTGTTCGACATTGACAAGCTGATTACCCGCATTGACACCGAGCCCGCACAATTCTTCTGGATCACGAAACAAACCTGCAAGGAAGAGCTCGGTCGATTGTCAGATGAACAGTTCCTGGAATTCTGCTTACTACTGGGCTCACCGTTCCTTCGATCCTTCCCTCTCTTTGAGAACCCTGCTTTCCCGGGCAAGAACCCTACGATCCGTGATGCACTTCCAATGTTTAACGCCGCCGGGCGCAGTGCATTGACACTCTGCGCCCAGTTTGATGAAGATCGCCGCATGCAGGAGCTCCAATACACAGACTTATACAAACGAGCCTATATGGTTGTGAAGCACCATGTGTTCATCGATGTGGAGGGCCGAGTGGGACCACTGGATGCGGAAAATGCTCCTTCGGATGTACACGAGCTTATTGGACAGCGACTTCCCGAGGAGCTCTATTTCTATTTGTCCAAGGGTATACTGGGTGCCGATGTGCCCAACTACCTTACCTCCGGCCAAGTCCGCGTTACGCTACCGCTGGGGACCGAAGACACTGAAATCTACCGCCAACTCGTGGGTGACACCTTGACGCCTACACGCACTCAGTCTATGAGCCTTCTGGCAAACTCGCTTCATCGATTCTACCAAACCAAGGTGATTGAAATTCGGCCGTGGTTCGATGAGAACTCGGAGCGATCCATTACCCTCAAGGGCATTCCTTCAGTCAAGGAAACCATCCAGTCGTGGAGACTCCATGGCGATAAGCTCCCCGAAGGTGTCAAGAACATCAAGACGCCTCGTGGGTCTTTCAAATTTGCCGTGCAGAGTTTGAGCGACTCAGACTTTGTCGCCAAATCTTTTGCTACTAAAGATACCCCAGTCAGTTCATCTATCCCTTTTGTAGTATCTTGTCACTAACATCTCAGCAGGCTTTGTCTTCTCAGGATGATATCTTATCTAATGTTATGTGGCGATTCATGCAACTTCGCGGATATATCGACGACAAGCACAAGCTAACCTCATGGGGACAATGTTTGTCCCAGGCATTGTCAGCAATTGACCCTGCAGACAACCTCGAAGAGGCCATCTTCCTTGCCATTGAAATGCTTCGCCTGAACCTTTTGAACACCAAGCCCTGGTTCTCACACGTATCTGGAGGTCCTATGAGAGGATCGGAAGAGGACAAGACCTTCAATATGCTGATCTCGCGAGTCGCATGCATTGCCAAATTGCAGCACAAGAGCATTGGCTACTCAGGCCCGCTGAGCCGCCAACTTCTTTGCTACCGCTCATTGATTTCTGAGGTCCGCTCCGCCCTGAGGAACTTGGTTGAGGTTGTGTTGGCTAGCATGCTACTGAGTGGCGATATCGATCGGGATCGTGATGATTGGACTCAAGTGGCTATCAAGTATGTTTTGACCGACACTAATTTCCTCGGAACGTTCGCTCTAATACTCTCTCAGGCTTCCATTCATTGATGATAACGATTGCGGGCTGGGAATTGCAGTCCGCACGTACCTTGATGACCTCCCACTCCAGGCAAATTCTACGTCCCCCGAGGCGCGTGCCGATGTGAAGGCCAAGGGCAAGGACTGGTTCCAGCACAGCGAAAGTTTTACCGGAAACTTGGATCTGGCTTTCAAGCTTTGGGATGCGGTAAGTAGCTCTCCAGTCTTGGTAACCGTTGATTGAAGTATATCTAACTTGGAACAGGTCTATGCTGGCACGCAAAATGCGGGCAGAGAGTTCAAGGAATCAAAGCTTTGGGAGGACGCAAACAAGTGGCTTTCCGAAAGACGATAGTGTTGCGATTTCTAACGATGACCATGGCAATTGCGGGCTAAGGAGCTCACCGTACCCTTTGTTCGAGCTCTGTCAACTCGAGACACCATCGAGACACCATCCGATGCTGGCAATTTCTCCAGTGTATTACTATTAGGACGGGGCAAAAAGAATCTAGAAAAACAGTCTGGTACTACCCATTCTCAACGGGCAATATTTCATTCCGCCGATGTATAGTAGTTTGTACGGAGTATCTGTATGGGGCTGGATTGGAGATCTGCGGGACCAAGTGGCCTCTTCGGGATTGTTTTGTCATCCGAGCTCTCATGAACTCCACCGTCTCTTTGTCAATTGTCTCCTCCCAAGTTCACATCAACCCCTAAAATCAGATACAACATGGCACGCCTGAGCTACCTGCTCTTCGGTGCCCTCACAGCCCTCAGCGGCTTCGCCAACGCTGGCTCCGCAGTGAAGGACCTCATCCCCTCTAACTTCGACGACGTCGTCCTCAAGTCCGGCAAGCCCGCGCTGGTTGAATTCTTTGCTCCCTGGTGTGGCCACTGCAAGACTCTTGCTCCCGTCTATGAGGAGCTCGCCCAGACCTTTGCCTTCGCCGAGGACAAGGTCACCATCGCCAAGGTTGACGCCGATGAGAACCGTTCGCTGGGTAAGCGATTCGGTGTCCAGGGATTCCCTACCGTGAAATGGTTCGATGGCAAGAGCGACAAGCCCGAGGAGTACAAGGGTGGTCGTGACATCGACAGTCTCTCAGCCTTCATCACCGAGAAGACCGGTGTCAAGCCTCGTTCCGCGCAGAAGGAGGCCAGCAACGTCGAGTTCCTGAACGATGTTTCTTTCAAGACTACCGTCGGCACCGACAAGGATGTCCTGGTCGCTTTCACCGCTCCCTGGTGCGGACGTGAGTGTCACCAATCTCCCTCCCTATACTCCATCCACTAACCGCTCGTCATACCATAGACTGCAAGAGCCTCGCCCCTACCTGGGAGTCCCTCGCCAACGACTTCGCCCGCGAGTCCAACGTTGTCATCGCCAAGGTTGACGCCGAAGCTGAGAACGCCCGCGCTTTGACCAAGGAGCAGGGCGTGACCGGATACCCTACCATCAAGTTCTTCCCCAAGGGATCCACCGAGCCCGAGACCTACTCCGGCGCTCGTTCCGAGGAAGCCTTCATCAAGTTCATCAACCAGAAGGCCGGTACCCACCGCGCCCCCGGTGGTGGTCTCGACGCCACTGCCGGCACCATCGCCGTGCTGGACAAGATTGTGTCCGAGCACGTTGCGGCCCAGAAGCTCGACAAGCTTGTTGTCGAGGTTAAGAAGGCTGCCGAGGGCCTTGAGGACAAGTATGCCGAGTACTATGTCAAGGCTGCTGACAAGCTGAGCAAAAACGAGGGCTACGCCGCCAAGGAGGTTGCTCGTCTCCAGAAGATTCTGGCCAAGGGTGGCTCGGCCCCTGAGAAGCTGGATGATATTGTCTCTCGTAGCAATATCCTCAGTCGCTTTGTTGGCGATGTGAAGCACGATGAGCTTTAAATGCTTTTTGTTTCTTTTGAACGTTATATGTGGCATATTTTAGTTCGTGGCCTGGATCCCTTGTCACTGGATATAGATTCGGTGGCTGGATCACTGCAATGCATGAGCTTGGGATTGTATTGAGTTTGTCTATGGGATAGTGACTTGATGCTGTATACTGAATGAATTGATTTCTCGAGCACCCAATCTGGCCACTCTCAATTAAAGCGAGTCGTATACATTTATCTACTACCTAGGTAGGTACAGGTACGAGTGATAGAATTGACGAATGATATAGTTCTGCTCTCGATAGAGACACTACCTATGGATTGGGTATCGAATGAAATAATAAATCAGCCTCGGCCAAAACAAGACCGGATCAGCTGTTCAAGTCCCACAAAACAAGCTGCATAATACCAGTATGAAATAATAGATACATGATGCCCGGGTGTGGATCCAGGCAAGCCGGATATGCAGTTCCTGCCGCTATGCCAGAAACGCCATGCGAGGTACGGAGTACGAATGTTAAAAAGAGTCGGTCAAGCCTGTTCCAGACTTATGTTGACGGAGCCGGGGCATTAGAGCTCGATGATGCAGCCAGAGATGCTTCCAGGTCATCAAGTCGCTTGGTCATTTCGTCCACTGCATATCGGTCAGTCTGACATGTATACTTCATGCGATCGACAGAGTCAAAATGCATACATTTGCCGAACATCTCAGTAGAGACATTTTCGAACTTGCTTTGGAGTTCGTTGAGCAGATCATCGACTGCGGCGTGGAGTTGGCCTTGCGCACCGGAGTTCTAGACTTGGTTAGCGGGTTCGGGGTTGGGCTTTCGATATTTCATACTGATTGAGAGAGGAGAGGCTCTACCTCTGGTGAGGGAGAGGGAGACTTGGAAGTTTCAGCCATGGTGAAACTATTCACTGTACAGAGACACACTTCGGGCTTGGAAGTAGACCGGCCGGGGAGCTGAGAGACACGATAGTCCGATAAGCGGATCATCTATTTCTCCGGATACTGCTGATTAGCTAAGATCCACTGTGCCGTGAGACTTGTAGTTCTAGCCTTCTAACATTAGAGGATCTCTTGTAATTTACTGTGATCTTATTGTAGAAATGAATCTAGCTGTGCACTGTGCCGTGAATCAGTTGCAGACTATAGCTGAAATAGCTATGGTGTTACGTCGGAAGTACTCCGTACAGAAGTTTGACTTGTTGGGTTTGGTTGATATAGATCAATCTATTTCGCGCAACAGGCGGTGTCTAGTCTTGCTGGTCTCTCCATACTCTACTCCAAACAATTGGAACCTATAAATGAACACTTCAAACAAGTCAATGGATGTCCTCGATGTTTACTAGATATCGCCCATCGGATCATCATAACCCCGAGATACTCAGGCTCTTATCGGTGGCGCTAACCTGAATAGGACTGGCGCCATTTCAAAAAAATCCCATGGATTCTCTGATGCGGGTTCGGATACCAAGTCGCTTTCTTTTCCCTCAATTCCTTTCACAAACCCCCAAAAATACCATTAACTTTTTGTATCCCTACAAGAAGCCAAAATGGCCAAGCGAAGCAAGCTCCTCCAGGCCCTCGACGCCCACAAGGGCCGTGACTTTGACGCTGAGAAGCAAAAGAAAATGATCAAGGCCGCGGAGAAGAAGAAGGGCGGCAAGAAGGCCGCAGCTGTCCCCGAGGACAAGCCCGCCGTCGAGGAAAAGAAGGAAGAAGAGCCCGCCAGCTCTGAGGCCGAGGAAGAAGAGGAAGAGGCCGATGAGGACGAGGAGATGGACGACGGTGAAGAGGAAGAGGAAGAAGACATTCCTCTTTCCGACCTTGAAGAAGACGAGCGCGAGGACGTCGTCCCCCATCAGCGCCTGACTATCAACAACTCCGCCGCCATCAACGCCGCCCTCAAGCGTATTTCCTTCATCGGCACCCAGACCCCATTCTCAGAGCACAACTCCCTAGTCTCGAAAGAGCCGATCGAGATCGAAGACCCCAATGACGATCTTAACCGCGAGCTTGCTTTCTACAAGGTCTGCCAGGCTGCCGCTACCGAGGCCCGTGGCATGCTGAAGAAGGAGGGTATTCCCTTCACCCGCCCGGGTGACTACTTTGCCGAGATGGTCAAGAACGACGAGCACATGGGTCTGATCAAGAAGAAGCTTTATGAAGAGGCTGCTGGCAAGAAGGCTGCTGCTGAGGCGCGTCGCCAGCGTGACCTGAAGAAGTTCGGCAAGCAGGTGCAGAACGCCAAGCTGCAACAGCGACACAAGGAGAAGCGCGAGATGTTAGAGAAGATCAACACCCTGAAGAAGAGTATGTTTCGACTTGTCAAGATCCCCCGTTCGAGAATGCAGTTTACTAACTTTCCTTCCACAGAGCGCAAGGCTGATACCTCTGCCCCTACCGACGATGCCAAGGACATGTTCGACATTGCCGTTGAGGAGGCTAGCCAGCCTGAGAAGCGTGGCCGTGAAGGTGGTGGCAAGCGCCAGAAGAAGGATGCCAAGTTCGGATTCGGAGGCAAGAAGCGCCATGCTAAGAGCGGTGACGCTGCGTCCAGTGGTGATCTGAGCAACTTCTCTGCTAAGAAGATGAAGGGCGGCGCAAAGCGTCCCGGTAAGAGCAAGAGAACTGCGGCCAAGGGACGCAACTGAACTCTCGTGATGAGTTAATGTTGTTTCAATTGCATTTGTACCATGCATCGTGTAATTATTTTTTCTCGCTGGGTCTGGATAACCAAAAATGGCAGTTTTGATTTATTATGTCTATAACCCTTCCGACTTCGACGGTCTATCTATAGATGTCTCGAGCATCTCGAGTATCTTCCCGGTTCTCGTCTTTTCCACGCTTCATACCTACACAGGTAGGTAGTTGTCTGACCTAGTCTCACAGGAGATAGATCTGGTTGAAACCCATATAGTGCATCGAGATTTATATTACAGATATGTTTATAGTACTCTGCGGACATTGTACATAGAATGTCGAGCTTCCAACATTATGCCTGAGCCTGAGCTTCGGCTTCGGCCTCGGCCTTGGCGATTCTCTTCTGCTCCCACTCCTGCAAGAATCTTTCCACCTTCGGTGCCCAGACCTCTTCACCTGCATCAAGATCCTTGTACTCGAGAACCTTTTCAGGGGAGAGCTCGAAATCACCTTGACGGCTGCGCACAAGCTCACTCATCAAGCCCAAGCTGCCGACAGCTTTACCCAGATCATGCGCCAACGAGCGAACATAGAAACCAGAGGTAACTGTCATCTTAATCTTCACGGCCGGGGTTTGAGACTTGCGCTGTTCGGGCTGCGCGGGGGCCTCAGCCTTAGTCTCGGCAGGCTCAGAAGCACTGGGCTCTGATGCTGCAGGTGCCGCTTCGGTCTCCGAAACCTTCTGCTTCTTGGCAGCCTCTGTATTATCCTCCTTCGCTTCGTCGGCCGGAGGTGGCGACTTGCGCTTAGTAGACGATGAAGCCTCGGGGTCTTCCTTCACGGCCTCGCCTTCAGCAGGGGCAGGGGCCGTGGCCTCTTGATCGAGAAGCTTCTCGGCAACAGCCTTCTCTTCTCCGCTCATCTCCTCCTTGGGCAGCTGGAAGTTATGTGTGCCGGGCTCAAACCACTCCACAACCTCCATCTCCAGAACCTCGACAGGCCGATGCTTAATTTCCACAGGCGGGACCTTGCCCTCGCGCGCATACTCGTAAAGCTTCTTTCCATTGACCCGCAGCGCCGAGAATATAGGCGGCTGCTGCATGATATTTCCACGGAACTGCGCCAGTGCTTTCTCAACGACTTCACGTGTGACATGCTCGTAGGGCGCGCGGCGCACAACCTTTCCAAGACAATCGTAGGTATCGGTCTCAGCGCCGAAGGTGATAACGGTCTCGTAGCTTTTGGTGCAAGCCAGGAAGTCCTGGAGGGACTTAGTACCCTTTCCAATGCCGGTGATGAGCACACCTGTCGCAAGCGGGTCCAAGGTTCCGCCATGGCCGATCTTGACCTCCAGGCGCTGATGGCGGCGACGTTTGCGCTGGAATCCACTCTCGCGATTACGGCGTTCGCGCTCTTCTTCTAACCATGGCTTGAAGGTTTTTGAGGGGTTGAAGTGTTTTTGCAGGTTGCGGATCACGTCGGCGGAGGTGACGCCTTGGGGCTTGTGGACGGCTGGAGATGTCAGAGATTCAATCTTTCAAGAGCCGGAGGAAGGAATACCGAAAACGCCCTCGCGGATCTTCTCGCCAGACATGGTTGTGCGAAAGAGTCGGAAGCCTGGAGGGAATGGCATCTGGGGACGGTGAGGTTTATCTTAGGAAAAAAAGATATTTTGGTCGAGATCTCGATTCCGCCTTGGCGGGCTGCACTCTACTTTTGTTGCTTTTTTCACAGCACTATGTACTATAATACGGGTATGAGGTGAAAATGCTCATATCGAGACTTCGTTGTATACTACCTAGTATCTTCTGTAATTATGCAAATATGTATGATCGGGGAGAGGTTGGAGTATTGGACATTGTTACCCTGGTTTATACTCCGGACTCTGTATATGTCTTGTCCATAAGTCTGTTATACCATTACCTTTTCAATCCTATATGCTCCGTTCTCCGATTGTATCTTTTCAATTAATCGTCTTTGCACCCTGAGTGAATTCCAAGGCTTAATTGAAGTCCATATGACCTAATGACTGTTCAGGGCATAGTTCGTCAGCGTGAAGGCTGTTCGGCGACATCTATACTTCCAATATTGCTGATCCTTACAGGATTCAATATAAATGCCTTCGATTTTTCGAATTTAGATTGATTCGTCTCTAATATATCCTGTCCAATACATCCACTCGATGTTCATGCGACTTCATAGTTCCTCGAGGCTGGTCTGCACGTGATGGCACGAGCTCCATGTAATTAATGGTAACAGCCGTATGTGTAATTTACCGGCCGTCAATGACTGCGAGTGTCAACAACCTCGAGATTCCACTCGAGAGGCCCCTCCTCTTCTTCTCATCCTATCGATCGCCTCCGTCCAGCTCCTACATACTCCTTTCGCCTCCACCTCGACCCCCAACATGCCAATGCCGCCATGACGTCCCGCGAAGAAACCGTCCTTGCTCCCACCGATGCCTCCATCACCGATGAGAACGATTGGTGGGAGTTCAGCCTGACTGAGGTCAAGGTGTTGAAGCCCGGGAAGAAGCACTATGCGAGCCTACTCGAGTGCTCAGAACAGAACCCAGTGCAGGTGATCGGCAGCTTGGAGACGCTTCCTGAGACACATGAACACTTACGTCCGTATCAGTTCAATTACAGTCCGTTATCAATATCGCTGACCCGTATACACCTGCAGTGCTCAAACCCGACAACCCTCCCAAGCGCATTATCATCGACGAAGTCACACACTATGCCTACGGCCAAACCGAGGATAAAAGCATCGAGCTGTGGGTTGCCGGCAAGGCGGGTTGGTACAATGTCATTTCACCGGCCAAGGGCTTCCAACCGACATACAACCGCATGGTCCAGGCCATTGACCTGTTATATTTCCTGGTTGATAAGCACCAACATGGCAAAAAACAACTCAACCCTTCCTTCCGAAATCTGTGTGAGCAGGTAAGCTTCGATCTGTACTATGTGTTTTGTGCACGGAGACCGACGTCTAACACTAATTATAGTACACCTATCATTCATATGGCTCGTGTGAAACCCGAGAAGAAGCCGCGGAGATATTTTCGATGCACGCTGCCTTTTTGTTGCGCTGCATGATACAGGGTGACGCAGATGTGGAGTGGATGAAGACGAGTGTTTTTGTGCACTTACGACGCCAATTTAACGTATGTCTAATAACCCGATCTGCTATGACCGGAGAAAATCTGACGTTTTATAGGACGAATATAATCAACTTATGGAAGAGCTATCGCCCTCACCTGAAGAGGCTGAACCCAAAGATGAACCCAAAGTCACTACCCCACGACATGAGCCAAGTGCGGTCTCAAAATCACAGACGGATGCGATCTACCGACTCATGAAGGACCTTAAAAAGGAGGGTCATTTAGCAAAGCGTCGACTTCATCTTGACCTTTTGACCGAACGCCTGGCAGAGCGCTTCACATTTAGCAACGATGACGCCCGAAAGATCATAGCGATCAGGGCCAGTGATGTGGTTGAATTAATGGATGCCGAAGATGATATACCTGGCTTTAAATGGTCTCGCTATGTGATTCATCGCGAGCTCACTAATGCCGCCTCGAAATCTGCGCCCCTACCGCGTGCCCTCCTCACCCCTCTTCCTATGGCCGATGAATCAAGCGACGATGAACGCTTTGGTCGGACCCAGAAATCAGTTCTTCGCCCGAAGGTCTTTTCAGTCTCTAATAAAGCCACTGGGAAGCGGAATCGTCTTGCCCAAAGTCAAAAACCAGCGGTTCAATCCAACGAGGATGAGGCGGAAGACGAAGACGAGATGGAAGACATCCAATCCATCGAAACACCCAGCAAAGTTCGGGGCCACGAGTTGATCAGGAGTCCATTCTCCGCGACAAAGCCTCGCACCCGCTCATTCCTATCCGCCTCATCTAGTGGCGCCGGCTCCTCTTTGATGAAGAGTCTATTTAAAGACAAACTCCAAACCCCTTCCGTCTCTTCAACCATCCCCCACAAATTCTCATCTCCAGAACCAGGCCTAGCACCAACACCAGATACCCCACAGGCTAGCGAGGAGCCCCCACTAGATTTATCCGGCGAATGGGCCTGTCGCATGCCCGGATGTACCACGGTGTTCCTGATGCCTGACGGAGACGAACGCAGACAACTAATTGGAACCCACGCCGGCGAACATGACTGGGAAACGCAGATGAAGATCGAGCTGATGGAACAGGAGAAACGTATGCATTCTGCCTTACCTGTCACTCATCTCATGCAATACGTCCTCGACCAGCACGTGCAGACGATGCGCGACGCATTCCCACAATTCTATACCACGTCCAAAGAAAACGGCACGGGAAGCCCGGCGGCCGTGCATGGCGAGGAATCCATTCCTGAAACAGATCAGCCTGATCTCGAATTCAACGAGGATGATCAGGATCAGGATGATGAAGATGACGAGCTTGAAGATCTTGCAAATGGCATTTCTTGATCTCGTCTCTTGATTTCATCTCTTGCGTTGCGATACCTCAAAGCGAACGCTCACAAATGATATGGAAATTTGGATCTTTTGATACCCACATTTATGGAATGAAGCAAGGTCCCACGAGGGTCCAGACTTGCATGATTCTCTTCCCGGGGACACTTGATACCACTCCGGTTCCCGGGTGTATTCTATGAACAGACCCAGTGGCTTGTCTGAATACTACTTGTTCACGGTGGGAATAAAGGCGTTGGGTGTAAAGGACAGGACGGACAGGGTGGGAGGCGTTCGGCATGTTGAATCTAGACATGGGCAGGTTTTGATGCTCTCGATAGTCTTTGCTGCTTTATCTGGTGATTCCAAGGTTGACCTGGACACTAGAGTTTTGCTTCATACCCCTACCAAAGATACCTTGAATAGCAGAGCTTTTGGATATCTGCATCTATTTACTGCTCCGCATAGGAGTTTCTGATATCGCTATGCTGCCCGGGATGCCCGGGCGTCCACGGGTGGTGGCTATCATCTACCTACCTAGGTAGTAGCTCCCAGCCTTGGGAGATTCTCAGCCGGACTACATGTAATCTCGATATATATAGACATTATTTTGCCAGTGTATACTCCAATCTAGGCTCAATCCAAAGTTATGAACACCTCGTGGTGATGCAGTAAACCCAGTTGGCGTGAACTGAAAAATTCAACACCATGGCTTGGCAAACCCAAACGTGATACTCCCACACGTGCAAAACTCCAAAAAGAAAGAAACGAACAAAATATCCAGACACCAACTATCAGGATGTGAAATGGACAAAAAGAAATGACAAGAGTGGGATTCGAACCCACGCCTACAACGTAGATCAGGAAACTGAGAACAGTTATTGAGTTAAGGTGGACCTTAACCTGACGCCTTAGACCAACTCGGCCATCTTGCCAATTGATGAAGAGAGGCCGCTAAGCTTGAAACTTGATCGGAAAGGACATTCAGAGCAAATAATATGGTCATTTTGGATTTGCGCGCCGGTACCTGTAGACAAGTTGAGAAAAATGTACTCCAAAGGGTGTGATATGCAAGAAAGAAATAGTCACAAATGTGCAATAGATACACAGTGATCAGAAGTGAATTGGTATTGAGAAAGAGAAGAAAGAAAAGAGATAAAAGTTTTTCGGGGTATACCAAGAACATGTCACATATATCACACGGCACATACAAGCAACAGAGTAGATAGAGATAGAGATACAGGAAGTAGAGGGAGAAGAGATAGGAAAAGCATATGCCGGAAGGAGGGGGTGTGAGTCCCGTCCAAGAGAGACAAGAAAAAGCTATGCAAGATGCAAGGTGTGTAATGTGTGAGAAAGAAGAAAATAAGGCAAAGCCAAAAAAAAGGGAGTGAAGGCGGAATTGAAAAGAATGGGTACAAGAATTCCTGTTCTTGACCAATGTTTATTGCTTGTGGGCACTGTGTGCTTCGACAAGAGCTGGAAGGTGTTAGTTGTGTTTCGTGCAAATGACATCGGGATATATCAGAACATACCAGTCAGAGCAGAGGCCTGTCCCTGTCGCGATTCGCAGGCACATTGGAGCGTATTGCCATCCAAGAAATCAAGCAGGATGCTATTGGGGAGTTCCTGCATGTCTTCGTCGGGCAGACAAGGAGTGCGGAACTCGGTGAGATGGTAGCGCTTGGTCATGTTTCGAGCACTGGCATCATTAGTACCCGGGGTGAGAACCACATATCCGTCTTCGTCGATGCGCATCACCCGGCGCTTCCAAAGGAGGGTCTCAGGGAACTGAACGTTCACCTCACCAATGTCAACGGGCTCCGAGGCGCGCGAGCCGGTGGATCCGGCTGCGTCGGTGGAGCCGTTTTCAAATGTAGGAGCGTACTCCTCCTCCTTGACTGGTGAGCTGAGGGCACCGATGATGCTGCGGCGGGATGTGGATGTGATCGATGAGACACGGCGCATGAGGCGCGACGCGCGGGACCCGCGCTTGTCTTCGGATGTGGGAGATGTAGAGTTGATATTCTCTTCTGTGCGAGAACGCGAGGAGATGGATAGACGGCTGGGCGGGCGGGAAGACGTCTGAAGACCCGATCCATTGGATGACATTGACATGCTCCGGTCCAGGGCCCGGTTGGTGGGCTCAGCACTGGGGGACCGAGAAGGAGATTCTGTGACGTTCCCGTGCTCCACAGTCAGCGGGCTGGCCTGGAGATTGAGCACATCGGACTCGGAGGGCTCGAGTCCCGAAGAACCGGGAGATGCGTCGGCATCACGGACAATCCGAGCGGTCACGGAAACCGAATTAGCACGGCGCATGGCATCAACGGAGATACGGCGATCATGGCGACTGGCGCTGTCGGGGGTGGCAGAGTGTCGAGTGCCCGGTGGTGTGATATCCTGACTGCCACTGGGCAGAGAGATGGATGCGCGTTTGCGAAGGTTCTCGAAAGATGAAGCGGCTGATGGTGCGCTTGGGGCAGGACTTGCGCTCATAGGGGTGCCTTCGCGGCTCGAGAACTTTTCAAGTGCCTTGATGCGGCTGGAGATACCGGAAGAGACGTTGATCTTTTTGGCCATCAGGACCGGTGTAGGGGGGCCGTTCTCCGGGTATGTGGATGAGCTTGATCGACCAACGGCCAGAGTTTGCATGGCCGATGGGGATCCCGTGGAATACGGGCTCGAAACCGCCCGCGAGCTCTTCCAAGACTGATCGCCGCCGTTGGGGGATTTCACGGACACCGGCCTGGCCTCTTGAACCGTCGCTGAGGTTAATTCTTCCATGAACGAGTCGTCGGAAAGGAGGTTGTCATCATCCGAGTAGTCGGGTGTGGGCACCTGAATTGGCTCTAGGTGGACCTTGCGTCTTTGATCCAAAGGCAAAGATTCGCTCTTCGAAGCAGAGGTATATTCAGATATCGACTCGTTCGCTGGGCTTGGGTAATCGGCGGCGGGAATAGGGGCAGCGTGATCTTCGATGTCTGTGCTGTCTGGGGGTGTAACGGAGGGAGTGGCAGGCTGGGGGATCGATTCAGAAACGTCTTCCGCAGCAGGTTGATCCAAAGGTTCCTCAGTCGGCACGGGTGCGACGGGTGGAATTTCGAAATGTGTTCCAGGGACGTTCTCTGAGTCTGATTGCGGGGCGGCTAATTGGTTTTGAAGTGGAACTTCATCATTCAAGGTAGGTGGGGCAAGGTCATGGATTGCGGGTTCCTGGTGCTCTGTGCGCGTTTCACCTTCAGGGGTTGTCGGCGTCATTTCCTCCTGAACGGTCTCTGAGGGTTCAGCGATATGCTCGACCGAACGAGAGTCGACAACGGGCTCTGGCTGGGGTGACCCGGGAGCTTCAGTATGCTCAGTGCTTTCGACAGGCGCAGGTGGCGAATCGACGACAGGTTCGGAGACCGGCTCGATAGTTGGTTCGGAAATTGACCCAACAGCCTCGGGGGTCGAGTCCAGGTCACATTGCGGAGCAGATGGAGTATCAGATTCAGGGGCAGACTGAGGAACAGGCTCAGATTTGGCATCCAAAGAAATCTCAGGTACTGGGGGTTCTTGTAGAATGGTCTTTGGCTCAGGGATGTCTAGTTCAGGGTCCGCATACTGAATGATGATATTCTCCTTATTTTCGTCTTGATCTTGGACGGTTTCCGCTGGGGGCTTGGACTCTGCTTTCTCCGAAGCTTGCTTTTTCTTGGTTTCTTCTGCACGCTTGGCCATATTCTTCTTTCGCTGCTGCAGAGCCTTCATCAATCGCTCTTTCTCGGGTGTCAAGCCCGAGGACGATGACAACGCCCCTAAGGATTTAGCGCCAGGGGAAAGCTGGGGCCTCGAAATAGGGATAGAGGGTGGTGGGACCAGGAGGGGTGGAACCGGCGGGAGTCGGCTAGTAGGTTTAGTCGCAAATGTACTCCCCTGAGATCGAGGGCGTGGGGCGTCGGCATTGGCCTTTCGGACAGAAGAAGTGCGCATGTTTGTCGGGAGAGAAGCAACAGGCCGCTGGTCCTGGTTCCGAGAGCTGCCAGATGTGCGGGGCCTCCCATTGCTGTCTACGGAGGGTCGGGGTCCCAGCTTGACCTTGGGGGTAAAGCCCGCGGCCCGTTCCAATTCTTGAAGCGAAGGGCGGGCGGATTGAGTCGACATGCGGGCGTCCTCCGAGGGACGGGGGAATTCATCCAGGATGTTGCGATATCTGGGTCGCGACTGCGACCTGGAACGATCCGAGTCGACAGACTTGGGCGACTTGACGGATTGGGTGTCACTGGGGATCTCTGGCGAGGTTGCAGCTATGGAGCCCGCCCTCGATGGCGGTGATCGGAAGTTCACTGGCGCTTGTTCGCTTTCTGGTGATGTCGGTGATGTCGGGGGCAACTCCACCGGCGGTTCACTGGGCGGCACTAAGGTGGCTTCCGATCTGATACTTCCAGACCGTGGACGGGCCTCGGATCGGGTCGGTGGAACCGGTGTAGTCTCCTCCTTGGTGCCATTTTCCTCGGCATCTTCCGTGATTTCCATCAACCGGCGGCGGCGGAGCGAACTCGAGGAGGAGGTGATTGAGGTCGAGGCCGTGTGGAGAAGACATGCGGATGACAAGGCGCTTTCGGAGAGATCGGAGGCTTTGGACAACGGGAGGACGGTGTCATTTGGGGTGAACTTATCGGTGACGGATTGGAATTGAACATTGCTTCGGGCTGGGAATGGTTAGATCTGACGAGAACAAGACCCGGAATAGCGTACCTAAGATCAGGCGAGAGAGCCCCTCCGGCATGTACCGTATGATCACCTTGCGTCGCCGATATTGGAGGAAGCCGTAGAGGGGCGAGCATTCCTCGTAGGCTTCAATGGCATTGCGAACCTCGGGGACCCCGCCCGTGCCTCGTGCATGCAGGGCGACTTCATCTCTGGCCACATAGTGCAGTAGGAACCTGAAACAGCGCACCCATGTCAGTGAACCATATCTATCACGTCGAGCTGAAACACGCGCGAAAGGGGGCTCAGCACTTACCACCCACCCGCGTCGGCCAGGGCACTCTGGTATGCTTCGACGACGGGGGCAGTATCGAGCCCATTCAATGACATGGCGAGAGCGGCATGGAGAACGGCGGGCACCAAGCCGAAGTGGTGGGTGAAAGGTGAGGGAAAGGAGAGAAGCGAGTGGAGAGCGGTTAGACGTAGAGTTTTGGATCGGATCTCAAAGATCGCGTCCCCACGGGTTTTTTTCTTTTCTTTTTTCTTTTTTCCTTTCTTTTTTCCCTTTTTCTCTGCCAATTATTCTGCATGAACTGCTCAGGTTCAGGGGGTTTCGGAGATGCTCCACCTGTGCGGTTATCCCAATTTAACTTACTACGCTGAAACGCGGAGCTCGGGATCGATGCTCTTTATAGAAATCCTGCTTTGCGAGGACAGGAATGCGTGATTTCATTGAAGAGCCCTGTTCTTGCATGCCAACTATGTATGTAGTACTGAGGAATTTGATTCTGGACTGCAGTTCGGAGTGACACCGGGGCCTGGCCAGTTCGCCCTGGGTTAGCGTCCAAGGTCCTATAACCTTGGAACGGAGACTCAACAGTACTAGTATAAGCATATCGACTAGTATATATCTAGACCTGAGCCTCTCCAGTATCAATTGACCCGGAGCTCCAGGGCTGAGCCTATCCGCCACTCGCCGCCCCCGCCAACGGCATCGGAATCCCCCGATGGCGGGACAACTACTTAATGAAAGGGCCGCCCAGCAGCGAGAAAGACATCTTCACCATGACTGACCTTCCCTCCGTTGCGGCGATCCCTTCTCTACCCCAGGAAACCCAGCTCCGGGTCCTCGATACGCTCTTCGAGCCATCGCCGGAGCTCCACCAGCTAATGATCCCCGTCTTGGCCCAGGCGTTTCCTTCCTACTCGGGGCTGATTGATGCAGTGGGGGCTCGCATGTCTGCGCTAGCGGATTCCCCGACAGACCGAAACGTGCTTTTTGGCATTCTCGGCTCGCACCCGCGGCTTGGCCGGGCCCCTGCCAACCCGGAGCATTTGAGCGAGCTGAGCAAGAAGGAGCAGGCTCAGTTGAATACCGGGGCGGAGGAGCAGGCGGAAAAATTAAGCGCCTTGAATGCGGAATACGAGCAGAGGTTCCCTGGCTTGCGCTTTGTGTATGTTGGAATGCGACCTGCGTGGACATCGGCTGACCTTCCCTAGCACCTTTGTGAATGGTCGGAGTCGCGAGCTGATCATGGTGGAAATGCGCCAGCGCATCGCCCGGGGGGATGAGGGGCGTGAGATTGCGGAGACGATTCAGGTAATGTTCGGAGATCCAGTGTGGTTGTTAATGCTGACCGGTTAGGGCATGTGTGATATCGCCAAAGACCGGGCGAGAAAGCTGCAGGCGCGGATATAACAGAACAGATAAACAACATAACAGATATCAGACTATAAACATATGAATAACACATATAACAACATAACAGTATAACAATATAAATACAAAACTAAAGACATAAAGCTCGCCAAGTCGAATAAGGGTCCACCCGTTTGATGTCATCTGCCCGCTATCCGGTCTTTGCCGCATTTCGTCTCTTTTCCTTTCGCTAGGAAGCCAACCTCATACACCTCTGCTACTCTGCTGTTCTCTAGATCTCCATGCGACTGAACGCGGCATGGTGGAGGGAAATAATCTCCAAGTCGCGACTGCGATAACCGAGCGAGCGCCGACCTTCCCCGGTAAGTGGGCAATTTCAATCTGGCCGGAGATTTTTTTTTTCTCTGTTCCTGCGGCATTGGCCGCGGTCGTCCTGACAGGCGCAATCCTCCAGACCAATCATGCTGACCGGGTTACCAGGTTCGGCCACCTCGGATGTCGCATCGGGCTCGAGCCATAGTCTACAAGATGCCCAGCGGATGACCCGGCGCCCGACGGGGGGCCCGATACGAGAATCGAATTCGAATACCATTCACGAGACAAAGACCGAATCCAGTGCTATCGGCCCGCTGTCGCAGGTAAGAAGTTCCAGCCGCAATGCGTGGACCGATGGAGACCCTGTCATGTGCTTGCGGCACTCTGGATACGATCTGGGAGCTGACGAGGACCGTGCCCGATCGTCACTGTAGCACATTATCCAACGCACCAATACCCAGAAATCCATTCCGTTGAAATTATGGGGGAAGGCCTCCTACGAGGCGGAGGCCGTGGGCTCGGAATACAGCCCGCAGGCGAAGAGCACGGGGGATTCGTCATCCATTTCCAAAGCCCCCAAAGAGAAGAAGTGAGTGTTCAGACCTGTCTTTGTCATGCTCCAGCGACGACTGTTTGTCTGGAAAGTCAGCGAGCATGTTCTTTGCGCCTCCCCGCATGGTCCGCTTTAGAACCCCCAGGATTTCTCCGGCGACCAGATGAGACAGCGACTGACATTCCCTGCGTGCAACCCCGCTATAGAAAAGGTGTTTCTTTCCTCAGTCGAATCATTGGAAACAAGAAAAAGGACCAGGTCTCGGAGACAGAGGACGAGACAGAGGAGCCCGAGGCTGGCCGGATGTCGGTCGACACTTCACATCCAATTGGTTTCATCCCCCGACACCCGGCTCCGGCAAAGTATCTGAAGGTGCGAGCCCACTTTAAAAAAGAAAAGAGCTTCAACCGGGTGTTCCTGGCGCAGGAACTGGAAGGCGCCGGTCCACAGCCGAAAGGCGCGGATCGACGGATCTCCACATCATCCGCTTTGACTCAGAATGGGGAGAATACTGGCCGAGCCATCTGGGCCCTGGTGTTCTCCAAGGACGGCAGGTATTTGGCAGCTGCCGGGCAAGATCGGAAAGTCCGAGTGTGGGCCGTGATATCGACCCCGGAGGAGCGCGAGGAAACAGTCGGGGAGGATGAAGCAACCCCCATAGACGCGCAGGACATCCCTCAATTCGCCGCTCCTGTCTTCCAGAAAAAGCCCATCCGGGTATACGAGGGACATACGGGGAGTATTTTGGACTTGAGCTGGAGCAAGGTATGTGTTGCAGTGTCACGAAAGGAATATTTCGCTAACTGTACGTCAGAACAACTTCCTTCTTTCTTCATCGATGGATAAGACAGTTCGGCTCTGGCATATCACCCGTCCGGAATGTCTTTGCTGTTTCCAGCACAGCGATTTCGTAACATCCATCCAATTCCACCCCCGGGACGACAGATTCTTCCTTGCCGGATCCCTCGACACCAAACTGCGTCTGTGGAGTATCCCAGACAAAAGTGTGGCTTTTGTCACGGCCGTGCCCGATATGGTCACCGCAGTGGCATTCACCCCGGACGGCAAATATTCCATTGCCGGGTGCCTGAACGGCATACTCACAATCTACGATACCGAGGGCCTGAAGGTGTCATCGCAGATACATGTACGATCAGCCCGGGGTCGTAATGCCAAGGGCAGTAAGATCACCGGAATTGATACAATGACGGTGCCCCAAGCCGATTCCCAAGGTGAAACCAAACTCTTGATTACAAGCAATGACTCTCGGATTCGGATGTATAACTTCCACGATCGATCGTTGGAGGCCAAATTCCGCGGGAACGAAAACACCTGCAGTCAAATCAGAGCAACATTCACCGACGACGGGAAGCATATCATCTGCGGGAGTGAAGATCGCAGGGCGTATGTATGGCCCATTGGGACCGTCGAGGGAGACTCGGAGAAGCGAGCCGTGGAGGTATTCGAGACGCAGTCTGCAATCGTAACAGCTGCAATCACGGCGCCTACTCAAACCAAACAGGCTCTGGCGTTATCCGAAGACCCAATTTACGACATCTGCAATCCACCCCCGGTGGCACTAATAGGCCCAGAGTCAGAAGCATCAAAAGAAGCACCAGCCAAAGGCAACGGAAGCACGCACAAACGCTCTGCATCAGCGCCACGCCACTCCATCATCAGCAAAATGGCCCACGATTCCCCCAACTACCTCGCCCGCTCCAAGCACCCAGACGGCGACATAATCGTGATAGCCGACTACTCAGGCCGAATCAAAGTCCTCCGCCAAGACTGCGCCTACTACCGGCGTCGCTACGAGAACTGGAACGCCAACAGCAGCATCTCCCGACGCATCCTACGCCGCACCAACTCCGGCCGCCACAGCCTAGCGTCCAGCAAAGAATCCCACAAAACCCCCTCCGAGCGCATCATCTCCTGGCGCAACTCCGTCGTCCGCGGCCGCTCATCAACCGACGGTTCCCGCTCCGGCCTCCGAACCCGCAGTCCATCCCCCCAACACCGCCACGCCACCTTCCGACTCTCCCGCCCTTCAAGCCTAGCGCCTCAAGAATCCTCCTCAGCCCTAGCAACTTCCCCGCCGCCATCTCCGCGCAAATCCCGCTTCGATACTCGTCCAAGCATGGACGCTCCCAGAGGCAATGTCCCGCCGCCGTCAGATGTTCCTGCCACTTCGGCTGATCTCTTGGCTAGCGGTAAGGCGAAAGATAACCCGCTTTGGCTACAGGGTGATCATAGCTATGCGTATTGGAATAAGATCACGCACGATGCGCTGGCCATGCGATCGCGGAACTCGAATGACCTGCTCAGTCCGGACAGCGTTAGGTCGCGCGAGCGTAAGCTCAGTGTCGCTGGCAGTGTCTTGAGCAGTGACTATGGCTCTTCGGTGGGGGAGGAGGACGATGTCCTGAAATGTGACAAGTGTCGTGGGATGAATTTCCGCAGTTTCAGGGGCAGGGATGGGAAGCAGAAGCTGATGTGCTCGCAGTGCCATCGGCCTGTTTCTTAACCTCTTCCCTTTTCTTTTTGTTCATGGTTTATGATCTATGTGCTTTGATCTACATGCTTGATATGTGTTTATGTTTATGTTGATGTATGATGGTTTTGTGTCAATTGCGGTGTTTCCTAAGGTTTATATGGGAGCTATTGTACATGAAGGACTCGGATATGTGGTGTCTTGGATATATGTTATGTTTATGTTTAATGTGTACGAACTGTTTATTTTAGGTCCTTGTAGCAGGACATGTATAGCACAAACCCTGGAATTTTCTACTATCTAGGTAGCTTCAGAATATACCTATGTACTTGATTTTCTTGTACGGCTTCGCTCACGTGCTGCAAACAGGTGACACGCTAACCCAGACTAGGCTCAACCCCACATTTTTCACCTTTCACTAACCACTCCCAACGCTTTTCAATATGTCAGGTCCACCTCAGTTCAGTCCGTGTCCGATACCCTCCATCCTCCATCCCGCGGAGCGAGTAGAGCAACTCAAAGCTTTTCTGCAGACTGACTTTGGCAAAGCCCAGCGAGTGAATGTTGAAGCTCTCATTCGCCTATATGAGAATGGCGAGCTTGGACCACGCCAACGAGGTGATCCCCCGATCTACCTTGTTGAGGGACGACGAGTCGAGAGGAACCCATGGGAAGATGAGTCGGTACCCAGTAACGCGATGAGATGGTGTGAGGTATATCTCAATATCCATCAACCCATTAGCTATCCATTTTACTGGTTCATATTAATGATATCTTTAGACGTTAGAGTATCAGCAAATGATCCAGCAACAAGAACTACAGGCAAATATCATATAATCCTATATGATATTAAATTCAATTCAATCGATTGTAATAAGGCCATGTTTACTCTGTAATTTGATGATTGCAGACGTAACCAATTCAAAGGCCGAAGAATCTCTGAGTAATCAGTGAGCGCTCACTGAGTCTGAGTCCGGACTGGAATTTACTCGGTGAGCCTAACTCTGAGCGTCCTCATAAAAGCAGCGGTAGCTAGGATAGGAAAGCCCCACCTCGCAGAGGAAATATGGTCTATAGAGCGACCTAGGTAGTCTTGTAGTCTCACTTATTTCTACAAAGTATGGGCAAATTCAACGAAATCTCGATGATTAATATAGCTAGGCAATTATTCTGGTATCGATCTGCAACTGAAAACAAATATTATCTTCTAATCTTGGACTTCCCACCCAACCTCAACTTCACTGATGCGCTTGTGCCTGTGGCAACTGAGTGAACACACTACGCGACCACCCATCGGCATCCACAACAGTCTCCTTAACGAGAACATACCCACCGAATCGGGGCAGCAGCACCGCCCACACAATATAGTAGATTCCTCCCGCAGCGAAGAGGCCCAAAGCCACCACGCAATGCAGGTAGTATGGAAGCTCCTCGTAGACATTCTGGTCCGCAGTTGGCGGGATGTAAGGCGCAATGGCAAGGTAGAGATTGGACAGCATGAAGAACACAGTCACTGGAACAGTGGCGCGGATCCCAGGCGCCCAGTCTGGGAAGTTCTTGTTTTTGGTGAGGTTGACATAGACTAGACCGGCGGATACGAAGAAGTTGATTATTGCCAATGGGTAGGAGATTAGGCTGTCTTTTGTTAGCTTGATTCTTCTGGTTCAGGCGGGAATCATACTTAAGGAGGAAGTTGTAGGCATCGCCTGGAGGGGGAGCCAGCATGATGACGGCTGATACGATGTAGTGTTCGAGGAGGCCCGCGGCTGGTGAACGGAAGGGCCAGTTACTAGCCCAGACTTTGGAGAATGGCAAGACGCCTTCACGGCCCAATTCTTGGACGACTGGAGAGGCATCGTTAGGATGGGTCTTTCTAAGTGGATGGGATGTACATACTTCGGCCCTGAGAGAAGATGACAGACATCACATTGCCGAATGCAGATAGAGCCACGAAGACAGACATGACTCTCTCGGCCTGCTTGCCGAGCATATTGCGGAAGAAGACGGCGGCCACGATGCTGCCCGAGCTGAGCATCTCTTCCTTGGAAACGGCGGCGAAGTAGGCGACATTGACGAGCATGTAGAGGATGCCGACTGAGCAGATTGCTACTGGTGCTGCAATCTTCAGAGTGCGGACTGGGTTCTTCGTTTCGCTCAAAGCCTGCAGAGGCCGTTAGCTTTGTCACATTTTGCTTCCAGACAGGGTCCGGTTCCAGACATGAAATACATACATAATTGGCATTCGAATACCCAATGAACGACCAGATGACATTGTACAATGCCATGACAATACTATACCCACTCCCTACCGTTCCTTCAAAGGCATTGGTGAAGTTGTCCGGCTTCTCAGCCTTCATATGCCCACCGAGGGCGACCCATCCAGACACGACGATGATCAAAACGATGATCAACTTAATCACGCCAAGGAAGTTCTGGAGACGAAGACCCCATTTCAAAGCCACGGAGTGGATGAGAAAGGCAGCAGTCAGACACGCAAGTCCAATTCCACGCTGATTCCAGCGTCCGACTTCGACCTCAGCTGCGTTGAGGATATACTGTCCAAAGACAACACTGTTACTAGCAGCCCATCCAAGCAAGATGACATATGCCGCGAACATGGCAGTGACGAAGAATTTCGGTTTCTTGTAGACATATTCAAGGTAGTTCTTCTCGCCTCCGTTTCTGCGAGGATTAGTTTGCGTTTTCTAGGGTTTCTGGTAGATGTTACACGTACTTTGGGATCGCGGTTCCCCATTCCATGTACACAGCTGTTCCGGCCAGGGCGATGATAGTTCCTATCACCCACATGAAGAGGGAGAGACCAACACTGCCTGACAGTGCCAGGATGGTACTAGGCGTTGCGAAGATACCGGTACCAATGACTCTGTTGAAGATCAAAAAGGAGGCACTGACGATGCCAATTTGGCGACGGTCGTCGGGCGAAGCGTCGAAGACATTTCCCTCGTCTGGATGGTCAGATGAAATTCAGAATCACAGATTTCCAAACATACACAATCCTGAAATCCCATCTGCACGACGCAGTGCATCATTATCAGTCGGTCTGGTATCCAGCGCTGGCGACTTATCCAACGTCTCGCCGTGAGAGGAAGACATAATTTACGCTTTAGTCTGTACCCACGAGGGATCGCCGTTCTGTATTTTGACAGGACCCTGAATCTGGCGAGGCTCCGAAGGCAATGGGCGGCTAACCACGGTGGCAAAGAGATGAGGTGCTGGCACTAATTCTGATGCCATAGGTCTTTGCAGCTAGGCAAACTCGAATGCTACCCTGGGGCTGAAAAGGACTGCTTAAACTCAGGGAAATTTCCATGAGCTTTTTCTCATGGGTCCACTGAGCAGGATTCCAGAAGCCTTGGCTTTTTTTAGTTGGGGCCAAATCCTTGGACGTTTATAGTGCCCAGAGGTGCATGGTTCGATTTCAACCATTGGCCCGATGATGTCGGACATCATGCTAATGTCGCCATAGAAAAAAAGAAAATATGATCACAGGCTCAGGCCAAATGTTCCAATTGCCATTTGATACTCCGTGACAGAACACGGAGTAGCCGTGCCTAGAAAAGGCCAAGCAAAAGAGCTCCAATGGTCCTGACACACGATCAATCACGCCATTCTTAGGGTTCATGCCCCACGAAATGGATATGCGAGATGCAATTAACGAACCTTGGAAGTGAGTACAGTACTTAGTAGACCACTTCTCTGAAATACTTGGTACTCCTTACTATGGGACTTCGGAGAATTAGGGTGTAGCTTCCATAGTGTCAGGTGAGGTAAATTGGAACACAAATCACTGACGAATTTCTCAGTTTCTATATATACAATACATCCCCGACAGTATTTGCATACCTTATCCAATCTTCAAGCACCGGGAACGCCGTGACCTCGTGCATCGTAGAAACCCTCACTGCCAATCTGTATACCGTATCCCCAGGTCAAACGCCACAAAAGACAAAAATGAACATGACATGAAAGAGAAAAAAAAAAGCAATGATCAGAACATGAAGCTCAACATAACATGAAACCAACTAGCGTTGGATGAAGGACGAAACTCCCCTGGCGTGCGATGGGATATATGGCGGACGTAGCGGAAGATAGATGAACAAACAAGTATGAATCAAGAAATTAGGATCTCTCAAGAGATGTAAATGGAGAAGAAGAGATGGCTAGCCTCGGGCTAGCGCGTATAGAAGGGAAGGTCGGGCCAGGGGGTGAAAAAAAAAAGATTTACGCAGTGGAACCGTAAGGTTCTGACGCCATAAATGAAGGGAAGGATCGCTTCGTAGGTAACTCATCTTGGTGGTGTGATACCTGTAGTTGAGATGGGTGAGATAGTAGATGGAGGCACCTTGCCCGCACTGCCGACCGGAGTGGGCGCGGAAGATCGCTTGGACAACACAGCCAGCTTCTTGCGAACGGATGCCAAGCGGCCACGCATGCTGGATACGACTGTATTGTAGGGTGAATATTCATCGGCTGGGTCGGGTAAATTGGGATTGAACTCACGTTTGACGACGACCTGGCGATCTTCGACTTGGAGATCGTCCAGAACAATCTTGTCGCCAGGCTGGGAGCCGCTCTGGCGCTCACTCCCGCTCGGCGTGGACCGAGTTCCGTCATCTTCGAGGACGGCTTCGAGCATTCGGATTGCCGTGACGTATGTGATCTCACAGTTGGCGAGATCTTCGCCGGTCAATTCGTTGATGGCAGCAGCACGGCTCATTTCCAGGGCACGGTCGTACATCAGTCGTTCAGCTGTGACGCCAGGACTGACGACCACGTCGGCAGATGAGCTTGAGCCGGCCGTAGGGCCGATGGAGTGGTTGTCAGGGTGGCTTGGATGGTCGGAGGGCAGCCGCCTTTGGCCCTCGATGAGCTTGAGGCGCACAAACTCGGCTTTCTCGATAACCTCGTTGAAGCGACTGCGCACCCATTGCACGACATAGTTGATCCGGGTGCCGGCAGCGGCGCTCATGCTGTCTTTGCCGGGCGACTCACCATAGACCTCTTCTCGACTCTTGCGCGACCACCATGCCCCAGCAATGTCCATGGATTTTGCAAGTAATGACAATGCTTTGACGTACAGTACCAATGCTTCCTCGGATAGAGTGACAATGGCATCCACCGTCAGTCCATCGTCAGAGTCAGCAGAATCCGGATTATTGCTAGGGTCAATGGGTCTGGCTGATGGGTCAGTCGGCGCAGAAGGGGCTAGCGGAACAAGCTGCTTGTATTTGACCTCGGCAAAGCCAAAGACAACATCACTGCGAGTAGCACATTCCTCAATGGCCTGGACAGCCTTGCAATCTTCATCAACAGCAATGTTTGTCTTGGCACCATCTCCCGTTATTAAAAGACTGGCATGCGTGGGTGGATATGCGGGGAAGGGGTTATAGGCGAGGGGCGGAGAACGTCCGCCCTTAGTGATAGCGAGTGGAGGAGAAAAGCCCATTCCGAAAAGACGTCCGCTGGCCTTGTTGAGAGCTTTAGATATAGCCGACGTTGCCGATGTAGGGCTTTGTCCATAGCGTCGCTCGTAAGAATGTTGACGCTGGTGGGTGGAGTCTGCTCGCTGACGACCCGGGATGACTTGGATGGCCTTGCTTGAGTTTGTGTGGGGAGAAGAGGGCGAGACTGTGGGAATGCCCTGGGTTGTTGCACGACGACCTCCAGGGCCCGCGTGCCCTGGCCGTGAGAGCCCGCCTTGAAGCCGCGGGCTATGAGCGAGCTCGTCCGCAAAAGCGTTGACCTCTACGGCACGCTTCTCCACCACGACATAGTCCCTTTCGAATGCTACTTCCTGCGCAGCACGGTCCCGCTCCTCCCGGGAGCGAACGGCCGAGTCGGTGGTTCTGGGAGAGCCGGATAATGTGTTACGACTTCTTTGCCGTTCCATGGCCGCTGTACTTACATTACGTTCGGTAAGCTCCTGGCGGCCCGGTGCCGTGGCAAGGCTCACAGGACCAGGCCGTTGAGGCGGCGTGGCTCCACGTTGCTGCTCCCTTGAGGTGGCGAAGCCGGGCCGGTCTGTGCTGCCAACCCGGCGTAGAGGGGAAGCAGTCGGTGGGGTCTCTGATTTCCGACGTGATGAGGCAGGTCGATGGCTGGTGGGATATGGCATTCTCTCGTCGGATTCGATGTCATAGGGGGATGTCTCGGCCCTTCCTTCGAACTGAGCGGGCCGCGGTGATTCGGGGGCTGCCGGGGCGTCATCGGCCAGCAGCCCAGGGATGGGATCGTTGATAACGTTGTTGCTGAAGAAATCAGGGAAGTTGAGTCGCTCCACTGGGTTCCGCTTCAAAAGTCCCCTGATCAGCTTCTTGATTTCATCCGTAGCCGGATTTTCTTCAGGGAAGCGAATGCGGTCCTCTCCTTTCTCGATTTTGCGCAGCAGCTCGACATGATTTGAGGCCCTGAATGGGGGTTTGCCCACAACCATCTCATACAAAACGGTGCCTACCGACCATAAATCGGCCTTGGCATCGTACTTTTCATATCGGAGAATTTCAGGCGCCATATACAAGGGAGATCCACAGAGAGTCTCTGCCAGTGAAGTTGCCGGCAGAGATCGGGCAAAGCCGAAGTCTGCGATTTTCAGCATTGGGAGAGACTCAAGTCCGGTTGTGGGCTCAAAGGAATCCTGGCTCCCTTTGAAAGGAACCACCTGGGCTGCCCCCGTCCGATATGATGATGGTGATGGGCACAGCAGCAAATTTTGGGGTTTGATATCTCGATGGATAAGGTTTCGGTCACGGAGGAATTTCAACGCACTTGACAGCTGCTTGAGGAAGTGCCTAGTAACCACCTCATTCAGCGAGCCACCCGGGGGATTGGGATACTTGGAGATCATCTCCTTGGTGTATCTATGTGAGCCTAGGGTATCACGACGCTTGATAAACAGCGACAAATCCCCCAGGGCACAATATTCCATAACCAGATGGATGTGGGAGGTGGATTCGTGACAGTCGATCAGGGCCACAATATGGGGATGGTGAAGGCCCTTGAGGATGTCAATCTCGGATGAAAGGTTATCCTTCAGTTTCTTGTTCAGCTTCGACAAGTTCACGGACTTGATAGCTACAAAAGTTCTCGATTTCTGTACGATAAGGATTAGCCACTTGCATTGCTCTGGGACCCGGCCGTGGGATTCTGACTCACCGTATGCATGCCTTGATAAACCGTTGCGAAGCTGCCTCGCCCGATCTCATCAAGCCGCGTATAGCGACCGATGGACATCTCGGGGCGAGCCTCGCGTGATCTCCTGTGTTGAGACGCCATGGTGTGGCGCACGTCTGTGCCTGCAGGACCCCTTTAGATACCTGACTTTGTTCTGGATATCGGAGCCCCCAGCCACGACTACCTCAGCAATGACCAACGCGAGAGGCCCATCAGGGTCGAGGAATGATGAAGCCGGGAAGCCTGGAACGAGGAACCGGCAGAACAAGGAAGGTACTGCAAGCCGTGGAACCGGTGAAATCGGTCAAGGGAATGCAGATTGCCAAAAGGTGAAGTATAGGAGCAAGTAATGACCAGGAGGGGAAGTATAGGAGATGGCGCAAGATGAAAGGCAATGGAACAAGATGATGTGATGCGGGAGACCCAAGAAACCTGGGGGTGTGACCCAACGATAACGAGTGACGATGATCGAGGCGGTCAGGAGGGCGGAGTGGGATGATCTGGGGAGCCTCTCTTCCGATAAGAGATGCGAAGCGAAAGCGAAGAGAGAGCGAAGCGAAAGTTGATAATTATTGAGGGAGACTCACGATCATTTATTCCCTAGGCTTCCAAGGCGAGATGAGATACCTTGATAGCCTCCAGGCTGCCCCGATGGCCCCGATGTTATCGATTAGATAAGACCGAGATCGGCAAGATGTGATCTGTGAGGAACTTGGGGATTTAGTACGGAGTACGGAGTACGAAGTACGGAGTCGCGGGGTTGGGAAGGGACTATATGCCTCCGCACACTCCTATATACTCTCAAACTACTAAAGGATTCTCTTATCCCAACTATTTACGCAGATCTCATGTGATGAAACTGAAGCTTATCTGTAGCCTATGAAGTTCCCACGCCGAACAGGGGAAAGGGGCCATAGCCAAAGCAGATAGAGCAATTCACTACATCAATATATACAGATTCAAGCTATGTTCAGAACAGCTGTACAAATGCAGAATGGCTGTGCGCAAGCCTAGCAAACGGGGAAAACAGCAAACAAATCGTATCTATACACATCAACACGCATCAAACGCCAAGACCCCGCACCAGCAGCCACAGCACCACCGGAACTACGACGTTGTCATTACAGCCAGTGAGGATCGCCTCGGTGGCGCTGGTTCCGGCGGCCGCCAGAACCGCCTTGACCAAAGTCCAGGCCCAGAAGGGGACGGTGGAGTCGGCCTCGATTGATTCGACTCCGGATACGGGCCATCCCCCGAGGACCAACCAGGCACGAACTGCAAGTAACCCACAGGTGACAGCAATTACAAAGGCAATGCTGCCTTCCAGCGACTTCCCACCGCCCCAGAACCATTTCAATCGGCCATAACGGCGGCCAACGAGAGAGGCAGCCGCATCGCCCATGCCAACGCAAATTACACCGCTTGCCATGCTGACGTCTCGTGACACAATCTCCCAGCCTGCCCAGGGACCCAGACCGGAACGGGGAAGGTCGGAGAGGGACAGCCAGAGCGGGATCGAGCACCCGATCAATAGGAAAATGTGGGAGATGATGACTGGGCCGCGGTGGTCCCGACCATCGACATAAGGTGCCAGGAAATAGGTGAGGGGGCGCGAGATGGGAGGCAGCTGCGACGCGCGGAAGAGATCCAGCAGTAGGAATATGGAGAGAACCAAGGCGAGCGCCAAGGCGCAAAAGCTGGGGTCCACAAAGATGGCAGGAAGGAACATCACCACCATCATGCCATGGAAGATCTTGCGGCGCGTATCAACCTCGGCTACACTGCTGAGCTGGATGACGATAGCCAATCCGGTGAGAAGAGTTAGCGCGCAGTAGCCACTGAGTAAAAGACGGGTGATGGCGGGCCCGAAAGTAGTCTGTCGGATATGGTCGATCGATCCGAGGGAGCAGGAGGCACCTTGGAGATCCACATCGGGTCGAGGCGGTAGTTCGATCCACCGATCGAGGTCCAGCATCAAAATCCAGAAACGAACTTTGGAGAAGTTTCCGAACAAGTAGCCTATAGCCCAACCGAAGGGATCATGGCCCTGCAAGGCGCGCTCGGCCACATATTTGCGAATGGGACCCACAATGATAAGAAACGCCGCGACGTACACATAGAATGCGTACAGCCACTTGCGGACCTGCGCCTGGGCTGAAGTAAGTGACAAGAACGAGGCAAGGCCGGGTCCCATGAGCTTCTTGCGCCGGCCGCCAGGAGTGGTGCGAACCCGTTCTTCTCGAACGGCCTCATCAAAGGTGGAGATAGTGTGTCGTCGCCGACTGCGAGCGTGATTCTCAAAGATTTTCTCCGCGGTGATATTGTCCACCGCAGAAGCAGGTTCCGCCGGTGCATCAGAGCGATCCTCCCGCATGGTCTTTGCGGCACGCGGCTTCGGGAATTGAGATCCATTTGGTCCGTCACTGTCGGAGGAAGCATCATCAGAATGAATAGGGCCTGTTCCACTCAGCTTCTCGCAGAGCCGATGGTCCATCATGTTGATGAATTTGCGTGCGGATTGCGCGCTATTAGGTGCGCGACGGAACTTCCAGTTTGGGATCCGCGCCAGTGCAACTTCCCAGCGCAAGATATGTCGACAGGAGACAAATAAACACATTCCACCGAGCCATAGCAGAGCCTTCAGGATCTCTGCCTGCGGAGAAGCCGCAAACAAGTACAAATTGATCAAAGCAGTCGTCAAAAGTTGCAACTCAGCGGGAAGAAGGCTAGTGGTCAACAAAAAGTCTAAAGTGGGTATCAACGCTTGATGCAAAGGGAAAAGAAGAATTAAAGATTCCGCGTCGAGCCCGCGAAGCGACAAGGGTTTTGGCCACGTATTGTCCGTGGAGAGATGTTCGGCGACAAGGGTGGGAATCATGGACAACATCCAGTGGAGAACACTGAATCCATGGATCCAGTGTTGTAAGGGGACAGCAGCCGCAGGCAAAGAGGCGAGGCTGAGAATGACATTAGGCATTAGAAGAGACGGGTCGTGGCTGGACAACGACAGTGAAACGAAGATGGGAATAAAGATCGGGTATAAAAGAGGAGCCGGATCAAAGCTGGCAGGCAAGGAGAAGAATCTCCGTTTCGAGGACCAGATGCGCCAGATGCGCCAGCTTCGCCCTTGAGATGCTCGAACAGCGAGCGGGTAGGTGGCGCAAAGACCCAAAACCACCATGACATGAGTAACAAGTTCTGCGAATCGATCAGTATGTATAATCCTCTTTGCTGCAAAGCGTTCAGCGTACCTTTGCGCCATTCCCAGGCCATAGACCGCGCTCCATCCTGATATAGAACGACACCGCCGACAGACGACAAAAGCACAACCTCCATCAACCGGCGCAATATTTCCACACGTCTTTCTCGCTTCGTCCTGCGCTTTTCTTGGTATGCCTCTTCTTCCATTTCCTCCTCCGAGCTCCGCCGCGATGCGCGCAGAGCAGGTCTCACGAATGTCGGCCATGACTCTAAGCTAGGCAGCCAAGGATCAACATCTGTGGCACCACTCCCGCCCGAGCGAAGACCCTTCCTGGGTCGGAGCGGAGGGGCTGGCAGACCCCTGAGGATACCGGTGCTTTCGTCATCTGCCTCCGTGCCACTGTCGCTCGTGGTCCGTGAGGACCTTGAGTAGGATGAGAGTGGGTGAAGTCGGTCGCCATGTTCGGAGGGAGTTTGAGAGCCGAGGCGTTGGCTTCTGTGGTATGGGTGGGGGGAGCGATTGAATAGTCGCAAGTCTTCGGCGAACGCTTCTGGGCTGAGGGGCGTGGTGCTCCGGGGTGCTTCTTGTTCTTGGTTCCGCGTACTCATGGCGCCATGCTTAGGATGAATACGTCATTCCGGGGATTAGATTGAGATCGCACAAGAACAAAAGACTGGAAATCAACCTTGGAATGGAGTTGGTTGGGAGCTTCCGCTGGAGTGGAGTGACACTGTTGTTATCTTACCTGAACGCGGAAGGGATTTTGCCCATCACATGCAAGCGGACAGTGCGTATGACATCCTTCATGCCAAGTGTTTACTCGTTTTTATCATGATCATCTATTGTTGTTTTAGGGAATGTTGTTGTCGTCTGGCGTCTAACAATACTCGGACACTGCCCAGCCCTGGAGGTGTCCACATTACTCTCTGATTCACCGAGGCATAGGTACCATTGGCACGGCTGTTTCATTATGTTTGGCATGATCTGGCGAACCCTCTTGAACGAAGAAATAAATCACCAGTCATAAGCAGATGCAAATACAAGTCTCAAAATAATGCAAATAAACCAAGAGCCCGCCCAAGAAGCCAAATACAGGTGCTCCATCGAGTCCCGAGGTCGACACCAGCCACCTTTTTCGCCGGCGGCAGGCAAGCTTGGCTCCATTGATCTCCCCGTGTTTTGGGCGGTGGAAAGGGAATTGCTTACCGCAACCTCGAATTCGAGTAGAGTCATAGGTAGAGTGTGTTTGCCAGGATAGTCAAGATGGAGGTTGCGTGTAGGCACTCGGCATCAATGGGGGCTCGATCAGCTCCATCAAGTGTTTGCCAGACAATAGTAGAGTCTCTTTCTCCTGGTATCCAGAATCTTTGCTCGTCTGTCCCAACCTGAGTCCAAGATTCTCGTAGTCTCCTCAAATAAGATCCAGCCGGGTGGCTTGTTTACCAGTGATGGTATACATCAGCCTTCTTTTTGGCCTTTATAAGAGTCACTAGACATTTCTAGCATGGCATAGGGTGTAGATTACGGTGTATCCTGGTGTTTTCCAGCATCTGAGTAACCAGTCGAAATTTTGGAACTGCCCAGGTGCAGGTGGGCATTGATTCAATGTTTCATGGTCTAGACTGGAAACTCCAGAAGTGACCGAGCTTAAGTACATACACTTGCGTAGATCTCCATAATTTCATATTCATTCTTGTTTCACACAGCAATACTCTGATTCGAGATTTTACTAAGTGAGTTGCTGCAAAACCACGCCAGCGGTCAGCCTGCGACCTTCCCGTCCCCAAACCGATCTGCACGGGACAACTTGTCCGGGCCAGGACGTCTCAGACAGCGAGTGTGTGGTATATAGCACAGCCTGAGACAGTCTAGAGTCTCGACAGTGGGTCTCGATCACCGATCTGAGACTCTGCTCCAAGATTTCAATCGACGAACCTGCGTCGATCTCGATACTAGTATACTTGAACTGGCCGTCCACAGTAGTGGACGCTATCGCTCCTTTAATATCCTGTTTGGCCTGATCACATCGGCTGCCCAATCCTTGCCACTCGATATCACTTCCTCGGGGGAGCTGATCCACTTGGACAGCCAGGAATGGCGGGATGGATGTGGTTGATTCAACGAGGGCTGTGAATTTTGGTAGACCAGATACAGCGTGATCGGTCAAGTCTTCGGTGCGACGTCCGTATTTTATATCCCATGGGTCCAACTGGGGCCCGTCGTCGTCATCATCGTCTTCATTGTCTGGTAAAGTGTGCATCTTCTCCCAGAGGGACCACGCTACCTGGGCTTGGTCATCGGTATGCTCGTCGCCGATCAGGAAAGCAACTGCGCCGAGCCACCAATCCACCTGCATAGCTTCACCGATTCTCCAGAGGTGCTGGAGGGACAGCAAAGCCCGAAGACAGTAGCCTTCGTGCCAGGGCCCGGGAACCTGTGTCATTTCCATGGAAGCCGGGTCGAGAGGAATTTGACCAGCAATGTACACGAGCCTGCTAGGATTTCGCAGCGGAATCGACATAGCTTGTGAGTATGGTCCTATATTCGCAGGGGCCCAGTAAGATCTGGATTGTACATGCAGGCCTTGGCGTCGTTCTCTCGCACCCAGGTCAACTGCAAAGGAAATCATGACTTTGACATTTGAAGGCAGGCGATCTCCACAAGCTACTGTGACGCGTGCAGGGGGATTGGGCTTGCCGAACATGGAGACGTAAATATCGTTCATTGATCCGAAATCAGCCATTGAATTCAAGAGCACCGTTGCAAAAACAATGTCCTCTGTTGAACGAGGCCCGGACTCAGCATGGTTAAAAGATTTCAAGATCTGCTCAACCTTCTGTACAATTCCTTTCATCTGCTCCCCAGGCCCGGGACCAGCCTCAGGCGCAATGATATTGGAAATCGTCCAGCTCGAACCAGTCAGCCGATGCACATGCTCGCAACCAGACCAAGCCGGCGACCGAGCCAAGCTGGCCCTTTTCCTCGATCCACCAGACCAGGAAACATCCAACCTAGAGCCAAGAACAGACTCGAAAGCCCCGTCCAACAATCCCGGTCTCCGAACATCACTCGGCTTCACACCATCTGCCACGTCCCTGTCCGATTTGGCCGTACAGTGAGCTTGACGCAATTTCACAAATGCGACACCCCCGTCACCGGCCCTCTCCTCCTTGGCCCCGACCTCGATTCGCTCCTTCCATAGAAACCCAGGCCCGTCAAGCGCAAGCGTTTCATATTCGCCGCCCTCGCCGAGGACCGCACCCCGGATGTCTTCCGCACCCGCAAACCGACTCATAGCCTTCGTGATACGCCGCCTCATGATGCGCCCACCACTCTCAGCACCGGAAACATTCTCCCACAGGAATCCCGAGTCCAAGCCGCCCGATGCAACCTTGATGATCCGGGCGTCGCATTTGACAGCAGCCATGTCTTCCAGCAACCCAGTCTGACCAATAGCCAGCGGATCCAACTTTCTGGCCTCCGGAGGCGGGAGGGACGGATACATCCACAGCCAAGCGAGGGGCACAAGGCCTAGTCTATTTGCGACATTTTCAATCCGAGTGCGCTGATAAGTGGAAAGAATCGCGCCGGCCGAGACCGCATTTGCTTCAGGGTGTGCTTGCTTTATGCGCTGGAGGAGCGGTACCAGGGACTCGGTCTCGTCTTTGTCGTTGGTGACATTTCCATAGATGCGGGCCGTGTCGACGGCGCCGCCTGAGATGGGCTGGCGGTAGAGAGGGATGCGGAGGGCCTGTTCGTAGAGGGGTATCACGCTGTGGCCAATGGTCTGGTACATGAAACTGTCGATATCTTCGTCGTCATCCCTGCTGGTTTGAGTCGGTTCCGGGTAGAGATTGGCGAGCGCGACGACTTTGTGTCCGTTGCTGATGCAGTGGAGGATGGAGTATAGGGAGTCTTTCCCGCCAGATATCAGGGCGATGACGTTCAGCCCAGAGGCTGTCGGTGCTGACATGCTTGCAGGGATGGGATTTTGTAGTAGTAAATCTGGGTGCGGGCAACGGGGGGCACTTTTCGGTGTCCCCACCTTGTTTATCGATAGCGATAGCTCGATACACGAGCGAGAACATGCACCGCTGTGGAAAGCACGTAAAACATCAAATATGATGAATAGTCCTGTATGTCGGAATACTGTACGGAGTACGGAGTATGGAGAGAGTATGGGATGGAATAAAGACAAAGTTGACTGCGAAGATCCGGGGAACCGATTTGATGCCCAAATCCTAAGGCATGAAGTATAATAGCCTTGGAACCTTCCAAGGTTGGAATCTTCGGTTGTTATACTTCGAAGGCTAGATACTCCATCACTCTACGTATGTTTACAAGGAAAGCGATCAATGATTATCTTTGTAATTTGATATGAATCGACATCTAGAGATGTGACTGGAACCAACACAAAAGGGCCAATGCAGTATAACAATGGGGTATGAAACGGGGGAAACAGGGGATGAATTAACTTATACACGAAATGTGACCAGCACACACAAAATCAGCAAAAAATATTACATCGAATAATCAGATAACATGAACGAAAAGGTCAGCAAGGAAAAAGAAAAAAGGTAAAAGAAAAATCACAAGAAGCGAAGATGAAAAAACAGGTACACGAAGGGACGACCCAAAAGGGTTCAAGGAGGCATCTTGCTCAGAATGTGTTGGTCCAGGAGAGAGGGACGAAAACAAAAGGAAAAGAAAAAAAGAGCAAAGACAAAGGAAATGATTTCACCACCATGGCTGCCACGTCCATGTTGTTGTGTGGTATTTTTTTTTGGAGAGTGTTGCGGATTTTTTTCTGTTTTTTTTTTCTCCTCCGGACTCTTCTGCCCAAATGCGCGCCCCGAACCACTTTCGTGCAGTTCCTGAAATGTGTCCCGTGAAGAAACGCCGAGGTGCCGATGCCCATGTAATGCCCAGGTGTAATATGCCCGGACGCCAAAACCAAATCAAGACCAATGAAGTCGAGCTTCCTGTCGAAAGACTGCGACCGAGAAATGTATGTGTATTATATGCAGTGGGAAGTCTCTTGGTCTCGTGAAATAAAAGGAAACCGCAGAGTGCCCTTACAGGTCACGCTTGCGCTTCTTGGCCGCACGACGGTCCACGGAGGGAGCGCCGGTGACTCCGGACTGGTCGTACATGACTTGGCCGAGAGCGCCGGCATCATGTTGATCGTCGTAGGAGACTGAGCCCGAGTCGCTGGTGTCGAGGACACCCATGACGATGGAACCACCGGCGTGGGTGCGGGCGTGCTGGGCAAGGTTGTCACTGCGAGAGAACTTCTTACCACACTCGTTGCACTCAAAGGGCTTGTCCTGAGTGTGGAGAGAGCGGTAGTGGCGCTTGAGGTGCTCCTGGCGACGGAAGCGACGCGAGCACAGAGTGCAGACGAAGGTCTTGGAAGGGTCCTCGGTGAGAGACTGCTTGCGGCCACGGCGGTTGACGGAGACGGGGGCAGACTCGGATGAGTCCTCGACCGATCCATCGTCAGAGCAGCAGTCAGCGGAAGAGTCACAGGCGGCCTGCGCCTTGGCTTCAGCTTCTTCGTCGACGCTCTTGCGGGTCTTGCGAGTGCTGCGCTTCTTGGTCTTGGGCTCCTCGACGACTTCGTCCTCATGCTCGGCGTGGGAGTGAGCGTGGGTCCACTCGAAGGAGGGAAGCCCGTTGGGGACGAAAGTCTCGGAGTCGTCGGTGTCCTCGAGGCTGTGCTCGCTCAGGAATCCATCATCCTCGACGGGGTAAGCATTGACACGCTGGCGCTTGTCCATGAACACCGCGTTGGTGGCAGGGTGGAACTCGACGAGGCGGTTCAGCTCATCGTCAGAGTCGAGGTCGGAGAAGCTGTCGAAAGTGGGCAACCCGCTGAGGGGGTCCTGAGTGGAAGCACTGAACGAGGGAGACGGGTTCTCGTTGACGGGAAGCGTCACCGAGGCACTGCCCACGACAGCCCGAGGCTGCTCCTCCTCGCATGAGAGAGTAGGCAGGGGAGGAAGATCCTGAGCGGGCACATTGACAGAAGGCTCGACGGTGAGCTGACGAGGATCGCAGAAAGACTGGCCAGAACCCAGAGATTGGGAGGCCAGAATGTCGGTCGGGACAGGAGAGGGGGAGGGGGAAAGCGAGGGGCAAGAAGTGGCAGACAGAAGGTCTGAGTGGCTGTGAATGAGAGAGGGGGGGTGAATGAAGACTGCGTCACACAATTAGCCTTTCGCCCTTGCTTCCCAGTTCCCACATCTTATCAAGATGTGATCTATAGACTGGATAGAGAGGGAAACGACTCACCAGGTGTCATTGGAGGCGAGTCAGAGCGCGCCCATTCGGGGTTGGCCAGGATTTCCTGGTGAACTTCGGTCTCGCAGCCTTCCTTGACGCCTTCCACCTTGTCGAAACCAAAGAATGTGTCGGTGATCGGGGTTGGCAGGGCGCCATTGGCCGAGGGCGGGCTGCTGATCGAGCTGCCCGAGGCCGAAAGTGGAGGAGTTGAAGGGAAAGAGTACATGTCGTGACCAATGAAGCGCGTATCCAATGGCATGAGGGCGGGTGATCCCTGCTGCACAATGATGGTGGGCTTCATTTGTGATGGTTGCGGCGAGGCAATGGGGGTCAGGTTCATGGTGGCTCCCCGGAAGGCATTGGTGGTGGCCATTTGGTGCATGTTCATCACGGGCTGCGAGTAGACGGGTTGCTCCTGGGCTCCATACTGCATTTGTCCATAGTATGGGATGTCTGACTGGTAGTGGCCTCTCTGTTGGTCGTAGTAGGTGAACGGTTGTCCCTGGACGGAGGTCATGTATGTTGAGTCCATTGTGATTGTGCTGGTTCTGATTAGTCGCGGTGCGAGGTGTATAGATCCGCCGCACTCACCTGTGTGAACCGAGAACGCAATTGACGGTGCAATGTTCACGGGATTAGTAAGGAGTGAATGGGATATTAAGTATAGACACAGTATAGACGAAGAATGAGTGTCGTCGAGTCGAATAAGGAAAGACAGGTTCTGGGAACCGGGAGACGAAGTACTTGAGGAAGGAGAGTGATAGATGAGGATCCCGAAATCAAATAGGATGAGCTCAACCCAAAGGAGTAATGGAAAACCAAAAAACAATAAAATAACAAAAAAGGGACTCGATAGAGAGTGAATGAGTGTAGAAGAGAAAAAAATAGACAGCGGGGAAATAATAATAAAATAAAAAAGAGCGAAGACAAGCCAATATGAGAATTAAGAAGGGAATGATAGCAGGTGGATAAATGAGTGATCTGCTGCTATTTTCTGCTTGCCGGGTCACTAGTTTAGGAGTGGGCCAGGAACCGGCTGCTTTTCTTTTATTTCAATTTTGGGCAAAATGAATATCGATAATGCGAATTAAATAAATGGAATTAAATCCTCGAACGGGGAAAACCCAAGTGGATTCCCAGGTCTGGACGGGATTGGGGAGACACAGTGCGCACGCCAATGGCATCCATTGACTCCGGTGTGGGTGCAGTGGGACCTTGAGTTCACATTTAATTAAATTCTGTTATATTCCTCTTATTATCTCATATCTGCTATTTTTCCAAGGTCCTCGGTCGGAATACCCAAAATAGTCTAGGTGGGCGACAGAAATGCGGAGAGGCGACTTCGTACTATACTACAGTACAGTACATACTACTAGTAACTCCCTGAGGGTATAAGCCTGGGGACGCCTGGATACGCCGTGCAGTGGCCCGAGACATCCCTAAATTTGAGAATGGCCACGAGGTGCACGACCATTGGATATGTGATGGTGACAGCGGCAATCATTTGCACCTTTCTTATCAACTGCGTCGGACAAATAGGATGTCCTGTGCCTACTTTTGAAGGGTCCCACCGGCCATTACCTGAAATTGCCTGGTATGGGTATTTTATGGCGGCCAACTTTCCCCCGATCGTCCATACACTGCTCCGGATGTGTACACACTGGACATCCTCGTATGGAGTAGACGGCAGAAGATCAACAAGTGTAAAGCTTACGGCAGGGCCCATCACTTTCCAGGTCGCTCAGGACTTGCCGATCAACGGTGGCGATTATTTACTGTGCGACCATGTTCGATCGTGAAACGGTCGGCATTGGCTGTTTCAATTCTCGCGGATTTCATATGATAATAGAATTTCTGCACGGTGATCCCCGGACCAATGGTCGACAGACTGCTCAGCTTGGATGATCACCGTTCTCCCAGTGTATACTGAAAACGGAGGATGCACTAGTAGTTCCAGCTTCAACTTCGCCACATGGGGACCAAACATCGCGTGTGTTTTCTTTCCGATTCAGCAAGGGTTGGACCTGCAATAGCCCTTCGACGGAGTACAGTACGTACGACGGGACGGACATGGCATGGGTCAAACTTCATTGTCCGTACTGTACGAGTGGCCAAAACTACCTGCGTAATATGCAAGCCCGAAGGCTACGATATTCCTGATCAGTTGCGCGGCCTACTGCAGGAACCAGCTGCGGGCACAACCGCGAAAGGATCACAGGTCACGATTGGACAGGACAAAAGGCAAAGCAAGACGCAAGGTATGGATTTTTGAGCTTTCGGGCGCTTCTCGAGAGTTTATTCGGTCCCGGGCGCGTGGTTCCGGCAACTGTCCGCTCATTGGGAAGCTGGTCTCCAGAGTCTATATGGCACTGGGGAAGCACATGTGGTCCCAGTGCAATAGCGCTTACCTTGTACAAAGTCTGTTGGTGTGCCAAAATTCGGGTCCTGGGCCTGTAAGACGTTCTCCATTCCGGTGCGCTACGCCAGGTCTCACGAATTGTGCATTCTATTGGTGGGGGGCAGCCATAATCGCGAAGTGATGTGTTCCGATTGCAGGGTGATGTGATAGCACTTCTTTTGGTCTCACGGACTTGACCTGTAGATCCGGGGCAATGAGCCCTGCGCTTAGTACATGTCAGCAACAGAAAGCATATGCACATGGGCGTCATTATGTTGACTGTGACCCATCTAATCCAAACACAAACACACATGCATAATCCGACACATCCTATACACAGCCCGATGGCATACAGTACGCCACGCAAGGACCAATCTTCCAATCCATATCGTATCTACAGAGAGTACGGAGTATACGAAGTGTATGTAGTGTTTGTTTACTATAGTATTCCCAATTTTGGTCGAGTCCCAAAACAGTACTGGTACTGTACACAAAGTACGGGATTTCATCATGTCGGAGATCCGGAGGCTGTGACAACGCGTCATTGGCTGCTTCTAAAGATAGCGCGCCCCTAATATAGCCCCTAGCCCCAAACAGGCTAAGGGTGGGCGCCGGCAGAGTCTACTCTCATCCGCCACCAATCAGCAGCCCCGACATGCCAATGTGGACTTGGGGAAATTGGGGAGAGTCTGATCGATATTTATTTCAGGTCCACTCTATACACTACACTTGGAAATCCACCTCTGCACTCAAGTGTTTCCTTGCTAGGCCTAGGACCTTCCCGTGAATTTGGAAAGGGTCATGCATGGAAGGCTGTCAAGTATTCTTCGAGAAATCCAGATGTCCACTTTTGTCGGAGAGTGAGGTTAACGTGCCTTGCGTCGAGATCCACTATTTGATTCAGTCGCAAGAGAACTAGAGGGCGACTGTAGAGTACTCAAATTTTCGCGATCGTGAACTATTTGTTTCAATAAAAGAGTCAAAACCCTTACCGCCACCGTTGAGCGCACAGACGGCTTGTTTTTTGCTTTTGAAAGGTCCACGGGCTGCCTGTCGAGAGAACAAAGGAAAAAGAACGAAACACACAAGAGACACTATTGAATTCCACTGTTCCCACCTGATCGGCGGGAAGGTGCTCGGATTCTTTGCCGCGGGAGCTCGAAGCTAAAACAGCTATCGCAAGCTACGACGCGAAGCTACTCACCGAAGTCGTTTAGTGGTGAGGTTAGAAAGGTCGAGAATCTCTTAGCTCGAGCACTCATGATTAAACTACAACGGCTCAGGTTCGGAAATTGCCATGATTCCCTATCCTTCTAGCTCGACGCCAGCTTTCGAAGAGTGGGGACTATATGGAGGTGGAGGCGGGCGGGCAGTTCCTAGTCTCCTTTGAGGGCCGCGGAATAACTCCAGCGCAGCCGAGCAGGGCCCAGTGACCCCTAAATGGCCACCTCTGCCTTATACAAAGAAAGGGAAAAAAGCAAACACAGAGGCAAATTACTCGCGGGCGATCTACTGACGCCTATCACCACTAATCGGGCCTGGCACACAGATCGTAGAATCAACCGTGCGATTTGAATTTGAAATCCTTTGGCCTAGAGCGATAGAGCACACCTTTCCAGTTCCCCGACGAATCACGGCTGCTGGCGGGACTGGAGAGGGGGAAAGGGTACGACATTGAGATTTGTGCGATGCGTGAAACCGTTTGGCGATCATGCTCGTATCCGAATCGGCAGCCCTGTCGCCGGTGGAAAAGTTGATCTATCTACCCAACTGTCATCTTGACCCCGGACGCTATATATGCAAAGCATCCATAAAGTTCTGCCCGGGGCCAGGTCGGCAACGCAAGGGTTCAATGTCTGCATGCCGTGAGAGATATCGTTGGTGGAGCCCGGTCGAAGTGGGAGAAATTTCCAGATCCACTCAAGATTAACAGTACATACGTTGTGCAATCCTACACATCGATTCCACAATCCGGAGGCGCCTTCTCCACCATAAGGCAATAGGAAATAATTACTGCCGCAAACGCAACTGTCAGCATTAGACGCCACCAACCTTCTGGGTTTGGACATATCAGACCGTATGATATCCGAAGTACGAAGTTTTGCGAAATGTCACAAAGAAAAGAGTGGATCGCACGGAGATCCGCAGCCAAGGGATTCACGGTCCTCCGTTCTCCATGTCAACGGCTGTTAGAACAAGGCTTACAGGGATTATTTCACCGTTTTTCATATCGAATTGACTCTGATTCACATGGAACCGTGGGGGGTCTAGCCACAGGCAAAAAAGCGAGGTGGGAAAAGAAAATTTCTTCGAACTACACCGCTCAATGGGTAAGGCAATGAGTTGACAAGGATCATGAATCATGCCATAGCGCAAAGGTTAGAGCAAAAAAAAAAAAAAAAAAAGCACGGTGCTTTGGTCGAGACCCATTCCTGTCATGTTGTGTCCAGCGATCTCGGGATTCTCTCCCATCCCGAGACAAAGCCAGACCGACTGACAGCAACTGAAAAGAGAAAATAATTAAAAATCGAAATCCCTGACTTGTCCCATCCCGAAGACGCGGCCTATCGAAGCCCGAGACCAACACGGGTGCCAACACTTGAAACCGCACGGGCATACAACAGTACGCAAAGTGGGCAGACCCATTTTACTGCGCGGTTTGAAGGTTACGATTAAAATCCCGCCTTTTTTTCCAAGAGGCAAGTGAGGTCCCCGGATTGTCACCAGTGCATGGCGGTCAAACCTAAAAGGCACGCAAGAAACACCCAGTCAAGCCGTGGCGTCGCCGGTATAAGCAGCTTAAGCCGATGGGCAATGGCCGCGACGGGAAGCGAGAGCACGCGGAGAGTTTTGACAAGCGCAGATCTCCTGTGCTTCATGCCAACTCAGGAAAGGACGTGTGGGGATTGGGTGCAGCGAGTGTGACTAGGGGCGGGCTCTATTTGCTCAAGGACAGGAAGGATTCTTGCGGGTTTGGGTTAGATTCAAACTGTCTACGGAGTATTGGAGATAGCTACAACTGCTGTACTGCGGACTAGTAGGACATTGCGTTTAGGCAAATATCCATTGCGAGTACGGAGTAGTGTGGGTTGATTTTCCCTTGCGTCGGGCCTTTCCGCACGTTGACAAGCCTG